CCCCACTTCTGACCACAAGACCCCTACGTGACATGAAAAGACACTCCTATACGATCCCATTGTATTAGAAGATCCGGATGCATGGTTGAATGCGCAGGGCTTGCGGATAGAAGTCGCGCGACATCAAATCAAAGGAAAGAAGAAAGCAAGCACTACCCAGGACACGGTTGAATTAGGCCAGGAAGAGCTTCAGACCTGAATGGTACAGGAAATGGTGTGAAGAGCACAGTGTATGCTGTCTTTGGAACGAGGGATCGAGAGGTGGTGTGCGGCAGAGATACTAAGCTGCCGCAGAAATTCATTCATCTTTTCTCTTACATATTCATCTTGATCGGAGGCAAGACTCATCACATCATATCGGCGTGTCATAGGATCTGTTGTGATACGTTCGAATAGAAACCTCAACTTTATTCATGGTTGTTTCTGGGCTCAACTTGATGGGTCTACTGATAATCTTGGTCATTCGTTCTCTGTTGTTGCCCTTCCACTCCCCGTGTGCAGAATTATGCCACGTCGACCACCATAGAGATATACAGTCCTCCTAGTGAAAAGGAAGCATCCACAGAGAGCTCATGAGGAAATAATAATATCAGGGGCTCTCAGTGGCTGTCGCCATCGTCTAGAAACTATTATGCGTTATGATGGCTTTTGATTCCGCCTTGTCGTTAGAATAAAAGAGCAGGTGGTAGTGACAAAATTTAGCACATGGGGAGGAGGCTACTACATACCTTGTAACCAAAAGACCAAAACGAAGGCGGATTTTTTGTAGGATCGTCCAGTCAATACTGCTCTTTGTTGGCTTGCCAGTTGGACAACATCTCGGCTGACACATTCTACACGGAGCAAAAGGCATCAACAGTCTCATTTTTGGGCCATCCGGCCATTCGATGGCACGCCAAAGTACTTGGTATCAAGCACTTGGTGTCATCTACAGCATGCCCTTGTTTGCTTGAAACGCATCATCTCACTTCGATAATGATCTAACAAAAGCACAGCAATCCCAAAAGCTGGTTTTCTCGACCAGACCCAGGGGCTTTTGAAAATCTGAGTAGACGAATTGAGATGCGCACACGGAGCAGAAATTGCCAATCATTTGCCTAAGGATACTAACATCTGCAAGATATGCAACTTTAAAACGAGTAAGCAGGGACGGAGATGGTCTTTACAGTCCAAGTCTTGCCGTTGTCGCTGGTGACGAGATCACCAGTGACGCCCTGACCCTTGCCGAGAGTGTTGATGTAGTTGGGGTCTGCAACATCGAGGATAATTTTGGTGTTGATCCAGGCTGTTGGAGTCAGGCTCGTGTTTCTTTTGTGTCCTTTGCAAACTGGAAAAGGGGGGGAAATGGAAACTTACTGTGAGCTCCAACGCTGCCGCAGCTGGTGTCGGCGCACTCGACGGCGCTGCCCCAGCCTTGGGCGTGGCCGTCCTTGGTGGAGAGTTTGGCGACTTGCTTGTTGTTCACGAGGACGGTTTGGGTGTAGTTGCCAGTCGAGTCGTTGTACTTGTCTTGTCGTTTTGTCAGACTTTGTGCACGTTTGTGGGTTTGGAGATTTTGTGGGAAGTTATCCTTACAGTGCATGGTGACGTGGTCTCCAACAGTGGCATCAGTGCCTTCAGTCTGAACGGGCATCTGCGAAGTGGCTATTTCTCACAATGGTAAGCAAGAGATATCGCTAACATCACAGCGATGGAGAGAACACTAACGGCCAGTCGACAGAAGAGTGTAGCCGTAAACGCTCCACTTCTCGGATTGAATGTTGTCGGCAATAGACTGGATCAAATCGCCGTTGGAAGTACCCATGCCGACCCAGAGCGAAAGCAGGCCGTTGTTGTTGGCCTTGCCGGCCTTGGGCAGGACAAGAGTGGACTGGACTTCACGGATGAAGGAGTTGTCGGCGACGGGTCCGGTGCTGAAAGCAGGGCCCATGGCGGCCTCGACGGAGACGAAGGCCACGGCGGTAAGGGCAGTGAGGATCTGGCGAGAAGAAGGCATTTTGTTTTGGTTTATTGGATGGGATGTAGATTAGAGAATGGAATGAATGAATCGGCGTCACCGGGACTTGTTGTAAAGATGGGAAGAATAGTGTGTGTGTGTGGTCGATTGGAAGTTCAGTGTCTGGGTAGGGCATTTATAGAAGATTTTACCAAAGTCATGCTTGCATATAATAGCTCTCCATGTTAGGGCAGTGTATACTCCGTATATCAGGGCATGTTTGATCGTCGAAACCCTCGGCTTCTGTGTCGCTCGTGGACGTGCCGGCTTCTGAAGTTTTGCACGTTCTCGGTTGGATGGTTTATCTCTCACTCTGTCGCTTGTTTGATCTTGTACTGCCAAGTAAAGGAGAAAAGAAGCTCCAATTGTCTCATCAAACAAGAGTTGACGCCATGGTTTGATCTGGCTGAATTCTGGGAGGCTGTACTCGTACTTCCTGTTGATGAAGCCGACATCTTTCTCATGTTCGCTCTAGCCCTGCTCTGGTACATGAGGTATCTCGAAGAGTTCTCTTGACTACCGAAAGCCGGATTGAGAAAAGAATTGAGTAGAAGCGCATCTTGGACTAAGTTACCAAGAAGCCAAGGTGGTTTTCATGGTCGAGGAGTGAGATCCTGTCGTGCTTCGCCTCAGGACCAGTCAATCGACCCGGCCAACACTTATGACTTGGGATGTCGTGGAGAAGAGCTCGTCCGGTAAAATTAAGCTGGAGACGAAACATACGAAGCAAATTCAGAGACCATTCAGTTCCGCTTGATGCCTGGTGCAGCACCATAATTCTTCTTCCGCTTCTTGGTGATGTGCTGAATAGCTGAACGTTTGGTGCGAACAGTCGAGAGGATTGGTTGGGAACGGCACGCACACGGTACGCAAGAGCTCGCAACGCTAAGATTTGAAATATTGTAATGCAACAACATATCAGATATAATACATACGGCCACAGTCAGCTGAAAACTGGGCATCCCGTCCGCTCTGCCATACATAAGCAGTTGAACGGCAGATTAGTACTACGGTGGGTGACCACGTGGGAATCCCTGCTGCTGTATGTTTTGACGCTTTTGTTCCTCAACAACGAAAGTACATACTCGGACCTTCCTGATGTTCGATGCTTGGACAGCGAAATTCTGGATGAGTGCGGTTGTTGCCTGTTTGTTGCCTCAAGCGATATTTCGATTCGCTCCTAGATTTCAGAAAAGGCTATTGAGGCACGAACTAGAAAGATGGTGCTGTGAAGCAAACGCAAGAAGGAGACATGGATGCGATTCTGAAAAGGGACTTGGAATGGGTTCGAGTATTTCTTGTAATCTCGTCAAAGTATAAGCATGTTTTTTCGTATCCCTTAAATGTTAAATAATTCGTGGTTGGGCTCCAAAAAGCTGATGATGCCCCAGAGTGACGACAACAGAATGCCAACTGAAAACGATCGAATCTACAAAATACCAACCTGCCGTAGAAGCACAATGGCGTGCTCGCTGCTCACAAAGATGGGAATTGGGCGGCTCGGGAGGTGTTACTCAGATGGCCAAGACTTTTGGCGAAGGGCGGAACCAGGCCAAATCCAAATACTCAGATGTCTCGGATCTCCCAGAAGCCGTGGTGCTGTGACCGTTGACATTACTCCGCCGCTTCTAGTGCCTTTCAGTCACGCTTGATGGTACGTAAACGATTGATGCAACCAGATTTGTTTGTTTGAAGTTGGCGAAGTGCGTGTTGGGATGCTCGCCGCCAGCTGATCCTGCATCGATCTGTGCCTTTTGTTTAGACATTGGATGTACCAAGTCTACTGTTGAATCATTCTGTACACTTCCGAGTCTAGGATGAATTCGGGGCTAAGCTGTCCATTGACGGCGTGGGACGCAAAGTCACAGGCGAGTGATGTTTGTGGTGTGTTGGCTTTTCTTCGATTCAGCCTGGTTCGTCGTAAGTGGTGTGTATCCTTTTTGCAAACGATCCAACCGAGTGCCCAAGCCTCCAGTTGATGTTGAGATCATGGGTCCGGCGAAGTCTTTGCCATGCTTGACTGGCGCATCCGAACATTCGTGCAGAGTGTTCCTCCTTCTCCAGACTAGACGAGGAGCTGCCTTGTGCAAAGATCAACGCCGGCGTTGACATGCAGCGAGTCCACTCTGATCCTGGTGTCCAGTCCATGGCACACCTGTGCTAGCCGCTAGGACATAAGTCGAGAGTTGAGGCGGCTCCTGAATGGATGTTTCTCTGATTGTGTGGTGTTATACTCCTCCTCATACGAACCCAGTGTAGAAACTGGCATTCAGGCTTCTGAGCTCTGAAATCTCAAACCCGAGCGGATCGTCAACCGGGAATTTTGCCTCCTGCAATGCAAGGAACTGTTGCCCGAAGACAAGAGCAACATCGCTGTCGGGATACTCGGTGTCGAGGGCGCTTCTGGCAGACTCGGGTGTGAACTCTCCAGCAATAAGCACGGGCGAAGACTGGCCCCAGATGGTAAGGAACGGTTTGATGCCCTTGTATGTGTCGCATTCGATGTTTGTGATCGCGTGCGATTTGATGATGTGGATATAGGCCAAGTTCAGTTCTTTGAGCTGCTGGGTCAGTGAAGTGAACTCGGGTGCGAGACTGGACATGCGGAAGGCGCTAGAGGGGCTCATGCGGAAGCCAACACGTTCAGCACCAATAGCATCTGCGATCGCGACGGTCACTTCGAGCGCGAAGCGGATACGGTTTTCGGCATGCCCTCGAAACTTGTTTGTGTGTCTGTGTAATGATGGGTAGATGAAGTAGCCGTTGGCACCAACCTCGACTCCATCAAAGCCGGCAGCCATGGCATTCTTTGCAGCTTGGACAAAAGCTCTAGTTGTCGACTTGACCTCTTCTTCGTTTATGGTGTGAGAGATGGATTCTGAAGGTGAATCACATCTCGAGAGGGATGAGAACTCGCTTGATTCGCTAGCCTGTCGATGTCTTTTGTCGGTCGAAAGTGCGGCGTCTGCCAGCGGCTCGAGGGAGTCTATCGAAAGGAACATGTGAGCTCCGTTGGCGTGTACGGCGTCTGTGATCTCCTTCCATTGGGCAATGTGGGTCCGCGTCCAAATTCCAGGCGTGTGTTTGCCGCCTCCAAGTTCCAAAGACACGACAGTTGCTTCAGCAATCACGAGGCCACCTTCAGAAGCGCGCTGGGCATAGTGTTCAACTGCTAGCGGCGCTCGGACGTCACTCTCGTCTGTGAAGAGTCTAGTGAGAGGAGCCATCACAACACGATGCTTGAGCTCGATATTGCCGAGCTTGAGCGGCCGGAAGAGATTGGAGGACGACATCGTTGTGGGTTCTGGATGAGCAGAACTGTGCGTGCTGGCATTCGTTGTGTGTGGGTGCTGCTTGGGCCTTCAGTCTCTTCTTGTCTGCGGTTCCGATGTCGATGACCAAAGCAGAGGGTTCATGAACGAGACAAAGGTTGTCTGCTGAGAAGAATAATCAGCAGTCAACACAAGTCACGTCGTTTTGGCAGGAGAGATTCTCAAACGACGGCTCCACATGCCCTATATTCATGGCCAGGCTTCGGTACTGTGGTAGTCCTGTGAGCAGCGTACGCGCGAAATTTCCAAACTCAGAAATAGACAAGGCTTAGACCCGTCGAATTGGAGATTGACGCTAGATTCTGGAGACTCGGGGTATCAACCTTCGGAAGATGAATTTCTCCAAACGGCCAAGTTCTTCCACCAACCAGAGCGGCTAAACGCAACTACATTCCGATGCGGAATCTTGTCGCATGATACTGACGACTTACAAGCACACCAACTCATGTTTTTGGCCGAGCAAGCATGAGGTGTCCTCGAGCCTCTGAATCGATCTCAAGACGCCGTGGTCGGCAGCTATCCTTCAACGGTAAACTGATCATGGTGAACCTTAATTAAGATGTGCTTCTAATATGATGGCCCGCCGTATGAGATACGTACCTCGCTACCCTTGTCCTTAGAGCTGGGTATTGTTCGGGACTCGTCTCGATATATCCGTCTGTCATCGAGTCACTTACCAATTGTGCGCCCATGCTTTTGCCAACCTGAGATGATCGAGGAAGAAAACGGACGATAGAGTCTGCAACTTTGCTCCGAAGGGACGACTTTGGCCCGAATGGTTCGTGCTTGAAGAGGCACAGGGGCCTGCAACTGCACATCGTCTAGGGCGTGCCCTAGATCTCGGAAGCTGTAAGTCGATCAAGCCACAAAGCCCTAGTCCCATTAAATTGACCTCGACACGAACCTCTCGCCACGTTGTGTCCGGAGTTAGGTTGCACTGGAGCGTTGCCTCAAGTTTGTCTGACATCAGGGGTCGCAGGCGCGTCACCCAAAGCCGTTTAGTTGACGGATGTTGAATCATCAACGTGCTTATAACGACAACGAGTAAGGGTCATCTCAAGTCAAGCGCGAGCACACATGTCGATACTCGACAAGCCACAGCGACAGCACAAGGTCAGGTCGATCATGCTGCCTATGCTGAGAGAACCACCCGAGTCCAGCAGTGCGCTGTCTTGGTGTCTCACAACCTTGTGATGAAGAGCCTGGCTGGTTCATAGTACGAATCTGAGCGAGAAGATCCGGCGTGGCAGAGATTCAAGTTGATCCGAGTCCGTGAGCCGGCTGGTTTTCACTACACATATGACGCAGCGCCCAGAGCGCATCGAACTTTGCGATTATCTCGGAGCGGGTGGTTGACGAGATCAAGCTGTCCGAGTCGTGTCCAGTTTGAAACACACATTTGGTGCAAGTGCGGCGTCTGACGGGTGTTGCCAAATGATTCCGTCTAGAGTGACTAAGCTGAGGGTGAGATCCGAGAAGCCTTCTCCAGCGCGGATTTGTTTTTGCTGGGCGGATTTGTGTCTCCGACTGCGGAATCTGTGTCGCGTGTAGCCAGCGGTTACGTTACAACAAAAGCCGATGCACGTATGCAGCAAATGGACCAGCTTGTGTGCTTGCCTTGACTCGACTGTGCTTGTTGATTGATAGAAAACAAAACTCGACGAGCAACCCGAGGGACAGTCCAGGCTCTATATGAGTGCGTTAATTTAGCCGCCCCAGTCGGTCGTGCTCGGTCGTGGTCCGTCGGACAACTTCCATGGGTATGCCATATACCGCGGCCTTTGAGTTACCGTGAGCATATTCGACCGAAACTTTGCCCTCGAGCTCCGGACAAGTTTTGCGATGACTTGATGAGAGGTTCAGATTTTTGGCACATTGGCACTAAGAATGACGATCCAATAGCACGAAGGCGAGTATGAGTGCCATCTCGTCAAGATTACATCCTCGGAGCAATCGTCGCGTTTTGTTAGTAACACTCGATTGTTGGCAACATATTCTGTTTTCACAGCATGAACACAGGTAGGCAACATCACGTTGTTTGAATCATATAAAATAAGCTGCACCAACTGGTCCAATCAGTCATCAGATCCGGATCGTATATCAAAGAGCTACAAGTAAAAGCTTCTGCAGTACAGCACAAAGCTTCCAGTCAATACCTTCACCTCCTTGATACACCCCTTCTCAAGTCGAATGAGCCCTCATCCGCGTATTCAGCTGACACTACAAACAGCTCTAGAGCAGAGGTGAAGCAGGCTGCGTCTGGTTTGGATCCAACAGATTCTGGTACAGGTTGGAGGAGCGCACTTGGTGACTCCAGAGGCCCCAAGGTCGGTCTGAGGTGCCAGCCATTGTTGTCCACGAATCGACCGTCTGTTGCGTCGTCAGGAACGATAATTCTTGTTGGTTGTTGTTGGGATACGCGTTCTGGATGGTCAGGGCTGTCGTCTGGATTCCTGCATTAGTTTGCGTGTACATCGCTTGCATGACTGCGAGTTTGATGCTCGATGCTACGGTCGTGAATCCATGGTTTTGCATCAAGACCACGGCGTAATCGGCTTCAGTTTGTGTCGCATTTGGCAAGGTATGGTTCGTTGAAAATTCGGCTGCAAGCGCGGCTCCAAGACGTTGTGAACGGATGAGAAGGTCCTGCTTGTCGCCTGTCTCGTAGTGTTGGGTAATGTCAAAATTCGGAATGACGTCGCCTAAACACGAGGCATGAGCAGAGCACTCTCGGAAGGACTTGTGTGCATACCTAAAAAGCCAGCCATGTGTATCGATGGGCGCAATGGGACACCGCTGAAGGTGTATGGAACGACCTGCGGCGAGTGGCTGTGGACAACACTGTTGATCCCGGGGAAGCGTTTGTACAGCTCGCTGTGAATGTATCTTTCAATAAATCCACCAGGAGCATTCGGATCGATTGGAGCGGCGTCGTCGACATAATATTCGACCAAGTCGCTGCTATTGGCGACCAAGGCAGGAGCAAGATTGCGAGACATGAAGAAGTTCGAGCCATTATTTGGGTTGCGAACAGACACATGGCCATATGCATCTAGGACGCCATTGTAATGGAGGATATGTAGCCCAGTGATGAGAGTGTTGAAGACCACGGTGAGATTAGCCGCGACCATTTTGGTTGGTGGTGATGATGGTTGTTTCTCAGAAGAAGGATCAGCCATGGTGTAAGACTACGACTTTTGTTTTCTTTCTGGAGTTACAAGATTTGTATACATGCAAGAAGATGTCAGGTATCGTCTTGATGATGTTGTCCGGATGACGAGGTTGATCGACCAGATGATGTGTGGTGGGGTGCGGCTCGAAAGAGCAATCGCACGCCGCGACCCTGGCTCGTTTACTTGGCATCTTGCAGAAAGACCTATGAACGCTCATTTGGTACATCTAACCTGACGCTGCCCAAGTTCAAGCGGTCACATACATATGCTGTGAGAGGAACAGACTGTCGAGACATTATGAGGACATGGAAGACGGAGTAGTCTGATCAGAAAGTGTGTCACGGAAAGAATATGTATGCTGTTTAAGAGATGTGCATATCTAGACTCTCCGAAACATGCCAGCTGCTGGTTTCTCAAGAGTCCTCGAAGTCACATCCTGACGCAGCTCGCACAACTCGGTGATTATTGAATATCATGGCTCGTCGGAGCTGTGAGAGGATGAGGCTTCTCGAAAAAGCTTCGCGAAACTTCCCCTCGTTCTGCCCCATTCCTCCCGCTTTTTACGGCAGCTCAGAAGCCTCAGATCGATGCCGAACCTTGGCCCCTTCACGCCCAATTCATGCCTACTTCGAACCAAACATTTCGCCACCGTTAACCACCATTCACCACTTATCCAGGATCAGGATGACTGCAAGCAATGCTCTCCACCACATATTGCAACCGAACCCGAACTACCTCGGGTACGCCCCATGCCCGACTGTAGCGGTCATGCAAAGCTCGGTCTTATATTTCAAACCTTCGCGGACGAATTGTCGACTTTCTACTCTGTGCAATGATCAGCAAGCGAGATCAAATCATTCACCCGTGTGAATGCGCCGAGTGTAGAGGCATCTCACAAGGCGACGGGTAATTGAGACGAGCTAAATGAATGTCACATTGCTGACATTGCTAGTGATATGCATTCTAATATACGTTTATGGTCAACGAGCGGGGACGATCACTAGCGAAGCTCTCGTAGCTCGATCCCGTGACGAGCAGCGATGAAAGTCTGAGAGGTTTATGCCGAAAGCGATGCAACTACGTGCACAACACAAGCGATACTGTCTGTGAACGACTGCCTACAACCTTGGAGAGACGACCTCATCACAGCCAACTATGGTCACACGCCTGTCTTCTCGACCACTATAAAACTTGTATTAACGAGATGGCGTCCAAGCCGGACCAAGAGAATCACAAGGCTTGACTGCGGCCCGAGGTTCGTGGAGAAGCGTGGTGTCGTGTGGGGAAGGCGATTCCCAATTTCCTGTTCCTGACACATTTGAGCAAATCATCCGTCTGCATGGAAGCAGCGTGGTGCATGTCGCCTAAGAGACTGGTCTCGACTGCTACAGGTTACCCCGTACTCCCACCGGAACAATTAGATGGTCTATATGATGAGCAAGGGCGGGGGGCTTACAACTATTCGCGGTCAACACTACAGCAATTACGGCGGAATGTTTAGCACTACTACAAGTCCAAGCTTGATGTGGTCATGGGACTAGTCAAAGCATCCATTGGGGTATACAACGGTAAGCACAATCATCCTGTTGATCCCGCCGGATCACGGTAGAAATCAGAGTAAGTTTCGTATGCATTTATATTTGCATGCTTTTATTACCATGGCCTGAATATAAATAAAAAGGGCAACGCAGCCTTCTCATCGACCATCAACTCTTCTCATACTCTCACATCACACCCTTCCAGACAGCTCACTCATCGCTCAAACATGCGTTCAAGGTCGAACTTCGCTCTGGGCTTGGCTGCCACCGGATCTTTGGTTGCTGCTGCTCCTTGCGATCTTTACAAGAATGGCGGCACTCCTTGCGTAGCAGCTCATGGCACAACTCGTGCGTTGTACGATGCCTACACTGGCCCTCTCTACCAAGTCAAGAGAGGTTCTGACGGTACAACCACCGATATCACTCCCTTGTCTGCTGGTGGTGTCGCCAACGCCGCTGCTCAAGATTCTTTCTGCAAAGGCACTACCTGCCTGATTAGCATCATCTACGATCAGTCTGGCCGTGCAAACCACCTCTACCAGGCTCCTAAAGGTGCTTTCAGTGGACCTGATGTCAATGGACAAGACAACTTGGCTAGTGCTATTGGAGCTCCAGTAACGCTCAATGGCAAGAAAGCGTACGGCGTCTTCGTCTCGCCTGGCACTGGTTACAGAAATGACGAAGTCAGCGGCACAGCAACTGGCAACCAGCCTGAAGGCATGTACGCTGTCCTGGATGGTACCCATTACAACGACGCTTGCTGTTTCGACTACGGAAACGCCGAAGTCAGCAACACAGACACTGGCAATGGACACATGGAGGCCGTTTACTACGGCAACAACACAGTCTGGGGCAGCGGTTCTGGCAGCGGCCCTTGGCTCATGGCCGACCTTGAGAACGGTCTGTTCTCTGGACAGGGTACGAAGCAAAACCCCGCCGATCCTTCTATCTACAACAGATTCTTCACCGGCATGGTAAAGGGTGAGCCAAACCAATGGGCTCTTCGCGGTGGCAACGCTGCATCTGGTTCTTTGTCAACATACTACAGTGGCGCTCGTCCCACAGTTGGTGGCTACAACCCCATGAGCCTTGAAGGCGCCATCATCCTTGGTATTGGTGGTGACAACAGCAACGGTGCTCAGGGTACTTTCTACGAGGGAGTCATGACCTCAGGCTACCCATCCGACTCGGTTGAAGCATCGGTCCAGGCCAACATCGTTGCTGCCAAGTATGCCACAACATCGTTGAACACAGCACCCCTCACCGTGGGCAACAAGGTCTCGATCAAGGTGACGACTCCTGGTTACGACACACGCTACTTGGCTCACAGCGGAGCCACTGTCAACACACAGGTTGTCACCTCATCCAGCGCCACTGCCCTGAAGCAACAGTCCAGCTGGACTGTCCGCACTGGCCTGGGTAACAGCGACTGCTACTCTTTTGAGTCGGTCGACACACCCGGCAGCTTCATCAGACACTACAACTTCCAGCTCCAGCTGAACAGCAACGACAACACCAAGGCCTTCAAGGAGGACGCAACTTTCTGCTCGCAGACCGGACTCGTGACTGGCAACACGATCAGATCGTGGAGCTACCCTGCCAAATTCATTCGTCACTACAACAACGTCGGATACATTGCTAGCAACGGAGGTGTTCACGACTTTGACTCTGCTACTGGCTTCAACAACGATGTCAGCTTTGTGGTTGGAACCAGCTTTGCTTAGATACAAAAAGTCAGCGTAGGGATGGTCGAAATGCAATGTTTTATGATGAAGTCGAAGTTTATGTCTTTGTATCCAAGTTGGCCGTAGTATTTGGAATATGTGTTTCTGTCTCACGCTTGTGCCGTTGTTGTGAAGAAACGAAGGAGGCTCACTGGCTCGGAGGCTCTTATCGGGCGAGGCGATAGGTAGGGCTGAATCGGCGGTCGGCAGTCGGCTCGGACCCTGCAAGTGGGTCGTCATGGGGGTTTTGGTCGGACGGAGAAGCCTCGAGACTTTGTTCTTGTCCTTGTTCCTTGCACGCAACCTAGGCTGACCAGCCGCTATCAAACAATTTTACAATTTTAGAACCGCCACTTGGTTTCTCCCCTGGACGTCTACCTCCGACTCACACGTTCACTCATCGCCTGCATCCACACGGGCACACACGCCACCGTCTCGCGTGCAAAGTACCCCTCCTCAATCAACCAACACACATCATGGCGACCTCATCACCAGTACCGCGCTTCGGTTCGCCCGGCGGATCGTCTAGCTCGGCGCTCCTCCTGGGCCGCCAGTTCAAGCAAATGCAGAGCGACAAAGATATTCCTGGCATCAGCTGCGGTCTGGTTAACAACAACGTCTTCGAGTGGGAGGTCATGCTCATGCTGCCCGACGAGAGCGGCGGTCTCTACGGCGGTGGCTGTTTCAGGAGCTTGCTGCACTTCCCCTCAGAGTACCCCCACATGCCTCCCAAGATGAAGTTCGTCACACCCATCTGGCATCCGAACAGTGAGTCGTCCCTCCTCATCTACCTTGTCTCGTCTTGTACTGACTATCTTGTGCTAGTCTACGAGAGCGGCGAAGTCTGCATCTCCATCCTGCATCCCCCGGAAGAAGACAAGTACGGTTACGAATCCGCCGCCGAGCGCTGGTCCCCCGTCCAGACTCCCGAGACCATCTTGCTCTCCGTCATCAGCATGCTCTCATCACCCAACGACGAGTCACCCGCAAACATCGAAGCCGGCAAACAATGGCGCGAGGACCCGCCAGCTTTCAAGAAGAAGGTCAGAAAGTGCGTCAGAGACTCTCAGGAGAGTGCCTGGGATTAGTCCGTGTCCGTTGATAACCGAGGGGCGTGCGTACATTGTGAGCCTGGTGCTCAATGGCTTTCTTTTCTCTGTTCATCTTTTCCGGTTGCATTGACGGAGTTCTCGTTGCTTTTCCTCGTGTCTGTGCTCTTCACTTTACATCCTCCCTGTGTGCTAGAACTCTAATTTCCCCACTCCTCCACGGAGGTATGATGAAGTTCTCGCTATAAGAATGCACAAGGGTATCAGAATCCAAGACATACCCAGAGAGAGCCTTCAACTTATCGCATCTCATTGGGTACTATTGTAGTCCTCAAGAGTACTGTGCATCTCTATAGCTACACGCGTCGCAGACTTTGGCACATGGGGAGGATGCAGCATTGGAGTTCGACGTGCTGTGACACATGTGGATCTAGAGGCGAGGTTCGTTCGTTCGTGTAGCTACGTAAGATATGCCAGGGTGACCCAATTGCTGACGGTATCATCCTGGCGATATCGATACTCCTCGTCCAAATCATCGAGACCTATACAACGTCTGGTCCAATTTGATCATACAAACATGTTCCACCTGTTCTTGCACTATCGCAATTCACAGGATACCAGCGAGTCATTTGAAGTGATTGTCGAAGAAGCGAGTTATAGTTCTCCATCTACTTAACAGCTTCGTCGAAACCCTTCACTTGCACTCTCGCAGTGTTCTCTCTCCGTACAAATTGCAATCGTGCAGTATACCACGAACACAACACTCTATCTAGCACTCTAGCCTCTGGTCCCGATATGGCAAAGTTTCAATCGTCTAAAAGGGCAGATCAGAGATAACTTGCGCTGCCTTGCGCTGCTGATGAAACGAAGGTCCGGACAAAGCGGGGTAGACAGGAAGCACCATGATGGGCACCACAAGCCGAGATAGGCAGCTGCAGTCCACACTCGAACACGGCAAGCTTATCCTGCCGCTCGTTCCACAAGGCAGACAGTTAAATGCCTCTTGCCTTATCATCGAGCTCTAGACTGTCCTTCATCTCTCTTCCATTCTATCCTCAAACCTTTGCCATTGCTTCAGTGATTGCACGCTCTCCAAACAGCTTCTCAGCTTTTAGATCACAGTGAACAGGCAAGGATGGGCAGTGCAGAGTCTGTGCCTAGAGACAGGCAGCCGCAGAAGTCTTCGAGACTGGATCTCGAAGCCTTGCAGGAGAAGTACGATAGCTTCCGCATCACCGAAGATCGCGAGACCGACAGTATGATCGTTGAGCGAAGTGCTAGATACGAGAGCAGAGGTACGGTCAGCTCCCAGCCACCAGCAACTGCTATCGCTCGCACCAACAAGCATGCCACAATGCCATCAGGAGTAATCACTGACGGGAGAATAGACCAGAGTCATACAACACGCCAAACCCACGTCTCCGGCGCCAAAACCGAAGCCTTGATCCACACGATCCTCCAAGACCCAAAGAACCGTCTAGCTCTATCAGCGCTCTCGACAGCAAACCCCTCGAAAGTGCTCGAGAAGCCTTCCGCCATCCTCAAGGACACACAGACCTTCAATGTCGCCATCCCTTTCGAGGGCTCTCCTGTCACCAACCAGCGCAGCTCAGGCAGATGTTGGATCTTCGCTGCCACAAACGTCTTCCGCGTTGCCATCATGAAGAAGTACAACATTGAGAAATTTGAGCTCAGTCAGGCATACTTGTTCTTCTGGGTACGTAAGGCAAGGGTACAGATAGTACAGGTCAAAAGCCATCATATGGCTTTTTGACTTTCGTCTGTACCTTTACTACCTTTACCTAAGAATCATGCTAACTGTACGCTTACCATCAGGACAAGGTAGAGAAAAGCAATTTTTTCTTGGAGACTATCCTCGAGACCGCTGACCTGCCTGTCGATGACCGTCTTGTCGCAACCTTGATGGACCAACCCGTCAGTGACGGTGGTCAGTGGGCTATGATCCAGAACCTTGTCTCAAAATATGGATTAGTGCCGCAGGCTCTGTACCCGGACTCCTTCAATGCTAAGAATTCGGCTGTCATGGATCGCCTCCTGACGACTAAGCTGAGAGAGGATGCCTTGCGTCTGAGAGCACTCAGGAACTCTGGCTCCAGTACTGCAGAAACATCCGTAGCAGCAGCCAAAGAGCAAATGATGCAAGATATCGTCAGAATCTTGACACTCACCCTGGGTCGTCCACCTTCGTCGTATACCAAGTTCAACTGGGAGTTTTACGACAAAGCCGGTAAGCTGAAGACAGTCAAGATGTCACCAAAGGAGTTTGCCGGTGGTCTGAACGACACTCATGGACTGCGGGCCCTGGGTGGAACAAACGTGATGCACCTTTTCAGTCTGGTCAACGACCCTCGCAATGAGTTCAACAGGCTCCTGACTGTCGACTTCCTCACCAACGTCTCTGGCGGAAAGTACGTCACCTACGTGAACGTGGATAAGTCAATCTGGAAAAAGGGAGCTATTGAAATGCTCAAGAAAGGCTGGCCAGTCTTCTTCGGCTCAGATGTTGGCAAATTTAGCGATTCGAGCCTAGGCATCATGGACACAGATCTTGTCGACTATGAACTCGGCTTCAATGTCAAGCTGGGCATGTCCAAAGCCGAAAGACTCATGTCCGGTGAGAGTGCAATGACCCATGCGATGGTACTGACTGCGGTGCACCTGTCACCCTCCGGGGAACCGATCCGCTGGCGTGTCGAGAATTCCTGGAGCGAGGACGCTGGAACTGATGGATACTTTGTCATGTCAGACAAATGGATGGATGAGGTAAGTTTGCTCTCCCATAATCAATTGTTGAGTGGTGTATGCTGATCAAACACTCTCACCCTGTAGTTCTGTTACCAAGTGGTTGTCGACCCTAGCTGTGTCAGCCAAGAGGTCAGGGATATACTCAAACAGGACCCGAAGGTGTTGGACCTCTGGGATCCTATGGGTGTCCTGGCATGAGTGGCCCTTTCTTTGCGGTCAGACAGTAGCGCGAGAAGTAATGAATTGATGCAAGTCATACTTAAACTGATGCAAACCCAAATGTGGATGTGAGACGACTTCGGCTCGGATATGCTGGTGATGATCAAGACCGTAGTTCTCCAAGTCAGGCAATCGAGCCAGAGCTGTAACGCGACACAACAGAAGGTGTTTCGCATCACTGCACATGTACGGCATTGTACCCGCATTGTGTTTGACGGGCTCCATGCGATGCTTCCTCTACGTGTGCTAAAGTTTGTAACTCCCAAATTTCCTCATAGTCCTCTAACGCAGGTCTAGAGCGTGGGCGGTACTATAGAAATGCACAGTGATCTCTAGATGGTAGGATGAGTCCACAGAGAGCTATTGATTTTACCACTCTCCATGGATCCTTCCTACTCATCAAAACTACTGTGCATTTCTATAGCTGCGCGCGGTACAAATTTTGGCACACGGCGATGAAGCATTGTTTGCTGGAGTTGCCGTAAACAGCGGGTGTCTGCAGGACCGAGGAGACCGCGCAAAGCAAAGCGCCTTCGGATGACAGCCGTTCGTACCACTTCCACAGCCGTGGGAGGCTTCGAGTCGGGAATACGAGGCGTGGCCCAAACATTAAGCTTATACTGCCTCGGATCCGTATCGGATAGCGTATTGGACTGGAAAGTTATACCGTTATACGGCATTGAGCCTCAGGAGGTGAATTGGAATTGTTTCCAGTGCGAGAGGGAGCACCTGAGTACTGATAATCTCGTCCAGAACAACACGGAATCAATTGTGATCACCCCTAGGCCTTTGTCGTCGTCGTGGTGTGCATGCATACGAATCCCGAATGCTCACGGGCTTCAGACGCGAGGCTCAAATCGATACTGTATGTACAACAGATAGAGAGCGATATGGTGACACGCGCTGATCGTTATGAAGCAATGTTTCAGGGGATTTAGAACGAGTCAACCACGAGGTGGTCAGGAGGCCGCGCGAGTCAAAATCGATTTTTGGTCCAGGTGGACACGCTGAGATTGCAACGTCAACGGCTTACGGAAGAGGCATGCCGCATGCTTTGATGGCTCTTTCTGCGAAGCCATGTCGAGGATCCTCCTGCATGAAAGACGGACTGGTTTTTTTTGTTGTGGGGATCGTGGCTGTCCCGCATGGTGAGTCGGGCTTGAAGTTTATGTAGTGTCGGACCCGAGACTGCCAACCTCTCTTCATGGCAAAACAACAAAGCAGCGAGGAGAGAGCAAAGATATTCCGGCTCTACGCTATCGTCGTGCAAGTCCCGAACATGCGATCAACAAGCGGTTGTCTACAGACATTGGTAGCAAACTTGACCGAGCAGAGGAACCTTTGACAAGTCCCTCGCGCGGTAAAAAGTGTTGAATATGAAAAAGATTGGCATGGATGCACACACTCGCCTCTTGCCAAGAAGCCATCTTCTTGTGCCGACCACGCAACGACTCCACGTCACAGTTCTGAAACGGTTTCGCAGTGATTAGCAGCACGGCCACGGCTTTTGGAAGCTCAAACAACGACATGGACTCCAACGTCGTAAGAGGGCGCGCAGGAGTGGGGATGGTGGGCTTCTCCTGACGGCCATGTTAGGGGCTTGCGGGAAGATCGAACGGGTCGGAGTGCAACCCTTGATCAAGAGAGCACTTGCACTGCCCTCGCAACCAAGGTCGGCCAAGTCAATATCTACGCCATTGCAGCTTCGTCTCGACAAGCCACTTCTTGCTTGCCAATCTGTCTTGTCTCTGCCGTTCATCAAACACTACGCTTAGCCGGCCGCCTTTTTCTCAAAACATTGCGCCTGCCCTGTTGCATCTTTCCCATCCTTTTCCTCCTCCTCTCACGCATACCGACATACTACGCTTGTCTGCCCGTCTCCTCTTCCAATTGCCCATAACTTGATATCCACACAACTATCACGATGGCATACGCAAACTTGCCCTACACGCCCAAGCCCATCACGGACATTTTCACGGCCGACACCGACATCGACCGCAGAAAGTGCCAGCGTGTTGTGCCCATGCGTGTTCTTGCTCTCGGTCTCGGTCGTACTGGAACTGCCTGTAAGTCAATTGACACTTGGTTCCGCTCAAACAGCTCCTAACCCGCCAATGCAGCTCTCCGCACCGCTCTCAAGGAGCTCGGCTTCGACGACTGCTACCACATGATGTCTGCATCCGTTGAGAATCCCCCAGACTGCCTCATGTGGCAGGACGCCTTTGCCGCCAAATACGATGGTGTTGGCAAATTTGGTCGCGACGAGTGGGACAAACTCCTTGGACATTGCCAAGCCGTCTGCGATTGGCCTGCCGTCGCCTTCGCCAAGGAACTTATCGAGGCCTACCCCGAGGCCAAGGTTCTCGTCACCACTCGCAACGTCGATACATGGCACGCCTCTACCATGAAGACTGTTGACTGGCGCGCAAACGACCCGGAGCTCAAGATGGTCTCGAGATTCGACTGGGGATCCGGCCTCTACCAACCCATGTTGCGCAAATTCTGGGACGTCTTCTTTGGCGGCGACTTTGAGAAGAATGGAAAGCAAAAATACATCGACTACTACGACGAGGTCAGGGCTATGGTTCCAGAGGGAAACCTACTCGAATACAAGATGGGCGATGGTTGGGAGCCTCTTTGCGACTTCCTCGAGGTACCTGTACCCGAGGGCAAGAAGTTCCCCCACACCAATGACACGGATGGTTTTGTCGATCGCTGCCGTGCCCGCAACCGCGCCCAGATGATGAATGTCGCTTTCCGCGCTCTTGTTGTTGGCGGCAGTGTCGCTGCCACAGCATTCAGCGCCGCCATGACGATTCGTCGCTTCGTCGGTTCAAGAGGCTCTCTCTTGAACTAGGCACATTTTCTCTGTTTTCATTTGTATCTGGCGTTCAATCTTGAGGTTAGCGTTGTGGGAGCATCATTCAAAAACGGCGTTCGCGGCGGACACGGCCTGAGGTTCTGGTCATTGTCACTGGAGTAAAGTTCTGGATGGACGGCACTTTTTGGAAAGTGCATTTGAGCATATGGGATCGCTGCAAAAGCGCTGTATTGTTTGGGGGTCGCATTGTTAGCTTCATCGGCTACGTAGCAGACATTAGGTGTACAACTTCCTTTGATCAAACCAAAAACATTCAAACAATAATTCCGCCCTTCTCTCATCCCAACATCAACAACTATCAGAACTTGCAAATTATTCCGGTGGCTTGTTCGAAGGTCGATTCATTGCGCCCAACCACTCATGAAACAGTTGCTCCGAGATGCGCAATCTTTCTTTTCCCGCCATCTCCGTCATCTGCAACTGTGCCACGAGTCAAGACATCACTCCGCGTCCGAGTTGGAGGACATCCTTGTTTTCGGCCTTTTATACATTCACCTAACACGCGGCATGAACAAGCTGCCGATCGCTCTACAAGACTGATCATAGATGACAGCTTCTCGATGACAAAGTGACATGCATGCGAAACCGAGGAGAGGAGTTCAGGTCCGCTGTGTTTATCCAAGCCGTGCTTCTTCGCAAGCAAGTTTGCATGCATGAATGAATGCAGTAACTAATTGATAATCTAATCGATCGTGCTGGAGTGATTGAGCTTGCTACCACGAGCGTGTTACATCCCGACTCTCAACCCTGCCATCAGCGGCGCTTCTCGCAATCGATCAAGCATAAATTTGATGTCGTCCGGTTCGCAGAGCAGACTTGACACAGCGGGTGGCTTCCTGCTCTCGAGACGAAACTTGCGGTAGGGCTTAGCGAAAAGCATGAAGTGACGCCGAGGCCAGGGGGGAGCAAGAATGAGTCCCGAGAGAAGGGGCTTGTTTGGGTTCCACTCGGGTGTCCAGCATGTTTGCCGAAGTCGGTGCTCTCTTGACAGGAGGCTCCATGAATCAGGTTTGCTGATCGTGCTTCGCAGGTTGATGGTCTATTTGCTAGTTTGGACAATGCCGACCCGTATAACGGTCGAAGGCAGTTGCAATCGCATTCCAACAGGTCCACGAGTTCCACATCTTGTTCCCGTGTAACGGTGTAGCGACTCGTAGGTGCATGTCGCTGATGAATGCTGAAACTCCAGTGGGCGAAAAATCGATCATAAAGGCCCTTGATGTACATTGCCAAGACTGTTTGAGTGTTTGCCGCGTGGAGGGGTTGGAGAGCTGCACTGTGGAGCCCTAAGACAACTACCACTCTCGTCGTCGGATCACCATTCGCCTCTCTATTCGAAATCGTGAGATGCAAGAGGTGTTCAGACGAGTCACCGGTCTCGCATGAAGGCATCCCAGTGGCGTCTGGTTTGCGCGGCAAACGAGCGCTTGACGAACTGCTCAGAGGTCCAAATGTTCTTCGCCTCGAATCATCGCTGGACCGACTGCCGCACCACTGCGATGCTGGGACCCACGATCTCTGCCTTCCGCCGTCATGCAACCATGCTCTGCTCCTAGCTTGGACCGTGTGTGTGTATCTTTCTTTCCTGCGGGTCCCTTGGCAATAATTATTCCAGTCTCGTATGTAGAAAGACCATGACTGCCCCAGACCGGCACGCCGTTGCTTAACGTCGACTCCCTATCCCTTTTGCTTAACGGCTTTCCGCGCCTACCTCTGCTACAATAATTGTCAAGAGACCCCTTCTGCTTCTGCAGCATATCATCATCCAACTGCTTTTCACTCCTTCAACAGTTCACCAAACGGCCTGTGGCCGCTGCCAAAATCGTTTGATCATTTATACCCTCACAATCATGTTTTCTTTGCGAACTATATCTTCAATACTCTTGCTGGCAGGGTCAGCATTAGCAGGTCCTAATAATGAGACGAGTCCTACACATATCTTCCGCTCGGTAAGTAAGATCCGCAAGATATACCGGAGGCAGACAACTTTGTCGCATGCCGTCCAAACAACAGCTACTAACCAGCTTTTGCGAATAGCGGCCAGATCTACATGCGCCGATGCTTGAGATGACTCTTCTGAGACCCGAATTAGTTGCACCAGGATATATCATGCTCGCACCATACCGCAATCTGGATCCTGGACCTTACATCTACGACAATTGGGGACAACTAGTCTGGTCCGGCGCTGGTTCGAGCGGACCCAAGACTGCCCATGCGCCGCATCCCTGCACTTACAAAGGAGAAGAACATCTATGTTATTTCCAAGGACAACAACATCAAGGCTTCGCCCGAGGCCATGGAGTCATTATGGATAAAAACTATCGTATCGTCAAGACAGTCGAGAGCTCTGGAGCCGGAGCGTCAAGCGACATGCACGAGTTCAGAATGACACCATACTCGAATGGCACCACTGCACTCATGACCGTCTATCAGCCGCGCATGTACGATTTGACAACCAACCCCAAATTCCAGATCAAGGACGGCATGGGCTGGATTGTCGAGGGCGTTTTCCAAGAGATCGAAATCGAGACTGGCAGAGTGGTGTTTGAGTGGAGAAGTACAGATCACCTCGACCCTAGTTTGACCTACACGTTCCCAGGACGAACAGACACATCAGGAAACGGATTGAGCGAAAACACTCCTTGGGACTATTTCCACATCAACTCCATCGACAAGAATCAGGATGGCGATTACCTGATCTCAGCCAGACACATGGCTGCAATCTACAAGCTTTCTGGTGTAGATGGATCCATCATGTGGGAGATGGGTGGCGCAAACCCGACTTTCCACCAGACAAACTTCAACTTCTCTTCTCAGCATCACGCTCGTTGGGTCAGCGAGAACGAGACTCACACGGTAATGACCTTCTACGACAATGCTAGCAACGGATTCAACCGCACCGACAAGTTCTCACACGGTTACGTCGTTTCTGTCGACCACATCGCAAACACTGCAACTATGATCAAAGAGTATGGCGCGCCCGAGGCATCAGGAGGTGTACTCTCAGGCTCTCAGGGCAGTATGCAGGTCCTGCCCAATGGCAACATCCATCTTGGCTGGGGCGAACACCCTTACTTCAGCGAGCACACAGCCGACGGTTCAGCTGTTATGTACGCAAAAGTCGCATATCGCGCCAGTAACGTTATGATATACCGCTCGCACAAATTCCCTTGGGTTGGTCAACCGTTGACCAAACCTGCTCTATGGACATACTCAAAAACGAACGACGAGAAATCAGGCATGGCCTTCTACGTCTCCTGGAACGGAGCGACCGAGGTTGCATCGTGGAACTTTTACGCTAGCGCAAACAGAACCGGACCTTTCGATTTGGTTGGGAACACGAAAAAGACTGGTTTCGAGACGGTGATGCGCTACAACAACGTCTCGACTTGGGCCTTTGCCGAAGCTTTGGACAAGGATGGCAACGCTCTCGAGAGGAGCGTTATTCAGAAAACCTTTGTGCCCAGCGTCACACTTCGCGATCACTGCGACGAGTGGGCTTGTGGAAAGGCAGAGCCGATCCGTGACGAGGACGCCCACTACGATCCTTACAGCCAGGTCAAGGCCGAATTTCTCAGTAACAACCGTGGCTACGACACAAGCGCATATTATGCCGAGCTTCCAGTGAGCGCAACCGAGCAACAAGCAGCAGTGGAGAAAGCGCAACATCAGCGAGACGTCAAGCTACGATTGCTGATCTGTGTTCTTGGAGGAACTGCTGGAGTCGGCTTCCTCGTCTTTGCTTTGATTCTTGCTCGCAAGCAACTACCAGGCGCCATGCCTAGCTCCTTTATCAGGAGGGTGTCTGATGTCAAAGATGCCATCAGTGTCAAACTGCTAGGCAAGAAGTACGCCCAGGTCGACGAAGAAGAAAAGTTCCTCGATCAATCTTGATTGATCTCTCACTTCCGACCATTTTCTTATGTCTTTTTGTTTTCCTCTTTGATTTTGCATCATCATCATCATCACTATATCCAAAGCGAGCATTTGGGTCGGAGTTTTATCTGTGTTTGGAAATGGTCGAACAATTAGTGGGACCGCATAGCTGGCAATGCACTCAGCGAGTTCTGAGATTCTGTTCATATGATACCAACAATGACTCTGCAGGGAGTAGCAAGAATCGAGTCACAATATGAAAAAGAAGACGGCGATCTACATACAAACCATGTCCTGGTTCATCAAGGCCAGAAAATCGTGAAACCTGACAACCCTGGTGGAATCTGAAACCACGAAGGATAATTTTGTTCGCCTACAAATCATGCACGACGTCGACAATGGCCAAGGACAGATATGGTGGCTTGTCGCATGTTTGGGCGTGGGTGCAAGCGTCGTCGGCAGAGCGCATTGGAGCAACAGATTGGCAAGACGGGTACGACCAGCGTTATCGGAATCGATTGATCAAATGTACATGCCGTGCGAGGGCTGGCAAGGAGGCAGCGTGGCGGAGTTGTCAGGCAGACCCACTTTCTGATATGCGCGAGCTTGACACGGCGGACAGCAGTCGTGTGCACATGGCCATCCGGCTTGGCAGGGTGGGAACAGAAAGACCAACAGGACCAGAATGAGAACAAAGGTCGATCTTGTCCGTGGTAGGGTTGACTCGTCTTTTGTGTGTCTGTTAACTCCGGGTTTCCATTCTCATTTCCTATATCTACCTGCAAAAGAGTGTAAATACGAGGTCTTGGGAAGCTCGTGTTTTCTGGACGTCATCAGCGGCGTTTTTCGAGTGGGAATTCTTGGGACTCGGACTGGAGCATTGCGTACGCACTCTAGAATGCACCGACAACAGTATAAATCTGGTCACCTCCGCCAACGATCATTGAACCACCCAATTGGCGACTCTACACGTACAGAGCGCGATGGTACGGGCTCGCCATTTGGATCACCGTACATAAGGGAAGAAGAGGAGGAGAGCTACTTCGAGCGCCAACTGCCCGCATACCAAGATGGACCAAGAAGCGGACCAACGACGCCGCACGCTCTCGAAGCCGGCACTGGAACCACGCCTCTTCCTGACACCGACCATGGTCCCGGCACCCCGTCCAAGCCAGCAATGCCGCCGCGATCCTCGTCGCTGAAGCCATACCAGCTCAATACACATGTCGACCGCACGCCGCAATTGCCATCCGGAGCGACGACCCCACTGGCCCATCTGCCTGCACCAGGCCTGGTGACATATCCCCCCGAACCTGCCACATGGACCAACATGCCCAACAAGGGCCAGCTCGCCCTGCTTGCTGCGAGTCGCTTCGTCGATTTCTTCCAGATGGCCGCCCTGCAAACATACATGGTACACCAGCTCAAGAGCTTCGATCGCAGCCAGCCCGACTCGCTCATATCCCATCAGGCAGGTGTGCTCCAGGGCAGCTTTACTGCTGCCCAAATCGTCACGAGTATCCTCTGGGGCCGTGCTGCGGATCAACCAGGAGTAGGCAGAAAATTGGTCCTCAACATTGGAATGGTCGGTACAGCGATTGGGTGTATCGGTGTCGGCTTCAGTACAAGTTATCAGCAGGCAGTCGCTTGGAGAGTCTTGAGTGGAGCCATCAACGGCACGGTAGGAGCGGCTAGGACCATGGTCGCAGAACGTACGGACAAGCGCTGGCATCCTCGCGCTTTCTTGCTCCTTCCTGCTGCTTTCAATGTTGCCAATGTCTTGGGTCCGAGTAAGCTAAACCTTCGCCATCTACCTGCCTCGCATATGCTAATTCGTGAGATAGTCCTTAGCGGTCTTCTCGCTGACCCGGTAGCGGCTTATCCTCATCTGTTCGGTCCCAACTCGACCTTCGGCGGCGCAGAAGGCATTGCCTGGATGAAGAACCACCCCTACGCCGCACCCAATCTCCTCTGCAGTCTTCTACTCATAATTGAAGCACTACTCTGTACCTTCTTCCTTGACGAAACCCTCAAGGGCTTCACCGAAGTCGACGTGGGCGCTTTCAACCCGCTAACAGTTGCTAAGGGCATCTGGAACCGTCTGTACGAGGTCAAGAACAAAGGCTACAAATTGGTCGGCGAGACAGCCATGGCCCGCAGAGGACTTTTGTCGGGTCGTGAGGAGGGAAGCATCGAACTCGACCGCATCGCCGACGCAAACGAAATCCGTGAGAGACAGGACTCGCACGCTTCACGACCAATGCAGCGTCTACCTTTCCGTCGTGTGTGGACACCCAACGTATGCTGGACTCTTTTGTCGATCGCCATATTCGATTTCCATATGGGAGCCTTCTCAACTCTGTGGATTTTGTTCCTATCTACATCCCGCGAGTTCGTGCCTGGGAACAGCACAGACGGCAAACCGCAAAAGCAAGAAAGAGGTGTTTTCAAGTTCGGAGGCGGTCTCGCTTTCCCACCTCCTACGATCGGACTCGCTATGGCCATCATCGGCTTCATCGGCATCATCCTCCAATTCGTGCTCTACCCACGCGCGAATGCGAGATTCGGCCTCATGCGCTGTTTCCGCTCTTCACTTTTCCTGTTTCCTCTAGCGTACTTTTTAGCACCTTACATCGCACTCATGCCCTCTGACTCTGCTTCGCCAGCCCCAGCATCAGGGTTCTGGATCTGGCTCGGCATCGGCGGCGTTGTGTTCCTTCAAGTCGCTGCTCGCACTTTTGCACTTCCTGCCTCTATCTTGTTGCTTAACAATAGTTCTCCCCATCCTTCTGTGTTGGCTACCATCCACGGTTTGGGGCAAGCGGATAGTGCGGCGTTCAGAACCATTGGACCTATATTGTCGGCGTCTTGGTATGGTATGTGGCTTGAAAGAGGTGTAGTGGGCATGGCATGGTGGTACGTTGCTGCCATCTCGGCTTTGGGGGCTGCAGCGAGTTTCAAAGTCAGGAATGGAAATGGGCATGAGATCATGTTGCCTGGAGAAGAGGAGAGAGCCGATGAGCAAGCGCCTGAGCCGACGAGGAAGTAGCATGTCCGCACGTGTCCATTTTCCATTTATCCTTTGTGTACAACGCTTTCCCGCTCGAATGTCCCGAGCTTCATTTCCCTTGAAGCTAGATTCTCTTTCCTTCCACTGCATCATCATTCTAGAGTATCATGAGACTTGAAGCAGGAGTTACCAAACCTACACCTTCCTCTGAAGAAGTGATCACAGATAGGGCGCGAAATGACTTTTGAAACACCCTTCACAAACGGCGCATTCTCCAGAGTATCCGCCTGTATACCCTTCTGGAAATCGTTGTAAGTAAGGTGGAACTGCTTTGCTCGAGACTGTTATGCCAAACAGCAAACAATATTGGATTTCACAGGACGAACTGGCAGCGGCGTCGCAAGAAGACGATCAAAGCGCAGCTGCCTTCCTGCCGTAGCTTCAAGCTTCCGATTGGCAAATCATGCACCAACACCTCAGACGTAAGGCATTCTCCTATACTTATTTACGAATATCGCTGTCTTGCTTATTGAAGCACACCGGTGAGTGGTCTAGTAGTAACGAAAACCAAAGTTGCTGAACCCAGGCTGACCAATCAACCGGTCGGCATCAAGCACATGCTATACCACATCTCCCACGCCATCAACGCTGACCAGCCTAATCACACTGACGATCCTCCGCTACAGGCACCACATAAGAACAACTGACAAGTATCAAACCATGTTTCATATCTACACCTCTCCATTTCCCATCTCGCAATGTTCTCCAAAGCACTCCACAGCAGCATAGCCAGTTGGTCCTTCCACGACGACAGTTTCACACAAGCAACAAAAGACAAAGTATTCCTCTACCAACTCTCCCATCAAGACATCAAAGCAATCACACCGCACACACTGGTCATCGGCAACGTCTGCGACGAAGACAGAACATCAACGAAAATCCACCGTCAACTCGCGGACCTAAACATCCTCATCAAATCAGATAATCACCTCAATGCCGCTGCCATCAATGGCACCTCCATGGCCAAGAACATCGTCCTGATAACACGGCACAAGCTTTCATTGCTCGTGAATTTGCTTTTCTGGTGGGAGGAGGAGATGATGAGATGGGATGGTTTCGAGGCCAAAAAGGCAAACTATGCTCAGCAGTTGGAGGAAGCGCATCCGGATGAGAGTGCAGAAGAAAGGTCAAGGAAGATGAATGAGGCTGTGAAGATTATTACGGTGATGCAAAGGGATATGCCTAGTCAGCGGCAGGAGGGTAAGGAAACTAGTTGGAATACTACAGGCGGCAGTAGGAGGGAATGGGAGTTGAGGGAGTCGGAGAGGTGGGTGTCTGAGAGGGGAGGACCGGGTGGAGAGGTAGTTGAAGATGAGCATGGATTGCCTGCTTATGAACATAGTGGTGTAGACGGGAGAGAATGAGATTTGGCGTTGAAGAAAGAGTCTGGTATCCCCAAAGGGGTGGTCTAGACGAACCATAATCGTGACCTTGTCTTATTGATTTGGGGATCTTGATTGCCTTCCTGAGCCAGTGTGCGCCTAGCGTTGAGCTTGGACGACTGACGGCGTGGATGCAACTACAAAGCTGCATACTATGGTGAGCTCTATCGATATGAGACAATTCTTCGGATCGGACATTCCATAGAGTTAACCAGAGCTAAGAGCAATACGAGACGTGGTGGAAGTTCAGACGTGACAAGGTTTTGGCAATACAAGCACTGGATGACTTTTGATCTGTCTCTGCGAAACACTTGGTTTCCATTTGCGCATGATTTAAAAATCGGTCAAATGGCTATGTTCAAGGTCGTTCTGGTAAAGTGATAGACGAGAGCGTTTTGTGTTGAGTTTCATATTCTTGATTCAGCCTAAGAGCCGCGAGAAGTATGTAGAGGGTTGTGGCGTTGTGGAAACCATTGATAGGGATCGCCTGCTCTATGATAGTTTGTGGTGAGGAGCCCGGGACAAAGGAGGGTGAGTGCTGAGGACGGTGTGCTCCATAGTCTCGGTTCATGATGATGTGAGGTTCAAGTTGGGCATTGAGCGTCTCCTGCTTCCAAGGTCTGGTATCGAGACCGCTCATGATGGAAGAAGAAGCAAAGCGGGTCTTGTTCGAAGCCCTCTATGCTAGGCGGTTCCACGTGTGCCACCAGTCAAACTGTACCAAGTCCCATTTGGCCCACGTCGACTTGGGACAGTGGCATCCATTGGGTTTCTCGCCCTCCCATTCCGTAATGATCTGGTAAGGCACATACACACCACGCCACGTATGACTAAACTAATGTTGCCAGAACCACCATTCGGCACAATTGGTCTCGTAACCCAAAGTGTTGTCCTCTCTACCACCTCTCACGTCAAGCTCGAACCAAGACCTCTCTGTCTCGATGTCTTCCTCATCATGATCTGGATCCCCGCTCCCTATACTGAGTTTTGTTCGTCGATCCAAGTCGAACGACGAGAACTCGAAGATCTCTCTCAATAACATTATCTCGTGGTGGAGTAACTGGGACCCCAGCTTTCTGACACGATTTTCAAATTCAGGCAGCCAGTGAGACTCGGCACAAACCCATAGAAGGATGTATGCTTGCGCGAACTTCTCACTGTCGACTGTTGGCGGCTTGTGATCGACTTGGCATGTCGCCGCTCTGGCAGCCCAGAATTCCGTCGCCTTGTTCGCGACCAGCATAGCGACGTTAAAAGTCCGTGAGATAGTCCGTAAGTCGCGCAGTTCGATTGGAAATGGAGCCAGGCCGTCCGCTTTGTAACGCTGATTTGCTACGTTCTTGTGGAAGTGGTGCCCTCCAGGAGGATCACACTGAGCAGGATCACACGCACAAGCTTGGGGCTGAACTTTTGCGGTCCTGGAGATGATGCTGACCAGGATTTTGGCGGCAGAGAGCGGATCTGCATTCTTGCAGACCGCAGTGAGTATAGTGTAGGCATTGTCTATGAGAAGTGACCGCATGTTGCGGCTGATTGAAGACAGCGCTAGACGGTCCGAGATTGTGGTCTGGTGTTTGTATAGTAAGAGCATCAGCTCATTTGGCAGAACTGGTAGCAGCGTCATTTTTGAAAACGGTGATGAAATCGTCTTGAGAGATGAGGAGCAGGGAGAAAAGTGGGAGCGCTGGGAGGTACACAAAAAGAGTGGTCGAATGTAGCAGAGATCAAAGCGCGTAAATCTGCATTCGCTGTCAGACACGCACCTGAAACGCCGCACCATACGCCTCTTGTCCCTGGCCAAAGGCGTTCCGCCGAGCGATGAACATCACTATTTCGAAAGGTCTGTCTCTATACAACAAAGATATGTAAGAATCGCTAATTTCTACAAGCGTTCATGGACAAACGCTAATCTTGACGCATCAACATAAACATGAATATACTGAAGAAAAAGATATACACGAATCTGATGAGATCACAAATACTTCTTAGGAGCACTTGCTCTGCGCTTCTTGTAGATGATGTAGGCGCCGGCGAGCATGACCTGGAAGGCAATAACGACGAAGATGAACATACCCATCTTGGGAGCCGCAGTGGAGATCACTAAGAAGCAATGTTAGCGATCTGATTCTAGAGCTGGCTATGACATAGAAGTGACTTACTGTGAGAAATTGTCTCGGGGAGATGCTCGGTCAAACCTCCACGAACGCCCTCGATAGACTGCTGTAGGTTAGTCAAGTGCTCGCGGTAGTCCTTGCCCTCAACATCGCGCTGAATGGCGAGCACAATACGCTCAATGTTTTCAACACGACGACTCAAAGGAAGAAGGGCCTCGCCGGTAGTCTGTTGATGCGTCTTGTCGCTAGAATCACCAGCATTGGGACCGGTGACCTTGGCCATCAACTCAGCATGGCGTTCGTTCAATTGACGGGACAGACGCTCAAACTCGCCAAACAGGGTTGCAATCTGGTGATTCATTGCTTGCATGCGGTTGTGAAGATCGGCAAACTGATGTACCTGGTCCAGGATAGTGCTGGCGTCGGCATCGGGAAGAGCTTCAGGAGCACCAGGGAACTTGTCTAGTTTTTCAAGATGCTGGCGCTTGGCCTCGACGTTGGGTTCCTCACGGGTGATGGAATTTGTGGTGGATGCGGCAAACTTGTAGAGCTCGAACGAATCGGGGTTCTCAGAAGCAGCGGCGGAGACACCGAAGAAGTAGCCAGGAGGGAGGTTGACCTTCTCGCTGTGGAAGCAGGGTGTACCGTCGATATCGACACGGAGACCATGAGCACCGTTCTCGATGCGCAGCTTGCTGGGACGACCCAAGTTGCGGTAGGCATAGTCACAGTGACCAAAGGCCAGACTGTCAACATTGTGGTGGTCCTTGAAGTTGGCCGTGCCGTCGTTGAGGAAACCGCGGATAGATCCTCCACGCGGACCGTATTGATCAACGACCAGGGCAAGACCGTCGAACTTGCCAACGGTGTATATACTGCTTTGGCCGACAGCAGAACGGCCAGTGTCGACGAACCAGAAGTTCAGGTTACCACTGCCACGCTCTTGGCCCGAGGCACGGAACTCGGTCTCGACAATCCATTCAGGTTGGGTGATGGGGTTATCGGCGAAGATGGCGCCCCTTGTGCCGCCGGGAGCGGGAGGAGTGAGGATGATGCGGTCGGATAGTAGTTGGGGAGTGTGGTTCTCGCCAGAAAGGTGCCAGCCGGGGACGGCGCGTCCATTCGGTGAGATGGCGCCCTTGTGGCCGAAGGAGAGACCTTCGATAACATAAGACGCTTGTGCTGAGGCAGTGAAAAGCAGCCATGCCAGCGAAGCATGTGATAGACGAGCCATGATCTACTCGGCACGCGAGGCTGAGGGACGGAAGGTGCGGAGCAGCGAGACAGAGACCAGGCCAACGGTGACGACAAGAACCAGCTTGTTGACCTCCTTGAAGATGGTGACGACGTTGGGCGAGCAGTCGAGGTAGTGGGAGATGGTCAGGCCGCCTTTGTGAGTTGCGTCGAGGGCGAAGTTTTCCATGGTTGCAACTTGGTCGCGCTGGCCAGTTGGCGCGAACAAGGAAGCTTCCTTCCCATCTACCCCAGACTGATCGTCATTGCCCGTTTCAAAACTTCCAGAGACGATTCCGCGCCAAGGCCAACCCGCAGACGAAAAGTTCGGCTTCAGCAAACACGCAGACGACCCATTCGCATCGCCCATCTTGCCACTCGTACTTTCTTTCTCTGATATAATCTCATCATGGCCGACGATCTAGAGGTGCACAAGTCCGCCCCCTGTTTTCTCCCGCCTCAATACTCATCTCCCGCAGGCACGTCTTGAAAGTCACGCTCAGGCGTTTGAGGGTCTTCTTTCTCTCATCCCCGCCAACGAATACTATTCAAAGGACAATAGCGTATGTCCGCCATCACACTTCTGTCTCTAGCACACCCTGCTCACACTGCTCTCTGCAGGACCAATGGCAGCGCAAGAAGCAGACCAAAGAGCAGAAGCGCCAAGCAAAGCGCGCAAAACTCGACCCTGCAAACCAAAAATCTGCAAAGGACGTCATGGACGAGAATGAGCGCAAGAGAAAGCGAGAGCTGGGAATCCAAGACGACATCGACGATTCATCTGCACAAATCGATTTGCCCGTCGAGAAGAAGCAACCCGCTAAGAAGCAAAAGGTCGACGAAGAGGACGATGACGACGACAGCGACGACGATGCCGACGCTACCACAAGCAGCAAGAAGTCACAAGCAGAGAAGAGAAAGGAGAAGCGCCGCCTGAAGAAGGAAAAGGCCGACAAGCAAAAAGCAAAGCTGGACGCTAAGAAGGCCGCTCGCAAGCAGGAACCCCAGTCTGCCGCTGGCGCCGAAGAGTCTGCCGATGAGGACATGCAAGACGCCGAGGACGTATCTGCCGATGAGGCTGCTGACGACGCCATGGACTTCTCCGGTCTGGTTGACAACGACGAAACCTCAACACCAGCAAGCCCCGACCAACCCGAGATCTTCGACAACTCTACGAACCAGTCTGCCACATCTTCCTCATCATCAATAGTCCCTGCCTCAAATCCTACAGAGGGAGACGCTCCCGCCACTACAAAACCCAAGAAAGCACTTGCTCTCAAGCTGCCAGAAGTCAACGCTGAAGAATTGCAAGCCCGTTTGAAGGCCCGTATCGAGGCGTTACGTGCTCAGCGTAAGGCTGATGGCCCAACTGGTGGCCCTCGCAACAGACAGGAACTTCTTGAATCGCGTCGCAAGAAAGAGGAGGCTCGTAAGCAGCACAAGAAGGAGTTGCGCCTGAAGGCAAAGGAAGAGGAGGAGCGTCTTAACAACGAGCGTCTGCGTGGCAGTGGTAGCCCTCTGGCTACTCCCGACATCTTCTCACCGCGTCCGGTAGACGAGAACAACTTCTCCTTCGGCCGTGTCGCATTCGACGATGAGGAGGCCGATCCCACACTCGGCTCCATTGCCGGACACAAGAAGAAGAAGGGTCCTTCAGACATCAAGACCGCTCTGGCCGCTGCCGAAAGGAAAGCCCAACGACTCGCAGGCATGGACGAGGACAAGCGCAAGGAGATCGAAGAGAAGGACATGTGGCTCAACGCAAAGAAGCGCGCACACGGCGAGCGCGTCAAGGATGACCAATCTCTACTCAAGAAGACCCTGAAGCGCAAGACAGACCAAAAGACAAAGAGCGCAACGCAATGGAACGAGCGCCTCGACAACGTCAAGAAGGGCAAGGAGATGAAAGACAAGAAGAGAACCGAGAACCTGGCCAAGCGCGCCGCTGAGAAGGGTGGTAAGAAGGGCAAGAAGGGTGCCAGCGGCGGCGCCAAAAAGAAGGCAAGACCTGGCTTCGAAGGCAAAGGATTCAAGGCTTGATCCTATTGTAATGTCCCGTCTCGTTTTTCTTCTACTAACATTAGCGGAATCATGGTTTTTGTTTCTTTTTTTGCGAAAAAGGGGGGCTTTTTTTTCTTGGTTTGGTTTTGGGGGATCTATCATGGCAGAAAGGGTTCTGTCTTACAAAAATTGCTTGATACCTTCTTTAGTTTTGGTATTGTTAACAACCACTTTTTCCACCATGTCACGTATAGCAATCTCCTCACGTACTGATGACTGTCTTATGTACAGAGGGAATGGGAATTCGTACAGACGAAAAGTAACTCATACCACCGCCCAAAGTCATAGACCTCTGGAGAGCACGAATACCTACCAGTCACCAGTACAGTCATGCTGAGCCTTTTGACGCCTCATCTGTTCACCTTCTACACCATCTCATCTCCATTGTAACATCAACTCTGATTAACGACAAGGCTCTCGCAACATCACCCCTCGACGCTATCAAGTATTCGCATCGACTCGAGGTCAAAGCATGCACCTCTTCAAGAAGAACCCAGGTGCATCTTGACCAAGATGGACACCTCAAGCTCCAGCACCAGTGCAGGTTCTCGAGTACCCAAAAACTTCTTCACCACCCACCGTTCCAAAGCCTTTCTTGAGACCCCACGGGCACCAACTATTGCAAGACCTTCTTTGATACCACCAAGAACATCAAAAATAACTCTGCATCACAAACCTCTTCCGTGCCAGAAGGATCTCGCCAACAAAGACCCACCACACATCGATATCTACTTCCCAACTCCGGACCAAAATATCCAAACAACACCAGAGTGGTATGGCACGCAGCTCGCAAAACAACAAGCATACCAAGAACAGAGGGTTTTTGCCAAACGTCAGTGTGTGAGATTTGGTGGTTGTGGTGGTTGTTCTGGTGCTGGTGCATCTGATGATTACGGGGATGGTGACTGTGACGAGGCAGACACAAAACAAGCATGGCAATTCTCACAGCTTGCAAAAGACTTTGCGGCCAAAGAGCAAAAGTTTTTCAAGACTATGGCGGGAAGATGTAAAAGGATAGATGAAGAGGTAGAGGAAGAGGAGTTTCCATGGCGAAGTTCAGATAGGAGAAGTGGTATTACCAGACATTCGGGATCAAAATGGTGTTTTTTTTTTTTGACAAATCATTCCTGTCAATTGAGGTTTAGATGTATATATTGTGTATAATCTTCAAGAGTAGAAGGAACACCATGTGTGGACTCTTGATATGAAAGTGTTATTTTCTTCAGTCCTGTACACCCGAGCTTACAAACAAGCCTCAGTATTCTCATGAGTACTTGCTTCCTCATCCGCACTCGCTCTAGTCATCAGCTGCACCTCTTTCCCAAACCACTGCTGTTCCTCTTGCTCCTGTTTCTTTCTCAAAGCCAAGAATTCCGCACTCTTAATACTCTGCTCAGCTGCAGCGGCCAACATGCGGGATTTTAGTTGAGCTTTGGTAACAGCTTTTCCTTGGTAGGTTGTCCGTCTTTCGCCTCTTACTTTGCTCTCTGGACTTGAAGGCTTGGGATGGTGTTGCTCTTTGTGGATGTCGGTATCGCGAGTGGTGGTGGTGGTTAGAAAAGACCAGACCCAGGTTATTATTGAGAGGATCAGTGTCGGGAGTGCTGAGTCGTTTGCTGGGTTGTTTGCTGTGTCGTTTGAAGCGGACGATTTGGGGGTACACTGAATAGGTTGTTCTGCGGCTACACTTGGAATGTCATGCGGGGGTGGAGTCGCTTGAGATGAGTGTGCTGAAGGTTCCTCGTAATCGTTTGGATGCTGAGAAGGCCCTTCTCCTACACAATTGTCTTGGCTTTGGGATAGAGCTTCGAATCTTGCGTCACGCATGCTAGACGTAATCTCGTGTAGGATAGCTCTGGCATTGCGCATCTGTTCCTTGAGTTTCTGGATGATGACTGTCTTGCTGTCAAGCTCCTCTGTCTTCCTGTGAAGCTCCTCTGTGAGTGCGGCCGTAGACTGCTCAGCCTCTGTCATCTGGTCGCGCAGAGACAGTTTCGCCTCATGTTCTCTGAACAAACAACGAGACAGGTAGATCGAATGAGCACGCTGTTACTCATATCTCGCATATATATCTCTTGTTTGACGCTCCGACTGTGACAGTTGGTGGTCCAGATGTTGTGCAAAAGATCGTAGAGTCTCGATGACTTCATTTTTCTCAACCATGACTCCTTCGTATCTCTCGAGCAGTGCGGTCTTGCGCAACAACTCGCACTCGAGAGTTCCGCAGAGATTGTGGGGACGATCACAGTAGAAGCATCGTGTAGTATCAGCCTCGATGACGGAGTCTCTTGCCAGTCCATTCTCGGATATGGTATCTGCCTGATTTGATGCTTCGACAGCAGGATTCTGCATTTCAGCAGGTGTCTGGATGGGATTAGTTATGTCGGCCATTGTAAGATCGTATTCGGTACTAGATCTTTTCTCTGATGTTCAAGTTATGTTTTCGGGGAGAGGGAAAGTTGTACTTTTCATCCTTCTTACGCAGCAGTCATCTGTTCTCATATATCATCGCTCGTCAGAGATGACTCGAAAAAAAGAACTACTGCGTTAGTATGCGTGCATATTGATATTGCACATTCGCGTGGCTCAGGAGTCATCTTGAACATTGGCGATGATGGCAGTGATGGTACGGTACAGGCAAATGTTAGGCAGTCACCACAAATGATCCAAGACTTACGGATATCTAGTCGTACAATGACCATACAGTAGTCAGTGAATGGCTCCTTGTTCTGCGATAACAGTTCATCACCAATCTACAGGATGTGAAGTGTTCGCTAAAGAGCAAGTTATTCGCATCGACACGTGTCGAATATTGAGTCATGGTAGACGTCTCTCGATTGTCAGAGAAGATGGAACCAATATCGAAGATGAGATGACGTTCCTTCTAGTGTATGTGATGGGTCAGAAGTCTCCAGATCACAAAGCAAGGAACTGACGTTGTCGCTCGAATATTTCTTTTCCCTCCCTTGCACAAAAAGAGCCCACACGGCTCCTCGCAGATTCAAGCCCCACATCCGTGTCACGCACAGTCCACCATCGAGTCCAGCATCAGGAAAAATTCTGCCAACTTTTCCAAATCCACACAAGAATGATTCCGGTCTGTTGACACAGCAAAAGAAGAGCAAAAAGAACGATCCTGGCAATGGGCGGAATCGAACCGCCGTCGGGTCGGCGTTGCTGGACTTTAACCTCCACAACGACACATGCTACCACTACACCACATCACCTTAGCTTGTAAGGGTTGAATCCGGTTGGCCAGATTCAGGATCTTGGAAGTTGTGCTTGTAGAGCTAGTACATATTGTTCAGACAACCAACTCTCACTACTCATGCCGATAGCATAGGCCGGGAGACGACGAACGCATTGCACGATTGTCACAATCTTCACAAAGTGATATAGGGAAGAAGTGAAGTTGTTGCAAAACACAATTATAGTATCTGAACTCCACCGACAGTATTACGACGCTACCACTACAGCGAATCATCAATTCGCATCTGCGTCCTCTAAAGGGTATCTCTGCTCTCCAAAAATTCATAAACAACATACATCCAACTCTTGCGTCTCTCTCCAGTCGTATCATCGAGCTGCCGACAAGCCATTCAAGCGGTCACAGGCTCGACTTTGTCGGCCCAGGAAGACTTCTCGATGATTGGTGGGGGCTTGGGGGTGTTCTTCTTGAAGAGAACGTGGCGCTTGAAGAAGTAAGGCAGCCAGGTACCGGTCTCGTAGGCGAGGAACTCTCTCGTGGGCACCGAGAAGACCTGGTCGATTTCCTCCAGAGTGAGCTGCTTGGTCTCGCGGACAAAACAGAAGATCATGCCCCAGGCGATCAAGTTGAGTGCAGCGTAGAAGCCGAAAGCACCGGTTGCTGTCATGACGTGTTGCATACGAGGGAAAGTCAGACCAAGGATACCAGCTGGTCAAATGTTAGTAAAGATGATTGCTCATCAGCAGACTATCATCATGACTTACCGAAAGTGTTGTTGATGCAGACTGCCCAGGCCATTCCTTGCTCACGCTGGATGGTGGGGAAAACCTCGGCCGAATACTGGAATGCAACAGGGCCCTCACCCAGCGAGTACATGATGGTGAAAAGGTACACGAATAGGACAACGGGTCCAACTTTGGCAGCTGAACTGGCGGAATCGGGTTGCAACAGCGACAGACCTGCAGCTAGCAGGAAGATACACATAAGAGGGAACGTCTTTGTAAAGTCAGTGGGTTGCTCTGATTGCAAGATGACGAAAAACTTACAATCAGACACAAAGTTCTGCGACCCTTGGTATCGATCAAGAACAACGTGGGGATTGTGAAAACGACTTGAACCGCACCGTAGCCGAGAGATGCGTACAGAGCCTGATCGGAGTTGTAGCCAGCGTTGGTGAAGATGGTGGAACTGTAGAAAGAGATAACTGCAAAGAGTCAGATTGGCTTATAACAGACGAGAAAAGAGAATTGGCTTACTGTTGATACCACACATCTGCTGGGCAAGCATGACAGTTGAAGCACCGTAGTTGGCTCTGCGAATACGAGGTACGGTGAAACAATCTCTCAGACGAGTGAAGTATGTCGAACCACTGGCGACCTTGAGCTCCTCCTGATAGATGACGTAGGAGTAGTAGTAGTCTCTCGCACCAATGATGGGGTGTGCGCGCAATTTGGCCATGGACTGGTAGCCTTTGGCAATTTTGCCGTGCTTCATCAACCAACGAGGTGACTCGGGACAGAAGTAGATACCGAGCATAAGGATAAGAGACGGGATGAAGGCTGATCCGAGCTGAAGACGCCATGCGATACGGGGGACATCTTTGACAATAACGTTTGCGCAGAATCCGAGGAAAATGCCTGTAGCAGTTAGTTGGCAGACTTTCAAGACATTACGCGCATTGCCGAGTCTTACCAATGACGACCCAAAGCTGCCAGAACATGACAAGAGCACCACGAACGCGAGCAGGTGCCATCTCAGCCGAGTAGATGGGGACCGTGGCGTTTTTTGCACCGATACCAATGCCCATGATGAAACGGGCAGCGAAGAGACCTTGCCATGATTGTGCGAAACCGGAACCGATAGGGGTGGCAGTAAGACAGGCGGCAGTGAGGAAGATCTCACCTCTACGACCGAGGTACTTGTTGAGAGGATCGACGATAAAGGCACCACTGCGACTTGTCAGTAATGCTATAGAAAGCTGGGTAGGTGGTGCACTTACATGAGACCAGCAGTCAGGAAGATGATGGAGTTGATGAGACCAACGATCCACTGGTTGTATGAGCAAGTACCAGCAGCTTCGCAGATGGGACCGCTCTCGTAGAGACCGAAATCTTGAGGGAAAGACAAGTTGGCTCCGTTGGAACCAGTCTGATCCCAACCCTGTGTGGCGGCACCAATGGCACAAAGACCGATCGAGAACCAAAGCATCTTGGGTCCATGCCATTTGTGGTCTCTCTCGTAGATGAGTGCTGCACGTTCCTCCTCTGTAAGGTCAGGGATCGACTCGAATCGCTCGGGGTCACGCGCAACCAGAGCTGCTCTACCGAAGAGAGCTGCGTCGTCGGCCATGCCGTTCGATTCGGCAAAGGTCATAGCATCGTGGACGGTGGTTTCTTTGTTGGTACGCTTTGGGTGTTGTCAGCTTTTTGCGAAGAAAATATTGAGGAATGCATCAACTCCGTACTCTCAGAGGGTTGTCAACAACGTTGAGGGCGACGGAAGCCTGGCGAGCAGGAGCTTCATCGTGGATCGTCTGTTCCTTATGGGAAGCAAAGTCGTCCTTGTGCCCAGCGTAGTCGACCTCGCTGAATGTGGTCTTCTCAGGCATCTTGACTGGTTATCCTACGAGTAGGGTAAAGATCTGACAGGCCTGGGGAGCGGTATCTGGGGATTGGGGAAGCGTCTGGAGAAAGAGTGGAGAGGTTGGGGAGAGGAGGGACCTGCACCAATAAATACTCGTAGCACCACAAAAAAACTCACAGGCGTTGGAAGGATTCCGATTATCCCACACGGGTTGGCGATGATCTTTTTACCGCTTTTAGGGGTTACTAACCTACTAGCAAGGGTATCCGCCCAATCTCACAAGTCGAAGAGTCACGCGGTCTGTTACAATGTGGATCTGGGCCGCCTACCATTCTGTGGTTGCATTCTGCAGTCGATGTGGATTCTGCCTTGGCGACCAGGGGCCAAGGGTGGCTGTCAACAGGACTCAAGACTCAAGCACACGCAAGAACCATCGCCCAGAGTTGCTTTGAGGGAATAAGCTGCTCAGAGTGGAGTTCACTAAGAGCATGGCATCTTGCTTGAACAACACCTGCGGCCATTGAAGACCACCTCATGCGCCTGGAGGACCTGCGTGTTTGCGAAGATATTGACAACCAGAAGATACAGACAGCGCATCCTAAGCTAGCATTCCAAGCGGCGCCCGCGGGTGCGGAGATATGTGTGGATGATGCCGTGGCGCTATATTCGGGAGAGAAAGTGGATGCAGGTAAAACGCCAGGCTCACGCCTCCCTTGTTTAGGTTGTTCCGAACCGCGCTTGCGGCAACATTGGCCGGTATGTCTCGATGATTGTTCAGCGGCTCGGACACATTCGTATACACCGACGCGTTCGTCTCCTCGGACGTTTGGCCCACGGATTGATAAAGCTGTTTTCCGGCTCGCATTTCCCCTGAGTCGGGCCGTCTGTGAACCTTTTCGGACTCGGGACAGAGCAAAAGGTGTCGTGGTCGTTGCCTTCGTTCGGCGTCTCCGCAAGCTTTTGTGGCGATCACTGAAACGCCTTGGACGCCCCATGGGCGTCTCCGGCGCGGGGCACTTGACATTTTGCATGTGAATAAGCAACGACCACGACTCGACATGCTACTCGACAGGCCGGTCTCACTCTAGATTGTTGAAGGATTTGGATACTGGGTGACTTACTGCAGGTCTTGGTTGGCATATCATTTGCGGTATTCGGAAGAGTTGAATCATCCTTCGAGTACCAAGTGTCTTGGGATTGCTGTTCACTTGGTATTCGTGGTCGCGTGTCTGACGATTCATGCGATGATCTCTCATATTTCACCACTGCCCTCATCCATATGGGATTGCTCATACCAACCATTGGTACTTCACCTGAAACGTTCATTCGATCGACAGAATGAGTCTCATAAGGGTTCAGTGAGAGTGTCGTGCATGGGTCGTCGTTGTCGATCGAGGCAGGGTCTTACATACAACGACCAAATACGAGGAATACGAGTCTATTCTTACCAGATGACCTTTACGATCTTCCATGTCTCAGCACTCTCGCACTGACCATGGTTCTCAAGCCAGACTGAGCCTCGACTGGATCGACAAGAACATAGGCCATGTGTGAGAAAGCCTTGGCAAGGGTTTACTGCCTGCTCCAGACTATCACAGTCCTCAACATCAGCATTCATGCCCTGATTCCTATAGAATGAGATTACAAGACGTGCAAGTTCATTATGACAGTCTTTGGGACGTAGAAAGGAGGCACATGAGTGAGTCACAACATAACAAAACAGCTCTGTGCCTGTAAGCCGAACTGAGCTGACGATGACATACGATAACTGTGCCAGTCAGAGCTCACTCCTTGCACAAGTGCTGGTCATGCTGCACTCAATTTATGAATATCAATGATGGAGAAGTTTGAACATGCTTGTTTCATTACTGTATGGTCATGCTATTATATCGTAGCTGAATTTGGCTCTTTCTGGCCTTTCCTCAGGCTTATTGTACACAAGTTGCTAGCTTATTGGCTGCTTGAGCGCCCTGCAAAGTCGTCAGTATGGTTGTACGTTTGTGAGATGCACGAGGTTGACTTACACTGCTGGAGCTCTGACTCGTCCAAGTATCTGAGCTTGTTGACCTGAGCAGTCTCGCCAGTAACAACACCCTTGGCGAACTCAATCGCGTTGCCGAGAGCACCAGTGGCCGATCTGGTGATGGCGTACTGAGCAGTCTTGGCCTTGACCTTGATGAGGATGATTCTGGGGTCCTCGGGACCACCATCGTGCTTGCCGTCACCGAGGTCACCCAACCAGGCCTTGAGGCCGGGAGAGTAGTACTTGCGGACCTTCTCGCGATCGGTCTCGAGGGAGGCGATGCCAGAGATGGAAGCCCACTCGCCAGAGGGCTGGAGGAAGGCCAGGTTGATGTCGTTGTCTGACTCGAGGTCGTCGGTCTTGCCGGACTCGCTGTTGGCGTGGAAGATGAGGTCGACACCGTTACCCTCCTTGGCGGCGAGGGCCATGCAGCGCGAGACAAGAAGTCCACTGCTGGCAATGCGAGTGGTCATCATGCAGTACTTGGACTTGTCGACGAAGTTGATGAGGTCGTTGACCTTCTCGCTGAGCTCAGGCTGCTCCTTGTTCTTGGCGACATAGGGGTCGGCGGTCTTGCTGCCGGTGTCTGCGTTGCTGAAAGACATGTTTGTGGTGGTGGTTGAGAAGGGTTGGTAGTGAGATTGGAGTGTTCTGCTAGAACGGACAGAGGTGAGCAAAGGTGCTCTTCGGACGAGGCGGGGTAGCTGGCGGCGGAGAGGGGCGATCAAGGACATGGTTTAGGAGGTGTTGTCGAGGAACAAGGTGTGACAGGAGTGAATCGAGAGAGTGACTTACCAAAAGTATCAACAGATGAAGGATGGAAAAGAAGAAAGAGAAAGAGACACCTATTAAGGTCGAAAACAATGATGCGCCAGTGTCCATCATGACATCACATTCCCCACATGTCGTGCATCGGCATGGCGAGCTCAGCTTTCGGCTGCGATCGATCTCCAGGGGTTCACCAAACAGTTGTCTTGCTGCGCTTGTCGTCGGCTTTCTTAAAGCCTTGCTTTGTTCATTATTATATTCGTGATCCCGACCTACTTGCGTGGTGTTTGAACAGACTTGAAGCACTGTCTCTAGTCTAACCTGGTCGCAACGAGCTTGAGAATCTCCTCGATGCCCAACTTGGCATTCTCTGGAGCCTTTGCTATGCTTTGCCAAACTTCTCCATGCTTGGGCTCGCTGAGCACGCACTTATTGATAATTTCCTCCTGCTTGTCCTCTGTACCGTGCTGTCTCAGGAACTTCAGGTACCATGCCCACGAGTCACCGATGTCTGGGTCCAGGACGATGGCTTTCTCGAACCACGTCACCGCCTTGTCTAGTCTGCGCTCACCCCAGAAGACACGTGCTGCCGTGACATACAAGATGGGATCGCTATCGTTCTTCTTGATGGCCTCCAGTGTTCGAGGCTTGCGCTGAGTACGGGCCTCGAGATGCCAGATTCTCTCACTCCACAGCAATCCACTCGTGGGACACTCTTGCAAAGCTTGCGCCATCTTCTGATTAGCTGCGGCATTGTTTCCTGCACGTCTCTCAAGTCGCACTGACTCGGCCCAAAGTTCAGGGCTCTTCGGTACTGCAAGACGTGCTCGGTCAAGAATACTACGTGCTTTGACAATGATACCTGCCTTTTCGTCCGTACGAGCTGCAAGTAGCCACAACGGTACGATTTGTGGACACGATCGAGTTCCTGTGTTGAAAGCCTCGCGTGCTTGCGGGAGCATACCTTTACTGTCATAGATCTGACCCTTTTGCATCCAGAGCTTGGCAGCTTTGGGGTAGAGCTGCAGACCTTGGTTGACGAGGTCGAGAGCTGCCTCTCTATCGCCTTGCTGCCTCTCGAAAGCCACACTCTTGATCCAGACTCTGTCAGTACCTGCCTCTTGACGTGCTGTCCTGAGGAGTTCGCGCGCCTGATCGACTTGTCCGTTGTCGGCTTCGAGCTTGACGGCTGCCAGCCAAATATCCTCGTTTCCGGGTTGTTGTTGGAAGGCTTTGCCCAGGACTCTACGAGCCTCATCAATATCTCCGGCGTTCCATCTTTCTCTGGCGAGCTGCATCCATAGCACTTCATTGGTAGGTACAGCTTCTACAGCTTTCTCCAACAATGAAACAAGTGAATCTCTTGAGCCGTGGTTACGTTCCATGTCTCCCGCAGCCAGCCATATGATGCTGCTGTTGGGGAAGACACGGATTGCATAGGCGTAGATAGAGCGGGCTGTTTGGTAGCGGCCCCTGGCCATAGATGATTTTGCGTCGTCCATCCAGATCTTTCTGCGGTCATCGTCCTCATCCAGGCCCCATCCAAGAGTATGTTCAACGATAGCTTTGCAAGTAAGGTTCGCGCCTTCTTCTTCACAGTTCTCGGCCACTTCAATCCATCGCTCACGCTCCAGCATGGCTGACTCACGTGCCAAAGACTTGACAGCACGATCCATGATCTTCCCGACCATCTGCTCGGCGCCAATCTGTTCTTGTAGTCGAGCGGCAGCTACCCAAATCTCCCAGGAGGTCGGAATGGCTTTTCTTGCTTTGTTCAAAACGAGCTGTGCGTTCTCGGGAGTCTCCAACCGAGCAAGAGCCAACCACAAGTCTACAGACAATGGAATCAGTTCGGTCGCTTTCGCGAGGAGAAGTCGGGCATCCGCTGGATCCTCCTCGAGGTTGACGGCCTCTTTCCAAATTGCGACAGATTGTGGGACGTGATCCAGAGCTTGCCTCAGAACTCGCTTTTTGTTCTGCATCATAGCCTCCAGCTTCATTGCTTCTACCCAGAGACGCACTGAACGGTCATTGTACTTGAGAGCTTCCTTGGCGATAATTTTGGCGTTGTGATTTTCGTTCAGGCGCATAGATTCGAGCCACACATCTTCGGACTTTGGACAGAACTCTACTGCCTGGGCTAGCAGGTTTCGTGCCGCAACAATCTTTCCAGCAAATTCTTCCAGACGCGCTGCAGCGATCCATCCCGGTCCATGTTTCTTGTTGGTATTGATGACGGACCTGAGTAGCTCACGCGCTCTTGCGACATCCGCGACGGGGATCTCGCTGGCCTTCTTTTCGGACGTGTTCAAGGAGGTCAGGTAACCTTTGGGATCGATACTTGTGGCAGTTCCAGCAGCGACATCACCCTGAGCGGCTTGATCCAGACGGACCTGCAATACCTTGTCTCTTGCAGCTCCGATATGGGCGAAGTTGGTCATGGCGCCCTCCAGATTATCGGCAGCAGCACTTGGTTGAGCGACATCGTCGTTGACAGTAGTATCGAATTGTGTCGAATCCCTTGCGCCAGCCAAGACACTGTCTGGGACAGCGTAGAATCGCTCGCGCAAGTTCGCCTTTGCTCTGCGGTTCTTTCCTGTCAAGTCGCCAACCTCGGGGATGTTCTGCCAGTCTTCGTCGGTGAGGCCTCCGAGCTCTCTCTTCAGATCTGCAAACTGCTGTTGAATCTTGGGGTTGTTGCGCTCGTATTCTTCTCTTTCTTTTCGTTCGCGTTCTTCGCGTCTGGCTCTCCGTCTCTTGTCCATCTTTGCATCGACCTCGGCGTAGATCTTGTCGGCCTCGTCATCTTCGCGATCATAGTTTCCGCTGGCGAATAGGCCAGTCTCGTTGTCGGGATCCTGGAAGCGTTCGTCGTCATCATCGTCGTCGTCTTTCTTTCCAGGAACTCCGTAAGCAGTCGGCGGGGCGTTGCCGAGCTGTGCGGCACGTTTGGCAAGAGCTTCCTTGATTTGCTCCTCACTTGGACCTTCGCGCGCAGGACCTTTGGAGTACGTTAGGGAGGTCGATAGATGGTGTCTAGATGGTGAGTACATACCAAGATCTGAGCGGGTTGTGAATCCTGTCGCACCTCTACCCAAGCCGGCCACATAGTTCTCGGGCGCCGGTTGGCTCAGAAAGTCCTTGCGACCGGACATGTCTGGACAGTTGTTGGTGAATGGTCTGGGTCGCGCGGGAGAGAAAGTTGATGGCAAGCCATGATCGTAACGGACTTTATAGACGCTCGGACCACCTGGGCCAGGCGCCGAGGACCATTCATGCCAGTCACATCACTCTTCATCTTCTATTCTGTGAATTATATCAGACTGCTCCGAGACAAAGCTGACACATTTGCTACAAGAGCGTATACACGATGCAATAACCGCGATCGTCGTGTGAAATCAGACAAAGGCATATGTATTACCTACTTGATACACCTCGGACCGACTCGAAGTATGGATGAAGCTCCGTCAGAGGGCTGATGGCATGGAGGCATCTTGCACGAATGAATAATTACGTTTGTCCATGCCAGATCGTGGAGTCAGACCTTGATATATGCAGTAAAAAGGAGCCCGCCAGCTAAGGGCTCTTCTAATGGCTAGTCTAAAGCCCGTATATGCTAAAGATGACCAATGAAAGCGGCCGCCCAGTTCTCAACGGTGACCAGCTCTTAGGGTTCCAGGTACGTGGGCCTAAAGTCGCGTTCCATTCTACATCTTCGACCCTGTCGAACTCATCATTGTTGCTGACGTCGGATCCAAACCTGAACCGCTGGAAATGTCGCGCTTTGTTCCTTCTCACATCATACCAGAATAATCTGATCGGTTCCCTGCTCGTCGCCTCTGTTCACCATGGCGGCGCATGAGCCGCGCGACTCGCGCGAGATCCCCGGACTGCCCTTCCAAGGCGATCAGGCATTTATGCTACCGCCCATTCGACGCGCTAGGATGCCAGAGCGGGACAAACGAACATATAGGGCCTGCCTGCACTGCCGACAACGAAAAAGTCGCTGCGACCTGTATGTGCCATCACTTCTCCTTCCTCCCAACCTCAGGCGTGTTGTCATGGGACTATCCGAAAGCGTATCAAGGTTCAAGCCACAAAGCTGCCTTGTCCACGGATATCATTGTCAAGAAGTCTGGTCAGAATTCGATCTTCTAACGTGAGTATAGTTATGGCAGTGGCGAACCAGGAAAACCACCTTGTGAGCGATGCATTCGAGAGAACCATGAATGTATTCTCGGACCATCTCATCGTGGTGGCAGAAGAATCAAACGCAATGCTACAGAATCGGAACAACCAGAGACTGATGTATCTCGTGTTGCTTCCTCGAGTGAAGACATCGGACAATCTTCCGTCCCACCTGTACAACAAGACAGTATTCATGAGCAAAGCAACGAAAACTACCATAGACGCTTACCATCTTGGCAACAATACACGCCGGGTCCGAGGAGTACACCGGCCTCAGCTCCAGAAGCGCCAACCTCTCACCCTAGCACCAAGATGAGTGTCGACGAAAGTATTGTTTCGACCAATCTTCAGAATCCCTCTGACGCCCTGGAATTCCTGGCCAATGTGGCTGGACGTAATGAAGGAGCAGCTCAAACTCCTTCTGTACACGGCTCCATGTACGCAGTCTCTCCGCATCAGAGCGGTGCAGACCAGCACATACAAGATCGGACACCCTCGTCCAATCATCCTTCACCTTCAGTCATGCAGATCCAATTTCCGCCATACCAAAAGGGTCTTGTATCGTTAGGCATGATGCACGCACTTATAGACAGGTACGGTTCCACCCACTAGACACCATCAAACTGAAGCTTACAGAACTTGTTAGATACAAAATGAAGTACCACCAATTCTACTCGGTTGTGCCGCCTTTCCTGTTGGAGGCCGATAACCTTGCCGCTAGTTCAGTACACGAACCCTATCTACTAGCTGCCGTATGCACCATTGCTTCCAAGGATGAGCGATCCTGGTGGGATACCCATGAAGCCTGCTCGACCCACATGCAACAGCTTATTGCTGAACTCATGTATGGTGGTATCGCCACCCTAGGAGCTGTAGAGGCACTCTTAGTGCTGGCAGAATGGGTCCCGCGGCCGCCACAATCAATGACAGCAGTTGGCCGAGGAGAAGAAGAGCAGACCGCATGGATGCTTTCAGGCATGGCCATTCGAATGGGCTATCTCCTGGGTATCGATCGCACAGGGTTTGCTAATGAATCTGATCTTGAAGCGCCGGACTACATTCGCAAACGTCTTGCTTGGGTCGGATGCTACATGAGCGATCGCCATATATCTGTCCGCGTCGGTAAAGCCTTCTGGAGCAGAGGTCCTGCTATGATCAAGTTTTCATCTCGAGATTTTCAGGACATCAAGTACCCGAGCAACCCTATGGACAACTTCGCAGCTCTCTGTGAAGCGCATCTGGAGCTCACACAACTCTTCAGCAACGCTCACGACGTGCTGTACTCCTCCAAAAACAGGAGTGCTCAATTGAACTTTGGTGGAGAATACGTCAAGTACATTGTGAGTATTTATTACACCTTCATCAAAGCATGCAAGACTAATCTTACTCCAGGATGACTTTCGAGAAGCCATGAGCGCTTGGTACGACCGATGGGGAAAGTTACAATGTAAGAAACCTCAGCAGTGAAGCAAGTAGATCATGACTAAACAATGAGTCAGGCACTTCGGTCATCAAAGCAGCGCTTATCATATCTTTCGAATACCTTCGACTCTACGTCAACGCCTTTGCCTACCAAGCAACTCTGACTCGTATGGCACAAGACTACAGCGACCAGCCATCATCACGGGGTCCTCAACGCTCGAACGGACGAGTAGCATTCACGGATTATATTGCTGCAACGCCAGACGCACGATTCATCTACGATTCGATTGATTCTGCTAAGAAGCTACTCACCATCTCCAACACTCTGCTTGATCCTACGACAGAGTTCAGATACATGCCCTTGAGGTACTATCTCTATGTCATTTACTCCGCTGTATTTTTGTACAAGGCAAGATCAACCGGAGTTCTTGGTGCGGATGGTGGAGACGTGAAGAGAACTGTAGGAGAAGCTGTCGAACGATTACAGAAGGCGAGCTCTTGCCAGAACGATGTCGGAGATCGATACAGCAGGATGTTGCGACTGCTATGGCGAAAACCTCCTCCACAGCAGGGGCCGCAGCCAGGAACTTCACATCCGAACGGTCACGAGCCGACGTACCAACCGACATCACAGAATGCCCATGTCACTGCTCAGACCGAGCAGCAAAATCACATGAACATCGATCAGCCACCGCAAGGAGCCTACACCAATGCTTTCACCTTCTCCTGGTTAGACTTGCATGCAGTTGGCGACTTTGCGACAAACAACAATGGCAATATGATGGATAGCTACGAGAGCTTAGACGAAGTCTCTGGAGAGCCGGCATATGGACACTTTGATCCAAACTTTGTTCAGGGGCAGCAGCAGCAGATGGGCTGGAACGGATTCTCGGCTCCTGGAATCATTTTCTAGTCCAGTACACCGACAAAGGATGGATCTTCACGACTTGCCGATGACCGCAACACTTTGTAATTTTGTATCTTAATTCACCTGCCGATTATTCTGAGTCAATTTGGCCCTTTCTTCTCGAATCAGCATTCGCGCACAAGTCTGTTACTTCTGCAGTTTAGACAACGTGAGGTACGTTTTTCAAATTTCGCAGCAATGTCGTTTGAGTACAATTTGAATGATTGTTCTGTGGTGCCTTGGCAGACTCGATATTGAGGTTTCGTGACCATCAAGGTGGTATGACCGAATCACCTGAACCGCACTCTGAACTCCCACACTCTGGAGTCTGAGATCAATTTCGGAGACTATTTGTTACTGATCGAAATCTCAAGGGGTAGATAGACTATTGTTTGATTATTTATGGCACTGACGATGTCACCTCAGTCTTTCTCTGACTTGCTTGCTAAGACCGACGCCCTGAAAAGGCACGATGATTTCTAGATCAGCGATAGATCCGGAAAGAGCTGAGATTCGACTACCTCTCAATAGATCCTGTTTTGTTTCTCGAGAATAATGTGCCATCTCACAGGTATCTGCGTGGCTCGCTACTACACGGAGATGTTGTGTTACGATGCGATCAAGGCAAGAGCGTCCGTCAAAGACCAATCATCCAGATTGCACCATTGGCATGCCCATCAAGGTGATTCGATCGCACCATCATCATCATCATCATTATTCCATCAAGGTACCGTCAAAACTACTACTCATCGCTATCTCCTGAGGACTGCCGTGCTACTTATTGTTTATTTGAACGAACCGTCCACATAATCATTCAGTCAACCCGTCCATTCGTCTACCCCAGTCCGAATTCATTTTCTAGAATCATACCGTCTACCCTCTACAGTCTCATAGCTCTGACTGAGTCGCTTGAGACACCGGCGAGTACAATCACAATATGAACACACAACCAGAACGAAGTTCTTCCATGATATGTCATCTACCTCTGGAATTGATCCTCGACTCGCTCAGCCGCATCGATTACGCACCGGGATGTCTGCATGCTCTTCGCCCTGTGTGCCGCGATTTTGACAAACTGTTACGACAATTCGAACATAGTCTGGCAGTCCAGGTCATACGTCTGCAGTTTCCGCCTGGGATTCTAGCCAAACATCCCGGTTTATATGATTCAGACACCAGAATCGGGTTCAAGACGTTGGATGAGCTGTACATACGGTTGCATACATTGTTCCGGATAGAACGAAACTGCCACAGCATCCGAAGAAGGGAAGGTAAAGAGGCAGCATGGATGAGGCCTGAGTGGATAGACCTGCAGCAAATAGGGATGCATCTAATTTACCGTCTTTACGATGCCGGTAAGTCATCTGCAGACCACATCAGTCAGAATATCAACTCACGCTTTGACAGGCGACCGCGAAGACAAGGCCCTCATTATTCGATCATTACCTCCCACCTCGCTCGCTATCCTCTTACTCACCCTTCACCTCTGCATCCACCAACTCCGTGCCGACGGCCCCAATCTTCTCGTCCCAACATCACCACTTCTGCACGGAATGCTACGCTTCGAAGTCGAGCTCTGCTGTCAGGAACTTATACTCCAACATGGGCCAAGCTTTCTGGATGCTTTGCTATGCCACTGCCCTCACGCCATCAAGCTTCTAGAGACCGAAGTCAGGAACATTGAAGCTAGACAACTGCCTTCAGATGGAAAGCCGAGCCAAAAGACACTGATAGCAGAGTGCAGGTGTGCGTTAGCGAGTACACTGGGCACTGATACTGAGGACAACAGAACAGACATGTGGATAGTCTTGGAAAGAATCGGTACTTTAGACGAAGTAGATGTTGTGAGGGTTATCAAAGGAGAAGAACTTGTGACGAGGAAACGACAAGACTCTGGTGTCGGGTTGTAGATACCAATAAGACAAACTCGCTACTCGCAGGCATTTTATACATACGACTATAGAAACGGCTGATTCCATTAGTAGTCATGGAATGGCCAGAGAAACCCCTGACTCTGGTGCCTCTCTATGGTTGCTTCCTATTTATACATTTCAATGGCTAAGAGCTCAGCCTGTGATAGGTCGTGAGAACGATCCCGTACATGAAAAATGTCATGAAATTAGCTGGATGAACATTCACCAAGAAAGCCTCCACTGAGGGTCAATGATATCAGTCGTTCTCTCTGGGATTCGAACTTCGTGACATACCACCGGCTACAGTAAACGGCATAACCTCTACAGTAAACAGTTAGCTCTTGCCAAGAGTCTCCAGAGCAGGTCTCTCTCCCCACGCACTCAAGCTGCCATCTAGGGAACAATTGGTACATTTCGATGCGCTTCAATTCCACCGGGTGGTTTGATCGTCAGAGTAGACTGAAAAAGTGATATCACAGATCTGAGCACGACGCTTTTTGAGAAAAGTCCGAATCAATTCTTTTTTCCCATCATCGAATGCAAAGGTTTACAATCATCCCAAGTTTTGCACTCCTTTGAATCAAAGATATCACCGCCATAGTTTTTTTTTCCTGCCCAGTTCCTTATCAATCTTATCTATCTTTCTTTGCTGAACACTAGCAACTTTGATCGTCGCCTCGGACCGAAGAGTACTCTGCAAACAGTAATTGCTACCGTACATTGCTACCATAGCCTACGACCCCCCCGGTTGACGTACATAGGTTTGTCTCTCGAGTCAGTGAACGAAAAGGCTGCAAAGCTGGCTGTCGATGTTGTTGAGGTTTACCTCAGGCGCTTGAGAAACTCTATCAATACTTTCTCGATTGCTATTTCATGACTCGTACGAGAAAATCAAGCAAAGCCACGTGTTTATAGATTGCGTGTTTCAAGCTATTCATCTAGCTAGTGTTCTTGTTCATGAGTCAAAACACGAGCTGGGGAAAGGTTGGGTCCCGGGAATGTCACTGTTTGTCAAGTCGAGTGGTATTAAAATTTACAATTTCTGTATGATGAAGATATACCTGGACAAAGTGGTCCAAAAGTTGAGGAATCGTATCCTCGAACATTTTTGCGCTTGTCTTCCTCTCTTGCCAGAACTTCTTCTGCTTGTGTTCATCTCGTAGCTTGATAAATTCTTTATATCCTTCGCTGCAACTATCGCATTTTTCCCTCTTCCGAAGTGATTGGACTCGCGGTGGATACAAAACGTTCCGAACTGCCGACAAACTCACCGAACAATCGGACTCCCGCCGAGGGCGCCGTCGGCCGCCGAAATGGCGTGCTCTAAAAACCACCGACCCCAAAAGCAAGGGAAAACCAACTAAGATGACCCCAAAAACTTTCTTCTGCTCATGGAGAAAAAATGAAACAAAAGTGCCACTGATGATTCAACTTGTTGCTTTGTAACTGTTTTGTACATGTCGTTGAGAAACTTAAAAACCTGACTTCCAATCTTGTAGGGCGTGTGAGGGCTTGGAGGGTCAAAAGAAAAGGCGTTTTTGGAGACGCCGCTGATAAACCCGTCAAGTACCGCCAATTGCCCATGATACCATCCGGTGATTTGCATCTCGGGCGATTAGCTTTTGTGGTCCTGACGGTGTTCGACATGCACACCTTGTTTGGTGGCGTTGATTCCAGGATAGATTGCATTTCAGGCAACAAGCAGGCTGCTTCATGGCGTTGGGCTGGACAGGCTGACTTGGATGAGTGTTGAGGACCAGTGGAGTGCTGCGTCGCTGATCCGATGTAACGCCCGAATGTTGATGTTCTCGATTCCAGTACTGTTCGAAAGGGTCTCGCTGTAGCATTGACTTTGCAGCCCCAAGAGATGGCCGGTCGTGAAGCCTCTAGTCATGCAGTCTAGGCAGAGGGGGGTGTTGTTTGGTATATACGCAGAGACACGGAGCTTGCAAAAGGACGGGTCCAGATCATCTCACTGCTCCGGCAATGTACCATCTCCCATTGTCGTATATCCACTGTCCTCCAGCGGTGACAGCAGCTCCAGCAACCGCCGCGCCGTTGTGCAAAGCACTGTAGTCCATATCGTCACCAAAGATGTAGTCTTCCTCATAGGGCTTGTCGTCGATCTTCTTGGGTACAGAGTTGTATGTGGGTATATCGCCAGCGAACTCTGGATAGGCGGCAATAAAGGCAGAATCGATGCGCCAGCAGTTCAGGTTGTGGAAACGCTTGATCAAGTCGTCCGAGAACTGGAAGAGCTGCCTGTCGTTCTGGACGAAGGTGGTGGAAAAGTCCGAGTTCCACATGAAGCGTGTGCTGGAGTTGAAGAGTTTGAGGAACGTGTCGTTGTCGTAGTTGGGGCCTTCGAAGACAAAGCGTTCGCGTACACCAGGCCTGAGTGCACATGATAGTCAGTGTCTATTGCAGCTCGGCAGTTTGTGTTTGTCTTACCAGGGGAAGTAATCGCCGTTTGGAATGTGAGGAACATGTAACTGGGAAGGGCGTGGTCGCATCCACTTTGGCTCTATAGTGGCAGCCATCACTTGCGGCCCCGTAGCAAATCCCTTCATCATACGACGGAAGCATAGCATGCCTACCATACGATCCACCTTCCTCCACTGTGAGCAGGCCCCTCCGTCAATTTGTCGTAACAGAGCCCAAAGCGGATCGAGCTGCATGTATGCCACGACAGCATCCCATCCGTGGATCAAGACCATGACGATGATGTGCTGATCGAACGCTTCGTCAGTATAGGCTGCTGCTGTGCCCGGGACCGCAGACATGGCATCTGTGATTGTGCTGATTTCGTGATTCTGGGGTGGCGAAGATGGCATGGCCGCTTGTGGATATTGTGGTTGGCGTGGCTGTTGGGACATGTTGTGAGGGACCGTCATGGGGTATTGAGCTGCCAGAATGGCAGGGTTGTCGAGAGGCATGACCATTGAAGTCGTTGTAGCTGTCGCCATTGGTGCACTTTGCACCGCCGTATACATGGGTACCTCACTTGTATGAATAGGTGGAGGTGGTAGACTAGGCACCTCTTTGGCATCGAGCTTTGCATCCACAACGCTGTCATTCGGGGTCGATGAAGCCGCGAGCTGGGTGCCAATGTCACTCAGGGAAGACTGGATGAGAGATTCAATCTGGCGCAGTCGTTCGGCTTGGCGGTTCAATCTTTCCTGGTCTTGTTCGTGGCGTAGAATCAGGTCAAGGACGACTTTGGGTTCATCAGGGTTCTGCAGTCCATTTAATCGAGCTTCGAGTCGTCGCAGGTTCTCGCGGTCCTTTTCTCTCTTCCGTCGCTGGCAAAGTCGGTCTTGTTCCCTTTTCCTGGCCTTCTTCATCTCAGTGTCGTCCTGCTGGGTCGGGGCCTCGCTGCTCCTCGAAACGGTTGATCGGTTTCTTGATACGTCGAGGCCGTCTTTAGATCCGTAGTGAGACGTCATGTTGGTTCGCTAGTTTGTGTGTAAAAAGCTGGAGGGTTCCTCCCAGTAATCCTCGTATCCGTGGCAAGAGTTTTGATTGTTTCTTAGGCAGTGACGTTGGAGCATGCAAATGTGGTTTAATGTTAGAGGACAGAAGGCCTTAGCGATAACAAGGTGGCCATTCGATGGCTCTTGAATCACGCAGGTCACGGCTTCGGACAGAGCTTAAAAGCAGAAGTCAGGTTCCCCTCAGCTAAGTTTGGAAGCGTAGGATCAAGTCGAGGTGCGCGCTGTGCCACTGGGTCGACGATCGGAGCAGGCAACAAAAGTCAGTTAACATGGCCCAAGGACTCTGGCAAACATTCATATGGATGATTAATAACGCCTCTTTCTCCAGGCCAAATGCACGGTTACATCCTCTGCCGACACTTTTTACGGCAGCGGCGCTAGACAAAAACGTGTGAACCGGCATTCCCCTTTCATCTATGCATATATGACTCGTGGAACCGCCTCATACGGCATGCGGAACTTCGGCCGCGACATGCGGGTGAGTTCGGTGAACTTTGTTAGGATTGTCCTCTGAAGAACCAAAGATTGACCGTGGAACAACATGATTCCGAGCAAAAAAAGGCTGGCTAATGATGCTCTCCCTTTAAACTTTAGTGATACAATCAACATGTTCTTCACGACACCGCCCGCCCCCCTTGCTGTCATTGGCTCTTGATCCTTCATAGATGATGATCCATTATTGATGGGCACCTGAGTTTGCGGGGTTTATGCTCATCAACGGGCGGGCAGCCTAGAATTTGCATGACTATTGAGAACCTGCGCTTGTTTGGCTGTTGACATGACACCACCAAGCAAAAGATCGGACATGGCGGACATGGCTGAATCTGGCCAGATCCTGTCAATGTTTGTTTATCTCGGCAGGCGTCTACTGCATCTCTTCTGGAAGCAAACGCTCTGCTGGATTCCGAGTCGTGATGAGCTCGTAGCGGTATATACTAATGTCCATGTGATTGTGTTCGCCGCGAGCGGGAGTGAGCTTGGAGCTGCTGCTAACGAGCTTACTTGAAATTCTTGTTAGGACGCCTGTCTGTGTGTAAGATACAAAGAGTAACATACGCGACTGGTTCCTTCATCATCATTCCCTCCCGACGCCAGCGGTGGATGCAAAAGAAGCTTCCTTGGGTATCTTTCTACCACTTCGTTTGGATGGCGTCGGTCGGCCTCGTCCGGAACCTGCGCCTTGGCCTTGACCGTGTCCTCTGATGTGACGGTTCCCATGTGCCCAAATGGTTCCGATCCGATCTTGGAGGTTGGCCATAGCAACCTCATTCCTCTTGTGGCCTCTTTTTGTTGACTTGTTCGTCGTCATCTCTTGCCAACAGGAGTGATTCCATCACACGTGTTTGGTGGATCCAATGACCTCTCCTCGGACCTTTGTCCAGTCAATGCTCGAATCCATGGCTTCATCCACTAAACCGCAGACCACGACATTGTCTCCTCGAATCATGTATAGTCCATGCGGTGTTTCCGAGCTCTCTTCCGGATCGTCTTGGGGTCGTATCACGCGTTCGACGGTGTCCTTGAGGACGAGGTTGGTGACTTGGTCGCAAGACACGAGCGTGCCTACTAACGTGCGTCCATCAACGGTGATGATGCAGATTTTTTCTGGCCAATGTTGTCAGTTACTTGCTGTGATTATGCCAGAGAGATCAGGTACTCACTGTTCATGTACTGGTTAAGCGACATGGTGGTGGCAGGTTGCCGAAGCGCGTCTGCGCCTGGCTACAGTTCTTTCTTTCTGAGATGAATGTGCGCAGAGACAGAGATCAGGTCTTCGTATGCGATGAGGCGCAAGCAGATTTTCCAACGTCCAGAGATGAGCGAGTGTAGTTGATGGATGTTTTGTTTGGTGTAGATAGCTTTCAAGACGTGCCAGTTGACCTTGAAGCTCAAAGATCGAAACACGAAAGATCATGTGGTCTGTGCGTCGATGCCGACTCCAAGGGAGCACCCTGTCCATAAAATACCAAGGAGCTTGTCCACACTTGTTTCACTCTTTCATATCGAAGACCATATCTCTATATTGCACCAACACTGGATCGCCTCGTCTGGTTTTTCCAACTAGTACTTGTTAGGGAAGTGCCTGGCTGGGGAAGCGGTTGGTTCAATTTGCACTTTTCTAGATACGCCATACTCCTCCCAATGACCGAATGACACATGTTGACTAAACGCTCCAACTAACACCATAGCCTGATGGTTCCATCGGCACCTGCACTGACCAGCCATGGCTCGCGAGGGTGCCATTCCACATCCAACACTCCAAGTTCACCCGTGACTTTGTGGCCCTTCAGCACCTTCAGAGGCACAATCAGTGCATTCTCCAAGCTGTCACCCACAACCTTGCCGTGGAACACTTGCAAGCTACCGTCGTCACTAGCATCTGCAAACAATGGGTATTGTCCAGAGTTGGGGTGGTAGCGCACGCTTCTAATAGCCTTCTGGTGGTATCTCAGGGTCTTGTATGGTGTAGCGGCGAGATCCATATCGTGCCACAACAGTCTTCTGTCGTAGGAACCGACCAACAAGTTGTCACCTCCAGGGTGTACATCGATGGAACTGATCCATCGAGCACCAGGCTTCAACTCTTTGTCGAGCTTCTGCTGTTGAAGATCGTAAAGACGAATGGACTGTCTTGTGGCAACAAAGAAGAAAGGCTTGGTAGGATGGAAGGCACAAGTCTGAGCGATGCCCTTCAAGCGGCGGAAAGGATGTTGTGTGAGGTGCTTGGTGAGGGTGTGAATGGCTACAGCAGTAGAAGTGGCTGCTGGCGAAACTGTGCTGAGGTAGTCACCGCGGCGGTGCCAGTTGATAACCTTGATAGTGGTACGCATGGTGCAGGCAAGGAGAACGCCCTGGTCTTGCAGCTTCTGTGACTCTGGTCTGGCCCAGACAGATGAGGGAATCTTTCTCTCGGCACCAGCGTTAGTCGTAGCGGGTTTGGCGGCGTATCCGAATCCAGCGTCAATAACATCCTTGCTGGCTTGCTCGATCTCAGGCGAGCAAAGAGACATGGGTGTGATGAAGTAGACAGTTTCACCGCAAGCTGCGGCAATGATGAGTGTGTCACGAGTGGGTCTCCACTTGACAGCGTTGACGGCCTCCTCCGAAGAAAGCTTGACGCTGTAAAGTTGACGACCAGAAAGCAGTTCCCAAACTCTGACAGTTCCGTCATCACCACCACTGGCAATCAATGTACCAGTGGGGCTGACCGAGACGCAGCGAACACGGCCTTGGTGACCTCTGTAAAGAGTCGCGCAAACGGTAGGGAAAGGTCTGAGGTCGTCTGGTGATGGAAGCTTGGGGAGAAGCGATTCGGGATCAATGTTAAGCTTGCTCCGGCGAACACGGGGGGCGAGGTACAGATCCAGACAGCGCTCGAATCTCTCCTTGATGAACTTTTCGTAACCAGGCACTCTGCGGAGAGCAGAATGATCGGTAGGCAGGTATTCTCTTTCGCGGTCCTCCTCATCAGCCTGCTCCCAGGCCTTTCTCTCCTGGGCGTCGGGCAGGTACTCCGGTGGGGGATGGTAGGACTCGGCATATCCTGGTGGCGGCAGTTTAGGAGCAGGCATGTTCATGGCGTGGTCAGCTCTGGGTGTCTCGTCTGCCCAAACATCGTAGGTCTGCACGTCGTCGTCCTTTTGTTCCTCCTCGCTGGGTTCCTTCCAAGGCTTGATTCTTCCTTCTCTGATGGCTCTGACGATCTTCATGACACGCTTGGCCTCATGTTTACTAGGGACGAATCTTCTCTTGGGCTCAGGAGCGGCACTCAGAGGCATGATCTCGGTCTTGCTTGTGAACCACTCAACCATGTCGGGGTATGGGTCGTAGCCATCGCCAGGGGCTTCGTTTCTTGTCAACTTCCTCAGGACTTCCAGCTCATCTCTGCTAAGCTCCAGAGGCTTGCCAGTCTGGGGATCGGTCAAACCAGTCCAGCCTTCAGGAAGCTCAATGCTGTCGAGAAGGGCATCCAAAGCCTCACCCTTGGCAGGGCGCATAATCTTCTTGCCGTTAATGTCGTAGCCAATGTGAGGGTATGAGTCGTAGAAGGAGAGAGGAATGTCTCCAATTGTGTTTTTGGCGTCACCAGCATCCGAATCGTCCGAGTCGTAGACAGGGTCAATCTCGCGGTAGACATATCGCTCGTTACCGTTTGCATCGGTGGTGACGGTGTAGTTGGGCTTGAGGTCTTCGTCGTCTTGGTCGGCGCCAGCAATGGTGGAACGTTTCGAGTCTGTGGTTTTGAGGTTGCGGAGTTGGTCGCGGATGTCTTGCTCGTCGTCTTCGGAAGGAATCTCGTCGCTGTCTAGCTCCTCCTCTTCATCTTCATCATCATCCTCCTCATCCTCGTCTTCTCCGTCGAATTCGACCTCTTCACTGTCGTCCGAGTCGTCGCCTTCGGACAGGATGCCTTCGAGGTTGCCATTTGCAAGCTCCTCGCGCGGAGGCAGTGCAGGCTCGTCACGGACGGCAGCCTTGCGTTTACGGCCTTGAGTAACCATGTTGATTGTTTGCGACAGAAAAAAAGTGGCTGCCAAATTGATCAAGGCCGCTCGGACTTTGGAGAAAAAGTTCCTGCCGCTGCTGCCCAGATTCAGACCGAGATTATCTTATCTGATCTGCGCTTCTTGGCTGGATGCTTGCTCCTTTCCAAACTCCGCTTTGCCGAACCATGCCGTGAACCTCACCATCAACCTTGGATACAGCTATATCACAGATGCCATGGAGCGTAGAAGAGTGGCTTGTGACGAATGCAGTACGACTCAGCGTATATACTACTAGATCTTCTCGAAGCTAACCGTCCAGGAACTCGCAAACTAAAGTGCTCCGGAGAACAACCCGAGTGTTCGCGATGTGCAAACGATAACATCGCTTGCGTCTACTCTACTCAAAAATCCATGGGAAGGCCTAGGAAGCGCAAGCTACAGGGTACCGATCAACCAGCTGGTGAATCTTCCCGTTTTACACGGCAAAATACAGCTTCCGCCGAATCCAACCGCTTTGACAGTGCAATCCAATTCAATACCCTTGCTGATGAGATCAACTTCCCTGGCGTGAATTTGCCTACCGTTCTAGACAGCATCAACGAGGCCAATCTGCTTACCACACCTGCTATGGGCGTCCTTCCGGCCCAGTCATGTGCCTGCCTGTCGTCCATATACCTCACGCTGGAGAACTTGCGCGGCATGGATCATGTCAGCTTTCCTTCTAGCCTACACTGTCTTCGCGATGCGCTGCACACAAGCAAATCATGTATTGATTGTCAAGTCTGCCCAGCACAATATCTGACAGCGACACAGAATTCGCAGCTACTTGGGACCCTACTACTCTCCATTTCCGAACGATACAACAGGATTGTCAAGGCGATTGCCTCGGAAATGACTGCAGCCGAACAGACGGGGCAAATGATGACTCTGCAGATCGGTAGTTTTGATCTGACCAAACCGAGACACGAGATTGTTGGTGGCATGGATTCGAATGAGCCCCTCGTGCTTGAGCTGCCGCCTTTGGAATGGAAGAAGCTAGCGAATAAGGTGGTCAAAGCCGAGATCTATGGGACCTGCGATGCGAGTCGTGCCAGTTTTATGTCGGTCGTGTCAAGTTTAGAACAGAGGCAGGCTCACTGGCATACGATGGAGCCAACTGCGGATTGCCCTGATCCAGAGCGAAGAAGACACGATATGCACGACCACAACAACAGCCCTATGTGTTTGATGCTGGCTCGCGAAGCCAAGAAGCTTGTGGATCTGTTCGACTTCAGCTGAGATGAACAGAGTTGTCTAGACCCGGTCTCGCAGCTAAAGGCGGGGGGGCTTCTGGTGGAAGTCTGTAATGATAACGATGTTTTGGCAAACACGGCAGAGTTCATGTCTGTCTCAACCTAGCCAACGCCGCCATCATACCCTCACTAAGGTTCTCCTCGGCTTGCGCTTTGTTGACAGGGGGAGGAGCTGGCTGTGGTGCTGCGGGCGGTTTGGACGGACGTGCAAAGGCTTCTGCCATGGCCTCTTCCTCATCGGCGCCGGGCTCATAATCATCGGCGAGTCTGACATCGGACCGTCTGTCAGCGTCAGAAGTGCCTACGGAGGTGTTTGGTCCAGCAGGTATGTCGACAGAAGAGAGGGAAGCGCCGATGCCAAGTCTGGCAGCCACGCGACTGTCTTGCTCGACATTAGACTGCGTAGGTCTTGAGTCTTCGCGACCAAGGCGACGTTTGGTTTTGGTCACACGGAAAGGCTCGCGAACAGACTGGCACCAAGCCTTGACCTTCTTATCTCCCCAGCCAGCGACGTGAGATAGGTCTTCGGGACGGGCATTGACGGAGGTGCGCACACTTCCAAAGTTGGAGACGATGCCTACGGCGTCAGTCTTGTTGATGCTGCGAGGAACAGTGATGAACTCGACGAGATTGTCGGCGAAGGTGGCAGCCTTTTGGGCCTTGATACCGGTTGGGGCAGCATTTTCGCATGACTTGAAGAGCTCCAAGTAACGTCCAGCCTCGTTTGCGCTCCAGGTGAGGATCAGGGTGACATTGTTGATAAGGGAGGTCTTGGACAGCTCTTTCAGAGGGTCTTGATGGTTCTCTATGTCGACCATGACTAGAACGACGCGAAGGAGGTACTTTTGACCCAATTGACGGATGCGCGAGTAGATGTATTCAGGATGCAGGCGGTGGTATTTGAGCGACAGAAACAGAGCACAGGTTGTCTGACCAAGAACAAAGTCGGCAGGGATGTCCGAGTACTCCCAAGGCAAAGACTTGATGCTGTTCAGGATGGGATTGCCTTTCTGGCGCGGCGAGACCAGGATAGATGATGCGGATTTGCGAGCAGGTAGAGCTTGGGGTGTGGGCTGGACGACCTTGCGAGCATTGTCGGAGGCAGGAGCTGGTCGAGGTGGATTGGAGTCGGGCGCAGTAGTGCGATCAACGATTTCGAAGAGATCGGTCTCGTCGCCGTACTCGTCGGGCATGGTGGTGTCGATATGTGTAGAAGCAAACAGGCCAAAGTATGTGCAGCGAAAGCACTTTAGCACGCGCGCGCGCTGGAGCTGCAGTGATCGGCGGCGACTATGACGAGGCTGCTTTGCCGGCTGGAGCGCGTGGGCGTCGGTGGCTCTTGCCGAGTTGGGCTCGGCAAAAGTAGTCTAGTGCCTTCCCGACGAGACACTGAGGGCGGCCGAGCGACAGACAGGAAAGCCTCGAGAGCAGCCAACGACCAACACATCCGTCCCCCCTTCACGCCATCCGCACGCTCGAACTCACGGATCCGCCGGTCGGTACAGCGCTTGAAACGTACGGCGTCGTCGAACAAAGCAGGCTTTCACTAGCTCTCCATCTCCCTCACGCCCATCGACGTACACGAGCAAACAAAGGCGTCGGCAATTACCCTCCTTTGACCCACCCGCGCCCACATCATCATCATCATCACTACCATCCGCATCTCATCGTCTCCTCTTCGACTCTCCCACCGCCGACTCGCCCGTAGCCCGTATGCCGGCGTCGCCCGTCTCGCCGCCCTATTACTACCAGAACCAGCCCGTGAATCAAAAGCCTGCGCCTGTCTCAGTCACACCACACACTCCGCCCTCGCCTGCGTCGGTGCGCATGTCTTCGTCGGCGCATAATGGCAAAGACCAATCCTTTCCCACGCCGCCGTCGTCCTACGTCCCGACGAACTCGCTCTCTAACCGCGACCTGAACTCGCACAAGTCGACTCCTCCCCACGCCAACTCGGACATGGACACCGACATGCCTGATGCGCAGGCTCAGCCGCCGTCATTGCCATCGCGGCCAGTACTGCCGCTGCTCTGTCAATCCCGTAAGGCTTGACCCCTTGTTGTTTTGTTAATGTGCTTTATTTGGTTAACATAAAGTCCACGGATAGCTCACCCTATCTCGCGACCTCACCCAAATGAAAATCTCATCAACCTATACGGCCTGCAAAGCATCGCCAACTCGGTTCGCCGCACTGATCCCATCACCGGCGAGAAGATCAACAAGCTGCGCAAGTCTTACGAGGGAAAGGTCAAGAATTTCGGCCTTAGCGGAAAGAACAAGCCCACTGATGTCCCTGGCGAGTTGGCCGGCTTCATGCAATGGGACGAGGGTTCATGGTATGACCAGCGTATACACGGCAGAGAACTCGAGAACGCCCAATCATCGTCTCTCATGGCTAACCTGGGTCGTGCCTTGACCATGAACCCTGGCACTCTCCCTGCTGATGAGCACAACAAGTGGAAAGCCATTCTCGGTCTCGACGATGGCAACAAGACTCCCTCTCAGCCCGCAAACAAGATAGCAGCTCATCCGCAGATGCTCAAGGCGCAAGCCTCATCCATGCGCGCGTCTGCTCCTGCCTCGCCACGCTCCTCAAACCCCAACGGCATTCGTCCCGATCGCTCCAACAAGAAGCGCCGCTACGACGAGAGCAGCTACTCTGGCTACAATGAGAGCTACCAAGAAGATGATGGCTACTCAACAGGTGGCTTGGATGACAAGCGAAACTCTGCCGCCAAGAAGCGCCGAAAAGTATGAACTGCCCTTTCTCCTACAAGCCTGCCCGGCTCTTGCTGACCACCGCAAAGGACTATCCCACCAACTTCGAAACTTCTGGGGGCTCTCCAGCCTTCAACAACGGGATGCTCGGCGTCGGTGTCAAAAGCTCATGATCTGACCTTGCACATCAATCCCTCTCACTTTCCCATTCGCATACGGATCCCCTTTGATACCACACGGCGAACGGTTTTAGTCCTCCGCCCTTTCCTTACCTCCACCGCGGTCCACTTTGTTGTACCAACAAATTTCCCGTGCATACCCCACACCTTTGGTTTTGCTTTTTTGCTCTCTGTTCTTGCTTTTCACCGGCGTTATTACCAAAATGGATGCTTCGTGCTGGATGGGGTGTGTTTTTAGCAGGCGTCGACTAATCACAAAGGGGGGATTACTGGCTTTTTACGGGAGGAAAGGAACAACCACGAACGAAAAGGTTTCTATTGACACATGATTGTCACAAGGAGGAATTGACTTTCTCTTCTTGAACAACGGAACCAAAAACAACGTCAAACAAGAGAAAAACAGCAAGGAGAGCGTAGAACGATGAATGGCGGTTGGTAATGATCATCCTCATTCAAAGCATTCAGTGCTATGATATAAAGATTTCTGAACAAAATGAAACAAAAAAAGAACAGAACATGACATCTCCCCGTGCTCTCGACTATGAATCTCACTGCCAACTCTTCACGATGACATTTAGTGATACAATGTAGGCCTTGAGATGCATGGTCGCATGTCGGAAGCAGAGTGACATGTCTCCTTGATGATGACTTCCTCTCTGGAGAGTGTTTTGGCATCTACATAACCATAGCGTGCCATCCTTCAGTTCGCAAAAAGCCAGGACTACAGACCATGAGTGAGATGTACGAATGATATTCAAAGCATAGAGACTACAATTCCACGAAGCCAGAACACAAAAAGTAAGAAACCTAGCATAAGCAATACAAAAAAGAATTATATTGTAGTGATATAGAAAGAAAAAAAAGACATAAAGAGAAAACGACCCATCTCAATCTTGATCAAAAGATATTGTCCAACTCATGTCCAGGTACACCATTCTTTCTAGCGACAGCCCTAGACACCGCTCTATGACACTCTTGATCCCAGCTTTCCTGACCCTGTGCGTCCATTATATCATTCAACCACCATGCATCTGCATTCGCACCAGCGGTCACATTAGCGGGCAAAACACTGTTGAGGAAGGAAGTAGGGAATTGGCCGTAGCGGCCTGAGATTAGTTTTGAGAGGATACGAGAAGAGATGGCGGGAAGAGAATGTTGGTTGCTGCAGGTGCTGAGGACAGAGGTGTGGAGGGGGGTTACGACGTCGGGGGGTTGGGAAGAGAGAGTGTTGGAGGCGAAGGTGGTGTGGTAGGTTCCTGAGAGGAAGGAAGTGTAGTGAGCGATAGTAGCTGGAGATGCGTTGACCAGTCTGCAGATATCGAGGATGGTGTAGTCGGGATTAGCATAGTTTGCATTCAGAGTCGCGGAAACAGAGTCTGTAGGGGTGGATTCAGCATAGAAGAAGAGATTGCAGAGGAAATCTATCCAAGAAATTATCTCATCGGCTTCCAGACTTCCTGGGTGCAAGCGGATTTCGATGGTTGGTTTGCTGTCTCGGTAGACCATATGCTGGAGATTGACCCATGAGATGTGAGAAGTACTGTACTCACCGAGCGCCATGATCGATTCAGTGTTGTAGAGCAGGTGCAGCCAGTAGGGGATATTGGGGTTCCTGACCAAAGTGTTCCAGGTGAGAAAGTCGGCTGATTCATAAGTATTCATCAGATCGTGACCGAGATGCTCGTATTGGCGGGCCGAGTGAGGCAGTGAATATTTGATCCCAGGAGACTCGGTCCAGGGGACAGTTGAGGATCTGGCAGAAGGAGTCAGCTGCAGAGAAGGAAGAGGAGCGTGGTCATTTTCATAGCCACAAATGCGATCGACGGGGAGTATGGCATCGAAGCAACGCTCAAAAGCAGTAAACATGGCCATGACGTTTTTGGTGGTATCGAGGTTGAATCCAAACTTTTCACGACCGATATGGACGTGCAGACCACAAGTTCCGTTGACAAAGACTCTCCAACCAGGTCTGTTGCATTTTTGTTTGAGAGTGTCGATGATGCTCGAGATCTCATTTTGCCATGCCCACATAACGGGTGCGCCATTGCAAGGGTAGGCTTGACCGTGTGGACAAGGACTAGGGTTTTTGAAGTCGAGGATGCGAGAGGGTATTTCGATATCACTAATCAGATGGCTATCTGGCAGCAACTGTCTCTCGTCAGCATTGAGTTTGACGGAACAATCACGACCTACCACCCAAGTGTTATAAGGATTCTTGTTCTGATTGAACTCCCAGAATGAGGGTGGTCGATCATCGATGGGCAGTCGAAGGATGTGTTCACCCTCCTCGCAGTTGAAAGGGCATGGGACCGAGACCGGTTCTCGAAGGACCTCATGGATGGCTTGGTGAGGTGCGCAGTGCCAATTGTCGTCGACGACAGCGAGGAACTCCAATTCCACTCCGAAAGTAGACTTACCTGAAGTCGTGGTTGTTGCGGACATGTTTTCGTGCTGTCAGAGTGTTGGTTGATTACTTCTTTTGTTGGGTTTGTGGGACTGTAAGGTGAGAACAGGTTGAGAACCACCAAGGGCTACTTATACAACGACCTTAGAGCTGTCTGGTCACCAGCATGATGCATGGAAAGGGGGTTCACGGTGTTCGAGGACAAAGGAAACAACACTAACGGTCAAAGGATATCATCTTGTTCATTCATTGCAGCTCAAGGGACATGTCAAAGGAGGGCATCGTGTCTCTTTGTCGCATTGTTCATACAGCCAGATCGCTCACTGAGCCTTGGTCTTCTTGGCTTCAGGGACATCTCCAGGATCCTATCGCGATACGTTAGGAGGATCAAAGCAAAATGTTGACGGACAAAGCACATACCTCCTCAGTAATCTTTCTCTTCATGGTAGTCGGAAGGGTGCCTTGAGTCTTGTAGCCAATAACATTCTTGTCACCAATGACAGTGACACCGCAGTTGATCGTAAGGTTGACCTGCAACATAGGGGTGGCCGAGCCAGATTCAGTAGCACTGGTCTTTGCAGCATTGAGACCTTGTACTGCAGCGAGAAGAAGTGCTGATAGGCGTGTGGCATCGGAGAGTGGTGATGTTGCAATCATGTTGCCAGTTCCATGAACTTTTGTGTCGGCGTTGAGGACCAGAGTGACTGGGGATGGGTCTTCGTCGTCGTAGTCATCTTCCGAGTCGATCAAGTTGTCTTCGGCAGTGTAGGCTGGTGGTGGGTTGTCTGAGAGTGGTTGTGGGTGGTGCTCGCTATCTTGTGCAGAGGCTCGCTCGAGCATGATCTTGTGGCAGGAGTGCATGAGAGAATCCATGACGGCTGTGGATGGAGATTCCTGGAAGCAAAAGAGAGCGGGTGGAGTTCTGAAGGGGAGCGAAGGTGTGTTGGAGAGAGTATGAGAAGGTGCAACACACTGTTGCTATGGAGAATGAGAGAAGCTTCTGGACGAGAAGAGTCGTAGAAAGCAGGATGGCTCGCAAGGTATTGGAAGGGGATCGGTTTCTTGAAGCCTTTCTTTATAACAGATAGAGATATGCACATATACTAGAACAACAAACGGAGTGGGAGGACAATAGAAGATGATACGAGACAGTTGCCTGATGTACCTACTGTAAGTCTGATCATTCTGGTGCATCAATAGGAGGGGACACATGACGCGATCTGGTCGGCGCGTCTTTCGTATTGTCAGCCTCCCCAACAGCGAACGAAGTTCCTATTGTCGGCTCCTATTGATACTCGGGCCGAAAGGTTGCCGATAGTCGTGCAACAGTGCCGAGTGTAGTGAATGAGATTTGCTATTGTCAAACAGCTTTGTTTTCCTATTGTTGTCTTCGTCTGTGCGCACATTGGGCGTCCATTCATGCGTTAGAGCTCTTGTCCGTCTCCTCGAGACACACGTGATGACCTGCATGGCGTGCATCTCGAGACGACACTTCTGATGCACGATCGACTGTCTTGTTGCAAAAAAATGCTGGACGCTGTCCATGACATGGCAGAAGGATGAATGGCGGCCAGGCCCTTGCCGTCGCGGCTGACTTGTGGAGTGCGGGGCAGCAACCATGAAGTGAAGGGGACCAACTTCCAAGGAACCCTTTGGGCGCGACTGCCTGTTCAATCTCAAGTCATCTTACCGCCTTCACTTGACGACTCGCGCCGAGAATATTCAACAATTACCCTTCGTCACCTGTTATCGTTTTTCGCAATCACAAACGTCGGGAAACTCTCAATCAGCGCTCAATCGCAATGACGCCGTCGTCTTCAAAGCACAAGCGACAATCGTCATCAGTCTATCGCTCTTCTCTCGCTGCTCAAAAAACCGAAGTCAAGATCCATGTCTACGACTTATTACCAGTCAGACTACCTCGCCCACACTACTTCGCTTTGCAGCAGGACTAACACAATCTAGCCCGGTCGTCTCTCCAACATACTCTGGACCATCGGCGGTTCCCTCCTGCATACCGGCGTAGTGATCAACGAACGAGAATACGCCTACGGCGGTCACGACCGCAAAGGCGTTAGCGGAGTCTACTGGACGAAACCGAAACTCGAGCCTCCTGGCGGCACCTTTCGCTGCGAAATTATCCATGGCTTCACCGTGCTATCCCAAGAAGAAATTACGCATGTAATCAATGACGCTTCCAGAGTGTTTCAAGGCACGCGGTACAATCTCCTCAGCAACAATTGCAATCACTTTTCTTCGTATCTCTGCGAGAGATTGACTGGTAGACCGGGGCCAACGTGGTTGAACCGAGCTGCTAGTGTTGGTCTTGCATTGCCGTGTGTGGTGCCCAAAGAATGGATCACCCCACCCGACCACGAGACTGCCGATGGAGAATTGGTTGATGAGGAAGAGGAGGACCATGGTGACGACGAAACAGCAGCCATGCTGCCTCGTGACAAGAGGAGGAAACGTGACAAGGTTAGCAACCAGCGCATTACTTCCAGAGACAAGACACCTCCGCCACGACTCGTGAATGTCAAGGACACGAGTGGAAGGGAGATGCCTGCTAGCGAAAGAGCACCGATGCCTAAGAGATGACGGTGTTTGCTCTGTTACAGTACAAACATCAACAGAAAGCCCTCAGGTCACAGATATATGAACGGGCTAGGACATGCTCCCTACATTTGCGAGTCTGGTTGCAGCGCATAGAACATGGCATCACGGCCAGACATGCAGCACCACCTGGCCGGAGCATGAAAAGCGCGTGGAGAGGGGTCGGGAGGAGCTCATGCCGCAGCGAGGACTATCTATCATGACTTCAAACGATGGAACGAGGGAACAGAAAACGGCGCACCGGTATAGGGAATCATAAAGTAGCATTTCGCGCCAGGAGTTTCGAATACCCGCCAAGAGAGGGTCAGACAATGGAATTGTAATGCTTCGACCATGAGAACATAAAAACTCTAAGAAGTCATCTCATCGAGGTGTATTTCCTCGTTTTGCCGGCCATGATTGGCGAAAACCTCTAGCCTCTTCCTCTCGTAAAAAAAGGCTTCATCAATGAAGCCGTAAAAAGGCGTCCTTCCTCAAACCCTCTTTTCCCTTGTGCCCTTCTTCGAATCGCCAAAGCGAACAATCAGCTTTGCCAATTGTAACCATGTCTTTCGAAACTGCAAACTCATGCTCTACCATCCCAATCGAAGAACATCTACCTCATAGGCGCAGGACTAGCACCCGAATGAGCAGCGGCAGCAGCCTCAGCAGCCAACCTCCTCTCGCGATACTTTCTTCCGTTGATGATATTCTGCAAGCGCTTTCTCTCGCGTGGATCGGTGACTTTGGTCCAATCCAAGTCTTCGCCTTCAACAGCATAGTCTTCGAACATGCTGGGGCCGCCTCCGCGCACGGTGGCTGCGTAGGCGTCGGGCAGGTCTGAGAGTTGGTGGCGCATGTGTGGGCTGCCGTTGAGTGCGTTTGAAGAGGCTTGCATGCTGAGTGAGCGGTGGGGGTTGGGGATGAAGCCTGAAGGGGTGTGGGGGAGAGGTGCGTGGTGGTGGGAGTGTGAAGGTGGTTCAGGTCTGAGAGGGTCGAAGTTAGCGAGGTGCTTTGAAGGGAAGTCGAATGATGGAGACTTGCCTGCTGGGCTTGGGTTGTTCGATCAGGTAGAGATCCTTGGCCCATGGTGGTAGACGCTTGTCACGTTCGTAGAGAAGACCGCAGTTGTTGCAGAGTGACTGGGAAAGCTAGTTAGCAATTTTGTGACATGCACTCGGGAGTTGCGATCACTTACTCTAGGTCCGTTGGGTCCGTCGCGAATAGCCCAGACAGCGCTTCCGCCGATACGACAGTGAGTGCACTGCCAGACAGGACGCTCCGACTCTGTCAACTTGCCCTGCTCTCCACCAAAGGCAGCGGTAAAGTCAGGTGTCTCGCGGCCGGTGGGACTGAGACTACGGAAACGCCTCTTCTTCTTGCTTCTCTCGCCTCTGCCCATCCTCTCTTCATCGCCACCAGCAGCCTGTGCGCCAAAGTAATCGTTTGCCAAAGCAGGTGGTGGTGCGAAGCCAGCTGTAGCACGTGCAGCCATGTCACGTCTCTGTCTGCGCATCTGGCGTTCGCGGTCACCTTCACGCTTCTCAATCTCATCCTTGCTGAGGAATTCGACGTGTGGTTGCCACTCAGCTCCCAGGTCGTCGTTGTCGAAACGCCAGCCAGCGGCTTCTCCTATCGCCAGTGCGCCATCACCGTGCACTTCTGCAGCTTCGTTGTCGATTTGACCCCAGGCATCGACGCCACTGCCAACGACACCGAGCAGAGAGCCGTTGTTCTCGCAGTAGTCTTTCTTCAGCTTGAGAACAGCTTCGTATATGGCGTGGGCGAGTGCCGGGACCCATTCTCCTGACAAACCCAGGTCGGCGCATGTCTGCTTGGCGAAGATTTCTGGGAAGCCAGCGGGATGCATGAGCGACCACTCGAACTTGTCGGTATAAAGTCTATTCATGAGGTTGATCGAGAGCGAGATGATGCAGCGGTAGGCGTCGTCAGGGTTGTGTACGGACGAGGGTGGTAGAGGTTGAGCAACGGCGGAGACATTAGCGTCGTTGGGCAAGGGCGTTTGGGCGGGATTGGGAGTGTTGACACCATTCGTCTGCGGTTGATGCGCAGATGGTGTGTGTGCGAACGGTGTGGACGAGACTTCGCGTGAGATGGGAAGGCGTGTAGAGATGTTGCGGGGCTCGTTGGTCGAGGTAGGGTTGAACAGTGGGTGCATGACTACAGCAGCATGTTCTTCGAGTTGTGTACGGATCTGCTGAGAGACCTGCAGCGCCAGAGCAGGACGGCGTTCCAAGGGGAAGTCCAACTCGTCGACGAAGACCTTTGCGAACTGATCGGGTGTCATGAGAGACTCGTGCAGGTTCCAAAGGAAGCTGTCCTTGATGCGGAACTCTGGAGTCATGTCGGGAGCCTTGTAGGCAGGCGAGTTCTCATCAACACCGAGCTCGCGCGCATTGTTGGGCTTGGGGAGAGGAGCCTCTGGTTGGTAAGGGTTGACGCTCAAGTCGATGCGGATGGGAACGAGGTTGAGCGGGAGTTGTGCTTGCAGCATGGCCTGTCTTTCTGTCATGGCCTTCTTGGGCTTGCCCATCCATTCGCGCCAGATACCCTGAACGTCGACGGAACTGCTGAGTTCTGTTGATTGGATGGAACCGGTGGTGACGGCCGTCTGGGACTCGTTCAGGCGCAGACTGCGCAGGCCGGTGGGTCTGCGGGGCGCATCGCTATCTTCGACCAAACTGTCGTTCTCGAGGTCCTCGGAGTAGTTGATAGCGGTGGTACCGCGCTTGGTTGTGCGCAGAGGAGCGATGGCATTTTGTGGTTGGATGGCGGGTGTGAGCAGCGAGTTCTGGTATGTGCGGACGCGCGGGGCGAAACTCGAGACAAAAGCTTGTGGGCTCTCAGTCCTCGACAGGGAGAAGGCCGACATGGTGTCGACGGTATAGTGCCGTGTTGGGTGTGGGGAGGAGTAACAAGCCGGTCGTGGTGCGTTCTGTCGTGTCGCGTCTCAAGGCATGCGCTGGGCGTCGGATTCACTCAAAGACGCGCTCGCTTCATCCAGATAAGTTCGCGACCGTATTCATCCAGTTCAATTCACTTTGTATTCACTCGGGGTGTGCTTTTGAGACGCGAACAATAAAGTCCAACAGCTTCAAGGGATCTGTCTCCAAGCCTCCGCCGACGCGGCTTCGCCAACTTCGGCTCCATCATCACGTGTCGTACAACCTTCTCCATACCATACCTAGTCATATAATCATCATCATCATCACTTTCTCCAACATCAATTCTCCTCCGAGAATCAGCTCAATCTTCTCTTAGCTTTCTATACTCTGTTCAAATAACACACTCTAGCTACTACTCAACATGCCAGGTGCATCTCTCTGGATCATCCCGCCCAAGGACAGCTCCTTCTCTCAAGCTCTCCAGACCCTCATCTCCAAGACCATACCTCCTCATTTTCCACAAACACGGACCCACGACTTTGTCCCCCATGTCACAATAACTTCAAACATCGATAAATCACTCTACGGCTCTGATCCACAAGCTTGGCTGAGTGACTTGCATCTACCTTCTGGAGACCAGCATGACCCTGTCTTTGTAACACTCGACGTGCTAGAAGCTGGTGATGCTTTTGTCAAGAAGCTGACTTTGAGAGCCGGAAAGACTGCTCAATTGCTGCAGCTGGCTTCTGCTTGCCGTGGGGTGGCTGTCGAGGGAGGTGACAACGGGAGGGCTGAGAGATGGGCTCATGATGATTACTTGCCTCACCTCTCTCTGATGTAGTGAGTTTTCCAACTGTTCCTCTGATTGTCTGACAAAGTTGCTGAGAACCCTCAGCGCCGACCTGCCCAAGCCCGAGGTGGAAAAACTCGTCTCTGACATACAGGAAGACTGTCGGAAGGCTGGTCGTAGTGTCGAAGCTCACGATGATGGTACCGTCGCCAATGGAGGTAGCATTGTCTTGGTCGACACGAGCAAGCCCATTGATCAATGGGAACCCATCGCCACAAGAGCCCTGCCTTATATTCGATGGGAATGGCCTTGGTCAAAGTCAAGATTCGATGATTGATAGACAGTTTTCGTCGATTAATGTATATCCTTTTCGCTAGCGACTAATACAAAATGCTCGGTGGAAGCAGGCTGCGAAAGAGCACTCTAATCAATGAAGAAATTAACCATAACAAGAACAATGAAACCGCTCCGGATCGTCCAAAATCCTTGCTCCTTCTACAAATTTGCTTCGACAGCTGCCTCCATTCTTTTGTGTATGCGCATCTCCTTCAACTTTTTTCTAGCCCGTCTTTCGGGCTTCCACGGAAACATTGTTGATACATGTGCAAGTGCCGAGGTCAATTGCATCTGACATGGGGGAACGATATCTAAGCGTCGGATGTCGTCGAACTGCTCGTACCAAGCCATACAAACTTTCATCAGTCGACAAGCTACAGGGCATAGGGGTTGAGCGATCTGATGGTCAAGCAACTGGAACTCGAGTTAGTATCTTGTGATGATCTTTGGTATTGTGTGAAACTTACGGTGGGCTCTTGGTCATGTCCGTCTTAAGGATGACCGGCACTCTCGACATTTCTCTGACATCTTGGATGTAGTTGCCATCCGACTCACGAAGGCTGAAGAGCTTCAGGTACTTATCCTTGTTGCTCAGCTTGGCCTCGGGTGTGGTGTGGAGGACCTTGGGGTCTGACTTGGTGCGCTGAGGGCCTTGCTGAGAAGAGATGCCGTTGCGAGTGGGCGATGGGGGCATGCTCTGGGTGTTGCGGTCTGCGTTGAGAGACACACCTGCAGTCTGCTCGGTGATCTCAGAAACAGCATCGTCATCGTCGTCGAAGAGAGCATCAGCATCGTCAGTAGAGATGGTCGCGGTCTCCATCTGCTTGCGCTGAGCATCTTCCTGCTTGGCACGAGTTGCGGCAGAGTCACGGGCAGCGGCGGCTGCAGACCAGTTGTTAGCTCGGCTAGCCTTTGGCTTTTCATCTTCAGGGACGAAGGCAGAAGATGGGACACCCTTCTCCCAGTAGAGCTCGAGCAGACGCTTGTTCTTGTCGAACTCGGCCTTCTTGAGAGGAAGCTGGTCGCAGTGGACACGCTTCTCGAAACCGTACTCAGGGATCAGAACATCGAAGGCTGACTCGTACACGCAAAGGACAATGCCCTCGCTGATTAAATCGCCTCCGAGCTCTTGGCTCTTTCTGTCGAGCGCACGGCAAGACTCAATGTGCACGCTCTGTTCTTGTGCAGCATGAGCCGAATCTTTCTTCGTGTTTGCAGTCTCGGCAGTCTTTGCCAGAGCCTCAACGTCCTCGGTGAACTCGACGGCACCGTTGGTAAGAACGTGTTCGAGCTGACGGTGAACAACAATGTCTGCGTAACGACGCGAAGGGTTCGTGAAGTGGGTGTACAAGGGCAGGTTGAGTGCGTAGTGCGAGTATTGGTCGACGGGCGCCTTGGAAGGAATGAAGTACTTTGCGCGACGCATAGCCTTGATCAGGAGGGTCTCGACACCCTTGCGGACATCGGCATCTTCGATCTGGAAGAGGCTGTTTTGCAGAGCGCCACTGCTGGAGGTATCCACTTCGACACCAATGTTGGCCATGCGCTCACTCAAGGTGACCAAACGACGAGGGTTAGGGGGGGCTTGCTTGCGCAGCAGAGCCTTCTCAGGCAGACCAGCGAAGATCTTCTGGGCGACAAACGAGTTGGTCTTGTGGCTCAGCTCTTCGATGAGCTCGTGAGCAGGCGAGGAGTCGAAGATGTTGTGCTCAACGGGCACGTTCTCGTCATCAAGTTGGTAGATCAAGCGAAGAGGTTGGTTGTTGGTGGTGCCATCACCAAATCTGGCTTGACGAAGCTTCTGAGAAATGCTGTGAAGCTGTTCGATCTGGCTTGCACGCTCGTCACTAAGACCGGAGTTACCCTGGCCGTTGACGATGCTGTCAACTTGATCGTAGGAGACCATGCCAGTGCTCTTGATGATCGCCTTGCCAATCCAGGTGTCCTCATCAAGGACGCGTCCAGTATCAGGGTTGATCTTGAACACCACACTGACAGTGTATCTCTCCTCACCAGGGCTCAAAGAGCAGATCTCAGAGCTGATCTTGGGAGGAAGCATCTTGACGGTACGGTTCATCAGATAGACACCGCTGCCGCGCTTCTTGGCCTCACGATCAACCATAGACGAAGGCTTGACGAAGTGGGATATGTCAGCAACGTGAACACCAATCTCAACGTGACCATCACTAAGGGTCTTGAAGTGAATTGCGTCATCGAGTTCCTCACTTCCGTTGGGGTCGATGGTGAAGGTCTGCTCGTTGCGGAAGTCACGGCGAGATTCCAGCGCAGCCTCGCCATCCTTGGCTACAGACCAGTCTTCATAGCCGACGTTCTTGAGGACAGCATCGGAGAAGTCATCGGGACCGAAGTTGTTGTCACGCAAGAGGGCGTCGGTTTCCACCTTAAGATCACCGGCATCACCAAGCTGCTCGACGAGTGTACCGAAGGGGTGCAGAGAGGTGATGGGCCAACGCTTGATGCATGCGACGAAAATCTTGTTGGCGTAGTCCTGGTGCTTCTCGACGAAGTCCTTGGGTGCCTGCTCTGTAGGAATGGCGATCAGAGGCACACGCTTGTCAGTAGGCTTGAACCAGACAATCTTGGGCCTGTCTTGCTGTCTGTCGGGCTGGTTGCGCTGGTTTCCACCATCGCGACCTTGACGCTCAGCCTCCTGTCTTTCCTTGGTGGCTTGACTGCTGGGGCGAAGAAGACCGAGAGTACCAGAGAACATCTGACCGGCAACGCGCTCAACAACGGCTACGATATGACCGGCGTAGAGAGGCTTCTGCTCGTCGTTGATTTCGTCCTCCTCCATAAGGAGCAAACTCTGACCTTCAACCTCGACATCATCGTTCTTCTTCTGAGTGGGACGTTGCTTCAAGCTGCCACGTCTGCGGATGCCTCCCTCAGCAGCGGAGGATTCTGGCTGAGTAGTGGCATCGTTGACAGCGGTCATGGACGTACCGCGGCTATCGGTCATGTCCTTGCGCTTCTTCTTCTCTTCCTTTTCGCGCTTTTGACCCCAGACTTCATCGACATCGAGGAGTTCGACAGCAACGAGATCACCCTCCAGGGCACGGTTACGGTCCTTGCTACCACAAATGAAGATGTCAGCGTCGAGGTCGTTAGTGGTGACATAGGCATCGCTTCTGTTCTTCTTGTTGACACGGAGGATGCCTGCGACGAGTTGGCCGTCGCCAAGCAGGGCAGGGAGAGTGGCCTGAGGCAGGTAGGGAGTGAAGAGAGTCTTGCGCTGCTGCTGTTGCTGTTGCATGGTCATTTGCTGGCCACCCTGCTGTCCTTGGAGGCCTGCAATTGGGGCCTGAAGACCAGCGGCCTGATAGGCCTGGATCTGAGCGAGCTGCAGAGCGTTCAAGCCCTGGGTAGCGAACATGTTTGGCTGCATGAGAACCTGACCCTGAGGAAGCTGGACGAGCTGGGGCTGCTGAGGGAACTGGAAGTTGCTGATCGAACTGATCGACTGGCTGTTAACAGAGCCGCGCTGACGGTGACCAGGCTGGAAGGGCTGGGCTCCAGCATGCTGGTTCATCTGGAAGTTACCCATGTTGGTAGTATGCTGCTCCTGGATGGTGGGTTGCTGTTGACGCCAATTGCCATCAAAGTTGCGTGATTGGGTTCTTCCATGTCCCTGGCTGCCACGACGTTCAGGAACATTGTTAATCTCACCGGGAGGGGGGAACTGGAAGGCGGGACCGCCACGCTGGGTTCTTTGGTTGCCAACAGCAAGACTCTGACTACGGCCATGTCCACCGCGACCAGAACTACGTGCAGAGAAGTTGTTAGCAGGAGGTGGCATGTCGTTGTTGGCATTACCAGGGCTCACAGAGCGGTCGGGTGTGGCGCCGGCAGCACCGGGAACAGGGAATTGGAAGCCTGACTGCTTGCGTTTCTGCTCAGCAATCTCGGCAGCCTTCTTTGCCTCGGGCAGAGCGAGCGAATGTCTTCTGCTATGACCACTACCGCCACTGATCGAACCACTGTTACGGGGTCTGGGGTTGACGTTCTCAGACTTTGCACCGGGGAAACTGAACTCGCCAAATGTACCGGAAGAGCCGGCGGATGGAGCGGGTGGGGGACCCATCGTCATGTTGGGCATGGCGGACTGGTTGCGACGGTGGCCTGCGGGTGGGCCCATAGATCCAGGCAGCTGTAGGTGCTGCTGCTGCTGCTGCTGTTGCTGCTGTTGTTGAGGGAACTGGAATGCGTTGTTGTTGGGAAGTTGGCCTTGCATTTGGGCAAAGGCTTGGTTGGGGAGTTGTTGCTGGGGTTGAATCATGCCCAGGTTGACATACTGTTGATGAGTTGCGGCAATCTGCTGCTGTTGCTGTTGAAGAAGTTCAATCTGCTGAGCGAGAGCGAGTTGCTCCACTACAAGACTGTCAGTAAAGCCATTGCGATGGACGAGCGCGGCGGCATGGTCGGGCTCGAGATCGGAGGATAACATACTCATCAGGGGGGTGAGCTCAGAAGGGCTACGTCTGTGTGCGATGTGGAAGCGGCGACCGCCAGGGCCGGAGGGGCCATTCTGTCCGTGTTGATCCATCGTGGCTGGATAGAGGATGTGACTAGGCGGCGTGGAAAGATGGCGGAAGGATGTCAGACGACAGTGGTGGGGGTGGGCGACAGAAGCTTGATGATGCTAAGCTATCTGCAGGGCAAGCGTCAGAGAAGAGTGCGGACGCGACGGATGTGATGCGGACAAAAGTAAAGTACCTGACACACGAGAGGGAATGGTAGTTTAGAGTGCTGGACAGCTAAACTTGGTGATGTGGACCTCGAAGCTAGCGCAAAAGCTATGACAACGACGACGACGGCACAAGTAAGAGCGAGACTCTGTCGGTGTAGGTGGCAATAGAATCAGGAAGAGTTGAGATGCCAGATGATGAGCTGCTTCTAAAGGAGGGCGAGGGGCCACAAGCAAGATGATGGTATAGAGTGTAAGTTTGTGTTGTGAGTGTTGGACGAAAAGACTGGTGAAGCCTGGGAGTGCTTCGGCTGACGAGCAGAAGGTCGTGCTTTCCCCAAAAGCAAGAAGCGTTGGGCGGGATGGATCAAGGACTCTTTTCCACGTGCACGTCTCGGAATGATTGAAGAGACGGGCGAAGGCAGGAGCAGTGTGTTACGGAAAAGGAAGGAAGGGTGGGAGGAAGGAGGGCAGAGAGAGAGGTAGATATGGATCCAGAAAAAGCACAAGGAGGAAGGCGGGAGGTGGTGTTGGACGTGGAGAGGGCTACCAACTGCGTCATGCAATTCAGTGGACAGCTGGACAAAGACGTGCCCAGTTGCGGGCTTTCCATCTATCTACAACACTTAAAGCACTAGACTCGTTGGTCATTCCATCTGCTCGGGCTTCATGTCAATCTCTCAATCAATCGACATGACCTTCTCCCGCTGATAGCAAGCATCCAATTCCTCGCCGTTCATCTGCAGCATGTAGAGCTATCCCGCCAAGCTCGACCGGATACAAGGCCGTTTGCAAAGCAGGATTACGCGACAAAACCTTTGTTAAACCTGTTGGACTGCCGATGGACAATAATAGCTAGGTGGATCGGTCGTATTGCCCGTATATTGTCTATCGTCTCATGCTCTGATGCAGTTTTCGGTGCCATCCCTCTGTATCTTTGCAAGCATGGCTCAAGTTGACCACGAGTTGGCAGAGGCAGCTGCGACCTTCTCAAGCGCAAAACTATGTAACGTGTACAGCTATGGAACTGCACAATGGCTCTTGAGGAACAGCTTGAATTCGAGACACAACTTACCCTGAGCTCTCTGTGTACATGTACACCTCTCTAGTCGAGGAATCATTGAGCTTTTGTATAGTGAGGTCGTCGCTTGAGATCCTCGTCGAAGCAGCGTAGCAGTTACAGACTTTGGCATATGGAGAGGAAGCCCTTCAATTCTTTGGTTCATCCCACTCTCCGGAGCTCGGGCTACTAGCGGGCCTTTGTTTCATGACTCGATCGACAAAGCTGGAGCAAGCCGTCACTCTAACTTCTTGTGAACTTTTGATGCTGAGTCTGTAGTCTGTTCTCGCGCTGGATTCAGGTACTCTTCGTTGAGCATGCCACCTGCTGGAACGTAGTTTGTCTTTCTCGCCCTGCGCTTCAGCTTCCCGCTCTATACACAACCACTGTCATCCGGTCTCCACGCTCGTTTCGCAGCTTTTCCGGATCCGCATATCCCAATGGCATCTCCTCACAGAGAGAGGGCTGGCACAGCAAGTCCTGCAGCGCGTACACCTCGAGCCGATCATCCCGCCAGAAAAAGTCATAACTCTCCATACCGCCACAGTCCTCGCCGCTCTGAAATATTAGTTGAGGAAATTGGTGCGCTTCACCTCCGCGAAGAACGTGCCTGGAGGCAGAGACAAGACGAAAGGGATGCAGAACAGGAACGCCGCCATCAGCAGGCTCTTGCGCAAGCAGCCGCCGAACACGAACGCATCTTGCGCAATGCTATCGAGACTGCCGAAACCGAAGCACTAAAGCAGGAACGCGAGCGGATGCAGAAGGAAGAGGAGGAGCATCGCGCACTTGAAGCTGAGCGCTCAGCAAAGGCCGCAAGAGAGGCTGCTGAGAGACAACGGAAGAAACAGGAGCTTGAGCGACAAGAGCAGGAGCAACAAAAACGGGCGGCCGAGGAAAGAGAGATACACGAGAAGGAAGCCAGACTCAAAGAGCAGAAGAGACAGAACGAAGCAGATGCTTTGCGAAGGCAACAAGAACAGCAGGCTTCGAAGCGCAAAGCGAAAGAGGAAGCCGATGCTGCTGCTGCCGCGGCCGCCGCGGCCGCTGCCACGAAATCTGCTGCCACTGCTGCTCCAGTGCAAACAGTCCCACAATCTCAACCGCAACCTGTATCTACCCCAGTTGTGCAGTCTGGTAATGTACCTGCAGCTCCATCCGCACCCAAGGTCGCTACTCAGCCAGTTGCGTCCTCTACAATATCCTCTGGACCCTCACAACTAAAGTCCACGCCAGAGCAACTAGAAGCAGTGCACAAACAATATCTCGCCATCCACAAGGCGTTGAAGGAGATGAGGAACACGGCCAGGAAGCAACTTAAACAGTCTGGTATCGACATCGGCGATTACCGTAGAAAAATCAATACAGTGATGGGCCAATTCACCCCGGACAAGGTCAAGAACAGATCGGCGGTAAGTATCGAGCTGCGTGGTGACAAAGGCTTAACATTGAGCGAGTGACTGACTTCTGCATAGCTCAAGAGGGTACTCGAGATTCTCAACGAGGTCCTGAGATATTCTGAACCAACCATCAACATAACTCCCTTGCTCGCCATTCCTCAAGATAACTTGGAACGCCGCATGCCGTTAGCTCTGGTGTATTTACTCAACACGATCGCCAAAACGGTCATCAGTCAGTTCTGCAACGACAACATAGCAACAGTGGATGCTCTTGCGATTGTGCTGGTCACCGTGTTCTCGAAGAAAGAGTTCCTGTTCAACGGCACCACTTCGCTCATTGACATCCTCTTGGCTAAGTATCATGTGGTCTGCCCAGTCTTGTTCGGTATACATGGCGATGAGAAGACCGCCGCGGGAAGAGAAAGGATAGGTTGGTGGAGGGACGGCGATGACTTTATTGATTCCGAAGTCCACAAGAACCGCATGCTGGGCCTTGCCACAGGATATGGCTGTATATCCTTGCGTGACTTTAGCAAGTCGGCCATGAACAACCCTTTCCCGCCACCGAATTACTGGCGGGCGCTGAGTTATTTTGCCAATACACCGCCGGCACATCTACAACCGACGCACTGGATCGTTCTCAAGGCACTGGTCGACACGCATATCGAAAAGTTCCTGAAGTTCTACGGACAGGCAGGTCTGGCGGCGTTGAGAACGGTGTTGGTGGAGCTCCCCAAGAACGCGCCTCAGAACTCAGCTAAAGATGCAGTTGTGATATACCCAGAGATGCTGCGGACTACTAAGCGTTTGACGTTATGAGTGTAGAGGTTGGTCACCACGAGAACCGTGGAATGGATCAGATAGACGACATTGCTAATTGAACCTACTGTTCCTCAAACCATGCATTTGTCCAAGAAGTGTCAGACCACTAGAAGATAAGCATCCCATCACCTCTCATTGCCCAACGAGAACGAATCTGTCAGTTAAAACCATAGTGAAGACAGATTAATGAGGTGATCATGGTCAAAAGCCTCTCTCGGGATGGTTCAATGATGAAATGTGGGGAAGAAGCTCCGAAGTTCGATTCGACAAGAAAGTTGCACTTCGACTCGCGACAACTCGTCGATAATCCACAACCAACCATGACGACTTCAATAGATCCAACGCCATCCGATCTGGTACACAAATCGGCAAAACGTACTAGGGAAATCTTCGCCGCCGACTTTGGCGCACCCACAGCGCTCGACAACTCTTCTCGACCCGCCATCGCTCCCCCAATCGCGTCGCCTGCAGAACGTGCTCAGAAGCTCGCCTTACGCGCGCGAATCGCCAAAGAATATATCGATGTGAAAGAGTTACCTCCGGTGCTTGCGACCAAGCAGGCGAATGCTGTTGCTGCCTCGCGTTCAAGTCTACGAAAGAAGCCAAAGACCGAGGAGCAAGCATCAAACCCAAAAATGGCCAAGATGATTGAAGGAGTCTCTGCACAAACACCCTCTAGCGCCGCTGGAACATCAAACGCTCTTGCCTTGCGCGCGAACGGCGCTGGAAAGCTACCACCCAATGCAAATGGCCCTACACCACAGAGAAACCTGCCCGGCTCCTCGAGTCTGGTGCGCAGAGACGTCGTGCGTCAGCCAAAGCCCGAATGGAAAGCACCTTGGAAACTTATGCGTGTGATCTCTGGTCACTTGGGTTGGGTTAGAGCACTTGCAGTGGAACCCGGAAACCAATATTTCGCGACGGGAAGTGGTGACAGGACTATCAAGATCTGGGACCTCGCTTCCGGCACGTTGAAACTCACATTGACTGGCCATATCTCTACCGTACGAGGTCTTGCTTTCAGTCCAAGACATCCATACCTGTTCTCATGCGCTGAAGACAAGAAAGTAAAATGCTGGGATCTGGAGACCAACAAGGTCATTCGTGACTACCATGGCCACCTGAGCGGTGTTTACACACTGAGTCTACACCCTACGCTCGATGTGCTCTGCACCGGAGGTAGAGATGGTGTCGTCCGTGTGTGGGACATGCGAACAAGATCGAATATCCATGTGCTCAGTGGCCACAAACAGACTGTATCCGATATCGTCACCCAGGAGGCCGATCCACAAATCATTTCGTCTTCACTGGATAGTACTGTCCGTATGTACGATCTTGCAGCTGGAAAGACCATGGGCGTCTTGACACATCACAAAAAGGGTGTGAGAGCACTCTGTACAGCGCCCCACGAGTTCACATTCGCCTCTGCCTCGACTGGTCAGGTCAAGCAGTGGAAATGCCCAGAAGGTGCTTTCATGCAGAATTTTGATGGGCATAATGCCATCATCAACACTCTGTCAGTCAACGAGGACAACGTGCTATTCTCTGGTGGCGACAATGGATCAGCTGCTTTCTTCGACTGGAAGACCGGCTACAAATATCAATCGCTCGACTCTATTGCCCAGCCAGGTAGTCTTGACGCCGAAGCTGGCATCATGAGCTCAACATTCGACAAGACTGGACTCCGCCTTAGTAAGTTGAACGATGCACATGCCACGAGCTTGCCTAAAGAGAAGATTGCTAACCATTCCACAGTAACTGGAGAAGCAGACAAGACCATCAAGATCTGGCGCGAGGATGAGAATGCCACACCTGAGACACATCCACTCGAGTGGAAGCCCACGCTAGGAAGACAAAAGTTCTAGACAACTTTGGAAGATCAAGTAGAACGCGGAGATAACGATGATTGATACCCATGACTATCTGGTCAGATTCTTGTTTTGTTTGCCAATGTACATGTTGTTTTCGCGTTAATTGTGGATGCTCATTCTGATCAGGGAGGGACGCATGTTGTCTTCGCTTGCGCTGTGTTGGTCCACCCGTGGGGCTACATGCAGCTTCAAATGCAGCTTCCCTTGCGCTTGCTCAACTTCTTTCACTTCACTCCTTCAACTTGTTTTGGTCGGACAGATTTCCACCGAATCAAAAGGCCTATCGCTCTCATCATCAGGTCTAACAAAAGTCGCTCTTCCAATCACTCACTTCACATCACCACTACGTGTCTACAATGCCGCCTAGACACGACAAACCATCCTATCAGCCTAAGAACAACAGATCCAACGCACCTGTACATGTCAATGCTGGCGTCGCTGCTAAGCAGAGAGGTGAAGATGCCGCTGGTAGCTGGAAGTTCGCAAAGAACATGACGATCAAGGACCCTTCTCGTACAATTCAGACCATTGGCAGAGCCACCAACACTTATATTACCTACGATAACAGATTCGAGTTCCGCTTCTGGGGAGCCATTGAGAACGTATGATGCTCGTCGTCTACCTGTCACAAGACATTGCTGACTTTTCATCAGGTGGAACGCGCTAAGGTTGACCTCCAGACCAACATCCGGCAAGACAACCCGACCTTTCAGCATCAGAAGACAGCTGTCGGACCTCCTCGCGATGTCGAATTCGAAGCAATGGTAAGTGCCTTACAATTGAACATTTCCACTTTGCTGATCGAATGCAGGGGTCTTTCTTGTGGCCCTCTGAAGACTACCCAGCGCCAACCACGGGACAGCAGCACATCGAGAGTCTAAACTCAATCCGCAGGGAGAACAATTGTGTTATTCACTACGATGAGTCAAGATCGTGCTTCATCGTGAAAGGCGGTGTCGATGATGTCAAAGAAGCTCTTCTGCGCATCAGAGGTCTCCTTTGCAAGGCTGTTGTTCAGAGCAGTCCTATCATGAGACTCTATCTGGTCCAGAACGAATGCCAGAAGTTCGTTCTTACGGATCACCCCTTAAAGGCAGTCTACCGCGCAGCCACGCCAATCACACAACGCATGGAGAAGACCGTGAAGAGCGTCGGGGCTGGAATAAGAGCGGAAGATGTTGCCCTGAATGCGAAGCGCATGAAGGGTCTTGTCGTCCAAACACTGAGCAAAGTGCATTGGCATCAAGGCCATATTGATATGAGAGTCCACCTTGGCACACTCATCATGGAAAGCTACGAACCCTTCGAGAACAACAGCAAGAGTCTGCTTGATTTCAAGGAGATGATTCAGGATTCATACAACTTCCGTGCTAAAGTGACTGAAGAGTGAGTAAGCCAAAATGTCGAATTTGCTAAAGTTGTTGCTGACCATGGCCAAGACTTGGCGACAAGGTTCTCGAGGACACTCTGCTCCAGCGGTTCTTGAGCGCTACAGACTCGCTCAGTCCATACGACCGCTTCACTCATCACCTTGCCGATACTGAGCCTGAGTATACGGCTTCTATTGAGGTTGATCTCAAGGACGGTGGAGGTAATCTTCTCATCTCGAAGAGATGGCATCAGGAGAACGGCTCATTCTCTGCCTCTGATCCCGAATTCAAGAGAGTGATCAAGAATACCGGTCGCACTAGATTTCTTGAGGTGTACATGTCGGACACGCTCAGCAATCTCACCTGGCTTCTTGATCTCTCGGCACTGGGAGTTCCACAAACCTCTCACCTTCCGGATGGAATGCGGGAGCACAGCGAGTACTACATCAACTTGATTCCTCGGAAGGCGCAAGCCAGAGAATCATTCTGTGACTTTGAGAGTTGCGAACACGTGCGAAGGCCTTTGGCCCACAAAAGAGCCAGCAGGGAAAAAATCGTCTGGAAGTTTGAGATGAGGGCGCCGTATGCTGGGTACGAGGTGGAGCTAGCCAAGGTCTTCAACAAGGTGTACACGCCAGATGAGATTGGAGGCAGGGAACACGAAACCACGTTCGAGGAGCGTTGGACAGTGGATGTCAAGCATCGTCAGTGGTCGAGTTTACTGTCCGAGAACCACGAACTGCGTGCCGGCATGGGTGCGGAATGGAAGGCAGACATTCAAAGCTGGTTCCCGGTGGAGTCGAATGACACAAACGAGAAGCTCAAGGGCCATGTTGAGCTTCTGCATGCGCTGCAGCGTGTACAGGACATTGTCACGGGCAAGGACCTTTGAGGTGAAGGAAGCGGTGGAAACATCACGGCTTTGTAATTCTTTCTTTCTTTCGATTGCTCTGTAGGCTATGGGCACTGACACAGTACGAGGAAAGTTGACGTGGTCTCGACGGTCCCTATAGCACCTGCTGTGTTACTAGCTATCACAATTACATGGCAGTAGTTTCCAGATATCTCACAACTTCAATGTGTCTGGAGCGTGATGTCGTGGTCTCAGTGTGCGATGTCCATGCTCTTTCTCAAGCCATTTCTAGCCTTGATCTTGCCCCTGCCGTGTCTAGCTGCTAGCACAGTATAATGGAGCGTAGACCAAACTTTCAGCGCTCGAGAGGCGTTCGGCTCGGTACCGAGGATATGGAGGGATGTTGGTCTCTGTCGATGCCGGGGCAGCTGGTTTATGACGAGGCGGAGGCGCTTCCTGGAGCCTGGTTGCTGGCGAGAACCTTTTGACGCATGACTGGACTACGTGTTAGGGGGCGTTTCGTTACAGACAAGCTGCTCTCTTCCCATACCTTCTTCAATCAACCTCAAGTTCTGGTTCTTGCCTTGGACAATACTCTCGAGATCCTTGACATTCTTTCCCAGCTCTTCCACCTTGGCCTCGTAGAACTTCTTTGCCTGCTCGGTGGTCTTTTCGACGTAGAAACCGGTTCCAACGTCGACCAAGACGGTCTCGGTGCTTGCTAGTGTGCCAGGGACGTAGAGGGAGGATGTCAAGGGAACCAGCAGCGGCTTGTCGGCGACTGAGTTTGCGACACCAGCGACGATTGAGCCAATGCAGTCGCGGAACTTTTGCTGGGCGGCGCGCAGTTGGGCGTATGAGTTTGTCAGGGATTGTGTTTCTTCATCGAGCTGTTTCTTGATCTGGCCGAGTTGTTGTACTGAGAGGGCTCCAAGGTCGACTGTTGCGTGCTCTTGTCAGTCTTTCTTTTGTTGTGACAATGAGTCTTTGGATCATTCTTCCACGTACTCTGTTGACCACCTTGCTGATCTGCTGATTGCGACATGTTTCTGGACGGGTTGTGATATTTCTAGCTGTGACGTTTCGCGCGCGGTTCGAATCGATCAACTCAAAGTTGCGCCCCCACCCTGGCCCATACAAGTCCCCTTTTGGACTTGATTGCTCGCACCACGAACCCACGCGACTGGGCGTCCGAACGCGTGCAACAACGACAACGAGGGTGGATATATTTGATTGACAATAATCACATCCAAAACATGGCTCAGAAACAAAAGCGCTCCAGAGCCGAACAGGCACGACAATTCCTACAAAGCGGTGGTGTTTTGCGAGAGGACTCGGACGATGAACTCGGTACTGAGGACCTCCCCTGGGAATGGATCTATGGACCCAACAAGACCATCGTCGGTGCTCAGATTGGCGATTTCCAATGCCACATCGGAGACACCGTCTTGCTCAAAGCCGCTGGAAACGAAGCTTGGGTAGCCATCATCCAAGACTTTGCAGAGGGCGAGATCGAAGACGATGATGGACAAATGATCAATGATATGAAAGCCTCCTTTCTATGGTTCTCATCCGAAAAGGAAATCGTCAACAAGGCCAAGAAGAGGCAAGACTTTCTGGAGAACGAATTGTACATCACTACTGGTCTGGACGAAAACTCATTAAAGACTATCAATGGCAAGGCTACTGTCCTTTCTGAAGAGAGCTTCAACTTGAGGTATCCGAATGGCAAGATTCCAAAAGGCTCGAAAGATCATGGCAAAGTCTTTGTCTGCAAACGAGGCTGCAATACTCGCACAACCACCTACACCGATGAGTTCGTCTGGGAGGACGTATACCGTGGAGCTGAGGATATGCAGTCTCTACGGGACTTGATCGACAGTCAGACTGTAAGAACACGCAAACGCAAGTCAGCTGTCAGGGCAACGATACCCGGTGATTTGGATGAGTTCGTGGTACCTGACGACGAAGATGGCGAGACGGCCACTCAGCGGAAACGCAGGAAATTGACCTCTGCCACACCAACTTCAAGGAGCAAACACCCTGCGCCTCGCAAGCTCACCACTCCTACACATCGCCGCATTATCGCCAAGAGGCCTCTCGAATTTACACCTCTGGGTACTCGTATGATCTCGCCTTCTCACACAACCGCCTCACCCCATCAGCTCGCCCGAAGCACACTGCACGTATCAGCTGTACCAAATGCACTTCCTTGCCGTGAAGATGAGTTTGGCGAAGTCTACGCTCATCTAGAGACTGCCATCTCGGCCGGCACAGGATCTTGCATCTACATCTCCGGCACACCAGGCACAGGCAAAACTGCCACGGTACGAGAAGTAGTGGCCGCGCTCAACGTAGCCGTCTCCACCGACGAACTGGACGACTTTGTGTTCGTCGAAATCAACGGTATGAAAGTCACCGATCCTCACCAATCATACTCTCTACTCTGGGAAGCTCTCAAAGGCCAACGCGTGAGCGCCACACACGCTCTAGAACTGCTCGAACGCGAATTCAGCACTCCAAGTCCGAGAAGAGTACCGTGTGTAGTGCTGATGGATGAACTCGATCAACTCGTCACAAAATCTCAAGGTGTCATGTATAACTTTTTCAACTGGCCTCAATTACGACATTCGAGACTTATCGTGTTGGCTGTGGCGAATACCATGGACTTGCCTGAACGCACACTCAGCAACAAGATCAGTTCGCGTTTGGGACTCACACGCATCACATTCCCTGGCTATACCCATCAACAACTCATCAAAATCATAGAGAGCAGACTCGAAGGCATAGGACAAGTGGTGGTCGAACCCGACGCCGTACAATTCGCGAGTAGAAAAGTAGCCGCTGTATCTGGAGACGCACGTCGCGCTCTGGATATCTGCCGTCGCGCAGTTGAGATTGCTGAGGCAGACAAGGCAGCTGCTGACAAAGCTTCACTGGAAGAAACACCGGCTGCAGAAACCAATGACGAAGCATCAGCCACGATAGCACCAGCGAAAGCGGCAGCGATGAAGAAAGGCGTCGTCACAATCTCAACCATCAAACGCGCAATCAACGAAGCTACCTCCACACCTTTAGCCTCATACCTGCGTTCCCTTCCCCTGGCTTCGAAACTCTTCCTTGCTGCTCTGCTCGGCCGTATTCGAAGAACCGGATTGACGGAGAGTACACTCGGCGACATCATTGACGAAGCGGCACGTATGGCAGCGTTATCATCTTTAGTCCCTCTCCATGATATTCTACTCGCATCGGATACTTTCCAACCTATTCCTTCACTGACAGGGGCTTCTACACCTGGCAAACGAGGCAGAGTGGCTGGCAAGAAAGAGAGCAAAGTGGCGAGGTTGAGAGGAATGAATGTGGCGGCAGAGGAGCTGGCAGAAGCCGGAATCGTAGGCTTGGAAGTCAGAAGAGGCGAGAGAGTCGGTCGAGTAAGATTGGGTGTCGGCGAAGAAGAAATCAGAGGTGCTCTCCGAGAAGACGAAGAATGCAGAGGTCTCGGCTTCAGTGGGTGAAAGCATGCCAAAAAAAAAAAAAAAAAGGAAAGACAGGCAAAAGAGAATTACAGAACTTGAGAATTAAAAACTATGCTTCTAGACTTCATAAAACCCTTCCATCCTCCACCTCACCGAGTCATAAAACGGCTGCAATTGCTTATCCATGTGCGCACTCCACCATTTATCATGCATACTAGCCACACCCGCTTCCTTATCCCTGACATTCGGGAACCTGATATGCCAACTCTGATCATTCATATTCGTCCACGGCATTTGCCCCTCCCTTCTGAACGCATAGTTCAAGAGGTTTTGCTCCATGTATTTAGGATCAAAGCGATTGGGAATGCTGAGGATAGCTTTGAAATGCTCGAATAGAGTCAAGTCAGGGCGGAAGAGGAAGAAGCCTGCGTTGAAGTAATTGGGATCTTTGTAGTCGTTGTTTTCCGCCGAGGGTGGATAGTGGTGGAAAGGATTTGCTTCTGCGACTGTGGCGAGGATGTAGGTTGATGGTAGTGTTGCTTCGTCGTTTGGTGTGGTGTTTGATGTTACCAGAGCTGCTGGTGTTGTAGCAGAGGCGTCGTCGAAGATGCCATCCATACAGCGGTTGAGAATGAAATCACCATCGAGGAAAGCGACGAGATCGTAAGAGGTCAACTCCCAGGCTCGAAGTTTTGTCATTAGGTCTTTCCATTGGGGCATTTCTCCGTGTATCCAGCTAGTATCGACTTCTACATTTTCGACCTGAAGTACCACGGCACCGTCTTTGGTCAGTAGATTGCGTCTGTCTTGCTTGACATCTGCAGTCACCAACACCACAAACGGAATATCGCGTTGCGTCTTTGTGGTGGGTTGATGCATCAATTGGTATCCCAGTATCCTTGTGGCCATAAAGTAGTGATCATCGGAAGGATTTTCTGGCGCGTTCATGGTGTTTGTGAGAAGAGTCATGTAGGCCAGTTTCCGCTTGTCGGTTGTAGTACCGGGAACGTGTGAGGCGATCTTGTCGGCAAAATGTGACACATCATTGGTTGTTACGCCTGAAGAATAGGCGCCGAAGAGTAGGAGGATACTCGTAGCTACCGCTGCTGCGATGACAAAGAAGCGGAGTTTATAGATGGCCATGGCTGTAAAGTAGGAACAGTGATGTTCCTGCCCTAATCCACACAAGAAAAGGCAGCAAAGATGAACAGAAGAGTCAAGGGTAGAGACAGCAAATGAAAGAGAAAAGTGGATCCACAAGAGGCCTTACCGAGAAGTGGCTACCTATCCTATATAAGAATCCCCCCTTCCACAACTTCACAGCGGAAATTCGAGATTAGCACGAACATGTTTACCTCAGCGCGTACGAGCGTTTTATGATCACCTCAACCCGATCCTCGCCAGCGGCTATCTTAGGGGTGCATCCTGCCATCATTTCTGGACAGGTAACCAATCATGTGGTGGATCCTGGGCCACCATCGCTGCGCCGGTAAATGATTCAGCTGCAATATGTTTCTCGGTATATAGAGATGAAGGGTGATAAGCTTTATTCGTTTGGCAGGTTGGGAAGGAGGATCCCCAAGACACCATGCCCTGATACCCAGCTATCGAGATATTTTTCTGCAGGGCTAGTCTGACCGGCCAAGCAGCGAGCTAAGGATTTATATCGAGATACGGTACGAGCGCCCACCGGCCGTGCTTTTGCATAGGAGAGCATGAGCAAGATCAAAGGCCAGAAACGAAAGACACAACGACTGGTCCTGTTGTATTTCTCGCCGCCATTTCGTTGCTGTGTATATTTCCTGGCATCGAGTCAACGATGCGATCATCGTGATGCGCAGAACTGTTCTATATCATGTAAGCGAGGGGGCCTGAAGCTAGTGGCGCCGTTACCACTCCCAGAAATAGGCCCGGCTTCAGCTCTCAGCTCCACTACTTCTCCACGATGGACTTGCCTGTCGACACCGTGATCCAACGATGCTGACACACGAAGAGATACCTAAACGACACGTTTGTGGCGCTCGTGTCTACCGAACCCGAGGTGCACGGCGATATATCCGCGTGTGCACACCAGGGGTTCCTTTGATCTCGCTCGATACCGGCTGCCGATCAGTGAAAATGTCTTATTGCATCGCTCGCAAGTTCCAACGCTCTGCCTCATGATGGAAGCGATGGGGTGTAACGGATATCAGTACTTGAGAAAAGGGGTGTTGGAGGGCAAGCGGGTCATCACGGAACCTCCGAGGCCAATACCGTGGTGTATCCTCGCGCAATAAGATGATTGTTAATGGACATTGCTTTGCTCCAGAAAGATCTTGTGGTGTCTACGTTCCACATATGCCTATGGCTTTGTGGGAGGAGAGCTAGTCAGAACAGCGGTCTTGGCACGAGAGGTTGGTTCTTTCTCAAGCCTCTTTTTGTGATGGCTCAGCACGATGATCAAACTACAGAACGCACAAATATCTTCAACCCAGAGCCAAGTGCAGGGAGAGCCAATGATTTGTATCCTGGGTTTCTGCACTAAAGAAACAACAGACTGATAAGATGGCATCGCAGTGATGTTGCTGAAAGTGCTTATCACACTTATGGAAACCAGAAGGAAAATCATTCGCTGTGGTCAAGTACCTGCTCTATCTACCTTTGCCGTCTGGCAACCGGGTGTGTCATAGCAAGAGAGTCGTGACAAGTACCTGTCAATTGAACTCCAAATCCTCGCCCACCTCAAAAGGGTTGCTTGTCGCGATCAAGTTGAACAGCGTTTGGTCTGTATCTTCGCCCAAACGATAATCCCATGGAAAGGAATTATGATCGTTGATGCGGAAGCCGAAAGGCTCGCTGTGGTCGACTGTGATGTGCTGAGCAATCTCTTGTTTCGCTGTGATGAGGGCGTTTCGAAGCCATCGAGTTACATTAGTCAGTGTCAAGGTAGTGACATGGTGACTGTAGGTTATTTCAACATCTTGCGAGACAGCGATCGAATGCAGAGCCAAGATGGACGGGTTGATGTACTCATACTGCACTTGAGCGGAGGCTGCGTGACTGAAGAGCGACGTCGATACGATATCCCTTTCATCAGCTGGAGCCGTACCTCGACCAGGAGGCTGAACCCGTCCCGGTTGATCTTGCAAGTGCCTGAGTACAAAGCCGAAGAAGTTCAAGTCACGCTCGAATTCGGAAGTCCAGAGGCCAAGCCCTAGGCGGGTATCCAACGAACTTCTGCCGAACCAGACCTCATTCGAGAAGAACGGATTCTTGTCAAGAATCCAACTGAAGAAGGATTTGTCACGCAGGACACATGCGACTCGGAGATAAAAGAGGGTTGATCTACGGATCTCGTCTCCCGGGATCTCTGAGGTAATGAATTGGAGTAATCTTTCTCTCATTTCCGTGAAGGTGCCATAATAGTCGATCCAGCCAAGCAGACACTGCACGATACCACTCAGAGGCACTACTCGCACGCACTGGCGGAGGCGATCCATAAGAAGGTGGTCACTCTGGTCAGGAAAGTCACAGAGCATAGAGAAGCCAAGTAGATTGACAGTCGACATGGTGTTGAGGCGGTCGTTTCTCTCGCGCAGGGACAACTGCGACACTGGATTCGAAGTCTGGATGGTAGTCACAGCTGAGACGATTCGAAGTTTTGGATCAGTTGCAGCTGTCTGCAAAGAGGCATCAGTCGAGAATTGTGGTACATCGGGCCCGAGGCTGCTGTTACCTTGCCCACGAGAATGTCTTTTCCATCCTGGTCCAATTCGAGTTCATAACGCTTCATGACTCGGGCGATACCGTCACTGCAGTTCTCTGTTCCTGTGACTTTGTTGTGAAGCCACTCGGGCTTCAGTGTCGCCGCGAAGTATGATGAGACTGCGATGAGTTTGTCGCTCGATATTCTCATTTCCAACGTTCCAAAGTCGAACGCACATACCATATATGGTACGGAGATGATGGTATCGCCGTTTGGATCCACGAAGCAGGGCGGAAGTTCGTCTGGCCGTAGGGATTTCATCATGAGTTGGATGCAAGCCAACCTTGTAAAGAGCGTTGCGCGCTGGAATTAATGCTTGGAGAAATGGATTTCGTGGAATGACTTTGGAGAGCGCAGGCTATTGACAGTAGAAGGAGCGAGGCTCTCGACAATCGTTTGAGACCATTCGGCAACTTATTCGCGACCAGTGCAACATGCTGGCCATGCTTTCGTCAGCCAGTCTCAGATCGCTCGACTTTGTCTTTCCAAGGTGGTTCGCCATCATCATCAAATTCTGCCCATTGGAAGAAAGAACAGCCTTTTTGGCCTGGTGTGTAACCGGCGTGACACATCCACATGTAGCGACCCAGGTTCTCAGACTTTCTTTGTACGCATCTGAGTACAACTGGTATCTTACAGTGGCATTTGGGTGTAAACTTTGGGTGGAAGCTAGGTTTGTAGTATCTGTAGGTAATGTTGATTCGCTTGTTTCCAGCTATGGGATGTGGATCAATGGCAGTAGTCGGGACAATGCTGTGCTTCCAGTGTTCTTGCATTTCGGCATGCATGACGAGCAAAGAGTTGTGAGGCAGGTGAATCGAGATCTGACCTTGTGAGTCTCCAGCGCTTGAGTTCCCAGAGTCGTTACTGGTGTCCTTGGGTACGATTTTGCGGACCCTGAATTCGCGAGCTACGCCCAATGAAAGACTTCCGATGACAGCGCGAGGACCGAGATAGGTCAGCTGGTCAGAATGATACCCAACACTTTGTTGAGGCCCATCATAGCAATTTACAAAAGCAGTGTTTGGCTTCCATTCTTTGGGATCCTGATACTTGAGCTTCTCACCGTTGGGGTAGAACTGAGCAATTCGACGTTGAATCTCATTGTTGACAGCTTGACGCACCTTAGCAGATGCAAATAACATCTTCGGGGGTGTTTGTCGAATGTCTTTGATGGTGCTGCCATTGTAGACGTATGTTGTCTTCTGTTCTTCAGCTTCCTTGAAGCTGTCGACATAGAAGGACATAGTATGTGGACTCTCGACAGTACGGTCGAAGAGCTGAAAGACTTCTTTTTCGAATGTCTTTGACTCATCCAAGAGCTCTGTAAGCAATGCATTGGCTTCGTCGGCAGGGAGAAAGTTGTGGATGATGGAACATGGCGTATGTGTTTCGATATCCTGCGGGCTATACAAGAAAAGAGTCTTGCCTTTCTTTGTGAGGTGCTTGGTCAGAGGAGGTTCACCACCCGCGGAATGAATCAGATTGGCCAGCGTAGATTGATGACCCACGGTTTTGGCTCTCTTTGATTGACCCAAGGACGTGGTTCTGTCTTTGGCCAGAAGAGCGGAGGCGGTATCAACTAAGCCGTCGGAAGACAACAAGGCCTCAAGCAAAATATCTTGGGCAACATCGGGATGCATAGATGCAAGCAAAGCAAGCTTGAATTCGGTGCTGTCCTCATGATCGTCCTCTTGAGCGGCTGGAGCAGCTGGTCCAGATGCATCTGCATCGATAGACAAGTTTTTGCGTTTCCTCGAAATGAAGGCATCCATGGCTCAGATACTGTGCAAGCCGCAGCATCTTCGTGATCTGGTTCCGAGAGATGCACGAACAGCACACGGTGCGTTTTGGTGGACGCGGCGGACGTGTCGAAGAAGGACCGAGAACCGAGAGAGCGGGTTGGAAGAAGGCGCGGTCCCCAGCGCAGCGAGTCCGGCTGCTCGGTGTTTCGGCTGTCGGGCTGTGAATTGCTTGCAGCGGCAGGTGCGTCACGCAACAGGGCAAGAGCGAGCGCGAATGCATGTGGAGCAGCGAAGGTGGGGTGTGAACAGCAATAATACCACCTTGTCCTTGACACCCAATCCCACCCTCCTTCTCTCGAGCCGTTTGCTCTGCGCATAAGACATGCACTCGCCATAGCACCCTCTATACAAGTATCCGAGTGCTCCATCCACGCCTCCATACCGCCGACCATCGCGAACCCGTCAGGAAGCCATTAGCAATGCTCGAATTTCGAACCGCGGGCTTCAACCCGTACGCCGTCAAGTACTCGCCCTTTTTCGACAGCAGGCTATGTGTGAGCGCTGGTGCCAACTTTGGTCTGGTGGGCAACGGCCGCCTCTTCATCCTCAACCTGACGGACCGAGGCATCGTCTGCGAGAAGTTCTTTGAGACTCAAGACTGTCTGTTCGACACAGCCTGGTCAGAAGCACACGAGAACCAGCTTCTCACCGCCGGTGGAGATGGCAGTGTCAAGCTCTTCGACATCAACCTTAGCGAGTTCCCCATTGCCAGCTGGTCTGAACACGGTCGCGAGGTCTTCTCGGTCCACTGGAATCTCGGTCACAAGACGACCTTCTTGAGTAGCAGTTGGGATGGCACAGTCAAGATCTGGAATCCCGAATCAAAGACATCTCTTCTTACATTACCCGTACACTCATGCGTCTACTCGGCCCAATTCTCTCCTCACAGTCCCGACATTGTCACCGCCGTCGCCAGAGACTCGCACCTACGCGTCTGGGATCTACGAACGCCCGCTAGTGCCTCGAACCACTTGACCCTCGCTATACCCATACACGCTCCTCCTAAGATGACTCCTATGAACTTCACCCCCGCCAGCGTTGGTCCCACTGAATGCCTGACACACGACTGGAACAAATACAGAGATACAGTCCTCGCTACAGCTGGCGTTGACGGCATGATACGTACCTTCGACATCAGACAACCTAGCGGTCCTGTGGCCGTCTTGCCAGGTCACGAATACGCCGTTAGAAAGATCAGTTGGAGCCCACACCTAAGCGACGTACTGCTCAGTGCTAGTTATGACATGTCGTGTCGCGTCTGGACTGACGGCAGTGCTATGGGTGTGGACCATGCAAAGATGGGTATGCCCGCAGGACAGGGAGCCCGCGAGATGGGCCGTATGGACCGTCACACCGAGTTTGCCATGGGCGTTGATTGGTGTCTCTTTGGCGCAGAGGGATGGTGCGCCACCTGTGCTTGGGACGAAAAAGTCTTGGTCTGGGATGTAAGGGACTTTATGAGGCGGTGAATGCGACCAACTAATTTCAAGGGTATCGAATGCTATACGCCCCCAAAAACTCCGATCATGAGGGTTTTCCGATGCTCCACTACACACGCTATGCAGAACTCGATTTTGCTTTTCCCGGCACGGTAAACTTCTCGTCGACAGGGGATGCAATCCAATCTAGGGTGTTCTCGTCCTAAGAGAGCCCCACAGGTCGCGCTCCGCTCAATCTCACCACTCCACCGCCAAATGCAGGTCCGGTGGTTTCCAGCTTCCAGCCAGGTACCTCGTCGTCGGCACGTGCTTCTACAGTCTTCCAGGCATTGGGGAAGCCAGCTGCCAATGCTCCCTTGAGCTTTGCTCCTTGGATCGCGAATTTCTCTCTCGAAAAGGAGATGTAGCCACCAAGCAGACCTTGATGGATGAGTGCCGTCATTTTAGAATGAATGTTGTTCATGTCAGGCAGATCGAGAGCGTCTTCGCCGATTGGCTCATCGACCACGCCAACAAAGTCCGGGTCGATATAGTTGTCAGGTTGAGAGGCTCCAGGCGATGTAGCGTAGATGGTTTCCTGCCAACGGAAGATGGCCAGCACATCTTTCAAGTCGAAAGTCGGCGCCTTGCGAGCCTCGGGGTTTCCAGGATCTCCGTATAGAACAAACGTCTTTCGACAGATGGACCTCCAAACAAACACTTCACATCTGTTCCGCAACTGCAAGTCCAGCCTGTAGCCCGAGAACCACGCATAGTGCTCAGATCCAATATCCAAATGCCTTCTGAAGCCCACAAGATCGCCTTTGGCAATATACCTGCATAAAGGCTGGAACCTTTCTCTCAAACCATGGGCCTCTGGTCTCGCAAACATCTGCTCCGAGGGAAAACGCCCACAAACCATGTTTGCCGAAATCAAGAAAATGAGAATCAAACGTCTTTGCTGCAAACACTGAGGATGGCATTCCAACCATGCTTGCTGCAGCGCCTTTTGCGCTCTCCACGCGTGCCCGTTCGCCCATAGAAATCTGCCCAAGTAATACAGATACGCACACCTCTGCGCCTTTGGATAAGCACTCAACGGCGGACTCAGCACAAAGATGTTTTCGAAGATCTGAGCTGCACCTCTGGTCTTGCGGCACGCGAACAAAATCTTCAAACACAGGTTCGCGAGCACGTAGGTGCCTTTTCGCTTTCCCTGGGGAGTGCCGTTTGGTCCGATGCCAGTGGGGGAAGATCCAGAGCGGTCGTTTAGACAGGCTACGAAAGCGTAGCGGATGATGTTTGCTGCTCGTTCGGGTAGGGTTTCGCGTGGGCCAGAGTCGTCCGAGGAGGAAGAGGTTGTAGTGGCGAGGTGCGCGATGAGTTCGGGTTTCTTGTCGAGGCCCATGGCGAGGCGAGCGAACATGCGTGAGTAGGAGATCACCGTGTCGAGGATGGTTGTGCCGTGAGTTTGGTTTTGGAGGGCTGAGTTTGCTTTTCTGTGTGGATGAGTTGTTAGAAAGTGTGAAATAATTCCCTTCGAAAGTCTTTGACATGAACTCTTTTTTTCTTTCGCTTGAGCCTTTCTTCTTGTTGTGAAATGACAAGTACGTCGAATATCATCAATGTACAACAATCAACAGAACCAACAAAAAGAACACCAATCGAACCTCGATCAAGAAGACAAAACATCGAAAAGAAAAGAAAAAAAGAACTTACTGCAAAACCTCACTCAACAACCCAAAAGTCTCCAACAAATTCCCTACATCCACATCCCTCAAGAACCCAAAGTACAACACCATAAACCTGCTAAACGCACTCCAACTAGCAACCTCCACATCATCACCCCCATCAATAACTTTGACAGCTTTGACAATCTTCTTCTCTAATGCTGCATCTGAATCGCCGCCTTTGGGGTATGTGGCTCGTAATTCGTTGATTATGGTGGTGTAGGAGGGTGCGTAGGGTGGTTCGATGACCAGGTACTGGGATAGTTGTGCCGAATCTTTGGAGAGTGTTATGCGGTTTATTTCGGTGAGGAATTGGTCTAGTGTTGGTGTTGCCATGATGTTACAGATGATCTGAAGGGAGAGTGTGTAGTTGGCGCGTGTTGTGTGAGGCTTGTGGTTGTTCGAGATTCGAAAGTGGCATGCGGCTCTGGAGATGTTGGTGGTCTGTGCGCCATGTAACAATGCAGCAAGGAAAATAGGTATAGATAGCGATGTCAAGGAGCAGATACATTTATGCGTGGAGTTTTGGAAAGCTTGCAATCGATGCGGCGTCTTGAATTAAGACATTCTGTCACGTTGAAAGCACGGGAGTATATGATGAAGTTGAAAATCGGCACGTTTTTGTTACGTTAAGGTATTTGTCTACGTACAATAACACATTACTGGCTCTAGGCCTTCGTAATGTTCTCATGGATGAAGGATAAAAATGAAAAGATACAGCGAATGGCAGTTGAAAACAACAGGTAGAAAAGGACAAGGGGACCGAAAACGACGCCCTCCCGTCAAGGCTGTCTCCAACATCGAGAGAAGAAGAACAAGTAGAGTCGACAAAACGGGAAGCATTATGATGAAGTGTGGATACGCGTTCGTGTTCTCCTTGTGCTGTTTGACTGCAGTGGTCGTTGCTTCCGTATCGAGTTGCATTTTGCAAAGACATGTCGCTAATGGTACACAAAGCAATGTTCGTTAAATCAGAGGGCCTGGCCGGGCACTGGCTTCCTAGCGGGCACACCAAGAGGCGTGCCTGGAAGGGAAGGAACCGTGGACTTGCCAGCACTCGATACTGTACCCATCGATGCACTTCGGCTGTGAGCATCAGCGGACATGTCTGCACGCTGCTGGGATTGTTTGGAGGCCTTGGTTGGAGATGCAGCAACAGACATGCTTCTTTGGCGCGATTGAGCTTGCTCGGCTAGAGTGGGCGATGACTGCTTAGAAGGAGCCATCGAAGGACGGCGGGCTTGTGACGCAGCAGAACCTTGTGACGACGATGAACCTTGACGGACTTTGGCACCAGGAACAGGTCTAGGAGGAGGTCCCATGGATCCAGGACCAGAACGAGGAGGGCCAGCTCTAGCACCTGGAGGGGGACCTTGTCTCGGCTTCAAAGGCTGTTTCGAGAGACAGGTTCTAGGAGCAACACCTTGTTGAGAGCGGTCCATACGGGTACAGAGAGCCTAGAGTTGTTAGCATGTTGACTGCAAATACCAAGGGAACATCGACTTACCCAACCATCGTCATACTCGTGCAGGACTCTCACAATCTGGCCAACCTTCAACTCGAGCTCGTCATCCATAGAGGGCTTAAACTCGAGTTGAACACTGTGGACAGCATTGCCTGGACGATCGCCTCCAGGAGCAGCACCTGCGAGAGCGGCCACGGGGACGACAGAAGCCATACCGACCTCAGCCTTGGCCTGGGTACCGGGAGTTGCAGGAGAGCTGAGGTTGAAACTGGCTGCAGTAGGGCTGGGCACGGGGCTGCCTTGGAGCTCGACTGGAGGACTGAGGGATCGCTCTTCAGGAATAGGTGAGATGACATCCCTCGAGTGGGGCTCGACAGTTTGTGCATGGATTCCGAAGGGGTTAGACGGGTCGCTGTTTCTGCCGCTCATGACACCCGCGGCTGCCCCAGCTGCAGCCTTCTCGGCATCTCCAAGGACGCTAGTCGAGAATTGGGAAGTAGGGCGGTAGCTGATGCGCGGTGCCGTGGCAGTGGTGCGTGTCGAAGCAGGGGGCTGAGGAACGGTCATAGTGCTTGGGCTTTGGCTCATGAAGCCCTTCTTCTCATCATCAAGTCTCTCCATACCAATAGCCTGCTTCTGTTGAGCCTTCTTCTTGCGAATGAGGAAGTAGGCAAGACCTGCAAGAACACCGATAGCACAAATAACCACCAGAGCGATGCCGGCCTTTGCGCCTGTGCTTAGACCATCAGAAGTTGCATCTGCCACCGCTGATGATGAGGCTGAACTTGAAGCTGTGGCTTGAGCTTTTGCAGCAGATGAGATGGATGAGGAAGCAATCGTCGAAGACGCGGCAGCAGATGATGTGAGGACGGCTAGAGTTGATGAGGCAAGTGATGACGAGGACGATGAAGAGAGAGCAGCGGCAGTCGACTTTGCGGTAGGTGACAAGGTACTCGTGATTTTGGATGAGGTTGTGGATGTGGCGCTTGTGCTTGCTTTGGCAGTTGTTGATGTTGATTTGGCCTTTGCCGTGGTTGTGTTGTCGTTGTCATCATTATTGTCGGTGTTGGTGGATTTGTTCGCGGCAGAGGAAGCTTTGGTGGTGGGATTGGCTCCGAGAGTAACGAAACCAGCTGTCGGTCCTGAGAAAGTAGCAGAGGCCGTTACATAGACGACAGAGAAGACTGTTGCGACATCATCGGCCTCCTTGACCACCACTGGGGCGCGTTCGTCGAGCATTACAAGACTGGATTGAGAAGCTGGCAGCCTCTGGGGCATGTGGCGGTGAGGTTTGAAATGCATGGCGAAAAGAATTGGTTGATGTTGATTATAAGCTGGTGGTTAGTAGTAGTCGATGGTTGATGTTAATGAGTGGAAGGTCGAGTAGTCGACAATAGCAATTGAATGAGTGTGTGGGTGAATGGCCGCCTGCGAAGGAAACGACAACAAGCAAGAAACGGAGGCGTGCGCGGCGAGGAATGTTTGGTATATGAGAGGTGGGCGACCAGTGACCAGACTGAGCGGCGCGTGATAAACAGCAATTAAAATGAAAGAAAGCAGGTTAGCACCAGGCGGACTCGGCGGACGTCGATAAAAGAGGGACAACGTTGCAACGACTTGCGAATGCAATTCAGATTAAGGTGAAGAAGAAAAGGAAAAGAGCAGCAATTACACAACCGTCGTCCAACCGTCTACGCTCCGTGACTTGACCATGCCCATGGACTCTGGCGACGGCGCCCTCGCAACATGATGCGACGCTGCGACGACCTCTGAGAATCTGGAGAAACCGCGCTAGCCTCACGCCAAAACCATCAGGCCGGGCTCCGATTGGCGCGCTTGGACCAGATGCAATCTCCCGACCATTTCGCGACACTTATGAGACGACTACGTCCCCTGTCTTCCCAAGCTTCTCATACAACTCGCCCACCACCCTGATCTTCTTCGACTGTCAATCAGCCGCGCCGAGAGTAGATCTTTCGCCTCGGGTTCAAGGTTTGATCCAAGCTGCCACACTTCCGTCCCCTGGTCACCGTCAGTCAACTATGGATCGTCCTGGCGTAATGTCATAACAACCCGTACGCCCAGTCGAACGACTCAAACGTTGCAATCACAACGTCTCTCATTTCGTGAGCGCTCTTTGTTCTCCATGCATATCAGCTCGCCACTATGCATATACGATATGCTCCACGTATCCCCTATGAAATAGGAGTTCATATCGTTCTTGTGAAAGGAGAACTCTCGTTCACGCAATCCCTTCCCGCTGTATAATCGATTCCGCACGTTCTGCTCCACTGGACCCATCGCTCAGCCACACACGTCGGCTGCCTTGTCTGTTGCTGTCGGACATGTGTTTGACTTGTCGTGGCCGATATATCCGTTCCCATGAACTCACGCCGATGTCTGTCTATTCTTGTTCGCCGTCAACTAATGCAAGCCCACTGACAGGCCTGAATCGAGTCTTCATATAACGAAGACATCATCCTTGCTATCTACATGTCTTGCCGTCCTACTACAACCTTCTATAAGAACTTGAAACACCTTGGTCAAACGTAGCCAAGTCTATTTTCAGTTCCCGCTTCACGATCGGAATGATCATCCTCTAAAGATGGACTCTACCTATTGTGGTACCTTTCACTCCTCGAACGGCATTGCCAAGGCTCTCATCCGGATGACAAAACATCTCAAATACTCATGGTCTTTCCAGATCTGGCTATTTTCTGCCGTGTTTACCACCGAGCTTGGCTGTGACCAACACCCTGTTCGTCAACACACCACTTTCTCGTACTACTTCATTCGACGATTCATGTCCCTCTCCGCTACCCCTGGTCGTAAGTAAATCATGAAAACCCATAAATCCAGCATGAAATTGCAAAAGAATCCTCCTGTCGCTCGCCGCGAGTCAGCAATCCACTCCAAGGGGTAAAGCCGTTGGATTTTCCCACACCGACTTGAAGAACTGCATTCTCCCCTGACTGTTCAATGAACATGCATTCGATGCACGTACATAGTTCCCTACCTGCCCGTCCACATTTGTATGACTACTAGCCATGATGATGCATCTTTAATCTCCCTCCTACGGCTTTGCGGAGCAGCATGTAAGATATAGAGATGCACAGCGAGGTCACAGCTAGATATGTATCCAGGGAGAGTCAAATCGTTCTCTCATCGTGACACGGAGCAATACGTCAGCTATAGAAATGCACAGCGATGTCACAGCCAGGGATGTGTCCTGAGGAGAGTCAGAGCCCCTTTCACCTCAATGTGGAACAACATGTACGCCATAGAAATGCACAGCGATGTCGCAACCAGAGATGTATCCGAAGAGAGCCGTCGAGATGAAGGACAACCGCTCCCGCTCTTCTCCTACATCGATGTGTAGCAACACGTGAGCTATAGAAATGTACAGCGAGTTCACAGTGAGAGATGTATCCGGAGAGAGTCAAAATATAAGAAAAAGCAATTTCATTCGATTCTGTCTCGCATGGGTATCTTAGGAAGCAAGTGACTTTGTGTTTGGCCAGCCCTTTTTTTGGGTGCTGGTGCAGATAAGCTGCTTGCACAACTGTGTTCTTTGTGCTGTTGAATGTGAATGACAAAGGAAAGAGACCTAGCAAGTAAGTGCTGGTCCTCGAGGGTGCAGAGTGTGAGAAAGTATTAGCTGCGTGTCCTTGGATGTGTACTTTTGAACGCTGGATGACAAAGGAAACAGGAAAGAAAAAGAGATGAGGAAAGCACGTGTTCATGCTCGGAGTGTTGTGTTTGTGATGAGAAGAGCATGGTCCATTCACTTGAAACTGAATCTCAGTTCCTTCAAGAAGACCTTCTTGCGCTCAAGAAAGATTTCGTTGCCCTGGTCGATGCTGTCCTCCGAGGCGAAGACGCGATCGCTGAACAACAGGAGGGATCTGGCAGTGCCCTTGCCCTTGGCGATGTCGAGGCATTGGGCCCAGAACTCGATGTGCTCACTGAGGTTTTCAGCTTGGAACTTCCAGCCTTGGGGGTCAAGGTGAACGCTGTCACGGTCGCTACCGGAGGCCGTGTGGCGCTCCATTAGAATTTCCTTGAGGTTGCGAGCGGACAAGAGTCTTTCGAATGCGGACGACAGAGCGTGTAGCCACACGGGAAATACATTCATCTGCCAACCGCGCAGAACGATGCGCTGCAGGAGGAGACGGTTGTCGGGACCGATACTGAAGAGGAACTTCTGGAGAGCAATGGGGTGCTCGAATTCCAGGGGCTGGCCGTAAAGGATAGGGGCGGCCTCTCGATAGACGGGCTTACAGACGCGCAGGATGGCGGGAGTGAGGTGTGTGATGTTCTTGTCATTGGCCTTGTGGACGGTTTTCAAGAGCATTTGTCTTCCGCTGGTGGGCTTGTCTTGTTTGTTCAGGAAACCACGTCGAACTACCTCATGACCTGCGTTACCCTGGGTGAGGAGAGTGAGGGGGTTGGCATTCTCCTCGAGGAGGAGCTTGTAGATCATGAAGCGGATCTCAGTTGGGAGCTCCATGAAAGGAAAGGTTCCATCTCTGCGCAGCTGAGGCTTAGGCTTAGGCTTATTGACGTACGGCTTGCGCTTAGGCTTGATGTTCTGCTTACAACAAGGTTAACAACAGTAAGATCGTTTGACTCAGAGCTGTATTTACCTGATGATGGACGATAGGATTGACCACGGCGGCATTCTGGATGGCAGGGACATTTGGCAAAGCATGATTGTGAATGGCTGCACCCGGAATAGCGTGAATTGGGTGGGCGTGATGCAAAGCTGGAGGCTGGATGAAAGGATGCAGGTTGCCATGGTAAGGAGGGTTCCATTGCATGCCGCCAAAGTTTTGGAACATAAGTCCAGGGTGGATGCCAGGATAATGAGCAGCGAGGGCAAGCTGCTGTGCTCGTTGCTGGGCTTGCTGCTGGGCTTGCTGCTGGGCTAGCATTTGCTGTTGACGGGCATTGCGCCGAGCTTGTTGAGCCTGCAGGCGTGCAGCGCGCCGAGCTCGATCATGTGCGAGTAGATGGTTTGCGTTGGAAGACATCTCTACGCCGACGAGGTCGTTGTGGCGACTCGATGTTGATGTCGAGGTCGCGGCGTCGTGCGCGTCGAGACTGCGTTAAATCCATCTCCGTGCGATAAACGAAGTCGTAAGTCGGCGCTTCACTTGAAGCTAGCCTATCGTCACTTGCAGATTCACCGACGACGATTTACTTGGAAAAAATCGCCCAAAGGGTACGGGGACATGAAGGGTAGGACTTGTTTCTGAACATGTACGATATTTGATCTTTCTAGTAGATTGACAGGTAATGGAGAATGAGAATTACAATGACTTACAACATCTGCACTACAGATAGCATCAAGGAGGCAGAGAAAGACTCAAAGATGTCAACGTGACTGCCAGCAGCAGCTGTATTGCAGCTTATCTGCGTGACATTTGACCTAGCCTGTATTGTAACTGTCTCTTACAGCTACGCTCTCGGAATGAAAGCGCAGGATCAAAATTATCGCTAAGAGTGTGCTACTAGAGAGTTTGCCAGAACTGATTTTCAGTGGGTGTGCCAGCATGTTCCAGACGAGAAGAGAGCAGGCAACCTCAGTATACTGTCCGCTATCACATCATCTGATCTGGGTTGGATTACAAGTTACGGTCGGCCGGGTCCGAATCGTGATAAGAAGTCAAGTGACTCATATGATGATAGGAGATGACGAGGGGTACTCCAAGACGGTATGTTTGCTTTATCCGTAGCGGTTAGGTTTGATGATTCATGATGGTCCGAGGATGATCCTCTTGGACTCCATGGAAAGAGAGACTGTGTTATCACTGAATGGATGCATAAGGTAGAATAATGCCTCGTAGATACCAGTGAAGGCAATGGAATGTTAACAGGCCAGGGAAAGCATTCATCGTTGCGACAAGGCAAGGAAGGTGCGACTCGCAAGGCAGGAGCGAAGGACAGCCGGCAAGCGGAAAGCCGGACAAACGCCGACACTCACACGCAAAAAAATCGCAAAATTAGCGTGGGCGTCGTCATGTGACACCTCCGCTTTGAACTTGAACGTCGTGCGAGCTTTTCTTTCTGAGCGAGAGCGACGGCCACCCATCACTAACGACAGCAACCCTCCATACCCGTCAAAATGTCAGTATCAGCAAACCGCCGTCCGGAGAGCCTGTCGACACCCCAATTCTGAAAAAACCTCGTCGTCTTGCGCCATCCACACACACCTTTCGCCTCTTCTCCCACCAGCGCTCCTCCGGGCGGCAAAATCATCACAAACCGTGATCCAGCATAACAGGCACTGACATGCGTCTGCTACAGGGTCAACCTTCGCACCCAGAAGCGCCTGGCCGCCTCCGTTGTTGGCTGCGGCAAGAGAAAGATCTGGCTTGACCCCAACGAGGTCAGCGAGATCTCCAACGCCAACTCCCGCCAGACCATCCGCAAGCTCGTCTCCGATGGCCTCATCATCCGCAAGCCCGTCACCATGCACTCGCGCTCCCGCGCCCGTGAGCTGAACGCCGCTCGCCGCCTCGGTCGCCACCGTGGTTTCGGTAAGAGAAAGGGTACCAAGGACGCCCGTATGCCCAGGTATGGCTGCTCTATCTTCGACCATCGCCACCAGAGCAGACACTGATAGTCTGTTCACAGCCAAGTCGTCTGGATGCGCCGCCAGCGCGTTCTCCGTCGCCTGTTGGTCAAGTACCGCGCCTCCGGCAAGATCGACAAGCACCTTTACCACGAGCTCTACCACCTGAGCAAGGGTAACACCTTCAAGCACAAGCGCGCTCTCGTTGAGCACGTACGTCCCGCCCGACTCACCTTTGCTTACTCACACTCTTCTAACACACTTCACAGATCCACAAGGCCAAGGCCGAGAAGGCTCGTGAGGCCAAGCTCAAGGAGGAGATGGACGCCAAGCGTGCCAAGACCAAGGCCGCCCGCGAGCGCAGACAGGAGCGTATCGAGCAGAAGAGAGCCGCTTTCGCTGCCGACGACGAGGAGAAGAAGGCATAAACGAGATAATGTCACGGCGTGGCTTGATGATATCTGAAAAAGGCACAAGTCCGTTACGGCGGTACTCTCGGTTCGATTGGTGTTCTCTCTTCGTGGGCTTACGTTCTGGCGTGCGAAACATACCGGGGACCGAACGGATCAGTGCAAGCATCAGTTTTGCATGTACATCGGTTTTATGCAATGAGGGCAATGTGATCCAAAAACTTCTTTTTTCTTTGCCAAAATACCACTTGTGTTTCCTGTTCTCTATTGCTCATCAAGGTATTGTCGTTGACTTGTGAATATGAAGCACTTGAGCTCTGAACATTGTCCTCATGATGAACACCCAGTTCTTGCTCATTCTTGCTCACCGCTCGATTGTACCGTGCCCAGACTAGCTTCTGTCACTGAATTCAAAGAGGCAGGTTTATGGTTTGCTTGTCTGATAATTTCACTCGGGTAGTAGTTCTACGGCTCTACGTAGTACTCAAAGCTCGGTCAAGTCGACGGCTTTCCCCAAATTTGTATCGTGCTCGTTGTTCACCCACAGGCTGACAGTTTGATGGACGCTCGAGCAAACTTGCTTAGGAAGTTTGTAAGGATCTGAAAGATCAGGTAGACCATAGTCATGCATGTCGGATGGCCGTGACCTGGACGGGAAGTTGCGTACAGATCCTCCATGCCATCGACTTCGTTCCCCCAGTCTTCAGGTTCTAACACTCCCACTCCAAGCAATGCGGACGGTGGTTCTCCTAGGTCTAGTTTTGTCATACCACAAAATGACCGCGCTGGACAGACTTTACCTCCATCATCGCCACCTGCTATGCATCCTCACTTTGTTCTGCCTAAGCAAAAGAATGGTGATCTCGTTCCGATCAACAGCGCCGGACACAGATTAGACGTTCTACTACCACCACCTTCTGGCGAAGATCGGAGTGCCTACAGCGTTCGGATCGCTCAGCAAGGAAGACTGTGCAACGAGTATCAACTAAAAGGATACTGCACCAAAGGTGGAGCCAATTGTATCTTGGACCACAGCCCTATTCCAGATAACGTCAAACTTGTCCTTAAACATATGGTGCATAGCTACCCCTGCAGCCGTAGAGGAGCCTGTCGTCGTCAGAATTGCGATATGGGCCATATATGCTTCCTCGACAGGTGCAATCCTCTGAAGCGTAACAATGCTTGTAGGCTCAACAGCTACATGCACGTCGTCGATCCTGTCGTGTCTGAATGGGTAGCAGCCTAGCCAGACATCGAAGTATACAACCCCAACTCTTCTGATATCGCCGCTGGGGAACATGGACACCTGGAGACAGACTCGCCATCCCATACGGCCAACGAGACGCCTCAGAACGGGAACGACATTGATCCACTCTCATATGCGCAGCCTCATCCAGATGACCTGAATCAGTTGTGCAAAATACAGACCAGAACTCCTCTAAAGCAAATACTCCGCAACAGATAAGATGGATCGCTCTATTACCATATCACCGAAGGCGACACCGTCACATCACCGACAGCTTTATCTACCGGCTGCTTTCCAAGGGCCAATCACCAGCAAAGCGAGTAAACAACATAATCTCCAGTAGAACAAAGATCCGCAGTCAAAAGAACTTTCAAAACGTGGTATCGGAAACGAATTGTTTCATGATACCGTGATTAGAAGTATGCTCATGGGAAGGGGATTTCAGAGATGGTATTAACAAGAAGGTCCGCTTGAAGAGGGAACTGTGGATGATTCGGAAGTAAAAAAAGTCTGTTGCACCTGACCAAATACGAGTAAAATCAGTCTTGCTGCTTCTATTCGACTACTTGGTCGTTGATGACTATCGCGCAGATCAACCAGCTGCTATTCTACTGGACTATTCCATTTTCGCAAACATTCCCGTCTATAACGACAACCATACGATCCTTACATATCTAAAGCTTGCTCAGAGGAACAGCCTTCTGCAGTCCCTTCCACTTTTTGACTCCTTCCAACCATCTCCCATCCATACTTTGCCTACCCACAACATCCTGCTTCAACCACTCCTCATCCAACACAACTTTCTCCAAGTCTTTCCAAATCCTCACCTCTGCCTCCAACCACTCCGACACCTTTTCAGCCGTCTCCGAAATCTTCTCAAAACACAAGAAATGTCCTGTGTTTTCTACAAACTCTTCTTTTACTCTTCCCATTGCTGCGCCGCCAGAGCCATTCCAGCCTGTACCTGTGCGCTTCATCTTTTCACGTCGCTCGTCTGGGTCCATGGTGTAGGATTTGTTGCCGTATAGCCAGAGCACAGAAGGTCGTAGATATGGCAAAAATATCCAACAAGTTCTGCCCTCGGATTTGTAGAACGGAGATACGTAAGGAGCACAAGGCCAAAGGTCTGGGACAGTGGCTCTTGTGACAAGATCAGGAGTTGCTTCCCAATTCCTATCTTCATAATTTGGGCGTGCGACAGAAAGTGCTTCTTGATGTTTCGGCGTGGTAAGAGTAAAACTCTGCTCTGCTTCAGGATAGAGCAAAGTAGGCGTAGCTCTGATACTGTATTCCAGAATCTTTTGCACCACTCTTTCGTCAAAGGGTTTGAGTAGTGCGTTTTTGCGAAATGCGGCTTCGGCTGCTTGACGAGAGGGCCAGAGGTCTTTGCGGAAGGAAGGCAGGCGGGTCATTGTGATCCATGCGGGCATTTCTTTGTGGATGATTATGGCGTCTAGCATGACGATGGAGGTCAAGAGTCGGGGATGCATTTGAGCTAGCAATGTCAAGCATATTGAGCCCATACTGTGTCCTATGCCGATGATTGGACGAGTGAAGTCTTCACGGTGGGTGTTGATCAAGGAGAGAAGATCGCGTGCGTGGTCGGCGTAGTTTGCTATACGTCAAGGTCCAATCAATACTTTGTGCCGAGGTTTGAGAAGAGGAAGGAGCAAATGACTTACGATCATTGCCTATCTTGTTTTCATTGAGTACGTAGGAAGCTCCTTGGTTTGCTACATCTGCCATCCAGATACTGCGGATACCGTATCCTGCTTTCTCGCTCCGCTTGAGTAGGTCCTCCCACAACGGCTCATATAGCTCTTTTGGAAAGGCTGATGCGTGAGCGGCTAGAATTGTTACATCACCCTTTTGTGGTGTGCGGTTGAGTGGAATGTATTGTTTTGCACTGAGGTAGAGCTTTTCTTCTTGGTATGTCGAGGTGGCTTGTGGATATTCTCTGATGGTTTGACAAGGTGTGTGGTGCTCGATTATCTTGAATGAGGATGACATTGTGTAGCTTGGTTGTGACATGGAGTGTTAGGAAAATAGGAAATCGCTAGAGAGTACTTGTGCTTGGGTATGGTTTGGCATATGTACTACCTCATGGCAAACAGACATGACGCGAATAGATACAAACCGCTGAGCCTCCATGCATTGACCTAAAAGGATAGATACGAAGTTCTTTCCACAAGATTCATGTTGAGAGAATTGTTTCAGAGCTAAGAAGATCAGATATCAGAGGACAGAGAAAAAAGAGTTGTGATTTGCACTTGGCCTGCATGTGAGCAGAGATCGATTGTCTCTTTTCTACGAACGTCTAGCTTGATTCACTCGTGCAGAAAGCCATGCAACACGACATTCGACGTCCGAAGTGGAGCAGTGCGTGTTTTGAGTCGTGTGCGTTGCCTTGATGTGGATGTAGCAAGAGTGTTGAACGCCAGAGATGCTTGATTTTGTCATCTCGCCGAGATCTTGGATGATGTCAAGATGATCGACAGGGTCGTGAGTCGTGGAAGGAGATCAATCGTCGACCTCTGCCTTTGGTGTGCCTGAAGCAGTCGTTGGTGTGGACCTCAGCTTACAGATGCATGCCGTTTCCTTTCAGCTTGTACTGAGTTGTTGTTGGCCTTGTGTCAAGTCAGCAAGTGGAGTTCTGGTTGTGCGCGCCAGAGGAGAGAGCGTACGTTGAAGTGGTGCAATCGCGCACAGACCGTTGAGCCTCAGACCGGACCTGGTATGACCTTGAGGACCCCGTCCTCAACCACGACGACCTTCTTCTGGAAGTCAAAAGGTTGACCCTGTAGCATCTGTCAGCCTCACGCAGCAGAGCACCCGTCCATTCGGGGATGACTACTCACGATGACCAGCTCGGCAGCCTCCTCTTCATCCTGCTGCGAGCCGCAGCAAAGCAGGCGTCGCCAAAAAGAAGACATCGTCGACCTCATGATTGTAATTTGGTTGGAACTCTTTGTTATGAGTAGATGCACAAGGGTCGAGAAGTTGTTGGAAGTGGTGCGAGAAAGAAGACGATCGAGTCATGCTAGATCGGGGCCTAAAGTACTGATTTACATGCCGAGACATACGGATGTAAGCCCATTCGGCTTGCTCGCATTCGCCTTCGTTCATGCATGCCCTCGGGCTTTAAGTGTCGACTCCAGAGCGATATAGTGTTCAAGCTTTGTATAGCTATTTCATGTGGTGTAGTTATCTGTGAATGTACCACGGATCAGATCAAAAAGAAAAACCAGGTATATCCTGATGTACGGCTGAACTGAGACACAGCCAATACATCTCATGACCGCGTATAGCGATACTGCGAACTATTAAGATGCATGATCACTTTCGACTTTAGGATGTGTCTACAGAGAGCCTTTCTGTTGGCATCTCTCTACAGATGTCACACTATTGCTACTGATTATTATGCACTCTTGTAGTCACAGATATAGGGTTGAGTCTAGCGGGAGGTTACAGTGAAAGAATCGTTTCTGATATAGCTTATCATGGCTTCGTTATGGACAAGAAATGAAAACGCGTTAAACGCCGTTTATAAGACGTAACGGTACATGGGACCAAAATTCTCAACACCAGTGTTGGCTTCAACAGCTGCCTCTTTCGTTCCCTCGGTCGTTGCAATCCTGTTCTTCTGCTCCTCAATAGTGCCGTACTGCTTATCCAGCTTGCGGTTCTCATAAGCAAGTAGCGTACGCAAGAATAGTGCTAGCAAGCCATTGAAGAACATAAAGGCTGCACAGATACTCTGTCCCTTGACATAGAAAGGTGGATTCTTGTAGATGTTAGTTCCTAGCAAAGGGCCACATTGCCCAATTACGTTGAGCAGAACGAAGGCTGCGCCACGGCGATCGTCGTTGCCTTGGTTGTTGGTGACCCATGGGAGGATGTTCGCGATGCATGGGAACACTCCAGATGCGGCGAGGAAAACACCAGTGTAACGGGCTCCAGTGCTCTTCGCGACGGCCAGCATGATGTATCCGACGCCTCCGACGATAGACAGGATGATAATAGTCAGTCCACGTTGCTGAGTTCTGTCGGCTATCCAAGCAGAGCCGATGGTAACGAGGAAACTCAGAAAGTATGGGGGCGCGGAAAGACCTTGTGCAGTGATGGACTCAAAGCCCATCTCTTCCAGGATTGTGGGCAGGAATACGGGCAACGAGGAAAACGATACGTTGCATGAAAAGTACATCAATGCCGTGGTGATCGCTTTGGGGTCGATGAATGTGAGACCAACATCCTTGAACTTGATGCGGCCGACACGTTCGGTCGTGCCTGTCTGACGGACACCTCTTGCTACTGCCACGCGCTTCTCGTCCTCGTTCAAGAATCTGGCGGACTGCGGATTGTCGGGAAGGAAAAAATAGGCAACTGGTACCATTGCCAGAGTCGGGAGGCCTTCTACAAGGAAGAGAAGCCTCCAGCTGGCAATGGATGCGTGTCCGGAAGTGATACCATAGGCAAGAGCCCCGGCGAAACATGTTGCGAGAGGTGCGGCTATGTAGTTGTTAGCTTCGAGTCGCTTTTGAGGGATTCCCGAACGTACCAGCAAGGAAGATACCACTGCGGAAACCGACTTCGTGACGCAGGTAGAAGAAGGAAAGGAGGTAGGGAACACCAGGACCGTAGGCAGCTTCGAACACGCCCAACAAGAAGCTTCATGAGATGTCAGTAGATGTTACTGGGAACTTGTAGGCCCGACTTACCGAAGTACCATCTCTCCTTCCCAGGAGGTGACTGCTGCTTGACAACTTGAAATAACACCCCTTCGATATGTTAGCCACTTCAGATATCAAGAGGTTGTACCAGACGTACCAGCCAAAGATAGCCCAAGAGGCCCAAATATGAGGTTTTACCGCCTTCCAGCAAAGCACTTGCCATTGGAAAAGGATATACGAGATGTAAAAGATGGTCAAAAGCCATGAGTACCGATCGGCGGTAAGGTCCAGAGCCTTAGCCATACCAGCGGTCTTAGCATTGCCGATATTGGAACGATCGAGGAAGGCAAGCAAATATAGAGCCATGAGCAGCGGTACCAAATGCCAATCTATCTTGCGAACGACGCGCTTCTCAACGACGGGATCGATATATGGTGCCGAACCGCCATTGTCGACTGAAGCTTGACGCGCTTCTAACTTGACGTCTTCGTAGTTCTTCTCCACATCTTTCTCGTGTGTCGTGTCGGTTTGTGGTTGTTGAGGATCGATGCCCTCGGTCTTCTTGAAGAGACCCATAGCAGAGATGAACGCGGGGCGGGCAACGCTGGTAGATGCGTAATGGCAGAACGTAAAATGTCGACAATTCTGGTGTGAAGATGCAGCTCCAAACGCACAATGAACAGAAAAGGAAAACCCGCGAAACAGGGCCTCTTGTCTTCTTATAACCAACCTGAGTCACTCACCGTTGCTACGTCAAAAGGATGTTCACGCCGCATTGCCGATCCATTTTGTGCATGTAGCCAACAAGGCCGGTCGGTCATATTTAGTGGAGCAGACCCGCTCTCCGCAATGCGGCATCCATATGGAGGCGGAGATGCCGTGGGAGCAGATCAGCCACGGGGTCACACGGTGGGGTATCATGAGCCGATATCCGGGTATGGACTCGGCATCTACAAGCGCTTACAGGTGGTCAGCGATAATCACGCACAGAGACCATTGCATCTCCAGCAATAAAGGCTCTCACGTAACAAACTTTCAACAGAGGAAGAGGACCAGGGTACACCTCATCAGATTTTTGTGCGGTGTCATGAACGCCAAGCAATGCCTCGAGCTAACTTGGCAGTGTGGGCGAAGGCTTGACAAAGCTTAAGCAGACAGCTGCGACGAGCCTCCGAGCGCTCAAGTGTGCTTCTTGAGGTCGCAACTCCCTCTGAATCTTGTTGGTTTCTGATACCGGTATTCAGCTTTCTGGCATCGCGCGGACTAGCCGGCTCCGCGTGCTCGACCCGAAGCATGTACATCGAGACGAGGTGCGCATCCTCCCTCGATGCTCTTGAACGGCTCCTTCGGCAGCGACAATTCTGGACGGTCTTCTCTCCGTGTCCGAGGGACTACTCGCACACATCTTGTGAGTCCGAAAATTACACACTTGTAGGAAAGGACGAGAGTGTCCAAATGTTTGACAAAACACGACATTCCTGGACTACTACCTATCCAACTCAGATCTTCTTCCCAAGCACCAGTCCACCATGAAGCAACCTCGAGACAACCAAAAAGCATGCCCCCACAATCGCAGCCGAGCCCGAGAATGCCCAAGTGGCAGCAAAGCCATGTCTCTTCAAAATCTCGCCAGAGATCGGAGTGCCAGCAAGCATACCCAGGCCAATAGTCGCACAAGCCATGCCAATGCGTGTTCCAATGACCGCCCTGCTCGGTGATATCGAGACACCGAGTGCAGGGATAATGGACACAATGGAGCCAGAAAAGAAACCGTACAGACAAGACACAGCAATCAGTGATGATTGAGTCTTTGCAGGAATGAAGCAAAAGGCCAGAGCGCCGGTGGTAAGTACGCAAGGAATGACGACATTGAACAGACCGATCCTGGCGGCGACGAGATTGGGTCCAACTCTACCGAAGATGGAGCCTGCAGTGATGATCGGAAGGAGGTAAAAGGCGAGTTCCTTGGATGTGATGCCGTACTCGATGGCATACACTTCAATGTACACGAACGGCGTCCAGGTTCCGAGGAAGGCGATCATGGATCCGATCACATAGACAGTGAATGCGGGCTCCTTCCATGCATCCATGTCAAAGATCTTACGGCGTTGGGATGGCAGTGATCGAACACGGAGTACAGCATTCGAGACCAAAAGGGTGCCCAATGCTATGTACGCAATCACACGAGTGGCGGCAGCGAATCCAATCTTTGGCTGGAGAGTATGAAAAACGATAGGGTAAATGGTGCCGCCTGGAACAGTCAGTGTGTATCCTTACAGGTAAACTCTGGATTCTGACTTACCAAGACCGCTACCAGCAGCAGCCAACCCCATGGCAATGAAGAACTTCTTCTCTGAGAAGTATGTCGAGAGAATGGCAAGCGAAGGAGAGAAAAGACATCCTTGGCCCAAACCAACGGCAAAGGCTTGCGAAAGCATGATTTGCCATAGCTTGGTGGACACACTCGTCATTGCCATACCAAGCACGATAAGTGATGAGCCCGTGATGAGGAGCATACGGAAGTAACCTGCATCAAATAGAGGTCCGGTCAAGGCACCGGCGAGCAACATCAAGTAAGCCTGAATAGAGCCGATCCATGCAATGGTCGATGGTGAATACTCGTGCAGAGGACCAAGTGCGTAGTAAGTACCGAAAGATCCAAAGGCATTGACGAGTCCCCTAAGACCGGTAAGTAAAGATTATCGGGCAGAGTCTTCGACACTTACCAAGTGTTGAACCAGAGGAAGAACGCACCCAAAACTTGCAGCCAAGCGACCAGTCCACCGTTGGGGATATCATCCATGGTGTGGTCTGCTTGCTCAAGATCAGACATATTGCATGATTGAGAAGATTCAGAATTCAATTCGACTGTCGAGAAGAGAGTGACTTCTTTCTCGACGTCAGACAAAGATGAATTGGAAGACATGATGCAGTCGAATTGTTGCAAGATATTGATACCACCATCTCCAGGTCGTCCTTGATGGATTTATATAAAACCTGCCACGGGACACAGCTGCTGCTGTCACAAGCACAGGAAATCTTTTCTCGCAGTCGCCGAAGCATCCTGCACATGTTACGGAGTCGCCGTACACGTTCTCAGACAATGGTCAACTTGTTGTGCATGGACAGGTAACTCCGTTTTTGCGGGAGGAGCTGCCAACGTTTGCAAAGACGTTGGTTGAATAACATTACGGCTACTATCAAGGCTGACGTTGTGCTCAGCTGAATCGCAAAGATGAGACAAGAGGGTACTTACAAAGCAAATCTCAGATGAGAAAACAGCTTGTTGCCAGTAAATGAGGTTGCGAGTCAGTGTGCTCTCCCTCGGAAGGAAAGTTTTGGCTGCTTGGGGTACGCAACGGGTTTCCTGAGGCTTGCGCACCTCCCAGCTGAGAGATCAGAGACCGGGTTTCAACGACCACGCGTGGTGGTGTAGCTTTCTTCATTCTCCCAATCAGGCTACTGTGCATGTCCAAACTTATTTCGATCGCAAGATCGACCAATGATAGAATCGATTATTGAATGTGGTATACAAATGATGGGTAGGTTTTCACGACACCAAAAAGCTTGACTGACATTGGCATCGAAGATCGGTCCACGCTCCTACCACATGGGCGTGCAATGGAACACCTTCAGAAGCTCGACTGCTCTCACCTATTTCCACATTCGTCGTTGCAGCTGCTCGTCCATCCTCAGCTCTTCATCCTTTGTTTTTCCGATGGAACGTGTTTCCAGTAGAACATTTCGGACTTCTCCTAGCTTCGTATTGCTTTACTCACATCGGCGAGTCCACTGAGCAACCAGAGGATGATGTGTGTCGGCCATACCGATGGATGGACTATGATCAATATCTGAATCTGGTCAATTGAGCTGACAATGGCGACGACAAGAGGATGAGGTGTCAAGTATATAATCAGGTCGGTAGCAGACAATGAATACCACTTCCCGTCCAACAACAATCACATCATCAAGTCTTCCATCTATCAATCTACATTCTGATCGTATATCTTCTCCTGCACCAAGCATCTCAAGAACTACCGCCAACTGCTCCACCCTACAAAATGTTCACAATGGCCATATCACCATTCTCGCGACCTTCGACTCCAGAGTCAGACTACCCGCCATCCCCCCGCTCAATCCTCGAAGAATACTTCATGGACATCGAAGACATCCAAGACATTGATGCAATTTCAATCTCATCCTCAGTCTCATCTTCAATCTCCACCACGTCACAAAGAGTGTTCAAGACTTTCTTGTCAGGTTGGTTCAATTCTACAAATTACTCTATTGAGATGAGAGGTTCGGTTTACTGATGCTGGGTTTTTTGCAGGTCTATCGTACCCTCAGAGAAAGCTGTCGCAGCTGTTGGTTCCAGAGGTGGACTTTGAGTTTACATTCCCTAGCCTTGAGAATGTGTTTCCTTCTTGATTGGCGATAGTGATGAGCGAGACTGTTTCCTTTGTCGTGGCGTTATGGGAGCTGATGGTACAAAATTTGGTCGCAGCTGGAGTAGGAACCTGAATCTGAACCTCATGGACCTCGAGCTCCGTGAGGATAGTTGGGCGATGCAAGTTAGCGTCTCTTTCTCTTTTGTTTTTCTTTTGTTGCAAGTTCGTTCATCTTCTTATAAGCAGAAAAGCTCTTACATATGAAATCGATATCAAAAACCTGACAGGCCTCGTCCCATTTATACCGTCAGTCACTTTCATGAACGTCTCCCGAAAGATGGGAAAACTGAGAGATGGGTGAAAGTACATTTTCTTCGTACCACATAACATACAAAGAGGAGATTTCTATACATATACGCTTACTTCCTCCTCTGCAGAACTTTTGTACACATATCCAAGAGGCCGGCCTTGGCCTGACTCTCTGGGAAGAAAGCGATAGCTTCGCGAGCCTTGTTGATGTAATCTTCTGCCATGGCGCGAGTCTGTTCGATACCATTGCTCTGGATAACAAGGTCGTGTGCCTATCGATTATTAGCATACTTTGCATCGGAAGCTGGAGATTGAAACTTGCTCTTTTCACGTCACCTTGCTCGGCGAATCGCCTGCCAACAAGAGTACCAAGCTCCTTGTTGTCTTTCCAGGCGAAAAGCAGAGGAGCGGTAGCCAGACCCAGCTCCAGATCAGCACCAGCAGGCTTGCCGAGCTCGGCTCCACTGACGGTGTAGTCCAGCATATCGTCAACCAGCTGGAAGGCAAGACCCAGGTTCTTTCCGTAGCTGTATGCAGCCTCTACTACATCCGGGGAGCAGTTTCCAAGGATAGCGGCAGCTCTTGTGGATTTGCTGATGAGCGAAGCGGACTTCAAGTATGTCTTTTGCAGGTAGTATTCCATTGTCTCTTGACTGTAGGTGGGGTGCTTTTCGTCCGAGGCAGTGTTCTTGAGCTGCATGAATTCGCCTTCGATCAAGTTGGCGATGACAGTAGCCAGCAACTCGGTGACCTCAGGGTCCCTCAGGCGGGCAAGGGCAACAGAGGCGCGACCGAGCATGAAATCGCCGGCAAGGACAGCCATCTTGTTGCCGAACTGGATGTTAGCCGAGGGAGCGGAGCGGCGAGAGATTGAGTTGTCAATGACATCGTCGTGGAGGAGGGAGGCAGTATGGATGAGTTCGGTGATTTCGGCGAGGCGACGTTGCGAGGGGAGGACAGAGGTGTCGGCGGTGTCCTCGACGACGGGAGGAGAGGTCAGAGGAGAGGGGTTGGAGTCTGCGAGGACTGTAGAGGGCGACATGGATGAGTCGACATCAAGAGCTTGGGGAGTTGATCGGTCGTGCTTGAGGGTCAAGGCCGTGGCTTGCGACATGAGCAAGACCAGCATGGGGCGGACATATTTGCCCTCTGATTGGGTGTAGTACTTTGCGACAGTGTCCAGCATGGGGTGGCCAGAGCCGAGCAGCTGTTGAATGTTTCCAGTCAAGAATTTGAGTTCTTTGGCGACACTTTGTAGAGGATCAATGCCGATGGGTGAGGGAGCGGCATTGGCGAACATGTGTTTGGCCGTCTGGATGGCGGCGGCGACGGACGACTGGTGCCGCCGTTGCGAGGGCAGACATGAGGGTATTGATCGTGGGCGCGGCGGCGGGAGGTGTGCATATCTGGAACATGAGGCTCGGTATGACGGCGACAGCGAGGTGATGGCGAGCGTCGATGCTCGAGCTCTAGGAGCACTCATTTCGGGGACAAAGAATGCGCGAACAAAACGACACCCGCTAGAACTCCAATTGCAACAGGAAAGAGGGATTGCGCAGTTCAGGGAAAGAGCGGTCGTGGCCAATTGGAGCGTCTTCTTGGAGGCACCAAACTCCATTCAACGCATGATGCGGATGGCATTTTCGCTGCCACTCTGGAGACGCTGTGGTCCGAGCTCACTCCATACATGAGCGACAAGAATCGTCATGACCACCTTCTTTCAGACGCCCTGATGGTCCTGTTGACACTAACTCCTGCTGCCAAATCCGCTGTCGAGCTGTACAATCAATTGTCGCATCAGAACCAACATGAATCGTCGAATGGCCCCTCCCTGAGCGAGCCCGCCGTCGGCGCTCCTGTATCACATGCACAATTGATCCAAGTCGCGCGCTTCTTGCGCGAGAGTCAGCTTGAGAACAAGAACGACTTCCGACTCGATACTCTGCTGAAGGGGGCAAACATCTATGTGCCTCCTCCGAAACCGAAGCCTCAACCAGTATGCACATACCCAATCTTGCCTCCCTCACAACCGCCCCTTGCTGACATGAATCGACAGACTGCTGAGTACACTGCCCTGATGGCTCGTCTTCGCAGAGAAGAGGAGAACATTGCATACCAACGCTTAATCAACCCGACTTCGTCCATTCCCGAGCCATCACGTATCCGAGTAGAAGACGAAGAGGATGAAGTGACCTACACAGATGTCAACCGTCAACTAGCACTCATCATCAATGTCCTCGTCTCCATCATCGCCTGTAGTGTCGCCATCTGGATCGCTGCCCGTCACTGGAGCGTCCCTCAACGAATGGCCTTGAGCATGTTTGGAAGTGGTACCGTTGCTTTTGCCGAAGTTGCAATCTACATGGGCTATCTGAGACGCATCAAGGATGCAAAACAAGTCGAAGGAAAGAAGGTTGAAACAAAACAAGTCGTCGAGACTTGGGTCATTGAGAAAAAGAATCCCAAAAACGAACATGAACTCAGGCAGAGGAAGGGCGGCAAGCATAGATAGACCTCATCTTGGATATCACAACTGAACCAATATTATCACCTCACCTATCACCGTATTTCCGAGGCTTCCAGTCAGACACAAATTTTCAAGATATAGGTCGTTGTTGAAAGCTGACATAGAAATCACAATCAAGAATCATGGTTCTATGATCATAAATATGCTGAAGTCTTGAGTTTGCAATTTTACTTGATGACGGCGCTACTATTCAGGTATCTCTGCGCAGAAGTATACATCCGATCCTCAATCATGCTGAAAACTTGTTACGAACTGTCGGATGTCTTTCTTCGTTCTTCGTTACTCATATAGAGGTGTTGATATTATTCTGTCAGGGTCACCAGAGAAGCGTCGGACTTGGTCAGATCCAGATGCAAGTAGCCCAAAATCAGCCTAGGCATCCGAGGCATCTTGTTCAATAGACACTCCATCCGAGACCACAACTCTACACATCCTGACGTATACCCCTCTGTCCCTGCGACATATTCGCCAACTCATAAGACTCTAGTCTATCCTGATGCGATCTCTGCGGCTCATACGTCGGCAATGGTTGCGCAATATCATAAGCCGGCGGTGCCAATTCAACAGCTTCTCCATGCCTATTCCTCGGTTGCGAAGTAGTGGTAGGTCTTGCTCGCGAAGGCCACTTTGTAGGCCATGCTGGAACTCCTTCTTGTGCCTCTGCTAGTTCTTTGGTATACTTGAGCTTGCGGTTGCGATACAAGAACCATCCGATACCAAGAAAGACGATGCCGATGACGATGACTACCGCTGCTATGACACCGGCTCGTGCGCTTGAGGAGAGCCCGTTGTGCTTGGATCCGCCATTGGAGTACATGGTAGTTGATTGGGCTGTGGTGGTCACAGTAAAGCTTTCGGATGCAGCTGTGTGGGTTGTCAGCAATCACATACTTTCATCTGCAATATCACGGAGAGCATACCACAACAGATCCAACTCAAGGTGGAGCCTTCAAAACCTTCGAGGGGCGAAAACCTCATTAAGTACCTACACGAGCGCCATCCACACATCCAGCACCTACGAACCACTCACTGCATAGGTACCCACAAGCAGCAGCAGCAGCAGCAGCAAATATTGCCGCATCGCCAAAAGCCAGAAAAGCACATCGAATTGCTCATCTTGCATGCTAAACAAGAACAAGCTTGTCCCAGCCAATACTTCGAGGTTGCGAGAATAGCCCCTTGTACCATTCGAGCAAAGCTTCAAGAAACGTACAGAGATTGCACTCGAAAATAGCTGGCGAACCACAGATGCAGAAACATGGCGTGTGACACTGTCTCACCGTGTGGCTGAGAAGGATTCACAAAGTCAGGCGTCTAGAGTCGAGGAATCCTGGGTTTCCACCTTCCGCTTTGGTTTTTTGTGACTGTACAGAGTCTCCTCCCGGCCAGAAGAGAATTGTGTCGCGTGTGTGTTACTATTCGAAGGATGATAAAAGGATCCAAATGGAACAGCGAAGAAGTTAAGCATGCAGCCATTGTAATGTTTATGCAACCATTAGATATGCCTTTCTCGTGTCGTGTCTGCTGTCATTCGAGCAATTCGTCCTCGTAACGCCTGTCCATCAAATCATATGCTTGATCCTCCTGGCGGGTATTCCCATATGAGCAAACGCCATCAAAACTCCTGTCCCGGATTCCAACGATAGCACAGCTTGACCTCGTCCTTAGGCAGTACCTCTGGGCTTGGCCTTAGCCTCCTTCTTCTCCTTAGCTGCCTGCTTCTGCTTTTTCTTCTTCTCTTCTTGCTTGGCTTCGTTCTTGCGCTTCAAGCTCGCCTGCTCTTCAGCAGTCTTAGCGACCGGCTTGAAGAAACCCTCGAGTCTGCTTTGCTGTGCACTCTTGAGACTCTTTGCGAGACGAGCTGCACCGTTCTTGACTCTGTCCTCGCTGAATCCCTTTTCCTCGACAAGGAACTTTACGAGGCCTTCAACATCAGGTGCTTTCCACTCGAAGTTGCACTCGGGGTCGTCAGCGGGACGAACATCAGGCTCTTTGAAGAGCAGCTTTGCTTCAGCCCAAGGCCAGTCGTCTGGAATCGTGTACTTCTTGTTGTTCTCGAGCATACCGACAACAGCCTCGAGACTTTTGTGTTCCTTGATCATGGTGTAGGCGACCTTCGGGCCAATGCCCTTAACGGGGTCAACATAATCGCAGCCGAGCAGAATGCACATGTCGATGAACTATCGATGTTGGTTAGCGCGATTTTCTAAACAAGATTGATAGTATCATACCTGATCCATGGTCATGTCCAGACCTTCCAAGACCTTGTCCAAGTGGATTTCTTGGATGGGTTCCTTGCGCTGCTCGCTGAAGGTGAGCTTGCGGAGGAGTACAGGAGCAGCGAAGGTCAGTGTATCCATATCCTCGCTGGCAGCAGCATAGACTTTGCCGGCACGAGCCAGGGCAGCACACTGAGCTTCAGCCTCGGTTGGTGCAATGATGAAGGGGATGCCCATCAGCTTAAGAAGTCGCTGGGCTTCGGCGTTGTGCTCCCTTGTGACACGAACAGTACGACGACTGAACTTTTCCATATCCTCAGCAGTACCCGTCTCTTTGGCCTCCTCGTGGGCTTCTTCAGCTTCGGTCTTGCGCTGGAAGCGTTTGGCGAGTTCTCCAGACTTGAGCTTCGGTGGAGCACCATCGAAGACGTAGAGAGGCTTGATACCGTTGTCGGCCATGCGGAGAGTGCGGTAGAACATTCCCATGAGATGCGAGGTTGTTTCTCCAGATTCGTTCATCAATTGTTGACCTTCGGAGCGGACGGCGATGAGGAACGAGTACAGCGACATGGAGGCATCGATGGCGACCTTGCGACCGAACTGATTTTTGATCTCGCCAGTCTTGACAGCATCTGGACAGTGTTCGTCGATGACTTGGAAGAGGTCTGCATGAAATCAAGATGTCAGCTCTACGATGGATTTGAGCCAGATTGGCGTGCTTACGTTTGATACCCATCTCGGCAAATCACTTGTTACAATGTGAGGATGTGGTATGATGAGAAGTTGGCAAGATTTAGGGCGATGATCAGAAGTATGGGAAACACTCTACAAGCAGAAAGTGCATGTGTTCGCGAAGCTGCCTGACGCGCACTCGGTCGCGTTTTGGAAAGTCCAACTCGGCAGTGACGTATTAATCAATTACTTCCCTTTTGGGACAACCACCTTTTGACCATGACATATTTTCGCGGAACCGAGGAAGATCGAACTCTCAAAAGACACAGTAATGCCATCGCGAGTCACCTACCGAATGTTTTGTGTGAATATCTACAAGATGGAAGCCACCGAATTGATAAACACTCGATGTCGGCCGTCGACTTCCAGCCTCGGCTTGTCAAACCTACATACAGCGGATACTGCGGGGAGTACCTAAGCCGCCTTTCCGATCCAACACGCATCTCCTTTGCCGCCGTTCTCTTGCATATTTTGTGTAGCTATATAGCCAATCCTTTGCTCTCTTGATTGCTCTACTCCACACATTTCCTCTCATTCCCCTCCCTGCGTCATGTTCAAATCAGTCGCTCGCCAGACAGCAAGACGACTGGGCTCACGAAGCGCTGCTGCTTCAGTCGCTCGTCGCCATGCTCACACCCCTTCAGCCTTCGATTGGAAGGACCCGCTGGGTGCAGCCAACATGTTTACCGAGGAAGAATTGGCCATTGCAGAGACAGCCGAGTCTTACTGTCAAGAGCGCATGCTTCCTCGTGTGCTAGGTATCTTTCAATGTATGACCTTGCTCTACTTCAATTGCTGACTCAAGCAGATGCATACAGAAACGAAGAATACGACAGAAAGATTCTTGAAGAGATGGGAGAACTGGGCTTGTTGGGTGCTACAATTCAAGGCTATGGATGTGCTGGTGTCTCCTCGGTCGCATCGGGCCTCATCACCCGCGCTGTTGAGAGAGTCGACTCTGGTTACCGTTCAGGCATGTCTGTCCAATCCTCACTGGCCATGGGCGGTATCGACGAGTTCGGCTCTCAGGAGCAAAAAGACAAGTTCCTGCCTCAACTGGCCAGTGGTAAAATGCTTGGTTGCTTCGGCTTGACAGAGCCCAACCACGGAAGTGATCCTGGCAGCATGGAGACCGTGGCCAAGCCTCACCCTACCAAGAAGGGCTACTTTAGCCTGAGCGGAGCAAAGACCTGGATCACCAACTCGCCAATCGCAGATGTCATGCTCGTGTGGGCAAAGCTACAGGAGACCGGCAAGATTCGTGGGTTCTTGATTGAGAGATCTGAATGCCCTCCAGGAACCTTGGAGACACCCCCATTGAAGAACAAGAACGGTCTGAGGGCCTCTCTCACTGGTATGATTCAGTTGGATGATTGCCCAGTACCAGAAGCAAACATGTTCCCTCACATCGAGGGTCTCAGGGGACCTTTCAGCTGTCTCAACGGTGCTCGTTATGGTATTGCTTGGGGCACAATGGGCGCTCTCGAAGATTGTATTGCAAGGACGAGACAGTACGCTCTGGAGAGAAAGCAGTTCAAGAACAACCCGATCGCCAAGTACCAGTTGGTGCAGAAGAAGCTCTCTGATGCAACCACAGACGCGGCGTACGGTATTCTTGCGGCACTGCAAGTTGGCCGCCTGAAGGACGAGGGCAAGGCTGCCCCTGAGATGATCTCAATGATCAAGAGACAAAACTGCGACCGAGCCTTGGTGAATGCACGAGTGTAAGTGATATCATCCAAACACACCTGCTGAGAATGGCTGCTGATTCATGCACAGATTGCAGGAAGTCTTCGGAGGAAACGCTGTTAGTGATGAGTACCACATTGGAAGACATGTAGCGAATCTGTTTGTCACTCAGACATACGAGGGACAGAGTGATATTCATGGTAAGTTTGGGCAAGACGGTTTGTTCGGCTACGTTGTACTGACACATAGCCAGCTCTTATTCTGGGACGCGCAATCACCGGTCTTCAAGCTTTCTGTTAGGAATAGGTACTTAGCGAGGAGTCAGGCGCTGAATCCGGTCAAGGGGCTGACTGATGCTTTCATGCTGTGTAAGATAGCCAAACTAGAGCACCCACAACAAACAGTGTACACAGCCTATTCAGGAGACGGGCGCCTGCCTGGAGATGACATGTAGAAGTGAACGCGTGATCATTGTGCAGTGCGTGGACGTTGATTGGTGCTCGTCGTGTCAAATGTGAGAGCGAGTCTTCTTTGGATGGAAGAAGAAGTCAGTCGGTGCATTGGGCCGCAAGCCGAGCGCGTGATGGATAGGCGCCTTCCTTCTCTGAAGTGAAGCCTTTGCACAAAGTCGACAGAAGTCCACGAACGACTCACTTATCGATGCATCTTCTGTCTGAGAACATCCCTTTGAAACGAGAACAGCAACAGTGAAAGTGAGAGAAAGACTCTCGCAGTGAAACAGAAACAGGCACTCTTTGTTGTGTTGCAGCGGCGGCGTCGGCAAGCCAAGCCGAGTTCGAAGTGACGTGCACTGCTAAGGGCCAATCTCATCCTTTTCGTCCACGACCGACATCTTGCATCCTCGCTCCGCATACCACACACCAAACACCAACGCAACCACCTCGGAGGCCGCGTTTGACTTTTGAATCCTCTTCATACACACAACCACCGCACACCATGGCGCTCAAGAGAATTAACAAGGAGTTGACCGATCTCGGCCGGTACGTGACAGCGCCCCTCTGCCCTTCCCCTCCCCCACCTTGATGATGGTCCATCGACCGCCCGAGCAGATGGTCATGTCGCAAGAACATATACTGACAGACATGTAGTGACCCTCCCTCATCCTGCTCTGCTGGTCCCATCGGAGATGACCTGGTACGTCGCTGAAAAACTTCGCCTCAAAATTGGGCGCCTGCCTCGTGGCCACTCGAATCTCTCGAAACAGAACACGTTCTGACCATTTTTGCCTTCAGTTCCACTGGCAAGCCACCATCATGGGTCCCGTAAGTCTTCGAATTCCTGGTTGGCCGCTGTTGGCGGTGAAGCAACGCCAGCGTCGCCACTTCCACAACAAGCACAACAACACCATGACTAACAGTATTTCAGGGTGACTCCCCATACTCGGGCGGTGTCTTCTTCCTCGCCATCCACTTTCCCACAGACTACCCCTTCAAGCCTCCCAAGGTCAACTTCACCACCCGCATCTACCACCCCAACATCAACAGCAACGGCAGCATCTGTCTGGACATTCTCAGAGACCAATGGAGTCCCGCTCTGACCATCTCAAAAGGTATGCCACAGTATATCTGCCTATCTTGTTGCTTGACAGCGACAGTTGGCAAGGATGTTTACAAATTTGTGTGTTACTAACACAACCCCGCAGTCCTGCTTTCCATCTGCTCCATGTTGACCGACCCCAACCCTGACGACCCGCTCGTTCCCGAGATCGCACATGTCTACAAGACTGACCGTTCGCGCTACGAGGCCACCGCCAGAGAGTGGACAAGAAAGTACGCCATCTAAAAAGTCCAGCAGCGGAGCCCGTCATAGGGCGCAACCAATGGCCGGACGAGTGCATCAAAGGTTATCTTATTTTCCTTTCAGCGTGCGGAGGCATTATTTTCACGACATATGGATTCTGGGGATGATTATGGGCTTCTTTCGTTGTCGAGTCGAGACGCGGTACTCACAGCCCGTTTCTCTTTACTGAGGGCGCTTGCTTGTTACCGCTTGCTCTACACGCAACACGCAAAGACCCACTGCTTCAGCACGCATGCACCACTCGGCTCAGCCTTGCTTTTTCTACTGCCAGAGATACATACGATGGAGTGTTATGGCGCATCGGTCCACTTTCAGAAAGTCAGATAGACTGGTAAAACGTAACATACGGAAATCCCACATGATAACGAACATATTGCTCTTTTCGCTTGTCCAATCTTGTAAACGTGTCCATGAAATCTTTTCCTCGTCTTATTTTTGTATGTCCATGCAATCGGAAGGGTTGTTCCATAATACACACATTTTTGATTTCATGACTTTGTAACATAGTCCTAAGGACCCTCCTCCAGTACACGTTGCTGACGCTTCTCTGTCACATCCCTCGGCTCATCTATCCCGTCTTCCAACCCATCCTCTTCCTCCATCACTTCCTCTACGAACTGCCCTCCCCACAAATCCACCGGAATCCTCATTTCATCATAATACCTCTCACTCTTGCCCACGAAAGCTTTGATGAGTGGACTACCATCCTGTCTTCTCTCAGGATCCTGCATCTCCCAAAGCAAATCATCGTAGAGTTTTGAAAAGGTGGCTTGTATGTCTTTGATGGCGAGAGCTGAACGACCCAAGTTATTGTATGGTTCAGCGGGGTCTTGGAGGTGGAGGATATATGGTTTTTTGGCATGAGGGACGGCGAGGTGGTGGCGGGCGAAGAGGGACTTGTCGGTTTTTCTGGCTATAAGGTCCCTCCAATCCTGTCTTACTTTCTTTGCAAACACGGCGAAGGGATCCACGGATACGGCCACCTTTGTCGTGTCGATGTTGCCCCAGAAGTTGAGGGTGTGGAGGAAGTCGTGGGATAGAGAACGCTGTTTGAGCGAGTGGTAGAGGGCGTTGTTTGAGTTTTGTTCCTGTTCTTGCTTTTCTTGCTGTTGTGCGTCCGAGTGCTTCAGGGCTGCTACGCACATCATGAATAGAGTGTATGAGCCAACCCCACCGTACCAAGGGTCTGAGAGATTGCGGAGATGCAATGTGGTCTTGAGAACCATGAACACTGGTTCCAGTGTCGAATACTCAGCAAGATACTTTTTGATGGCATCTCGAGAAGCGCTCGTGTCCTTTGAAGCCACAATCTGAATCTTCAGGCCTGTGTGTTTGTGAACTGCTTTGATCAGAGGGACGAAGGCTGATTCATTGCTTTCGATCTTTTCAAAGTCTTTGTGCTTAGCTAATGCGGATTGGATGTCGCGGAGGTGGAAGATCATGATTGATTTCCGCAACCTCGAAGTCTCTATTGCCCAGGCTCTTTTTGCTTCTTTATCTTCGGAGTCGCCTTGATATGGGTGGTTATCGACTGCTGGATCAACGATGCGGATATCAATGTCCGAGTTGGGCATGGAGAGGCCGGTGGCTTGAGAGCCAAACGTCTCAACCTGTAAAGCTGGATCTACTTGTTTGATCAAATCAAGCAGAGTTTCCGAAAGCTTTGCTCTCGCGGCGTTCTCTGCCGGCGTCGTTTCCATCCATTGGGCGAAATTCAGTAGTTCGGCGTCGAGCCACTCTGTCATTGTGTACTTGATGCCGTTATGTTTTGGTCGACGAGCCCAGGGCTCTTGTCGTCCAGAACCCTTCAGTCCAGATATGATGCCTCGGGGAAAGCCGGTGTAGTCGGTGAAGTCTTTCGGTATTCGGTCTGAGGCGGGCTTAGCTTCGGCAGCGACCACGTCTGGACGAAGGAGAGCATGAACTCTACGCAAGACGGCGAAAAAGGTAGGACGATCGTCGGTAGTAGTACTGAACTTTGGCAATTCTCCAAGAGGCTCCTCGTGCTCCCTAAGAAAGTCGAGCCATCGAAGGTACTGAGCTCGGCTTCGACTCATTATCGACGGTGCATTCTTGTTCGCTTTGGCAAATTCTGCGGCCCTGTTGAGAGACCTCAATTGGAAGGATGTAGCATCGTCTGCGGTGCTGGAGATGTCTGTGACAATCTTGTTGAATTGTGTCCGAGCGGGTTTGTCTTCCAGAGGTTCTATGTTTCTGGCCTCTGTTGTGCGTCTAACCAGTGGCGGCCGATTCTCCAGAAAAGAAGGGCGTGCGACCTCAGGATCGGTTGCAGTGTTGACTCTACGAATGACGGAAGCGCGATTTGCATCTCGATGTGCTTCGAGTGTGGCCGACAAGTCGTCGGGTTTGATGTGTTCGTCGAGGCGTGCCAAAGCATCTAACCGCGCTCTTTGCCGTACTGCTTCTCTCTCGCGTGCAACCAGCCTTGCATTATCGAAGCGATGGCGGATTTGGCGAGAGGAATATGTCACGGCATGGCGGGGGATGTCGTGAAGGGCGTGTCGGCTGTCACGCAGGCGCAGTAGGTGCGCTGAGCATGGCATGAACAGGGTGGTCTCGTGTGCACGCAGAAGTCGTGTCTGTATGCTGGTCCCTCTAGCGTTGCGTCCAGTTGGCCTCGAAAGTAATTGATGTTTGCCTGCGAGATGGTTTGTTCGCCGTTGGAGTTCGCGATTGTCCAGAAACGGCTCGGCCCGCTCTCACGCTTGGTGTCACGACGCGACCTCCGAAGATGCCGGCCCCGGCACGAGCAGTCATGTCTGCATGTCTCGAGCTATTGCTTCGACTCTGGCTATCACCATGTGGTGGGTGTCTGTTCATCAGAGGCTGGTAGTACTCATAAGATAGTCAACGGATGCTCAGAATCCATCTTCCTCCCTGAAATGTGCAATATTTGCGACAAGTTAGATAACAAAGCTCATCCTCAGATCTTGCCGGCTAAAACACATCCGTATGACGATGAAGCTCGGCAGATCAATAGTGGAAAACGACTGGGATGGAGCCATGTGCATCAATGACCGAGTGACGTTGTGATTGCTTTTGTCAGCCGATATAAGCTCCTTTCTCTGGTACTCGTCTCTTACTCTGTACCCCAGACATACAAGTACCACAAGCAAGGAACCTCTAAGCTAGCTTTCTTATCACGTCTGTCAACGTCTTCAAGCTATCAGACCTCAAGCGCCATGCCAGAACAAATATCTGATCCTACTGGTCTGCGGAGCAGTACGGGATATATGCCAGTGAGTAGCTGCATGCAAACTCAATGTAAAGTAACTGCTGACACAGCACAGATTGAGCAGTATGGTTTGATAGGTAGACAAGCTCCACGCGACCAACAGAGGTCTGCTATCAGATGCTGATATCTTCCAGGAAACATGCATACCAGTGCTCTAGTGGTACGTTGTTTTTGAACCCATGCTCCACTCCCGATGACTGATTGATAAAGGCAATCGATGGAGGAGTTGATATGATGTGCTGGTAGGAACCCGATCGACTATTGCACGCATCCCAATCCGATCAATTGACAACTTAACAGGCCTGACTTTGACTCACCATCTGTCTTCTGTCGCATGCTGGACAAAGACAAGGGCGGTCATTTCAACATTGGTCCTCCTCCCGGTCTCAAGATTACCACCAAACAACAATATCTGCCCAGCAACAATATCCTTCAAACCAGATATCTGCATGATGATGGCGTCTTGACTCTTACAGACTTCTTCCCTCGTCCGCTCAAGACAGAGAGACTCGGTCCTACAGTTGGACAAGGCGCCAGCGCCGATCTTCGTAGCGGACTTAAAAGGTGGCTGGTCCGTCGAGTTGAATGTATAAGAGGTGCCACCGATGTTAACGTCGAAGTCTTCCCTGCGTTCAACTATGCTCAGGACTCTCATACTACCGAGATTGTCAAGGCCGACAACGAGGCACAGCGAGTAGTACACTTCCGCTCTGAGAACCTGTCCTTAGAGCTTGTGGCTACCATTGATTGTGGCGACGATGCTCCCTGCCCAGATCTTTCATTCTCAAAGAAACAGTTTGAAGGGTGTTCCCTGGGCGAAGGCGTGACTGCGACCATCAATCTCCAGGAAGGCCAATCGATTTCATTTGTGTTGAGAGATCTCGAGGAGAGCAACAAGGAATCAATTTCCACAGCCCTCCTCAATCAAGTTCAACAGGACACCTCCGCATACTGGTTCAACTGGATCTCCAAATCAAAGTACAAGGGACGTTGGAGAGAAAAGGTCAGCAGAAGTCTGATGATCTTGAAGATGCTCACGTTCGAACCCACCGGAGCCATCGTCGCAGCACCCACATTCTCACTTCCTGAAGACTTTGGTGGTGGCAGAAACTGGGACTACAGATTCTCCTGGGTCAGAGATTCTTCTTTTACCATCTACATTCTGCTTCGCATGGGCTTCACCGAAGAAGCAGAAGCCTACATGAACTTCCTCTCCGCCCGCCTCATCGACTCCCGCAAAGACGATGGCGGTCTACCCATCATGTTCTCCATCCGCGGCAGCACCGACCTCCCCGAGATCGAACTCACCCATCTCTCCGGCTACCAAGACAGCCGTCCCGTCCGCATCGGCAACGGCGCAGCCTTCCACAAGCAACTCGACATATACGGAGAAATGATGGATTCCATCTACCTGTACAACAAGTACGGCAAACCAGTCAGCTACGACCTCTGGATCGCCGTCCGCAAACTCACCGACTACGTCTGTGGCATCTGGCAAGAAACAGACATGTCCATCTGGGAAGTCCGCTCCAAACCCATGAACTACACTTATTCGAAAATTATGCTCTGGGTGGCTATAGATCGTGCTCTGCGTCTAGCGGACAAACGCTGTTTCCCGTGCCCCAACAGGATGAAGTGGCTCGAGACCCGCGATGCTATCTACGACGATGTGATGGAAAAAGGGTACAATCATGATATGAAATGCTTCATCCAAAGCTACGAGAGCAACGAAGTCTTGGACTCTGCAGTCTTGATCGCCCCCTTGGTCTTCTTCATCGCACCAAACGATCCCCGCTTCACCTCCACCCTCGAGCAAATCCTCCTCGCACCTGAGAAAGGCGGCTTGACCTCTACCGGCCTCGTCTACCGCTACAACACCCTAAAGTCTGAAGACGGCGTCGGAGGCCGCGAAGGCGCATTCAGCATGTGTACCTTTTGGCTTGTCGAAGCACTGACGCGAGCTGGTGCCTATGACAAGAAATACCTGGTCAAGGCCATCAACATTTTCGAAAACATGTTGAGTTTCTCGAATCACTTGAATATGTTATCGGAGGAGATTGCGAGGAGTGGAGAACAACTTGGTAACACGCCACAGGCTTTCTCGCACTTGTCGATGATCAGTGCTGCGTTCAATCTTGATCGTGTGACTCAGGGGAGTGGTGGTATGTAGCTAGGAGGCGTATGACGAAGCAATGAGTAGTCCTACTTTCTCTCGTGTTCACTCTTCCAGACGCGAGTGACCACAACCACATACTCAAGTGTGCATATAGTAGAATGAATAAGTAGAAAGGGGTAGAGTAATTCGTATTCTTATTTTGTACAAAAGTTGGGAAGCAGCCAGCCATGAAACGCCGTCGAGAGTATCTTACGCTAACCATGCCGAATGAATATCGTGTGTTTTTGTGTAAACCAGGAAGAGAAGAGAGAAGATCCAAAGTCAGAACACAGTGTTTTACTTGTTCAGGGATCTGTCGTGGCCAAGGGCATTGACGTTAAGGCCAAGACCTTGGGTATCGAGGTAGACCTTGTTGTTGCTCTTCTCCAAGATGGAGGCGACGTTTCTGGCATTCTCGAATTCACGCAGCTCGATGTAACTGCGGCTCTTCTTGATGGCGTCACCAATCAGCTCGGCGGAACGGGCCTCACCCTGGGCGCGGACGATCATGGCTTGCTTCTCCTGGCGAGCCTTGTCGACGACGAAGGCGGCACGCTGGGCTTCTTGTTGGGCGACCTGCTTGGCTTCGACTGCGGCGGTGAATTCGGGCGAGAAGGCAAGGTGCTGGGAAACATGTTAGCTGGATGAAGTCTTGAGAGAAAAGTGACAGGCGTACTGTTAATGAGACATCGTCGAGCATGATGTTGAATCTGGCAGCACGCTTGACGAGGTGATCGCGGACGAGTCTCGAAACGTTCTCTCTCTGGGTAATCAACTGGGAGGCGTTGAACTGGGCGACGACACTCTTGAGGACCTCGTTCACGATACTGGGAAGGACGCGCTCATCGTAGTCGGTTCCGAGAGTACGGTAGATCTGAGGCAGGGCATCGACGCGGGGTCTGGACAGGACACGGCAGGTAATGTTGACCATCTGCAAATCCTTGGTACCGGTAAGGGAGGCGACGTTGCGAGGCTTCGCGCGGACATCGTAGACGATGGGGGTCTCAACCCAGGGGATCTTCAAGTGGGTTCCTTCGGGGTAGATGTCGCCCTTGACACCGCCGACACGGCTGTACTTGACGGCGCGGCAACCACCATCGACGTTGAAGAGGGCGTTGTTGAAGAGGTAGACACCGCCCAGACCGAGGGCGATGACAGCGATGCCACCGAGGGCGCCCTTGGGGTTGGGTGTAGGGCCGCCGGCTCCGAATCTGTGCATTTGCCTCGTCTCAGCTCTCTTGTTCTTTTGATGACCTTGAATTACGTTGGAACGGAGGTGGAGGGTATCGCGTACTGTCTTCCTGATCTTTGGGCTTGCTCCAAGCTCTTCTGCAAATTCTTCCACATATCCTGAGGGTTCGACATGGTTGCGACGGGGGAGGCGGGCTGGATGGTGATGGCAATCTTGGACTGACTGCTCTAAGCTTGAAGGTCGAAGGCGGCGTTCGATGATGATGCAAGCACGGACCACTTTCCACCTTGCACACTCGATGAGTCCTTACACCGTTACACGTCAAATCGTGCCACTCCATACCTCTTGCATACTATACTGTCACGCCTAGCGCTACTCGGCATAAGCAGTAGATGCTCGCGTGATATGCACTGATGATACCAAGCATCTCGGCCATACTATAGCTGAGCTGGCGTCGTCGTTGTCGTGTCAATGGAAGCCGCGATCGACTCGGCTTTTTCGGCTGCAAAGCACCTGCTCCCAGTAAACACAACCCAGCCTCTCTCCGTGATTCCTGCCACCCATCTTTTGTCCTGTATAATATTTCATGATACCCCTGGACCCAAGACTGATTGATCGGTTTGTCCTGTCTACCTTACTACACAACTCTATCACCCCGCTGCCTTGCTCAGCCACATTCTGACGACAGCAACCATTTTTGCCAAGTGCCTGCCTGATAACTCCCAAGAGACAACATATCAACTCTGTCCGTCTTGTGCCTTGCACTTTGCAAGACTCCTGTTAAACCCATGGCAACTGCAATCGAAGCCAGATCTCTGGCTCTGTTAACCACTGTTGCCTCGGACCCACCGCTCTACCCAAGAAACCCAACTCAGCTTCCACACGCCCCGCTGACCCTGTATATCGTGAGAGTTCCTGGTAGCAAAGGTGGGAGCCATCTTGATCTGCATCAATCATCGCAACTAATCAAAATCAAGATGTCTTTCTGACCCCTCTGAAACCACGGGAAAAGGTCGTTAGTGCCGAAGACGTCCAGAGCTCCCTATACTTCTTGCATATTGATATTCCAGAAGATCATCTTGTCGAATTACCAGAGGAGGTTTCTGTTCCGGACACTCCTACTCTTCCGACAATCAGTCGCAAACCACTACCGACACCTCCTATCTCTCCCGCGGAGGGATCTCCGAGACAAAGGAGTCCTGCATTCGACACCAAACCACAGCTCGGCGTACCTCAGCGCAAACCGGTTCGTCAGAGTCTGGATCTTCCGGATATTCCGCCACGACCTCCTATGAGAAGTCCCCCAAGCCAGCAGGGCCAATTCTCCATGTATGAACATCCTGATGAAAGACCATTGTTCTCCAGGAGACCACTCAGCAATCAGTTCCTGGATCCAAGTCTTGTACCTGCCAGACCCTCGATAAATCCTCGCAGCTCTTATGCTACAGTTGACACTAGCCGGTCTTCCTTCGATGCATCTTTGGCTCCTGAAGATGATGACCGCTGCGTCTCGCTGACTCTTATTCGTCGAGATCCGTCATCAGGCTTCCAGTGGAATGTAGCAAAAATTCGTGATCCGCCAGTCCATGAAGTGACCTCGATCATGGGGGGCGATGGCTCGGTCAAGATCAAGAAAGCGGGAGCACCTTTGTTCCTTGAAATCTACAATCCGGGATACTCCAAGTTCCTGCAATTCGATCAAACCAGGCCCATCTCCCGAGAGAGTGCCGATGTGGCCTCACTCTCACCGAGCCTATCTTCCGATCCTGACAACACATTTCGTCGAAGGCTCTACATGGATGGAGCAAGGTTCGGTGATCACTCCTATGGACATCGCAAGACTCCTTCATGGAACGGCGAGCAGCAAACACAGCGTTCTTCTGTGCAGCTGAATCGACAAAGCTTGCAGGCTGCACCAAAAGCTCTGGCGGATAGAAGGAGCAAAGGCTATACATTCCGCAGTCCTTGGGGAGGGAAATGCGAGTTCTCAACTGGCACGGCTGGCAGGTCATTGAAGGTTCGTAAGCGTTCATCGAGCCTGATACAATCCAATGTACTAATGTTTTGCAGTGTAAGCACGTTCTTGAGAGCCCTTCAAGCGCAGCGACGGAAGTTAGTGAGCTGCGCTTCAACCTTCCAACAGGTGGCGGCACCAAGAGTACCGCATCCACTGATCCTGGAGCGAAGAGATCATCAGTGGTCTCACGGCCGATTCTGCACAGGCACTCAACCTCGGACGAGCTTGCCAATAGCCCTCTCCCTTCAAGCATGGCAAAGTTCTTGGATGAGTACGGTAACATAGATCTTTCTTTGGGACAAGAGCGTGCTGGAGGTGGGTTCCAGGGAAAACAGGCAAAGCTCGGAAAGCTCATCATCGAGGACGAAGGGGTCAAGATGTTGGATTTGATCGTGGCAGCCAACATGGCTCTCTGGTGGAGGGCGTATGAGAGGAAGCACTGAGCGCGAGCACTGAGCGCGATACGCCAGAGGCCATACACACGACCGCAATGCTTGGAAGTCAGTCCACACGACACCCGGAGGCGTGGCACAATATTTTAGAAAGACTCCTTCTTGTTTACCTCACTCAACGCGACCATCAACACCTTACGACGCGTCCACTTCGCGTCTGTCCTAGCCAAGCATGGATACACAGTGGAAGGTCGTCTACAACTACATGAGAGAGAGGCGTTGCTCCAGCTCTACCCTCAGCTTCGGCGCAGGCTCAACACCACCTCACAACCGCCTGCAACAGTTCTACGCTATGAAAGACGACCAAACCCCCGAGTCGGAGGACGGTGTGACTGTGAAGCAGCTCGAGATCCAGACCGAGGACGACATGTGGGATTTCATGAATCTAGCCCAAGCTGACCGAGCACACAAATTCCACGAGACAACTCACCTCAAGATCGTTGTCAACTCGACAAACTTCGGCGATTGGGAAGACGATGTCTGGTACGTCAAAGAGGATTTCTCTGCGCACATCAGTCTCGCTAACCATCACTTTTTCTACAGGTGCATGTTTCTAGCAAACTTTGAGGACTACTCCCACAAGGTCAACCACCTGAGTATCCACATCGAGGGACCCAATGTCTTCACTCGCAACAATTACGTCAAGCCTGAGATCACTGTCCAGGAAGAAGTTCCTCCCGTCCGAGGCAATGGCAGAGGTCTGGACCACGAGTTGGGCCTTCACTACCCAGCCCCTGTCCCTGACGACAAGGTTGAGGAACACCTCGCAAAGAAGCCCAAGTTCACTCGTTCAACCATGAACTCATCCGCCAACGCCGACTTCATGCCCGCCTCTCTCAACACTCCTGCTGCCCCTCCCAAAGCCAGCTACTACGTAACCAAAAAACACCCTTCTCACCTCATCGACCTTCACATCTACGAAAAAGCCATCATCCCAGCCTTGATCAACATCTTCAAGAATCGCACTCCCCCTCTGCCCTACATCACCATTCAAGGCCCCATGGAACTCTCCCTGCGCCGCCACATCATCAGTTCCATCAACCCTCGTTACCTCTCCAACGTCGTCCTCCGCGCCGAATCCGGCAACTCACCCACCGACGCTGCGGCCGTTGCTGCAGTCCAAACTTGGGAAGCTAGTCATCCTGAGATGGTGCGTCTCAGACGTGGTGTCCAGGACCCCGAGGACTTTAGCCAGTGGGAGAGACAGAAGGCTGGTGAGGATGCCCACATGCATAATCTGGGCGAGTGGATTGTACCTTCTGGAAAAGGCGCTAGAGGCGTTTGGGGTTGGAGAACTCAGGGCCCTGGGGTCAAGGTTTGGAGGGGTCCTAGTGAGGCTTGGGGCGGTAGAGAGGGCGTTTGATCACTCTTCTGGCCTACTCCTTCACCTCCCTCTCGGATTTGATGATACCAATGGTGACGAGAAATGAGAACTACGATGTGTAATTATGGGATCGATGTAACGACTGCAAGGAGGAAAAGGAGAGCGAACAAGCAAAGAAAGGAAAAGAGAAGGCAGTCACCGAGCAGAGAAAGCAAATTGTAGATGTAGTAACGCAGTGAAATCAAAGGCAATCCCGATCTCCACGTTCTCCTATCTCTAAGCATACTCTTTCTACCCGACCACCTCATTCCCGCCGCCGCGTCTTCCTTCCCTTGTATGCTCATCCACAGATCACGTCATCTCTAAAGATTAGCCGAACTTCTTGAGAATGGTTGAAGACAGGTGATACTTTTCTTTCCTTTTCTATGCTTGTCCCTTTCCTTCTTCTCCACCCATCTACCTACATCCGAACCACACGTTCCCTCACTGATTGATAAGTCAAGGCAGCTTTTGGCGTCAGTATTGTTTAGTTTAGCTAGTTTTTTGTAGAGCTATAAGAGTAGCTGCTACGCGATGAGAGTGTCGTTAGTACTAGCCGATAAAAACAGAATCGTCTTTCATCATGACAGCATCTGGGCAGTGCTATACAACCTCATAGAAAAAAGATGAGACAAGGAATGAGGGAAAAAGGATAAAACATTCATTTTTTGGTGTTTCTTTGCTTTCTACGATCAGAGGCAGAGCTTTGCTCCACAATCTGATGGGCTCCTTTCCCCCCTTCTCCCATCGTTGCGCGGCAAGACTAAACAAGAACAAGACTCTGGGTTGGCTTGTATGCTGCTGAGAATATTCCTGACCTTTCGGGGCCGTCACTTTTTTTCCCCCTTCTTCTTGCGGAAAGAGGTGGTATCTAGTAGACCTTCTTCTTCTCGTCGACACTGAACTGACCGGGGCCCATGTTGACCAAGAGGAGCAGACCACCGACAATCGACAGGATTTGGAAGAAATCGTACTTAGCAAAGTCCTTGTGGGGGTGATTGTGGTGAAGCTGCGAAAGGAATATCAGTATTTGCGAAAAAAAACCAAAGCAGAATGCAGAAAAAGGAAAAAGAGGAAATAAAAAAAAACTTACAGTCCAGAAGTTGTTGACGAGCAAGTTGAAAACACTGAGAATGACAACCAGCATCACAGCACTCCACTTGGCCTTGAAGCCCACCACAACCATCACACAAGCAACCGCTCCCAGCAAAATAACCACGACCCTTCCAAAGCTCCACTCGCCAGCAAACACAAAGCCCACGAACAAGAAAATCAACAGCACGCGGCCCGCAAGCTGGAAATACATCTTGCGGTCCTTTTCGTCGAGGGTGGGGAGGCCGGCGGGAGCGAATCGCTTGCGCACCCAGCTGTCGGACAGCACCATGAGCAGACCTCCCATGACCGACAGGTTACGCAGGAAGAAATTGAGGTCGAAGATGAGGCCGTAGCCGAGGGCTTGGGTGATGACGACGCCGAAGAGACCCATGACGGCGTATTCGCTGTGCTTGCGGACGATGATCATGAAGGACGAGGCGCTCATGGCGATGACGTTGGCGATGAGGAACATGTGGGTGAGGCCAGAGGGGACTGTTTTTGTAGTGTGTTAGCTTGTGCCCATGTTTCTCTCCTTCCCCACTGATTGTGCCGTGTTCGGTGGAGGGGAAAACGTACTGTGTCTGTAGTCGTGCAGGTAGGTGAGCTGGTCGCTCCATTGGGTGATGATGCGCAGGGCATCTTCGAGGAAGGTGACGACGATGAGGAAACGGCCAATCGCAGGGATGTAACTACAGCAATATCAGTGACCCGAGGCACAGCGATAGAGTAGAGGGGCAGAAACTCACGGCTTGACGGGATGCGACAAGGTGTCGAGCCAGTCTTCAATCTTGCTGGTCTGTTCACGAATGGCATCCAGCGGACTGGGATCATTAGTGGCGTCTGGTCGCCCGGGACCGCCAAACGAAGGCTGCGAGCCCAAGTGGTATCCTGCCGTCCCTCTGATTTGAGCCATGGTGTGCCGTGTGGGGGGGAAAAATGCGTGTAAGGGGAGAGAGGGAGAAGAGGAGAGAGGAGTGTTGCGAGAGAGTGCTCCTCAGAACGTCTCCAGTAGAAGAGGCTAGAGCACAGCACAGCACAGCACAGCGTGGGGAAGAATAGACCACTTGTCAGCATGGAATCGAAGCTTCAAACACCTTTCACCCGCTGGAGCTCTCCCTTTTTTTCGGTTCGTCCTTTGTTTGATCGGCCTGCCGTTCAGAGCCAACAATAAATACTTCGTCCATTGTACATGTACACCCAGCCCCCTGACTCTTCTAGTCGTCACTGTATATGACTCCCGTCTTTCCAATGCCTCTCATCGTCGCTCTAACCCTCTCCCTACCATGACGCATCTTGCACTCTGCCCGTTCACAAAGCCCATAAGCTTTGCGGCCCTGCTCCACAATGCCATCATCGAACCGAGCCACCTCTGTTAAATATAGATTGGCTTAGGAGAATGCATTTCGTTTTTGAATACAACAAGATACAAGACTAAACTAAAGGAACACAAAGATCCCTTCTAGACGCCTGTTCTCAAAACTAGTCGCTCCTCTTTGTCTCCTGTGTTTTTTTCTTCTTGCGGTCTTGTACGAGCAAAAGTCGATTGTAAGCAAAAGATTGTGAACGAACCCCTTGAGATGCCCTGTGGGAATACCCTTGCTTGGAAAACAAAAACATGAAATAAACTGCCATTCTGCCTCGACTCTGTGACTTTCGTGCGTCTGCCGACATGTGTGTGTTGGAACAAAGAGCTTTCAAAGCACTCATTTGTCCTTGTGAGGATGCAAGAATTAGCGTCACAACCTGAATTATGCAACGCGTAGTGGATTAGGCAGCCCACTGAGAGTCGTCGGGGTGGCTGCCTGCATCGTAGCCAGAGTCGTAGAGGGACGAGTACCCATTGGTCGAGCTAGCTGCGGCCTTGGGTGCAGGAGCAGTGACCTTGGCCAAGGGAGCGGCCTTCTCGATGGGTGCGTTGACCACAGAGCCAGCATCACTAGTGTTGGAGTCCTCGGAACCGACGACGGGAGCCTTCTTCTTCTGCTGCTTCTTGCCCTTGGGCACAGTGTTCCAACCCGAGTCGTCTTGGCTGATTTGCTTGGCCAGTCTCAGCTGATCTTCCTCGTTGCTGGCACTCTGGTCGAAAGTGTCGAGCAGAGGGGCGTTCTCTCCAGTGACGGCCACGGAAGGAGCCTGGACAACACGCTTGGCAATGTCAGCGGCCCAGGCGCTGCTGGTGGGAGCCTGAGAAGGAATGCCATTCTTTGCGGGCTCTCCACGGGCTTCACGGGCGGTACGGCGTTGAGTTTCGAGCAGAGTCTGACGTTCCTTCTCCTCAGCCTCTCTTTCAAGTCTGCGTTCCTCAACCTTCTTGCGGTTCTGTCTTTGCTTCTTTGTCTCTTCCTGCTGGACTGGTGCCTGACGGGCCTGGTTGGCCTTGGTAGGCTTGCTGGAGCCAGTAAGGCGGAGGACGGACGGGCCAGCAGCGGCGGGCTCAAGCATGTCTGAAACGTCACCAGCGGCCAAAGAAGGCGACATGGAAGGGGTAAGGTCGTCATCAGCATCGGCAGCGTTGGACGAGGCGGAAGAGAAGGTCTTGGAAGACTGCTTTACAGTTCTGTTGCGCGAGTCGGTACGGGTGGGAGGAGCAAGGCTAGTACCCTTCTTGAGACTGGCGAGCTGTTGGGCCCAGGCTTTGTTGTCCTCCTCTTGGGCAACATCGTCGTCGAGCTCCTGACGCTTGGGTGCGGGAGCAGGTGTGAGGGAGGGAGCGGGTGCAGCTGACTGCTTCTTGCCGGCCTTGCGCTTCTTGGAGCCATCTGAGACCTTTGTGGTGCTGTCATCACCGCTCTGGACGCTCAACTCAGGGAGAGTGACACCGGTAGCCTTGGTGGCTTCAGTCTTGGGCTTCGGCTTGGTCGAGTCTCGTCGGCGGGCAGCCTTGGGTTGGGGAGCGACAAAGTCCGAGACTGAGGCGGAGCGAGTCCTGTTGGCGACGGGCTTGCCGTGCTGGAAGTAGTAGTAGTAGACGGCGGCAGCACCGATGAGGGCGACTGCCCACGATTGCCAGGGCTCCATGTTAATAGATCGCTACCGCACGGCGTATTAGTCGAGCGGCAAGACGGAGAGAGTCAACAGGGAGCTCACTCAATTGAAAGGCGCTGTGATTTAAGGCTTCTTACGGAATCGACGAAGTGGAAGGCTGGGTTCTGAAATGGGGGACACGGGATAGAATGCGAGGAAGGAGACTCAATGCGTGCGGAGGCGCAAGGACGAGCGATTCCCAATCCAATCCAATACTCGTAGGTACGGAGGCGTCAGCTCAACGCCGGCAGACGAGAGCAAACAACACGTTTACAACAAGCCGGAACAACCATCAGTCGATCATCTGTTCAAAGTACATCTCACCACCTAGTGCTCGATATGATCTCTTTATGCTTCGTACAATGATCGAATCACCCTGACATTGACCCAACAGAGCACATTGTCGCCTGTCGCATGAGGTATATACATGCTCAATGACCCGCCAACTTTTGCCAAGGGTTCGAGCTGCGCTTGTGGGAGGGCTCGGACCTTTGTAAACAAAGACCGACCTTCCATGACAGCGAGGGCGACATTCACGCGACTCACAAAATAGGGAACATATTCCCTTGACTTGTAGAGGCTGAGAATCTGTAAGTCGTCTTGTAAGGGAGTCGTTCTCCAAATTAATACCATCTCGAATTGCCGAGATTGAAGCTCATCTATGTACGAAACAACCACTATCTGGCTATCCAAATGCCCACGCCACCCCTGTCGTCACTCTGAACACCGTCCCCAGCGTCCAACACTCTGAGTGTCTTGTGAAAGTATGCATCCACCACTCTGAGTGCTGGCCAAACCCAATGTCCCTTCTGACCGTGACGTTCGGTCAAAGCATCGTCCTCGACAGCATATACAAATAGTCTGTAATCGACTTGGAGGCGACTCATAGGAGTCAAGCTTACAGCCCGATGCTTTGATCCGCTGAAAGCAAACGATTCGTTCGCTTCCATGGTCAGGTTGAACGTCAAGAAGTGCATCGACGGGTTCTCCAGTGTGTATGAGACAGTGATGGCCTCATCTTCTGTGTTGGCAGGAACGCTCGCCGTACATAGCACCCGGGGCTCGGCAGATGGAATGGTCATGCTAGGGACTGCAAGCATGGTAGTAGTCGTGTTGTGCTCGCCAGCACCTTCTCTACGCCATGTGACCGCCAAAGACAGTTCCAACGCCGAAGGACGTCGATCTTCGAGCGTCAATTTACGCACTTCCAGGATGTGAGGAACATCCATCATGTCCTTCAAGCTCATGCTGCGTGACGCCGTCTGTGATTTAGGAGACTCCTCGACGTCACATATGGCATTGCTGGTGACTTTGTTGACAACCAGTCGTGTTGCCTCGACCAGCAAAGGTTCGCTAGAGAAAGACACTACACGACTGGTCAAACACCATCTTTGTGCCATGCCTCGTGCTGGCTTCGACTGCTCCTTATCATCCTCGGAAAGATCTGGTAGGCTGAAGTAATTTGGGTATGCTCCTGTATGGAGGCGTGGTCCGAAGTCATAATTGGCCTCGAAGGGACTAACGAAGGGTATCACTGACTCCAATGTCTTCATGACAGGTGTTTCCGAGTCAGAGGCCAGACGATAGTTGACTTCCAGTCTCAACGTGTATTCTGAAAGGTCGAGCGGAGCCATAAACTCGAGGACGTGGGACTTCGCTTCATTGACCGAGATCTTTCCAATCTGGAGGTTGGTCAGATCCATGTCCTTGGCTTCATTTCTGTTGTCCTTCCAAGCAAGTTCTAGACGGACATCTGAGTTGTCTTGTCCTTCGGCACGTATGAAGGCATTGACCTCCTCTGCTTCCTCGTTGAGAATCTGAATCTCCAGAGCTACTTTCTCGCTGACAAAGTACTGCTCTCTGAGATTTGTTATACGCAGCTGTACCTTAGGTGGTTTCGGCAGTACCTGGATGGTGTTTGGCTCTGCTCGGGGTATCTGTTTTCTCAAAAGCTTTTCCTCTGATAGTAGCCACCAGTTCGAAGAACTTATGTCGGTTGGACGACCAAGGACGTGTTCGAGCGTGGCACCAGATGCTTTGAGTACCAACGAGGCACCAGTGGCAACAAATGAATCTGGATCGCGAAGCGGGATCGTCAAGTTGAATACCCGAAGTTGACCAGGCTTGAATGTTAGATTGGCGTTTGTCAGTAAGCCCTTTGCCATGGGATGTGCTGCGTCATGCTCCTCTTGCACTTTCAAGTTCGTCGACAAAGACGGGCCGGCGTTGTCAGAGTGGTTGAGCACCAAGCTTCTGATATTCGTATTGAACTGAACACGAAGCTCATGCAAGGTCAGGTTGCTTGCGCGTGCTGATCCGTTAAAGACGACTGCAACTTGGCAGACAGCAGTGTCTCCAACGAAGCCCTCACCTGACAGGAACGAAAACGTAACGGAGACTTGGGCTCGGAATTAGCTCGGTCCAACGTGATTCCAGCGACAAAACTTACATGGACAGAATCTAGACTGGGTATTCAACAGGATATGCGTAGGATCGTCATTACTACCAGCGCTTGACAAGCACTGCAATATGTCGATGCTTTTTTGAGATCTGAGAGCTGTTGCGAGTCAGAAAGCTGAAAACCACTGGGGTGGGGATACTTGCGCTGATATGCGAGCTCCCAGGCACTCTCGGCCTGGAGCTTAGAATTGCCTGTTCTTTCAGCAGAATCGTAGATTAACTCCAGAACTTCTATTGCTAGATCAAACCACTTCTCACGTCTCCAGATCATGCTCTCCCATACTGGTTGTATTGTCTGCAGTACTTCGTCATATCGTTCGGCCTTGTGAAACTCACGCGCGAGATCGATCTTGACTTGCTGAACTGCTCTTAATTGGCCTCTATTAGACATGATGCTTTCGACTCGTTCAGTTTGGCTCTGCAGATCCAGCAAGTAGTCGTAAGTGCTGTGATCAGTCAAAGGCGCCTCTTCATGAGGTTGAGGAACCATATATGTATCGTAAGTCCTGGTTCTACTCGCAAGTTGGGCTGCGGTAGTCTCGCTCGGGAGTGTTCTATCCTCCTGTGGTATAGCTTCTGCATTTCTCTTGCGTGCCATGAGATGCTTGCATGCCAGTCTCCACCAGTAGCCCGGGTGGTGAAGTAAGTGGAAAGGCATCATACGATCCAGGGTTGCGTACATCTTCTCTGCCGGAGCGTATATGGTAGGACCGGCTGTCTGATCTTCAGGGTCGGAGAGGTCCACTGGTTTGAAGACAGGTAAATCGGCCATCTCGATAAGTTGGGCCATCATTTTGGCCCAGCGAGCTTCCCATGCTTCCCAGCCGTAGCTGTTGTCTGTGCCCTTTCCACGGCGATCGATCAGGTCTCGCATGCGCTCCTTGTAGTTGTACCAAGATTCCGCAGCACCGGAGGTCATGCCCCTCCATATTTGACAACGCAGGACACGGAAAGCGATGATATCGCAAAGCAAGCGAGCTTCTTGCCAACGAGCGGACCAACTTGGTGTATGTTCGAGGCTGCCTTCAGGACCAAACAGTTCTTCCAGGGCAGACTCGTAATGTCTCTGAGCCACATCCATCTCTTGTCGGAACTCGGCAAACACGGCCATTTTGAAGTCGTAACGTACGTTCCAGCCATTCATAGTCAAAACCTGAGATGTGCCGCGGCTAGCTGCAGCGGTTATAGGTGGAGGAGCAGCGCGACCTCGTTTCCTTCTTGAATGCTTTGTCAAGTCTCTGTAGTAGTCAATGCAGACAGGCTGCAAGGCTCTCAGAACGCTGGAAACGAAGTTGGGCAGATCCGTCTGCGAGTCCGAAACATCAAAGTGGAAACACGAAATCTTTGGATCAAGGGAGGTTGCTCTTCTGATATTGGCGAGACGTTCCTCAAAGTCAAGAGGTGAGATAGCAGCATCATCCGAGACGAGAACGACGGCGTATCTCGTCTTGAAGCCAGATTTGGCGATGGCGTTTCCCGTATCGTTGATATGGTTCTTGAGAGCGGCATCGTTGGAAGGGTCTGAGTCCAGAGTTTGAAAAGAGAGATAGACGGCGGGAATGCGAGATTGATGCTTGGCTAGCCATAGAGGAGTCATGAGGCCGTCAGGAAAGACGGGAGAAGAAGGAGATAGCGGCGATAGAGGCGAGTGAAGGTCATGGCTGGTGGATGATGAGGGATTGGGACTTGTAGGAGGAGATTGCGTGGGCACTATCGGCGGAGGGGCAGCCTTTCTGGAGGGGAAGACAAAGGACTGGCAGAGCACGGGGATTAGTATGGCAGACAATGTGGACATTTTCTAGTCAGCGGCATACCTACCCTCCCGACACTGGACAATTTGAAGCCTATCAAGCCAGCGCGATCGCTCAAGGCCTGGTCACTCCAGGACAGAGAAGCTCCGTCGGCCCGCAGGAACTCGTCCAGAATAGAGTCGGCATGGGGACCAGAGAGTGGAGGAGAGTTGTCCGAGATGCTCAGGCCGCTGCCTTGGGCTGAAGTTGTTGTCGCAGCATTGGTCGACGAGTCGGCGGCTGGAAGACCAGCTAAGGCGATGAAGGGCAGATTGTGGGCGACATAGTCTTCGGGATAGGCCTCCATGTCTGCGCGATCAGGCCATGACAGTAGTCGATGTGTACAGTCCAAAACTTGTTGCTATCAACAGCCGCCCATGCAAATGACGCGCCTGAAACTGTGGGGAGAGGCAGAAGTCCAGGTCGAGGCTCAATCTCCGTCCTTCAACTTGATCCTTTTCGACAAGATCCCCTCTGCCAACACGCCCAGACACCAGGCCAAACACTGTCAGCATGGCGGCACAACAGACCATCATCGCCGAGACGATACGCGGCATGAAGCTGGCCATGCGCCGCCGCGACAACGATTCCGACTCAGACACGACCATCACGCAGCCCACCAACCGCGGCAACAAGCTCAAACGCAATGCTCGCCATGTACACGAGGGTCGCCTCGACACTACACACGGCCGCAGCTACAAGAAGCGTATCGACTATGCTGGCTACGACCGCTACATCCTGAGCGAGAACCCTCTGCGCTTCGACGACGACGGCGATCTCATAGACGAAGACGAATACGATCCCGACGACCAAGACAGCGACCATCAAAATGCCAATCCATGGGCCGACACAAAACTCGAGGACTTGCTTGCCCCCTTGACCTCTGCCGCCGAACTCGCCCACCACCCCTCACTCTCGGTGCCCTTTCTCTCGAGGCCCATCAGCGAAATGGCTGAGAATGCTCGCCAGGCCATGCACCGCGAGAAAGAGACACTCTGGCATATCAAACAGCTGTTGTTGAGGTTGCGAGGCGACGACCATTGGATTCCTGTCGGCAAGCTCGAATCCGAACACGATCATATGCTTCTCGATCCCACCGCTGCCCACACCGACGACAACTTGTCAACCACCATGCCTCCCGAGACCTCCGCTATAGACCACTACAGACCCGACACCAATAACACAATCTCACAACAAGACCCGCTGCAGCAGAACGACTCTCAGACAGACGCTCTTGACCAACAACAAAATCCCTCCAATACTCTTCCGTCACCCGATGCCTCGCCCGACGGTGCCATCCAACACGCAATGACAACCCGGCGACAAGCACGCACATCTCCAACGCCCGACCCCAACTTCCCTTCGTCATCACCTGCACCCTCATCCATACCATCAATCCACGCCTTCTTCCACGTCCCAGATTCCGCACTACCGGATCGTGACTACGGTCTCCCAGCCAGTGAAGCTAACGATACACGCCGTCTGTTACTCCTCTACTGCCAAAAACAAGAACAAGTCGTTCGCGAGTCGGAACAAATGCTCGAGGGTCTACTCAAAGCAGATCGCATGCGAAAAGACGTCTGGCGCTGGTGCAAAACAGAAGGTCACATGGGCGAAATGAGCGACGGAGAAGACTGGTACGATGTGGACGAATGGAACTTGAGCGCGCCTCTACAAAAAGGCAAGGAAGAAGAAGAGGTGGAAGATGAAGGCAGGGTAAAAGGTAGACGTAGACGCGGTGCCCAGCACTAAGCTCTTCGCACGCTTCAATCAAATAACAATAACCCCATCCCACCAATTCCCACGTCCTTTCAATTCTCTCTCACAACTTTGACTTCCCACTCTTCTCAGGATGAGCTTTGCTCGCTCCACGGTCGTTCTCAGTGGGTTCTGTATTGCTGGTCTCTGCCTTCAGCGACACTGGGTCACCCAGCTGTGTAGGATTTTCCTTTGCTAGGTCCTTGAGAGATTTGTGGCCATCGCTTCCTCCTGACTTGTTGGGACGATCGTTTTCAGTGGGTTCGGTGTTGCTAGTTTCTGCCTTAAGGGATACGGGATCACCAAGTTGACTGGGGTTGTCTTTGGCCGTGTCTTTTAGTGATTTCTGTGGAAGGTCAGATGAGGAAGGTGTTACGACTGGGGTGGTTGCTTACGTGGCCCATGGTCGTGGTTTTTGTAGATTCCCGAATTCTGAGGAGCGTACAAGGTGTATGAATGGCTACAAACAATGCTATCAGGGGCTACGAGGACTACTGGGTAGATATTGAATGCAAAAGAGAGAGTTCTGTGATGACGATAGCGATATGCTTCCCCGCCTTTCTCCCCGTACTTTCACATGTTCTGCTCGGCACGGCTCGGCTCTTGAATAGTTTTGTGCAAGTGTGTTGTGCATTCGCATCCAACTTAACTATCCCTCTTTCAAATTCACGTTTCGATGAACGAAGGGAACAGAAATCCTACATGCGCTTCGTCAATTGACGTTGTTTTTCGAACTCACTTCTCTCGATTTCTCGTCTATTCACCAGCAAACGTACACACCAAAAAACGCCCTTATCATGCAATTTCCTCAAAACGCCATTCCCACCTCTTTGCTCATCCCATCACCATCTTCTCGGACCATGACCATGTCCATGCCCCAATTCCCTTCTTGTATGCCTTCCCAAATGCCTCTTCCTCATAATTTGTCCATCACTGCAAGTCGTGCCCGGAGCAACGTCCCGCCAAACCACAGCCCCGAAGTTGCAAATGCCAAATTGACTAGCACCGTTACAGACCAACGAGCCATCAGGACTGCAGGTAATGTTGTTGGTGGTGCTAGCGACGATTTGAGAGTTGACGCAAGAGGTGCCTGGGGCTACGGGTTGCCAGATTACGCTGTTGAAGTTGCAGAGGCCGTAGAGGGTGGGGCCGTTGCAGAGCAGAGCGCCGTTTTGGGGGCAGGTGGTGCTGTTTGTGTAGGGTGGGGGGATGGTGCTGGGAGCGCTTGGGGCGCTTGAGGAGGATGCAGAAGATGTGGTTGAGTAGGATGTTGCGGCTGCAGAGGCAGTGGTTGTGGTGTTGACAGCTGATGGTGCAGGGATTAGAGTCGTCAGAGTCGTGGGTGCCGCAGTGGCTGTAGTGCTATCTGGGCTTGATGCTGCAGCAGTACTGCTTTGACTTTGTGACGCTTGACCCAGAGCAGCACAACCGGTTCCAGTGGGTGGTGCGAGTGCTCGTGTGTCGATTGTAGTTACATATCTGCCAGGATTGGGGATCTCGAGATTGCTGCTGAGCTGACTACCACATTCTGAGCTTGGAAGATTGACTCTGAACATATCTTCCAGCTGATCAAACTCTTTGGTATCCTCAGCGCCACCAGAAACGGTGATGGGTGCGCAATTCATGTAGAATTCTGGCTGACCGGAGAGCTTAGAAACCCAGCTCCATGCTAGCGTAGCTTTGCCATTGGGAACTTCAGAAGGGATGGTGTAGTTCCAGGGGTGAGTACCGCCATCAGTGTCGTCGATGGGACAGCCGCCAATCCAGCTGGCGATTGTCTTGAACGTGCTGTCGGCGGTTGGTTGTCTGTCCAATGTCACGCTGAGTTGACAAGATCCGCCACCATGAGATGCTGATCCGTCAAAGGTCATGGTCTGAGGTTCGCCAGCGACGAGCTCATTCTCTTGATCGACAATCCAAGGGTCAGCGCCGCCGATTCGCTTTGATTGACAAGGGAAGTCTGATTGATCTGATCCGGGTGCGACGTTTCTGAGAGGATCGAGTTGAAGTGTGCTCTTGGAGTATGGGACAGGATTGTTGAGTTTCAGATGACAGTTGACCAGAAATGGTAGTTGTGTAAGTAGCAAGGTCTTTGCTGCTGACGAGATAGCCATTTTTGCTGGTATACAGAAGGAGGGTGTGCGATGAAAAATGGAATCAAGACAGAAGAAAGGAACGCGAGCACTTTTGTAAGATCTGCTCAATAGGAGAACAGTTGGAGAAGAGGGTGAATAGCGTAGAATGCGCCAGCCTCATTGTCGAAGTTCCAGCTGAGTCCAACACGCACCGAGAGAATGTATGTGTGAAAGGGACGTGTCTTGCCCAAGCCTCGCGTTTCAAACTCGGCCAATGGGCACGCATATTCTTGCGGGGACTCGTACACATTGACACTTATGTGCTGGGAGCTGGACGTGTTTCTGGAATGCAATAGCAAGCCTCTTGACACGATCACACCCTCGACACCTTTTGAGACTTTGAGTCGGCCACAGAGGAATTAGACTGCTGACGTCTGTGGATGTTTCTCGACTCACGACCTCGAGCTGTGTCTCTTGACCAAGACATGATTGACCAGTGGCTATACAAACATCTAGCAAATTCTTACGAGGATGGAATCATCAAAAGTCAAGATTTGATGTTAGGAAAAGTGTTGGTTTGGGAGAGGTTGTCTGTGAAATATGCCTCGGTAATGCAGCCCCCGTCCGCTGCGGAAGCCGCTGGACCTCCTCCATCATGCATCTGACACGACTTGACGTTGGGAGATGCTGGACTCAACGACAGCTGCATGGCTACTCGAAGCAGCAGCGTGACGGCTTTTCTGAAGGCACTGATAAGACTCTTCTTTGATGTAGCCTTCTTCTGGCACACGGTTCGTGGTTCCGGATCCGCTTGTTGTCATGTTCGGAACTGATATTATACAGCGGTTATGGACCTGGTGGACTCGTCCCAGCCAGAAAGACATTCAACTGGAGTGTCTGAACACTGCTCGCTACTACGAAGAGTGGGAGGCCGCAGCTTTCGCTTTGGATGAGCTCTACGGCAATGACCTCTGGTTCGATCTTTTCGCGTATACTTGTTGGGAACACCAGCTAACAATTGATCATCCAGGCGCCAGAATCCCTCTTCGAAACACTATGATTATCGTCTCATTCATTCAAGACTCCAGTATATCCTAGAAGCTCGCGAAGATGAAGACATTCTTGGTCTAGTCAATCTCTTACGTTCCGGGCTGGTCCGCAACCTAGGAAATATCACAGCACCGCGTCTCTTCAATCGAGCTTATGCTGGCACTAAGCTTTTGGTCGAAGACTACATTACTCAGGTCGCACTCGCTGTTGAGTATGTCACGACTTATCCTACGTCGCCGGTGGATGATACAAGTTTGACCAACCAAGCCAAGCTCGATCTTCTTCACGACACTCGACAGGCGTTTGGACGCAGCGTGCTTGTCCTCCAGGGAGGATCAATCTTCGGACTCTGTCATATTGGTGTCATAAAAGCGTTGCATCTACGAGGTCTACTGCCGCGAATTGTATCTGGAACAACGACTGGTGCACTGATGGCTGCTCTTGTGGGCGTACATAATGAAGACGAGCTGCTCAAGTTCTTGAGTGGGGAGGGCATTGACCTCACTGCCTTTGCTACCCGTTCGACCCAGCTGGCTAAGAACGGTAATGGCAGTGGGATACAACACGGCTTTTTCTCAACATGGTTCAGACGTTTCAAGCGGTTCGTCACCGAGGGCTATCTTTTGGACGCCTCAGTGCTGGAGGAATGCGTTCGAGCCAATGTCGGTGACCTGACCTTCATGGAAGCATATCAACGAACCAAGCGCGTGTTGAACATCACTGTGGCACCAATGGGTAACGGCATGCCTAATCTGCTCAACTATTTGACGGCTCCGAACGTGGTACGTGGTTGAACGTCCCCTAGCAGCAGCAAACAAAACGCTAATCCTGTCACCAGCTCATCTGGTCAGCAGCCTTGGCCTCCAACGCTTCAGATGTCCTTTACTCTCCTGTGGCTATGAAATGCAAAGACGAATCAGGTAATATCGTTCCTTGGGCATCCACCCATCCTACGAATCTACGCCCTACGACACCTCTCGGCTATGCCTCGGAGCGCGACTCACCGCTCGCCCGCATCGCCGAGCTCTTTAACGTGAATCACTTCATTGTCTCCCAGGCTCGCCCTTACATCGCGCCGTTCCTTCGCAGTGACCTGCACAGTCCTAAACCTGGTTACAAGGGAAGATCATCCCTCACGACTAGTCTAATGAAAGTCATGGTCATGGAGGTCCAGCATCGACTGCACCAGTTGGACTCCTTGGGATATCTACCAGTACAGATCCGCCGTTTTCTGCTGGATGAGAACATCCCTGGTGCTTCTTTGACTCTGGTTCCAGAAGTCAACTTCACCGACTTCTTGAAATTACTCGAGAATCCGACTCGGCAGAGTGTGGAGTACTGGATACTGAAGGGAGAAAAGATGGTCTGGCCAGCTGTGGATGCTTTAAAAGTTAGATGTGCAGTCGAAGTGGAGTTGGATCGAGGCTACCAGATTGTAAGAAGGAGGAAACCTTTTGATGCCAGTCCTTTGGCATCAGCACATGGCTCTGTGAGGCTGGACAAAAGAGGCATCAAAAAGAGAAGTTCGAGCTCTGCACTCGAGTAAGAAGAATCGATCTATATCCAGATTCCTAAGTTTATCCTCAAGTCGGTCATATTGAGGGAGCACGAACGGGCGCTTGCATAAGTTTGCTACCCTAGGCGCGCGACACAAGCCGACCTCAACGATTATATTGATCTTCCAACCTCGCACCAGTCTCAAGTCATGTGTGATTTGCTGCTTGTATCACACGGGTCCCGCTTGCTCGAAATCAACCATCGAAGCATGTGCTGTCGTGCGTGCTCGTTGGAGGGTAGTAAACCCATTGTTGTAGGCAGAAAGACTACCTCATATCTACCCACTTCCCACTTCACCTCCTTTCAAGGAACAGTCGAGACTGGTGACTTACAGGTTTTCGTACCATCATGTCAGTATCCCCTCCGGTCTCACCGATCTGGCAGCCTGGAAGCTTTCACGAACGGCAAGACTCCGTCTCCCTAGATGAGATCAGCCATGAGAGCCTAAAGGATGGAAGTCACTGGTCTACCATTGACACAAGCTATGCTCCATACTCGAGCAGAGCTCCCTTACAGCATGATCAGTCATCAAGTTCTGCTGACCGACCCTCTTATGCCTCGACTCCAGATCCAAACGAGCTCAACCCACAAGCACCACACAGATCCACCTGGATCCGATGCCTCAAAGACTGGAGCGTTGAACTCCTCTGCCTGCTTCTTGCAACCTCTACTCTCACCCTGACGAACACTATTCTCTTCCTCCTCGATAACAAACCCCTTTCCTCCTGGCGACTCTCCATCTCCCTCAACGCCGTCATCTCAGCTCTGGTGGTTGCCACAAAAGCAGCTCTGATATACACCACCGCCTGTTGCATCGGCCAACTGAAATGGCAGCATTTCCAACACTCCTTGCGCAGACGCTATCTCTATGATCTGAAGACCTTTGACGAGGCTAGCAAAGGACCTTTGGGTGCTTTAAAGCTTGTGTGCAGGTTACGAAACACCTCTTGGGCAGCGTGCTTAGGCGGTACCATTGTGGCAGCCGCAGTATTCGTGGAGGTATTCGGACAGCAGGTTTTGAGGTTTGAGAACAGAAGAGTAGAGGTTGAGGGCGCAGTAGCCAGGTTTGCGAGTACACAGCATCTGGCAGCACAGGATGGATGGTATCTGGATTATACGATGATGAGTGAGTTGCAGAAGGTGATGCTTACTGCTATCTTCAGGGGTGAAGCTACACCAGGGTTTGAGTGTGAGACTGCAGAGTGTACTTGGCCTGCTTCTGCTACTCTGGGGATCTGTTCGAGCTGTGTGGATGTCACTGATATCAGTAAGGGAAGCTGCGAGGGGGATGCAAAGAGCTTGGACTGCTTATTCGATGTGCCCGGCTTTGGAGAGTTGGGAGGAACAGCACAACCTGGTGGTCCCATGCCACTTATCAATACTACGACGATTGATGGTGTATACGATGTCACACCAAGCTTCTACAATTTCTCAACATTGGTGGTTGCAAACAGCACCGACTGGACAGCAAAACTGACTGCATGCGAATTGAGTTGGTGTGCCTGGACCTACGCCAACGCTTCTTCTCACGGAACTGCCCTCGATCTCGGAGCACCCCAACAGTACCCTCTAGTCTTCACAGGAACCTGGGACAAGACAAACGCAACCTCAAATCTCGATGACACACAAAGCATCTGCGTCGCTACAGGCAACTACCCAGCTGCCCTCAACAACACATTCACCATCAGCCAAAGCAAAGAATACTTTTTGAAGTACGCCGTAAAACTCATCCTCAAAGCCGGATATCAAGGAGCAGACTTTTACACCCAACTCACCTTGGCAACCTCATCGTTGGATTACGCAGATACAACAGCCATGTCCAGTAACCTGGCAGCCTTCATGACAAATGCTTTACGCACACAAGATGGAATGCAGTCGATTGGTATAGCATGGCAATCTGTAACTTTCATCCAAGTGCGTTGGGCATGGTTGACTTTACCTGCTGTGCTTGTTGTTGCAGCTGGTGTGTTGCTGCGGATGACGGTTTTGCAGAGTCAGAGGAATAACACTGTGCTGTGGAAGACTTCGTTGTTGGCGTTTTTGTTTTGCTCTACGGACGTGTGGAGGACAGACACGAGTGGCGACGGAGATCATGCGAGGTCGTTGGAAGCGATGGAATTGGCATCGAAGAACATGGAAGTCAGGTTGGAGAGAGATGACCATGGTCGATACCGACTTGTTCAGATCTGAGGGCCGGATGTCTGATCATGAGACCCATGTTGCAGAGAATGCTTGCAGTACGACAACAGAGGCTCATGTTTATTGTCTTGGATGCCGTTGCTAATTTACAAAATGATTCAACTGTCTTATAACTTCCAGACTCTACATATCACAAAGTCTTAGCGATATGAGGTAGTGATGATGCACCAGAAGTTTTCGTCTTAGCCTTGACTCCACAGAAACTCCTGCAATGGATGCCTGATGTGTCCGGTAAATGCTGGCTTGTTGCACCACTGTCTTTCGTTGGCCTTCGGAGCGGCGGAGACAAGGACGGCAGCAAATGAGACAACAACACACGATGCAGAATTCGAGAGACAGAAGATCCAGAAACGGATTGACATGTCTCAATTCCAGCGGAGCAGAGAGATGCCTGTCCTCCAGTATGCTTGGAGACGGATATTTAATAACTAGGATACCACTATGAGGAGGCATCATTATTATCACAGAACTTCTGCAATGCCTTTCTTCCCCAATGACCACGGCCATCTCAATACTCTGACAACCTTCTTCGACAAACGTATGGAGGTACTCAGCTGGATCTTCATGGGCTTCCTCTCGAGCAAGATCTGCGAAGAATCAAGTCCAGTCCTCGCCTCCACTCTTGCTTCCGTTGCTCTTATCGGTTGTGGATTCTTTCTCGACAGACTGTTTTTTGTGTCTCAAGAATCTCCTATCTTGCAGCCAGCAGACCTTCACTTTCCCAAGAACCAATCTGAAGCCTGTCTCCAGACCGCCAACGCTGCCGAATGTCGCGAGATCATCAAAAGTGGAACGCCCCCTGGAGCTTCGAAGAACACTCTATCAGCACTGGAAGCTCGTGCTCGTCCAAACCAGCGTCTGAAGTTGGCGTTTGGAATCGAGAGCTGTTTCACTTCGTCGGACGAAAAGTCATGCAAGAGCTTCAGAACCCAAGTGGAGAAGCTTCTCTACGTGGAAGAGGGTGAGTGGGTCAACTTCGCCTCAACTGCTCGTCAAGCCACAAAGGAGGCTCTCGATGTCGACGGCGACACCATAAGCCTATTCCATGTGGTCCAGCTCTTGACACTCAAAACGATGATGAGAGTGCTCTGGCCTGATCGCGATTCAAAACAAAGCACAAACGAGCAGATCTCAACGCTCGCTCATGAAGTGAATGTGCAGTGGCTTCGCTCCAAGGAACACAGTGCCGATGGGAATCCACCTTGGTTATTTGAAAAGCAGACATCTTTGAAAGACGCCGTCAAAGCTGTTTTCCCAGACTGGGATGAGGCCGACAGCGAGCAGAATCCATGCAATCTCATCCTCCCAGGCTACGAAACAATGTGGCGGGTGGTTCTGCGATGCTTCATCGAAGTCAAAGCTCGCAACCATTGCCAAGCTGACGCCTGGAGATTTGCACTGCGTCGCTTCTCCGGAAAGCCGACAAGAGAGCAGCTCGAAGTACCTATATCTCGACCCAGCACAGAAGTAGCTGCTGTCCACATTGCCATGGAGGCCCTACGTCTATACCCACCAACCCGACGCATCTACCGAGAGTATTGCAACAATGACAACCAGAAGATCAATGTCTCTGCCGATATTGAAGGTATGCAGCGAGACCCCACCATATGGGAAGACCAGCCAAACGCTTTTATACCTGAGCGCTGGATCGACCTCGAGGAAGGATACGATATAGGCTACATGCCATTCGGCGCCAGTCCCTTCAATTGTCCTGCAAAGAGGTACGAGAATGTGCCTATGCCATTCGGTCCGTCCATGGTTGCCTTACTCGTGGGTATATTGGTTGAGGCGACTTGGGGCGCATGGGACATCGACGGAGAGCTTCAGGATGATGGTCGCCCACTTGATACTGATCGCGAGGCGTACAGCGAAGCAATGCTGACTAGAAGTCAAAGTTTGGAGAATGACGTGGGCGAGGAGACCATTTGGTGTTTCTGCGACAGCTGTGTCGTTCGAACGAATGCTGAAATGTTCGAGTGATTGGCATAGGCAAGTTCGACAGATAGTTTACCAAATATGAAACGGGCGTTTTGGTGACTGAGGTTGTGATCAACGCGTATTCTTTCCTCGGATGTGAGACGTATGTGTGACTTGGTATCGCTTATGAGATTGCGTGACTGCTTGAGAAACGGAGCAGAGATTGATCGTCAAGGCAGTCGTTCAAACAACTCCTTTCCAAGGATCCTCGATGAAAGACGGCATGAAGACAACCATATCACCTCTCGCATTCTTGACACCACGTCTAAGTGCCGCAAGTTCTTGAGGAGCCGGGAAGCCAGGAGTCCAGTCATCTTGTTGCACCTCTCCCGCTTTTGCTTCCACAGCTCTTGGCTGCTCGTTTTGTGTATCGTCCACTCTTGCCATCGATGCAGCTTTGTGCTCTGTGTTTCCTGGCTCTTGCACTCTTTCTGCTGCAGCGCTTGGTACTGGTCTAGCACCCAAGGGAATATCGTTCGCGCCCGTGCTGGCTGGGATCTGGTTGCCGCTGTCGTCGACGAAGGCGTCGTCTGCGCGTGCGGCGTGTTTGCGACGCTTGCTGCCAAAGCTGGTGAAGCCCATTGCTTCTGCAATAGCTGGGTCGATTTCGAGATCATCCATATCCATTTTGTGATCGTTATGTGGCTGGCGAGAATTGTGAGAGGTTGGCCAGTGGAGAGTTGGTATGGTGGAAGCTGTTGGCCTTGGACGCGGAGAAGTCACGATGGTGTGTGCATTGGAAAGCTCTTCACTCAGAAGCATTCATTCACTGCGAACACGGCAACAAAATGTTCTCATAACGAAGTGAAGATAGACATTTCTATGACTGTGGAGGCTAATAAGTATACTCGGAACACGCTTTGGTCAAAACGATCCCTGCTTGCTAACGAGAATGCACACGCTCAGATATATGTAACGCCGGTGACCGTGACCCCCAATGCCCATAACTCATTTGCATACGAAACGACGGTGAAAATCAACCCAGTAATTACTCCGGCAATGGCTGCAGAAGGCGCCAGCTCCCCCATGTGCTGCCTTTGAATGCGGTATCGTGAAATGATCTAGAGAGAAGTTTGTCCAGAGAGCTCCTCGACGTTGAACTTCCAGTTGCCTATTCGTCAAAGTCAGTCGCGTGTCCCGATATTCAACACAAGTCACCACTTACCCTTCTTGAGATTCTCCGCTGTATCACCAAGCAAGATGATGCGACGCTTGTTGCAATATGTCGTCTTGTCCATCATCTCGACCTTGAGAGCAGCAAGCTGATCAGTGGGCTTCTCGAACATGCCACTCAGGGCCTCGACAGCCATCTCCAAGTCTTTCTGGTTGTCCTCGAAGATCTCCGTCAAGTTGTTACGTTCCAGGTAGTAAGCAAAAGCGTAGGTCCACTTAAGAGTCTGTCGGCATTGCTGAAGGGCTTGCGATGCAGATTCGAGGAACTGGACCTCGATCCAAGACATGCCTGACGTTGACTGAAGTTGCATCATCTTCTTCTCCGTCTTGAGGTAGATGTCCTTGTCAAGCTTGGCAGACTGCTCATGGTTGGCGTAGCGGTTGTAGTAATGAAGGTAACGCTCGAGAGATGCACGGCTCTTGGCCTGAGCATCGCGCGCAGTGTGGCCGCTCTTCTCTTCGTAGCGGTTGCAGTTGTACCAGCTCGTGCCGTGCTCCGACCAGAGCCCCATGCACATCCAGCAGAACTCGTACTTGCACTTTCGGCAAGTCATATGATTACAACCACCGTTCTTCTCTATGGTCGAGTTGCACTTAGGACACTCTTTCGTGTTTGCGGAAATCCAGTTAGCCGTTTCCGAATCATCTTCACACTTCTTCATCCATAGCTTGACGAGCACGCAAGGGGTAGGTTGGTGGTCATTTAGCTGGCATCCGAAACAAAAACTGTGACCACAATCGCAGTTGACAGTGGGAACGATCTTGTTGAGCTCCTTTTGCTTGACAGGACAATCGACAGCGTAAACGCAGTTGGGGGCAGGACACCACCTAAGATTGTCCTTGTCGTCAACGTACGTGCGTGTAAGCAGTTCATGGTACCTGTCTTTGAGATCTTCTGTGACGAGCAGCTCCAGGCTCTTCGAATCGACGATGTTGTTACACTGTTCACCAGGGCAGCGAATGCGTGCGGCCTCTCCTTCGTCCTTGATCTTTTGTGCCAGATATTGGCGGTAGCAGTCAACACAGAAGCGATGATTACACTTCATGGCGAACGTCTGCAAACCAGGTGTGTCATCACAGCAGATTTCGCACATGAAGCCATCGATGACTTCTAGGCGGGGTGGGGTAGCAATATCCTGACCAAGACCAGCTTTCTCCAGGACCTCCTCTTGCTTATCCATGTATTGTTCGATCAGACGCTCCTTGTTCCAGCGCATATAGCGCATGAGGATGGCGGTCGCTTCATGCGGCTGGCCGAGGATGTTGGAGACCTCTTCTATTTGGCGATCTTGTTGGTTCTGAATGTCTTGCGGGCTGTAGACGGAGAAGTCGACCTCGTACGGCTTCTTGCGTGGCTTGAGATCTTTGTCTTGTGAACCAAAGCCAATGTCACCATCATCATCTAGTTCGATATCGGAATCTGGTAGATAGGCTTGTTAGTATACAGACCCGGTATCAGGCTATCTATGCCAAGCACGTACCGGCACCAAAGTCGGCGACACTGCTATTCTCATCGTCCATGTCGAGGTCGACGTCATCGCTGTTGACCGAAGCGGCGCTGTTGTATTCATCATCAGAATCCATAGCTTTGACGGAGCCCTTCAGAGTCTGAGGGGTAGCGGGCAGTTGGTCGGGCGAGGCGGCGGGCTTGTCCTCAGCGGCGTCGTGAACGGGCAGCTTGGCAGAGAGGGGGTCGGGTGTGTCGGAGGCGACGGGAGAGTTGGCGGGATGATGGATCTTTGGTTTCTGCTTCGCGGCCGTGTCCGGCGACAGCAGTTTGCGTTTGCGGGTGATGGGAGGCGTGGTTGCGATATGTGGCGACGAAACAGTCGCCAGGGCCGTTTATGACGGAAGAGGGAGAGCGAGTCGCAGTGTGGAGAGGGGCAGCCTTGAGCGATTGGCGTGTGGGTGAAGATGACTGTGACGGCTGACAAAACTGCACTGGCAGGTGACGGGAGAAAGTGATTACGGAGCCACACGGTGTGTTATTGTGCTTTCCAGAAGACACTGAGGTGACTGATTCGAATCTGCGTCAAAGGCGTTCTTCTGCCTCCTTCACCCGAGATCGACTGGCTGCCACAGATGCAACTTTCTGAACCCGGCTTTGAGACATTCCACGCAATTGACCGACGCCAAGAAGGTGCCACCGACTCGATGCTTTGTTCCACTCTTTCTTCTTTGAACAGACAACCGCTTTGTCAACTGCTGTTGAAGATACTGTTCAGGTGCACTGGTCGATGCACTGTCAAGTACTTGTGGTTTCATGGGTATCGTCTAATCTACTCGTCGTCGCTTTCTTCCTCGCTCTCCGTCTCTTCTTCGCTACTCTCTTCCTCACTCTCCTCCGCAGCCTTGATAGCATCCACAAACTGGCCCATAGCAAGCTTGATCTGCTTCAATTCGTCGCTGGCCTCGTTCTTCTCGTCCGCCCACCATTGCATGACTCCCTCGAACTCTAGTGCATCGCCCATGTACAGCTCATTACAGATGTGAAGCATAATCTTCTCTCCGTCTGCGCGGTGGCATACATCTGCTTGTACGAGCAGCAAGAAGTCCACTTGATCAGCCTTGTCTTCGTGAGCATCGCCACGGTCGAACATGGTACGCTCAATCAGCATCTGTTGGGTCGATATCGTCTTCTTGGCCGCTTGTGCTGGTGTGAGGCCTTCTTCGATCAGGCTAGCCATGCGCTTCATAAACGCTGCCACCACTGCGCGACGCACCATATGTGGCGATGCGTTGGCCGACATACGTAGTGCAGTAAGTTCGAGCTGGATGTTGGCCGCTTCATCACCCTTCTGCAGTGAGTCGTAGATACTGGCCGCTGCGTCGTGGTGGAAGTCGACAGCCTCACGCCCAGCTCTGCTGTCCTCGGAGTCGACAGATCCAATAGAACCAAAGCTCTGCGACCTCGCGCTTTTCGCCGCTCTGTCTTCGTATTCGTCGCTATAAGCCTCTGAGTTGAGAGTCGAGATTGATTCGGCCGATTGGTTTTGCATGTTGTAGATGCTCGCGGAATGTAGGCTGTGGTGCTCCTGGTCGTCTTCTTCTTCGTCTTCTGAGGTTTCATACTCAAAGCCTTCTCCCTTTTGGCCAACAACTTCCTTGTCTGTCTCTCCGCGTACAACTTCGTCTTGTTCGTAGCCCGATTCGCGCTTCACCTTGGTGATCCTTGATTTGATTGTCATGCCGTCAGAGATGTAGACACCATATGACAGCAAAGCACCAGGCATGATGTTGCACTTCTTGCCAACCGAAGCTTCGTTGGCGACAATAGCGTCCTTGACCACTGTACCATCACCGATCGAAGCATCGTCCCAGATGTACGCGCCACTGATCTTTACGTTTCTGCCGATGATACACCTCCTGCCAATAACACTGTTGGATATTTCACTTCCATCTCCGATTGCTGTTGCCCGGCCGATGACAGTCCTTGGGCCAATGTGACATGATCTAGCCAAGACAACTCCTTCTTCTCGATAGACGTTTCCTTTAGTGAGTCTGTAGGTCTGATCGCGCACCAGGTTGCTGTCCGGGCAGATTGGATATGCCCATCTGCTCAAAATGTCTTTTGTAACGGCATCGTAGGCTCTCAGGTTCTTAACTCTGGCGGCATAGTGCTCGTCGACGATGTGAGTATGAATAGTCTTGCCGTTCAGTTCATAGTCTTTCAAGACACTGTGAAGAAATCCTTTTCTCGGGGCCTCGTAGTCGAAATTATCACTCCAGAGCGCAAGAACGTCGGGAGTGCAGATATCAATACCGCAATCGATCAAATCCTCCCTGACCTCGAGTTCGTCATGCTCTTTCAAGATATCCGGGTCCAGTGTAACCAAGTGTGAGGGCTGGTTGGGTCGCATCTGCTCGTAGTGCAGACAGCGGTTCTTGGTGGGGTCGAGTACAAAGACAGGCGAAACACGCTGCATCTTGGTGCGGTGAGCAGTGCCAGCCTCGCGAAGGACCATGGTCATGATGGCGTTCTTGTCCTTGGTTCGACGTTGACGGTGGGCGGCAATGGCAGCTTCGATAGGCAAGTTGCTGACCACATCACCGTAAACGATCAGGAAGTCGCCAGTAAGAACAGCGCGCGCGTCGAGGTCGCGCATAGCGTCACCGATCGAGTTGGACGAGGAGCGAACAATCTCGACGTTGTTGAAGGGAGAAACCTTGGAAGTCCATTTGGATTGCTGGATGTACTCCTCGACCTGGTCGGTATGGGCGCCACAGTAAACAAAGACTTCATCGACTCCAGCGTTGGCCAGAAACTCGAAGGTGTATTCGATCAAGGGAGTGTTGGCTAGAGGAAGCAGACACTGCGATTTTTAGAAGGTGTTTGCCTCATGCTCAAGGGCAAAGTCGAGTACGTACGCGAGGGCGTTCAAGGGTGAATGGACTGAAGCGAGTCTCGAATGAGTCCGCGAGAATCTGTGCTTCATGAGTATCTGCGCAAGTCTGCACGGTGTAAGACTACATACCACAGCCTGGAGCGGCTCCTCGACCTCTTCCTCAACACGGCCTTTGTCAGCCTGGGCGGCCTTCTTCTTGGGTGCCATAGTGATATTGTCGCGTAGAGAATAAAGTTGCGAGTTGAGTCAAGAATTTGGTCAATTCGACCCAGCGCATGCGGGATGACACACACGATGCCAACAAGATGGCCATCTGTTCGCAACCTACCAGCCGCGCTTGTATCCCCACTTCGTAGACAAAGGCACAATCGAGCCGCATATAATCTCGGCCTTCATTATTACAGTTATCCCTCTAGAAAGGTGATCCACTCAAGCTCCATCTTTGTCACGTCGCGTCCTTACTTCGCTTCCTTTCTTCACTATGCAAGACAACCTGACTGCAAGGGATCAATCCTCCAGTATGCAGGAGCGAACGCGAGCTCCTGCCTTCCTTCACTTGCTGATTGATTGATTGATCATCACACTCGTGATTCTTTCAGTCGCTACTTGTCTTCATCATTGCATCAATTGTTCATCACATTGTTTCAACATCTTTCACATGTACATGCTCCCATCCTCGAAGTATGCCACCTCTCGCATATCCTACTCCAGAGCCCACAGATTCCCCAAGCTCACGCGATGAATCAACAAAGCGAAGGTTGGAGGACCTCCACGATGCTACTGCGTCTGAACCGCCGGATCCGAAGCGACAGAAAGTATCCGTTCAGGGCGGCGCCCTCTGTTTCCCTCCTTCTCACTACTCCGGAGATCGTCGTCCTCATGCTGGTTCGGATCGTGAAGCAATCAATGCTTTAGCCATCATCTGGAATTCCCAGAACCGCTCTCAGCATGAGTACAACATCTGGGAATTGAATGACTACAGCATATATCGTAACGGCGCCAGTCACAGACATGCCTATGAACTCTGTCCTCTGCACCTCCTGAAGAATGAGGATGGTGTGAATGAACTTCTTTTCGATGGGATTCTAAGCATCGATGGCGTACAACGACCTGTTCGGGGTGTTGCATTCGACTGTCTGGCAATTGAGGGTTACGGGAATGAGAGTGATGGAGTCTCTGCTTGTATTCAAACAACCTTGGGCGCCAAAGCAAACGTCTGGTATGAGCTCGGATCCCCTGCCAGCCAGTACAAGCGCTACCACGACACATTTGTCTGGATTTCACAATTTACGAAGTACGTGGTAGACTTTCTCGAAGACTCCGAGCGACCTGTCACCTTCAGCATGTTTCGACGGACCTTCTACCCCTACTTGAACCAGAAGCACGGATCATCTTCCGCTCTCAAGGACTGGTTAGAGCAACACAAATCAACCGACTTTGGTCAGGCCTTTTGCGCCAATCTAGGTTTCATCATCAAGGAATGCTACAGTGTGAATGACCAGCTTCTCGACGAGCCCATATTTGGCGAGACAGATACCAAGCAACTCAAAGCCATCAGAATGGAGAAGACGGCGTACGGAAAGACGGTCGTGACCCCATTCGTGTACGACCTTTTCCACAAGATGCCTTTCCATGGCCAGATGCAGGTCTTGTCTGAGGTCAGTATTGCCACCTTACAAAAGCAAGAAAGCAGGAGGATCGAATTAGGCCTCAAACCATTGAATTGTCGGCAAACACCTGCTCCAGAACACTCTCTCCAGAAAAAAGTCATCCGAAGAGGAGATATCGTGAGTATTGCCGCGGAAACGCAAACTCAGTGGAGACATTCAACTGGCGCTCACTGGTATGCTTATGTGCAAGCGATCCGGTCTTCCAAGTCCGGCGCACAGAAACTTGACGTCTTGTGGCTCTATGAGCCGTCCGACACTACGCTAGGCCATGGATATTATCCATACAAGAACGAGCTGTTTTTGAGTGATAATTGCTCCTGTGGCAAAGATTCAATTGACGTGGAGCTTGTTCAGACGATTGTCACCGTCAACTGGTTTATTACTAACCCTGAGGAGTCCAAAGATTGCTTCTTCGTAAGGCAGAAATTTCGAACGGAGCCAACCTTAGGAGCCTATGACTTTGTGCAACTACAGCGATCGGACTTCCAATGTGGATGCAACAACATCAAGACAGAGATGGACAAAGTCAAGCAAGATTTCGCAATCGGTGATACAGTGCTTATGTACAAGCTCATTGATGGCAAGGAGTCGTTAGAGCCTGCGGTCATCCGTGGCTTCAACCGCCAAACAGTTACTCTCCAGGCCTTTCTCCGCTGTCACCGCGATCTGGGCGACAAGCAGGCTGCTCCTAATCAATTGTCATTGACTGATGATATATTCGATGTTGATCCAGAATCAGTCACTCGGCACTGCAGGGTGGCCACCTTTGCCAGTCTGGACGACGTCAGATCGCCTTACGATCGTGATGGGGCAGGTGATCATTGGTACGTTGTCAACTCTTCGGCTCCTGCATGGAGCTTTGTTGATCACAAGATCGATGCAGACAGCAAACTCAAGGGGATGGGAATCTTCTGCGGGAGCGGGTCTTTCGACAGAGGTCTAGAGGAAGGTGGAGGCCTCGATTTCAAGTGGGGCGTCGACTGGGCTGAAAGAGCTCTTCATTCGTACAGGGCGAACACTGACGAGCCAGAAAAGCTTAGCCTTTTCCTCGGTAGCGTCAACGACTACCTGAGCAAAGCTATCCGGGACACCGAAAACAGTCGAGTTGCCACTATCGGCGACGTTGATGTACTCGCAGCTGGGTCGCCCTGTCCCGGTTTCTCCGTGTTGCAACGAGATCGAACCAGTGTCCGGTCGCTGAGGAATTGCTCTCTGGTTGCTTCGGTCTGTTCATATGTCGACTTCTATATGCCCAAGTACCTGGTACTTGAAAATGTCATTGGCATGGCGAGAAATCCAGGAAACGCCAAAGACCTGAATGTATTCTCGCAAGTCCTTTGCTGCCTTGTGAGCATGGGATACCAGGTTCAACAGCTGCTTATGGACCCTGGACATTATGGGTCCTGTCAATCACGTCAACGCATCTTCATCATCGCCACAGCGCCAGGGTATAAGCCACCAATTCCTCCGCCCCAGACGCACAGCTGTAAAGAGCTGGAGACATACTGTAGGGCGATCGGCAATGCATCGAACGGCTTGCCTTTTGGGAAACGCAAGTACGATGTCTGCCCCTTTGTATCTCTCACAGCGAAGGAAGCTTTTCAAGATCTCCCAGATATTGGCGACAGCCATGTTCAAACATGTATCGCAGCACCTGATCATCGAACTTGCAGATACGAAAGTGTACGCAAGCGAGCACTCATCTCCATGATTCCTCGATGGCCTTACGGATCGGGTTTTATCAAGGCTGTGAAATCGGGGAGGATGTCTCAGAACGCTATCGATGAGTACGCCTGGCAGAACAAGAACCGTGCTGGAGAGAACAGTAAATCATGGTCCAGAATTTTTCCAAACCGTCTAGTTGGTTGTTTGACCACGGACATCAAGCCTCACGATTCCTTTCTCGGCCGTACACTGCACTACGACCAGCATCGCACAATGACGGTGATGGAGGCGCGTAGGGTTCAAGGTTTGCCTGACAATGAGGTCGTTCTGGGTACGCCTAGCCAGCAATGGTATCAGATTGGAAACGGAGTCGATCGCAAGGTTGCATTCGCTCTTGGAGTGCAGCTCGCCAAGGCTCATCGCAAGAACATGGCCACCAGACGAGGTCCAACAGTCTCGCTTCCGATCATGATTCAGGCAAGCTCTCCTCAGAGCACATCCACTTCTCACCAGGGATTCGAATCCGTCAGCATCGAGTCTTCCCGTGTTATTGCAGTCACTGGGGAGAACGTCAACCCCGACCATGTCGATCAGCAGACAAGTCTGAGTACTACAGAGATAATCGATCTTGAAGTCTTTGAGGTGCCTTTAATCAGCACTCCTGTATCTCAATCTACGGCTCAGGAGGTTTCTAAGACCTCGAGTCAACAAGTTAGGAAGGGTGGGTTGGAGTGCATCATTATTGATTGAGAAATCTCGAAATATTATATGAGTGATAGACGCAGGACAGCGGAGTGGACTCAGCACTGATCGGCGAGATGAACAGAGGAGATTTTATTAGACAGGTGGTTGCTACACAATATTTCATTGCTAGAGATGAATGGAAGAACACGATCAGAATTCACGTTCAGAGAAAATATCAAGAAGTTGAACTGTGACTGCCATCATGATTGTCTAGCATATGCGCGATCAAAAGGAAAGAAAAACAACAAAAAATGCAAAATCAATCTGAGTATAGGGGGTATCGTAACGTGGGAATGCCAATGCCGCAGAAAAGAAAAACATAGGGAAAAAACGCATCTCGTAATCTTCATCTCAATCCTAGAAACCCCAGTCCTCATCATCATCACTCAAGTCCCAACTCCCTGGTACTCGTCTATGCCCTCTCAATCTCCCCGCCGCCGCAGTAGCAGCAGCATTCGCCGCACCACCTCCTCCAGCCACGGCAAACAAATCGTGGAAAGCTGGTTCAGCCAGATTCAGCGCGCCGCTAGCAACCAATCTCGCTGCTATCCTGAGCATAGTAGCTACGAGATTCGCCGGTGGACCCAAAAACAAAGCGCAGGTTTTGCGAACGAGAAGGGCTGGAGAGGTTTTGGTGAGAGCGGTGGTTGAGGAGGTGGGTTTGGCGGGTGTAGACACAGAGACAGAGGCGGGAGGTGGAGAGGACGAAGTACGAGTAGAAGGTGAGGGTGATTGAGAGGGTGCGCGACGACGTTGGCGCAGTAGGTCGGTTGCTTCAGAGGGGGTGAGGACGGGGAGGGTGGACCAGGATGCTGCTGTTGAGAGGGAGGTTGTGGAGAGGGCTGGTGAGGAAGCTGTGAAGGTTACGTAGGAGGTGGTTTCGGTTGTTGATGTGGATGGTGGTGCTGTTGAAGGTTGCTCGGTAGGGTTTGAGAGGGGTGGTTGCGAGGCTTTGGTGATGGGTGGTGTGCTGTTATCCAGTTCTTCTTCCAGCTTTTCTGTGGCTCCTGCGACTGCTTGTTCTAGAGGTTCGTCTGGTGGGAGTGTTCCGGTGATTGTGTCATCAGCTTCCTCTTGTGCGTCGGGGTCAGACTGAGATAGTGTGTCAGACTGATCGAGTACAGGCTCTTCATGTGCTTCGACGATAATCAAAGGTTCCGAGAACCTTGGATGGCCATCTTCATCCGCCACGACCGCGATTGGTCGCACTGTGGCTGAATTGACAGATTCTTCGCTCGTAATATCTTCATGAATATGGTAGTCGGGGGAACTGAGAGGTAGATCGTGGTCATCGTCAGATTCGGGAGTAGGTGGTAGTCGTGGAACGAGGGCGCTTGATAGAGGATGTGTAAGGGATGGTGCAGTGTCCCGAGCAGTCTGGTCGAAGATGCCAGCCATCTTCCGGACCTTGTTGACTTTGGATGGAGGTGACGATTCGAGACTCAGCTGCGGAGGGGCAGTAACCGAGCGCATGGCCGCCAGCTTTTTGGAAGGGAATGGTCCAGATAGCTGTGTTGGCTTGTCTCTGCTTGCTGGCCTTGTGTCCTGCTCTTTTCCACTCTCCTCCCCTGATCTTGCATTGTCGTCCATCTCTGAGCGTTCTGTGTCTGACGTCGAGGCACTTCTGTTGGGTTGCAAGAGTTGCGGTTCCTCGAGATCAGCGCCCTCGGGCCTCCAGACCTTGTTAAGTTTCCAGCGCTTCGCAGGTTCGATCAACTCTCTTGACAGTCTGCGCGAGTTTCTGCTGGGCATTTCTGGCAGGTCGTGGCCAAAGCCTCTCTGGAAGGGACAAGCTGTTCTCTCGTAGTACAAGACTTTGGCCAGTGTCTTCTTGAGCACCTCGACGTGTTCCAAATCTTCCTGTGTGGATCCAGGTAACTCGATACGGTAGTAGGTGTTTGGTAGAACGCGCATGGCGAACTTGGAGACGCCGTCGACACACCAACATTGCGAACGAGGGAGGATGGCGTGGAGCAAGCTGCCCGAGTGCAGAAATGCGACTGAGCCAGGTACGCGGTATATCTCCAAGGGTCCTACAATCCGGTCAGCTACACTGCTGTCGCTTGCTTCAGTTGTCCCATATCATACCCAAAGCCATGGTCCGTTCGGTAGGTGAGGTCCATTCCAGAGAGGTCGATTCACCTTCTCCATCATAGCTGGCGATGCTCGATCTCGAGCTGGGTCGCGATCTCAGAGATGATGCTGTGCTGAAGGATACGATCTTAGCCGAAGGGTGTACAAACAGCGTCTCAATCCCGTCGGCGGAACCAATCTCGACTTGTTGATGGTCTCTGGTCGGGTTGGCGAGTCTCGAGGGAAGGGTGAAAGATCGTCGCAGACCTGGGCCTAGAGCCGAGGCCGACGGCATATCCTTGGATGTGCTGGACGACGGCCGCGAAGACATAGCATCCCCCAAAGTCTCCAGCCCGGGGAGTTGTTGGTAGGGTTTGGGTGTGCGTGATGTGTGAGAGGGATGATTGAGTGATCGAGGTCTAGACAGTCCAGCTGAGCGAGACGAGCGCCTTCATTCCAACACTGCCTTGCCTTTTTCAAGCGGGGCATGGAGCCACTGGAAAAAAGGTTGCCAGCAATTTAAGGAGTCATTTTATGCAAGGCATCACTACGTAACAAGCCTGTGCTAGATCTATATGAGGCTGTTCTCTAGTTGTTTCAGGTGGAGACATTTGGTCCAGAGTCAGGAGCTATCTTATTATGACTTGTCCGAGTCAGGCTAGATCCCATGTCCTAACAAATACATCTTCTCTCCCGTCTGAAAACAGCATGAGCATCTGTATAAACATATAGATAATGTAGTATGCTTATCATGACAATATCAACGTCTGGCATGATAACCGTCAGGGCCGTCCCCTCAACAGCAAACCCCTGGATGGTTCAGTCGGGACATCGGCCTTTGGCGGACGCCGTTCCACCACCATGACGTCGGCAGACGCGTCAATGATGAGCTTGCAGCCTGCAAGTCCAAGCAAAATGTTGAATTGAACGACACCATCTTGTCCTTGCTGCATCCAAATCACAGGATAACAGAAGGGCCATGTCGAACTTTGACCCAAATGCCATCCTTCGTGGTGCGCAGCTCACCGTAGTTGGTGGTAAGAAAGTCTAGTCCACTGTCGCGTGCCTGTACAGCTTGACTGACACATCCAAGCCTACCGAGCATTGCAGAACCCCAAGCTCTTTACCTCTGAGCACTACAGACAGGCTGCTCTTGCTGTTGCAGCCGGCATTGCCATTCGTGTCCTCGTCGCCATCCCCGTACGCCTCCCACCTCGTCCTTTTCCATGACCCACCAAGGCAATCATCTAACTCATCGTATTAGGCTGTTGGAGTTCGTGTGCTGATTGCCTTCCTCGGACTGTTCACCGATCTAAAAAGCTCAGGATGGGATGAGGAAATCATGGATGGCCTCGAGTTCCTCGAGCATTCTGTGCTACAGTTGCCCTTCTTCCTCATGAGTTTCATGAGATACATCAGTCCCTCTCTGGACAACATGTAAGCCCTCGAGATCGTCCGGCTCAAGAGGGCCCGTACTGATTGTACCAGGTTCATGGAATCGCTCAGATGGGTCGACGAGACCTACGTCCAAAAGCACAAGGGCGAGGATCCAGACTCGCTCCGTGCCATGTACTATCCCAACATGCGCCAATACACCCACCATGGTCCTGCTCCTGCTGCAGGAGACAAGCCCTCGCAGAACGCTCCCAAGCAAGCCGCCATCAAGTTCTTGATGCGTTACGGTCGCAAGGCTGGCATCTCCTTAGCCGTCTACGTGCTCTCACTGCTGCCATATGTCGGTCGTTTTGTGCTCCCCGCTGCGTCCTTCTACACCTTCAACAAGCAAGTCGGTCTGCAGCCTGCCATCCTCATCTTTGGCAGTTCCGTCTTCCTGCCCAAGCGATACCTGGTTCAATTCCTCCAAAGCTACTTTGCTTCCAGGAGTTTGATGAGAGAATTGGTACGTTCGATTCCGTTTTCACGATAGACTTGAATCCTTACAGACAACACAGCTCGAGCCCTACTTTTCGCGCATCCGCTTCACCCCTCAGCAAAAGAAGATCTGGTTCCACGACCGCGAAGGCGTGCTTTTCGGATTTGGAGTTGGCTTCTTCGTCTTCCTGAAAATCCCTCTTCTCGGTGTCCTCATCTATGGTATTGCTGAAGCTTCGACTGCCTTCCTGATCACAAAGGTCACGGATCCACCTCCGCAACCCGAACAATGGACCAACTTTGCCGAAACGCAAGCCCATTGGCGCAACAAGCATGAGTTTTTGAAGCTCCCCCTGGACAAGCTAGATGCACTGAACATCATATCGACCAAGGAGGGTGAGAAACCTGATACGACGACGATCAAGGGCCGTCAGTTTACCTAGACATGACCGGATTACAAGTACAGCCCAAAAAGTAGCACTCACGATCGAATGCAACAACATGACACAGAACAATCGCAATACAAACCCCGTGTCATCAGTACATAGCTCCGAGTTATATCCAGCGGTATCGGTCCGCCCATCCGTGCACTGTGTGTAAATACCCCTCTATGGAGCAAGCTACCCCACATCTTGGTTTGTTTCGTGACGATATCTGTACACCTGCCGCTCCTGTCTGCGGTCAATTGCTTATCTCTTGCCAATCCACCAGAGGCCGGCCGGGATGAAGGTTGACTACTCCTCATGACTGATCGAGCTCTAATATATAATATGTGAACTCTTACCCCTCCTTGAAGCTTTCCTCTCTCCTCTATATTCCAAGCTTCGATTGCTATCAATAAACATTTATTCTACCTCAACTCGCCAAGATGGGCAAATCAGAGATCAGATATGCTGCCAAAGTCGACTTGGAGAAGGATGCTGCCTCTCAGCCTCAGCTTCATGTAATATCTCATACTCTATAATACCACATTACAAGCTCGACTAACACTTCTCAGAACCGCTGGCACCCCGATAGTACCACTTCCTTTCCCCTTTCCTTCCTTCCCAATCTCACTAACCTCTCCTTGCAGTCCCCTCAGCCGGCAAAATCGCCGACGGCGAAGTGGTAAAAATCGAGTGCGTAGACTGGACAGGCGGCCAGATCAAAAACGACGATTCAGCCGACGACGTCAAGAATGTCGACCTGACCAAAATCCATTACCTCAGCGGTCCTTTTGAGATCGAAAACGCAGAGCCTGGAGATGTATTGGTTGTGGAGATTCAGGATGTGCAACCCTTGCAAGACCAACCCTGGGGTTTCACGGGTATTTTTGCAAAGGAGAATGGAGGTGGATTTTTGGATGAGTTGTATCCTGATGCGTGAGTTGCTTCTCCAGCTGAAGAAATACCAAGTAGGAGGGAGGGAAAAGAAAGACTGACGAGCAAGACGACAGATCAAAAGCCATCTGGGACTTCGAAGGCATCTTCTGCTCCTCCCGCCACATCCCCCACGTCCGCTTCCCTGGCCTCATCCACCCTGGTATCCTCGGCTGCGCACCCTCCGCCGAGATCCTCGCAGAATGGAACCGCCGCGAAGGCCAACTGATCTCCGAATGCTCCCACATGGCCCGCGACGTAGCCCAACCACCCAACCCCACCAACGTCCACGCCGGTGCTGCAGATGACACCCTCACAAAAAGAGTCGGCGAAGAGGGAGCAAGAACCATCCCCGGCAGGCCCGAACACGGCGGAAACTGCGACATCAAAAACCTCTCTCGCGGCAGCAAGGTCTACCTCCCCGTCCACGTCCCCGGCGCCAAGTTCAGCGTAGGCGACCTGCACTTCTCCCAGGGCGACGGCGAAATCTCCTTTTGCGGCGCCATCGAAATGGCCGGCGTCATCACCATAAAGTTTTCAGTCATGAAAGATGGCGTCAACCACTTGAGTCTGAAATCCCCCATCTACATTCCTGGTGCCGTGGAGCCAAACTTTGGTCCTGGCAGACACATCTACTTTGAGGGCTTTTCGGTGGATTCGGAGGGCAAACAGCATTATTTGGATACCACGGTTGCGTATCGACAGACCGTGTTGAGGTGTATTGAGTATTTGAGGAGGTATGGGTATTCCGATCAGCAGATTTATTTGTTGTTGAGTTGTGCGCCTGTGCAAGGGCATATTGCTGGTATTGTTGATGTGAGTATTTTGCTCTTTCTTCTTCGGTCTGATTTTGGTAGAATGCTTGCTGACTATTTTTTTTGCAGATCCCCAATGCTTGCACTACTCTGGGTCTTCCTATCGATATTTTTGACTTTGATATCAGACCGGAGGCTGCTATTCAGAAGCTCGATATGGGAGCTTGTGCTGTTGCTTCAAAGTAAAAGAGTGTCGAGTGTTGAAGCATCGATATTGTTTGCAACGATTGGGATTTGGCTGGAACAGAAGTTCATGAACATGTGGATTGCGGTCGCTTCACGATTATGTAGATGTTGGTAATAGCAGTCGTAGTATAGCTTTCTCGACATTCGTCCTTCATCAGCTCGCGAGACGACAAGTAATATTTGCGTGAGTTGAACAGTGTTGAGAAGGTATGCGTCCTTCAGTCCTTGGTGTCATGTAAGAACAGCATATACCATTGAACTCACGATCATTAAAGAAGATTCGTTTCATTTTGTGCAATGTGCAGCTACTGAGAGGAAGCGCCTCTAGCAAAAAAAGAGCTCAAGAATTAACCACTGTCCATCATGATATTCAACACGCTTAGAAGTCGAGCATGGACTTGGCATCCTTGATACCAGCAAGCTGGCCCTCCTTGACTCTCTTGAGCGTAAGGGCAGCGATCAAAGCGGCACCAACACCACTTCCATCCTCGGCAGTCATGATCTCGACGGGGTCGGCATCACGCTTGCTCTTCTTCTCTGGCCAGTCCAGCATCTCGCGGAGGGCCTGGGCACCACGGGCCTTGAAGTGAGGGTACTTGTTAAACACCGAACCGTCGGCACCAACGTGAGCAGTCTTGTAACCCTTCTTCTTGCAGATGGCAGCGACACCACAGGCTGACAGACGTGCAGCACGAGTTCCGATCAGCTCGGCAAGACGGCGAACCAGCTCAAGCTCGGGCTTGTTGCACTGGAGGTTGAACTGAGTGCGCATCAACTCAGCGGTCTCGGACAAGTTCTCGAAAGGATCTTCCTCGATAGCGGCAAGGACAGAGGCGTCAATGTTGTAAGGCTTCTTGAGCTTGTCGACGCTCTGGCCCTCGAACATGTGCTTTCCCTCGTGCATGTCGAGCAGGACGAGACGGAAAATCTCACCGAGGTACAGACCAGCAATCATCTTCTCGAAGGCCTGTTGGCCAGGGCGAGGGGATTCCTCGTCGATTTGGTGGTCGTACTTGGTGAGAGGAAGAACCTCGTGCTCGTTGTCGAAAGCGCCGTACTCGCAGTTGATGGCAATAGGGAGCTCGGGATCGAGGTTCATGTGAGCCAGCTTGGGGATAGAACCGCAGTTCTCCATGTAGGCAGCGTTACATCCAGTACCGAAGATACATCCGATCTTCATCTCAGTGTCGGTGTAGGCGGAGGCGATCAGAGTACCGGTGGTGTCGTTGATCAAAGCAGTGAGCTTGATGGGGACACCGCGCTCGGCCAAAGCCTTCTCGAAGGGAGGAACAACGTCCTCACCCTCAACACCATCGATGTCGAAGCCCTTGGTCCATCTTTGCAGAATACCGTGGTCGATGTAGTGCTGGGTGGCAGGGTAGGAGAAGGTGAACCCGAGAGGAAGCTTGTCGAGCTTCTCGCCCTCGTGGTGGTATTCGATGAATTGCTGCAAACAATCGGCGATGTAGCCCCAAAGCTCGTCGGCGGTACCGGTCTTGAGCTCCTCGGGCATGCGGTACTTGGACTGGATGATGTCGAACTCTCCCTTCTCCTCGGGCAGGTGGATCTCACAGACACGGAGGTTGGTGCCGCCCATGTCGAGGGCGAGGAATGTACCAGTCTCGTGACCAGTAGGGAAGCCCATACACCATGTAGGGTTCATGGGCTATCAAGTGTCAGCTACCTCGTCAGTGAAGCATGGATAGGTGGATACTGACGATTGTGGAGCCCTCCTTGGCAAGACCCTTCTCGAGTTCCTTGACGAACTTTGTGACAATCTTGTCGAGTGTCTCTTTGGGGACAGTGAAGATCTCTTCAAGGTGCTTGATCTGGGCAAGGAGATCCTTGGGCACATCGGCCATGGAACCTGGTGGGCTGTCAAAATCGGGTTTGTATCTAGCTCTTTACAAAGTGTGACTGACCCTTTCTCGAAGGGGGTCTGCGAGGACCGAGACCGACCATACTGACGGATGTGTGTTGAGTTGTTTATGTGGTGGTTTATAGAGTGACAGGCGTCAGATGCACGCTTGTGGGATTGAGATGGTGGACGAAGACTGAGAGTGACGTATGTCAGCAATGGTCAATGACATGGTGGGTTGCTGAGCCGAAGTGACGATAGAGAACGAGAACAGGTAGCAGTGACGATAGGCATGAGCAGAAAGTGTGTTTCTCGAGCGGTGAAGTGCGGTATGACCATGGGATTGGCTCAGAGCGGAATGAGCCTTGAGGCTTCGCCCATCGAATCCTCAGCATATCGACGCAACAAGTATAGATGCAACTTTTGACGATCGTGGGCGTGGTTGCAACGCGACTGCTGCGATGTGACGCGCCCCTCATTGAGAGCCCCTCAATTCAACAATCCATGAACATGTGGGGGAAGCTCGATGAGCTGACGTTGGCCGGCCGAGATGGAGAGTAGGGAAGAACGGGCGGAGTTCGACACGAGATGCAACTTACAAGGACAATGCAATGGAATGTACAAGTGGTAGGCGCCCGAGGTTTGGTTGAGAAGGTTTTTGTGTAATGGTGGTGCTCTCACTCCGCTTCAGCCCTGAGCTTCTCAGCTCCGGGCCGATGACCGATGGCTGTGACGTAGCCTCTTTCCAAAACAAGGTGCACGCCCATTGGCTCATCACCTGAGCTTCTGCCAGTAGCTCCTTCCTCTTCTTCTCTTACACTTCCCTCACAAACTCATACACAAACAAATCACTCTGTACTACCCATTTCAATCTCATCCACCACCCTCAACCACACAGTCAGTCACACCTTACTACTACCACAAGCTATCCTCATACTGATCCCCTCCCAGAACACCATGTCTTCCGCACTCAGAATCGCTCGCGTTGCCCGCCCTCTCGTCGCCAACCCCCAGGTGGCCCGCTTCTCGATTGCTCCCCGTATGATGGCTGCTGGTGATTCCGGTTCGCCCAGATCCGGCGGTGCTGCCTCGGGCGATGCCTTCACGAAGCGCGAGGAAGCTGCAGAGAACCTCTACGTCAAGCGTCAAGAGGCCGAGAAGCTCCAGGCTCTGAGAGAGAAGGTCAAGAAGGGCGAGGCCCAGCTCGCAAAGGACAAGGCCGACCTTGACAAGGCCGACAAGAAGTAAATCTGATGCCCACCTGTACAACACATCAACGACCACAATGCATACGATTTATGCGAGTTACACTGCAGCATGACGGAGGATCCTACTTTTACCCTTTCTTGTATCATAACAACTTAATCAGCGAAGCCTGTTTCCAACCTTCCGAATTCATTGTTTCGTCGTCAGTGTAGCTGTCCTATGCTGTGGCAGTCCTTCCAACACGCTTACACGTTCAACAGAGCATGTGATCTGTCAAGAAGAGAATGCCGCGAGACAGTAACAAGGAGATGGACGAGCTGCTACGGTGCGACCAGATCTATGTAGCTCTTCACCTGGCGATGATACATGTGTTTGGTATACTGGGTGCACGGGCCATATTGCATGCTCAACGCTGAACTTCCTTGAGAGACGAGCAAGAGATGCCAAGTCAATAGACCACGTTCACAGCATGCCTCTCCTCGAACCACCGATGCCGCCGCTGGAGTCCATCTTCAAGAGCTTTTCTGGCACATGGAAGCTCCGCCGCTCACTCACCAGCGCCCTACCTGGCTTTCCTTCTGGAGAATTCACCGGTACTGCCACTTTCAAGCCTCACAGCGCATTCGATGGCAAATCCCTGCTCTACCACGAACAAGGAGAGCTTGTGACAGAGCAGGGCTACAAGCTTCTAGCCAACCGGAAATACGTATACCGCTTCAGCCCTGATGACGAGAAGATCGCAATCTGGTTCGTCAAGGAGCCAGCACCTGAGACCGACGAAGAGGTCGACTACCTGTTCCACGAACTAGAATTTTCTTTTCTTGACCAACGCTGGATTGCCAAGGGTGATCACCTGTGCGATAAGGACATGTACTGGGCCTTCTACGACTTTAGACTGGAGGACAACATGAAGAGATGGGGCTTGCGATACAAGGTCAAAGGACCGCAGAAAGACTACCTCAGCGACTCTGCCTATGAGCGTATCGCATGATCATACCATCGCTGTGCTAGCAGCTGGCTTGAGTTTACCTGTGACACCTCGACGTGCATATCATGCGTAAAAGCTTGCGGTGAATTGTAGCTGCAGCGGTGACGCATCACTATGGCGTGCTTTACCTGCCACAAGGATCTTAGGCATACGCTTTGCCTCGTATATATGAGCAACCATGGCAGCCTCTCAGACAACTCCGACAAGCCTCACTAACACCTTCTGACTCTCACCATATCTTCGCCGCTAGAACGAGCGCTTCTTCGTCTTCAGACCCTATCCAAAGGACCCAGTCTTGGGCACTTCCTCAAGCTGTATCTTGCTACCCAGGACATGTTGCATCTGAGATTGACTTCTCGTGCATTGCATGAAGTCATTGAGCTCAATGAGATGGCGCTCGAGACTATCTACATCCACACGCCGGTGCCGTCTGGAAGGAGTCAACACACGGATGCACTAATTAGGGTCGGGTCGTGCTGCCGACACCTCGTAGTCAGGATCGCGTATCCTCTCAAAGCATGCTATTCACCAAGGACATCATCTCGCAGCACAAACCCTTCTGCTCCGCGCTCTAGAAGGGGGAGTGATACAATATCTGACAATCTCGACGCATACTGTCCATACGCCGAACCGCCCGTTGCTTGGAAGTTTGTTGTGCAGAAAAAGCCAGGTGTGATCGACCAAGACTTGCTTGAACAGTGGTGCGAAATTCTCAAGCTATTACCGAATGTGGAAACTGTTCACATCACCTGTAATGGTGATCCTGCCTGGCCTGGCTGTACCGATATCGAGTCCGCACTCATCATCTTGCGCATCGCCCTCGAACGTATCAATCCTGAGCATCTACACACGGTGTGTCTATCTCCGATCCATGCTATGGGTATCATGCATCTTCGCTGGGCAGGAGCTGGTGCATATGGAGAAGCTTGTGCTTCAAGAGATCCTGTTTGGTCTAGGTTGAAGGTGTTGAAGCTAGGGATTCTCAGTCCTTACACCGAGGGTCGACTATCTGAGTGTCAGGAACGGCTGTTCGGGAAGATCTTCGTGGACTACTTGCAGAGCTTCAGTCAAACACTGGTCCAACTCGAGTTGTCATGGCTCGGTACTGCAGGTCCAAACCCGTTCGTTGCAGAAGATGGGCATCGAGCGATACACTTGACGAGGCACTGGAACTCACTTACAGAATTGTGGCTCAACAATGTAACGCAGAACTGCAGCATTTCAACTATCAAAAACCAGGCGCCGAAGCTTCGGAAACTCATCGTTGCCGCCGATGTCCCAAGTACAGGTGATCAGAAGCGTAAGCAATGGGTTGATTATCGGAGTCAGGGGCTCGAAGATCACAACGACGAGAACGCAGATTGGACGACATTCCAGACTCTGCGTAACTCAGCGATACCGGAACCTCTCTTCAGTCGTCGTCTTGCATGATCTATATAGGCATTGATTGCAACCCCCATGCCCAATTTGATAGGTTGGACAGTTTCTGCATCATTATATCTCGAATGGAAAACAATGGCAATAAATCACACAATGTTCTTCGAAGTGACCCAACCATGATTTGACCAACTAATGTCATCAGCTTTCTCGTAAACTACTGACGTATGTCTCTTCATATGCTATTATCAGACCGAATGGGTATGGCGTAAGGTACCTTCGGAGAATTATCAACTCTATCCCCACCAAGTCCGGGACTGAGTTATAGAACGCAAAGTGACGCTCTAACCATGTCCGCTCGACACAGATGGCAGTGAGCGTTCCGGAAACAAGCTGTCATTGTTCTATAGCTTAATGCTCTACCCTCTATTTATGTCCGTCTACGCAACACATTCGGACATTTCAAACACTCAAGACCACAAAATAGTAAGAATCGCAGCGATGTAACACGATCATCCGGCAGGTAAGTGGGGTCCACTTGTGGAGGAGCCGACCTTCTTGCCCGCTGGTATTAAAGTCATCGCTGCTGCCTTTTTTCTTTGATGCCCTTCTCGTTCGTTTGCTTTCGCTTCAAGAAGAACGACAATCAGACATTCTAAGACAAAATGGCTGCTCCCAACGGAGGATTCTTCATTCAGGATAAGCTATATAAGACAGCTCCTCACCATGAAAGCTACAAGCAGCTCTGGGAGACCAAGTGGAAGAAGCCTGTAAGCATGAGAGCTAGAAGTGTGGTGTCGAGTTATCGGACTGACTGTACCATACTCTAGTGCGAGATGGGCGTCTATCCTTTCATGTTCTCTGCAGTCAAAGACTTTGAACCGATAGTCGAGAAGCTTGTGGCGGTATATTGAGCATACTAATGTTGAGACGACCCTTACTCACGAGGCATCAGGGTGACTACAAAGAGCCATACGATTGGGACGACTACGCGCAAGTCTACTTCCCCAAAGCTGAGGAGCTGGTCTCTGAGGCACAGAAAGCTGAGCAAGAGGGAGACAAGGACAAGGCTTCTGAGCTCTACTTGTGAGTTTGAGACATGATTGAATCATGGGGAATCATGCTGATCCAATACAGGCGAGCAAGTGCTGTCTACCGTATCTCGAGGTTCCCTGCTCCACGTTCAGAAAAGCAGAGATACGCCTGGCAGGAAGGCAAGAAAGCCTGTATCAAGGGTTTAGGGTAAGCATACCCACCATGTCCTTCGGAAGAACACTGCTGACTATATGTTACAGACTCCGCGAACACCCCGTCCACGAGATCGAAGTCCCACACACCCACGGCATCGAAGGAGAAGGCAAGAACATCCCCATCTACCACCTCCTCCCATCAGGAGCCAGCGAATCAAACCCCGCCCCTGTCGTCCTCATCATGACCGGACTGGACGGCTACCGCACAGAACTCGCCGTCTGGATGGAAGGATGGCGTCAAAACGGCGTCGGCAGCATCGTCGTCGAAATTCCAGGCACCGGTGACTCTCCAGCCCTAGCCTCTGACCCAACATCTCCCGACCGACAATGGAGCAGTCTGTTGGATTGGATAGAGACTCAACCCGCCATTGCAAAGGACAAAGTCTGCGTCTGGGCTTTCTCGACTGGTGGTTACTATGCCATTCGCCTTGCACACACACATCCGACTCGTCTTGCTGGTGTGGTCGCTCTAGGTGGTGGCGTACATCACATGTTTGACGAAGAATGGCTCAACAATGTGAACAACCTGGAATATCCCTTCGATCTTGCCACAACTCTCTGCTACAAATACGGCTACGGTGACGATTTCGAAAAGTTCAAGAAGGAAGCCAAGAAGTTCTCTCTACTTGAGGACGGTACCTTGGATAAGCCCGAATGTGCAAGGCTACTGCTTGTCAATGGCACAGAAGATGAAATCTTCCCCATCGATGACTATTACCTTTGTTTGCTGCACGGAGCTCCCAAAGAGGCGAGGTTTATCCCTGGCATCAAGCACATGGGCGAGCCAGAGAGTTTTTTTGTTATCCTCAAGTGGATCTACAAGCTCTTTGGTATTCAGGCCAATCCGGTGGATCAGATGAAGACTATTCCGTTCAAGCCAAAGTACTAGATCAGGTTACATAAGCCTCTGCTTCTATTACCACGACGTCCTCTGAATACTATAGCGGCAAAGTGATCGCTGTCTTGGGTAGTTGTCAAGTCTAGTAGGCCATATCAAGTAGGTGATCCTCATCGAGCAGTATCGTCGTAGCACCCACACACATTCGAGATCTACGAATGCCGAGACCATCTAACATGACAACAAAAGCGCACGCATCTTCTATCTACCTGTTGATGCGACGCACCCTTACTCCTGCTTCTGTCACAACAAACCATTTCGCTTCTTACCGGCCCACCGTACAAGAACAAACCATTGAGTATATCATATCGAACCTCCAACATTGCTCCTCATACCTCTAACAAACGTACTGCCAGACTCAAGGACAATGGCTGCACCTCGCCCTACAAGAGAGGAGGATTCTGCAGGTTTATTCCGTAACCTAGACCTCCACACACGAGTTCAAGCCCTCGAAGAGCAAAACCATGCCCTCGAACAACGCGTTCGTGCTTTGGAAGCAGAAAACCAAGCTTTCAGAACACCCGAAAGAAGATCAACCATTCCAGAGTCAGTGGACTTGGATGCTAGTGATGCAGGTGATGAAATGATGGAAGAAACACTAGATGATGCTCTTCTGGAGCAGCTGGCCGGCAGAACATCAGGCCAGAGAGGGATCTATCACATGGGCTGAAGAACCAATGGGGGATTCTGGAGGACAGGAAGTCGTCGATGAGTCTCCTGGGCAGATCGATGCGCCTCCTCGCCGGGAAACCGCACCTTCACCGACTACCACTGCCCAAGACGCCGACTACGCCGTCTGGTACGAGAACGGCACCTTGCGCACCAACGCCCCTGCTCACCTCCTCACTGTATCCTGGACCTCACTCCTCACCGCCTTCACCAACACTCGCACCTATCTCACTGGCCTTAACCCTCAATGGCCCTCCCTCACTCACCCCACCAATTGCGTCCGCGGTGTCGTGGCTAAGCAGAGTACCCCGTGGACTGTCGATTCACCTGGCGAGTTCTGCTGCAAGAGATGCTTCAACACTCAAAGAGTGTGCCTGAGGTACAACAAGAAAAGTGAAAGATTGGAGGCTTTGCCTCTGCCTGAAGAAGTCAGAGGTGAGGAATTTGGCTTGGGTTGGTTTGTTGCTGAGGAGGGAAATATGAGCAACAAGGGTGTGTTCAAGGGATTGTGGAAGTGAAGGTTGAGCGATCGGAGGCTTTAAGTGGGATGTTGCTCCTTTTGATAGAAGTGAGAGGAAGGAGCGATGGTGAAGGAATGGTAGTGAAGGAAAGAGTAAAATGAGGGAACAAAGCAGAAACAATAGGAAATGAACCTTTCACACAAAACGTGACAGACTATCCACCTCCTCCATTCACTGTATTTTGCTACATTCACATATCGACATGGATCTGTCGCCCATGTCCAAAAGCATGTCACATACACCACTATAGAAGTGCACAGTACTTTGGAGAAACAGGACAGTATCCATTGAGAAGCAGATTTCTCTCTGCTTTCTTTGGATGGACCTCTGATCTGGAAGTCACTGTGCATTTTGATAGTGTGTAGACCATGGAAAAGTTAGTAGGAGATACAGGTTTGAGCGCCCTGGTTTTGTCTCCTCCTCTCGTGGTGCTTTTGAGATACCATCAAAATGCACAGTTCTTTGTGGACGATATGCAAGTCTAGAGAGAGCTGGCGAGATCAGGGCTCTCGGCAGATGCTTGTCATCTGCTGAGAAGACTGTGCGTCATGATAGTTGTTACGCGGCATGTCTTCGCAAACGAAGAGACGCTATCGTGTGTAACCTGGTTGAGAACCACTTACACATCGAAAGACATACCAAACACACAGATCTCCACGTTTGACAAAATCATTCACAAGATGAGTAACAGTTCTGTCAAGCTTTCACCCCACGGACAAACCGCAAGCGACGTATGTCCAACAAGCGAAGCAAGACACCATGTGTACCACAAACTACCTCCACTCCCACTCCAATGCAAGCAAAAAGAACCGCTCGCACAGCGATTCGATCTCTCACCCCTGTTCTTCAGATGAGAAATCATTGTGGACCCGCTCAACCCCCACTTTGTAAACAAAAATCTTTCCCCCAGCTCCCAACACCACTCCCCCTACCACAGTGCAAGACACGGGCAAAAAGAGATAGCTAAGCTCGGTTTCGATCCGAGGTCCTCCGGGTTATGAGCCCGGCGCGCTGTATGGAGTTAGTTATGGTGTTGTGGTGAAACGATGGTGGTGAATGTTACGAACCTTCCGCTGCGCCACTCAGCTTTTTGTGGTGCCAAGTTTTTCTCAAGATCGAATATATCCCTCCGCAATGTTCAGCGAAACAACTTGCTCAATCAGATTCAGTCTCTACTGTGCGGTCCAAACAGCACCAAGGTTGTTGTCATGTCAGTATAGCACCCCGACCAGTATTGGAAACTCACTGCCAGCCAGTGATATCACTAGAGCTTCCATGACTTGCTTTCTCGTGTCGCATGCCGTTTGAAGACGATAGAATGACCCAGCGGCGCTCAAACTATGCACAGACAGACAAGAGACGTGAGAGAGCAGGGACTGATTTCCTTCTGTACAAACCTCTGATTGCTGGGCTTGCATTCAAACATCTTCAAGAATTAATCTAACAACAAGAAAAAACGCCAATCAAATGCTTCGTACTATGAAAACATGTAAACCAAACAGCCAGATTGATCGCAATGCTAGACACTGATGTACAGGTTGATGCAACCAATCTGACTGTCTGCCGGAGAGAAGAAGAACTCTTGATTAGGAACCATGTGCTGTGCGATCTCTCGCGATCCATGAAACCATGCTTCTAGATATTAAAATCGCACTCAACCCGGTCTTCTATGCATTGGGTTGAGCGGATTCTGTAGCGGTTGTCCCATCGGCACACCAGGTCCCATATGCGGCGGCATATGTTGAGGTCCGGGACCAAACATTTGTTGTCTCTTGACATCGTTTCCAACGTCACCGGGCCCGCCCGAGATGTCGGATATTTGGCGTCTGTGAGGACCACTGGGCTGTGGCCCGAGACCAGGTGCCATACCACGAGGCGAACCACCATAACTAAGTTGCGAGGGCATGCCCGGTGGAGGCATGCCTGTCTGCATATGGTAGGGCGCTGGTGGGTGACCAGCAACTCCCATACCATATTCGTTTCCAGCGGCGTCGCTTGCCGCTGGCGACATACCTAGGCCGGTTCCGGGCGACGTCCAGTTGCTGATAGTAGCTGGTGATGTGGCAGGTGACTCTTCGGCTTTCAATACATTTTTTCCGGCGACTTGAACAAGAGGTGGTGGCGGTCCCGTTGGGACTCCGTCGATCTGTGAGGGTGACTTCTTGAGGTGACCGAGATGTTTCTCCAGCATGCTTAACAAGCCTTCTTTCGTGAAAGGCTTGGGAAGCACATCGTTCATGCCTGCCGAGAGGTTAGCACAACAGCCATAGAGAAGAAGATTTGCATTGTACATACCGTGCTGGAAGTACATTGCAATATCATCACTGCGAATGTTCGAGGTCATGGCAATAATTGGTGTGTTGTCGAACTGTCTGATCAAGTGGCAAGCGGAAACACCATCAAGGTTGGGCATGATGATATCCATCAGCACAAGATCGTACTTTGCACCGGCATTCATCTTGTTGACTGCTTCCAGACCGTCAAGCTAGGATCATATCAGTACAGAGAGCGAAAAGACAGAGATTGTCCCAAACTTACAGCGCTGTCAACTGCACAGTGGAAAGCGTACAAGAACTTGCCGCCTATCCTTCTGCAAGTCTTGTCATCCTCGACAAGCAGTACCTGAGGTTGTCTGATCCAGCCAGGGTCGTATTGCATGCTCTTCTTTCTTCCATCGGCTACAGGAGGTGCGGGTGCAGGCTCGGGAGCCTTGGTCGGCATTGCATAAGGAATGTTGTGGATGTGCTCGCTGAACATGGGATCGATACCATTTGTCTGACCAACGGGGTAAACAAGATTGTCGAGTTCTCCGTATGACATGGAGGTGGACGATGCGGCAGAGTGTGGACCGTGGGTACCACCTCTCGCGGCCCTGGCGTTGGTACGAAGAGACATATCCGGAGGAGGTGTGGTAAGGGCCGAGTTCATCCTCAGAGACATCTCGTTCATGTGTTCGAGGTTGCGCGTGTTCAAGATATGGTCGGCGTTGGTCTCTGAGAGCAGTTTTGCGGCATGTTGCAGCGGCGATGCAGGTTCATCCTCGGGGATTGGTGCCGGAGGTGCTTGCTTGCCGTTGGCAGCATCGGCAAGTGGTGGTGCAAAAGGATTGGCCACACGACTTTCTCTTCGTCGTTGGCCATCAACCGACTGCAGGAAATTCATAACGTATTGCATGACGTGCTCGTGATTGACAACTGTCTTCTGCACGCCGATGAGTTCTTGCAGGAGCATCGAGTGATGCATGCTGAGCTCGTTGTAACGCTCCTGCAACTGTTGCAGCTGCTGCTGAGTTGCGACCAGTTGTGTGTTGAAGAGGTCCATCTGCTGAGTAGGCATCATATCGTCCATCATGGCATTGGGCTTGCGCGGTGCGGGTGCTTTTCTCCGAATGTTGTCCAAGGCATCCTTGTTGTTGGCCTTGAAGTCAGGGTGCTTGAATTCCCACGCCTATCAATCTGTCAGTCTTGCCATCCTCTTCATTGCAATGGAAGCAGGAAGCGACATACACCTGCGCCGTAGGGAGACACGCCGCCCTCTTCATTGTTATGCCGGACTTTGTGGAAGTCATATTTGTTGAGTTGGCGGACGAAACTGGCAAAGTTGCTGTGCTTGAAGTGCTTGGGTAGGATGTGCTTTGTGAACTTCTCGTTCTGCAGGTCGTCTTGTTAGCGAAGCCTAGGCGTGAGGAGATGATCGATATGCGCACCTCGAGAACAACAAAGCTGTCGCCTTCATTGCCCCATCGTACTACACTCTCGTCCTGCGGACTCTCCAACATCCTATCACGAGCCAATTAGATGACGCCATTCGAACTCGACGCGCTCGCGCGCAGCACGGTGACCTACTTGTACAACTTGCGAACCTGCCAACGCGGGAAAATACACGTTAGCCATTGCAGCCGAGCGATTGCGCCTTCGCCTCCAGACGAGAGCGTGCTCCACTTACAAAGTCGCTTGATGTGTTTCCACTACCCTGACTGTCCATGGCTGCGACGGGGTGTGCTGGGTACAATGACGTATCCTGTTCTGTGTGGCTAGCTCATGCGATGCGCAAAGAATTTGCACGGGTCGAGACGGCAGTCTTTTTTATGCTGGCGACTTTGACGCGATGGGAGCGGGGTTGGAATGCGAGCGATTGGGTAGATGGCGGAGCGGGTGATGTAACAGGCTTCGACGCGAGTTGCGAGGGAGCGCTCGGGAGCGGCGGCGCTGGCTGGATGAAGCTTCTGGTGGTGGATGAGCGCAGGGTATGCGACAGAAAAGGGCTTCGAGGGACAGTCGACAAGAAACAGTCCGGACTTCGACGAGACTGGAAGGAAGAAAGCTCGAAAAGCAGGGTGCAAGTATGAGCTAGAAACGGACCCGAGGCTCTGTGCAGTGCAAAAGGTCAACGCCCGGGCGTAGCGTAAAGTGGATCTGCCCTCCTTGTCTATCGCTCGAGTCGGAAGGGAAAAAGGAAACAAATGCGGCTTGGCTGATGTCGATGGTTGGATTCGATAGCACTGGATAGCAGAGAGAGTCAAGATCGGCGCCATTACTACTGGCACGCTCTCTTCAGACTTTCCGTTGCTCAGCTGTGGAATGCACGCGGCCTCGTCATCACCACATTTCAATCCTCTATACCATGCTTTCTGCCGGCCGCCGTCTTTGCACGAGCGTCCCTGTTTCCCGTTCAAAACATCCGCAGCATGTCCATGGTCCACTTCTGCAGGTCACAGGAGAGCCGACGACTCTTGCGGTTAGCTAAAGCTTGGATCTAATAGTCAAAATGGCGTCAAACGGCTCCGCCAATGCAGCCTTTCTCAAGCCATTCGGGTCAAAAGGCTGAACGCATCGTGGCTTACGATTCCAAAACAGTTCGAAAATTGAGACTCACAGCAAACGTCTTGCTACAGCGTTGGCGACAGTGGATGGGTAGTCGTCTGTCAGGAGCAGTTGTTTCCGCCGTCGTGCTCCGAGCAGCGGCCTGTCAGGGCTTTATTCACATACGTACAATGCACTTCGATCTTCATCGTCTGTCCTTGTATGGAAGCGTTCGCGTAACCGGTCGTATGGTAGAGAAAGCACCAATCAAATGTTGAGAACAAAAGCTTGGTTGTTATCTCCAGCTTAAGCTCAGAGCCTCGATATTCTGGCCTCTTCCAAATCATCCATCTTCACAAGCTACCCCTCATCTGCCACTCGGTAACTGTCAATTAAAACACCATCTGTCCCCAGCTCGCAATCATGTTCACCGCTCGTGCAAGAACTGCTCTTTCCTCGACTCTCCGCTCTGCCCGCACTCCTCTAGTTAACCGTCCATTCCACGCTACAGCTCCAATCATGGTCAAGGTCGGCGACTCCATCCCAGACATTGAGTTGCAGGAGGACTCTCCTGGCAACAAGGTCTCCATCCCCAAGGTCCTCAAGGGCAAGGGTCTGATCATTGGTGTCCCTGCTGCCTTCAGTAAGATTGCTCTCTCTTTTTAGTATCCTCTGCCTCACCGTTTCCCCCTGCGCCGCGAGCCTAATGCGCATGCGTCTTCGATGTCGGCAACAAGTCTAGTGCTTGGGCAATCGCTGGCTGTTCACGGAGTTCTCTCCGAGGAATTGTTTGCGCACCAGCTACTACCAGTGCATTGCCGTGTATCAATTCACACCCCAAGAGTTTCATGGCTCGCACGGCTCGTGCTGCTTCTTGTCTCTTACAGAATGAATCGAAATGCAAACACCAAGAAACGAAGGTCCGGCTAACATCCCAACCCCTTGCAGGCCCTTCGTGCTCCGAGTCCCACATTCCCGGTTACATCAACTACGAGAACCTCAAGGATGCTGGCGACGTCTTTGTCGTCTCGGTCAACGACGCCTTTGTGTAAGAGCCAGCAACAACGCAGAGCTGGTTTGGATCGAAATACTGACATGTAATTCAGCATGAAGGCATGGGCCCACGACCTTGACGCTGACAAGAAGAGCGGCGTAAGTTGTTTATCTTGCTGCTGCTCACTCGATCATACTGATATTCATGCATTAGATCCGCTTCCTTGCCGACCCTGACTGCAAGTTCACCAAGGCTCTCGACCTCGACTTCGATGCCACTCCCGTCCTCGGCAACCACCGCAGCAAGCGCTACGCCCTAGTCATTGAGGACGGCAAGGTCAAGGAGGCCCACGTTGAGCCCGACAACACCGGCATGAGTGGTGAGTTGTGTGCCTTTTCTATAGCAGAGAACAGCAACTAATTTCATTGCAGTCTCGGTCGTCGACAAGGTCCTCGGTTAAATGCTATGTATTATGCCCTATACACGAAATACGCGACCATACGCAAGAAGCATATAGTAATGACAAACATTTACACTATGCTCATCTCTCTCTGTCTCCTACCTTTGGTCAACTGACGGCAGATCGCATCTTTACTCGTTCTTCCAAGCATACGCCGAAAACATGGCAGCTTCGCACAAGGATAATGAAAGCACTTCAGAACGAGATCCAGAGACTGGCACTCGTATACGTTCCTCTGGTGGAAATGTTCTAATCAGGCAGCTTTGGATCATCTGCTCTCTGCTCTGGCCTCGGCCCTCTCAAGTGTCAAGGTACTGCGCATCAGTCCCTCAATTCTCTTACCTCTGCTATCCTACAAGTTCATCCATACAGAGGTCTGCTTTATGTTCGTTTCTCAAGGAGATCTTCGTGACGTCAGATGACGTTCTACAGATCTGTACATTGCTTACCTATAGCACTTCACTTCCTGTTCTGTGTAATCCATACTTGGAACCTAACAAAGATATCCTGAACACCAAATCATGCCTTACCAAAGAGATGCCATCCACGCTCCTTCGGCCCCAAAGCCCAACGGCAATTACTCTCATGTAGTCCGTCAAGGCAGCACCCTACACGTCGGTAAGTCCTACACACTATCCTCTATCTCTTCACCTCTAAATCAACCTATCTCTCATCCTCTACCGAGCAATTTCACTCAACCCAAAGCCCTCTACCCAAGTGCCTCACCCAAATCTCCCACCTCTAACACCTTTCCCACAGCCGGCTGGATGGGCGACGACCCCTTGACCTCTCTCATCGTCCCCGGCGGCATAACACCCCAAACCCACCAAGCAATCGCCAACATATCCGCCTGTCTCTCAGCCGCTGGATCCTCACTTTCAAAAGTGGTAAGGCGAAGAATATACATTATGGATATGAAGGATTTTAGAGAGGTGGACAGGATATGGGCAGAGTATTTTGAAGAGCCGTTTCCAGTGAGTACGTGTGTGCAGGTTGCTGGGTTGGCCAAGGAAGGGGCGTTGGTGGAGTTGGAGGTTGTTGCTGAGGCTTGAGAGGTGGAAAGGATGGGTAGGGGAAGGAGGGGGAGGAATTGGATGGAGAAAGGTTATGGAAAAGTTGATTCTAGTGAAGGCGATGGGCCAGTTTTGAGCAGATTCAGACATGGAATGATCCAGTGTAACAACTTGTTCATCTGCTCGATGCATGATCCATCTGTGATAGACTAGTTCTACATATTTAGTGTAAGAAGTGAGAGAAGCGGCTACAAACCGAGAAACAACATCCCCATCTGTTGAGTGTTCATTCTCGTCGTCAGCGAATTTGGCTTCGCCCTTCTGGACTCTCGAATTTTTGACATGTATGTGTTCACACAACCGAAGCAAAGGATGCGAGTCGGGAAAGACCATCAGCAATTGCATCATGTCTATGCGCAGAACATGTTGCCAGGCATCATACCCAGCAGACCAAGATCGCCGTGCTGAATGTTCTCGCACAGCCAAGCCCTCTTCTCCTCATCGTCGACAGCATTGACAGCGAGCGAAAGCTGGCGAGCGAAGATACTACCAAACCAGTAGGTCATGAGCAACTGAGAATTTCCAGCGGGCATGAGAGGCACGTCGTGATCAACACACAGACGGCTGCGGACGATGGTCGAGTTGATGCCCTCCTGGAGCTGAGCCTGAGACATGTAGTGGTACTGCTCGCACATTATCCAACGCTCGGTAGGAGTAGAGGCGCTGAAGCTGTACAGGAGAGCGAAGAGACTGGAGGCCATGTTGTAGGTAGAAGGGTCGGCAATGATGAGGACTTCGTGCGAAGGGTCACTCCAAGCGGTGGCGTAAGGACGGTTGGCACAGAAAGCCTGGCCGATACGACCGGAGTCAAGGGCCAGCTCATCGTTGATAGCAGTGTAGTTGAAGTTGTTGCACAACCACTTGAAGCTGGGCTGAGGGTCATCGCCAAAGACATGGAGGAGCTGAGTAATGAACATGTCGGTGGCAGCAAGCTTGATCTGATTGAGTGCGAGAGCAGAGGAGTTGGATGCTCTGACAGTGGCAACACAGAAAGCCTCTATCAACATTTATTAGTACCAAATGGGAGCAACACTGGTGGAAGGAATGCTTACGCTCAATGACGGCAGGCTTGAGACCGAGGGTAGCCCAGCGACCGTGGCCGTAGGAGGTGATGTTCTGGCAACCCTGAGTGATAGGAGCCAGACTCTGCAGAGAGCCAGCAACCTGCCAGCCGAGGATCGAAGAGGCGTTGCCCAAGATCTGCGAGTGAGCGCTGGCTACAGATCGTTAGCATAGGATAGGTGATACAGGTCAAGTCGGCGTACCAAGGACCTGCTCGCTCAAGGCGGCGCCTTGAGTAAGGCCAGCAACAAGGCAGACGATAGCGACAGTGATGAACTTCATGTTGATGTGATCCAAGGAGTGTGGTAGTTGGAAGAGAAGAGAGAGTAAATAGAGAAAGTTTGTGCGTGGCCGATGTCAGCGTGATTGTTTGGAAAGAAAGTGAAGCAGCGCAGTCGCGCCTTCCCTGGCTGAGCACTTCCCAGAAGTTTGACCTTGCTGCAGACAAGTTTGTGCATTTCGGCAATATCGTTACATTAGATAAATGCTACGGAGAGGCCGATCGTTGCAGTCAGACAGCATTAGGCATACTCATGGCAATATTGATGTGAGCTCGTGGATCTCGTAGATCTTGAGTGCCTCCAGATGCCTGCAACATCTAGTTGAACACCAGTTGACCAATGTGAGTCGAGGAGGTGCAGCATGAAGAGCGAGCGAACCCATGATCTGTTCACACTGTTCATTTGTCTTATAGAGACGTTAGAGAGACCAGACGTAGACACGGTCGCTCGTACATTTTTTAGGTTCAGAAGTGGTTGACTATCTTTTTGGGGAAGTGTGATGCGTATTCTCGACAGTGGAAGAAAAAAGACAGGCTTGGTATTACAACGCCTTGGGAGCCAAAATAACGGTAGAAACATACTGTACATTCTAAGAGCATCTAGTCGAGAGCACCATCGGTTCTGAGCTTCTCGTTGCCCCACATCTCACTGTTCAAGCTGGTCAGGCCCTTGGCAGGCTCGCAGGACTGGCGGCCGCTGAGAGGACCAGGAGAGGGGAGCTTGACACCCTGTGCAGCGTAGCCTCTTCCTTGCTCAGAGATTGTGGTGCCGGAGCCGCCAGAACCCTCTGCCTTTCCAGCCTCGCCAGCAAGACCGGAAGCCTGTCCACTTGCGCCGGCCTTTTGTGCAGCTTCCCTAAGAGCCTTGAGCAGCGATTTTGTTGTCTCGGGAGTCAAATCCTCGTAATAGTCGTCGTTAATCTGGACCATAGGGGCGTTGGCGCATGCGCCCAGACATTCAACTTCGGTGAAGGTGAAAAGCTTGTCCTCGGTGGTCTCGCCGTGGTGAATCTGGAGCTCCTCCTCGATAGCCTTCATGACACCGTCCGATCCTCTAAGTTGGCAGGGAGTCTGCTGGATGTTAGCGTTCCGGACTTCGACAAGAGTCTCGAGGAGGCGGACGTACGGTAGTACAGCATTGAACGTGGTAACGGCCTACGGGGTCTCTGTTGTACATGGTGTAGAAGGTGGCAACCTCGTAGACACGCATAGGGGGCATTTCCAGTCTGCGGGCGACCTCGTTCATGACGCTGATGCTGCAGAAACCGTGTTGGCGCTGGCCGAGGTCGAGCAGGGGCATGACGGCGGCCTTCTTGTATTGCGAAGGGTATCGGCTGAGGACTTCCTCAATGAGCTTCTCATTTTGGGCATTGAATGTGAAGGGAACGTCGAGGTTGTTCTCTGGCGTGTCGCGGTGCTAATAAGATGACAATTAGAGGATGCAAGGTGGTGTTCGGAGAGGCAAATGAACATACGACGAAGAGGGTGTCGCTGCGAGAAACGGAAGAGACGGCGAACGAGCGGCGGGGTTGTTGTCTGGCAAGGACGCGCAGAGCTCTGCTGCTGCTTCTGAAGGCCATAGGGGCGAGCTTGGAGGCCATTATGTCGGTAGAGGATTGTGGTATGGGAATTGGACGCAGATGCGATCGAGGTCATCGAAGTCGTCAAGAGTCGGATTCCAGCGTCGCGCATCGGTCAGCATCTCGGCCAATCATAAGCCGCCGTTTTACCCTACGATCCATCACTTCTTAGACTTGAGTACCTACCACAATGCAACATGTTGGATGATCATTCGACTAGCAGGGTTCTGCTTAGAATTTACAAGTAATTGTACAAATATCTACAAGCAACATCTATCGACCCAGAGAGTTTCTCGGTTGTAGGATCTCAGGATGCCTGTGCACACTGGGCATCAGACCAAGGCCAATTGCTCTTCTGACAGCCTTGGCCACCTTCCTTTGGTTGACCGGTCTCAATCCTGTGTCCTTGGAGTGCTTGATCTTGCCCAGCTCGGTCATGAACTCGGACATCATGGCAAAGTTCTGGAGATTGTCAGTGGACACCCAGAATTTTTGAATTGACCAAAACATACCCAATAATGGTTCAGAGGATTGATCTTCAACATGTCAAAGACGTCCTTCTTTGGCCTGCCCTTTGGTTGACCTTTGCTCCACTTGGCCATCTCGACACCGCTCAGGTCGTGAGGGGCATAGACATCACCGTCCCTCCACCTGCGTGTCATCTGTCTTTCGTACTCGACAGTCTCCTGTGCGGCTGTCATTGCGGCCTCATCCTGTCTGTTTCTCCTAAGATCTCTCGCCGTCTGCTCCAAAAGCTTGTGGGGATCGTTCCTGGCGACGCCCGATTCTTGTGAGTTAAATGGAAGGGTGCGTGTGGTTGTTCTTTGGTATGGAGCAGCTCTAGGGCGGGCTCTATCGCTCGTGGCCTTGAGTGATTCTAGCAGACCTGGAGCAGATCAGTACATGTATATCAGGCGTGTCGGATTCTGCGCTAGATACCTCCGAAAACATCGGATCGCTTGGGCTCATCGGCGCGTGGTGTCGACGAGGCAAAGGTGCGCACGCAGGATGGGCATGAGGATCCGGTACGAGCGGCTACCCGTGAGAAGGGGCGCATGAAAGACATGGTGCGGTGCTATAGGCAGTCGAATACAGCGTCGCCGACCTGGTTGAATGGCTCGGGGGTCTCGAATTGGCCGCAATTGCAGGTCCGACGGGAAAAACCGAAGACTTTCTGAATGTGACAGTCGGACGTGGAGAGCAGCAGCAGCAGCTACGCCGTGCGACAGCCTCCAACTATTCTTCTACGCCATTGATACCGCTCTAGTACTTTCTTTTTTCTGCTCCTGGGACTGGACTTTCTTTCTTTGTGTATTCTTTTCTTGCTCCCTCTGTGGCACGATCGCAACGCTTTCGAGAGCCGGCATGCGCTCTCACCTCAATCGCGTCGTCTTTCGCAAACTTCTGGCCAGCGAACCCATAGCACACCGCGGTTGCCTTCGTCTGAATCAAACCATATCACCATGTTTGTCTCATATGCCAGCTCTCCCAAGGGCTCAGCGCCGTGCCTTCATGAACATCTTCAAGAAGCCCCAGCGTGCGACTTCGGAACCGAGGATGGCTCCTGGCCTGGAAAAGATGATGGAATATTCAAAAATGGAAAGACTTAGTGCCAGACTGCCACCGCCTGCCGATGTTCTTAGGGCCATTACCGACTATCTCAAGTACAAGCGGGACGCCCCGATTCAGAACAGCGACAAGGCTGTTCCCGATGTTCATGCCCAACACCTTCTTCGCTGTCTAAACTACCTAGATCGACACCTCATTCTGTCCACCCTTAGTCCAGGTCTTCTCGCTCGATGGATTAACATCTTCGACCACCAGTTGCATAAGAATTTAACCACACATCAAAAGATTGTCGAAGTTCTATACCGTGCACTCTCTCAGAACAAGTCGCAGCAGGGCAAGCCCCTGGAGTACCTCGATCTCCGTGCTTACGTCCGAGCAATGTGCGCCACAGGAGGTACAGCGATAGCCAGGGACGAAGTCATCAGATACACTACGGCGCACCCTGATGACTCGTCCTATGATTCTGTCTTCATCTGGGGAGTCATCATGCAGGGCTTCTTGAGAGAAATGAACGAGCAGGAACTTCTTCATACTCTCAAGGACATAGACGAATATGCTGCTCAAGGGTCTAGACAGGTGGTCTACGACACAATGACACGGTTCTATGCCTTCCAAGGTAACATTGACAAAGCATTCCAATGGTACAACAAGGCCAAAGGGCAAGATGTTGTAGATATGCGAGACTTCCAGCGTTTGCAACGGATATTACTTAAGTTCGCTATGAGCACATCAAACATGAAGCTTGGGCAACTCCTCATCCGGGACATGACAGCAGGAACTCCGACAAAGTTTCAGTGGGACATGATCTTGGAATGGGCTGCAGCGACAGGCAAGGGAGCCGATGAGATCGATCGCATGATCGGGATCATGGAACGAGCGAACCAATCCCTTCCCGAGAAGCAATGGCGAGTTCCTGACCCACGAACATTGAATATACTAGTCAAGGTGGCAGTCGATCACAAAGACCCGTATCTTGCCGAACGTCTCTTAGCTGTCGGCAAGGCAAGAAACATTCAACCGGATGTCCAGACACTCATTTACCAGATGCAGTACCGCCTAGCCGTCAAGGATGTGGATGGTGCTTTGAATGTTTACAAACATTTGCAGTCTCATGACCTTTCAAGAGACGAAGACGTTTCTGTTGTCAACGAGCTCATTCAGACGATGTGCGCATCTGGACGACAAGATTTTGACAGCATCATGAATGTCGCTGCGGATCTCTCGGATCGACAAGCACGCTTCGACCCTGAGACCGTGTCAGCATTATCAGTGTTGCATCTTTCGCGTGACGAGGTACACGATGTGATTGATCTTCTTAATACTCATGTCCATAATTTTGACATAGCTGGCCGTGAATCAGTACGGAACACACTGATCGACTACTGTCTCAGACCTTCGACTACGACAGCTCAGGCATGGGATACCTACATCATTGTGAAGCAGGTCTTCGATGAGACTGCTCGCGAGCAGCGTGTTAAGATCATGAACGAGTTTTTCGGACGCCAACGTCCAGATATGGCAGTACACGTCTTCAACCATATGCGAGCGCACACTCGTCAAGACACCATTCCCACTGTCGAGACATATGTGGCGTGTCTATCCGGGATTGGCAAGACAAAGGACGAAGAAAGTCTCGAGGTTGTGTACAACCAGCTCAAGCTGGATTTCAACGTCGAGCCGAACACACTCCTCTACAACGCCCTGATGAAAGCATACACAAACTGCGAATCTCCCAGGACAGCACTGGGCTTCTGGGACGATATTGCAACAAGCCGCGAAGGCCCAAACATCAACAGCATTCACCTTGCATTGAGAGCATGTGAGGACGCTCCTTGGGGGGACGAGAAGGCGCGCAAGATATGGGCCAAGCTCAATCGCACTGGTATCGAGCTCGACCAAGATCTCTGGGCCAGCTACGCCGCTGCCCTCGTAGGTAATGGAAACATAGACAGCGCTATCAACGCGCTAGAGGAAGCACATGTCGAACAAGGACTCGACATGGACACTCTTGTGTAAGTTTGACAATACATAGAATATCAAGGACAAGGACTAACGTGTTGACAGAATTGGATCGGTGTATAACGCCGCTCCTGGGCAGGTCAAGAAGGGCATCATAGAGACCTGGGCCAAAGAAAGGTACCCAGAAATCTGGGCGGCTTTGGAGGATATAGGCACACGCGTCTCGGAGCTTACCCAGCTGCCAGAGTTCAAGATCGATAGGGAAGTTGAGCCATAAACTTGAGCCAGAGCATGGTTCCTGTACATAGATGTATATCTACGAAGAATGATTCTCAAAGATGTTTGTGGACACACTTGGCGTGTCACATGTGCAGAATGCAAGTCGACGAGATGGAAACAGCGGCAGGAAAACAAAGACGTCAGCATGCATTTGACTGGGCGGATGACTGAAGGAGCAGGAGCAGGATTTTGAGATGGAGGGGCATGAAAACAGGCTTTGGCTCTGACAGGCAGAGTCCTGACGATCTTTGTTCGAGCGGATGATGAGACGAGCTTGTTCCTGTCAAACCTTGTGGTGTTTGGGCAGCAACAGAGCGAGAAGCAAAGAAGGGACTTTTAAAATCGATGCTGGTTTGTAAATGCACGTGGAAGCGCACGTCACCGCTCTCTCGAGTGAAGGAAGGAAGCAGCGTGCAGCAGGAACGAGTGACCAGCCACCACATTCGGCAGTCTTTAAACTGCGCCTTGTTGCCTGGCTCTGCGCAATCTCACCGTCCGACCTGCTTGGCCTCACTCCCGCTGCGGTTTCATTCATTTGCAGTTGCTCGCCGACTTGTTTCCCCACGAACTCTCCACTTCGGCCATCTGCTCCACCCGTTTTGTCGTCGGCGGATCCTAACGGCCAGTACCAAACTGCCGTCGTCTCTGGTCCCGCGCCGTCATCATGTCTGTCATTTACAAGGACCGCGACGAACCGCGCACATACACGACTGTCCGCCGCTACCGAGTACCAGACCGAACAACATTCGAAGAAGAGGATACCTACGAGAAACAGATCGTCATCAAGCGCGACCGCGAACAGCCTCCACGATATGACCGCGAGCTCGAGTACCGCACCCGCGAGCGAGACGCTCCGAGAGAAGTCATCCGCTACGAACGAAATGTCGAGCGTGCGCCTTCCCCTCCAGATCGAGTCCGCGAATTTCGCTATGAACGAGAGGTAGAGCGCGAGCCACCTCGTCACGACCAATGGGATCTGGAGAGGTACACTCGCTCCACCGAGTACTACCAACCACAACCCATCGTCATACGCCAACAACCACAACCAATTATCATCAAGGAAGCCCCTCGACAGCCCGTCATCCTTCAGCGAGAGGAGCCACAGTATGAACTCATCGAGCGTGACGATACGCAAAGAAGGAGGGATGACGATGACTACTATTACGAACGGACCACCCGTGAAGTCGATCGAGGTCCGCGTCGTGGAGGTGGCGGTGGTGAGGACTTCTATGATGAGCGTGGTTATGAACGCCGTGTTGACCCGCGAGACTCAGCTTCCAACTACGCCGACGACCGATACAGCAGCGACGAGGATATCATTATCACTCGCACAGAACGAAACGGCGGCTCGCGCGACCACTCGCCTCACCACCGCCGTCATCTAGCTGAAGGTGCCATAGCCGGTCTTGGAGCCGCCGAAATCCTTCGCCAGCATCGTCGAAAACAAGGAGAGGAAGGTGGTCACCGTGGTCGTCAACTTTTGGGCGGTGCTGCACTGGGCGCTGTCGGTGCCGAAGCCCTGAGCCGTGCCAGGAGTCATATGCGGAGCTCCCGCTCGAGATCAAGCTCCAGTAACCGCTCGAAACGTTCCAGCCGGCGTGAAAGACGTCGCCGTCACCGCAGCAAGAGCCGAAGTAGGAGTCGCTCTCGTGCGCGTACTTTAGCCAAAGTCGGTACAGTTGCCGCCGTTGGAGCTCTCGCAGCATATGCCCTTCGAAACAGAGGTAACAAGGAAACGGTAATCGTTAACAACGAGCTCCCACCACCACGTCGCAGCAGGTCTAGAAGACGCCGTTCCTCTGTTGGTAGTGCACCCCCTCCGTTGGACGCCCGAAACAGAAGCAGGAGCGAAAGCAAGCATCGCGATCCCGAGCATCGCAACCGTCGTATCGCTCAGGCTGGTCTCGCAACTGCTGCAGCTGCCGGTATTCTGGATCGTGTGCGTAGTCGTTCACGGGGCGGCAAGAAGTCCCGTTCAAAGAGCAGGACCCGTACAGGTGTACCAATCGCTGCTGCTGGATTGGGCGGTGCTGCTCTTGCCGGCTTGTATGAGCGGAGTAAGGCTCGCAAAGAAGCTGTCAGAGACGACGCTTCCGAACCCAGACGTCCTAGATCCAGATCCCGGTCCCGTAGCCGATCTGTTCCTTACCCGGATGATGAGCCTCGCTTGCGTAGAGCTTCGAGTGATCCCGCGCTTATAGAATATGGCGACGATCCAATCTACCCGAACCGACGTTACGAGGAACCACCAGCTGAATACCGTCGCAGGCGCAGAGGCAGTTCTGCCTCGTTGAGCCCTGACAGACGCAGACACGACAGATCGAGTCGTTCAAGGTCGAGAAGCCGTAGCCGAACTAGAGGTTTGGCTGAGGGTGCTGCTGCTGCTGGCGTCGCTGCCATTGCTGCTCACGAACTGGGTAAACAGAATGAGCGTAGGAGATCAGACCGTGACCGAGACCGAGAGCGTAGACGTGAGTTTCTTGGTGCATGTACTGTTGATGGTTCTCTAACAACTTATTGCAGGCCGTGAGGAAGAGGATGAAATGTACGCACATGACAGACCATACTCTCCACCACCAATGGGTGCCAACGCTGCGTACCCTCCGACACCCCAGAGCCATGAATTCTACCCTGCCACCAACTCATTCCCTCCTCCGCCAACCGACAACTACGGACACCAGGCCGACTATCCGTACCAGCCTTACAATCCTGCCGATTACCCTCCACCTCCTGCAGCAGGCGGTGCTACTCGTGGCCGACATGATGAACGCTATCCCAGTCCCGAACCGAATCTGGGCTATCCTCCTGCCAACGAAACGTTTGCTGGTGACGCGCGCTACGCCGGTGATGATCGCGGCAGGCCGGGTCGAGACCATGTGAGTTCCAACGCTCCTTCCGGTTCTTATTCTGATCCACACGACTCTTCCGGTGGGTGGTTCGATTAAGTCACCAGTCTTTTGATTTTGAATCGACGCTAACATCACATCTAGATGGCGTAAACAAGAAGAGTGTGCAATTCAATGTACCGCCCAGCGAAGGCATGAGTTCGCCAGATGCGCAAAGGAAAGGCAACACTCGACAGGCAGATCAAGATATGGACTACTCAGAAAGCGACGGACACGACGACAGAATCAGAACGAGAAGCGAATTGAGCAGCGACGGCACTACAGAAACAGAGCACAAGCGCAGAAGACGCAGGCGCCGCCGCTACAACGACGAAGACATTGACCAACATGAGCGTGACGGCAGTCACAACAATACCCAGCATCGCCGCCGTAGACGCCGCAGATCCCGCGACCCTTTAGCACAACGACGCACAGGCTCGCCAGACAGCATCAGCTCCAGCGAAACAGTCGAACTACCACCACGTTTTGATCAAGAAGGCCGCAAGGTACCGGAACGAGGCGAAGACCCACTGGCCGACAAGATTGAAGACTTGCTCAGTGGCAAAGGTCTCGCTGGAGGCATTTTCAAACGACTCACTGGTGATTTCCTCGGCGACGGTGCTTCGAAGAAGAGACGTTGATACCCCCTTTTGCACATTTTTCCCATTGTTTCTCCTTTTCTGCGATTTTTTGCTTGCCCTTGTCGTCGCCCATGTTATTTGCACACACATGCCCCCATTCCCTCAATTTGCTCTTTGACGAGACACACGAATTGCGTTGCTGTTTTTTCTGATTTTCTGTTTCCTGCCCTTTCTCTCTTCTTCTACATACAGGCTGATCTCCTGTTTTTCTGTGGCTGGAAGATTTGCTGTTTGCTGTCTTCTTTTTTGTTGCTTAGCTAGTTTTCGTTTGCTTGGTTCAGTCAAGTCACAAACATAATACTTTTGTTCATTCCCTTCACTTTGTTCTTGTGCTTTGCTTGATGGTGATCGAATGCCGTTGTGATGTGTAGTTCCATTGTTCGTTTCTGCAAGTGCTTTTGCCTGTTTCTCTTTTGCTGGATTAAACACTCAGGTGTAAGGAAATAGTGAATCAAGGGTCACGGGACTGTGTTTTTCTTTCTGGACTCTTTTGGTCGGGGAGGGGGTTTGATATGCTTGAGAAAGTGATGGCATTCTTGGACTAACTCTTTGACATGATCATTCAGTGGACGGAGTGGAACGGATTGTAGGTGCTCAAATCTGATCGTTGAGCAGATCGTGGATGTTCGGTAGAATGATGTGGTCAATGTGTGGTATTGGTCCGAAATTTCGCCCACATGAGGGTTGGCGAGATTTTCGAGGCACTAACATGGGGAATCAAACAAGATACCATACTTTGATTCGACGGGTGACAGTGTAGTAGAGAAATTGATCAGATGTACATGGTACTGGACATTGTAGGCACAGTTGAGACCGATAAAAAGGCTGCGATATCACAGACAGGGTGATACTGCCTACAGCTTCGACTTGAAAAAGAAAACAAAGAAAAGAATAAAAAGGAAGCAACAAGCAAGAGAGCAGAAAAAGGTATCATTGCGAAATTGGCGAATTTCTAAATCTACAAGAAGACAGCAAACAAAGAAAGGGCTACTGAGATTTCCCATCATAAAACACCGCGACCAGAAAAACACGCTGCTGCTGCGAAACAAACCATTTCGATGAACCAAAGAAGAAAGAACACCCGCATACCCTACCCCTTTCCTTCCCTGGAACCGAGACCCAAAACGAAAAGACAGAAAGAACGGAGCGTGATGCTCCTACCCTGCAACGACTACTTCTCCCTCGTCGGAAGAGCAACAGCGCCCGAGTTGACAGTCGCAGGCGTGGGAGTCTGCTGCCCATCTTTCTCCCCGTCAACACCGGCATCCATTGTCGGCGGCGGCTTGTACATACTCGCTTCATCGAGCACCTCTTGACTCAACATGTTCGCCTGTTGTTGCAAATTCATCATTGTCTTTGGCACTTGATTCAAGTACCCTTCCAACATCTGCTTCAACACATGCGCCCTAACTGGTTTAGCCAAGTAATTGTTCATGCCGGCCTCAAGGCACTTTTCCTTGTCGCCGCGGATGGCCGAGGCAGTCATGGCGATAACGAGTACTTCGCGGACGACGGGGTCATCGTGGGCACGTATGGCGCGAGTGGCGTTGTAACCGTCCAGAACGGGCATTTGGACGTCCATGAGGACAAGGTGGAAGGGTACGCCTGTTTTGCTGGCTGCGGCGAGGGCGTCCACGGCTTGTTGGCCATCCCCGTACGCCTCGCACTTGAATCCTAGCTTCTTTACGAAGTTGACGGCGATCTTTTGATTGATTGGGTTGTCCTCAGCCGGAGGGGAAGTTAGCATGGTTCAACTTGACGGAATGGCATTGACTTACTATACAAATCCGGAGTTTGTCGCGAGGGATGTGAGCGAGACTGGTATACGACGTTTTCTTCATCTCGGCTTCGCTGGGCTTGTACATTGCTGCCATGGGATCGGCCGGCGGAGCTGCACCCAATTCGGCGCCAGGTCTGATCTTCTGGAAGGGCAAGGAGAAGGATACGGTTGTACCTACGCCGATTGTGGATTCGAGCCAAATTCTGCCGTGGAGCACCTTTTCGATGATGGCTTTACAGATCGAAAGACCGAGACCCGTGCCACCGTAACTACGCGCTGTGCTGTCGTCTGCTTGACTGAATGGCTGGAAGAGTTTCTTGCATTGTTCTTCGGTAATGCCGATACCAGTGTCTGTTACGCTGCAGGTTACTTGGACGGTATCCTCAGTTTCGTGCTCGATGAATGCCCTGATGGTGACTGTGCCCTTAGCAGTAAACTTGTATGCGTTGCTGAGTAAGTTCATAAGAATTTGGTGCAAGCGTACGGGATCACTCATGACGAGCAGACTCGACGGCATCTCGAGCTTCTCGACAGTCTGCAGCCCTCTTTCCAGATTGGTGTAAGAAAGAGCTCTGACAACTTCAGAGATAGTTTGAGTCAAAGACAGCTGCACGGAATACACAGCCATCTTATCGGCCTCGAGTTTGCTGAAATCGAGGATATCGTTGATGACAGAAAGCAAAGTGTCGGCACAAACACGGATGCTGTCGGCATAGCCTTCTTGCTCGGTGTTGAGATTGCTACCCTTGAGCAGCTCGGACATGCCAATGACTCCGTTGAGAGGAGTGCGCAACTCGTGGGAGACGTTCGCCAAGAACATGCTCTTCGCTTTCGCAGCTTCTTCTTTGAGCTTGACCATCTCCATGGCTTTGGCTTCTGCGACCTTGGCTTTTCGCTCAGCTTCGCGTGCTTGCTCGAGAGCCTGCTTCTGCACTTCAAGCATTGAAGAGTTGCTTGCCGAGACCTTCTGAACTTTCTTGAAGAGCAACGCGTTTGCGATCGAAATCGAAATTTGGTTGACAAGCAGGCGCAGAACGGTGATATTGCGCTGTGACAGCGAGTTGGGAGGTCCTTCAATGTATATTGAGCCGAGGAGAGTATCGTCGCCGTGCAGAATGGGCAAGGCAATCACAGCCTTACCTTCAGGATACTTTTGTCTCCAGGATGCAGGCATGTTTGCAAATCGCTCGTCATCGAGTACGTTGCGTAGGAAAAGCTCCTCTTTGAACCGCAGAACGTAGAAGGTGATTTGCTTTGACAGTGGATCGTCAATTTCGCTGATTGGTTGGCCGACGTTGTCTTGGTAAGAGATGTCCGGTCCTCCCACAGCAGCAACATTCCAACCGATTTCATCATCATTGACAACAAGACCACATAAAGCGGCTCCTGTACTGTCTACGATGATGTTGGTCAACTTTGCAAGCAGTTTGTCGACCCTGAGTTCCGAGGACAGCAATTGTGAGGATTCCAGGATACTGGCAAGGTCAATCATATCGAGACCGACGGCAGAGAATCCACCCTGCAGGTCATGTTGTGTTTCATGCTGATGAGGGATCGTGTTTGCACTTGGAGTCAACCATTCATGCGTTCTATCACCAGACGCTTGAGGCGTTTCGTTCTGGACCATGGAGAACGAAATGTTCTCGTTCTCGACCGTCTGTGTACCCGCATCTGCATTTCCGAAGGTTCTTGAGCCGATAAGCAAGAACTCATGCCTCTCACGACAATGTTCCGCCTTTGCTGTAGCAGATATACGGCGATACCCAGCGATTGCATCCCGAATCATCGCGCGTGCAGGACGGGTGGCTCCTCTTCGGACCATGAATTCGCCGTATAGCTCGTAGCACAAAGCTTCATCTGAGAGGAGTCCATGGACCATTGTATGGTCGATGGCGGCCTCGTAAGATAATGTGGCTACATCAGATCGATTCTCGATGTCACCGATTTCCGCGCGCAGAAGGTGCAACCAAACAGCAAAGTTCGATTCATTGATACGACTGGCCGTCTCGATCTTGGCCTTGAACTTGTAAATGTTTTTGAGAACATCTTCGCGATCCGCGCAATTTGGCTCTTCACGCAGCTTGGCAATCATTGCCATTGAGATGTAAAAGTAGCAGTAGTAAGCATGTCGTATGGACCAAACACTAGAGATAGACTCTAGAACAGAGTCGCCGAGTTCGAGGGCCTCGCGCCAGTACCCGAACCTGTACAAGATTGCAATTCTGTAGCTGTTGTAGAAGAAGAGAGGTCGGACGGCAGCAGTGGAGTGAGACTGCAAGAAGTCGACGTATTGTTGCGATTGATGGAAATCGTCATCGAAAATATGTTGGGCGTTGCGCCAGTCGGTCCTGCCCTGTAGCGCTTGGATAAACTGACGCACCGAAACAAGGAAAACACCTCCACGAAGGTCGGTGGGCCACTCCGGGAATACCTCGTTCTGGTACTGAATGTAGGCGCTCACTTCTTCGAAATTGTGAGAGCTCCACAACTTGTACGCACACATGACGCCAACGTTCAGAAGGTGAACCAGTTTATCTCCAGCGAGGACAGTTGCCTCCATGCCCCTTTCTAATGCCGGCACTTGATCAGCGATATCCGAAACAAAGTGTCCAAGGAAAAGGCTGTGCAGTGTGACTCCACGCCCAATCGTGTAAGAGTCGGTATCAAAGAGATCAAAAAGCTTCAGGGCTGTGTTTCCAAGCTCGACACCCTTTTCAATCATTTCGAAGCGGCCGATGGCAATAGATGCCAGATGAACGAAGCCCACGGCAGCCTGTGGAAAGAGGCCCTTGTCGATAAACAATCGCATCATCTTCAAGGTCAGATAGTAGAATAATAAGGAGTCGGTCCAGAATCCAGCGCTAAGAAGCTCAATCATGACAGCCGCAGTGGTAAATAGATCTCGGTCAATCGGCACATCTCTTGCTTCGAACAGCTGTCGATCCGGGACATCAACAAGATTGATAAGTTCGTTGAACTCCTTGTCACACTCCTCGTAAGTTGTGTCGTGAATCTCAGCACCGAGATCTGCCAGAGCTCGCTTCATGCCAAGGAAAGCGATGTGCGTATCTCCTTTCTGTGCATGCATTCGGCTTTGAATTATAAATGCTGGTGTCTTATCAGCAGCGGCTTTAGCATTTGACATGATTTCCTTGAGTATGATCTCGGCCTCCTCGAAAAATCCGAGATACCAGTAAGACGCGGCCGCCTTGGTCATGAGAGTCAGTGTCTCCTGGTAAGAGCCCTCGGGTGAATTATCTCTCCATGGATCATCAGGAAGTAACATCAAGCAATGCTGGAAGAAGTAGAGAGAGATTGACCTTGCTCCCTGCTCTCGAGTGGTCTCGGCTGCTTGGTAGAGCAGGTCTCTGAACGGGCCATTACCAATGCTGGACCGAGCTTGAATGGCCTCTACAGCATTGCAGATGTGTCTGGCTTGGTCGAACAAGAGCTGGGTGGGTTTAGTAGCGCTGTCGTAAGGATCATGGTACATCAGTGATGCCGAAATAATAAAGTGCATCTCCTCCTTGCGACAATCCTTGGCCAGTAGCTCAGCAGCAGCCATATATCTGTCGTGTGAGAACCTGAACTTGTCCTCATCCTCTGTGGCAACGATAATATAGGAGCTAATAGCATCTTGCAAGCCAGTCACCGGGTCCTTTTTGGGCGGTAAGTATTCGTCCTTAGACTGCTTGGAACAGTCGCAGCTCATTACACGCTTCACAAGAGTAAACGAAAACGTGTTTCCAATGAAGCTAGCCCAAGACAACACAGATTTGCAGTCATCCGAGAGATCCTCGAGCCGTTTTACGAGGTAGTTGTTCGTCGAGAATTGATCAGCATCTGGCGAAGCAAATTCGTCAAAGGTCTTGTCAAGGTCGAACTCCCATTGTGAAGACCGCCATGAGTAGTATATACAATGCTTGCGATAGCAGGAATCAAGCATCTCTCGAACGAAGAATGGATTGCCATGAGTCGCTTGCTGAATGACAGCGGCTAGGGGTAGAACGTACTCGGGTGAACGATGCAGGGTAATGGCTACGTATTGAGACGTCTCCTCTTCACTGAAAGGCTTGAGGTTGATCTTTGTAGCTTTCTCAAGTAGAGGTTGGAGTTTGGCAGGCAGAGCTTCTTCATCGCGGTAAGTAAGCACAAGCACCAAAGGTATCTTGACCTGAACAATACTCGTTAGAAGTTCGATACTCTCTTCGTCTGCGAACTGCAAATCATCAAGTGTCAAGCAAATAAATTTCTGCAGTGCTAGCAGACGCAAGACATCAAGGAAGGTGCGAACAAAACGATTTGACTTGCTTGAATTGCTGCCTCCAGCACGTAGCCAATCAGAAGCTGTGTCTCCATTGCTGCCACACTTCTCACGAGGCAGTCGTAGCGAAGCAGAGTCTGAACTCAATGAGGACTGATGAGTAGGGAATTGAGATAGCAGCCAAGGCGGAAGATCGAGGAAGCCAGAAAGGAAGCCCCAATAAGGCTTGATGTATGTGCGAATATTGTCGTGGAACGGGGTTGAAACATCTCCTTCGGAAAAGATCTGACGGAAAAGAGAGGACATGACGCGCACCACTGGCTCGAAAGGTGCCCGTTTGACCTGATCGAATTTGGCTGATGCGTAATACCCATATTTCCTTGACATGTTTTGCACGTCATGCAATAGAGAGCTCTTTCCAAGACCTGCAGCACCGCTAAGGCACAAAACTTCAGTGCGGCCAATCTGCTTGAGTCGCTGTGCGGCGCGAAGAGTTGATCCATCAGATTGACCTGCCACAGAGTTCGACACGGTGGATCTTTGACTGCTGTCAAGGTTGTACACCGAAGGTCTACTCTCCAATGATGGCTTATGCTCCAGTTCGGCACCATTGTAGGCCACGATGCTCTCTTGCGAACTTAGTTCATGCTGCAGTTTCGAATGCTCAGTTCTGTCTACCGAGACGGAGAGCTTGAGTTCATGCTCAACACCAGTACCCGAATCTGTGCTCTGGGACATGATATCGTCCAAAAGGCCGCTTTCATGACGTTCATGCCCCGTAGGCGTCGAGACCGAGGTCGAAGAGTGCGAACTCAACGTATGTAGGCTTTTCTTAGAAGTTGAGATGGCTTGGGAAACACGTAAAGCAGAATTCTCTATGACATCGAGGATCAGTTTTCGTTGCTCGTCGCGTCCGATCTGCGAGTTGGGCAAGTTGAAGAAGCAGGAAACGTCTTTAGAACCAAGTTCGAACGACTGTAGTGCGTCGACATCACCTTCGGATAGTAGTCTCTTTATCTCGAGCAGATCATATTTCAATCCAGAGCTCGATTGGTAGCGAGAGCCCATTTTCTTCTGTGTCATCCTCTGTATGACATTCGAGATGATTTGGGGCACATCAGTGCGTATGCTATCGACTGCAGGAACCCGACGAGATAGCAGGTTCTGCATAATCTCCAGAGGATTACCTCCACGATAAGCGGGCACGCCAGTCAGCATGGTCCAGAACAGAATGCCGAGCGAGTATATGTCAGTCCTTGTATCGGGTTCAGCAGGCATGCGACCAGTTTGCTCCGGGGCTATGAATTGGAGACGGGTCTCCACACCAGCTTCAGAGGTTAGCGAACTCCAACCAGCAGATGTTAGGCCGTTCTCGAAAGAGCGAGCACCAGAACCGAAGTTTATCAAGCGCACGGTTCGACTCTCTTTGCTAAAGTGGAAGGCATCGCCGCGAAGCTCTCCATGGACCAACTCTCTGCTGTGATGCAGGATCTCACAACATTCAGTGGCGCCAATAGCGAAGTCGAGGAAGAGGCCAACGGGCAGAGGTTCGGAGAGAGGGAGATGATCAGGTTCATGATGTGCGTGCGGACTGATTGGCGAGGTAGGCAGCTCGGGTTGACGTAGATTTGGACCAAACTCAACCAGCTCTTTCATGTAGTCGCCGCCACTGTCGGGGGCTCGCGCAATGAAAGCAACAAGAGTGACTTCTCCAGGCTGGCGCGCTGGGAGTCTGCGAAACTCGACAGGGTCGATGAAATGTAGACATTCCGGATCATCTTCTGCTTTCAGCCTCTTTGCCAGGCCAAACTCGCGCTCCAGACGGGTCGTGTGGCGGGAGATGCGCGCGACGACATCGTAGCCCTGTTGTGCATCGGACACGCTCCGTTCGCTCTCTTTATCTCTGTTCTTCTCTAACGTTTCGCGGTCCTTTCGGCGATCCTTGCTGGTGGATCTACTAGAGGGTTTGCTCGACTTGCGATCGATGGGTTGCGAAGCACGGCGGTATCCATGAACGTGCCAGTTATCATAGGACTGTACTCCGAGTCAGCAAGCTGGCGCGTCTCTTCAACAAAGCAATGTCATACAGAGTGGAAAGGAGCGATATTGTCAACCCAGTCATAGGCAGGAGCCTCGGTTCGTAGTCTCTCGAACAGGCGGGCGACCAGAAACTGCGTGTCCAGGTCGGCCTTGACTCTGGCCTCCATCATGTTCAAGGGGTCTGTCTTCTCTGGCCTGATTGTGGCCGTCGTAACCGTCTATGCACGCATGGAAGGAGTCAAGGATTGGAGGTCTACGAGTGGCAATGGACTAGATCAAGTCGTGACTGGCAGGAGCACTCTGTTTGACAAGCAGGACGACCGACAACCAAGTTTGACAATGCGACAAGTCGACCATCTGTCTCCACAAGGCTGTTCAAAACCGCCCTTTACGTAGCCGCCGCTTGAGCCAACTCATCCAAAGCTTATGTGCATTCCGATCTCAAGCCATTCCTGTTTGGTGCTATATAGCTGTCTGTCATATTGATTTCACCAACACTCTTCTGCTCTTCCGTGCCTCTATTTAGACAGTCGTCCGGTGCTGTTATGACTGCCCTCCATCAAGACATGAAAGACTCTAGAGCTTGAGCCAGCGCGGCAGCTTTAGAGTGATGCCGCCATAGATCGTCACTGTGCCTTGGCTGAAAGACCGTGCTTATAATGAGCTCCTCCGCGTCTTGTTTCCAAGCCAATAACTGTGCCGCTCGTTCTCGCTCTAACCTGACCCCTGGCCTGCTTCAGCTGATGCGAACCCATCTTGGGTCGCAGAGTGATTTCCTCATAGTCGGGTTCGAAAAACCGTCCCCTTTCCCTGCATATCTGCTGATCTTGGCTTGACAACTGCAAAAAAAATACGCCGAAACCCATGGAAATGACGCAACTCAAAATTATCAACGAACTTTGACACGGGAAGGACCAAAATACTCAGAAATCGAACAGACTTTGTCATTATTACTACAATCGTACAGTGTTTACTAGTATCTTGAGGATCGTGATAGAGAGGGGGAAATTCTAAAGGAACATGAACATGGCGGCACCAAGTGCTGCGACAAGAGCCAAGGAGCTCTGTGCGCCAACAACGTCCTTGCTCTTGAATGCAGATGCTCCACTCTTGCCAGTCTTGTTGGCAGAGCCAGTGGCAGAGGCGTTGGTGGCAGTCGGACTGTCGCCAAGGCCCAGGGGCAGTCCCTGGTACCCAAAGGTCAGGTTCTGGGCAATCGACTGGTTGTAGCACTGTCCGTTGGCAATGTCGAGACCGCTAAGATCATCGGGGTTCAAGAAGAACATGTACTTCTCCTGGTTGAGATCCTTGAAACCGCTGGTGTCGTAAGGGAATCTGTCACCAGAGTCTGTAGCGGTAGTGTTGCGCAGGAAGATGCACTGCACTTGATCGGGATAGGTGGTAGCCATCAGGGGGTAATCCTTCATAACATCGCTGTTTGAGGTATCGGCAACAAGGATGAACTTTCTCTCAGGGAAGGTCTCAAAGATCTTGGTCAAGAGGAACTTGCGGATGGAAAGAGTGGCAGAGACGTCGGAGAAGTTAAGAGGGCGGGTATCGAATGAACCACCGGGGTAGTGGGAGTAGGTGAAGTTCATGTAAGCTCTGGTAACTTGCTCGGGGGTAGTTGTCAGGTAGTGGAAGTGCATGTTGGGCAGGCTCTTGCTCCAGTTGGCGTAGATGTCGGGCATGTTCTCCCAGGGGACGTACTCCTTCGCGAAGGAGTTGAGCAGACCTTGAGAAGGCTCGTAGATTTTTGTCACGCGTAAAATGTCATCAATATCCGAAACGACAGTGAGTCCTGTGGTAGGTACAAGGTATGCAGTCGAGTTGCCGATAGATGCGCCCTCGACGTGTGTGTTCAAACGCTGGACCTGATCGGTCTCGTTTCCGTTCATGAGACCATTGCCGTTAATAGGGACAAAGACATCAAAGTCGCCCTCGACGGTGGTGTTGTAGGGAAGAGTGATGGTCTGGTTTCCGCCGCTAGGAGTGACGGCACCACCACCACCTGGCTCGCCCGAAGAGCCTTGCGACGCAGCAGGGTCGAGGTGAATAGGTGCAACGGCTACGTCTCCTTGCTGGATGACGAAGATGGAGGCGGTCACATTACGGGCTCTGTCAGCCTGATCCTGAGGAAGATCCTCAACCGAGGTGTCAACGAGGAAGATGTTGGCCAGGCGGTTGAGGTCGGCGGTAGAGGTGTTGGGCTGCTTGTAGACGTTTCCGTGGAATCTCACGTTCCAGCCAGACTCGGTCCAGTTGGCGTAGGGGTCAAGGTTGAGGACCTGGGTGGGCAGTGCAGAGACCTGGGCGTCGTTGAGACCGAGTGACGAGACAACAGCGTCTCCAGTAGGGAAGCCCTGGAAGAAGTTGGGAACGCCGGATGCGACCCATGAAGGAAGGTCTGAGCCAAGTCCACCGAGAACCGAACCAATGTCCGACTTGACGTCGCCAATGAGATCACGACGGAGCTGCTCAGTGCGTGACGGGGAGTTCTCGACGGGCGAGCCGGTGACCTGAGCTGCCAGAGGCTCAGCTTGGAAGACGCGACGAGGTGTTGGTGCCGGCGAAGCACTTGCGACGCTGTATAGCGATGCTTGGAGCAGGGCTCCGTAAGCCAAAGAAGAACGCATGGTTGCCGCGGACGCTAATGAAGCTTGGCCTTGCTTGTGTTCAGGGCGGACGCGTCGACGAAAAGGCTGTATGTAGGAGAAGCGACAGTAGGTTTGTAAGTATAAGCAGTCGAAAACCGTTCAGACAGACACACGACAAGAGCCAGGAGCTGAAGCGACGATCCAAAAAGGCTGGAAGTTGGCGTTTTGGCGTTGTATATCCTTATAAACAAGCCCCCTCAGCCCGCCCCGTAAGATAATCAGGGATTTGCCCCGAGCCGGATGACGTTGAGCAGATTTCGCACATCACCACCAACAAAACCTGTGCGTCCCGTGCCCGCGGAGGGAGCAGCCTGTTTGGCATCGAGAATCTTGAATTGTGGAATCTGAAACTTGGATCGAGCGGATGTCGGCTACTTTGCTACTTTCTACAGATCTAAAGACGTTGTCGTCCTTGTGCATCGTCAAGATGATGTACTCACTGTACATAATTACTCCGACCGACAAAGGAACCTTGCAGACAGATCTAGACTGCATGACACGTGCTATAGAAAGATACAACCCCTTTCACTCCTTCGTGTTCATGAAGAGCGCAAACTAGGTACGCCTTCTCACCAGAAGAACGCCTAGAACTTGCAGAGAAAAGGATGCTCTAGGCAGCATCGAGATGAGAGCCTCAGGGGGCGGCGCGCAAAGTGCCAAGCGAAAATCCTCCCGACTGTACTGCTGCCTGCAAGTAAACGCGTATACCAAAACCCGGGCATCTCTTCCGAAGAATTGAATATTCCACAACAAAACAGCATGGCACTCCCACCGGTGACGATTTTCGAGCCTGGCAAGCATGACCATCTCATACCTGCTCTTGCATTCATCCACGAAGCAGTCGTTGAAACAGACTATACTCTAGCAACATTCCAACCTCCATTTCAACACAAAGATCCCGAGACCCCTGATCCAAGAGTTCTCGAGTACTGGAAGAACAATGTTGCTAGAGCTGCTGAAGACACCAAAGTCATTTTGATGCAGATGGCAGTTTCCGAGAGTGGTCAAGAGGAACTGGCAGGTTATGTCGTTCTCGCGAGCCAGGCTGCTGAGACTGGACCGTTCAGAGGCAGTGTGGAGAAGCTTCTGGTCAGTCCACGGTACAGGAGAAGAGGCATAGCAAGACGTCTCATGTCCAAGCTGGAGGAGGTGGCACGAGTGAGAGGAACTACGTTGCTAGTAAGAAACTGATGAGTGCTTTTCGATGGTCTAGCTAAAACTGACTACGCACAAGACTCTCGATACCGAGGCTGGCAGTCCTGCAAAGGGCATCTACCCTCGACTTGGATACACTCGGCTCGGCGAAATCCCGAGATATGGTGTGTCTCCCAAGGATGGGAGATTGGTTGATGAGGTCTTCTTTTACAAGGACCTCAGATCGACGTGATGTTTGGTCGATATTTAAGGGGTCGGAGAATCCGGATGCTGAAAGGCGGAGATATGGTCATCCAAAGATAAATGTACAAAGGGTTCTCTCGGAGAAAAGGAGCGAATCATTACGACTTGGTGATGGTGACCTTGCCATCGCCTTCCACTGTTGCATAGCTCAGCTTAGTCGGTGCAACTGGTGCTGAAGGAGACGAGTCGGTGCTGGCAGGTGTGGCAGGTTTGCCAGCCTGGAGCACGCCTGCGGGGGTGTCTGCGGCCTCATTGACATCGCGAGCAGTAAAAGCATCGGACAGCTTTGCGCCTCTGGATTGCACAAGGATGTTGGCAGGTCCCTGGAAGCGAAGGAACATTCTGTCTCCCCATATTGAGCGACGGGCCCAGGTGCGAATGGTGAACAAAGTGTTGGCGACGGTGCGCCAGACAGTCGATTGACGGACGACCTTGAAGAACCTGGTGTCGGGCAGGTAGGAGAAGGCGTTGGGGATCTGCAGGCGCAAGTTGGAAGACTTGAAGCGGTAGGGCTGAGGAGCGTGTTGCATGATACTATAAGCAATGACATTGCTGGGGTGGACAATGTACTCCTCGCCAGACTTGAGGGCAAGCTGGTAGACCTGGCCCTTGCCCGACAAGCATAGAAGTCCACGGCCAGTAACGCGAGAACTTCCCCAGTGGGCGAGACTCAAGGAAGTGTTGATCTGAGGCTTGATGGAAAGGGTGTGACCGGTCCAGGCAAGAAGAGCGTTCCTCTGAGCGATCATCCAGTCGAGGCGACCATCAAGGTGAATAACAGAGAAGGTGGTGAGAGGAGACTTGGACGAGATCAAGGCTGTGTAGGGAGCGGTCGAGGTGACTTTTTGGTAGAGGAAAGGAATGCCAAATGCGGCACGGCGGAAGGGTTCGAGGACGGAGAGCGAGGACACGGTCTAAGATTGATCATGAGTATTGGTGGACAGGCTGAAGTAGGGCAAGGGTGCTCACGCTCTCAGCATTGCCGTGGAAGCCAAGCAGCGAGCCCTTGCGGGTATAAAGGTTCTGCGAAGCCGAGATGGAGGCCGAGAGAAGAGAAAAAGGGCTGCCCAAGACCTCGAATTGGGCATCTGCATGATTGTGTCAGAAAAGCGAGAGGCAGGTATGCGCAACGAAGAGTAGGATACCAGGAGCAGTGCTGTCTGCGGCAGCAGAGGCGACGGTGGGATTGGTCGACGACGGGGTGGCCGCAATCTGGACGAAGCGTCGCGGCGGCAGGCCCAAGGCACGGTATGGGCGACTGCGACCGAGCAGTTGTTGCGCACGGTAGCGCATTGCAGAGGACATTGCGCGACGGGCGATGATGAAAAGTACTAGAACTGCCTACCTATAAGCTCTCTACACTCTCACGCAGCTGCCAGTCCGGCGACGCGCGCGTGCGCTGTTCCCGAAGCCGAGCAGCAAAGTGACGTGCTTCCCGTCCTCGGAGAGTCATGAAGCCTCCGTGCCAAAATGCTTCCATCCCACCTTCTTCGTCTCTAGCAATCCATTGTCCTTCTTGTTCGTCGCCAGGGCACTCTGTCTGCCTGTGTTTGCTTCGTCTCGGCGACCAGCCCTGTTTGTCTTGCCGACCTGTATCCTGCTTGCATCACTCCTTCTCCATACGAGAAGCTGGCCATCATGGTGTTTTGAGCTCTCGAGCATAGAATCCTTACCCAACTTATCCTCGCATATCGCCCTACATCATGTCCGCCACCTATGCCCCGAGGGGCCTCTATTCCTGCCATAGACTGGCCCGTCCTTCTCTCGCCTTCTCCCGTATCTCGACCTGCCAACAAAGTATCCGTCCCACCGTTCGCGTCTTCACTACCTCACCATGGCGCTGCAAGGACGATACTCGCCTGAAACCTGTCACGCCAGAGACCAAGGTTGCAGCTGCAGAGCCTACCAAGACTCCCGCTGTGAAGAAAGAGATGGCTGTCGATCCCCTCCTAGCAGAACAAACCGTTTCCAACAAGGAACAGCGCAAGGCCGATTGGGCCATCATCAAAGACATGGCCCACTATCTATGGCCCAAAGATGATTTCGGTACTCGTTTTAGAGTCGGTCTGTCTGTTGCTCTCCTTGTAGGCGCAAAGGTAATTGATCATCTTCCTCATGTCGTGGGCTGTCGCGTTAATGGCATCCAAGGTTCTGAACGTTCAAGTTCCCTTCTATTTCAAGTCCATTGTAGATTCTATGAACATAGATTTTGCTGCTGTTGGTGGCACCGCTGTCACCGTTGCCGGTGCTACTATTTTCGCATGTAAGACCGTGCCCCTCCCTTGTTGTTTCTTCTCCTAATCCTCCCTCAGACGGTGCCACAAGGATAGGTGCTGCTGTATTTCAGGAGATCCGTAACGCCGTCTTCGCAAGTGTTGCACAAAAGGCTATTCGCCGTGTCGCTGCCACTGTATTCGACCATCTGCTAAAGCTGGATCTGAACTTCCATCTATCGAGACAGACTGGTGGTCTGACAAGAGCTATCGATCGAGGAACAAAAGGTATTAGTTTCCTTTTGCAGTCCATGGTCTTCCATATCATCCCTACAGCCCTCGAAATCTCGTTGGTCTGCGGTATCCTTGTAAGCTTGTTCTCTGGTTCCATTGGCGTGCACCTCTCACATTCTTCAGACATGGCAATATGGCTTCAAGTTCGCTCTCATCACAGCCGCGACCATGGTCGGATACTCCGCATTCACCATCCTCACGACATCATGGAGGACCAAATTCCGCAAGGCTGCCAACGCCGCTGACAACAAGGGTGCCACCGTTGCAGTGGACTCCCTGATCAACTACGAGACTGTCAAGGTTGGTCCATTTTAGTACTCGTTCGAGACCCTATCTGACCCTCTCTAGTACTTCAACAACGAGCGCTATGAAGTGGGCCGATATGACGCCGCTCTCAAGAACTACCAGGATGCGTCTATCAAAGTCGCCACGTCGCTGGCCTTCCTTAACAGCGGACAAAACTTGATCTTCTCTAGCGCCCTGACTGCCATGATGTACTACGGCGCTGATGGTGTCGCAACTGGTCAATTGACTGTCGGTGATCTTGTCATGATCAACCAGCTGGTCTTCCAGCTTTCGGTGCCTCTCAACTTCCTCGGCTCCGTTTATCGTGAACTCAGACAGAGTCTACTTGACATGGAGACATTGTTCAATCTTCAGAAGGTCAACGTGGCCATCAAGGAGCCCGAAAACGCCAAGCCTCTACAGCTAGCAGGTGGCGGTATCAAATTCGAGAACGTCTCGTTTGGTTACCGCCCTGACAGACCAATTTTGCGCAACCTCAACCTTGAGATTCCTGCTGGCAAGAAGATTGCCATCGTCGGCCCCAGTGGATGTGGTAAATCTACCATCCTTCGTCTACTGTTCCGCTCCTACGATGTTCAAGGCGGCAGAATCTTGATTGACGGACAGGATATCCGCGACGTCCAAATCGAGAGTCTTCGCAAGGCCATTGGCGTTGTCCCTCAGGACACACCCCTGTTCAACGACACCATTGAGCACAACCTCAAGTACGGTGATCTTGAGGCTTCTCCCGAGAAGGTCGAAGCGGCTGCCAAGCGTGCAAAGGTTCACGACATTATCCAAAAGTTCCCCGACAAGTACGCCACGATGGTTGGCGAGCGTGGTATGATGATCTCTGGAGGCGAGAAGCAACGTTTGGCTATTGCACGTCTGCTTTTGAAAGATCCACCATTCCTCTTCTTCGATGAAGCAACCTCGGCCCTCGACACACATACAGAGCAAGCACTTCTGGGAAATATCAACAGCATTCTTAAGGAGAAAGCACGAACCAGTATCTTTGTCGCTCACAGACTTCGCACTATCTACGATTCGGATATCATCATCGTCTTGAAGGATGGTGTCGTAGCGGAGCAAGGTACACACGAACGTCTTGTTGATAGTGGAGGTGTATACTCTGAGTTATGGAGTGCACAGGAGATGCTTTTCATTGACGAAGAGCAAGAGAAGTCTGAAGAGAAGAAGAAGCAGGACAAGAAGAAGCTGTAGATCTACTCATGAGGACCTACGATGCTACGTCCATGTACATATTGTAAACTAGATGCCTGAAAATGCCACATCAATGTGATCTTCAAGATTGCCTAGTTTTCGATCGGGCGAAATCCTTCGACTCCAAGCATGCTAAAGTTTGTCACCACGATGCGCTTGCCCACCCCTGGAAATGTGACAAACTTCATCCACCGAATGATGCTTGGCGAGCGAAGCGCATGACCATCGCCTTGCCGCCATGTCCATCCGAGGATCAATATGAAGGAAATGCTCTTCCTTCGTCCTTGCCTAATGACACGATGCTCCGGTCATGGAAGCCAACCCTCCATCTTATGGACAAGCCACCACAGTGAACGCGTGGGATCTCGTGGCCGATTATATCCCTTCCTCTGACCTCTGCTCTGCCGCCCTGGTCTGCCAGCAATGGCACGCAACATTCGCTCCCCATCTTTGGGGCAACCCTGCCTCTCATTTTGGCGATGAAAATGACAGGGTATATGGTGAGTAGCTTGAAAACACCCGAGAGTTTGAGATAACTCGCGATATCGTTTCGGCATGTATTGATGGACTGACATGTGTCCATACAGTCGCTCTGACTCGATTCATCCGTACACTTCCTTGGGCTAGACGTAGCGTTCGATCCTTGACACATACGCTCCATCTTCCTCCAGCGCATGCTGAAATCTACAACGGCCCACATGCAGACTGGCTGAGGGAGGTGCTTGAAGGTCTTCCAAATCTGCAATCGTTGATTGTTCGCGGTTTGCCTTTCTTCGATCATGCAGCTCTTAACGCTCTCCGGTATACTCGACTGTCCGGTAACAGAAACCAACTGGGCCCTGCTCAGACTCCGTTCGGCTTACGATTGCTGGACGCGTCTCGTTGTAGCAACGTGACTGCGACAGGTCTGCAGCAAGCCCTCAGACGCTTCGACTCTTTACTCTATCTCGACCTTTCTTGGACTTATCCTGCCAAAAGTCCTGAAGTCCTTCGAAGCCTTAGCCAGTTTCGGGGTCTACAGGTTCTAAAGCTCCGAGGTATCTCGCTTAAAGACGACGATGTGCTCATACTGGCAAACGCGATCAAAACCCGAGTCCGGAGCTTGGATCTTCGGGACAATCAATTGACTGATCGGAGTGTGCGTGTCTTACTCGATCAGTGCTTTACTCCACCCCCACGAAGGGACAACAATGGTCGAGTCATGTCTCCGTCGTTACTGCCCTATCTAGGTGCTGAGATGCTAGCCATTTATCGAGGAGTCAACTTCGAAGCCTTCCTGAGGAATGAATTTACAGGCAAATTCGTCGGTCGTTTGGCTATCGAGGAAGCTCCGGAGAGTGGCACCACCCATCTCTACCTCTCGGACAATCAGCTTACTGTTGAAGGGCTCTCTGGACTAATTAGATCAGGGAGGTTGCACGTACTCGATGTCGGGAGTCTTTTGCCTGCGATGGCTTCACAAGATGGCTCATTCAAAATGGACTTTCCCAGTCTAGCCAAGCTGGCTCCAGTCTTAGCTGAGTCGGCAAGCCACAGTCTAACACATCTGAGGATCGACCACAGTCTGGTGACTGGAGAGTCGCCAACGATGCAAGAAATTGCGAAAGAGCCGATACCTGGATATTGCGAGCTTGCAGACACCTCTGACTACCCAACTGGAGTTGCTGAGCTGGACCACGATACAGGAGTCTGTGAGATGATGGGTGACACCTCTTTTCCGATTGAGATCTCTGGTGACGCTATTCACGGTGCGGCGGTACCTATAGACGTCGAGAAGCCCACAAAACACACACAGCAAGCACGAAGAAGGAGCCAAGAGCTTCCGATACCTACCCGAATAGAAGGAGCAAATGAAGATGGTCTACATGTGACCCTGCTTGAGGAAGAAAACAATGTGTCAAGGACTCTGACACCAAACTCAAGCCTTGCTACCCGCGGTCTTGGTCGTAGCTACTCGTCTGTTGTCAAAGAACGCAAGAGTCGATTACAGTCATGCCTGATACAGGGCAAGGGCTTCCAACCGGGTCTCCTGCCTCATCTGACCACCTTAGTCCTGACTGAAGTCCCGCCGTCCTCACCAACCCTAGACACGCCGAACAAACTGATCTCATTCGTACAGACCTGCGCCGAAGAGACAACTCTAGCAAAACTACAAGCACAACTAGACTGGACGCTTCCACCCGGCCGCAGAACAAGTTCCTCGTACCAGAAGGAGCTCGTACGCAGATCATTTGCTCTCGAGCAGCTCATCCTCGAAGTCGCACCCTGCAGTCTCGCTGAGAAAAAGGCAGAAGCAGCAAGCGCATGGAGACACCGTGGCACAAAATCCGTAACTCAAGATCAAGACAGTGAGGCCTTGTGGGCAGCCTCTCAAACCGACTTTTCCTTTTTCGGCGAGGGCGAGACAAACAGTCTAGATACATATCTCGAATCACATGTACCACTCAAAATCATGTCTGGCATGGAGGTTTATGTCGGCCATGGTCCATCTACATCATCCAACCATCCACCCAAGAATCACATCAACGAAACATCGTCGGCGCCCCAAGTCGATGTCATAGCTGAACTCTCCAAGTTTCGAAAGGCGACTAAGTCTGCATATCAACAACGACAACAACAGGGAGAGAAAGAAGTCGACGTGCCGGGCTATTGGGATGGCAATATCAAAGTTGTCAGAGGGGTCAAAAATACGGATCCTAGGTCTGAGGACGATGAGGTGTGGGCTGATTACTACGGGAACCGGTTTTCGAATGGTTATCTGTATCGTTGATGTTTTGCGTCATGTTGTTTTTTTCGGAAGCGAGTTGGGTTGGATTTTTCTTTGTAGTTCTCTACGCCATCTTTCCACCCAGCATTTCTGCTCGGGCTTGCTGCGTGCAGAATGCCAGTGTCGTTGTCCAAAGGTGAATCGTTTCTTTGGACGATCTCATGTGTTGAATCAACATTGAATCATACCTCTCGTGAACAAAGTATACCGTGCTGCTTCCCTTGTTGTACAGTGTGTACAACCAGACTGAGACGTCTTCTTGCATTCTTGTGTAGAGCGGGATCTATTATTCATCGGGTTTACAATAAAGACACATTTCGAGAGTGGTGGAGAATGCATGTCTATCACGTCGAACAATGGACAGATTGGAAGTATTTGGGTTTGTGTAAAGGTCGTAGGTCTGGTTGCCAAAGGACACATGTACAATGACGATCATAAAATTTAACAATGAGCAGCCCCTCCGAGAGCCACGAGGATCAAGAGGTTCTGCTGTCCTGCAATCGAGAGAAGGAAGAAACGAAGGGGGAAAAAAAGGCCAGCTCCGAGAATCGTGTGAGAAGAAGAAAATAAAGGAGAGACAAGAAAGGAAAAAAAGAAACAATGCTCGTGATGCATGGAAAGAAGAAAAGGGTCCAGAAAAACGTGCAACGCATGCATGGCAAGCATCAAAGAAAAGCAAGACGAAAAACTCCAATTGCACTTTTGAGAGGAAGCACAAACACCCAAAACCCGAAGGGCGATACCATGGACAAGTCAGAGCACCAACATAAAATCATCCTGTAGCAAAAGAAAAGAGTCGGACAAGCGAAAAAGAGACGGCTCATCGCACACTCCTACTCATCAACTCCTTGACCTTGACCGCAGTGCCACGCTTCGAGGACGACGACACGGTACTGTGTTGCCATGACCCAGTGCTGCCTGTAGGGCTACCAGGCGATGATTCAGCAAAGATGTATTCGCCGTCGACGTAGCGGGCGCCGGTTGTGAAGGTTGTGCGTTTGTCTCTGCGGGCGTAGCGTTGTTCGAGACGGTAGAGTTCGACTTTTGCGCGGATGGTATCCATGAAGCCCATGTTTGCTGTTGTGTGAGGGAGTGTGTTTCTCTTGTTGTGGGGTTTGTAGCGAGAGTTGGTGGTGGGTTGGTAGGGTTGTCGATGCGGTGGTCGATGTAGTTGACTTGGACGGAATATGTCTTGTTGGGTTTGGGCCTGGGGTTTTGATGTCGAGTTGTTGTTTAAGGCAAGATGTTGTCGTAAAGAGGATCAAGCAGGGCACATGTGCAAGGTTGCTATGACAAGGCCAATGGTGAAACGAGTGACGGGCAATGCAGCAAAAGATCCAGGGACCGTAGAGTGGTCTGTTTCAGATTGGTCGGACGTAAAAGAGAGTTAGATGCGAACTGTATGCAGGAAAAGAGAGATTTGGGAAAGACAGAAAGAAGGCACGAGGAAGGGGAAAGAGCAAAGAGGACATGGCATAAAGGGTTCAACCTTTGATCGTCGCTGGTCCAGATAGGGCTATGGTCCGTCTCCACCCGCTTGGGCCTTTTGATGCGCAGAGCGAGCTTTGCTTCTCGCCAACGAGTCAGCCGAAGTCAGCTCAAACGAGGGGTTTCACCCGGCCACGTGTGGGGCATGTGTCCTTCTGCCGTCCTTCTTTTTTGTTCCGACATGTTTGACATGTCATTCTGCGTCGTTTAACAGCAGAGTTCTAGATCCCTAGATTTCTCTCGCATCCTTTAGACCTTACTCTGGCTGCAATTGCTGCATCCTTGAGCAAAACCTCGGTCAGAGTCTTGGCAAGCCACCAGGAGAGAGCACTTTGTTACCAACGTTTCAACGGCGCGTGAAACATCCGGCATCGTTATCAGTTATCGCCTACTGCCGACATATCTGCCATTCGAGTGCTTTTTTATGACACTGCAATGTTTAGAAATGTATTGATTGTAATGTCTGTCGATTACCTTGCTCATGGAAGCCCAACCCGCACATGCCTTTGAACTTCTACCTCTACGCCGAATGCATCAAGGAAAATCTTTCGAATCCTTCTTCCCACTCTCTATGCGCCGCGAGGCTCGGGAACACTTCCCTCTACTACAGCAACTGGTCCAACATTGGGTGCATCAACAGAGCCGTTGAGCATAGCAACGGCCGAGATGACATCCGATGGCTCAAGCAAGTGCCAGCTGGCAAGAGTCTGCTTTGAGCTTGCGCCCACCGTGACTGAGAAGACGTGCTCCTTGGGCAGTCTCGAGTTGCTGAGAGATCTGAACATATCTGCAAAAGTTGATGTTAGCTTTCATGTTATACTCCGGACGATGTAAGTTATTCATACCTTCATCAGTAAAGTCATCTCCCAGACACAGGACAAACTCAGGTGCCTGGCCCTTCTCGTGACCGTACGCTTCGACCAGACGCTTGGCGATTTCACCCTTGTTGACGAACTTGGGGCGGACCTCTAAGTTAGCCTTGCCTGGCATGACCTCGACATCAAACTCCTTAGCGACAGTATTCTCCAACAGCTTACGGCATTCATTAGCCTGGTGCACGCCCCAGTCTGGGTCTGCACGACGGTAATGCCAGGTCAGAGCAATCTTCTTGCGTTCGATGAAACTGCCTTGAGTGCGCTCGGTGTAGTGCTGGAAGGTGTCGATGACCTTTTGTTGCCAAGACATATCCTCCTTCTCGGTCAAGTTCTCCCAGTGCTCGCTCTTGGGCTTACGTAGGAAACTACCGTGCTCGGCACTGAGACCGAGTTCCGAGATGTGACCCATCCACTCGTCCAGGAAAGCCTGATCACGGCCACTGATGATCCAGACAGCGTTGCGAGGATCGGAGGCCAGCGTCTTGAGAGTACGAATGACACGATCGGAGGGAATAGCTGCTTGAGGATCCTTTACAATCGGGGTCAAGGTACCATCGTAGTCAAACATGAACAAGCGCTTCTCCGACTGGCGGTACTGAGTGAGGAGCTTGGTCTTATCCAAGGCAGGCGTGGCAATTGCTTGGTTGAACGAGGTGAGGTTGGTAAGCAAACGCTTGACGTAGTTATTTGTCCATGTCTGCACAGTGTTGGTTGTGACGCTTCTGTACAACTTCTTGTGCATTTGGTATTTTTGCCTGGGGTCCATGACCAAGGCTTGGTGAATCTCGTCTGCGGTGCCTCCCAGATCCCAGGGGTTGATGTGGGTGGCATTGCCCAAGCTGCCAGCGGTTCCAGAGAACTCGGAGATGATCAGGGGTCCGTGGTTGTCCTTTTGGCAGATGACATATTCGAGAGCAGTAGTGTTCATACCATCACGGACACTCGTGATCAGTCCAACATCGGCGATGCGGAGGAGCGCAAAGTACTCTTCTCTCGACAGGTATTGAGGATAATGCTGAACGGGGGTGAAGCTCAAAGATCCGTAAGTGCCGTTGATTCTTGCAACCAAGTCGGAGATCTTGTTGGCGGTCCTATCCGTACCTTCTTCCTTGTCTTCGACACTTGTGGGACTAGTCACCTGGATCAGGACAACCTTATCGTGCCACTCGGGGTGGCGCTCCAAGAAGATCTCGTAGGCTTGCAATTTCTGAGCAACACCACGAACAGAGTCCAGACGATCACGACCAACAATGATCTTCTTACCGGCATACAACTCTCTAATGCCGGCAATCTTCTCGTCGACCGCAGCATCATTGAATGCCATTTCGTGAGTCTTGGCTGCGTTGATACCAATTGGAAGCACTTCAACAGCAACGTGGGCTCCGTAGGCGTCGACTCCATTTGCTGAAGAATCGAACCCAAGGACTCTTGTACAGCAGGAAGAAAAGTGACGAGAGTAGCTGAAGGCTTGGAAGCCGACCATATTGGCTCCAAGAACACCCTCGAGAATATCCTTTCTTCTGCTCAAGCAGCGGTAGAACTCGCTACTTGGGAATGGCACGTGAAGGTAGAAACCGATATAGATGTTAGGTATACGTTGGCGGAGAAGGCCTGGGAGCAAAAGCAAGTGGTAGTCGTGGATCAGTACAATGTCTCCGGGCTTGTATGTCGAGAGGATGGTGTCAGCGAAAGCCTTGTTCAAGCGGAAGTAATCGGCCCAGGCTTTACGAATGGAGCGACCATCAGTGGGCTCGTTCTGCTTGTAGTGGAACAGAGTGTAGAGCTCGTGCTCCGCATAACGGCGCCATCTGGCTTGGTCCTTCATGACAGCAACATCGCCATCCATCTCATCGGCCAGCCATACAGGGATGGTTCTGCCTTGCGGATCACGGTCGAGGATTCTCTCCAGTTTCTGGCGATCGTCCTTGCTAATCCGCATACCTTCGGTTGAGCCAGGTTCGGGTGCAGGAACATTCGAATCCACAGGAATGGGCGCGGAGGCCTTGTTGAGAGGTGCTACGTTCATCGAGGACACGTTGTTTTCGTCCATGAAAACGCCATTGCGAGTCTTTGGCTGAATTTCTCCAGTCCAGCCCACAAGGGTGTGGTTCCAGGGAGAATCGTGCGATGACAGATGAGCAAACGAGTCGAACAGTGCAGATGTGCCTCTGCGACTCTGGAGGTCCCAATCCGATCCTGAAGCATAGCCGATCTTGTGAGGTACAGTAAAGAAGGCGCTGATGACTTGGCCGCTGAGGTTCAAGCTCGGGTGAGCGGCCTTGGGGTCGGCATCAGCTTGGTCAGTGGTTTGCTGATGTCCCTTCAGACTTAGGCGACGAAGCACGTCTTCTCCAGCACCATCGTTCTGATCTTCAGTCAAGTCAGTTCAGTCCCAATCAGACACTAATCACGTTCTCAATACCTTCAGGGGTGTCGACCTCAGGCGAAGAGATCTTATGGTGTTGAAAGAAAGAGGTGCGGCCAGTAACATCCACAGCCGGGGTGACAGGAATCTCGGTGTTCTTGGGATCAAAGACAGGGTTGATCGAGCCAAGTCGAGGGTTTGGAGGACGGTTAGCCATTACTTCCTGATGGCAGGAGGTTGATAATGACTGGACAGTTGGTCAGCATGCCTCATCGTGACTTTCGCATGGTGAATGTTGAGCATGCGTGTTGCTTCTGACAGTGCTGCACCGAGTGATCGTGGGGGTATTCAGCTTGTTGTAGCTGTGTAAAGGCTTCAAGAAACCAGGGCGCAGGTCCCCGCTACCAATAGGGGAGTGGCATGGAGAGAGGCTGTACATACCACTGGTGCTATCAGGTGTTGAGATCACACTTCAAGCTGTTTTCTGTCGTCTGCGCCGGCGTTTTCGAAGGAGCTGTATAGTTGCGGGATATCTCAAAGTCAAAATTGCATCGATTGGCCCATACTATTGATGATTTTATCGTGTAAGTGAACAGGTTTTGTCAACACCAGATTAGAAGATTCTACAAGTACCTGGCGCATGTGACGTCGAGCCCAACGCGTGAGAGGGCGTGCGCACCGACGTTTGTCCCGCTCGGATTGGTTGGCTGCTCAACAAACAAGTTGGCAGTCATCCTGTCGTAATGAAACACTGCTCTCACTTTCTGACCGGGCTATTTTCAGGTGGAGAGCATAGTTGTTGAGTCTAGCTCTGGCTGCCTTGATAGAGATCAAGTTTGCTTCGTCGTATTCGAGTAGGCTTGCTATATTACTTCAAAAGCCAAATACTTCATCAAAACATATGCTTGCATCTTCTACAAGTGGCTAGCACAAGGGCCAGCAGGTTCCGGCTCCGATGAAATGTGTTTCGTCTGCTTGTAGCTCTACGGTCGTCTCTCCGTTTGGAGGCTCATCGGACCAAGTCTCAAACACTTTCTGTGCTCGATAGCTTAAATGGACATCACTCCGTCCCAAAGAATCAGGCTTGTGCCCCTGTCAATCTATTCCCTTTTGAAAAGCACTGGATAGTGGCCGCGGGTCAAGGATAACCTGCAGGGTACACACCCAGCCTTGCTACCTCCCCGTGTGCTAAAGTTCGTAATCCGTACACTTCTCCCACAGAGTTATAAAGCATGATCTCCCCTGTAGAGATACACGATTGTTTCCGAAGTAGACACGCATCCAAAGAGATTTGATAGATACTCGCCGTTCGTAAACATTCATTCTGCAGATGGTGAAGGTGAAAGCTGTTTGTCTGTGAAGGAAAGCTCGAGTGAACAATATTGGCCAAGGTCATGCTCTCGACAGCTACAGGGGATCAGTGAACACAGTCAAGAGATGGACATGGTCGCCCTGATGGTAATGAGCATGATAGGGGACCAATGTCTCAGCCTAGTCCACCCTCGAGCTGTACACTGTGAATGAATTTCGCAGTGTGAATCCGCCCAAGACCAAAGACGAGGGGCTCTTGGGTCGCAATCGAAAGGTCATCGTCATCGGTGAAGCAAAGCTCGATGCCCCGCACAAATCGAGGCGCCGAAATTGGTGCGGGCAGCTGGCTGTGCACGACATGCAACCCACCGAAGTCTTCTGCGACCGCATCAAAACTCTTTCCACATCGCTATACACTTCCCAGATCAGCTTGAATTCAATCTAGATCTTCAACATGGCTTCCACCGCTCCCCCCGCCGAGATTGGTATGTCCAATTCTACCGTGTCCCTGAAGCCACGAAAATTCAGAAGCTAATTGCCTTCGCGAGCAGACTACAGTCTTAACAACCCCGACACGTACGGCCAAACCTCGACTTCGCATTGAACGACCCAGACTGACCTCGAGATTAGCCTCACCAAGTACAAGACTGCCGCCCAGATCTCCCAGAAGGTCCTCGAGGCTGTGACAGGTACATGGCGTGACGAAAGCGCAAAAAGACCGACGACTGACATGTGTTGAAGGATGGTGCACTGAGGGCGCCAAGATTGTCGAGATCTGCGAGAAGGGCGACAAGCTCCTCGAAGAGGAGATTGCCAAGGTCTACAAGGGCAAGAAGATCGCAAAGGGTGTCGCTCACCCTACCACCGTTTCGCCCAGCGCTTTCGTCACTCCCTACACCCCCCTCAAGTCCGATGCTGAGGAGGCCGCCGTCGAGCTCAAGGCTGCCGAGTGCATCAAGATCCAGCTCGGTGCTCAGATTGACGGTTTCGCTTCCATCGTCTGCGACTCGATCATTGTTCCTTCTTCCGAGGCCAACGCCAACGGTGAACTCGAGGGCCGCCAGGCTGACCTTGTTCTCGCCACTTACTACGCCAATGAGCTCCTTCTGAGAACTATGCTGCCTTCCGGACTTCTCGCCTCCGGCTCCGAGGAGGAGATTGCCAAGGCACGTGCACAGAAGCCTTACACTCAGGGCAAGATCACCCAGCTCCTTGAGAAGCTCGTCAAGAGCTACGACTGCAACCTTGTCGAGAACACCACCTGCTGGCAATTCGAGAGAAACGAGATTGAGGGCAAGAAGAAGATCATCTTGGCTCCCGGTGAGGGTGTCAGAGGTGACGGTCTCCCCGAGGTCGGCGAGGCCTGGGGTGTCGAGATGGGTGTCAGTTTGGGCACCGGTAAGGTCAAGTCGCTCGGCAACCGTGCCACTCTCCACCGCCGCACCACCACCACCTACGGCCTGAAGAGACCCAGCTCGAGAGCTACCCTGTCCGAGGTTGTCAAGAAGTTCGGTACTTTCCCCTTCTCTATTCGCCAGCTGGAGGACGAGCGCGCCGGCAAGGTCGGTGTCGTCGAGTGTGTTCGTGGTGGTGTTCTCCGCCAGTACGAGGTTATCGGTGACAAGGACAACGAGGCTGTGTGCCGTCTGTTCACCACTGTTGGTAAGTTTGCGTTGTATTTTTCATAAAGCCAGCACTTCCTGACTGTGACAACAGCCGTCACCAAGAACGGTATCACCCGTTTCAGTGCTCCCCCTACTCCTGACCTTAGCAAGTTCAAGACCGACAAGAAGATCACCGACGAGGAGATCCTCAAGATCCTTGAGCAGCCTCTTGCCAAGGAGTCGAAGAACAAGAACAAGAAGAAGAAGAGCGCCACCAAGCAGGCTGAGACCACCGAGGCATAGGTACTCGCTCAGACACAGACCGATTGTGGACAGAGCTTGTGATGAAAGCTGAGCAGCCATACTGGAAGACGCCCAGTTGTGGAGACGCATCAGGATGGCATATGACGGCATGAACAGCAGAAGAAGACACGAGTCGGAACTGCTTACGGTGAGAAAGTCAAGGGGGAGAGACAGGAAAGGCATGCCAGGCACTAGTCGAAAGCAGATGGTAGTCAGATACGAGTGCCCATACTCAGCTCAAAGCAATATTACGCATCACGTCAGAGATAACTTGGCAGATTAAACGGGAAAGTGAATGAATTGCAAGTGAAAGTGATGATGATGGTTGACTGTTCAAGGGGCTGGTGTTTGGTCACCTTCCACCCTTGGCACGCCGACGAGATTCCTTGAAGCCGCACACCTCGACACGTCAAACACACCTTGCCGGGGCCTCGAAGTTGAGAGAGAGAGAGCGCAAGTCGACGCGAAGGACTGGCCCAAGAGGAACGAGTAACCTACTGCCTCTGGAAAGGGAGCTATTGTACGACCAAAAAAAAGTCATAGGCGTCCGTCGCGGCTTCAGCTTTCCACGCTCAAGATTCGACGCACCTGCCTCCCTACTCAACACCGCAACGGCCGCCAGGCGGATCCCTACGCACCCATATTGCAGACGAGAGGCACTTGTTGCCCAGAAAGAGCTATCAACAATAAGATGGATTCGACGCCATCGACGAGAAGCAGAAACCGCAGCCCCCGTGTGCCCCCAGCGTCGACCCAAAATCGCACCGTCACCCAGCCTCCTGCTCTGAATGGCTCCACTCAGGACTGGATCGAACCGCCGCTCGCATCTCCCATCCCGAGTTTTGAAGACCATGGAGGAGGTCCCTACGGAGTCCTCGAGGACATGCAGGCCCTGGGCAGTCGACCGACAGCAAAGGTCAGAGGCAGAGTGAAGCCAGACGCTCCTAAGAAAAGCGCTCTGGGCAAATCTCTCGCCAATCCCGCCGCCACTGCATCCAACCAGGCCACGCCAGAGCCAACCCCTGCACCCATGGAACCCCTGCCCGAACAACCTCTGGTCATTGTTGACGATGAGCGTGATGATGATTACACGCCACGCCCCTCCAAAAAGCCCGCCAAAGCTCGTCTCTCACGCTCAGCTGCCAATACCGTCAAGGCCACTGCATCACCAAAACCCACCACACCTTCGATTGCAACCTCTGAGACTCCCGTGCCTTCTTCCGTTGCTACCCCCGCCGCCTCGGCCACACCGACTGCTGCCCCTAAGCCTAAGAGTCCTGTCCAGATGGCTCGAGAAGCTGAGATCGTTAGACAGCTCGAATTGTTTGATCAGGTCATTCCACTGCCATCGACATCTGGACAACTAAATCTATTTAATGTTGTGAAAGCTGCTGTCAGAAAATCTATCGAGGTTGGAAATAAGTATCTCGGTCTCGCTATTCAGGAGGTCTATCTCGAAAGTTTCTCCAAACCGTGGTTGGTAGATTTGCTACAGGGCATTCTCGACCAAACCTCATCTCCACAAGAGATTGCAGTTTTCAGAGAACACATCTCCCAGGCCAAAAAGAAAATCAAGGCTCGAGAAACTGCTGTAAAAAAGAAGAAGGTTACAAGTGAAGCCAAAAAAGATCCCTCACTGGCCCCTGAAATGGTTCCGCACCCTTCTATTGAGACTCAAGCGGTTCCGCGAAAACTCAAGATTTCACTGAAGAACTCAGGCAAGAAAGCAACGCAGAGCGTCACCAAGCCAGCCGAGACGCCATCCCTTTCCCAACCCATAACCAAGCCGCGCACCTCGAGTGTTTCTAGCTCTTCGTCTTTATCTTCACTCACTAGCATCGAGGAAGAAATGCCCCTTGCTGAACCATTGCTATCCTCGGCGCCTGTAGCTACTCCAGCCATGCTTGCGGCTCCTCCAGAGACAAACGGCGTCAAGCGCTCTTCAATGGAAGCTGGAAATGACGAAAAGGATCAGGAGTTCCAAGCAAAGAAACAGAGACTCGACCAAACAGTCAATCGCGATGCTCCCACAGAAGAGAGCCACATACGACCAGATCTCCTGGCCATGTCCAGCGCGCACCAGAATCCGATTGTGCCGCCCGTGCGACTCACCGCGAATGGCGCTCACAACAGAGATGTTCCAACTGGTGGGGTATCGCCTCTAACCGACATGTCTTCATCGCTCTCGTCTGCATCTCGCGACAATACACCCAAGAGAGCTTCTATGCCTGCCAAGATGATGAAAAAGAGGGCCAAAACTAAGCACTCGTAAGTGACAACCCCTGATAGAATGCGCGCAGTAGACAAATGAGTGCCCACCACTAGTAAATATGAATATACAATGCTGACTGCTGCTGTGCACACAGGCCTGTCAAAAAGCAAGTGCCTGGGCAAAGTCCTGACGAGGACGGAATAAGCCGGAGAACCAGCCCCAGCGGTCCTGATGTGAACGAAGAGGTACGAACTCCTTGCTATCATTTCTTCCCATCGCACTCGGAATCATCGTTCTTTGCTCATGCAAAGAGATGCCTTTGCTGATTGCATCTGATTTACATGCATCATGAAATCGCTCTGCGAACAATTCCCACTGACACCCACATTCCAGTCTGACAACAACGACTTCTGCACAGCTTGCAACACCAGCGGGTTTCTCCTTTGCTGTGACGGCTGCGACAGTTCGTTCCATCTGCACTGTCTTGATCCTCCTCTAAGCCAAAATGCACCTGAGTTGAACGAGGCTTGGTATTGTTTCGGCTGTACCGCAAAGCGCGCGCAGCCCCAGAGGCAGTCCCGTGGTCTCTTCGCTGCATTGCTTCTCAACCTTGAAAAGCGTAATCCATCAAACTTTATGCTCCCTCAGGACATTCGCGAATACTTTGATGGTGTCGCAACTGCTAAAGACGGCAAGTTCGTAGAGCAACTTGCCACAAAGACTCGGTAAGTCTATTTACATGCGCACCAGAGCCGCACCCCCACACGTGCTTCTCGAGTGGACTCTACGAATCAGCCACGCAACACAGAATACTGACTGACACGCTCAACAGAAGAGGAGTCGGATACGAAGAGCTGCCTGATCATTTCAAGACAAAGGATGCCAAAGGGCAAGCTATCCTATGCTACAACTGTTCGCTCTCGTCTCTTGGTCGGCGTGAGATCATCACTTGCGATCAGTGTAGCGCTCATTGGCACCTCGACTGTCTCGACCCGCCTCTTGCGAATGCTCCCTATCGTGACCATACTGGCAGAAAGATTCGCGACTGGCTCTGCCCCCTTCACGCTGATCATGTGCTTCGCCAGATGGAAGTGCCTCGTCTGGCTGACAGACAATTCCAAAGAGAGCGAAGAGTGAACATGCGCAGACCTCGTGCTGCAAAGGTCGTTGAAACTGCTCTCAGCCGCGGCTTCATTAACGATGGCGTGATCGAAATAGCCAATGACTCAAGCGAGGACGAGTCTGAGTTCGAGGAGATCGAAGTCGCTAGTACTGTGTATCGTCTTCCTGAGAAGGGCATCAAGCTCGATTTCATTGACAGAGTCAGACGGTAAGCACATGTCCATCCGATGTCAAACACTTTCTCTAACAGTCTTGTAGAACTCGAGCCGCCGAACAGTACTACAATGATCGCCAGACATACCCCCCTCCCAGCAAGAGAATCAAGGTCGAAGACCACAACGAAAAGGACAGCTTCTTCCGTCGCTCTTTTGCAGAGCAGCGCACTGCACTCGATTTGGTTGGTCTTGCCAATCAGCAAGCCGACCTTGACTTCAACGGAGATCAAGTCAGCAGCTTGCTCACTACTCTCATTGTAAGCTCCACTGTTTTTGATTACTTTTAGACGTGTGTAATTGACTGTGTTCTGCAGGCCGAAGCGCCAGCCGATGTGGTTGAGCAGATGATTGAAGCGGAAAAGGCGGCCAAATCGTCCTCTGACACAACGGGTCCACCCTCGCCTCCGGCATCAGACCAGCATACAGAGCAAAGCGTAGCACAACAGCGCAAGAGTCTGGAGCTACTTCAGATGCTCATCGCACGAAAGCTTGCTACCTTGCCAGATCAGTGATCGGTCCATATTCTGAGCAAACACCCATTGTTCTATTGTTGACAGTCTATTCACGAGCATGGAGAACAACACTTCGTTGGTTCCGGACAAGGGGCAACTCGGCCGCGACCCTTTGTGAGCAAGCGACAAAACACTAGTAGGAGCTTCTGGAGATAATTTTCTCTTGCCATCAAGCTCGTTCGTATGATGTGTCTTGCTTGCAGGACTTCTATCTCACTTCCAGGACAGTGCTAACAGCTTATTCTTCTTTTCACATTCTTGCGGCATGGATGGTTAGGCGAACAAGGGGACAACAAAACGGTTGTACTATAGCTAGTAATATGATCATTGAAAGGTGCACAACATGACATGCGCTCTTCCTCACGCTATTCCACAACTATTTCTCATCTCGTGTTTTTTTTGTGATGCGTGTTGGCAGATAGTTCAATGCTTGTCGGTTTTGCTTCTGGTCCTTGTTGCTGTCATGGCTTCTGCAACACACTTTATAGCAGTTATTGTCTTCTCGCATCAAGACTGCTTGCATATCGTTATCTTCGCCGCGGAGTCAAATCAAGATCAACTCCTCGACTACAGTATCGCCAGAAGAACTTACACAGCCCCAACGAGCAAATTGCAATTTGATGGTTGATAAAGGTGATTCGCATTGCGTTACTGATACTCGTGCTCTGTTTTGCTCTATTCATTGACGATCGTGGATCTCGAGACCACCCTTCCGCAACATCCTCAGTGATTTCCGGTCTCCGCCGCCAGACTGAATCCCGTCTCCATTTTGCCCGCACCACCATTCAACGTCGACCCGTTCGACCCAAGACTAAACACCTTTTGCATATTCGGGCTCATGGGGCTCTGCCTGCTGATATTGCTCTTCACAAGATGCAAATTCAATCCTTCCTCTCCATCCTCGTGGAACGCAGCTCCCTTGCCAATCTTCTGCAACGAGTCGCGCATGAGCATTTCATAGTATGCGGTGGCGAACAGAGTAGCGGGCACGTTGACGAGGATGGCGATCCAGGAGTAGGAGTGGTAGGCAAAGGCCTCGCGGCCGAAGAAGATGGCGGCTACGATGCGGGTGCCGAGGTCACGAGCTAGGTTCGTGCTGATTGTAATGTCGGCGAAGCCCCATACCATTGTTGAGTAGACCAGACCGATTGCCCAGGGAGCTACTTGAGGAGAGATGAATGGGTTGGCGGGGTCGAGGCAGGCCCAGAGTACGATACCGATGTAGGAGTCGACGAAGAACTCGATGAAGAAGAGGTAGCCGAGGTTGGTTTGTGCAGGGCCTGGGAAGGAGCAGAAGATGCTGGCGGGTCCGCCGCTGAATACTGTGCCTTTGCCGGCGGCGATGGTGGTCGCTGCATACTCGGCGATTTGGACGTGGTATTGGCCGTAGACGAAGAGGCCGGCCATGAAGGCACCGAAAATTTGGGAGAAGATGTAGTAGGGGACTTTCTTCCAGGGAAATCCTTGCCAAGTAGCGAAGCATATTGTCATGGCAGGGTTAAAGTGACTGCAGGGATATTAGGCAACGGTCTATGCTGAAGCCTTTATGATCAGACTTACCCTCCTGATGTTGAACCACAAGTGATGATGGCAAAGGCAATACCAAAGCCAAATGCAAGACCGACCTGAAGCAGACTTCCAAACGCAGCGTTTTCTGCGCCCAGAGTAAAGGAAGCTGTTGCAGCAATGCCAGGATACACATAGAAGAATACACCAGTGCTATATGGCAGGTCAGCACCGAGACATTCGTATGGGTCGCGGTGAGTATGGTTACGTACGCCTCGGCCATCATCTCACGAAGCCATCTCGGCCTTGCCCGCTCAAAATCAAGTTTACGCTGAGAGACAGGCTTGGTCGAGACGACATGACGCTCGTAGTGCTTTTGTATGGCCTTTGGGGACAAGTCAGAAGCGATCGAGATCAGAGCAAGAAACATGACATACCTCTGTTGCACCCAGCTCAAGATCGTTCGTGTGGAGTCTCTGCATGGGGTCAGACATGATTGCGGAGAGAAAATTGGTAGATGTTCAGAGGATCGATGGTATCTGCAACGGAGGGATGCATAGCCTCATATACCTCGCCCTTACCGAGGTTACTGGCGTCTGATAATTGCTTCATCGTCGACTAGCCACCACGGAAAGAAGTGCTCGACGCCCTCGAGTTGAACGAGACATGCTAGACGGATCTGACGGATGCCTGCCTGCCGCGTTCGCCTCGCCAGGATCAACTACCTCCTGCACGAACGAATAGCGCGGCTCGAGATGTCCTTTTCCGGGGTCTCCAGATCGACACTCAAGTATCTGCCGTTAGGGTTGGATGACACGATACCGGATCCGCGGTACATATACGTGTATTGGAAAGCATGGCTAAAGAATCACAACATGTGCGAGTATGGTTTGTCGCGTGTCGCGCCAATCCTCTTGAGTGGTTTGAGTTTGTATAAGAATCACAAGGTGATTATGGAAACAAGCTCATCAAGAGACCATGACAAGCATCAGGCTTGACTGTCAAGAGCGCCGACATGTCTGTATCCGGCTAAGCTTGATACAACGGCGACATGGCTTGCGCGTAGGTGGAAAGAGGGGGAACGGTAGGGATTCGCTGGAATCGTTGATACCGGCATACATATGTTGCAGGATGCCTCGGTGTGCGGCTCAAGTGGCCAAACGATGTAGTACCTCACAAGTTGTATCGAAAATAGACGGTTCGACGGAATTATTTCCACTCCAGATGATGTGCAATGATTGTCGTGAGGAGACCCCGCACGGCGTGGGGTACGATATCGTGGGGTCGCATCTCGCTCGGACTGTTCAAGGATCCGGCTCCGTACCAAAACTAGGCACGAAGATGCCTGTAGGTAGGTATGCAGACTGTAGCTAGTCATCGGTCAGCTCGGCTCAGCTCGGACTTGACGATAATGCATTTGGTCAAGTCTGATCGTTGTCTTTCGATAGTTTAGTTACCAGCACTTGCATCGGATCCATACTTCCTTCCTCATACGCAAAGTTATGTCACAAGGGTCTATAGGAAGCATTGTCTCTTTAGTAGACAGGAGGTATCCATCGAGAGTCGCAATTCAATCGGCTCTCTGCGGTCATCGGTACCGTCGTGAAAGGACTGTGCATTTTGATGGCTTCGGCTCCGCCTGCATGTTGTCGCGAGAGCGGAATGGGAGTGACAGAGTTTGGCACGTAGGGAAGATGCTTAACACCCTTACTCCAACTCGGTCCTTGTGGAGTGCCTCGGAAGGTGCCCTGTTGAACTGTTTGGCTTGAGAGCAATCCCAACGACCATGGAGCCCGCAATCATGAACTACCGACTAACGAAATGTAGGGCTCAGCATGGAAAGAAGTAGTGCGTTAGCGAATGCAATTGTAGAAGGGGTATCTTGGATAAAAAAGCAAGGTCGTAATCATGTCATAGACCATGTGTGTTTCTCAACATGTCATGTGGTAGTGTGAACAGGCAAGCCATAAATCTCGCCGGTCCTTGTTAATGGTGGGAAGTTGACGGGGACGTTCCTTATTCAATCCTCCTCGTCACTGGTGGCCTCATGGTTCTTTTTCTCGTACTTGAACCTGTCGAGCTTGCTCGTAGTAGTAGCAGCGGCGTCGGTCTCTGGTTCGTAATCAGCTGGCTCAGGCTCGGATTCATCTGGCTCTGACTTGGGAATTCTGGCTGATGAAGTCTGGACGATTTCGTCTTGGGTATAGTTTGGACGAGGAAGTTCTTGGCCTTGTGACTTCAAAGCTTCTTCGACCTCAGGCAGGATTCCCAGGAAAGCTGAGAACTGTTCGAGAGAAAGCGAGATGCCCTGAACAATTCAGTATGTGACACGATATCTGGAAGATAAGCATCGACCCACCTTCTTTCCCGGAAGTGTCTTGCCATCTTTCTCGTAATACTCGCGAATGTTGATCTGCAATCTTGCATAAGAACTCAGATACTTCGAGGTGCTTCCAAGATGTCGACTCACTAGATGGATTTTCTTGTACTCTGACAAGGTCACACGACGCTTTCCAGAGAGCTAAGCGATTGTCAGCGCGTAGAACATTTCAAGTATTTCAAGAGCCTCACCTCCCAATAAGGATTTCCATCATCATCAACTTGCTTGTCTTTAGAGATTGCCGTTTTGGCACGCTTGGACTGGGGAGCGTCTTCGACGAAACCGCCATCGGAATCGTAGTCATCGGCCTTGCTGGCACGCTTCTTAGATTTGGGAGGCATAATTGAGATGGTTTAAGGAAACATGCAAGATGGAAAGACGTGAGCTGGGAGACGTGCACAAACGCGTCGATGTCATGGAGCCGAGACTTGCTTTAGAACGCAGCGACACCTCTTGGAGAACACATGCAGCTTCCCCATCGGGACTTCATTCGTTGTTGCCAGTTACCGAGCATGCCTGATCAACTTCAACTGCAAGATTGACAATAGTGAGATTGACCTGATCCAAGAGCTGTTTATTCGTCTTGTTCCGAGCAGCTCTAGGCCTTGTCTACATTGTCTATACTGAGGTTGCTTCCTGAGAAGAATTGTGTCGTACAAGAAAGTACCTACGTTCACTATTATATCAAGCTTTGGGTCATAAAGAGCAACAATCATTATTGAAACAAAACACGATCGCTCATCCAAGATTCACATCCGTGTAGGTGCAGGTAATTAGACACGGCGACGGCTCGTTACGCGACAGCCTATCAAGGGCCGAGTCTTCAACACTAAGACGCATACCATTGCCACCGATAATGATGACGAGCACATCATGAATGGACAAGACGTCACACCAGACGACGGCAACGAAAGCGATTATGGATCAGAGTTTGGAACAGACGACGAAGCAACGCTCTCAGTCCTCCTCACAGCTGCCTCGCAGCCTTCGACGTCGATAAGCGACCATGCTTCAATCTTGCCGGACACTTCCTCGTTGTCGCCATTTGCCAGAGGCACGCGGCGCAAATATGTCGACGACGAGGGCATTACCTTCGAGATGGTCTCACGCGATAGTCCTGTCGGCGAAGCCTCAATTGAGATTGAATATGACGAGCACAACCGCCTCTCTTTCTCCCGTACGTCCTAATGCTACCGCCAGTTGATTGTTGGGCTGACCGCTGACAACAGCGCTTTGCAGCTCGCCCTGACGCCGTTCGATTGTCTGTAACATCACGCGAAGCAAACGCCGAACCAGAACAACCAGATCCCTTGGACACGCGATCACCAATTGAACGATTTCGCACGCCTCCGAAGAAGCCCCTCTCGGTCACCGACATAGTATCGCCTGCCTGGTGCGAACTTCAGTACTGGTACAGCTTGACCAAGTATGGCAGGGTTCGCCGCACCGCAGCCATGAAGCAGGGCTCTTCGGTACACAAGGTTCTGGAAGAACAAGCCGCGACGACCCTACCTATCGACACGATACGCCTACTGGTCGAGAGGATCTTACAGGAACAATTGAAGGCCGTCGTGCCTGTCGAGACGGTAAACTCGGTTGTACAAAAGGCCCTCGAACAAGAGAAACGCACCGCTGTGCCTTTGGATGTTGTTGGAGGCTTGGTACATCAAGTCTTAGAGAAGGGCAAACTCGAGCCTGTCGCCGTCAATACCGTGAGCGAGGCAGCACACAAAGTCACTGGCGCACAGGTACAAAAGGCTGTCTCTGTAGAAGTTGAGACCAAAGAAGATGCTTTCGGTTTGAAGATCTGGAACATCATACAGAACCTACGAACTCTAAGGGCCACCGGACAGGCTCGCGAATTCGAAACATGGGCGGTTATCGAAGGCCAAGTTGTTAATGGTATAATTGACGAGCTCAGCTACGAATGTCCTGATGAGCATCTTGAGGCAGATGTGGCTCAACAACAGGAAACAAAGCCCAAAAGAGGTAGACCAAAGAAGCAGAAGGTCGCTCCTGAGAACCAACCGAACCTGGACACTTTCTTCAGCGGCTCTCAAACAGCCAAAGACCATGAGAAATCGTGGCTAGGCGTTCCTCATGCCAATCGCAGGATATACATCAAGGATGTGAAGACTCGTGGTTCGAAAAGCATGCCCAAAGGCGAAGCGTCTTTCCGCCCCACATCGATGCAGCTGATGATGTATCATCGGATGCTTTCACTGCTCGCTTCGAACTCGGTACCAGCTGAGCAAGTCTTCGCTCGTTATGCCCTTGATAGCAATGCTGCTTTCAGCGACATGTTCCTCGCTCAGCTCGGCAGTATTGAATCTGAACATGGCGCCGAAGCAGCTGAGCAAGCAGAGATGCCTGCTGAAGACCCGATCGATGAGTTGCTTGCTCACAATAGCCTCGAGAAACTCTGGACGCTAATGATCTCGGAATTTCAGCTCGCAATACCATTCTCCACTAAACCATCAACGCCATCTCCCATCGGGGATATTCTCATGGCCGAATACAGAGCATCTGGTAGTGGTTCCGTGATAGGATCGAAGAGCTTTGTCTACGATTCAGATGTCCTAGACGCCTACCTGAAAAAGACTATGGCTTGGTGGAACGGCGAGCGGATGCCGAACGGCGTAGAGATCGAAGAGGCTTTCAAATGTCGAATGTGTGAGTTTGCCGAAGTGTGCGGCTGGCGCAAGGACAAAGTTGAGGAAGGCATTCGCAAGGCTAGGCTTCGCAAAGAAGGCAAGAAGAAGAGCGACGTTTGATCGCATCTCAACCTTGCTCAGCTGAGGCTCTGCGTATTACGATTACGATTACGATCGCACGAATGAGGTTATTCACCGAGAAGCGTTGGTATACGGATCCACGGAACGTACTTGGGTCTTATCTGTGGTATGCTCAAGTCATGTGTACCGACCGGACTCGTGGTATCGTGGAAATCCAAATATCGGGGGACGGAAAAGGCGCCCTCCAGATGCAAACGTATGTACCAATGCAGCCATGCAGTCTTAGGGTTCGGTATGCCATGACATGCATGGCGGGTGAAGATGTAGGGCTGCGTTTGATTGTCACAAATATAACAGCTCACATGGGCGGAGGATGCTCGGTCCGTACCGAACGACCATATTCACTGGCAACGAAGATGATGGAGAAATGAGTTCATGTGCAATTTTAAGATTGCGCAAGCTGAAGAATCCGAGTGCATGAAAAGGACGGTGCATCCGCTCAGATCGAAATGAAGAGGATCTGGAGTGGCTTGGAGGATCATGCGATCTGCAGCTGACGGTCAGAGAATACGTTAAGGCCTTGAACAAAGGGGGCATTGACCTCCACCATCGAGATAGAAGTCAGCACATAGTCGCCAAATGGCAGTTCATACCGACCGAGTTCGCGATCTGTCTACAAACGTGCGGCAGTGTCAATGTCAATGTTTAGCTGTAGAAAAGCACGAGCTCGCTTGATTCACAAAGATCTTGGTTCTAAGTGTTGACCTCGGTGGCGTCTTTCCTCATTGGGTCTACTTCTTGCACTGCTATAGCTGATAGTTGGTTTTAGTCTCCTAGCAACATGTATAGGCTGGGGAGAGAAGGCGGTGGGCGATTGGTACACGCATCCACAGTGCTGGGTTTCAAGGCATTCACTCAACCTCCACCTCTTTGTAACAATTTTCGATCTTCAAAGTCTGACCCCTTATGTGGAGACCGTAGTTGTTGGATGCTGGGGCAACAGAACAGACAATCGTCTCTCCTTTCAGCAATGCTCATCTTCTTGCACCGCCCTTTGAGTGGGTTCGCTGAGCATTTGGTTGCCATGCTTGCCTTGACGCCTAATGTGAGAAAGCTCGTACCTGCTGTCGAGTAGTACTGCCACGCCATCTCCCCCACAAGCATCTAAGCTCTCGGGTATTACTAGTTGGTGTCGGTTGACCAGCAAGCACAAGATAGAGTTTATGTTTCTTTGACATTATACATCTGCGCGCGGTTTGACTTTTTGTCAGAGGATGATCAAAGCGGAGGAGGAACAGCGGAGTAGTCGCCGTAAAAAGTAAACAAACACATTGAGACTTTCGAGATGCAGAGGAACACCGCACCACCAACGTCTCTACATATCCAGATGTCTGGAATCTCGGTCGAAGGAAACGTGGCTTGGTCTCTCATTTCTTGAGCATTTGATGGTCGAGAGCGGGCAGTGTAGTAAGGCCGACCAGGCCAAGGGTCACAAAGTATCAAGAGCCTAGAGGGCTTGACCTTCAGAGATCGGCTGCAGGTCTCCCTTGGGACCTGCAGCAGTGCAGCGAGGAGCCGGCCGGCGGTGAAGACAAAGGAGAGAGTGACAGGAGGCGCACGGTGCGGCCTGGGGGTGGGAAGTGGATTCGTAGACTTGACCTTTTCTTGCTTTAGGCGCGCCGGGAGTGGGCGTTCGCGCCTTGAACTTTTTTTTGGCTCTCTTCCTTTCCACGAGGGTGGTCGTCGGCCACTACTATCGGACAATCGGAAATAAGAGTAGGCTACCATGTTGCTGGCTGGATGAACATGTCAAGTGGCTTTCTCGAGTCGTGAGTAGAGATTGTGAACAAACGTTGAGAAAGTCATCAAGCGCAATATGTGGATTGCGAGTCAGCGGTCAAGAGTATTGAGGAGATATTCAAATGTGCACGGCATTGAGTCCCGCAGAGCTCCCCTTTTCCAATCTTGGTTGCCCGGGTTCGATTGCACGCCAACTATGCAGCTACATAGCTAGACCCGTTGTATAAATCAAGATACTTTGTCGAGTCAAAATCAAGTCGAAGGGGTTCGAACCATCCCAGGGTGTCGGGTACAACGTTGTATGTAGGTACGTATATCTCGCGGACGGTACGGCAGTAGCCTCCACCCTTTCGTGACCGTTTGTCCAAAAGCAAGCTCCTGGTTTCAGAGAGCTCCGTTTGTATTAATAGATAATCGGACAATGGTGAAGGTTGAATAAGATGCGAGAGTCTTGCAACTCCAATCTCACAAGCGGGCAACGGAAGGTCTTGTCCAGGGCGGTGAAACACAGGTTGACTTGGAATACTGCTTAGCTAGTTCCAGCAGCCTTATCATGTGAGGTCTGGCGCTAATTATCGCACATCTCGATCTACTGACCCCTCGAATATTTACAGCGGTCAAAGAGCAAGCTTGAGCTTCGAGAGGACAGGGCAAGGTATAATGAGGGGCTAACGGCAATGCAGCGCTCAGCTGTAGTGGACGGTAGAGGAACAAAGTGGCTAGTGAATAGTGAGCCGGTGCAGTGCTAGCTGCTAGCATTGTGCAAGGAGAAGATGTGCAAGAGAATGTAGTCATATGTGAAAAATGCTTTTTGCATTGATTGTTATTCGGTTTGTTTGTTTATACCGTGCAGGGACCACACAGCTCTCGGCTGATCCAAGTCTGAGCACGCCTCGACATCAGAAGGCGGTGGAGTTGACGTGGGTGAAGCAGACGGACCAAATTTGGGCGGTGTCAAAAGAGATTTGGTCGTCATCGTGTTCGTTATGCAGATGGATGGGCGGCATCAGATGTGGGTTTTGCATGATGTTTATGATTGAGGTTTGGACTTTGAACGGCTTGCGGCTTGGTCAATGTGGCCAGTGCGGTCTGTGCGCTTGTCGCGATCAATGCCCATCGCTGTTGCCCTCCGCCGCCGCTGGCGCCTTCCTTTACTCACCCATCTATCGACTTTCTCGCCATTCTTCTGCCGCCCGAATCGCCGCCTGCCTGATTGTCCTGTCTCGTCAAGCCCGTCTCTCAACCTCGACACCTGGCTGTCAGATCGATCGACCCTCCAACATCAACAAAGCCGCTCAATCAGCCTCATCCCCGCTCATCCACACGCGCCGCGCCGTCGCATACCTCTGTTTACATTTTCGATCATCGCCGCGACCTCAGTACACCCAACGTCGCTAATTTCCATCAATACTCGATTCCTGCGCTCGCCGTTCTGTCAGCTTCCACGCTTCTATCGTATATCCAACAACCCTCTAGCTGTCGTAGTACACCTGACTGCCGCATCGCATCTGTCGCATCCGTCCTGCACACGCCTTCATCCAACAATAGTGGAGCGTGTTGATGGCCACCTAGCTTTGCCAGTCGTCTCGCTTCGCGATACAAGCTCTCCGTTCGACATAGATACTCCCGGCACCCTCGACAAACGCTCTTCGCGCCGCCTAGTCCTTCCAGACGACCAACCTTCATCCTGGCCATGGACTTCGAGTACTCTCCCCACCGTTCAGCCGGAGGCACTCTGCACATGCTCTCACCCACACACCCTCAATACTCCATCGACGCGTTTCCCTCCATCAAGCAAATTCGCCGCTCTCTGTCGCGTTCTCCCTCGAAGCCGTCGCGTTACCATCTGGTCTCAAGGTCTCCCAAGAAGTCTCCTCCACGCTCTGGTCTGTCGCGTGCATTGAGTGCAAACACTGGCGCCGATTCTTCACTCAAAAACAAGCTATTACTACGACGGAACGCGCCTGTTCGCGCCAATGCGCGCAAGGAAACGCCGAACACTTTGAGACGCGCCTTGAGTGACGCCAGCAGCCAAGCAAACACTGTAACCATGGAACTTACTCAACAACCTACTCCCGGTGACCAGGAAAACTCGTATCTGACTTCACCTACCTCGAGGCACCTGGAAGTGCCTCGCGATGCTCGCTTCGAAGTCGACGATGAGCCCATCAAGTTCGACTTCCTCAAAGGACGCAACAGCTTATCAGTGGCCATGAGTGGAACTCCGGCAAAGTCCAGCCCTCTCAAACGCAGTGATGGTGTTATGAACCTTGACCAGGTCAACCTCGGTAGTCCCAGAGCTAAGAGACGTAGTTTGCACAGCGCCTCTCTCGGCATCGACTTCGACGTCTTTGAACAGGCTTTTGAGAGTGCGAACAATGGCTTCAGCGACGATGAACTTACACCTGTGTCACCGGTGCGTCAGCGATCTCCTCAGCGCACCAAGCCTTTCAGTCTCAGAAGAACCACTCTCCAGCAACGAGTGATTGGTGCACCTCGCGCCAGGCCTCATTCAGACTTGAGCGAGTCTCCCAGTGGTCACTCAAAGGCAAGAGCCAGAATGTCTCTTGATGGCTCGCTACCTCTCCGTGGACTCGAGCCCTCGTTTCATCTCCCACCCCCAGAGCAAAAGACCATTTCTCGCTCAGCACCGAAGCCCCACCCTCTCTCCAAGGCACTGAGCCCCTCATCCTCGGCATCGAGTCTCGGTGATGACACGCCACGACTATCGCCCAAAAAGCCACAATTCTCTGGACCCTACCCCGGCTTTTCCAAGAGTCTGCCCATCGGGGCGCTCAGACCAAAGCCACACACCGACTCCAGTGACTCGAGCGATTCGTTCGAGACGCCCGAAGCCTACAAAATGGCAAAGCCATTGCCACAGGCTTTCATGTCGACCGGCTTGATCTCTAAGCGTAATCGAAATGTCGACCTCCCTCAGTCTTCATTTGGTAGCAGCATGAACATGCCCGACACACCTTCGAAAAAGACCATTCTGCCTCACCTTGGTGGTGGCACTCCTGCACCAGCAGCTAACTTTGGCAAATTCTCTCGCCCACTGCACGAATTTGGCTCTCCTACGACCCCATGGAGCCCGCACCCCGTTCAAGCATCGCCCGAGTCGTTCGGAAAGGGCGTGAACATTTTCGGTGTTGGCTGTGCTTCCGGCAAGTCAAACCGACGCAGCAGCTTCCTGAGCATTGCCGACGAAGACCTGACCAAGTCACCCCTCGGCCACATGGATGTACAAGCCAGTGGTGATGAGATGCCACCAACCCCCACCAAAGCCGCCTCTTCTGGATCTACAACTATTCGACCAACGTCAAAGGGTAAAGGAAACAGCTTGCGAAGCTCCTTATTCGGACGCAGATCATCAATTGCACCCGACACTTTCACAGCTCCAAACTTTGAGGACCAGCAGCCAGCAAATGACTGTAAGTATATTTCCTCAACTACTCCTTCTTCGGAGTCAAAGAAGAGTGAAACTTCGACTCCATCTCTTACTATTACACCATGTGGCTCGCCATCTTCTCCTTCTTTTGAACAAGCCATGAGCCTTAGGCAGACTCATCGCAAATCTTGCCCATCTCCTCTTACTCTTCGGTGCCGGGAATTTCCTTCCTTCTCTTCTTCTTCTACCTCATCTGCAGGAGATGCTGAAGCAAAGCAACTATTAGCAGTCACACCATCTAGCCGCTCGAGTTTTACAGACTCGAACCTGCCGCCAAAGACTCCACAAGAGAGCTTCACCCCACCAGATCCTAGCGGCCTGTCTATCTCTGGTGAGCATCGTGGACCAGTCTTGTTCGGTATGAGCGGTCTGCAAAGCTCAAACAGTTTCCCACCCGCTACTCCCACTGGACCGAGAGATTCGGGCATGAACTTTGGTGGAAGTATCAGACCTGGTGCATTCGGAGCATCGGTCTCGGGCTTCTTTGCAAACGATGTCGACACCGCACTGACATCGCGCTTTGAGAGTGTTCAGGCAGTTGGTGTCGGAGAATTTTCTCAAGTTTACCGCGTTTCGAAGCCTGTTGTTGGCAGCCCAGCAGCTGGGTTTGCACGCAAGGTCGGCAATGTCTGGGCTGTGAAAAAGTCGAAGAAGCCATATCTTGGTGTCAAGGATCGTGATAACAAGATGAGGGAAGTCCATGTTCTCCAGGCTCTCCGTGGCAACGAACACATCCTCGATCTCTGCGACTCGTGGGAGTCGAAGAACCACCTCTATATCCAGACTGAGTTCTGTGAAAACGGCAACCTCAAGGACTTCCTCACCCAAACTGGATTCAAGGGCCGCTTGGATGATTTCCGCATCTGGAAGATCTTGCTCGAGATGTCTCAGGTATGTACAGGCATTACCCACTATTCCCGTGATTTATATTAATTCATTGCTATAGGGCGTCAAGTGCATCCATGATGCTGGATTCATCCACCTCGATCTCAAACCAGCCAATGTGTTGATCGACTGGGAAGGTGTGTTGAAGATTGCCGACTTTGGCATGGCCACAACATGGCCTGCACCTAGACACATTGAGGGCGAGGGAGACCGCGAGTACATCGGTCCTGAGGTGCTCTCCGGCAAGTTCGACAAGCCTGCCGACATGTTCTCCCTGGGCATGATCATGCTTGAGATTGCTGGAAACATTGTCCTCCCTGACAACGGCTTGCACTGGCAAAGACTCCGTAGCGGCGACCTCAGCGATGTCCCGAGCCTCACATGGAGTTCCGAGAACAGCCTCCCTAGGTATGAGTCTGGCGAGCCTATGGTCGATGACAACGAGGAGACTATTCGATTCGACGACGACATGGATTTGGGCAACCAGCCTCCCACAGCTGGCCATCGAAGGAGAGAACTGGCCCAACCACCCAATTTCATGATCGATCCCAACGACAGCGAGGCACTAGACAAGGTAGTCGAGTGGATGATTCACCCATCACCCGAACAAAGACCGGTGATTGATGAACTCCTCAGCTGCGGTGGAGTACAATGGGTCGAACAACGAAGACGTGCTGGTGCCACCGTCTACGAGGGCAACTGGGGACCAGCAGACGACGTTCTTAATGCTGGTCACGACATCGACATGGTTGACATTTAAGGAATATTGATGTCTTGACCAAGGGTAACAGACCCCCTTACAACAAACATGGCCAACAGGACATACGTGGCGATGAGGAGTTTCACCTTCAAACGAACTTCCACGGCCAGCGATTTACACGCAACGGCGCTGTCCAAGCGGCAACCCGATTCTTGGGCATGCACAAACTATCACGCAACATCAAACTTGTATCAGTAACGACAGCACGATTGATTCCCAGGAACCAGAGGATTCCATCTTCCACATGCCTTCTTTCCTTTTCTCTTCTTCTGTCTTTCTTGCTGCTCTCTATCTTTATTTGGTTTACGATGGATGCACATCGCTTCAAGGAGGATGGCAGTTTCAGGCATTTTTGTTATGTTTTTTTGTTGCTTCTATTCCTTTATTCAACATTGCTCGGCGGTTGGTCTATGTGATTTCGGCTCATGGGACGGCAAAATACCAAATGGCGTTGATCATGGGATACATGGGCTTCCTTTCTCTTTTGGTTTCATAGCGAGCGCGTGGTTGGCGGCCACGTTGCGCAGGCGTTTCTAGTGTCACAGGAGCACATGTCGGGTAGTTTTCCAGACAGCATTCTTGGAAGGCTTCGGCAAGGGGACGATTATTAGGCGCGCAGCTATTATGGCGACAATTCATGGATTTTCTGACATGGCAATGAAACTTGGCTTGTGCACTGTGCCTGTGTCGACTGGGTGATGATTGTTGTTGTAAGCTTAGCGACTGGAGGCTGCTGCTGGCTTTGTTTCGCCATGTCGAGCGAGATTTGGGGAAGAGTTGGATGAGGCTGGATTGGACTCGGGGCGCCGCTAATGCAGAGATATTGTGGTTATACGAGAAGAATGGATATAGTTTTGTGCAAAGCAGCGCTAAAGCAAGATTGAATTGTTCCAGAAAATTGGTCGAAGGGCGGATGGAAGAGTCGGGCGGTGGCTTCCTGGCTGCAGCTTGGCACAGTCGATTCGACGGCATCATGACATGGCGACGGCCTTGATTGCTCTCAGGCCTCGCGCACCCCCCTGGCAGCTCTTGCACTTGGATCTGGCTAGCCTCTTTGCTTTTGCTGTCGCTCTCGCTCCCCCACTTGACCGTGTCTGTCGCTAGCACGCTACACACCGACTGTCGCAAACACAACACAACATGCAGATGCCCCAAACGGCCTGACTCACGTCCAAGAAGCCTTGATCAAAGTCCAAATTCCCACATGGCCATGGCCGACGCCCACGAAGCGCCCCGGAGCGTGTCCAGCAGAGACAGCAGCCCCGTCACGGTGCGACACGCCTCGTCCACGTCCATATCCTCGATCCCTACCCTCCGGAAACAGCCCTCGGCCACCTTTGCTCCCTCGGAGAGCCCCCGCTCCTCGAGAAACCCCTCGCCGGTGCGCGCCGCCATGCGCCAACACGGCACTCCTCCAGCCTCGGCCGTCCAGGGCAGAGCCGGCGCCTTGAGGTCCCGTCAGAGCAGCCACGACACCAGCCCCCACCGTACACCGGCCTTGTCTACGCCCACCTCGGTGCCTTCGGCCGCTGCCATCCAACGTGCTCTATCCGCAGCAACCATCCCACAACTCCAGCAGTCCCAACAGTCTCAATCCCCCAACTCGGTCACGGATGCCGTATCTCGACTCACTGCCCAGAAACGCCCTCTTGCCAGTGCCTCTGGCGAAAGCACCCCTACCTTTGTACCCCCGTCACCGCGACTCAAATCTCCACCTCCTGCAACCGCTCGCTCTCGTAGGAACTCGACCCAGCCACAAAGTCAAAAGCCTGCTCCTCCTGCTATCGTCGTCGAACCCTCCTCAACTCCATCAGAACATTCTATCTTGAACGACGGCCTCAGAGAAGAACCTATCCAATTGCAACCCCCACCACCTCCGAAGGTTACGTCTCGAGGTCCTAGCGGCCCGAGACCTGTCCTCGAAACAGTTGTCGAAAATATAGCGCCCAGCGGTAGCACAGACTCGAAAGGGTATCCTCAGATTGTTATAACAAGCATGGTAGCACATAAGCTGACGTGGTATGCAGGATTGAGGCGCATTCTGACGACGACGGGCCTCCGACCGTTCGCGGTAAACCAAAAGATAACAATGGAGATACCTCTTCCAAACTCGCAGAAAGCGAGAGTGACGCTAACATGAGTGATGGTCGCGGCCGCAGGGCCAGTCAGAGTTCGACTATTCGTCCCAAAAACCTTGCCGCCATCAAATCGGTATATCCTGGTCTCGGCTCTAGCAAATCACGCGCTTCCGAGGGAACTCGAAACATGACAGTCGAGACAGAAACCGTCAGCTCAATTCCACAATCACAGATTGCCACCATGGATCGCTCCACCCTGGGCAGACCCGACTTAGGAGGCTCCCTACGTATGAAGCCCAGCACTGAGACGATACGACCAAGAAAGGAGAGAAAGCGGGCGACGCGCAAGGCGCCCTCGATTAACAACGGAACGGGTGTGTTTAACCCCCCATTGCATTTGCACCATCGTTCGTCTGTTGCTTCGTTTTCTTCCCGTCGCAGAAACATACCCACTTCTTCTGGTGAAGCTCAACCCCCGATTGATTCCACCGATGATTATGAAGACACGCGTTCAGATTCGTCTATTGCTCGTTCGCCCCGTCGCGTTTCTGCTTTCCGTCGCGCTGCTCTGACATATGTTCCATCGCACAATACTAACGCATCTATTCGTTCAGCCTCTTCCAAGGCCGATATATTCGAAGCCAGGGTTGCAAACGCCGTCGACGAGGCCAACTCGTCAGACTCGGACGAGACGTTCGTGTACGAATCGAATCCGCCTGAGCAACAGCACAGAGCCAGTCGACATCACTCGCGTACACCTAGTGGAGCATCCCTCCACAGCCAGAGCGACTTCCGCCACGCCATGCGACCTTACGGCGATCACCGTATTGCAGGCAAGCGGAGTATGAAGTTCTCTAACAATCCTTACAGCGTCCTGGACAGCCCCGAAGCTCTGGGTGACGGTACCGTTCGGGCTCACCATGCTAGGCACATCGGCAGGTTTGGCCGTCCCGGTGGCAGCAGCCGCGCTTCTCTCTATGACCAAGACTCGCCTTTTACTCAAGCTTCAAAGCTTCGCAGCACTACATTGTCTGTCTCTGAGCGAGCACCTTCGCGCCCTGGTACACCACGTAGCACGGCGAGCGGCCAACATCGACCTTCTGGCTTGTTTGGCAAAAAGAACGACAACTCACAATACGACTTTGAAGGAGGAGCAGCTGATGACGAGCGTACACCCATGCTGGGTAGCGTCAGAACACCAAGGAATAGCCAGCGAAACTACGGCAGACGATTTAACAGCGACAACAGCATGCGCTCGATCGATTACTACGGCGTCAGAGAACCACGATCACGCTTCAGCAGAGTTGGGGGATTTATCCTTGGCCTTCTGGTCGTCATGATGGTGACAATGGGTGCTGTTGGTTTGCTGGTTATGTTCAACAAGCCCTTGACCAATTTTCACGTGGATAAGATCCAGAACGTCTTGGCAAGCGAGCAGGAGATTATGCTGGACCTTCTGGTTGGAGCTGTTAACCCGAATATCCTGAGTGTGACCGTAACGGACATGGATGTTAACATATTCGCGAAGAGCAAGTATGTCAACCCGATTGGCAGAGACGACGGCGCTCTGCTTGCAACAGCCCAACGAAGACGTCTGGAAGCTAGCAGTGAGGCTGGCGGTACCCCATGGCAAGACAAGCATGGTCACTGGCATGCTGGTTCTGGTGTTGATAAAGGCACGGATCCGATCGAAGGCGACTCGCAGACAATGCTTCTCGGCAGGATCCTCCACTTCGATCAAGCGCTGTGCTTCGAAGGTTCCCCGATCAAACGGCACACGCACTATTCACTGGGCGAGCTGCGTCTTGGCTATCCTGGCAATAAAACCGAAAGTGGCGGATCAGAGCGTTGGGAGAGAGTACTTCAGTACCCGTTCGAGCTCATCCTCCGTGGAGTACTCAGATACCAACTGCCTATGAGCAATCGACGCGAAACAGCAGCCATCGGCGCCAGTGTCATAGTACACCCCGAGGATCCGATAGACAGTCACGGACGCATGCGCTTGGAAGAGGTGGATCACAGCGAGGATTGGCAATGGATAGATGTTGACGATTTGGAGAGCATCGAGGCGTTCACGACAGAGCTGCAGTAGCTGCTCCTCGTCTCAACGCTTCGAAGCGTTTTCGACGCTCCTTCAAGAATTTATGACCTTCAAGACCTTTATTAGCATTTTTGAGCGAATGGGAGGGTGGATCTTTGCTTTTCCAACTCTTTCTCTGTATGGATGGGATGGATTCTGTTTTAGTGTTATTTCACAGGGTTTGGGCAAAGCATACACTTGGAAATGGGATTATGGAGGTGTATGATGAGATTTGTTACGTGTTTGGGACAAGAAGTGGGACTGGCTCAAAGCCATGTGTTGGACTTGATGTACTCGAGTAGTTTCCTAGTTAGCTAGCAGTGTTGAGCAATCGACCTCTGATGTCTTTGGTATTGATTACATTGTACGATGTCGGTCTATTTGCAGAGACTGTTGTGCAGTATATTGGCAGTTAGCTATGCGTGCGTGACGGACTTGATGAGGCTCAAGGCAGCCTGAGGCAGCATCCCCAGGCCTCGGCCGCGATCGCTCTTTCCCGGACTTCAGTTCGTGGAGAATGAGGTAAAAGGAGGCAGTTATTGACCCACGACATCAGGTCATCGACATTGTATTGCCAGTATTTCTATTGTCGCGAACTCATCCCGATTCCAACGACACTGATTATGAGTGGATTCCTGTACTGAGTCACGGCCACCAACTCGCACCATAGCGACCGGCGCGTCACCCTAACTGCACACGAGGACCACATCACCCAGGCACACAGCAACCATGGACGGACCGGAGCTTGGACGCGTCGAGTCGCTCGACTCGTCCAAGATGCAGACGCCGTCGACGATGCGCATGGGCGTGCCACGTATCGACGTCGAACCTCTCTTTACTGCCCTCAAAGCCGCTATAGGCGAGAGCTGGCCAGAGTACAAGACCACTTTGAGCTCCTTCTTCTTAGGTACTGCTTCATTCGCTGTTTCTACTCGTACCACGCAAGCGCTGACTGCCATAGGAAACCTCAACCAGGCCGAATTGTCCCAAGTAACGGATCGACTCCTCTCGTACGCACCGAGCGTCTCGTACAGCGGTGCTCTGGTCTCAACTGTCCATCTACACAACAAAATCTTTGGTGCTATACACTCCAACATATACCGCGATCCTCCACCGGAACCCGTTGCATCATGGGTGCTAGCTACCGATGCTCCGGCCTCGGCCAGCGCGAACAAACTCGTTTCACAAGGTGGTGGTGACAAGGCCGAAGAAAGGCTAAAACGAGAAGTCATGGCTCTATCTGCTCGCGACAGGAGAAGGATAAAGAGTGCCAAGGACAACCTTCCTGCTGTGCCTCCATCAGGTCCTTTGCGCGAGAATGCGACATATGCAACAGCCCTCACTGTTCCTGTCACCTCTTCCCAGATACCTGACGCCATACCAACCACTGCCACATCTCTTAGCAAGACCAACTGGGACCTCGAGATTCGCAGGCGATATGCTGTACCGCTAGCTTCTGAGACGCTAGACTTCCCATCACGTGCAGACATCCAAGCCCGCATTGAGCCCATCTGTTTCGAAGAAGGCGTAGGCTTATCCGCAGTACCCATGACATCGGCCGCTCTACAGGCCATAGCAGAGCTTGTCGAGGTCGCCACTGAAACATATATCAAGGAGAAGCTGACAAATTTCTTCTCCACAACACGCAGCAATGCTCCTGGAGACTTGGGTCCAACAACAGCAAAGTTCCGCGCCCAGATGCGTAGAGAGGAAGATGCCGTCGATCGAGGTCAGCTCAGCAGGAGTGCTGCAGGCTACTTGCCAATCGAGCAAGAAGCTCTTGCCCGAAGGGAGCCGCTTAGCATGGACGAGATACGCATGTCAATGCGTCTAGATGACACACGGCATCGTCTTGATCCTTTCCTGTCCCAAGAAATCATGGACAGTGTGGAAATGGACATGGTCGACACACCTATGGCGCTCACTAACGGCGACCACCACGACTCAATGGACAAAGAAGTAGACGGTGATGCTGTCATGACTGACGACAACGATCTGGGCTGGGAAGGCGCAACTTCTGCTGATAGAGACGCACTATTTGGTGTACTGGATGATATCCTTGCTCCGGGAGGGTCCTCTTAGAAGACGAGCCCACATCCGAATGGCATGGATCCGCGCAATCTGTCCGCCTCAGAGCTGTCCAGCACACCACATCTCGACGAACTAGCACCATATATACCCGATATCGAGGATACAAACTTTCACGTGGTTGGTGCGGACCCACGCAAATTATTCATCTCAGAGCCCTTCGGCATACTACCTTTCGACGAACCAGCTCTCAATGCACAAGACGTCGAGAACATCGACTCTTACCCGAATTGCGTGGACCCACGTCATCTGACTGTCTCGGTACCTGTCAGCACATCACATCTCGACCATCCAGATCCGGATTCAGATGCACAAGACACCGAGGTTAGAAGCTTTGACTCGAATGCTGTAGACCCAAGCAATCTGTTTCTTTCAGAGCTCGCGATGATACCACTTTCGGACGGACAGGATCCAACTGTACTAGACATCGAAGATACGAACTCCCGCTTGTATGGCGTGGATACATACAACCTGTCCGTTCCAGACCTCGTCAACACACCAAATCTCGATGAACAAGATCTCGACGTGCAAGGCAATTCTCACTTAGATGGCGAGAATACACAGAATCTGTCTTTCTGCGAGCCTTCCAACACATCACATCGCGACGAAGCTGATTCTGGTGCGCAAGACGTGGAGTGTACCATTGCAAAACTTCACAAGGCATCGCCACCCAGGACGTTGCGCTCCAGGCCCATTGATTCGAGGTTCAGCGAAGCTGAAGAGGTAACGAATGTAACTTCTGCATCTGTGCAAACCTCCGCAACCTACAGGTGTGGCAGAAACCGTCTTGATGGCGATCTATGCCACAGAGTCTTCACGAGCAGCGGATCACTGTTGAGCCACCAAATAACACCTGCGCACACGGAACCAGCACTTTGCCCCTTCTGTCCCAGCAGAAGACTTTGGATTGCCCCGCTACTCTTCGCCCATGTGAAAGAACACCATCGGGACAAATTATGGACGGATTTCCGATGCCGGATCTGTGGGAGCATGCGGACAGCGAGTCTACGAGGTCTCAAGGTTCATGTTGGGAGACATCATCGATTGTTATCCATTGAGGCACGGTACGATGCAACTCGGGGGTTTTGAAGCAAAACACACATCCTATACTTCTCTTTTCTTTCACTCTAGATAATTCTTTAGTAATGACGACTGTAATTACATACCACCCGTGTCTCGATATGTCCTTGCCGAGCATTATCATACGTGTAGCTTTCAGAGTAAACGATACAATTAGCAAGTCTAACGGACCCTATCAAAAGTAATTTATGTTATAATCATAACTATATATAAGTGTACTCTAATCTTTAAGCTAATTCCTTCTTTTATAAGTCTACACTATAACATACTAATAGACTAAAACTGTTCAGGACTGCCATTGCAACGAACTCGATACTGATGACTGCCAGAATTATATCCCACTCGAACATTGCTGGAGACTGATTGATGAGACATACCTAGCAGTTTTGGCCAGTTCACTAGTTCATGGAAGCCGAGCGCCTCGAGGACATCTCGAATTCGCTGATTCTCATACGTGGCAATTGGAAACAGATTATCGAAGTGAAATGGCTCCAAGAACTGAAAACCCGTCACAAATTGTTGTTTAAAACCTCCAAGTTTGCCAAAGTCAACAAGGATGAATCAGCAAGGTTGGATTTAGAGGATGAATGGCGTCCAAGAAACCTAGCGACAAGTTGCATGGTGTTGACTTGTAGCACTTGGACAACAGGCTACCAGACACTTAAACTCCTTCTGTGCAAGAAGCAACCGTCCTCGATTTGGATATGGGTTACCAGCATCTCTTCTCCACTTGATATGACTTGGATGATATCCAATGCAGGCATTCGGTTTTTTTTTTTAACGACGCCAGGCGTGCATAATCTCGACGCGAGCGAATGCCAGCGCCACAACCAAAGCAATATCCACACCTCTGACCACTTGGAGTTTCCAAGTTGTTCGATCCAATCCACGCTTGTGCAGAAACGACGCATCGTTGTTATCCGTTAGAGTCATCTCGACTATAGTAGCTCCATCTACCTGAAAAGTGGTTCGACTTCCAGCTTTGTCAAAAGACCGTATCTGGATAGAGGATGTATCGCTTCCATCGGCCAGGACTTCTACATCAACTGCTGTAAAGCCGGATGTGCTTGTGACATCTTTGATCTTGCAGAATTCGTTGCCATTGTGGTCCTCCAGGACCCAGGTTTTCAAGCCCATTTTGGTGTGACGCAGATCTAGAACATGGCGACCCTCGCTATCAAAAAGACCACGACGTAGTGTCCACGAAGTCCCCATGTCTTTGGCATTGAGATTGAAGATTTTGGTTCCACTTTCGTCGTAGACGACAGCATCGCGGAAGTGTCGATCGTGACAGCGAAGGCCGAGTGTGCGATCATGTTCAGCGATGAACCCGCTATTCGAGGTTAGAGAGACAGCACTTGATCCGATTCCAGATTTCATTTTTTGGAGAGGGTGAGAGCAGTATTTGTTCGTAAGGGACTTGTGGTTGCGAATAGAGGGAATGGCAAGAAAGGAACAGTGTACTCGAGTACTAAGTAGAGGATATCTGAGGTTCCCGCGACATATGTCCGGCGCTCCACTTTTGCTCCCCGCTGGCTCTCTTGACCAAAACTCGCTAGTTGACTCCTGATTTGCAGCTTTGGGTGAGGGTGTGGGGGCTCCTTTCTCGTACAGTCTCTTGGCTTGCGTATCTGGTGATTTTCCCTTTATATGACAGCTCGAATCGCCAAACTGTCATAGATGTTGGCGAAATTCCCGTGGTGTGGTTCTCCATTTGATGTTGGAGGTTCGTCATGTTGGTCTGACGGTTTGGACGGCTTGATTCATACAACTGTTGGAATTGGTGTTTGATGTGGGCGTTGTCATCTTCTTGGGCGAGTTGAGCTGATGAATATAGTTGCTTCGTATCTGTAAAGGTGCATTATTGTAAGAGAGCTTGTTATCGGTTTGTACTTGCAGGGGGATAGATGCTACAGAGCTGGATGTCATGAACTGATATTCGTGGAAGCCTGCTGTACGCGCGATGATGGAAGTGAAACTTGACGATGATGTAGATGAGGGTTGCTGCCTGTGATGGTAGACAAACCAACCTGATATGGACGATAAACATTTCTAATCAAGCACATACGGCCACAGTCAGCTGAAAACTGGGCATCCCGTCCGCTCTGCCATACATAAGCAGTTGAACGGCAGATTAGTACTACGGTGGGTGACCACGTGGGAATCCCTGCTGCTGTATGTTTTGTGCCATCCCATCTTTTTTGTTTGAAGACGGTGTTGAAGATGGGGTTGCAGGCGCTCTGGACATAATTTGCGTCTGGCCGTCAAGATTTTTGACCAGATGCCTCACCAAAAGCACAAGTGAAAGTCGAGATGCTTGGCACGCTGTGACTCGAATGTCGACCATCGGTATTCGATACTGAAACACAGCAATTGAATCTTTTCTTTTATCATTGACCACAATTGACACGATATCGAAATCATGTCTCTCACAAACGGCTCTCCTTCAGAAGCCGCAAGAGCAGCCAAGCTCTCATCGCGCACCCTCGCCATCCTCTCAACTGAAGACAGAAACTCTGCTTTGCAATCAATCCACGATGCACTGTCTGCAGCAAAGTCTGACATCTTGAACGCAAATGCCCGTGATCTGGAAATTGCGACAAAGTCTGCTGCTGATGGCGAGTTGAGTCAGAGTATCTTGAAACGATTGGATCTTTCTAGACCTGGCAAATTTGAGGATATGTTGAAGGGTATTCTGGATGTGAAGGGATTGGACGATCCTGGTATGTTTTTTTTGATTGTGTATTGTGCGATATGGGTGTGATTGCTGATTAATATTGTAGTTGGAAAGGTCGATATGCGTACAGAGTTGGATGACGGTCTTATACTGCAACGCCAGTCGTGTCCAATTGGTGTGCTCCTGATCATCTTCGAGGCTCGTCCCGAGGTCATTGCCAACATCGCTTCTCTGGCCATCAAGTCTGCGAACGCTGCTATCTTGAAGGGTGTGTACTGGTCAGACGTCGTTAGAAATCTTGAAACTAACAGCATGAACAGGTGGCAAGGAGTCGACAGAATCGTTCAAAACCATCGCAACAGTTATCTCCAAGGCACTCGAGAGCACAAAGGTCCCCAACGACTCGATTCAGCTCGTCACAACCAGAGATGCAGTGGATCCTCTGCTTCAACTCAGCCAGTACATCGATCTTGTTATTCCCCGCGGATCCAACGAACTTGTCCGCCACTGCCAGCGTATGGCCCATATGCCTGTTCTCGGCCACGCTGATGGTCTATGTCACTATTACATCCACCCGGATGTCGAGCCCGAGATGGCTGCAAGCGTTATCGTGGACTCAAAGACAGATTACCCAGCAGCTTGCAACTCCCTCGAATCTCTGCTGGTCAACGAAGATGCATTGAAGACTATCTTGCCTGGTGTAGCATCAGCTCTGCTTGCCAAGGGTGTATCATTGCTTTGCGATCCTGCCTCAAAGGCCGCACTTTCCGAGACACTGAACAAGGATGAAGCAGCCATGCTGCAGGACGCCGGCGAATCAGACTTTGACACCGAATTCCTCGACCTCATTCTTGCCATCAAGACTATCCCCAGAACCCAAGATCCGCTAGAAGCCGTCGATGCGGCTGTCGAACACATCAACATGCACGGCTCACACCACACAGACGCCATCCTCACATCCTCAGAACAAATCGCCGATCGCTTCTGCAATGGAGTCGACAGTGCATGCAAGTTCTGGAACTGCAGTACCAGAATGTCAGATGGCATGCGCTTTGGCTTTGGCACAGAGGTCGGTATCAGTACAAACAAAGTACACGCTAGAGGTCCTGTTGGTCTGGAAGGCCTTTGCATCCACGAGTACAGAATCAAGGGATCTGGACAGGGTGCTGCCATGTACGGAGCAGGTGGCAGTAGACAGTGGAAGCACAAGAAACTTCCACTTTGAGGTGCCTTGGACCTAGGCATGTAGTCTAACGTCAGCTCTACGGATATAATGATGGGAAAAAAAGTAAAAATGTTTATTACCCTCAATACTCGACCTGGCGCAATGCACAGTAGTTTGGAGCAGAGCCATATCCACCGAGAGCGATAATGTTCTGTTGTCTCTCTAGGAATGCAACTCTGGTCTCGAGATGACTGTGCATTTCCTTCATTCAGATGGCGCTCTCTGTTTATAAGAGGAAGTGACAGAATTTCGCCACATGTGGCTGGCGCACGCATCACGGTTTCTCTTGATTGAGACTTCGAGTGAAGTGATTGCCAGCATTGACCTTTGGCTTTACCACTCGAGGAAGGACCAACACCGCGCCTTCTTTTTCACTTGACTCTGCATCAAGCACGAACCCACTACTGCTGCCTTGGTTCATCTTACTTCTTTTCACACTTTCCTCTTCTCACCCTCTACCTTGATCACTTCCATCCAGTGCGTCCGACACAATACGCAATTCGCCTCGTTACCTCTAGTGACCAAGACTGCGAGATCCGCTGCACGGCGTGACTCGAAGTGCCTTTCTGCAAATCAAGTCGACTCCTTGTTAACTCACCACTCTTCTACTCTCATCAACCAACACCTCATCACACAACCCTTCGCCCCACAACCCTTCACCACAGAACTTTTCATCAACCAACCACTCATGCAAGCCTGTTTGATCTCTGCTCGAACACGCATCACTCCACCAACATGGACGATCTACCACTCGAGCTCAAGCAGCGCGTCTGCAGCTATCTCACGCCCAAAGATCTGAAATCGCTCAGGTTGACTTCCAGAGACTACGTTGCCGCCACCGACCGCTACCTCTTGCCGCGCATCTTCTTGTTCAACCACCCCGACAGCTTTCAAGAGATCCAGGATATCACCAATCATCCTGATTTGAGACACTCAGTCACTACCTTGGTTGTTGACACATCCTGTCTACGTTCCCTTCCGAAGTATCAAGACTGGGCCCGTTACTTTGAACATGACAGATCTACCTCGACAAATCAAGTCGATGCTCGTACACAAAGATCCCTACGTCGTGACAGAAATCGGTGAGTGGTGCCTCAAGCACGGAATCAACCAGTAACTAACCAATCCAGAGCAAGATGGATGAAATATCAGGAAAGGGTTCTGGCCCAACGTAGTTCAACAAAGTCTATGCTGGAAAGTATTTCGCTTGCTTTCGAGAAATGCCCCAAATTGAGCAACCTCATCATCGAGTGCCTCAGTTCAAACACTACCCCCGGACTGCTTCAGAAGACGTCCCGTTTCTATTACGACATTCAAGCACATGAAATACCAACGAGTTGCTTTCAATTGTGTTTGACGTCCACGGAATACTGCATATGGGACTTGTTGAAGCCAGTTCATGATGCCGGCCGCATGCTGGAATCCTTGGTACTGCTTAACCCGTGCATCACATCTCCTCAAGACTGGACCATGCCCACTACCACGATCTTCCACAGATTGAAGCACCTCCGATACTGTGGTGATCCTTCCAAATCTTTGGCGTCTATAACGATTCGCGCTGCAGAGCTCCAAAGTATCGGCATGATTGGCACATACAGTGAGGATTTGTGTTCGTTCCAATCATTGTTTGGCGGATCTGTGCTGCATAACCTTCGAGCCTGCAGTCTGGATTTTCTGGGACTTGATGAGAATGATTTGGTCCAATTCCTGCTGCGTCAATCAGACACACTGCAGGAGTTGAGGATCACTCCAGAATCCTGGGTCTCGAGGGTGATCTGGCGATCATTCGCCAACCGTGTGCGAGGCCAATTGCCCAACTTGAGACGAGTGAGGCTCCACAGACTGGGGGAACGTACGCGGCCCCTCCCGAACGGGTTGTCAACAATGTGGTACCTCAAAGCGGCTGATATTCTGCAAGACCATGCGTATGCTCTGGAGATAGGCCCAAGAGAGATCGACAACGGCCTCTGGAAGGAATATGAGAAGTTATTCTTCCCAGGAAAGTACAAGTGATGGGGTCTGGGAGGTCGGTACAAGAAAGAATGCGAAAGAGACATTTCCGATACATATCACTCAGCAAAGTATTCATCTAGGAGGAGATGAGTCGAGGAACCATGTTTAGCTGAGAGAAGAGTCACACAATCGAAGCATGGTAGCGTTGTTATATCACGAAATCAAATTCAAGTAGAAAAGGTCAACAGCTCCTCCTCCACCTCTTTGATCTTCTTCACTAGACTAAGTGTTAGTTCTTGTTGTTTGAAACACAACTATGACTTTAATGTTCGCAAGAATGTATGATTTGCAATGGATGATATAATCGATATTTCACACTCTGCTGCTTACTTCTGACTTCCTCACATGGCTCTGCGTGTAGTGTAGATGGCCGCTGAAACACACAACAGTTTCGACGAAGAAGATAGTGTCCATCTAGATAACGATATGTTCTAGGCTCTCTATAGTCAAACTCTCGATCTGAAAACACCCGTAGATTTCTATGGTATGTATAGTGCTCAATACCTTCGCAGGAGGGAGGAACGTAGTACTTATGATCTCTACCACACATAGATGTATGTTTCAACACACGCAAACATGGGGCTCACTTGTAGACAAGATGAATGGTTGAGGGAAGAAGAGATCAAAAGTAGTGACAAGCGCTGTTGAGAGATTGAGAGGACGGTGAGCAGCAAAGAAAAAGTTGCAAAAGAATCTCCTCTCTCTGAGTCGAACAAAGGACCTTCTGATGACAATCGAACAATTACAGTCAGACGCTCTAAACCAACTGAGCTAAGAAGAGATTGATAGAATCGAAGCTCAATCTGTTCATTCATATTGCCTCAGTACATGACATTATCCCAAACGATTGGACGCCTGCACAGGTTCCCGAGTCACCATCAACACTGCACGAGGTGAGAAGAATGGATCCAAGTATAGCTGATAAATGGATGCTCAATGGCGCATCCACCCAAAACGACCTTCTTTTCTTGAGGTCTTGATTCAAAAAATACTAAATACTGTCCAGTGACTCTTCCCATCTAACCACTTCTCTGCCTTCTGTTCCAAGATGCAACTGCTACAGAGCATCATCACCATCTGAACGGATCTCTGAGCTCCCCTTCTCTGATCGACCACAACCAGGCTTCGATATACGAGCGCTTGATGGCATCGCAAAGCAGTTTGCCAGTCCCATCTCTTGCACTATGACCACCTCCACCCTCCAAGTTCAAATGTTGCTTTCCCAGAACTGAGTCTTCGCGCAGCTAAGGCGAAGGAGTAGGCCAATGGACATCTGCTCCCTAAGCAATCACATCTGCATTGGCCTTCTGCACCTGCTCTTGCTGCTGTTGACCTTCCTGCGCTTGCTCACCACCGTTCTGACCGGGTATAATCAACTCTTCATCGCCGTCCGCATCTGTAACGAAAGTGCGATCGCTGACGTGTTTGGCGTTAGGGTTTGTCCAGTTCGCACTTCGCTTCTGTCCGTCGGTGTGGCGGTAAGGGCAGTTGGGGTTGAGACAGGGTGTGTAGCGGCACATGATATCGCTGTGTGAGTACTGGCAGCCAGAGTCGCGTTCAGGGCAATCAGCGCCGTTCCTGCAAGGCGGTGTGGTGGGGTGTTTGAAGGGGCAGTTCGGGTTGGTGCAGTTGGGGTAGAATTTGCAGTCGACTTGGGTGGAGAGGTGGGCGCGTTTTTGTGCTGGCGAGGGGTGAGAAGCGACACACTTCTTGTTTGTGCAGGCGGCGCCGTAAGGACATGTGTCGGTGAGATCTAAGGCGATGCCAGGTGGTGCAGCAGGAGATTGATGGCCGAAGTGACATGAAGGGTTCGTGCAAGAGAGCTGGAAACGGCAAGGGATGGTTGAGGGTTCCTTTTGCTCCGAGTCGGCGTTCTCAGCGTTGTCTGTGTCCATGGCATCTGCTCCTCCTGCATTGGGTCGCTGGTTGTTCTTGAAGTTGCTGTTTTTCCTCGGCTTCTCGACGCGGTCGAACAGTGACTTGCCTTGCTGGCCCTGCTGCTGCTGCTGACCGTTGAAGAATGCTGGATTGATGGCGGGAGCATTGGGGAATTGCTGGCCAGGACCGAGGATCTGAGCCATCATGCGCGATTGCTCTTCTAGCATTTTGAAGAGTTGCATCTGTTGCTGAGGGTTGGCTCCCATAATGGCGTTCTGAGTCATGGGCGAATTCATCTGGCTCATGTTTTGCATGCGGTTGGCCATGTTGCGAGGACCCTTCGGAGGCTCGCGGTTGTTGTGAGTGTTTATTTTGCCGACACCTCCTCCACCTCTGACTCTGTGTAGCGCGGCATCGTTTGTGCGGTCGAGAGCCTTGTTCATTTGACCGAGCATGCGACGGTCTCTGCCGGTCTGCTGCTTGCCGTTACCGTTGCGCATCGACTTGGGTCCGGTAGGACTGGGTATGGTTAGCATATGAGTCTCGCGAGCATGGCGTGGGCCAACATACATTGCGCCTTCAGGTAGCGAGTCGCCTCCATCACCCATAGTCTGGTCTTGTTCCGGCTGAGCAGTTGTGCCATCCGCAGGTTGCGCCGACTCCATGTTCGCATCTTGAGCGCCATTGAGCTGTCCGTTAAGCGAGTGGACTTGTTCGAACAACCATGTTGCAAACTGGTTGGCGCTGGGATCATCGGGACCGAGGCCTAGCAGGTCGTTCGAGAGCTCAGAGGCGATCTGACTTTGGGTCTTGCCGTTGACCAGCATGAGGATGATGTACTCGGCGAGAGCTGAGTCGTCTGCGGCGCCGGTGCTCCATCCGACCTCGGCGAGCTTGGGTTGCACGGCATTTTGAAGGGCTTCAGCCAGTGGTGTTCCTGCCAGCACTTCAACCGACATGATGTCTGTCTTGTGTTTTCCTGTGATAATGGCGATGCTCTGCGTGGCAAGCGGGTGCGTCGTTTGACCTTGTATCTTTCCGTGCGATGATTCTCGAATGTCGACAAAAGATTATATTTTGGGTAGATGGGTGATTTGTCTCAAGCGAATGCGTAACAATAATTGTCTTGTCTAGCTTCCAGTGGTTGGCTGCAAGAAAAGAAAGGGAAAGTGATGCTCGCAGACGCAACCGGCGCCGAACCGCGACTTTCTTGGCGTGCGCGCCAAACTCCGTCATGCCTTTCATTGTCTTCATTGTGGCTCTACCTACCAATAGAACTATTCACTTGTTAGAGTCATTCACTCACAAACAAGACAAGCTGACACCATGTTTACTTGGACAAATGAGACATATTTATAAGCCTGTGCGGCTGCTATATCCAGATAGATAGGCTAATCGTGGTCCTCAGGTCTCTTGACTGGGCTGGCTCTGTCTTTTGTGTTTTGTTCCAGCAATGGAGCAATGTTGAGACTAAGACTGTTTCTGATCATCGCCCCTGCTGTGCTTGTCTTCCGCGGGTGTTCCTTGCTGATCTTGCCGCTGTTCTCCTCAATCGACCGCCTCGATTCCGCTGCCACTATCTGCTCATGCGCCTCTCTTTTTGAGTCGTCTCTCATGGTTCGCATCTTCATGACATTGTATGCTGCGATACTGGCGATAGTTACTACCAGTCCAGAGATATTGATCGGTGTGAGTTTGTCGCCGAATATGATTCCAGCAGCTGAAATGGTCAACACTTCTTTGAAGATGCCGCATACGCTCAATGTCACTGCGCTGGTGCGCTTGAGAAGAGCAAACTCTGATGCAGTCATCAAGAAGGCGAGTACACCAGGGAAAAGAATGATGCCGACGGATCCAGCGACACCTCTGGAATCGGCCAGGTCACGCAAACCACCAGCAAGCTCGATTGGGCCCTCGACGGGCAATGCGATGACGAGTAGTGCTGCGAACATGACAGGTGCCAGGAAGAAGATAGATGAGAAGGGGTTGCTGGTAGCTGGGCTGCGAAGAAGTAGAATCTGGGTTAAACTCCAGCGGAAACCAGAAAAGAAAGCTGCGCTCATAACCAGTATAAAGCCCAGAACGCTGAAAGCCGTCTCTCCGGCGACCATCATGACGACTCCAGCCATCATGGTCAAAATGATAGCTCCAACCTTGAGCGACGGTTTCTCGAGGCGGAAGGCCAGGGCGAAGACAAGCACGAAGCCCAGCACGGACGATTTGCACATGGTATAGAAAGTCAAAGAAATGAATTTGAGCGACATGTTTCCGAGGCCGATGTCCAGGCCAGTGGCTGCACCGCAAGGACCGATGCGGGTCAAGTAGAACCAGCCAGTCATGAGCGGCTTGCGAGGTGCTTCGATTGTTTCTCCATCTGCGGACTGGGCAACAGGCGCGTATTCGGCGGGTTTATGTTTCGGTCGTAGGTTGGGGATGAAGTATAGGACGAGCGAAGAAAGGAAAAATTGTACGAGCATGTGTACGCAGGTGGTGAAAAGAGGGAAGTGGAAGTCGAGGTTGCCTTTTGAGAACATCCATTTGTTGTACTAGAAGCAAGTCAGTATACTTTCGACTTGTTTGCTGTTGCGGAAAACAACAGAACTTGGAGTGGGCTGTGCGACTTACGACCGAGATGGATATTGAGAAGGTGTACCACAGTCCTATGAGTATACAGTTTATGATTGCATCGCGCATGAAGCTGGCAGAGGCCAGACGTTCCTCTTCCTTGGATATGTCGCCGTCAGGAACAATTCGCTCGTCGGCCAGCGTATTCCGCCTCTTCCGTCTCGTTCTCTTCTGGCGATCCTGTTTTGTCAAGCCCGTCTCTTCATCATCTTCGAGACCTTCGTCGGATCGAATATCATCCATCTCCCAGTCCGAGCCTGATGACACTGGATTGGTTTCCTCGTCGTCGTAGCTGTGCGGTGACTCGGCGTGGGCGGCTTCGGGAATGTCGGAAGGCATTCTCCTCGGACTGGCTCTCCTGATGCCGATGCGTTCTTCATTGATGATTTGTTGGACGAGTGACGAGCCTCGTCGCCTCGTCGAGCCCGCCTGCGAGCTTTCTGAGTCCATGATCGGATGCGCCTATGTGTGAGAGAAGGAGTGTGTTGATTTGGTCGGATGGCAGATGTAGGTGTGAGCACGTGTGGAGGGCAAGCCACCATAAGCTTGTTGATGTGTGAAAAGCTCCGAATGACAGGGTACTTGTGACAAAGTATTAGACCAGCATTGTCTGTTTATTCAGGGATTGGGCGACAATGATGACAAGACGACAAAATGGCAGGGAACAAAGAAGTGGATGGCGATGATGTATGATGTCTGTTGCTTTTGCATCTTTCCCCTGGGCCCTGGCTGGTGCACCGCGCTCTCTTCCCCGTATCGTTAGGGGGTCCACTTTGCACCGATCCGCAGTCTAGCCACGCTCCATCACATGCATCCCTGCTAAGATCTCTACTCGAAGGGGACAAGCATTGCTCGTTCTTGCTCTTGCCAAATAAACACTGCTATCTGCGATAGAATCTGTACAGAAGAAAGCACCTGGAAGCCTGTCGAGTCCAACCTCCAGCCAGTCGATGCTGCTCTCGATTTCTCAAATTGCGGCTCTCAACTCCACACATGACCCGTTGCATGTGCTGTGGCTTTACGAAAGAGAAGATCCTGCCTGAAATAGGCACTTTGTTACGGCCGCGTTCATCCCGTCTCGTTCATCGCATCCTTGCGACTGTTGAAATCACCGACCAAACGCGCGAACGAACCTTTCGCTTTTGCGAGCTCAAATCGTGATGACATCCACCTGACCAAATCGCAGTTGAACAGACTTTAGATATGTGGAGAGAAGCCTCCTCCCAAAACTCTGTCAGAGGTGCAAGGTAGCTATAACTTTGCACAGTGACTTTGAAGCAGCCGAGCGGTCCCGACGAGAGATACCATATCAACGGCTCTCCCTGGACATCCTTCCTGTACCAAACAATACCGTGCATCTTGATGGTGTCCATATCGCGCTTCCAAATCTTGGAGTGTTGATAGATTGAGGCTGATCGCAACAAGTCTTCTCCGCACTCGAGAGATTGTCATGCAGGCCAAGAGCACTGCCTCTACTTGGTCGTAACGGATACGCTGCCAACTTCACCTTCGACAACATCATACGGTCTTCGTGATCCAAGCAGCGAAATCTGGCGTCATGTCAAACACTAACACTCTCAAGGTCAAGCACCTTGGATGCGACGATGTCTTCGAGAGACCGGACATCTTCGTTAATCCAGGACTAACGGCGAGTCTTTCTGCAGAGACGTTGATTGATCCTGATCTCATTGCTTTCCATCAATCTTTCCCAGAATCGAAGATTACTCCTCTGATACAGCTGCCTGAAGTGGCTAAAGAATTGGGCGTTGGCCATGTCTATGTGAAAGACGAGAGTCTTCGATTTGGCCTGCCGTCGTTCAAGATCTTGGGCGCATCCTGGGGAGTCTTCAGAGCCATCTGTGAGAAAACAGGTCTATCCTCTTCCGCATCGCTTGAGGAAGCTGGACATGCAGCTCGCGATGCAGGTATCAAGCTGGTCTCGTGTACCGATGGGAATTGGGGTAGAGCAGTCGCGCGCACTGCGAGATACTTAGGCATCAAGGCCACGATATTTGTTCCCAGGACCATGGACGAAGCAACTCAGGATAAACTACGTGGTGAGGGCGCTACAGTCAATGTGGTTGATGGCAGTTATGATGACAGTATCGCTGCCACCATGGCGGAGGCCGAAAGCTCAGAAGCTATGCTCGTGATGGACACTAGCTGGGACGGGTATTCTCGGATACCGCACTGGGTGGTCGAAGGATATGCCACCATGCACGCGGAAGTAGATCGCCAGCTTGAGGAGTCATGCGGAAAACGACCATCGCTATGCATCGCCTCAGTCGGTGTTGGCTCTTGGGCACAGTCAGTCGTCTCTCATTACACAGGTCCCGACTTAGATACAAAGGTTATAACAGTCGAGTCAGAAGCGGCACCATGTCTGATGGAGAGCCTTCACGTCGGACGTGTTGTTCCAGTGGAGACTGGCAAGACTATCATGGATGGTAAGAAGCTAGCCAGTCGATGCTGTCGTAAGCTAACTAGAGCATACAGGCATGAACTGTGGGACTGTCTCCACCAATTGCTGGCCGTCCCTACGATCAGGCGTTTATGCTTCAGTGATCGTCGACGATTTGGAGGCACATCAAAGTGTTCAATATCTACAAGACCATGGTGTCAATGCTGGGCCGTGCGGAGCAGCTCCGTTGGCAGCTTTCAGGAAACTGCACAAGCGAGGTTTGTTGCAAAAAGATCCTTATGCAGTGGTTATCTTGTTCAGCACCGAGGGCAACAGAGAATACGTTGTCCCTCCGAGTTAACCCTCCCACGTACAGAAGCACACCGCATGTGTAGCTGTAGTAATGCACAATACTTTCGAGAATGATGAGAGTGTCATGGAGAGGCAAGAGATTATGGGCTCTCTTTGGAATGGGCTCTAATTTGGTAATCTTCACGACTTTCCCTGGCGAACACACGCCCTGTCTTCTGATAAGATATGCTGGGATCCACGAATTACAGCACTCGGAAAGATCGAAGCGGATGCATCGGCAAGACATGCGAAAAGGCTATCCGGATATAAACTCAGAAACGCGACATGAGTCACCAAACGCGTCTTTATTTTATCTACCGCCAGTGTCAAGACATACGAAACCTCCTATAAGCTCCCAGAAGCGCGATATATTGATTGCACAAGTACGGAAGCGTGCTCTGATTGTTATTGCCGGGTTTCCAAGAATCAACTGATTGACAGGGTGCTACTGAAAGCATGTCCGGATTTAACATATCACTTTAAAGCTGTCGCCCTTCGTCCTCAAAGTTCGAATATCTCAATCCACTGCGTTCAACGGGGTTCGATAGCTAAAACATGTGTTTTCGTATGCCTTTCGCCTCCGTCCTTCAGCTCCAAATCTCCTTCCAAGAAGTGGCTTGCGCAGTGGTTCGAGAAGAAGGACCTGCATAAGCCCATTTTCTATTGACGGAAGTTAAGCGGAAATGCCGACTGCCGCACCAAAGTTCGACCGAAGGCGCTGATTGCAGAGAAACTTGCGGCTCACCCGGTATACATACTGAACTACAGCCCGTCACTCAACAAAGACAAGCATTGGCGCCGAACACCCAGTCGTACCTTGCAGAATGCGATCACAATCAAGAAAAACGAGTCCGCGGCAACCTGGCGCTAGGTGTCATATCCTTCTCCGTTAGGACGACGAAGAACGATTTGAGAGAGCCAAGTCCTTCTAGTCCACAAATAGGTTCTTTAACGGGAGGCTGCAGCTCCGGGAGTGGACGGGGCTTGATAACGTTGAGAGTCAATCCGTTTTTGACTCTCCCACGCAGCCCAGAAGCGCTCTAGCATGGGCTCGCCAACGTTCTTGGATAGCTGAAGGAAAGTATTGTCTGAGATCTGGGTGGGCATTTTTCTCCTTGCTCTCTCCTGCATCTTCTCTCGTTTCGCTCTTTTCGTTCTTTCCTCAGTCCTCGCAATATTCACACCTGCAGAAGCCTGCTTCTGCCAACTTCGCTCGAGTCGCTCCCATTCATTCGCTCAAAACATATTAAAAACCGCCTCTGACGCGCTTGTTGACCTTGAACACCCATCTGCGATACCCGGATCTTTTACGCCCATACGATACCCCCGGACTACATATACATACCGCCATCTATAATTTATAACATATACCGCCATGCGTTACACTACTTCAGCACTTCTCGTGGCTGCTCCTCTTGTGGCTGCCACTGCTTCCAGCAAGCGTGGTCTCTGCGTTGTATCCACCTCGACAACACAGGACGACACAATCTGGACAAATGACACCGACCTGTAAGATACTCGGCATCGCGACACGCTTGGTAGAACCCGAACTGACCAGACCAGGACATGGTACTACAACTACGCCGCCGTTCCCACATCCGACTACACGGGCAAGCTCAACTTCGTTCCTATGCTCTGGGGAGCACCCGAGGACCCGGCGAATGACATGACTTTCTACAACACTGTCAGCAACCTCATCAAGGGAGGATCAAACATTACACACGTTCTCGGATTCAACGAACCCGATGGTTGTGGCCAAGGTTACGGTGGCTCCTGTGTTAGTGCCGCTACTGCAGCCCAGATCTGGAAGAAACAGATGGAGCCCTTGAAGCGCGATTTCGGCGTCAAGCTCGGTGCCCCTGCAGTCACTGGTGCCACCACTGGATTCAACTGGCTTCAGAACTGGTTCACTGAATGTGCTGCTCTGGTTGCTAGCTCCTCCGACAGTGCGTCCAACACGACTTCTTGCGAAGTTGACTTTATCCCTGCCCATTGGTACGGCAACTTCGGTGGTTTGGCTAGTCATTTGGGTCAGATCAACGGCACATACCAGAACATTAGTGAGACTTGGGTCACCGAGTTCGCGTGTGCCGGCTGCTCTCTTGAGGACAGCCAGACTTTTGCCAACCAGAGCTTTGAGTACCTTGACCGCCTCAGTTACATTGGATCATACTCTTACTTTGGTGCTTTCCGTTCGTCTGTCTCTAACGTAAGTCTTGGGAGTTCTCTGTTGTCCACGATATATCGCTAACACTCACCTTCAGGTTGGACCCAATGCCGCTTTCTTGACCGAGAAGGGCAAGCTCACCGACATTGGTGCTTGGTACCTCAACAAGGCTTCCACTGGCGCCATCCCCAAGGGTGATGCCAGCACTGTCGCCAAGTTTGCCGGCTGGAGTGGTCTTGTCGCTGCTACCATTTTCTGGGGCATCTTGTAAGCGTTCGATCATGTCTGGTTACTGGGAGCGGGCGTATGATTCGGGAAAGACCTCAACTTTAGAGAGGCCGGATATTTCGAATAAATTTAACTCACATAACGAACTTCAGTTGTCGAAGTACTTGAGCCGCAACTTTCATCAGCACTAATTAGTGACATAACAGCTCAACTGTAAGAAAAATAGAAAGATGGACAAGATTGATCAACATGTCACGGAGATATTGCGATCGAGGTCTGATCTTCAAGCCTGGAATGTTCTGTCTGAGGCCAGTCGACACGATGATCCTGCAATTAAATCCATCGCTGATGAAAGGTACAGTGCACGTGTGATCGACCAACTTCATCGACCAGGACCATCAGGATCCAGGATTCAGGACGACATTTCACTTTCAACAGGCTGTCAGATTACGTTGGACGATAGAGGCAATGTTTCTGACAAGTAAACAAGCATTCCTTTGGGCGAGGAAAAATAAAGATGGTTGCTCATGTCAATTTTTAGAAACAACTAATGATCAGCCAATCCAAAGCGGATAACGATTGCGTATCCTGCCAAACAAGATTGCTTTGTGTCTAAATACTGTTCGCCAAGATGTGATTGAGGCACGATTGCTATGATGCAGTGGTTTATCGATAGATAGGTGACGAGTCCTTACGGGTGTTTGAGACCGCGGCGGCGAATGGAGCATTCAATCTATCAAAGTACGACCGGCTCCTGATGGATCGGAAGCAGCAGCAGAAGAAGACCTCGCTCGTGTCAGGGCGCTTAGACCTTGCAGCTCGCAGGATGATGGCAGGCAGTTGTGGCTTAAGGCGCAGCGTCGTTGTGGATGCAACAAGGCCGTTTGTGCATGTAAACATAGACATACCTCCAACGAAGTCGAGCTGGTAACATGACAACCGCAAGCCAATGATGGCATGACGATAGAGCAAAGGTAGGCGGCGATGCACGCAAAACAGCAGGCACTCCAAGATGTCGAGGAACAACCGAATCGCATGGGTCAGGCCTCGAATGCCACAAAGTCCCGTGCGCGCATGCAAGTAGGTAGGTGCGTGCCGACTAGCAATTGGTTGTCTTCATCTCACCTCATTCGCTCGCTCTTCTGCATCTGCGCACTTGCACTTTCCTATCACTCTTTTTATTTCGTTTTGTCCATCGCTCCTACGTTCTGCTGTCTTCTTTCTTCTGTCGCACATTTCACGCCTGAATTTTCCGTCTTGCTCGTGTCTTTTTCCAAAACACGCACAACGTCCTGCTCCCGCGTTTAGCACGTTTCAACTGCCCGCACCCCCTGATTACGCCGCCGACTCACACCGCGAACGTCTTTTGCTCGGCCACTGGCCCAAAACACTTCTTGATTATCCATCTGTGTCGTCTCTGACTTCACACACACACTCGTTACCCACATCTACCGATATCATCGCTGGACACATACAACACATCCAGCTTGATCGCGACTCGTACCCCGGCCTCGAACCCCTGAAAGCTTAAAAGTCTGGAAATTTGATATCGTATATAGAGGCCCTGCTTCTACACCAAAAAATCCCACCATGTGGTCTTCGGGCGTCTCGTGGACTTTGCCACTTGTACTGCTCAGCGCTCTGCCGGCCAGAGTGTTGGGTGGTGATGTTCTCTCTACTCAAGGATACAGTTTGTGTTCGACCGACCCCACAATCAAGGTCGAAGCCTTGGATATTCAATACGACCGAACAACGGGCATGGTAGTCTTCAATGTTGCAGGAAGCAGTTCAGAGTCACAGAACGTCAGAGCCAACATCGTCGTCACTGCATATGGAAAACAGGTATACCAGAAAGCCTTCAACCCTTGCGAGTCTGGCACATACGTCGAGCAACTTTGTCCAGGTATGTATACTCGTCTTTGATCATCTGTCTCGTCCATAGCTGACCTTCAATCTACAGTCCCGGCCGGAAGCTTCGCTGCACAAGGTAGCCAAAAGATTCCTGCCGAATACGCCAGCCAAATCCCTGCGATCGCTTTCAACGTACCCGACCTGGACGGAATCGCCAAGCTCGAATTGTTCTCCGACAACGATGAAACCAAAGATCTTGCCTGTGTCCAGTCAACAGTCAGCAACGGAAAGTCGATGAATGTTCAGGCAGTCACCTATGTTGCCGCTGGTATGGCAGGCGCTGCTCTGGGTATATCCGCTCTCGGTGCTGTGGCTGGTGGATTCCACGTTGGTGGAGCTTCGCCCAGTCCTACATTTGGAGAAACCTTTGGCTGGTTCCAAAGCATCGCAACAACCGGCATGCTCAGTGTCTCATACCCTTCCATCTACAGCAGTTTCTCCAAGAACTTTGGTTTCAGCACTGGTCTTATTCCTTGGGGTAGCATGCAGACCACAATCGACAGCTTCCGCGAAAAAACAGGTGGAGATCTATCGACAGACAGCTGGAACTACTTGCAAAATGTCACCATCGTTGATGGTAGCTACAGCAGCAACCTCACCAAGCGCAGCATCGACTCCATGTTCCTCTACGCCAGAGACTTCACCGCCAGTGTCAATGGTACTGACGTTGTCAGCAACAACTCCACGACTTCTGGCAACGGCACAGCGACCGAAAGCAAACCCATGCACTACGTTCATGGCATCCAGGCTTACGTGGAGAAGCTCTCTATTCCCCAAGGAAACACTTTCATGACCATCTTGCTCTTCTTCGCAATTGTTATTGCTGTAATCACTGTTGGAATTCTGCTCACTAAGGTTATTCTCGAAGCCCTGGCTCTCATGGGCAACCTTCCCAAGTCCATGAACAGTTTCCGCAAGCGTTACTGGTGGCGTCTCGCAAAGACCATCACCAATCTGGTCATGCTTGCTTATGGTGTCTGGACTCTTTACTGTGTGTACCAATTCACCAACGGCGACTCATGGGCGGCCAAGGTTCTCGCTGGTGTCACTTGGGCTATTTTCACCTGTATTCTCGGATTCTTTGCTTTCACGATCTGGCACAAAGCCAACACATACAAGAAGATGGATGGAGATGCAAGCATGCTGTTTGAGCACAAGGAGACTTGGGTCAGATACTCTTTCCTCTACGAAAACTTCAAGAAGGGATACTGGTGGTTGTTCATCCCTACAATTGTCTACGCATTCGCCAAAAACGCCCTTATCGCTGGAGCCAACGGACACGGCCTGGTTCAGACTATTGGTCAAATCGCCATCGAGTGTGTCATGCTCATCCTGCTCATCTGGTCAAGACCCTACTCACTGAAGAGTGGCAATGTCATCAACATCACCATTCAGGTCGTCCGCGTTCTTTCGGTCATCTGTGTGCTCGTCTTTGTTGAAGAGCTAGGTATCAGTCAGACAACCAAGACCGTCACTGGTCTTGTTCTGATTGTTGTGCAATCCGTTCTCACCGGTGTTCTGGCTATCCTTATCGCCGTCAATGCTATCGTCACCTGTGTCCGCGCCAACCCTCACCGCAAGAGAAGAAAGGATGCCGAAAAGCTCAACCGCGACCTTGATGATCTCACTCCCCTGGACGCTCGTAACTCTCTCCTCATGGATCCAACACAACTTACCGAATACAAGGGCGCAGGCTCACAAGTATCGGAATACAAGAAGGCACCTCTTGTGTCACCCTCGCTCAACAGCACAACAAAGAGCAAGATCGCATACGATCCTATGTCGAAGAAATCAGACGGAATCTACAGTGCAAGACCAGGATTCTCGCGGGACGAGAGTCAACAAAACCTCATGTCAGGTGCAGCCAGCATGGGCGGTAGAGACCGAAGCAACAGCCCTGCGGCAAGAGAGCCCAGGTTGCCTGAGATCGAGCTGGGACAGTTTGACTTCCGCCATCAGCATTGAGCGAGTATCGTCTGCATGATTGGGTTATTGAGCATTATGTGTTTTCATCTGTTTCTTTCCCGTTTCCCTTTGCAAGCGAATAGTTTCTTTTCTTCTGTCTATACTCGAATTCACGTAGATAAGCCTTTGTCTTCATTACTTCACTTTCTAAACCTCCTCACTTTTCCACTCCCTTCTTCGGAATCTGTGACTCCCAAGGCTCCTGTCATCACGGTGGCGCATCCCCTCATTGTAGTGAAGATCAGTACTGTCGATTGTAGAGACGCACAATAGTTCTCAAGACAGAGTGGATCGCTTCTCGGCATCATTGTGCATGTGACCGCTGTCTGTGTTATACACTGTGATACGCAAACAACGAAAGGGCTTGTTTCTGGCTCGTGTCCGACTCGGGTTCAACCTAGAGGCGATGATTTCACGGTTGCTTTCAGAAAGTTACTTAATCGGTGTCGGCATTCGGGACATAGTGTGATTGGCTCTGTGTTACGAGCCACGAGGGCCGATGTCAAGGACAGGCTCTCTGCAGGCGAGAGCACATGTGCGGTTAAGCAGTGACAGCAGTGTGGTGGATGCGTAGTGGTCAAACGGATGGGGGCGGGGACTTGTTTGGTCATGGCGGCTGCTTCACAGCCACCACCTAAGCCCCACGCAGCAGGCCTGATAGTGCGCGCTTTCCAACCCTTCTTTGCTACAACATCACCGTCCTAAACACAAGCAGACCGATTCCGTGAGCCAGGGGTTGCAGCTTCCAGAATCCTTTCAGGAGAAACAGCGACAGACAAACGATCAGCATTCCGAAGGCGCAATATGGGGAAGTCGTGAGTAACAGCCCCTCCCTCCTTTGTCTTGTCTCGTCGTATTTGCTTCATCCTCTGGCCATGGCTCGTTCGTTGCCACTTCGATCCATGTCCTCTCCTGCTCGACCAATGCCTCGGCGAGCTTCCGTCGACTCCAATCGTCACTCGTCAACCAGATCAGCTCCACAACACAATGCAGCCAATCGACCAAGAACACGACAAACCCTCTACCTCTCCGACAGCCGGTGACACTACATGCGTCCTCGCTACCTCGAACCATGCCAGGTCGCGACCCAAGCACATCCCGCGTCACACTTCCGATGACTATCTGGACTATGCAGTCAACCGCGACACAGCACTTCGTACAGCCATTCACCACCTGGAGCAAGAGCTTGGAACACACAGCCCAATATCACACATTTCACTGAGGATACACACGCTGACACTACATCCCCACAACAGTCAGAGCAAGTTGTCGGCACAGGAGCTTAGCGATCTCCAGAAGGCCACTCACTTCGACAAGAAGGAATTACAGCAATGGTACAAGGGTAAGACAATGCTCAAAGTCAGATGGTGCAGGACGCGACGCTGACGGCAACGCAGGCTTCCTCAAGGACTGTCCCTCGGGCATGCTCACCAAGGAGGAGTTCCAGAAGATCTATAAGCAGTTCTTCCCATTCGGAGATCCGTCATCATTCGCCGACTATGTCTTCAACGTGTTTGACGCAGACAAGTCCGGCTCAATCGACTTCAAAGAGTTCATCTGCGCTCTGAGCGTAACGAGCAGGGGCAAGATGGAGGACAAGCTGGATTGGGCATTCCAACTGTACGACATTGATGGAGACGGACAAATCAGTTACAACGAGATGCTGTCAATCGTTGAGGCTATCTACAAGATGGTAAGAAAGAAGGGAATGCTCAGAGTAGTGAGATATGCTAACACGCTCTGCCAGGTCGGATCAATGGTCAAGCTGCCCGAAGACGAAGACACACCAGAGAAGAGAGTGCGCAAGATCTTCCGCATGATGGACAAGGACGAGAACGGCAGTCTGGACATGGCTGAGTTCAAGGAGGGATCCAAGCGCGATGAGACAATCGTCTCGGCGCTGTCTCTCTACGATGGACTGGTGTAGAGAGGTTGTTGATGGGCATTTCTCCTTCCTTTTCCTTAGACCTTCTTTGGGGCAAGCATGCGGTTACCTACGATATTCCCCGGCGCATTGCAGAAGCAGCAGCACAGCATACACCTCTAATAAACGAGGACATGACTTTTTATACTCCCTAGCCTTTGCGTGTGTTTGAGAAAGTTGTACAAGATTGTGATAATTACCTTAATGAGCATACGCGCAGCTTCGTCATATGTTTGGCCCAAGCGTCGGCACAATGACAGTGGAGTTCTCCCCAGACCCAGATCATGGCACATGTGCTGAGTGTTCAGGAGAGCGACTCCTTTGTCCCGTATTCAACCGCTGCCCTTTTGTCTCTGTAGCATTTCTTAGAAGCGATTGTACTGTTCGACCGTCTTGCGCGACATTTTATCACACGACATTCCAATCTTGTAGTGAAACGAGGACGATAACCCGAAGGTCCGGCGCAAGCAGATGATCGCTCTCGAATAGGTGGCATAATGCGTCTCTCAGAATTAACCTTGTCGCTTTGTGCGATTCTGGTGGCAGGTCCTTCCAGTGTAGCATCCTTCTATCTTCCAGGAGTCGCACCTACGAATTATCAAACCGGAGATCGAGTACCGCTCACCGTCAACCGCCTAACGCCCTCGCAATCCGAACAAGACGCTCAAGTCCGATCTGTCTTTGCCTTCGACTACTACCACCATGCCTTCCACCACTGCGAGCCTGAAGGCGGCCCACAGCAAAAGAGCGAGAGTTTGGGAAGCATCCTGTTTGGAGACCGCATTCAGACTTCACCGCTAGAGCTATACATGGGCAAGAATGAGTCTTGCAAGGCTGTATGCGGCAAGCAGACCTTCCAGCCTCGCGACGCCAAATTTGTCAATGCTCGCATCTTGCAGAACTACAATGTCAACTGGAACATTGACGGCCTGCCTGCTGCTCAGAAGATGATCGATGCCAACGATGCCATCTTCTACAGCCCTGGCTTTTCTCTTGGCCAGGTACAGGCCAACACTCAGACCCCGGTCCTCAACAACCACTACAACATCTTTGTTGAATACCACCAGGCTGCCCAGGATCAGTACCGCGTCGTTGGGGTTCTGGTTGAGCCAGCTTCTTCCATCGACTCCAAGCTGCTGGACGATGGCAAGGTCCAGTGTGGTGACATTGCTCATCCCGTTGTGCTTTCTGACAAGGATGCTACCGACATCGTCTGGACATATAGCGTTTACTGGGTACCCTCACCTACTTCATTCGCTACACGCTGGGACAAATATCTCCATGTCTACGATCCGCGCATCCACTGGGTCTCGCTGACCATCTCTGCCATGATTGTCGTCGCTCTTGTCGGCATGGTATCTACCATTCTTCTCCGAACCCTACGCAAGGACATTGCCCGCTACAACCGCCTCGATGATCTGGCTCTTGATGACTTTGGCGGTAGCGGTCTGGACGACAGTGTACAAGAAGATTCAGGCTGGAAGTTGGTGCACGGCGATGTCTTCCGCCCACCGAGACACCCCATGGTCTTGTCTATTCTGGTCGGTAACGGCGCCCAGCTCTTCATGATGACCGGTTTCACCATTGCTTTTGCGCTGCTCGGCTTTCTGTCTCCTTCAAATCGCGGATCCCTGACTACCGTCATGGTCATGCTGTACACCTTCTTCGGCGCAGTGGGAGGTTATGTCTCTGCACGTGTGTACAAGTTCTTCCACGGCGACGCTTGGAAGCAGAATATCGCCTACACACCCCTGCTCATCCCAGGCACTGTATTCGGTGTGTTCTTCCTCATGAATCTATTCGTCTGGGCGCGCCAGTCTTCCGGAGCTGTACCATTCACCACCATGCTCGCACTCATCAGCATCTGGTTCCTCATTTCCGTGCCTCTTTCCGTCGGTGGCTCATGGCTCGGGTTCCGCGCGCCTGAGTCCACACCTCCTGTCCGCACCAACCAGATTCCTCGCCAGATCCCACCTTCAACAGGATATCTGCGTCCCTTGCCGTCCATGTTCCTCGTCGGCATTTTGCCTTTCGGCGCCATATTCCTCGAGCTGTACTTTATCATCAGCAGTATCTGGTTCAGCCGTATCTACTACATGTTCGGCTTCCTGTTCCTCTGCTATGGCCTCATGATAGTCACTTCTGCTGCCGTCACTATCCTTATGGTGTACTTTGCTCTCTGCGCGGAAAACTACCATTGGCAGTGGAGAGCGTTTTTCACGTCTGGCGCGTCGGCCATCTATGTGTTTTTGTATGCTATGCTTTATTGGGTGCGGACGCTGAGCTTTACGTCTTGGACGAGTGGAGTCTTGTATTTGGGGTACTCTGCGCTGATTAGCGCGTTGTGGTTTGTGTTGACTGGCACTATTGGCTTTGTTGCCACGTGGGCGTTTGTGTATAGGATCTATGGGTCGTTGAAGATTGATTGAAGTCATGTGCTGCATAGAGTCATAAACTATTGCAGTACTGCTCATCGGCCTTTGGAAAAGAATAGACGGATTGAATAGAGAACACGGTTGTACTTCCCTTTTCTGCGCACTTTCCGATCCTGTTCTCTGCATCATGAAGGAAAGAAGAAGGAGCAGCGATCGACGCTGATGGATGCACTCGAGGTATCATCTTGGTGCGTGTCTTCGTGGCAGAAATCTGTTGGACCGCCCTGTTCCTCGTCAGCGAGTACACATGAGACACCAGCAAAGCAGCGGGATCTTGCAATGATGAGCACACGAGGACTAACCTTGTTGTTTCGTCGTCGGCGGGCCGAAAGCAGAGGAGAGTACGCAGGTCTTTTCAACAGAGTCTTGATGGTTGTAGGTCATTGTTTGTAAGGTGATGTTGCTGTGCTTTGTTCTGGTTAGTTTAAGGGAGTGCTATGTTAGACATGCGAATGGTAAAATTTGTCGTTTTTTTTTTGTCAAATGTTTGTGCGGGTGAATGTAGACTGGTTGTTTGTCCATCTCTAGGCCTAAATGCATATATTGTCTTTGTAGACTGTGGTGAAACAGCAGCATTGGTAAAACGTCTGATGAGATAGCTATACATTATGGCTTTTGGAGGTCATTTTCCGCTCGGGTATAAAGGAGATACAAGATTCCCTGCTCTGGCCACAGGTTTTCGAGCGTGCTGTAGAATATGCAGAGTTCTTTCCTGGGATGGAATCGTTAGTCAGTGAGGTAGTGGAAAGCTGTCTGATCTCCTTTGGATGTCTTGACTTTTTTGATAACGTTATACCCGATTTCTATAGCTTCTATATTGATGTGCTTGCCCACTTTGCGAACAAGTCCAGATTAGATATATACAACCCCCAACTCAGCAGCATCGCACCCTTCCAGAACACAACTCGCCAATCTTATCGTTCCCTCGCTTGCACAATACAACACCTCTTCAGTGCCGCTAGTCTTACACTGCAACAATCCTTCTGCATCAACATTGCATACTGCTCTTTCCGCACCATCGTCTGCGATTTCTCCCTCTTCACCAAAGAACAAATCCATCTCTGAGACCCCTTTATCGATATTCGCTATCAACTTTTCGTCTGAATATGATGCCCATGGCGTTGTGGTAGAGGGCAAAACATATAGATATCCAGAGGTTGAGAGGTAGAATGCTGAGGCAAGAGAAGCAGAGGAAGTAAATTGCAACGTGGGATTACCACTTGTGGAGATGAGGACTGCGTACAAACCACTGATGTCGAGACCGGACGTACACATTGACTGCAGATGGAAGGGGTTATTAGGGGAAAAGGTGCTGATGTTCATGGATGTCGAGTTGGCGGCGAAGAAAGGTGGGTCGGTTGTGGTGCCGTTGGTGTTGGTCGTGGTGTTGGTGGAGAGGTCGTCGAAGATGAGTTTCTGGTTGACTGCTGGGACAGCAGAGCTTGATGATTGGCTTGTTGTTATGGACGCTGAGATTGTGCTGTTGGAGGGGAACGTGAACTTGGGTGTCTCACTGCTTCGAGTTGAGCTCAAGGTTGTGAACTTGCTCGTCGTTGACGACGAGATTGGTATGGTGGATAGCTTGCTCGAGCTGGATGTCGATGCTTTGCTTGTTGTGGACGATGAGGTTGATACAGTGACAAATTTGCTCGAGGTGGACATTGTCGATGACTTAGATCGAGTAATCGTACTGACCGAAGACCTGACAGTTCTTGAGGCACATGCGTTTGTGTTTGGTGTGTACAGCGGTCCTTGCGATGGATATGCTCTAGTCGATGCTGTCTCTAGAGCTTTGGTCGTCGTTTTTTGACTACTGCTCGGGATCATGGATGATTTGCTCGTTGACGTAGTGGAGACCTTGCTCGAAGTTTTGCTTGAACCAGTGCTAATTGAATTTGTGGAGGATTTGGTCGTATAAATGCTAGATGGCTTGCTCGTTGAGGTGCTAGATGATTTGCTCGTGAGGATACTCGATGGCTTGCTTGTTGAAATGCTCGATAGTTTGCTAGATGATATAGCTAAGGCCCGGCTTGAGAATGTGCTCGAAGATGTTTTCAAGGACGTGCTTGTGATAACACTCGATGACCGGTCAGACGACGTGCTTACTAGCCGACTGCTGCTCGGAAAGCTAACTGGTCTATCGCTTGAAGTACTGGTCGATCTGATAGCGCTGACGGGTCGAGCGCTTGACGAAATACTACTCGCAGACTGAGCTGTCGACGATGCAGCCGGCCTATTGCTCGATGTAGAGATTGAAGACTTGCTGCTAGGTACTTGGCTGCCAGAAATTGAACGTCTTGTCGATTGAGTTGTGGACAGACTGCTCGCTGACCGACTGGAAGACTTTGGTGTAGACTTTGAGACACCTTCGTTTCGTAAAGAGCTTGTAGGAGTGCTACTGAGCCTGGTCGAAGTAGGCTTAGCAGTCACTTCAACTATCCTTGTTATGGTGACCACTCTGGGAGGCACTACTGTGACTGTCGTTGATGCAGTGAGACTCTGTTTGATAGTCGTTCCTCGGAGAGCAGTAGAGCTCGTAGTCTTTGTTGAAATCTGGGTGATACGTGTTGTGACGGTCTTGGTCGTAGTGAGTCTGGAAGGCGCTATAGACAAGCATTTGCAAGCACTTGATATAGCCGCTTTGTTCATGCTCTTGAACATTGTCGGCGTCGCGCAAATCGAGGAAGCGGCTCTCTTGGCCAGTTCTGTATGATGATCTAGGTGTCTCCGCTTGCGCATTGATAGTGCTTGTGATGCTTGAGGCGTTACGGTCCGAGTTATTGTTACATATACGTAACTGGGCATTGCTCTGTACAGGACAGTTTGCGTCGTTACGGTAGATCTGACATTAGTGGTTGATGTTCTGTGAAGCGTTAGAAGGATCCGATATTGGCGGCATCAATACCAACTTGGTCGAGATTTGTTTCTTCGTGGTTGTCGTTCGTATCGTTGATGTTAGAGTCGTGAGTTTTGTGACAGTCGAAACTGGAATCTGAAGATACGAAGAGCAATAGCAGTTGGCATTGCTCGATCGTAAAGCCTTGACTTGGGCATTGTTGCACACAAAAGAGCTGGCTGCTCGCTCTTCCAAGGGCGAGGCGATCACCAAACTAGACCATGAGAGCCACCATACGAAGTTATTCACCTTCATGGTTTCTCCTCAAACACGGTCAGTTTGTCAAAAAGCAGTCCTGTGGGACCGGAAGACGGAGAACATTCGACAAAAGGTAGAATGGACATGACCGCGATTTTCTCTTTTACCCATTAAGGGTAGCAACAAAACCGTTATATCTCCAGCTCAGCTCGTGTATACCTGGACGATTGCAACGGTTTCTCCTGGCTGGACGATTCGAAGTCTCAGTTCAACGGCGGAGATGCACAAGCCATCAGACATACTCATACAAAACACATTGCCAGCACACGTAGCATTCTGCTTACCTAGTAAGACGGCGGTGACACATGTCCGCATTTACTACCAGATAGCCACGACCGTATAGCATAATATGTTGAGTCTTGATACCCAGAAGGTGCCAGGCGTTGAAGCCGTGCCAACCCTTGTGATTCGGCCAAGGATATGTCGGACATGACCGAAAGACGTACATTGGAACGGCGAATCGAACAGACAGCCATTGAAGAGATTCTGGGTCTCCTGCCCAGCTGTATGATGTCGCTCAGTGGAGATTGTGGAAGAAGGAGCAGACTCGGTAAAGTGGTGTCGCTCACGTTGACGTGGGGTGAGATGACGATGCGATGATTGGTTCGTGCTTGGTGAGTCTCAGACCACATCGGTGTCGACATACTCCAGTCCAACCAGCCTCGCTGTACCAATTGGTTACAGCCAGACAAGCAAGAGTCACCAAGAGATGCTGACCAGGCGCCATGGGCTGAACAGAATTGCCAGAGCGGCTTCGTGTCGCTCGATAGCTCCTTCCAGATTTGCGGCGACAAGGTAAGTGCGGTTCAATGCGACCATGGTGGAGGCAGGAGCTCACTATGTCGCGTAGGTGTTACAGTCAGCCAGCCGAACCGAACGATGTTGCTGTCCTCGGAGGAGGTATCACTGGTCTCGCTACCGCACACTACCTTGCACGATCGAACCCCAATCGCAGAGTCACCATCTACGAAAGCTCACCGCGGCTTGGAGGCTGGTTGCACACAGAAAAGGTCGAAATAGATGATGGACACATTCTTTTTGAGAAAGGCCCAAGAACGCTCCGTCCAGCTGGCAACGGTGCTCTCGTCGCTCGTCTAGTCAATCAGCTCGGTCTTGAGGACGATACCATTTTCACCATGAAGACCGCTCCTGCTGCAACAAATCGCTACATCTACTACCCGGATCACCTTGTTCGTGTGCCAGCACCAGATCCTCAAAAAGGCTTCTTGGCGAACGCGCATGCCTTTGCCTATGCTCTGGCGTTCGAACCAGCCTTCAAGGGTATCCTTTCACGCGTCTTGCTCGAGCCTTCGATCCACGCTAGAGATTCAAGCGTGACCGATGAGTCTGTTGGTGACTTCTTCGTCCGCCGTATTGGTCGCAGGCTGGTGGATCAAGTCATGTCTGCCGTTGTTCACGGCATCTATGCTGGTGACATCTACCAACTGAGCATGAAGAGTTTGTTCCCTAGCATCTGGAGATTGGAAGAAGAACATGGCAGTGTTCTTGCAGGTCTGGTACACAATATGGCCGAAGGAGCGAAAGTCCCTGCCAATGAGATCGACTTCATCAACGCCATGAAACAACCCTATCCATTTGGTTCCGACTTCCGAAAGAACTTCCGAAGGTCCAACGTTTTCACTTTCCGTTATGGTCTCCAACAGTTGGTCGATAAGTTGGAAGAGTCCCTAAAGAAACAATCGAACGTGGTCTTCCAAACAAATCAGGAAATCACTGACATCAAGAATACCGAACATAATGTGGAGCTCGAATCTAAGCATCTGACTACAAAGAAACTCTCGCAACACAAGCACACACACGTAATCTCTACTCTATCACCAGACACGACATCAAAGGTCGCCTCGTCGATGAACCGCGATTTCCTTACCTTGCCCGTCTGCCCGACACCAACAGTCATGACTGTAAATCTCTACTATCGCACGCCAGACCTCAACCCGCCTGGCTTCGGTTACTTGATTCCTCTTGGTATTCCAATCGATCAAAATCCCGAGCGTGCTCTCGGAATCACATTCGATACTGCTTACTCTGCTTCAAGTCCGGACGACAAGAACTTCAGGGGTCCCGTGCAGGACACTGTGTCAAAGCGTGGCACCAAGGTCACAGTCATGCTGGGAGGTCATTACTGGGACGGCTGGTCATCTCACCCTACCAAAGAAGAAGGCCTGGCGATGGCACAATCTGTCATTGGAAGGCACCTCGGCGTCACAGAAAAACCTGCTGCACACTCGGTCAACCTCAACTACAACTGCATTCCTCAGTACACTGTAGGCTTTGAGGACAGAGTAAAGAGATTCCACGATGAACTCCAGTCTCGTTACTCTGGCCGCCTACGTGTTGCTGGCAACTGGGTCAGAGGTGTCGGTGTCAATGACTGCATCAGAAGCGCTTGGGAGGTCGCCCGAGAACTTGACACCAGCAATTTGACCGGGCTTGAGTGGATCGTCAAGCCCAAGAAATGGGTCACGGTCAAAGTCAAAGGCAGTTGATAAAGCAAAAAATACCAAAACTTGTACATTCGATGCTGTTTCTTTCTTTTGTCCTTGTGCCTGTCAACGTCAAGGTCTACTGACGATCGATAGAGTCGAGTGATACCAGCATTCCCACTAAGAGAAGCAAAAAACCAAGCCGCTGTTGCGCGACTTGGGAAAACCCCTACCCGCTTGGAAAGTGTTCTACCTTAGCAAGTCAGAGCATAAGTCGTTTCCGCCTGCCATGAAGCTCGAACAGATGAACTTCAGTCCACGGAAACTCCTACGGAGTTTTATCGCAAAGTGTGGTTCCCAATTGAGCCAACTTACCGTTCGCTGAGAGATGCTGAGTTTCGCTGGACTATGAGGGACAGGAGACAAGTGAAGGTGAGTGCACTGGAAGGAGAGATGACATGCCTGCTTGACGCCCAGGTAAGTGGTACTGCTTCTGGTTCCTCATCAGAATCACTAATTTATCACCTTCTCCTCACCATGACGAGGTGCTCTGTAACGAGCCTGCTCTGTGGTCAAGTATCTCGACTCGTCTCGAATTTACACCCTATGTATTCTTGCCAGATCGATCAACCCGATTTTGTATCACAGGTAGCACGACGAAGGAAGTTCGCAGCCCCTGACTCCAGCTGATTCACTGCAACCGACAATACCATCAAAAATATCATCAACAGCCAAGCAGTATCAAATACGTTCGACTCAAGAAAGATCTTCACATCAAACTCGACATCGCCAGCGTTCTTGTTCAGCCAAGGAAGGCGAAGTTCGGAATTCAGGGGCGACATCTTCCTCTTTGCTTTGTCCTCATGAACCTCGAGAGATACCCAACAACTCGAGACCTTGTATTGCTTCCACGCTCGCCCTCATCGAAAGCTCTTCGCGACACATACTCTATGTCGCAACTGAGTGATCAGACTCAGGGGACATGTCAGCTGCTTCCCGCAATCGAGTTTCCTCCCGAGCTTCGCTGCCACCGCGAACTTTCTCAACCCTTATATTCAAGAAATGTTAGAATCCCCCCACCAAGAAAAAAGCCGTGGTGGTGCAGTGGTCAGCACACCCGACCTGGTATCCTAATACGCTCGCTTCCTACGCTCGCTTACCTAAGATCCTAATTCTCTCTCTCGAGGGTCGGGAGGTCGTTGGTTCGAATCCAGCCCATGGTGCTCAACTTGATTCTTTTTTTTTGTCAATATCTTGCTCTATGTTTTATTCTACGGTCATGGTATCTCGAGCGATCACGTACCTGAGTTCTGTTTCGATCCCTACACTGTTTATCCCCTATCTATGAATACTGCTGAACTGCAGATATCGCACCTCATCGTCTGCCTCGACTTTTATTGGCCAGCGACACGTTTTTCCACCGATGAGTGTGATCAAAATACCGACAGGGCCCTCATTCAAAAATGTAAGTTCTTTGAACTACACACATAACGATATGTGCAAGGACATTCATAGCTCCGACCCGGGTCCAACAAGAGAGCCAAAGTCAAGAGGTCAACAATCCCGATACGGATCCCATATCATCGCGAAACGGAATGAACATCAGAACAAATGCGAGATACACGAAAGGGATAGACAGGAATACTCTGTTGTTGACCTGAAGCGCGACGGTTGGCCCACACACCTGATCTTCTCTCCTGATACGTGACGCTTGGATCTCTCTCACGACACAAGAAATATATCTCTATCGCTGGAGATTAAGATGCTCAGCTATAGGGATGCACGATGTTTTCCAACGCAAATCAGAATTCTCAGAAACACCGCATATTTGACCTTTCCCTGTGAATCTTGTCTTGCCTTGTGAATCATTGTGCAATTCGACAGTACATAGATTCACGCTTCAAGAGATAGCTAAAGCCACTGCACACATGACGATATCCATCTACGGGTCTAGAGATTGCCCTCGGCGATCTCGAGGGTTGTTGACCTGGCCAATGGCTCGGGTGAGCGCAAGGCGCATGGACTTGGGATCCGGACCCAGGGTGGGTGTACTCCTTGGACCCGGCATCGGCCGCATTGACTACACGTGCAGCCAACAGCGACTTGAATTGTTTCATCTGATGGACATGGGAGATTATGCTCGAGGAGAGTGACGACGGACATGTCGTCTTCAGAAGTGAACCAAAACACTTCGATTTGTACAAGGTCAAAAGCGCGACATCTCGTAGCATCACGTCGTGGCTCTCGACTTGCACTCTCAACACGATTCACAATAACGTTGATCCCGTCAAAGATTCTCTCGCTGCGCACACGAGCAGTACAGGTAAGTCTCAACCTGCTCTCCGTTAATACTCGCTCGCTCCAACCAAATTCTTCACTGGCAACACCTAAGTCAGACACTCTATCCACATTTTCAAAACAAGGTTCGATTCGCTAATCTACTGACATGCCCATCATTGTAGAACATGTAACAAATGTTGTGTGCGTGACCTAATATTCTGCCTGAGAAGAGGAAAACATTCTTTACATGCGCCAAAAGCCCCTTTCCTATGCATTTCCAGGATATTCGCCCAAAAACGCCTTGCTATGCCTTGTAGTATTTCGAGCAAATCCCAAAAAAGAAGAAGACCCTCTTCGATCATGCGTATCCCTCTTCCTCGGCTTGTCTCAGCATTTCTGCCTCCATCTGAGCTTCAAGGTCCAGATCGTCCTCATCGTCGACAGTGTCGTTCTTGGTGCCCGCGGGAGTGTCTTGCTGCGGAGCGCTGGTCTGAGCCTCAGCCTTGGTCCTCTGAGCATCATCGACTGCGGAGACGCTAGCAAGACTCGTCGTTCTGGCAAGTGCCTTCCGCTTTCTACGTTCGAGTCTGCTAGTGCCAATCTGACTTGAGTCGCTCTCGTCATCTGTAGACTGGCCCTCCTCGCCTCTCTTTCTCTTCTTGTCACTAGAGGGCACGGAATCGGTGTCATCAGTGTCCGAATGATTGGTGCCTGCATCGCTTTCGCTGTCGACCTCGTCGCCCAAGAAATCCGCAAGCTCGGCATCCCAGTCGGCAATGTCAGCAGAGGTTTCCATAGAGCTTGCTTCGCGTGGTAAACTGGGCATGTAACGCTCGAGTTCGGCCTGCTCTTGGGCATCGGTATCGTTACCAGTACCGTCCGTCTCAGCAGCGTCTTCGTCTTCGGTAACGGCGGCCTCCTCATCAGATGAAGACAGCGGGGTATTCTGGTCCGGACCGTCGAACGGCGAGCCTTGGCCGTTAGTGGCTGGATCAATAGGCTCGTTCTCTAGATCAGCGTGTAGGCGGAAAGGAGTTTCGTCCACCTTTCGCCATTGCGTCAAACAGGCAAACAGCCAATCCTGAGACACGATCTTGATTTTGTCGGCCTTTTTGGCGGCTTGTCGGACTTTGGCAGTCTTGCGCAATGGCGAGGATACCACATGTGTAGTACGTTTGGTAATATTCTCAGACACCGTCGCTCCGAAGCTCTTGGCCCAGATGGCAAAATCATGGCTATGACAGATGTTAGCTCAGCTTACTAGATGGTCACCCGTCATATACTTACTTTTGAACCTGAACTCCTAACGGCATCACTCCGGAGAACACTACATGTACACCTTTAAGGACCTTCAACTTCATGGCAGCCATGATGCTCGTGACGTCCGGAAGACTGTCGAGTTTGTCTGATGTGATGTTGACATCGCGACCAGTACGCAATTCGGCAACACGGCCGTCTTTGGGGCCAGAAGTCCTCCTGTCATACTCTTCGAAGAAGGCCGAGTGTACCGATTGAAGACTGCGCTGAAGGTAGCGGAGCTCAGTGTCGTTGTCTTGTAGGAGATTATGACGGTATTTGTTGTGGGTATCGACGGGTGCCTCAGGTGCGGAAGCTGCATCATTTTCGGATGTTGCTTCGGTTGCGCCATTGCTGTCGTCGTCTGCAGCATCTAGGATTTTCTGCTTCTGCAGCAGAGGGCGGTCAGTGAGTTGGGCTGTTATAGCTTCTCCCTGCTCAGATGTCTGCTCCTTAAGCTTGGTCGGATCGTTGCCACCACCCATTGACACTAATTGATCAATGGCAGAGACCTTATTTCCGGTCGTGTCGGTGAGCGGGTTTGTTTGCGCGTCAGGTGCTGAAGTGGGTGCACTAGGAGTGATGGATTTTGAAGGGCTCGGGTCCAAGCCTGGCCTCTTGGGAAGGAAACTGGAGTTGATATCGCCAATGCCGACAAAGAAATCGTAAGGAGTGACCTTTACGAGGTTGTGGCACCAGTGCCAAACATCGCCTCTGTCGTCGATGATGACAACCATCTTGGTGTCGACGGGAAACAGACGCTTAAGATTCTTGACAGTCAAACTTCCGCTTTCGTCTCTGCTGAGAATACGATCGGCGAAGATCTTGCGGTCAGGATCGACGATTTTGGCAATGTTCTGAGCATAAGTACGAGTACCCATCGTGTAAATGTGCAATTCATAGTACTTTGAGATGGTAGACAAGAATTCTTCGAGACCAGGACGCAACTTGATGTAGTACCAGCAAGCTCTTGCACCAGGACCGTCGTCTACGAGCTGGAAAGCGCGAACGTCCTTGACAGCGGGGTAGTTTGGGTTCTGGGGGTCTCTCTGCCATTCGGCGACGGTAGGGTCGACGGTAGCCTGGATGATGGTCTGGTCGAGATCGACGACAAGGGAGAGCTTGCGCGATGACAGCAGGCGGCGCTTTGCTTCTTCGTCTGATTTGGAAGCCTCTGCGCGCGAGACGAGTAGCGAGGTGTGGCCGTGGACGGCATTGACAGTAGCTCTGGCCGTGTCGCGTGTGGCGGTGTTGTAAGTGACGGTAGTCATGTCCTTGCCGCAGTCGGCGCATAGATTTCCGAACTGCACCTCGTGTTTGCAGGCTTCTTCGACGTCGGCGATGGGCACGCTACATGGTGGATTAGTTGATGGCGAGGACAAGATAGAGACGGGTATGCTCACCCAGGCCTGCTGATAACGCGTCCTTGGGAGACGTGCCATTCGGTCAAGGTGCCTTCTGCAGAGCTCTCAAAGGTCGAGGGCATGATGCGGTCGACCAGCTTGTTCTCGCGCGTCTCTTCATCACCCTCGAGGACTTTGGTCTTGTACTGGTAGGTGAACAGAGGAGCATTGTAGTCGATCTGGTCTTGAGGGTTCCGGAGAAGCCTCGTGACGGTGATGGGATAGTGCAGGTTCTCGGGAGTGATGATGCGCATTGGTGTAGGAGCGGTTTAGGCCACGGGCATGGCGCGTCGTCTTGGGTGCTTCTCGTTTGGTCGGCTGGGCCTCTGTTGGTTTTGGTCGAATGACAGCGAAGGATTGGAGTTGGGTGCTTTCGGCGCGGTGATGGCGAGGGTGGATCAAAGATGTCCAGGAAGCTGTCGAGTGGTGAGACGCGATCGGTGACGTGACGGGTGGATTGCGCGAGGGACAGGTGCTTTCTTTTATCATCAATTGTTGGAGAAGCATGAGTCGCTTTGCGGAGCCTCGAAGCTTGGACACTCATGTTTCGCTCGGCGCCGTCACCATGCTTCTTCCTCGCGTGCCAGCCACCCCGAATCAAACATTCCTCATCCACCTTCCGAAAACGTTTCACTGACTGCGCTCCGTATGCTTGCGACTTTTGCATTATCACGCACTATCTGAAATCTCTCGCTTCATCATGTCCAGTGAGGAACCTGCTTCGTGCTTTCAATCGGTCCATCGCCACTTTCACCTCCGTTCTTAATCTCTCCCACCGCCTTCTGTGGTCGCTTGAAATGTGGTTTGAGTGGTGTCCAGCTCTCCTCGTTGTAGTCTTCCTGCACTTTGGCGCACTTCTTGAGTCCCCACTCTGTTACCCCCACCATGTAGCAGCTCTCAAACATGAACGCCATTGACCCCTCTCCTACCTTCATCGGCTTCAACTCCGCGTTTGATGCCTTCTCGTGAGTGCTGGCGTCTGGGCCATGAGCTGCCATGACATTGTGGAGCGATGCTCCTGCTGGCTGGAATCCTCCTCCTGTCTTTGCGTCATACTGTCCGTGGATCAACCCCATGAACTCACTCATCGTGTTGCGGTGGTACCAAGGCGGTCTGAAAGTGTCCTGCAAAATGTCAGCTTGTGCACATCGGTCCAATTCTTCAGGCTTCTTCCTACCTCTTGTACCAACCATCGAGGAGGGAAGATGACAAAGTCCGCCGCTGCAGTGCCAGGGTGGTCGCTCGGTGCCGTGAGCACTGTGAATATGGACGGGTCCGGATGATCGAAGCTGATCGAACCAATGGTGGAAAATCGACCCAAATCATACTTGTAAGGATAATACAAGCCATGCCACGCCACCACATCGAAAGGCGTGTGATTCTGCTTAGCAGCGAACAGGTGGCCAGCAAATTTGGTCGTCAACGTCCACTGCGAATCTGTGTCTTCGTCAAAGTCGGCTACAGGTGCTTGGAAGTCTCGCGCGTTAGCCAGACAGTTGGAACCTATTGGCCCGAGTTCGGGGAGGGTAAAGTGTCCTTGATACAATTCAAGGATGTAACCCCGAACCGGACCCTCTGGTAGTTCGACGCGGTATCTGATTCCTCTTGGGATGACGCAGATCTCATTTGGCCGCACGAGGAGTCTGCCGAGCTCGGTCCTGATATCCAACGATCCATGCTGGGGGACGATCAGGAAGTCGCCGTCTGCACTGTAGAAGGCTTCATGATCGTCCATGTTCTTTCCGGCTGCGTATATGTAAATGCCCACACCTGTTTTCATGCTTGGGTCTCCAGCTCCAGCGACCAGATGGAGGCCATGAATCCAATCTACCGTCTCGTCCAGATCGAATGGATCCCATCTGAGCTGATTGGGGATCTGATGGATCTTCTGACCTGGCTGGTTCTCTGGGTTTGTGTTGAAGGTAGCGTGTTCTCTAGGTTCAAAGCTCGAGTGGGCTGAGGCAGGCAGTATGCGGTACAGCCAGGTTTGTTGGTTCTCATGTCTTGGGGCTGTGAAGCTCGTGCCGCTAAGTTTCTCTGCGTAAAGTCCAAAAGGCGGTTTCTGCGGTGAGTTTGTCCCTATGGGCAATGCGCCTTCAATTGCTTGTGATCTATAGAGTGTCAGCACTTCCTCTTGTACATGTCGGCATGAAATCTTACTCATGGTAACTAGAAAAGCCATTCTGATATTTGTACTTTTCTTTGACGTTGAACTGTGTGACTGGCATTTTGCGAGCTGGCAATATGAGGACCTATACGATAGGAAGTTGAGTCAAATACCGATCAACAAAAATGATGGATACTGTTCGGCGATGATGTATTGTAATAGTCGGCGGCGCATGGACAGCTAGAGCACCATGCCGCAGTTCCACACGGAACCGGCGCGCTGCTATGAGGGGTAGCTCTTTCGAGGGGGAGGTGGGTCGAGCTACCGCGGAATCCACCCGCACTATCCACCATCTTCATCTGGCAGCATTCAGGTCTGTGTTGACCAAATCACGCACACGAGTGATCGTGCGTTTCCGCAACTATCACTGAAGATTGCTATTGATCAAGACCGGATCGGTACTCCTCAAGCTTTCAATCCAACTCTTCACACCGCCGACTTGATACTTTCGCTGTCATGTCTCTCAAGAGCTGGATCTCTATTGCTGCTGACTGCCACTTCTCAATCTCAAACATCCCATTCGGTATTATCAGCACACGACAAAGACCTACACCCAGGCCTGCGGTGGCTATTGGTGAATATGCTCTTGACTTGGATCTCTTCGCAACCCACAATGGTTTCTCGGCTCTGTCTTTGATACAGCCGCATCAGCATGTCTTCTCAAGCACCACCTTGAATGCCTTTGCCGAACTCGGAAGACCACTGCACACAGCCGTCAGGAAGTATCTCCAGTCTGTATTCTTGGAGTCGACCCCCTTCCCTGACGTCTTGAAGACCAATGCCTCGGTCCAGGAAGCTTGTCTCATCCCTCTGAAGGACGTCAAGAACCACGTGCCTATGCAAATAGGAGATTACACAGACTTCTACGCAGGCTTGAATCATGCCTTCACTGTGGGCGAGCTCTTCCGAGGAGCAGCGAATGCTCTGCAACCCAACTACAAGCATCTACCGGTAGGCTATCATGGCAGAGCCTCAAGTATCGTCGTATCTGGAACTCCTGTCCGTCGACCTCTTGGACAGATACTGGAGGACCCCTCGGCCGACGTCAAGAAGCCCACTCTATCTGCTTGCAGAAAACTTGACATGGAACTCGAACTCGGCGCTTTTATCTGCAAGAATAATGCAATGGGTGAGCCAATTCCCATCGACCAAGCTGAAGACTACATCTTTGGTGTCGTTCTGCTCAACGATTGGTCCGCCCGTGATATCCAGGCCTGGGAGTATGTACCTCTAGGGCCTTTCACTGCGAAGAACTTTGCATCTTCTATCAGCCCTTGGGTTGTTTTGAGCGATGCGCTTGAGCCTTATCGTACTAGTGGTCTAGACAGTGACGTGGAGGTCTTGGATTATCTCAAAGAAAAGAACAAGAACAATGTTTACGACATTAAGCTGGAGGTTGCACTCAAGAGTAAGACACCGTATCCATCAATTCAGTCAGCGTACTAATCACATACAATTCTAGCCTCCTCGGGTTCTACCACTACACTTTCTCGCACGTCAGGAAAAAACCTGTTGTTTTCCTTCAACCAGATGCTGACTCACCACTCTATCACTGGCTGTCCCATGCGGATAGGAGATATGCTCGGATCTGGTACGATCTCAGGGAAGGAAGCCTCCGAGCGTGGCAGTCTTCTGGAACAGAACAGAAACAGCAAAACCGTCATCAAACTCGAGGGTGGTGAGCAGCGTGTGTTCCTAGAAGACGGCGATGAAGTCACAATCACCGGTGTCTGCATAGGAGAGGATGGATCGAGAGTTGGCTTTGGAGAGTGCACAGGAAAGATCGTTCCTGCTGTAAAGATATAACTACTCCGTGCAGGAAGTGTAGCGGTCAGCTCAATCATCGAAGAAATTCTGCTGTCATTTTGACTCTTGATCGTACTACCCTGTTGCTAGACGATGAGCCAACAACATTGGTGCTTTGCCAGTCGTCGAGGTCGATCATGAGGCTTCCACCCCGTACAACGTACACGCTCGTACTTGGTGCCTACTCTCATCATACACCCACCTGGCCAAAACATCCATGCCATTCGCAGTACGTCACATGAACTCTTTCTAATGGATGAATTCCGCGATGATACGGGCCGCGTTCCGTACTCCGCTCGGATCGTCATCCGAACACCCTTTGCCATACCAAGCTAAAGGCGGGGAAACCTACACCAAGGACCAAAGGTGGAGAACAGGTTTGACCGTGTATAGGAGCTAAGTATCAATTCCGCAGGGGCGCGGAGTGTGAAAGGCTTGGTCCTTGCTGAGCCAGTAACAGCATAAGACTTGGTAAGAAGGTGCGGGAAAGTTGGTCTCGTTTTGTTTCCTAGCAACTTCTTGCCAGCATCCTCATCTTTCTCGTTCTTCAATATGGCATCGCCGGTAGTGCTCGGTGTAGCTGCTCTTCTCGTCTTCTTCGTTATTCGATACCTTAATTCGTCTGACGCTCCCAAGATCAAGAATCTCCCGGAGATCCCTGGTGTTCCTCTTTTTGGCAACCTGCTTCAATTAGGTACAGATCATGCTACCGTTGCTCAGAAATGGGCGAAGCAGTATGGACCAGTGTTCCAGACTCGTCTCGGAAACAAGGTAAGTACATTGAAGATGAGAGTATAGCCAGGAGTATACTAAGACTCACATCAGCGCATTGTGTTCGCCAACACATTCGATTCCGTTAAGCACTTGTGGGTCACAAACCAGTCAGCAATGATCTCTCGACCAACCTTGCACACTTTCCACACGGTGGTCTCGTCATCCAGCGGATTCACAATCGGTACCTCTCCGTGGGATCCTTCGTGTAAAGAGCGAAGAAAGGCAGCAGCAACAGCTCTCAATCGTCCAGCGGTGCAAAGCTACATGCCCTTCATCGACTTTGAAGCCACAAGATCAATCAAAGAGATGCTTGCAGACTCGAAAAACGGGACCATTGACGTCGACCCAAATCCTTATTTCCAACGATACGCCTTGAGCACCAGTCTTACCCTCAATTACGGTGTCAAGATCGAAGGCAGCATCGACAACGAGATGCTCAAGGAAATCACCCACGTAGAACGTGAGATCAGTAACTTCAGATCCACATCGAACAACTGGCAGGATTACATCCCGCTCATGCGACTGTGGCCAACGAACAACGTGAAGCCACTCGAGTACAAGAAACGCAGAACAGCATACATGACCAAGCTGTTGAACATGCTCAAGGAAAAGATCAAGGCTGGTACCGACAGACCATGCATCACTGGCAATATCCTGAAGGATCCTGAAGCCAAGCTGAACGACGCCGAGATCATGTCCATCTGCCTGACAATGGTCTCGGCCGGTCTGGATACTGTCCCAGGTAACCTCGTCATGTGTTTGGCATATCTGTCATCCGAGCATGGCCAGAAGATCCAGCAGAAAGCTTTGGACGAGATCAACAGGGTCTATCCAGACGGTGACGCTTGGGAGAAATGCCTGAGCGAGGAAAAGGTTCCATACATCACAGCTCTCGTCAAGGAGACTCTGAGATTCTGGTCAGTGATACCGATCTGCTTGCCACGAGTAAGCATCAAGGATATCGAATGGCAAGGCGCTGTGATTCCTTCTGGCACTACATTTTATATGAATGCGTACGCAGCCAACTACGATGAGTCGCATTTCAAGGATCCCTATAAGTTCGAGCCCGAACGATACCTGGACAAGGAGATGACGGGTATTGAACATTTCGGCTATGGAGCAGGCAGCCGCATGTGCGTGGGCAGCCATTTGGGTAACCGTGAGCTGTATACTGCCTTTTTGAGGCTCATCACGGCATTCCACTTCGTTGCACCGAATGATTCCAAAGATAGGCCTATTCTGGATGCGTTGGGTGCGAATGCTCTTCCCACGAGTCTTACAGTAAGTGCAATCCTTGTCGCGTCTGATACTGGCAACTGACGGTGTTACAGATGGAACCAAAGCCGTTCAAGGTCGGACTCCGCGTACGCGACAGGCAGCAGCTGGACAAGTGGATCAAAGAGAGCGAGGATAGGACAGCAGATCTTTGAGAATGTACCTAGCGTTGTTCGTGTCATGAGGATGGGCGGTTGGCGCGTGATTTAGTTGCGGAGGAGTCTCGTGGAAGCGAGCGGGCCACGCCTTGGGTATTCACGCTCTGATTGGGTGGATATGGTCGACGTACCTTGATGGGCGTAAAAAGTAGATCACGTATCACCAAAATGAGAGGCTCTGTCCCAGCATACAAGCACCGTTCCTCCCGCTGCCTAGAAGCAGGACAAGTTATTTGATTTGCAACGAAAAGAGGCAGTCGAGCACGAGGCCATCTGTTTTTCGCCAACCCTGTCCATATACCCCAGCATTTTTCCCGCGGTGACGTAGAGCGCGACAAAAGATCGGCAGGCCCGTTGCAATCGGCAATTTCGTCGACGTGAGGCTTTGAGGTCGACAAGTTGGTCCGTCAAACTTCTGCATGTGAGGCCTGCAAGACAACTGGTATACACCATGTTCAGCTGGCGTGCTTCGGTTGTGTCAGCGTTGCTTCTGGCCGCTCTCGAGCCTGTCAGAGCAGCATCACAAGAGCCTCTGGTCGACGTAACAAAGAGACGGCAATTGCACGGCCGCTTCCTGCAGGTGACGGGTGCGTGTTAATATCCAGACTGCTCCACTCGGCATGTCACCGACTGACCTCCTGTCGTGCTGCAGACTTCCACCCGGACCCTTTCTACAAGGTCTACTCGTCGGTAGATGAAGACGGCGTGTGCCATAGAGGCCATGGTCCAGCGGGCTACTATGGTGCCGAGACGTCCGACTGCGACTCGCCAATCTCGCTCATCAATGCCACCTTCGACTGGATCCGCGACGAGCTCAAGGACTCGATCGACTTTGTCATCTGGACTGGCGATTCCGCGCGTCATGACAATGACGAAAAGATACCCCGAAATGTCCAACAAGTCACCCAGCTCAACAAACTACTCGTGGACAAGTTCTACGAAGTCTTTGGAAAGGACCAGCAGGAGCCTGATGACGACCCGACAAACGACCTTGTCATTCCAGTCATTCCCACCTTTGGCAACAACGACATCTTGCCGCACAACATCTTCGAAAGAGGGCCAAACCTCTGGACACGTCGATACCTCGATATCTGGCGCAATTTCATCCCCGAAGTGCAGAAACACTCTTTCGATCAGGGCGGTTGGTTCTACGTCGAAGCCATTCCCGGCCACCTCGCCGTTGTCTCGCTCAATTCTCTGTACGTCTTCTCTTGCCTACCCGCATAGGCTCCATGCTGACTCAGCCACCACAGCTACTTCTTCAATTCAAACTCGGCCGTCGATGGATGTGCCGCCAAGGCAGAGCCTGGTTATCGCCAACTTGACTGGCTCCGTATTCAATTGCAATACCTGCGCGACCGCAACATGAAAGCCATCATCACCGGCCACGTTCCTCCTGCTCGCACAGCCAACAAGAGTAATTGGGATGAAACCTGTTGGCAGAAATACACATTGTGGATGCATCAGTACAGAGATGTCATCGCTGCGACACTCTATGGCCACATGAACACCGATCACTTTATCGTCCAGGACTTTGAGGAAGTAGATGACAGCGTTGTTGACGGCTACGCAATCCTCAACAAGGTCAACAAGCGGGGCATGGTCGCAGCCGCTGAACAAAAATTTGGCATTCAGTCTGCTACAAACTATCTTAAGGATTTGAGAGAGAGCTGGACGAAACTACCAAAGCCTCAAGCAAACGAGTATTCAGAAGCTCTCAGGAAGGGGAAGAAGCACAAGGGCAAGAAGCCACATGATCCAGATGATTACGACTCTGAGATCGGAGGCCGTTATGCTGAGAGGTTCAGCGTCTCTCACGTCTCGCCAAGCGTTGTTCCCAACTACTTCCCTACTATTCGTGTCTACGAGTACAACATTACTGGACTTGATAGGAAATTATCACGCTCATTCGAGGATATGTTTGAGCAAAATGACATGAGCGCAGCAGAAGATTCCGAGCAGTTCGACGAGGAGAATCTAGAGCAAGATGTAGCAGCCGGAGATGAAGACCTGGAAGCTGAACGCAAGAAAAAGAAGAAGAAGCCCAGGAAGCACAGGTTCACCGTGCCCAACCCACCCTCAAAGTCTGCACCTCCAGGACCAGCATACTCCCCCCAGTCACTGACGCTATTGGGATTTGTTCAATACTACGCCAACTTGACTCGCATCAACAACGATTTCTTCCAAGACGATACAGAACAACAAGGATGGAAGGACCACAAGCATCATGGCAAGAATCCTCACGGCGACGACCACAAACCCAACCCAAAGAACCTCACCTACGAAGTGCTTTACGACACCCGTAGCGACAAGGTGTATCAGCTAGAAGATCTCACAACCAGAAGCTACCTCCGTTTAGCACAACGCATTGCTGGAGTCAAGCCTAGGAAGAGCGATGTGCAGACATTGGATGCAGAACTTGACGAGGTCGAAGTAGATGAGACTTTCGTCGACGATGACGAAGATCGGGGTGATCTAGACATCACTAAGAAGAAGCATAAGAAGAAGGGCGACAAGAAGAAGAAGAAGAAGAAGTCGCCCAAGGATAACAAGCCATGGTACACATTCGTCAGGCGAGCATTCGTGAACACGGTAGACCCTGATGACATTGAAGAAGAGTTTTGATGGGTTTTGGGATATATTGCATACTTCTTAGAGAAGATACATTTGTAGAGATAAATAATGATACCCATTTGAAAGTGTTTCAATTCTCGCATGTGTTGTGCTGCTGGTCGGCTGGCATTGCTTCTTTTTGCGAGGCATATCGGTGACGTAATTAGCCATTTGTTGTTCAATTCCACGACCACGACGACGACCACCTCTTCTCGTGCAACTCAATACACGAACCACAACTTTTTCATCAGCAGATCTCAGTTTTCGGTCTCTCAAGCTATCATGTCGTGGATGGACTCTTGTTCGTAGCTTACTCTATGTGGTAGAAAGTGATGATGCTAACCAGCACCTAGGGTCACGGCCGAAGAAGAATGCCGCTACACCTCCCCCACTATATCTGACCTCGGATCAGGTACGCTACTGCCATACCTGTGGCAGAGTTATTGGTATGTTATCTTGCCTGGAGCCGCTCTCTATAACGCCTCCGACTCTACACAATCGATAAACGGTAGCAGAGGTTGGGCTGTATATCACAAATGCCCTGGTGAAGCACCACGAGCCCAGATCATGCTCCTTTTATGGCGCCAAACACCCAATCACTCATAACTCATATAGTCAGATCACAACAAAGAACTAACAGAACACAACCCAGGCTCCAGAAAATCAAACTCGGCAAAAACAGCAGCCACAGAAGTAAAGTTCTGCTCAGACAGATGTAAAAGACACAAACTCCGACCGGCGGACAAACGCATCGAAGCCGCCTTTGCCGCCCTCTTGGACGGCCAGGATGCTTCCAAATTCGCCGCCGTGCAAGAACATACACCACCATCTGGACCTGGAGCAGAAGCCGAAATCACCAAAACTGTATCTAACCAAGACAGTGGTGAGAAACCACACGACAAGTATGATTACAGCAAGAGCAACGGTAAGAAGAAGCAGCAAAAAGTCAAAGGCGATCCTCGTATCTTGGTTTCGTGTAGCGAGGTGGAGACTTTGATCTATGGTTCCCGCGAGGACCCAGAGAAGACGTTTGGCCGCAAGAAGAATAGAGCTAGACGTGGTGTTGCGGATGGCGATGTGTGGAAGAGTATCGACATGGTGGACTCGGATACCGATACCGACGCTGGGACTGCAGAAACTGTTTCTGCAGACGAAGATGCCATCGATACCCGCAGCACCAAGGTCATGGACAACAGAGGTGTGCCTCTTGCCGAAGCCCTCGAGGGTGATGCAGAAGCAGATGTGGTCAAGATCAAGGGGCGCGTGCGACCTCCTCAATCAGAATCCGATGTCAATGGCTCGGTAGGCGGAGAAAAGGGCTGGGCGGAGAAAATCGTCGAAACACCCGAAATGCTGCAGAAACGAAGAGAGGGACAGAGAAGAGCAGAGGAAAAGGAAATGGTCAAGTGCGCTGCTAGGAGAGCTGTGGTGTTTGGTCTGGAGAGCAGCAGAGTACTTGCTGTACAAGGCAAAAAGGGAAAGAAGGGCAAGGACGATGAGGATGGAGAGGCCAAGCAGGAGGGAAGAAGGATGTGTGAGGCGGTGATGCATGGTGCTGTCGTCGAGCCTTCCTATGCCAAGGGAGACTGGTCCATTAGATGGCGTGAGGAGTAAGTCATTGCCTGTATGACAATTACAACGGCCAGCTGTGTCACGTTATGGATGTCGATTCGATACTAGAGAACAAGAGCCGTGTGCGTATCACTAATCCATTGGCTGGGGAAGATCGTAGTTATGTCAGGGTCGTACCCCTAACAACCACTTTTTGCTTGAAAACGACATTTACACATCCATCTTGATTGCTATGATCTTTCAGCTCTAGCTGGCGTATCTCAAGACTTACCCTTTCGTATTGATAGGCTTTTGGAAGTGCGGTCAGTGTCACTGGGTGGAGGCCAGTCGTTTTGAACGTTCCTAAAGTCTCGAAGTTTAAATGGTCAAGCATGATACATGGAACTGACACTAGTTTTTGCTTGAGCCATGAGTTTCTTAATATTTATTCTGTATTTCACAGAGGAATAGCCCAATGAACCATTACTTGTTCTGTCATAACCGACATTCTCTATCTGGAGACCATGATGTCGGGTAATTCAGTGATTTGGGTGGTCTCCCGCGAGTCCAAATCCACCATGTGTACTGCAGCAAGGCCAACCAAACCTGTCGAGAGTGTCAGGAATTCTAGCTGTACATTGTGACAAGCTCCTGGTGGTAGAGGACTAGAAAATGTTGTCAGTGGATGTTTGGAAGAAGAAGAAGAGGCCAAACCTACCCGACTCGCACATCTGCGTTCAGACACACGACTTCTGCCATTCGAGCCTCGCGTTGATCTTGCATATTGTATACAATGCGATCATCCAATACTGCATCAGCAGTGTGATGACTGTCCTGTCGCGAGATATTGGGGAAGCGCAAGGCGTGCTGCGACTGTGCGGATTTGGCAGGTTTAGGAATAGCGACAATTGCAAGCCTCTTTTTCCTCGTACTGCGGTTTACCACGAATACATCGAGATGGAATGTCTCGCCTTCGTTGACGGTTTCCGGTGCGGTGAATGCAAATGTGACGCCTGCAGAGTCGGCTTGGGTCATGCCACTCAATGGCCGAGTTGTGGCTGTGCTCATTCGTTTGCTCAATGGTCGTGAGTGTAGATCTGAGGGTCCCACATTGGATGCTACACTTTGTGGTCGAAGCGGTACGATCTTGATTGGCCGAGGCGCAGGAAAGTTCACGTTTCCGTGCCAGCGAGCCTGGATCTGCGCACTGCATGTGTCGCTGATCTGAGCGACAGCGCGAATCTGGAATGTGACACTGCTTGGCCTAGTTGGATGGTGAGAGGAAGCCTCAGTCGTGTCTTTGGGGAGCGTCAGTTTGTACAGGAAAGTGCTTCTGTCTCCAGTTTGTAGTGTCGCTGGCAGACCCAAGACAGCTAAATCAGCAGAGAATGGTTCCACGTTGATATTGTGCCCTTCTGCCTTGATATCATCTACTTGTATCTCTCCATGTCCGGTATGCCGTGCGGACTCTAGATCAAGACAAATAAGTATATCCGAGACCTGCTCGGGAGTAATGTGTACTTTGAGCGCCAAAGCTGGAGAGACAGAAAAGAGTTTCGACGATGTCCTGAGAGGACGAGCCTCTTGGGTGGCAGGAGCTGCTCGAGGTGCCACCTTATGGATGCGAGAGGACGGGAGATACGGTTGACTCGAAGCACTCTGTGAGCTGTGCTGTAGAGACTGGAGCAGATTTTCAGAGGTCGGTAATGCACTAGTCATGTACTCGTCTTCAGAGGTCGTCCTGGATATCAACGAAGCTTTAACAGTCTTGGAAACGGCTGACGCGGTAAGATGGATGGAGGGTCGATGAAGTTTTTGAGGTGGATAGCGAAGATAAAGAGTAGTCTTCCAGACAGAATATGATGAATTACCATTATCAATAAGACCAGTCAATAGTGGTTTCATCTCAGGCGTGATGGTGACCGAGTCCAAGGCCAGTTTCACAGGTTGCTGCGGAGGAGCTGGAGCACCGCCTGGCTGCAGACGAGGAGGCGGTGAGGGTTGAGTGGCATATGCAGTTATGTACAAGTCAAGATTCTGCAAGGCATGTTGAGAGGAAGGCAATGAGCTGCGAAGGACAAGATATACAGGCAGCAATTCCTCTGATAGACATTAACAAGAAGATCAAAAGTCCGAACAGACAAACAGTTGCATACCAAAAAGCAGAGTATCCCTAGATACAAATTGCGAGCCAGATTTCAGATGTGCTTCAATATCAAAATCTGACGAGTGTGGGATTAGGAGATCTAGAGAGGAAGCATCGGGAAAGGACAGCGCTGGCTGTGCTACAGCGTCGGTAGTCGTTGTCATTGAACCTCCATGTACCATTCGTCCAGTCCTCTGAATCCGAAAAGACTCGCGAAGTCAATGCTCGAATAATCACAGAATTACAGGCATTTAGTGAATGTTGATGGACCATGAGCTGCAGTGATAGGAGTCGGAGACCGAAAGCGGCAAGAGCCGACCGAGCCCTGGACTTTCCAGTCGCGCTTTGTTGGAGAAAGAAAGAACAAAGACAAGTTGATCGACCCAATTGACCACCGTCCACCATGAGCGCCCTTCTTAGCCATCCAGCGTGGCAGGTTCTGCTCGACAAAAACACAAACAAGCCGTATTATTACAATCGCTCCGCCAACATCAACACATACACAGTGCCCGATGATCTTTTGACTCCGGCGCAGGTGAGAGATGCTGCCCTTGTTTTCTAATAACACTGAAACTGACAGAATCGCGTACAGAAAGCTACAGGATGGTCGCAAACCACAGCCGATGGAGGTAGAGTCTACTTCTTCCGCAAGGACGACAAGACAAAGACATCCTGGACTCCTCCACCCGGCTGGGAAACTCCTGCCGCTCCTGCCCCAGAGGCTCCGCAATTCGTGTCATCTAGCTTCCAGGCCCACCCTCCGGCTCGCGAACAGAGAGCTCCCCGAGAGAGCAGACCTTTCCACGATCGTCGCGACGAATCTAACTACCGGGGCCCTATCGCCGTTGCCGCTACTGGTCCTGAGTATGGTTCTCGCGAAGAAGCCGAGGCTGCTTTCACCAAACTGCTGAGGAAGTCTGGCGTCCAGCCTGGATGGTCATGGGAGCGCGCCATGCGTGCCACTATCCAGGATCCTCAATACCGCGCAATCAAGGAACCCAGCGAGAGAAAAGCCGCCTTCGAGAAATACCTAGACGATGTTGTGCGCGAAGATCAAGAGCGCGAGAAGGAGCGTATCAAGAAGTTGCGCTCAGACTTCCGCTCCATGTTGCAGACACATCCCGAGATCAAGCACTACACACGCTGGAAGACCGCCCGTCCCATGCTGGAGAATGAGGCCATCTTCCGCGCTACCGACAACGAAGACGAGAAGCGCCGCATGTTCGACGATTACCTCGTCGATCTCAAGAAGGCTGCTGAGGACAAGCGCCAGCACGACTACGATGCAGCCATGACGGGCGTCGCAGACATTTTGCAAAATCTCCAGCTCAATGCCAAATCGCAGTGGATGGAAACACGTGAACAGCTGCATTCGCATCCAACATTCCAGGAAGACCCCAAGTACAAGATCTTGTCACCTTCTGAGCCCTTGCAGATATTCGACCGCTACATGCGTAGACTATGGAACGACGCACACAACGAGAAGCAACGTGCGGCTCAGCTCAAGGCTCGCGAGCAGCGCAAGGCCAGAGAAGGTTTCGCTGCTCTGCTGGCCGAACTCAGAGAAGCAGAGACAATCAAGCCCGGTACTATGTGGAAAGAGGTTTACCCATTGATTGAGAACGAGCCTCGCTACATCAAGTTGATGGACAATCTAGGTCACAAGGACCGTATCACCGACGGTTCCACTCCTCAGGATATCTTCTTCGACTTCCTAGATGACTTTGACAAGGAGGTTCACGACATTCGCCCTGCAGTTGAAGCCACTCTCAAGGAAGAGCATTTCCGTTTCGTCCCTTCGACCACTCTGGAAGAGTTCCTGCAAGCCATTAGACACGACAGACGCATTTCGGCGATGAACCCCCATCTCTTGGAAGAGGTGTACAAGAGACTGCACAGAAACGCCCTCGACAGGGAAGAAGACATCGAGCGTGATGCCAAACGCCAACAGCGCAAGGCAGTCGACGCATTGCGTTCTCGCATCAAGCATCTAGAACCCCCCGTTTTGATCGGAGACACATGGGAGCAGGTGCGTCCGCGTGTTGAGCGCAGCGAAGAGTACAAGGCCGTGACCAGTGACGAGGACCGCCAACTCGCCTATGACAAATTCATGAATAGGCTTAAGGAAGATGCCGCCGAGCGAGAACGTCTCCGCCGCCATGATAGAGAACGCGAAAGAGACCGTGATAGACGCCGGGACCGCGACCGCCGTCGTAGCCGCTCTCCTCCCTCTCGCGAGGTTGATGCTTACGAAGCCGATCGCCGCCGCGCTGCCTCCGAACGTGAGCGCCAGTACCGCCACTCGAGCATCAGCGGGCTGTCCCCACCACCGCGTGAACGTCCAAGAGCCCGCGACGATCGCTACGAGAGAGACGTAGGCGACCCGAGAAGAGAAAGACAAGTCAGTCTATCCATATACGATCGCGAGAGAAGAGAACGCGAAGCCGAACGCGAGAGGTCGTACATTAGTCGTGCCGACCCACGCACCAAGGCCAGCGAACTCGACTACGGCGACGGCGGAGACAGCCCCAAGCCCGAGAGCACTTCGGGCGGCAACAATAGCAGCAGCAACAAGAGATCTGCAGCGGCCAGCAATGGCGACGGCGATGCAAAGAGGCAGGCCAAGCGCCCTCGTGTCGGTGAGCACTCTTCCCGCAATGGTGGTTCTGTTACTCCCGCTCTCTCGGCCGCAGGAAAAGACGACGAACCCGCGCTGCAGTCTGGCAGTGAAGAGGGCGAGATTGAAGAGGTCTAGGAAGCCATCTTGGCTGAAATCGTCAGACGGCGTGGATTGGAAAGATAAAAGCATTTGCATGCGGTACGTTCTTCTTCCTCAAAGGATGACCTACTAGTTCCAAGGCAGATTTTCAACCAGAAGACCCTTTTTGTCAATGCCACAGGTGCGTTCTACGTGCAACACCGCTGCTCTTCCTAACGACAGTCTCATGTATCAAGATGAATATAAAACAAATTCCCATGTGAAACGGTCAAACTTTTGTGATTCCTTGTTTCTACTCTTTTGTGCTCCTCATGCCGTAGCTTGGTTCATCAAAATGTCATGTATTATAAATGGCGCTCCATGGTTCCCTTGTGCCGCACCTTGCTTGTTGCTCAGCTGCATGTGCACAGCTTGTGAATTAATTGCCCAAGATATTGTCCGACAATAGTCGAATGGGAGCGATCAACCAGAGCGCCATGTGTTGCTCAGAAGCCGTCCGCGTCCTCATCCTGATCACCCGCTCCTGCGTGTTCTATCTCCTCATCCGCACCAGAGCGCGAGCACTGCATGCGGCGGCGATAGGAGCGGTTGCGTCGGAGCAGAGCGGCGCGTGAGGAACCTTTCGCCGGGCGCCAAGGGGGCCAGTGTTGTGAGTCTAGGAAAACTCCCTTCAAGACTCTTCTTCCATGAAGAACTGTGATTGTTGTCAGTATACTGCAAAATATTAAAGTCGAGGAAAGAGAGGAACTTACGTAGTTTCCACCGTTCTTCTGTTCCTGGTCAAGCTGGGAGTCGAGCTTGTTGATACGGGGACGGTATGAGTTGGGATCACGTCTAAAGGTGACGTCCAAGTTCTTCAAGAACTTGTTGCAACCAGTCAGGAGAGACTCGGGCTTGTTGGCACGAGCATCAACGGACGGGATACCGTCGAAGACAATGACACGGTCGGCAAGGTAGGTGGCCATGATGAAATCGTGCTCGACGATGAAGGCAGTCTTCTTGGAGTGCATGATGAAACGCTTGATGACGCGGGCAGCAATGATACGCTGCTCGGAATCGAGGTAGGCACTAGGCTCATCGATCAGGTAGATGTCGGCGGGGATACCGAGGGCCAAGACGATGGCGACACGCTGCAATTCACCACCGGACAAGTTCTGGACTTCCTGGTCGATGAAATCATCCATCTTCAGGGGCTTGTAGACATCAGTCTGGAACTGAGGGTTAAGGAAGGCGGCCTTGATCTTCTTGAAGAAGAGTTGACGGACGGTACCCTTGAATTTGGGGGTAATCTTCTGAGGCTTCATGGAGATGTTCATAGGGGGAACACTCTTGGTACCATCGGGCTTCTCGGCACCAGCGAGCATTCTACAGAAGGTAGTCTTTCCGGTACCGTTCTCGCCCATCATGACGAGAATCTCCGAGTCGGTGAACTCACCAGGCTCAATCTTCAGCTTGAAACCAGAGGCGGGCTGTGTCTTGTTCATGGCAGGATAGCCGTATTGGCGAGACTGATCGACAATGAACTCTTCTCCAGCTTCACCGATACGGAACTGCAGAGATTCCTCTCTGAAACGCAAGTTCTCGCTGGGAATGTGACCGTCGAGGAAAATGTTGATACCTTCACGGACCGAGGAAGGCAGAGTGACGACACCGTAGACGGCGGGCTTACCGTAGAGCAAGCAGATGAAGTCGGACAGGTAGTCGAGAATGGACAAATCGTGCTCGACGACAATGACGTATGAAGTAGGGCCGAGCAGACTGCGGATCAGACGACCAGCGGCCAGACGCTGCTTGACATCCAAGAAGGATGAAGGCTCGTCGAACATGTAGACATCGGCTTTTTGCACACAGACGATGGCGATGGCGAAACGTTGCAACTCACCACCGGAGAGGAGATCGATGTCACGGTCAAGAATGGCGTCGAGTTCTGTTTATTGCGTTAGCTGGAGCCCAGAAACTTGGCCATGTCTGTCTTGCCACATACCCAGTGTCTTGATGATCTCGTCGACTCTAGCCTCATCGACTTCAGCACGCTGCTTGACGAGGAAGCCGACGGTTCTGTTGTCGCCCTTGACGGCTCTGGGGATCTGGTCGACGTATTGGGGCTTGACGACGGCCTTGAGATTGTCTTCGAGAACCTTGGTGAAGTAGTTTTGCAGCTCGGAACCACGGAAGTACTTGAGGATCTCCTCCCAGTCAGGGGGGTTGTCGTAGCGGCCGAGGTTGGGCTTCAGCTTGCCGCTCAGAATCTTCAGTGCAGTACTCTTTCCGGTACCGTTACCACCAACAAGACCCAGGACTTGACCAGGTCTGGGCATGGGCAGTCTGTGGAGCTTGAAGCTGTTGGCCGAGTAACGGTGGGTGACTTGCGACTCGAGGTTGGTGGGCAAGTTGATAATGTTGATGGCATCGAAAGGACATTTCTTGGGACAGATACCGCAACCAATACAGAGACGCTCGGAGATGAAGGCGATCTTGGAGGTGTTGTCGACCTCAATACAGAGCTTTCCAGTACGGACGACGGGGCAAGATTTCTTGCACTCTTGACGACATTTCTTTGCGGGTGGTTAGAGCGTGTTCTTGTGGCTGGTCGCATGAGGCGTTTGATCGTACCTTGGGCTTGCACTGCAGAGGTTGTCAGTAAGCAGATTGTGAAGCAGAGGGAGCGGCAAACTTACCTTGTCGCTGTTGACAATGGCAATACTGCAGACAGCAGGGTCAGAAAAAGGAATCCCAGAAAATTCTCTCAGCCGGCGGCAGCAGCAGGTGCAAGTACATACCGAGTCAACTTGTCCGACATGTTGGGCGATTGTATAGCGTCGCAGGAGCTGACAAGAAACCGCGGGACAGTGAGTGTCAAACGAGGTCGTCAAACGGCGAGTGAAGACACTTGGGTGACGCGAAGTGGGCAGGAACGACGGAACAATGAGTTGCGCCCAAGCTGATTTCGTGACTTCCTATTGGCTGGCTTGGCTCTGCCCGCAACTCGTCTCCGTCGGAGCGTCGTTCAATCTCAAGATGTCACCCACCTCTCTCACCTGCACCATACCACCCACAAGACCAAAAATACTCTACGCACCGTCTGGACATGGTCTCACATGGCCGGTAAGCTCGTCTTCTATTTCCTGTCGCTTTCCCTGTGCCCTACACGAGTGAGCCTGGTCTTGGCATTTCTTTTGTCTCTGGAGCCGATCGCCTATACCATTCGATATCGCGAGTCTACCGTCGGCTGTATCGCCTAAATCGCCTTCGGTCTGCTTTGTCCGCCTTCTGTCGCCGCCATTTCACGTCCGTAACACCTTTGCTGCTCATCGTCCGCCCTACATCGCGTCAACCGACCATCCAAGACTCGCGTCCACCCTCGATCTATTCCATCAAGATTCCATCTCGATACCATTTCGAACCCATCTACGAGACCTGCCGCACTGTCTTTGGGGGGAAACCGGTCGCCTAGACCAGGCGCTCACCCTCGTCAACTCACCGCTCCGTCCGACCCACCTGTCTCGAGCAATCTTGCTGACTGCTCACTCTATCCAGCCGGCCAGACATCTCTGCTACCTACCCACCTATCTCCCTCCACCATGTCTTTTGAGAACGGCCATTTGTCGTCGCCTGCTGAGCCGACTTACGCGACTCTGGACCACAAACCATCTCGTAGCGAAAGCGAACTTTCAGATGTCAATGATATACCCGACCAAGCTGTCACCGAGTCCATCGACCATGTCATGAACGATGTCGCAAGTCCTCGATCGGATGAAGATGAAGATGCCGATGGCTCTGACGATGGCGATTATGACGCCCCGTCACCCCCCTCCAGAGCCAGCGTCGACTCTCGCCATAGCAGCGTCTCCTCGGATGCCTCGTCGGTGCCCCGCAAGCGCAAGGCCGCCGAGCCCGATGTAGACGATGACCAATACATGCAAGAAAACCCAGAGTTATATGGCCTTCGTCGAAGTGTGAGTCAGCCTGCTGTACTGCTCGTCTTCTTCTCGCTGACAAGTCTTAGGGTCGTGCTCGTCCAACTCGTCGAATCGTGTGTCTTACTATACATTCTTCTAGCGCGTCTGTTACTAACTCCCACACGTAGATCGAGAGCAGTGACGAAGAACAAGACAACAACGACTCTGGCTCAGATGTCAATCCCGGCCGCGCCCGCAAACGCTTACGGCCGGCCACCTCGCGCCATGGTACCTCTATCCTTGACACCTATCTCCTTCAATTACTGACCAAGACGTGCTTGTAGCCTCAGTCCGTCGATCCGACTCCGAATCTGTGTCAGACAGCGATACTTATGGTGGTGCACGCGGCCGAGAGTTCGCAAAAAAGCACCGCCGCAGGCTGCAAGGAGCCTCATCTCGCTCTGCCTCGGGCCTTGCAGGTGACCTTCGCTTCTCTACAAGACAAGCTGGCAAAGTCACGACATACAACGAGGAAGATGGCGACGACTTTAGCGAAGAGGACACGGAGAACATGACACCCAACTACTGGATTGCTGCTGAGGACAACTCTCCAGCCATAGATATCGTCCTCAACCACAGAGTTGGCGAAGGCAAAGGTTTGTTCTTCCATACCCTGGTCCTTTTCAACTATGCGCTGACAATCCTGCTCTGTAGATACCGAGTATCCCGAGAAGAACGACTACGAGTTCTTTGTCAGTACATTCCATTGATCATCGCTTACCCCCGCTAACATCGTTGCAGATCAAATGGCAGGGCAAGGCACATTACCACGCTACATGGGAGCCCTGGACCGAGCTTAGTTCAGTCCGCGGTTTCCGTCGTCTTGAAAACTACTACCGCAAGGTCGTCGAGGCCGAACACTTCTTGGCTCAAGATCCCGATGTAGCACCTGAAGAGCGCGAAAAATACACACTCGACCGCGAGACGTACCTTGATGCTCTCGACGACTACATGAAGGTTGAAAGAGTCATCGGAGAACAAGTCGGCAATGACGGCAGAGAATACTATGTCAAGTGGAAGTCTCTTCCCTACGACTCTTGCACGTGGGAACCAGAGTCTCTTGTCAGCGAGTTGGCTCAGAACGAGATTGATCGCTACCTTGATCGCTCATCCCGCCTGCCTACTTCTGACAAGCGCGAATCGAGTTTATCCACCCGCTCACCTTACAAGCCCTTCCGTACGCAACCCGACTACATCAAATTCGGTCAGCTCAGAGATTTCCAACTGGCAGGCATCAACTTCCTCGCACACAATTGGTGCAAGGGCAACAATGTCATTCTTGCAGACGAGATGGGTCTGGGAAAGACGGTTCAGTCAGTCTCTTTCATGAGTTGGCTGATTCATGACCGTCGTCAAGAGGGTCCTTTCTTGGTTGTCGTGCCACTGTCCACCATGCCTGCTTGGGCCGATACATTTAACAACTGGACGCCGGACATCAACTACATTGTATACAACGGCAACGAGGCTTCTCGCAAAATTCTTCGCGAACATGAACTCCTCGTTGATGGCAACCCGAGAAAGACAAAATTCAACGTCATGCTCACGACTTATGAATATATCCTACTCGACTCTGCCTTCTTGTCCCAGATGAAGTGGCAGTTCATGGCTGTAGACGAGGCACATCGGTTGAAGAACCGAGATTCGCAGCTTTATGTCAAGCTCATGGACTTTGGTGCCCCGAGTCGTCTGCTCATCACGGGTACGCCTCTGCAGAACGAGCTCAAGGAGCTGTCTGCCCTTATGGACTTCCTCATGCCAGGCTTGATCAATATCAACGACGACATTCCGATTGACGACTCCGAAGCTACCAGGCAAGCTCTCGACGACTTGATGAAGGCCATCTCTCCCTACATGATTCGCCGCGTGAAAGAGAATGTTACCAGTGATCTGCCGGGCAAGACTGAGAAGATCATCCGAGTCGAATTGTCAGACGTTCAACTGGAGTACTACAAGAACATCCTCACCCGCAACTACGCCGCTCTGAACTCTGGCACAAAAGGACAAAAGCAGTCGCTACTCAACATCATGATGGAACTCAAGAAAGCCAGTAACCACCCCTTCATGTTCCCCAACGCAGAGGATCGCATTCTTGAGGGCAAGACCGGCAGAGAAGATCAACTGAAGGCTCTCGTAACGAGCAGTGGAAAGATGATGCTTCTCGACCGTCTTCTCACCAGACTGAAGGCTGATGGCCATCGTGTGCTTATTTTCAGTCAGATGGTCAAGATGCTTGACATTGTTGGTGATTATCTGCATCTTCGCGGACACCAATATCAACGTCTTGATGGTACCATCGCAGCAGGCCCAAGACGTCAGGCCATCGACCACTTCAACGCTCCTGACAGCAAGGACTTCTGTTTCATCCTCTCTACACGTGCTGGTGGTCTCGGTATCAACCTTATGACCGCCGACACAGTCATTCTCTTTGATTCCGATTGGAACCCTCAAGCGGATCTTCAAGCCATGGCGCGTGCTCACCGTATTGGACAGAAGAATCCTGTCACAATCTACCGCTTCGTGTCGAAAGACACGGTTGAGGAAGAAGTCTTGGAGCGCGCCCGTAACAAGCTCATCTTGGAACACATCACCATCCATCAAGCAATGACAGAGAAGGAAGCCAAGGCGCTCAGATCCAAGCTTGATTCTGCTGGCGTCTCCACTGCTGAACCCGTAGCACATGACGATCTCTCTCGCATCCTTAAGCGTCGTGGACAAAAGATGTTCGAGCAGTCCGGCAACCAGAAGAAGCTTGAGGAACTCGATATCGATGCCGTCCTCGAGAACGCCGAAATCCATCAAACTGAACAGGCAGGCGGTGGCATCACAGCAAGTGGAGGTGCAGACTTCTTGAAGAGTTTCGAGTATACCGACGTCAAGCTTGATCTCGAATGGGATGAGATCATTCCTAAGGAGCATCTCGAGGCCATCAAGGCTGAAGAGAAAGCCAAGGACGAAGCGCAATACCTCGAATCCGTCATCGAAGAGAACCAGCCCAGAAACGCAAAGCGAAAGTCCAGAGAAGACGATGCCCGGGAACAGCGAGCGGCCAAGAAGAGAGCTCGAGATCTGGCTGCTCAAGCAGCCGCTGACATCGAGTCTGACAATGACTCCAACGCTGGCGCAGATCCTGAGCGTCCAATGAGCGAAAAGGACATCCGTAACTTGATCCGTGCTTACGAGAAGTATGGTTCGATTGAGGAACGCCAAACTGAAATCATCAAGGAAGCCAGACTTGTTGGCCGTAACATCGACCTTCTCAAGGCTACTCTCGAGGAGGTTGTAGGCATCAGCAAGAAACTCCTCCAGGACGAGCAAGACCGCGTCTTGACCCTCGAGCGTGAGACTAACAAGCCCATTACCAAGAAAGACAAGAAGGCGGTTCTGTTCGATTTCAAGGGCGTGAAACGCTTGAACGCTGAGACCTTGACCGAGCGTCCTCTGGAGATGCGTATGCTTCGGGACGTCGAGAAGCAGCTCGGTGAAAACTGGCGCACTTTCCGCATTCCAGAAGCATCCAAGCCTGCTCACTACACTTGTCCCTGGGGAGCTCGTGAGGATGGCATGCTGTGCATTGGTATCGCCAAACACGGTTATGGTGCTTGGGTGGCCATTCGTGACGATCCTGATCTTGGCATGGGTGACAAGTTCTACCTGGAGGAACATCGTGTGGGCATCAAGGAAGAGCGAACCAAAGGCGACGAGAAGAATGCAAAGTCGCCGGGAGCCGTGCATCTTGTAAGACGCGCAAACTACCTTCTCAGCGTTCTCAAAGACAAGACAAGCAACGGCACCAATCTTGCAGCCAAGAGGGCGCTTGAAAACCACCACCGTAACAACAAGAAGGCTCTCGCCTCTGGCAATCGTCAAGCTGGAAGTGTGTCTGCAAGTCCGGCTCCTGGTGCGGCTCGTAAGATGAACCGCGAGGATTCGTACCGCTCGCGCCTTCACAATGACCACCGTGGCTCATCCGACCGTCGCCAGTCATCTAACAACGTTGGCCACAGAGCATCGCCTGGTGGAGCTGAGCGTATCGACAGAAACAGACACCACCGCGATTCTGAATCCAGGAAGCTGCCACGTCATGCTGGTTCTCCTCTGGCTGTCTCTAATGGAGATCGTCCAGCATCTGAAGACCACATGAGGCGTATTGTTGAGCCTATTCGTGACTGTTTGGGCCGCATTAGAAAGGCCACAAAGAGTCACATTCCGGACGATAAAGAGCGTGCAAACAGTTTGAAAGAATCACTGCAAACAGCTGGCAAGTTCTTTAAACAGAAGGCGGCTGAGAAGGGGAAGACGGTCGAGGACAAACTATGGTACGCTCTGGTCTGACACTTTGTTCGACTATAAATGCTAACAAACAACAGGGACTATCTTGCCGAGACGTGGTGGCCGCAGGCTAAGAACGTCGACAAACGCACGTCAGGTCAGAAGCTCCGAACTCTGTATGAAAAGATCGCAGCCGCCAACAAGGCGACCTAAACCTGGACCTGTATCCAAAGTCGTGATTGAGCAACACATATGATTACGAAACAGAAGGATGAAACGCATTCTGTGGACGACTAAGTGTCGAGAAGCATGATTTTCGAAGTTGCAACGATACATGCATTGAACGGTACTATGAGTATCGGTGGGGAGCATTGGATTATTGAAGCTGTTCTTTTTGCGACAGGCGTTACGAATCGACAATGGGTCGAAGGGACAAAATCTCAGCATGGGCTGGCCAACAGGAGTTATGTTGCTACATTCGCTATTGCCTTTCTTGTGCATTACCGCTCGCCGAAAGCGTGCCACACGGAGTTCTGAGAAAAGGAGAAGCCATATGTTTAGTATTGGCTCGGAGATATACAAATAATGAAAAGAATTACTAGTCTCAACATGCGTGTTCGTCACTTGAAGATACGACATACAATTCGTGGTACAAGAGCATGGATGAAACTCCTTGAAGACGAGGCGGCCATTGGTTGCCGACAAACAGTTCGAAGATCCAAAAGCTTCGCGGCATCTCGTCCTCTCGGATGCCACGGCCGGCGACCAAAAGAGGCGCGGAAACGTAGGGTGCTGATCGATGGCGACTGATCACGGCTGGCTGGAGGCAGACCTAGACCCCTCCTTCAACACGGTCAGTCTCGTTAATAGCCATAACATTTCCAGCCTCGTTGGTTAACAGCATTTGTTGAGCATCGCAGTACTGACACAAAGCGCTGTGAACATTTCTGACGATAAGACGTCCATTCGCGTGAGAGCCCCGCCGCAGCTGGGCCTGATTCCGATCGACTCGGACCCCAATCGACGTCAGAGCCCCCGAGAAGAGTGCGGGCGTCATTCACATTTTCCTCCATTCGAATAATGCCTTCTTTCAAAAGCATACGCAGGCAGGTCCTGTGGAATTTGAACTCGAGATATATTTACGGACGCTATGTGAGTTTCACTTGGTGGTAGCCTCACTCACATGGCCTTTTGAAGCTGACCCAATTGTGTCCGCGACAGCCTCTCCTACACACCTTAGTATTCATCACCGAGTTAATCATGGTTTCCTTCCTGGTGTCAAAATTCAACAGCTACTATGCTGCGAGACCAGGTACGATTGATCAATTGCGACAAGTCTAGCGAATACGCGCTGACCATTGACTCTAGTTCTCACGACCATGGTCACCAACGCCGTAAGCCCATCCACGATCAGACTCTATGACATATCCCTGACGTCTCCTTCAGATTCTTGGTGGTGTAGCCGACACTGTCGCTCAGTCTATCACAGCAGTCAGGGAACGCGCCGTTCGCAAACCTGGTGGCCCCGACCCCAGGTCCGACCGATTGGCTATCGAGATCCACGAGGTGGACCGCAGAATCTCTGAGGAGGAGCTCATCCCCGACTCCAAGGCTCTGCCTCCACCATTCGACTTTGAGAGGTACAAGAAATCAAGAGCAAGACGCAAAGGATCAAGAGTGCTGATACAGCGGACAGATTGACGAGATTCATGGCATACGGTTTTATCATGGCTCCCATTCAGCACAAGTGGTTCGGCTTCCTCAACCGTATCTTCCCCTTGGCCAAGGGAGCTGGTACCAGTGCAGCAGCAAAGAGAACGGCCTTTGATCAACTTCTCTTCGCACCCGTCGGTCTCGGAGCCTTCTTCACCTTCATGACGGTGGCAGAGGGAGGTGGTCGCACCGAGATCCAGAAGAAGTTCCAGGATATCTACATCCCCTCGCTCAAGGCCAACTACTTGGTCTGGCCTGCTGTGCAGTTGATCAACTTCAGACTGATGCCGCGCCAGTTCCAAATTGTAAGTGGTAGTCGATCATCCGAAGCAAAGAGTGATGGCTAACGAGTTGCAGCCCTTTGTGTCTACTGTTGGTATTGCATGGACTGCTTACCTTTCCCTGTCCAACTCGGCAGAGGAAGCTTAGAAGGTCCTCTTTAGAGAACGGGCTGGGAGAATATGTTGATTATCTTCAAGCATTACAGAGCGGGATGGGTAGGCGTTCTGGCGCGTCTACGGGCCGATCGATAGACAGGTCGATTAGTGCATTAACATTTTGAAAAATACACCGATTACGAAGATGCTTGGTCTGGAAGGGGTTACATGTGACGCTACGTGAAGTGAGCAGGTGATAGGATGGTGGTTTTGACATGGAGAAGGTTGATATCTGCTGGTGGAGTGGTCGCAAGATGTAGAGGGCATGGTAGTGAGAATGTCGGAAGCACATCGGAGGTGACGCAGACTTTTGAAGAGCTGCCCCTCGTGCCGGCCGAAAGCTGTTGGGGAAAGATTCAAGCCCCTCACACCACAACTCTCCACCAAGCATCGTTGTATATATTACTCTGTGCGCCGTTCCCTGCTGCTGTCTCTCACACCAAACCGTCTAACATCTCAATTCAGTCACAATGTCGCTCTCCAACAAGCTTTCCATCTCCGACGTCGACCTCAAGGGCAAGCGTGTCTTGATCCGTGTATGTTTCCATTGGGCACCAAGCTACCATTCCAAACCCCTGCTGACCATATACAGGTCGACTTCAACGTCCCTCTCGACTCCAACAAGAACATCACCAACAACCAGCGTATTGCCGGTGCCGTCCCTACCATCAAATACGCCGTCGACAATGGCGCCAAGGCCGTTATCCTCATGTCCCACCTCGGTCGTCCCGACGGCAAGGTCAACGAGAAGTACTCGTTGAAGCCCGTTGTTGCTGAGCTCGAGAAGCTCGTCGGCAAGAAGGTCACCTTCACCAACGACTGTGTCGGCTCCGAGGTCGAGAAGACCGTCAACGACACCAAGGACGGCGGTATCATTCTCCTTGAGAACCTGCGTTTCCACGCCGAGGAGGAGGGCAGCAGCAAGGACTCTGAGGGCAAGAAGGTCAAGGCCGACAAGGCAAAGGTTGAGGAGTTCCGCAAGGGCCTGACCGCTCTTGGTGACGTCTACATCAGTGAGTTACACGTTCTCTGCGCCTCGACTAAGCTACGCATACTGACAAGACCTTCTAGACGACGCTTTCGGTACCGCTCACCGCGCTCACAGCTCCATGGTCGGTGTCGACCTCCCCCAGAAGGCTTCCGGCTTCCTCGTCAAGAAGGAGCTCGACTACTTCGCCCAGGCTCTCGAGGAGCCCAAGCGTCCTTTCCTTGCCATCCTCGGTGGTGCCAAGGTCTCGGACAAGATTCAGCTCATTGACAACCTTCTCGGCAAGGTCGACAGCCTTATCGTTTGCGGTGGTATGGCCTTCACCTTCAAGAAGACCCTCGAGGACATGAAGATCGGTGACTCGCTCTTCGACGAGGCTGGCAGCAAGACTGTCAAGGACCTTGTTGAGAAGGCCAAGAAGAACAACGTCAAGATTGTCCTCCCCGTTGACTTCATCACCGCCGACAAGTTCGACAAGGACGCCAACACTGGCAAGGCCACCGACAAGGAGGGTATCCCCGACGGCTGGATGGGTCTCGACTGCGGCGAAGAGTCGATCAAGCTCTTCAAGGAGACCATCGACGAGGCCAAGACCATCCTGTGGAACGGCCCCGCCGGTGTCTTCGAGTTCGAGAAGTTCGCCCGCGGCACCAAGGCCACTCTGGATAACGCTGTCGCCGCTGCCCAGTCTGGCAAGGTTGTCATCATCGGTGGTGGTGACACTGCCACCGTCGCCGCCAAGTACGGTGTCGAGGACAAGCTCAGCCACGTCTCGACCGGTGGTGGTGCTTCGCTCGAGCTGCTCGAGGGCAAGGAGCTCCCTGGTGTTACTGCTCTCTCGAGTAAGTAAATTCTTCCGAAAAGAGTGTTTTCTTAAGTCGCAAATGGGAGATATCCGGGATCTGATTTATACCACGGGCAAGGCAAGCAGAGCGAGTCTCTAAGAATACGTCCGAAATGCATTTATGTTATGATTCATCTATGACCGTGTTTCTCTTTTCCTTTGTCATGAGTGGGTTTGTGGGAATGAGCTTGGTTTGCTTGTTCGTGCCTTTCTCCGTTCTCTTCTCGATAATGGTGTGTATTCAGTACTCCGTGACGCCGTGCCATGCCGTTTCCGTGTCAAACCCTCGATTTGAGTCACTCTTCGAAGTGGTGAATATCATTGACGGGCTGATTGCTTTGGTTCGCGAGGCGATGTGGGTTCAACCGCGCTTTTCCATCTTGTTGAGCTCTTTCCTGGTCATGGGGTTAGTATGCGGTTGGGGCGGGTGTGGTTGTGATGTAGACACATACTGGAGCTGAACCGAGAACTCGTCGCTTGTGTCATCGTCATCCCAGCTCTCCTCCCAGAGATGTGTGGTTCCTGCGCCGGCGCCGGACGAAGCGAGTTCCTCCTCTGCGGGCCAGTCTGTTTGTCGCAAATGATTAATTCCATGGCCTTCTTTGAGAGTAGAGCAATGGCAAACTCAAACGCACCTTCTACAGGAAAGTCTTCGAACTCGTCATCTTCCTCCAGCTGTGCGGCCTGCTTCTGAGGGGCTAGTGGTTGCGAGTCGTCCTTGCGGTCTGAGACGACGGCCTTTGTGGTGGTAGCGTCTGCTTGTGCTGCGCCGGACATGGTTGCGGTATGTGTGTGCGTATATGCGGATGTGAAAGGTCGTGTGTGCGATGAGGTTGCGAGGCGACGATGGTATTGACGAGCGGCGGTAAGTGATAGCTACCAGGTAGTCGTGATGGTGTTGGTCTCTCACTTGGGCTGTTGCCATCATGGGCGGCCAAACAGAGCAAACACGAAGCTCTCGTCTCCGCAAATTCCGTATACGATGGCTATACGAGCAGCGATGATATCACGGTTTGGGTGGTTAGGTCAGGTTGACATTCCTGTCCAAAAACCCACTCTGCACGTATCAAACATGAAGAGGTTTTTGGGAGCTGCAAAGCTCAGTACCTCGAGCTCGACTCACTCGTTGAGTGCTCTTGATGAGCCTCAGGCACGTATGTAACTTGATCCGTAGCATCCAAGGCACGTGGGCTGATAAACATGCTTAGTCGAGGATGCCATGGCTGCTGTGTCATATATACTTAACGATGGTAACTACTGTTCCACTGCGTATCAGCTACCAAGATCCAAACTCACCACTGTCCAGATGTCGAGACGGCAGAGTCAGAGTTGTCCAAAGGCAACTCGCCCTTCCACAAGGTACGCCTGATATATAGATTCCCCATCCGGCTGAGCAGACGGCTTACTGCATATCAAGTAGTTGGGTCAAGGTGTTGTATCCTTCTTGCGAGCCGCCCTCGGTTTCGAGCAAGACATCATGCGAGAAGCCTCTGAAAGACTAGGACAAGCCGAGACTGCCGCCTACGACCATCAACGCCATGCCGACAAGAACGCCTACCAATCAAAGATATACCCGCCTGGAAGCGAGTACGCCCTTTGTCTTGCCGAAGCTCAGCTTATGAGTGCTGTCGTCGCGGTTCTGAACGAGAGTCTCTCCGAGAGTATCAAGGGTTTCTACAAGATGAGGAAGGCCTATGTGGCTTTGCAAGAGATAGCAGATGCTGAGAAGAGATATATGAAGAAGAGAAGCTCGACTTCTGTGGCCAGTACAAGCACAAGGTCAACCGTCAACCCGGCTCCTTCGATAGCTTCCACAGCTCCCTCGATAGGAGGTCAGACTCTGGTCGCCCAGGATGAAGACGACGACGATGACTTTGTGGACGCCGATGAGAGTTTTACTGCTCCTGCGACACCCACAACATACCAAGGTCATTTGGAGTCTAAGGAACTGGAGTCAAAACTAGGAAATCTGTCCATTCGTCCTGGCTCGTCATCCACGATGACTCCTGCGCCGCCTGTCGTAGAAGAAGATGACTTTAGTGATTTTAGCAATCACCCTGTTGATCTTTTCATTCATTCCGGCTCCAACCTCTGCTTCGGTCTTCTGCAACTAATGCTATCCTTGATACCACCAGCCTTCTCAAAACTCCTCTACATCATTGGCTTCAAAGGTGACCGCGAGCTCGGTATCCAGATGTTATGGCGAGCTACCCGATACACAAATGTCAACGGCGCCATGGCAGGCCTGATCACATTAGGATATTACAACCTCACTGTTGGCTTCTGCGACATCGTCACCTCGGATGCTTACCCAAAGGAACGCTTGACGAATCTGCTGGTTCAGATGCGCAAGCGTTATCCCCAATCTCGTCTTTGGAGACTCGAAGAGGCAAGAATGCTGGCTGCTGACAAACAGCTGGAAGATGCTGTTACCATGTGTGGCACCCATGAAAAGAGTCCCCTCAAGCAAGTCGAGGCATTGCAGTGGTTCGAGAAGAGTCTGAATTGCATGTACCTGCACAGATACGAAGAATGTGCTACTTCATTCTTGACCGTAAGTCTTTGCCTATATTATGACTTGCAAAAGATCCAGCTGACATGACAAAAATAGTGTGTCGAACTCAACAACTGGTCTCACGGCCTATACTACTACATAGCAGGCGCCTGCTACGTCGAACTCTACCGCGAAGCAAAATCCGTGGACTCAGGCCGAGCAGACAAATACGCCTCTCGCGCCACAGAACTCCTCCGCAAAGTCCCCATCCACGCAGGCAAAAAACGCTTCATGGCGCGCCAACTCCCCTTTGACACGTTTGTGACTCGCAAGATTTCAAAATGGGAAGAACGAGCCAAAGCTCGTGGTATCCCTTTCATCGACGCCGTAGGCATCGCTCCAGTCGAGGAAATCATATACTTTTGGGCTGGCTTCAAGAGGATGAGAAAAGAGCATCTGTTGCACTCTTTGCAGCGATTGGACTGGAGCGAACAACACAAATGTCACGATAATGCCGTCGATGAACTGGCTACTCTGTCTCTGCTGCGAGCAACCGTAACACGCTGGCTAGGCGACACACACACTGCTCGCAACATCCTAGAGACGCAAGTGTTGAATCACGATAGCAGTGAACTCAAGGGAGGAAATAAAGATAACTGGTCTTTGCCGGTGGCGCATTACGAAATGTCTGTCATCGAGTGGATCGAAGCTGGCGGTGAGAGAGGCAGCAAGCAGCAGTTGGACGCTTGCTCGAGGTGGGTGGAGAAGGCTGCGAGGTGGGAGGCGTATGATTTGGATGCTAGGTGGGTTTTTTTTTTCTTTTCGCTTCTCTTCCTCCTTTCTCCCTCCCTTACCTGGCTTTTGTTGCTTTTTGGTATACCCCTGCACATACACCCCACCATCACTTTCCTTCGTCACCACTTCTTGATGTTGGTACCCGAGCACCTGGTCTCGCTGCCACCCAGGCCTACCTTGTTGTATCTTTAAAGATTGCTTGGTCCGTCGGTAACTATTGATGCTAATTCTATCGTTCTCACAGGGTCGGTCTCAAAGTCACGACAGCAAGGGAGACGTTAAAGAAATGCGGCATCACTGCTGCCATCGCATAGAAAAGAATGGCGGATCTCTCTGCCCAAAAGGAGCATCCTGCATAACTGCTTGCATTGATTCCGAAACGCTCCAAAGAGATGGGAGAAAACCCACAGGTTCATGCATTTGGATAAAGGTCGGGTGCTGTTTTCCTGGGTTAGCCGTGGTTACATATTCGCTTGGGATGGTAAGTCATGCAGGTCCAAATGCCTATACAAATGCTATGATTAACCCTCCTTTGATATTCTTTTTTCTTCTCGCTCATCCAGTTTTTTCATGTTTCCTGAAAGCGCCCGTTTCCGTACCTTCAGTCGTCACAGGAGGCAAAGTTGGTGGCAAGACCTCCAACGTTGCCATGTCATGTGAAGGCCGCGCTCTTTCGTTCCTTGCTTGCTACTTTGTACACAATACACTTGGAAGCAATTTTGCTCGGGTCGTTTACCAGAGGGAGTGTTTCTCCTTCTCGTCGCGAGGGGGCTAGCTGCCAGATCGCCGGGACTCGTCTGCTTGAACAGTCTATCGGGTAACCGTTGTTCGTCCAACCCTCTCTTTCAGGGTGTGACTGCCTTTTCTGTCAAAGACGTTCTCTTCAATCGCCGTCCCCTGTGTAGTGACGTGGATCATACATCACAGGAGACGCCCGTATCATCGATATCGAGGAAGCAACGAACAAAGTGATGATTCGGATCAAATGGTAACAACAGAGAAGAGTTTCAAAAAAAAGTGGTCTGAAGAGAAATAAAAAGTTACGCAACAGTACAGAAAAGGTTTAAATAGATATCCAGAGGAAGAGTCAAAAACAGCAAAAAGGGGTATTGTTCCAGAGTTCATCAGAAGCCGCCGATAGTAGTAGTAGTAGCAGTAGTCAGACCCCAACCAGGCCAGCCATGTTTTTAGACCAAACGCAATCCTCATAGTGGTGATGTGTGTCTTTGGTGTAATCAAGCCCAAGAACAACCAGAGAGAGAGAGGGGACAGAAGATGAAAAGATAATAGGAAAAAAAGCAAGAATGGAAAGGTATAAAGCGGGGTGAAGAACAAGAGTGATCTGAAAAAAAGACAAACGCCAGTGCAGGGGAAGTGATGAGTTGAGGTGGGGTTCATGGAGTGAGTAAACAAACAGGGTACTGGGTAATAGGTGCAGGGCGAATGCAGTGATGCATCGAGGGGGAATCCAGGAGTAATGGGAACAACAACGAAACAGATAAGGAAAAGGGTGTAGGAGAGCAACACACCAAGCCGGCCGAGTTTCGATGACGGACTCCTCTATCCAGGACTGTTCTCAACAGAAGTAGGCGCTGTTTCGTCCGATGTCACCCAAAGCAGGCGACGTTGCAGCTCTTGTATGACCTTCAGCCTAAGCAGATTCCTCTCCGAAGGCGGATTGTCGTAAGGTATAGCCACGTGATTTCTTAGACAAGACTAAAGCTGAGAATCGTCGACGATAGATATTGAGCCATAAAGCAAGTTCCTGTGCTCTGGAGGCAAGCGTTGAGAATTCTATTGGTAGCGTTGCCAGTCTTGAGGTGTCATGCCCGCAGCTGGGTTGGTAGATGGGGGTGCCCATCCATGCATCTGCTGCTGAGGTTGACCAGGTGTACCCTGCTGTTGCTGCTGCTGCATGGCAAATTGCTGTGGGCTTGGACTAGCTTGATACATGTTGCGGTTCATACCAGCAAAGGCACCAGCTGCACCCATATGGTGGTTCATGGAAGGGTAGCCACCCATGGCGGCCATCTGGGGAGGATGCATGGGCGACTGCTGTGGTGGCTGCTGGAACTGAGCCATGTTGTGGGCCTGTGACAAGGGAGAAGGCTGAGGTTGCGAAGGCGGCCACATTTGACCCTGCTGGTAGCCGTACGAGGGAGTTTGCTGGCGCATGGAAGCCATGGCCATAGCGGGCGAAGTCTGGTGCATCTGCGACGAGGGAAGCTGCTGGTGCATGGAGCGGACGGGCGACTGCATGGGGTTCTGTTGGTTCGGCTGGTGGAACTGAGAGGGCATCATGTGGGCGGCTGCTTGCTGATGGGTCATCATTGAGGGCTGCGAAAGAGATGGCAGACGGCTTTGAGGCGACTGTAGACTATGAGGAGCAACAGTTCCCAAGTCTGTGGTGTCGGGCAGAAGCGGCTGCGGAGGAGGGGTCGGGGGCTCATGGGGGCGCTTCCAGTAGTCCTCGTAGTATTGGCTGCGCACAACACGCTGTTGAGTCAGAGATTTATTAAACTCAGCGGCCTGGTTTGCTTGTGTGAAGACGTCTTGAGGGTTGCTAGGCTGAGTGCGATCTTGGTAGGCAGGTCCATTAAGCTCCTGTCTTGGGCGAGCAATGCCACGGAAATCGGCGACTCTAGGGTCATCAGAAGGCATGTTAATCATGCTGAGAGGCGCAAGCGTGACGGGGTGAATGCCAGCCGGAACGGTGGGTTGGTCGATGCCAGGACCGTTGGTATATATAATGTCGGTGTGCGGCATGGCAGTCAAGGTAGTCGTGTTGGTGCTCGCTTCGGCAGCCGCTGCTTCTCTCTGCTTGGCAGCACCAGGTCGCTTTTCTCCAGCTGCATCTTCTTCGGTAAAGCCCTGGCTTCTCGCTTTGGATTCCCAGTAATCGTCGCGAACTCGTCTTCCGTTGGTAACGACGCGACTTCCAAACTGGCGGAACATGGACCTTGCCGTTACAATGGCGATTTGCCTAGAACGGTACGAGTATGGCAGAATCTCTTGTTGAATGAGATTGTCCTTCTCCGGTTGGTTGGCGATGATCTTGTACAGCGATCGGTTCTTATTGAAGAGCAGGTACGAGTCACGGTAGCCTAACGCGCGCGCGCATTCGGTGGCGAGCATAAAAAGCTTCTCGCCTCTGTTGGGCACAGTGAATGTTCGGATGCGGTATTCGCGACCTTCGAGCGGGTAGCCATTGCTCGACACCTTCTTCTCGCCAGCTTCGTCGATCTCGCGTGGGATGTATTCATCGCCTTCAGCGCCGAGCTGGTCTGTGGTGTGGTCTCTGACGGTAGGCAAAGCCTTGACGACAGTTGTCTTTTGACCTGAAGCGGGCGTTTGTCTTTGGGGTGAAGCCTGCGAAGGTGAGGACTGGTTCCCGCCTTGCTTAATCTGGGGAGTCTGTACGGCAAGCGGCGACGACAGGTGGACAGGGTGGGATGCCATCTGTGGACTATCGGCAGTCTTTTGCTTGGGAGGGCGACCGCGCTTCCGTGGTTTGAAGTCGTCTAACACGTCAGCACTTGAACGCGCAAGCTGGGAAGAAACGTTGACAGCGGACGTACCGGTGTCGGCGGGTTCGGCCGGGGAACGGCTGCGCTTCAGGCCTCGATTGTTATATGCCGAGTTGTCGAGGGCTGGACGAGGGTGTCAGTGGGAAGGGTCAAGCATGGGAATGGTATAGGGCTGTCGCGCAACTTGGGCGGACGCGGCGACGTACTTGAGTTCAGCGCAGCAGGGTTGATTGTGCCATGACCGTCCATGGTACGGTAGCATAACCCAAGGTCTGGACTGGGGGTGCTCTGGGGTTGCGGACTGGCGCAGGAGCGGTGAATGCAAACAAGGCCGTGTTACTCGATGTGCAGAATTACAGACTCATTGGCGGCGCGAAACGGGTCGGCGGAGTCGCTTGAGCGCAGGGATTCCAGATAAGCTTGCTTGTCGGATCCTGCGTGTCGGTGCTGCGGACCAAGATGCAGCGGCGGGTGGAGAGTTGGAGGCAAGGGCGCGACGCGTGTTTGAGTGTGCTGGTGCTAGCAGACGTAGGGTGATGGATGAGGATGTCGGACGTGCTGGGCGAGCGCATTCGATCCCAGTCTGAAGACTTGGCTCGAGCTTTTGTCGGCTACAGAAAAGCGTTCCAGTCAGCGTCCAGCAAAGACTCGGACCTTTGGCAAAAGCACAGGAAACAAACGCGAGACAAGACGCTGCCTCATCAATGCCGCGTCGCCACTCTCGCCAGTGCAGCCAATAAAACAGCGTTAAACTCACTTTTTTTCGTTTCGCCTTGGAATGTATGTCAGCTCGAGGCAAGGGATGGCGACCGGGGCAGCAGTACCTGGGTAGCAGCTCAACTGGCAATCGACGAAACACTGGGACAACGCGTAGCACAGAGTCTTGTCCAAAAAGCAACAACCGCAAAGACGCGCAGGGGAGAGATCGGAAACGAGTCTTAAGGATCAGATGCGCCCGTCATGAAGCGACAAAGTCGTGTCCAAGGGCGATCGCAGTTATGCCCGACCAACCAGCTTCTTGCCGCCGCCGCCGCCGCTCGCCTCACGTCATGTGCCTTCTCTACCTGCACCTTTCAGCCAAAGTCCGCATCGGCCTTTTGCTTCCTCCCGAGAATGCGGTCCGCGGAAGTCGTCCACCGACTACTTTGTCCCGTCACGCGCTCGACAAGTGACATATAAACACTAATTCCACCATCTCGCTCTGTCCCCGACATGCTTTGTTCAATTCGACTTGTCTTCCTTGCCATGTCATGAGCAGCGCCGGTAACCGCGCGTATCCACCGGCCTCGTAAGTCTTTTTATATTCGCATCGCCAACTCCGATCCTTCAATCCCCTAGTTTGCAGCTAGGAATCTCCTCAATCTCCGTCTCGCTTCTTGTCATTTCATAAGGAAATCCTTCCGATCTCTTATTATACCGCTGTCCTAAGGCTATCACTTCCTCCTCCTCCACTTCCAACACCCTGAGTTACCTCAAGTCTTCAGCGTCTCCATCGAGATCTGCTGCAGGTGTCCGCTGCGCTCTCTGCGTGGCTCGACGTAAGCCCAGGTTGCGCAGTGCCATGTGTTCCTCCGCTTTCCTCAGGACGCCATGAGCCTTGCTGTCACAGAGAAAGTCCTCTTACAGTAATGATCGGACCACAAGTCTTCTTGTTGTTGAAGACTTTGTGCACGCGTCGCTTTCAATCGACGACGACCAGCACTTAGCTGACCAAGCCTGATGTCGACAAACGAGGCTTGGTTAACGCTCCTGCAGCCACGCACCTGAGCTCCGAGCTGGTCATGAAACCCCAAGAAATCTGCACCTAACGCGCGAAGATCGCGTGCATGACGCGTACTACTCTACCATGCGTTGGCTCGTCTTCTACGATGGAGCCACCTCCCATCGCCATCTCGTTCTCGGCCTCTTTCAGTGCACGGAAGAATAAACGTTCGAGCCGAAACAGGTCATTGCAGCTTCGAATCTTTAACCCGGCGGCTGGTTGCTTCGAGGCAACAGAAGCGCTTTTGCCTGTGTCGAATAGGGATACTATCTACATCTTCAAGCCATCGGGGTAGCCGAGAGCTGATGATTGGTAAGACCATTTGATCTTCTATTTGCTTAATTCGGTAGGTTGCCGCTTTGAGGCTCTCTCACAGCCACCCGGCCCCGCAAACTGCTGCTTCTTTTCTCTCGGACATGACGGGCTACCTTTATCGATTATTCATGATTGGATGCATTTAATGAATTTTTCCGACCGAGGTTCGACTTTTTGAAATGAAGGTTTCCATATCAATATCTCCTTCTTGAGCCTAAATGCCTACATCGCTTGCTTTTGAGCATGAAGAGCTTGATCTGCAACCGGAACGATGTCCGAATGGTAGATTATGGGTTCTTCCGTTCCGGTAATGTTCCAACTGTGGTTGTCCAAGGTGTGGACTGGACCATTCAAGTGTGACTATGATGTTTCGTTTGCACGAGAACGCGTGGGTCTGATATCTGAGAAGGACTTGAGGCAGCAAAACTTGATCTAGCATCCAGTAACGTTCATCAGGAGTCGATCGTATGATGTGGGCAGTGTAGATGGCAAAGGAGCAATGGAAAGCATGCTGGACTCCATTGTGCTCGACGCGTGTGCAGTGAAGCCTATCTTCTACGCCGGCCACAATGCTGAGGTAGTCTGTCTTCCTATCCTGATGCTGTTTCGTAAACACATGTCTCCCAGCCGTAAAACTCCCGGAATGCTGTTATGATTTGCCATGTCGCATCCATCTCTTCAAAAGGGCCACTGCTTCTTGGAAGCGACAGGCTTGTAGCCACCACCATAGCCACCACCGTAGCCTGACTTGGCGCCATATCCATGACTGTGCTGTTCAGCAATCTGCTCCGCCTGGCTCTTGTAATAGTTCAGCTCTCCCTTCCACATCCTATACCAATAACCCACATCCTCAGCCGCGCCATCAACACCTCTTTGCGACAGCCAGAAAGCAAGCACCACAAGGCCACCCCAGAAGGCGATGTTGAAAGCCAGTCGCACCCAGAAGAGCACGCTTTGGACCAGCATGTTGACGAGTTTGAGTGAGATGTAGAGGATGACGAGCATGAGGGCGATCTTGGTCAAGTCGGGCTTCTCGAGCAAGGACTGGAAGGTGGGGAGGAGGTAGTTGTGGAAGATATTGTTGAGGGTTGAGAGAGGGCCGAAGAGGTTAGGAGTCAGGTAGCCATGGCGGAAGAGGTAGCTGGCCCAGTCTGCGTGGTATGTTTGTTAGTGGTGATGGTATTCGCATGTGATCGTGTGCCTCACCTTGTACGGCGTCCATGACTGCGGGCGTAATTTGAGATTGTATGTTCTCTGACACGGAGATGGAGAGACAGCGGAATAAATGTACTCAAGTTGCTTTCGTAGTGATGGCAGAAAGGATGACGGGGTTATGTGAGTGTTGGAAGACATGTAAACACCGAGCTGGATCTCAAACCCCAAGCTTCAAGTGCTCCAACACATGCATCACTCGCTCAAGCCTCGTGTTTCCCAGGCAGCGGGTTTTGATGTGATCCGAACATCTCGAGATATACTGAGTTGTAATCGCTCATACAGTTTTAATCTCAGTCTTGTGATTTTATCGACACAGGTCGCTGCTCGGTTGTTTCGAGATGCTCACATAGGTTGCCCGTACGAGATCGGGTTATATATTGACCCTGAGCAATCAATAACTCATGCTTCGCCGCTTTAGCTCATCTGGGAGAGCGCCAGACTGAAGTCCACTTCTGTCCCTCTTGGATCGCAAGAGTATTCTGGAGGCACTGTGTTCGATCCACAGAAGCGGCATCGATTTTTGGTCACCTATCTCTCTTGTTGGATCTCCGCTGATGAGAACGAACTATCTTCGATCTGGATGACAGTCACTTTTGCGCTTTTCGTAGGTTCCAGTGTGATCAAATTATTGAACCCTTCGCCTGCTTCATCAACTACACCACAATCCTCTGCTGTAGGTCATGCCCGGAACGCGAATTCGCTGGAATCTCGGAAATGACAATCGATGAGAGGTTTCTGTGTTTAATTCCCTCGTCGAATTGTGCCCTGTGTCACTAATTCGCTCAGTCCAAGTGGGACTCGTTTCGCGCGTATCCTATCGCAAGACGCCAACTGTGTTGAAGAGACCGAAACACATGGAGACATTCAGGAGACCATGGCTCAACCAGATCTAGAGGAGAAGAAAGTCAGTTTCTCACTGGACCGAGCACGTGCTGCGTCGAAGGTCTCTGGGAGGATGTGGTAGGCTCGACGACCATAGGCGGTTGAGAAGCAGCCAATGAACGTCGCGAACAGAGCGCACGAGGGCAGGCCGTCGACTCTCAACTCTACAGTTGAGGCACACGACACAGTCGTGCCCCTCGTGCGCCTTTTGATAGGGAAAGTGCCTCTATGCGTGCATTCGCGCCTGCGACAAATATGTCGCCTTCTGCAAGCCTAGGTTTCTCATTTGTTTCCTCATTCCTGTCCATTCCCTTGCCTGTACAAAAACCCTTTTCTGCTACATCATACTTCATACTCTGTAGCCTGTGATACCATCAAGGTGAGGCTTTTGTCATACCTCTCTCACACACACACAAATGGCTTCATCACATCTGCCTCCCACTCCGGCCTCATCGACGGATATCCGGGGCAAGGAGAAGCTGGTGCCTCTTGCTCCTGCTTTCAATCTTCCACCCTCGGCATACGCAGAAGGCAGTGATAGAGCTACCTCATCACCTCTCTCAAGTCATGGTTCCGACTCATCGTACCACCCTCATTCACCCGTGTCCCTGAACAATGCGAGACGTAAGTCCAGCGCTGCTCAGTCGAGCTTGGCCAAGGCAGACGACACATTCGCTCTTCCTCCACCGCCAACTCGCAACCGTAAGATTATCCAGATGAAGCCGAAGCCTGCAGCTGGTGAGAAGCAACCAGAATCCGAGGTTGAAGCAGCTCCAGCAAAGGCCACTGGTGGTAGAAAGAAGGGTGCCAATGCAAGCAGTACGGCTGCTAGCCGTAAGGTCGCTCGCAAGACTGCACACAGCTTGATTGAAAGACGACGACGCTCCAAGATGAACGAGGAGTTTGGTGTGCTCAAGGATATGATTCCAGCTTGTCAGGGTCAAGAAATGCACAAGTTGGCCATCCTGCAGGTCAGTCACCACGAACAGTCTCTAAACAGAATAGCCTACTGACTCTCCTCAAGGCAAGCATTGAATACCTTCGATACCTCGAGCGTTGCATCACCGACCTCAAAGCCGACAACACAGCTGTGAGACAGGGCTCAATATCACAGCCTGTCCTCCCTGCTCCGCCTGTCCCACAACCTGCCACTGTTGTCGATCAACCCATGGAGCCTGAAGAAGACGAAGACCAAGAAATGTCCGACACAAACCACTCAACCGGTGCTTCAACACCCAACGGTCCCCTCCTCTCCCACGTACATTCCCGCGAGTCCATCCCATCTCTGGCCTCTCTGCCTTCCATGTCTCATTTCGGATACAAATCACCTGCCATTGCACCTTCCGACGCTTCCTCTTCTCGACACTACAGTATCTCTTCTACCTCTGCCCCATCTTTCTCTCCTTACATCCACTCACAACAAGCATCGCCCTTTTTCGCTCCAACCGCAGGTCAACATGAGCCTGCCCCCTTCGCACTCACAAGTCCTGCATTGAGGGCGCAGGACTCATCCCTGCGTCCCAAGCCAAATACCATGGGTGAGGATATCAATGTTCGTGAACGCAGAGAAAAGGACTTGGATCGCGAGGCCATGGCCGCTCTGCTAATGTTGAACTCGGACAGGAGGGTCTACAAGGACAAGTCCGGTCGTGGTATGAGTGTGCAAGACCTTTTGAGCAATTAAGGTCGTGGGCTAACTCGATGTTTGAAACGTATGCTTCAAAACTGCATACAAGAGAAAAATGATGGCCATGAAATTGATGACTCTGCGGTGTACAGGACGTAATGGGTGTTTGGTAGTGACTAGGTATAATCAAAAGCATTCTCGTTTCCAAACCCTTTCATGTATTCTCCCCTTGTGCTGTGTGATTTTATTACTATGCTTTGTCAATTCCAGTAATGTCACGCGTGACTGATTGGAGCCACAATGTTGATGCCATCTTCTATGCTCTTTATGCCATTGGGTCAGTGTTCAGAGGTGCTGCTGCACACGCCGACTTGCAATGGTGATGTCGAGTATCAAGTTATCGACCAGGGTGTTACGGCCAACAGCAATCACAGACTGATAGTCTGATATCGCATAGGACAAAAGCACTGGAGCATCTGTGACGACGGCGGACAGCTACCATAGACATATGGATGCAGAATTCTTTGAAAGAACGATGCAAGTCAAACAAAGTATGATGGACAAGAAACGTACAGAGCACAGCAACAAGATGGAGTCCAGATCGACGACAGACATGCAACGAGACGCTCACAGAATCAACATATAGAGAAAATGAGCCTGAAAGTGTTTTGGGCAAGACAAACTTTTGATGTACAGTCTACAAAACAATGGTTACAACAAGTGAGTATGAGAAAAAGCTTGCAGAGGCACAAAAATATCCAAGAATACAACATCAAAGCAGAAAAGAAGAAAACCAAAGCCGTGCTGTATGCCGTGTCTATCAAGAAAATCCCACACAAACCCCGCTCGTTTAAATGCCAAAAGAGATATCATCATTACAGTTCATATGCCTCATCCAGTCCATATCCATGAACCCACCATCCGTCGAGTCAAAAGCAGGCATGGTGGGGAAAGTGCCATCGTCAAAGGTAAACGACTCTCCAGCTGCATCTAGATTGATCAGGGTGTCGAAATCGGCATCTAGAGCAGGGATGTTGAACGCAGCTGCTGTAGTGTCGTCAATTTGACTGTCGGTGGTGTGCTCGGATCCTGGAGGTGTGGAGGCGAGGAAGTTATTTAGGTGTTGAGCCAAGTCGTTTTCTGAGACTTGTGGTTCCATCTGCTCGGTTTGCTGTTGGCGTGACTTGGTGTCGTTGGTGGTGGCTGCGGCAAGTTCTGGAGGCGGTGTCAGGCGGCTCACGTTCGCGTGGCCCAGTCTTGCTGCCTTCATTACGTGGGAAATGTTGGCCACGTGTGTGGGTCGTGGTGGTGGGCCCATCTTGGGAGGAGGTAGTGTGATTTCTGCTTTGCGGATCGCTGCTTCCAGGAAAGCGGTCGAGAAGTCTGCGGCTGCGTAGATGTCGCGGAGCTTGTTGAGAATTTGCATGCACTGGCAGAAGCCTTGGAGACTGGCGCGTCGGGTGGTCTCATCTGGTGCCTTGATATCGAGGAGATGGATGATGATTGCCGGCAATAGGACGGTGATACCAGAGGTGGGTAAGCAGCGAATGAGGTCAAGCTCGTTCAAGTTTTGAGCAACGGCAGTAAGTCTGTTGGCTGCGAATCGAACGGTCCTGCGCGAAGTGTCCAAGACCTCGGAGGCCATCTTACGCGATGGCGCAGCTGTCGAGGGAAGAACTTGCGGTCTGTGTAGAGCCGAGAGCGTAGCCAGATAGACCATATGCAAAAGGGAGCGATGTAGCGCAATTGTTCCCTTGCCAGCTGTAAGATCGAATAATGAAGAAGGCTTGTACTTGGCCTCAGGTGCGATCGAGGCTTTCCATTGTTTAAGCTCCTCGTCACAAGCCTTTACAGAGCAGTTTTCTGGGTCGTCTTTACGCGCTACGAGCATCATGGTGGTGCGTGTGGTTCCCTCATGACTCTGTACGCCATGATTGTTGTGCAAGACCGAGTATTGTGTCGACAAGACATGACTGATACAGATGCACAACTTTGCCTTTTCGATACACATGATGGCCAGGTCCCTTTGCATGGTGGTATCTTGCATGATCTTGCAGCTGGGTGGTATGCAGGATGACTGGCTGGTCAGCACGTTGAAGTCGAAGTCGTCTACTGTCAGCATCGGTACGTCGAAATCCTCGTTCTTTATCCTTGTCGGACGACGCATTCCCAAGGCAATCATACGGTCACGCATATAGGTCGCCCACCAGATACGTTTCCAAAGGCGTCTTTGTTTGGGATCCATATTGGAGCGTTCCGGATTGCGGTGGAGGCCGATCGTATGAGAAAGAGAAACGGCGATACCCATCCAGTGGTGACTATCTTTTTGGTCATCTGGTGTCTCATACCAGAATGTCATGAGAAGTAGCGATTGGATCAGAGAGATACGATCGGATTCGTAGTCAAAGTCATATAAAAGCTGCATTTGATGATAAGTTTTCAGTTTAGTGATGCAAAGCGTTTATCACTTACCCTAGTCTTTTGGAAGAACTCTCGTCTAGCGGCCCTTCTATTCGTGTATCCAGCAGTTTGAAGATATGCCATGTCTACCGAAGCGACACCTGCGAACATGATTGCCTGGAACAATAGTAGACTGACGGCTGAGGTGGAATCGTTGGTGTCCACAGTATGGATGAGCTCGTGGACGTCTAGCAATGGCATGTATGGGTGGATGTTTTCTACGAAGCATCGTAATAGAGCAGCGCGCAAGGCGGGCGGTGGTATTGTGAGGGCGCCCTTCCTTGCCAAATACGACAGATCATCCGGGCCGAAGGTCGAAGGGAAAGTTCTGATAAAGCCAGGAAGTTGCTGATGGGGAGATGAAGTACGAGCTTCTAGGCCAAACAAAGAGATGGGATCAAGTCCTGAAAGAGAGATGCTGTCCGTCGGATCCTGGGGTATGGAGATCGATCTTGCTAGGCTCTGACGACGAGCAGAGTCGAAGGATTGAGGATTAAGGTCTTGATCTAGACACGAGAATCAGTCTGCTGTTTGAAGGCTTCAAATGGAGGTGACGAACATAATGAATGAGGCAAGTGACCCGGTGAGTCATGGAAGCTGAGATTCTGTGGTATCGAGGCAGGAGCAGGTGGAGAGCAATCTCCTGCTGCGTTTCCCTCTTCGTCTCCTTTTGTCCACTTCCTTTACACAATCAGTTAGCAAGAATGGTCGAGGACACGATTCAGATCAGGCACTGACTTCTTGCGCTTGCTCTCAGAGACTATGCATTCGACCTCGTCGAGCCTGCAATTGGTACAGGGACTCTGCTCAACGACATTGCATCGTACTTTGCGAGCTCTGCACGACTGGCAGGCCTTTGAAGCACGTCTCTTGACACTCTTGTGGATCCTGGTGCCGGTAGTAGGCAGGCCGGCGTCGCTGGCTTTCCGTTTCGAGTTGGGAGAGCTCGAGGGTCTGGCCGGGGCCAATAGGTCGCCATTGACAGATGAGTCCGACATGATGTATGGTCGATGGTCAGGGGATATGCAAAGCGCTCGCGCGGGAGGTCGTGGGGGAGCTGCTTACCTTTGTATGCAATCTACCCAGCGGCCACCAATTCATTTTTGGTTAATCAGCCTTCAATTCTCCTCCCCCATGATCCACCAGCCCCACGGTGTGGAGACTCCACGAACTTCTTCTGCTGCACGGTGACAAACCGCCTGCCAAGCAGAACCTCCACGTCCGCGCTATGGGCCTTTCAGGGATGGCGCGAACTTACCCTCGTTAGACTGCCCTGGTGATTCGCCGACGTGTCACTCCCTTCCGATCGTCGGTCCAGCGGCTCATGGGTACGCTGACAGATGCGAAGAACTTCTCGAGGTCATCACAGCAACAAGGAGATCGCCATGCTGCTCACGAACCACACGGCTTGATCTCCGCATGCTCCCACATGAGTCCCAGTCTCATCAAGCCATACCAGTAGACGGAAAGAGGCCGCGGGCCAGCTCCATCACTTGCGGCCTCTCCGTCTGGGGCATTCTAGATTGGAAACGGGTACGCGCGCATACAAACATGGGAGGAAGACTCGAGCGCCGTTCCCGATCTATACCGAGACGGGCATCTCTCGCGAATTGGACCGGAACTCGGGAGCATGTGAACTGGTTTCACTCGCAAAAGTGCGAGGATGATGCGCGTGTGCACAGCCGACTTTCTCACAGACACGGCAACGGTCTCGGCGTGCCGGGCTACCGTACCCGCAGCATCCGCTCGCTGTATCATTTGAGTGGAACATCTCCCGTTTCAAAGACGTCTGTCTACTAGGCCCTGTGAGCCCGACAGGCAAATAGACCGTGTTGTACAGCTTCGAAGGCGCAGCTCATACGACTCGCACAAGAGCGATGAATATTGCTTGTACGACATCTCACGTGCCATAAATCTACGCCATAGGGCGCCTAACATGCTGAACGCTTGCACCTCCTCTACTCGGACTTTTGTGCTGTCACCTGTTACCATAAACGTATCAAGCACAACTCCTGCGATCCTGCTTGGCCGAATCCTGCAGAGCAGACCGTCAGATCGCACACAGGCGGTCTTTATCTCTCAGATCTGCAATCGATGAGTATGTGTTACCCGTGAGTCGGCATGTCTCTATTCAGAAGGTGAACCGAACCACACATTAAAGTTTCGCAAGGTAAGAAGTATTGGCATGTGCCCTGCATCTGCGCAAATCATGTTTCTCGTTCCAGATCAAGTCCAAGAGCTTCATTGTTGCTTCGTCTGCTCTGCTTCCCAAATCTATGATATTCCAGTTCCTCGTCAAATAAAGTTGTGCTTTTACATCGCTTTCCTGGCATGCTTAGTGTGCTTCTTAGGCAACTTCGCATCATACGAGGTGGATGTCAAAAAAAATACAATTCACACAGCGGTCAGACTTCGGGAGCGAAGTACGGATGGAATAAGAACACAAGCAACAATAAAATATCAAGGTTTGAAAGCGTGCACCCGGAGCGGAAGATCTCATTGCCGGCAACGATCCAGGCTGTGTATTCAGAATATGCATGAAGTAGGCATCCAAATACGCTGTTGAACAAGAAGCCGGAACGTATGGAGAAGAAAGGCGGCTCCACGTCTCTGTTGCCATCGAATAAGAATATTCTGTCTACCTAAGTCCGCCTACTGGTTGTTCTGGGCTGCTTCAGCCCTCTTCTCCAGCAATCGTCTGAGCAGACCAATCTGAAGCGGGAATGGCTGTCCAAGCCAGGTAGCACGTTGCGAGTGATCTCGAATATCATCGCCAGTGTTTGGATGTAACAATGCCGACAGGGGTCCGCGGTTGATGACCAGCCACGGAATGAAGGCGCCAAATTGAGCAGGTGTAAACAAGTTGACTTCGAACATGGCAATAGGATGTGGGCCAATGGGCTTATCCCATATTTTGTATACGCGCAGCTCAGGGACTGTGAATCTAGAATTAGTGTGACTCTTTCAAAACGAAGATAGTCAACTTACACTCTCTTCGAATACGCTCCCACAGCTCAGTTGCAAACTTGACCTCGGACTCAACGTTTTGCTGGAAGTAGACGTGGACATCGAAACCGCCACGCTCATCGTTTGTAATGGGGTGGACGAAAGTGTCGTACGACTGACTTGGCTTGTCTGCTGGCGGGTTCACGTATGACTTGCCATCGGCGTTCTTCTCACTATGCCGGGGTTAGAGCTTGATCCTCGCTGAGCAACCGTCTAAAATGTGGTTGACTGTACGGAACGCAGTTGAGACATACTCTGAGAGAGGCGGAAGGCCCACATATCCTTCCAAAGGAGAAGGATATGTGTAAATCGATGGATCTGACATGTTGGTCGGGTAAATGAAAACTCGCTAAAAGAACAAAGGGCGAGCAAAGCGGTGAGCTCTCTTTGAGAAGCCCGAACAGTTCAAGAGTTTCAGGCTGTCGATCAGGAAAAGATACAAGCAGTGTCTTGGATACCTGTATGTATATACAAACAGATATGCCGTTTGGGATGGCCGACAGGGCGAATTACAAACCCATCGGAATTGAAGCGCACTTGTGCTTTGCGAGCTTCGGAGCAGAATTGCGCGATTGCTCTGTAATCTAGAGATATCTTTGTATCACCGCACTGTCTGAAACGACAGCCTAGCCATTAGTCACAACAGATACATGTCAAAGGGTAATAAAAAGCGGTTGCAGTTTGTTGTTGATGTTGCAAAAGGAAAAGACGAAACCCGAAATTGATGCACGTCATCATTGGTCAAAATCACGAAGCAGGCGCGTCCGAGTCGCGACTTCCAGAATGCTTTGAGCCTCCTTTTGTTGCAAGTCGATACAACACGTTCGTGTCAGACAATGGCAGAAGAGCGGATACAAGCCCTTCGTGTAGAGTTGAAATCATGGGAAAAGCAGTTCTCTGCACAACATGGTGGAAAGCGGCCGAGTCGTGAGGACATCAAGAACAATGTCGAGATTGGTATTCAAGCACGAGACCTCGAGTCCCAATCTCCATACTGATGAACGATGCAGCTACAAAGTACAGAGAGTACGACAAACTCAGACGGCCAACGACACAGAAGATCGAGTCACAACACATTGTTTCAGTAAAGCCACATCATGCAACACCCAAGAAAGCCGCTCCAGCAGCAACACCACAGAAGCCCAACTCGCAATTCTTGGTCCCGAACATCCTAGCGCTACAAGAGGAGGAAGCAGAACTTGAACCAACTCCTGCTGCTGTACGAATGCACCTCGGACCCACGCCACAAAAGGACGGCCAAATCCTGAGTCTCTTTGACGACCTATCATCGACTGCTTCCAAGCCTTCACGTACTGCCCTCGCATCGATAGAAGTGAATGCCAACTTTACTCCGAGTAAACCATCACAACTCCTCTTCGCCGAGAACGAATCGCCACCTGAGAATGTACATGACCGTACTCCTGCTTCGAGCAGTAAACGCTTCCTTCTCGATTCCTTCGTCTCGACTACACCCCTGAAGAGAAAGCGCGAGGATGAAGAACCTGCCCATGCTACGCCCTCGAGTTCAAAGGGTCTTTCGACACCCGCCTTCTTGCGAAGGACATCAAATATGCTCATCATGGATACTCTGGTCGAGGAAGCCCAAGACGATCAAGAGATCAAGAGTTTGAACATGGGCAGGATGCGCCAACCACCCTTCAAGAAGCGTGGTATTGTTCGTAGTCTGAGCAGTATCATTCAGGGCTTGAGGAAGCAAGAAGATGACAAACTTGATGAAGAGCTGGAGATGATGCGTGAGATGGAAGACGCTGATGACGATCAAGCTTCAGCCAAGCCTACTGTTCAAGTCGAAGACAGCCAGGTTGTCATGCCACTGGGTCCTGACCAAGGCATAGAGAGTGAAGAATCAGAAGAGGAAGAAAGAGATACGGGCGTCTTTAGAAAACCCTGGAAGAAGAAGGGCTTGAAGCGTCAAACCAAGCGTGTCATAAGTAAGTCTGATCCGGAACACCGACATATTGTGAGCCGTACTGACCATTCTCAGTGCGACCTGCACCAAAGTCTAAAGCTCCAGCTCAGGCTGACCAGTCTGAACCGACTTCTGACAACGAAGGCAACGTTGCCGAAACTCAACTTCCTGACACTCTTGACGATATCGACTCGGATGCAGAGTCAGACGCAGCGTATAGCGATACGGAAGCGAAGCGTAAACGACAACTTGCCAAGACTACTACAGTAGACAAAGAGGATGCCTCGAAGAGTTCCAAGGGCGATGGCATCGTCAAGAAGGCAGCAAAGAAGATCAGCGCTACTGCCCACGCCAATTTCAGAAGGCTCAACATCAAGAACAAGAACTCGAAGGCGAATGGCAGAGGCCGGTTTGGTAGGAAGTGATGATGGTGTGTGGGTGCTTATTGGAGTTATGCATTGCTGGAGTTCTCGTGCTTGCGAAGCATTGGTCGATTGGAATACCCGGGAATGGTTTATGGAACGATAGGGATACGTGGACTGGGGCTACACACAATGACTTTCGAGAACAGGTTGTATTTCTCTGATATTGACTGTTACTGTAAGTAAAGCAAGCGAACAGAGAAAAATCCACAAGCAAAGAGATATATCAGATGTATGTGACCATGCATCACTCAACCACTTTTCTCTCCTTTCTTTCCCTCCATTTCATTGTCTCCATTGGCACATAAACGCTCTTGCCTCACTGACCAATCTGACCACCAGTGCAGGATCTGACAGCTTGATGCAACACCCTCTTCACAGACCTCCCATCACATGTTTGCAACGGAGAACCTTCTTTTTGGCCTTCTCAATCTGCCTCTTGACAAAGCGGTACTGGTGCTCAACAGGCTGAGGCTCCGCAACAACGACACCAAGACCAAGACGGTCAACGACATACTCCTTGCCCTGGCTGTCCAAGCTACCATCACTCTCGGTTCTGACAAAGTCCTTGACCGTCTCGCTGTCGTCAGGGTGGTCGGTGTCTGTGGGCTGATCGTCCTCTGCAGCGTGCTTGAAGAAGTCGAGCATTCCTTCGTCCTTGATGACATCAGTAGCACTACCTTCGCCATCGCTGTCCTTCTTCTCGGTCTTCTTGTTCTTGCGCTTGAAGACACTGGGACTACGGAGTAGTTTCAATGGACTTCCCATGACCGAGTCAACCTTCAAAGGACTTGGGTGTGCAGTCTCGAAGCTGAAAGAGCTGCTCTGAGGCGAGTCGAAAACGATGGGTGTGTGAGGCATGAAAGCCGAATCAGAGCTGGCGATTGAGGTGCGGGAGATAGAGCCAAAGGAATTGGAGAAGAAGGACGACATCGAGCGAGGTGTAGAAGGCATGCTTGGAATCAGACTGCATGGGAAGATTGAGCAGTTGGAGCAAGGAGTCTGGTCAGGGTCGACTGCGCTGACTTCTGAGGTTGTTGAGATCAGAGATGTGGTGCTGGATGAGGCCATAGTGGTGGTGGAGGGATTGGAAGATGGATTCTCGGTTGCGGCGCGCAAGTTGGTGGCTAGGCAGTTGAGGAGAAAGAGGCGTTCTCGCTCGAAGGCTTTGTCTGACTTCCAGGTTCTGGGACGCAGCTCTGGGTCGTTTTCCAATTGATCCTCGGTGAAATGCATGGTTGCGATATAAGATGTGTAATGGTGGTAGTGGACTTGAACGTATCAACGTGAACAAGGATTTGGTATAGCAGACGACAGTAGTCGCCCTGGCGATGAATATGGAGACGTAGATGGAGGAAGACAAGATGAAGAGAAAGCAGAAGGCACAGAGATTGATTCTCGCTACCTGAGTGTGAAGTGAAGATACGGTAGAATATCGTAGTGACTGCCGCTCATAATGTGAAGGTGAGAGCTGAGAGCAGGCCTCACTTGATGGTGTCGAGACATGAACCTCCGATAGTCGCGGCCGCCCGACCAAAGTTGTGAGATGAAGAGCTGTTCCATCTAAGATTCCTTGTCGTCGTCCTCTGCAGCCATTTTGAGCTCTCTCTCGCACTGCTTGATCTTCTCCTCGAACTCCTTGCTGGCCCTCTCCTGCTCAGCTTTGAGTCTAAGAACAGCGTCCTCAGTCTCTTTCGCGGCATCAGCACGCTTGGTCGTGTAGTTGCGGATCTCCTCCTTGATTCTTCCTGTGCCCTTCATCTTGGCAATCTTCTTGTCAAGTTTCTCAACAATGGTCTTCTGTTCGCGAGCGATCTCGACATCCTTCTTCTCGAGTTGCACAATGGTGACCTTCTGGTTGCGAGCAACCTAGAGGTTCTGATGACTCGTTTGCTTCCAGTGGTCGACGTGGCGCTTGTACTCTTCATTCTGGAGTTCCAGAGCCCTGATCTTCGTCTTGAGATCTTGTACTTCGTTTCTGAGTGCTCTGGTCTCCTCTGGGGCTCTTCTAGCGTCCTCCTAACCTAAATCGTTAGCCTCATGCCCCGTTATGTGTATTGTCAATCTAAGAGACTTGTTGCATACCAGAAGAACCTGTTCGTATTTCCACGACCAGTCCATTGCGAGGTGTGTGTGAGAGGGGAATGGTGTTTTGGTTTCAAGTTGTGTTTGGATTCTCCTGAACTCGTGGAGGATGTTATATTGAACACTCCCTTGGTGTGATAGTGAGAGTGTAATTCGTAGTGAAGTTGGCCTTGTATTTCCTCACTCCTCACTGGTCATCCTCACTTTCCTGTTCTGCCATTTCGAGCTCTTCCTCGCGTTCTTCGAGTTCCTCGTTAGCTTTTGCACGCGCAGCCTCGAGAGCACGAATTTCCTCCTGTATTCTTTGCTCCGTCTCAACATGCTTAGCCTTGAGCGCAAGAATTTCTCCTTGAATCTTTTCAGAGCCTTTCATCCGGGCAATCCTCTTTACCAGTTTCTCGATCTTGTTTTGCTGTTGATTATTCTTGGTTTGTTGTTCACAGATCGTCTGGAAGTCTTGTTCGGCCACCTCCTCAAGGTGTTCGATGCGATATCCAGTCCCTTCAATCTGAGGCTCCAGTCTCTCGATGGTGACTCTCTGTTGTTCGATTTGCTGCTTCATCTTCTCCATAGCGACAATGTGGTTCTTGTTCTCCTCCTCCAAGGCTTGGAGGTTCTGTTTGAGAATTGTGTTCTGCCGTTTCAGCATTCGACCGTATTCCTGTGGAAGATTTTCTATCAGCGCCATGGATCTGAGGGGATACGCAATCAGGCTGAAAGATAGTCTACGCACTGGTGTCGCCATTTAGGAAGATCTTGAGGCTGAGGTTGTGGTGTGTCGTGTTGTGTTGGGAAGCTTGAGAGTTTGAGCTATACCTTCGCTCGCAGAGGTGGCAGTGAAGATTCAAGTAGCAACTGACTCAGGTTCCAGGAAAGCAGAACATCGCTTTGGTAACTTCCATGTGAGGTGGAAGAAGTGGTAAATATGCATAAAGAAGTCAGTGAAGGAATTTCATCCATATGGTCTTGCAAAGGTCTCCTTTCCTCGAACCTACTCGGTCATTTGATCTTTACCAGGATACTGAGGTAGATACAAGAGAGTAGTGGGTTCCGCAACTCTCTGAGGTGTCCGAACTATCTGCCGAAGTTTGTTAGGCCATTGGCCATTCTCGTATCACGTCTTTTGATGATAATGCACTCAGCGAGGTGTGACTTCTCATAGTTTTGTTAACGCTGAACACTACTCCAGTCATACAGAGATTGATGGGTTCATGCAAGAAGTACGGTTGAAGAATGACGCAAAGAAGTTCAATTTTCCGAAGTCTGGCTTTAAGCAGGGGCATTTATCGAGAGAATGAAAAAGAAAAAGTTATTCAATCTGAATAACTTTGTTGCATTGGACATTCTCAGGAAGAGCATGATAGTGTTGGATGGATTTACAGAGTGCCGGAGAAGTGGAGTGGTCTGTGTAGAGTATTAGTCCCTGTGAGCCCATGATTTCGTGCATGGCGACTTACCCCTGAATTTCACGAATCCGCATCAGGCAGCAACCTCGCCTTGTCATATCGCCTCTATCCATATCTCGTCTGCCTGAAAACACCTCCAGTAATCATGAGGTGATTAGAGAACCTTCACATCACGCAGACGTCCAGCGTTCATCTTGCGTTCCTCCTCAGTTGCATCCCACAGCTTGATTCTGAGCTCCCTGATCTCAGCTTGAAGACGCTCAACTTCAGCCTTGAGCTGGCAGTTCTCTTCAATAATCTTGTTAACAGATTCAGCGCTCTGGGCGGCTTCAGCTTTGTGTCCAGTGATAGCGATGTTCTTCTCGTTGAGCAGGTTGACCAGATCGTTGTGTGTTTCGGTAGCGGCTTCCATGATGATGGTATGATGATGTGTTTTTGTTTCGTGGTGCGATTGGGAAGGTCGATAAAGACGAAAGTATCGGAAAAGGAAAACAGAAGAGCGTGGGCGAAGTGGAAGTGTTGTGTTTGTTGTAAACACAGTAACGAGACGATCTGTATAGAACCCACCAGAACATGTCAGCTTTGTTCAAACACAATGGAAGTGATTTGGATGAGCCAACGCACGTCCCGAGATTGTTTGTGCTAACCTCACTTGTGGTTGATCTTGCGGTCCCAGAGCTTTCTGTATGCGTCTTCCAGCTCTCTGCTGAGTTCGTAGTTTCTGACGCGCAGATTTTCGTTCTCGACACAAAGATCCTTGTTCTCGCCGCGAAGGTCTTCGATGTCGGTACAGAGACCCTTATTCTCACCACGGAGTTTCTCGTTCTCTTCTACAGTATGCTTAAACTTCTGGACCGTAGCGGAAGTGATAGTAGCTGTGATGCTTGTCTGAGCGCGTTCCTGTATGGTTGGAGTCTTCAGTAGACGTGTGAGCATATTGACGCGAGGAATCATGGTGAAGAAGTAGTGGAGTGCTTGAACGAGAGCTGATGAGTAGTTGGGCGCGAAAGAGCGATGCAGATAAAGAAAGAGTGTGTTTGTATCGGCAGAAGGTACCAAATAGAGCCAGAGCGGAAGATTCGGGTTTCAAACATTACTTCTTGGAGGGGCTCTCAATGGTCATGCACGGTAACAAAGTCTTTTCTATGCATCTTTGTAGGTTCAAATTTATCCACCGCTGGTGACGAGAGTTTCAGTGTCTCATATCGAGCGTATAGGCAGATACGGCAGTGTAGGAATGCACAGCCTTTTGCGGAATCAGAGGAAGTCCAGTGAGAGCCCCAGATAGGCTGCTTCGTCAGGGGGCTTTCATCGGATATGCAAGTGTGACCAGTGTGCTTTGTGCACTTTGATAGAAGTCATGTACGTTTACAGCTGCATTCAGCACTGCCAATTTCTAGTGACTAAACCTCCCCAAGATCTTCGTGCTCCTACTTCTGATCCTTGTTTGCTCGTTCGACTTTCTTAAGATGCATCTCCACCACCCTCTTCTTGGATGCCTCGATTTCGGTGTACATCCTGAGCTCCTGACCCTGTTCCTTGTTCTTCTTCTCGCTCTCCTTGAGCTTCGCCTTGGCGATCTCGAGCAGGTTGTCCGATGCTTCCTTGGCTTGGAAGAGAGCATCAAGCTCCTGCTTGAGATTGAAGATCTTGTCGGCGTCCCTGGCATTCTTGGCTGATGGTTCAAACGAAGCGATCTGGTTCTCAAGATCCGAGATCTTCTCGACATCTCTGGTGTGCTTGCTTCTCAATTCGGTGTTCATGGTTCTGAGCAGTTTGTTCTCGGCCATGACGAGGGAGAGGTGATTCATTCTGGCCGTCATGTCTCCTTCCTCGTCAGTCATCTTGAGCGGGTGACTGCTTGGTATCAGAAGGGTTGTCTATAGATTTCGATCTCAGCTTGAGCGTACCTTGTTGCATTTACAGGTTGTTGATACTTCGGTATATGCTTTTGGGATCCTACTATTTCCTTCGTGTTCTGATGGTGTTGATAGAGAGAGAGAGAGAGAGAGAGAGAGAGAGAGTAGTCGATCAAGGCAGGTTGTTAGGGTAGCGAAGATCGGGAGAATGGTTGGAAGAATGATGACAGTGAACAGATTTGGTCTTATATATGCGTTCGCACAAGCAGCGTGCGGTGTTTGTCTCGGCTTTGGTCGTCTCGACGATTGTGCTAGGGGGAAGGAGCCGTGGAAGTCTCGCTATCATAACAAAGGAGATCTGGAAGAATCTACGGACATGTGCAGGAGGGTTCTGATCATTCTCGGAGAACTGTGGACAGCCTAGTTGTTTACTATAGTCTAGAGGGGGACTTTATGGAAGGTGTCTATGATTGAGCCGACTCTTGCACTGACAGCACAGCACTACAACATCATCCCGTAGCTACAACATCTAGAAGATGCTATTAGAAGCTTAGAGTAGTCGGTTGCCAGTACTGAGAACAATCAGTCAGCCTTTGTCATACCCGAGTAGCAAACAAACTTACCCCTGAATCACTCTTTGTCCTCCACAACGTTCTGATCTTTTTGAGTATGCTCGGTGACTGGCTGGAAGTCTTCCTGAGCATCCTCCTGAGCGACTTTTTTGATACATCCTTGAGCAGCTTCCTGATTAACTTCCTGAGAAGTTTCTTGAACATCCACGTTTCTCAACATCTTCATCTGCTCGTTCAGCTCCTCAATTATCTCCATCTCCTTGAAACGTTTCTCCAGTTCCTCGTCAATGCTCTCAACTTCCATTCTGAACACCTTCAACTCATCATCGATTCTCTTTCTCTCAGCGCAATGCTCAAGCTGCTGCCTCAGATGCTGGTTCTCGTCTTCAAGGGCTTGGTTGTAGGTCTCGAGGTTCTTGATTGCGATGGCGGCATTCATGACGGCTTGATCGGTGGCGGCTTTGTTCTTGAGCATGTCGTTTGTGACTTTGAGGTTGTGATTTTCCATTCTGAGATTCTCGTTCTTCTTGGTGAGATGTTTGTTGGTGAGAGTGAGTTCTCTGATGAGATCGGCGGGAGTAACCATGGTGGATAGTCTGAGGTATACTTCTTGTGTTCTCTGTTGGTGTACGGGACGGTGAAAGTTGCGACAATTCTTGATAACATATGGAGTGTGAGATAAATAAGCGAGGGCAAGGCCAAGTGATCTCAGTGAAATTATAACATTAGGTGAATTCGAAAAGAGCTCCCAGAGTGAATGTGAATCCACTATAGCCCTCGGCTTGAGTACCTTTCCCCAAGTCTCCTTCGCTGACCCACTCTGTCTCTTCGACGTATCTGATTCCTCCGCTATGAGATTTTCCTGAGTGTGGTAACAAATGGTTTGATGTTGTTCCTGGGATGTCGTTAGATCCTGTGTTTGTTTTGATCACAACATATTATCGATACTGCCAACCTGCAAAAGAAAGCCTTGTAGTCGACGCCAGTTTTGACTCTGCGTTTGACTTCAAGTGCCAGGTTGGACTTCTTTTGGTGACCAAGATCGCTTTTAGAGACAGTCTCCTACTTCTCGAGCTTCTTCAACTTGGTCTTGAGGACCTCGTTCTCTTGTTCCATCTTGTCGTATACGTCGTACAACTTCCTGAGTGATGTTTTGTGCTCCATGGTTGCGTCCTCCAGCTGCTTCTTCTCAACTTCGAGCTGCTTGAGCTCTTCCTGGAGCTGGTCGTTCTTCTTGGACAGTGCGGAGCACTTCTTGCATTTCTGGACGCTTTTCGGGGTTGCCTTGAGACGTTTCTTGTTTGAAGGCGTCAGAAATTCCTTGGGAGACTTGATGCCGTCCTCCAGATCGACATCCTCTCTCTTACGCTTGCGAGTGGAGCGAGGTGTCGACTGATCCTGAGCATTCTGGATCTCCTTTGCGGTGTCTTTGTCCATTGTGACGGAGATGCCGTATTATGATTCCGTTAGTGCCGTGTACGTGTGATGTTGATGGTGGTGTTGTGAGTAAAGTCTGAGAAGCAAAGGTATGGTTTCTGATTGGAGGCGGTAGTTCTGAAGATCTACGCGTCAGTGAGGTTGTGGTTCTTTGTAGAGTTACTGAGCCAGTAGTTGATCGGTTGAGATGGAAACTGACTCCAGTAGTAGGCCAAGTGAGGTCGTGGCGGTGATAAGCGATGTTGAAGGATTACAGCGGTCAATATATACTCATCCTTGTACTCACTCCCTACTGGTATTCCTTCCTAATTCAGATCTTCTCGCTCTGTCCCACCTTGGCTTCCTTTGCCGAGACTGTCTCTCAGACGCAAGTACCTACACTCACCATAGAGCTACTACACATCCGGACGCTCTACATTCGGCCTCGACACCACCACGATCTTCTCATATTGCCACCATGGATGAAGACACTGCAAAAGAAGTCGAAGACCTCCAGAACACCCTGAAAGATCTTGTAACCCGTAAACGCAAGAGAGAGGCCACTTTGGAGCACGAGAACGAACAACTCAAGGACGAGGATCAGAAGCTCAGAACCACAATTGAGCAGCTTGAGAGCGACTACCGCACAACCAAAGAGATGCTCAGACCGCTCAGGCAGCGTTTGACATCCTCCGCTCAAAAATGCACCCAGGCCTACATGGAATTGACAGAAATCAAGCGACGGAATGACGAGCTTGATACAGATAACAAACGACTGAAGAATGAGCGGGCGGAGCAAACTTTGTTGGTGGACTTCCTTGAGCACTGTAAAGAGATTTCAGAGGAGGGAGCCACAAAGCAAACAGAAGCCATGAATGCTCACGCAGAAGAAAATCGTCTGCTCGCAGTCAAGAATCAGGGGCTTCAAAACGAAGTAGACAAGCTGCAACAGTATAAGGTTGCCTCTAAGAAGGCTGTCTCGAATTCACGAGAGAAGCTGCGCCTAGCGATCGATGCCGAATTCAACCGCCTTGTAAGTTATCACATCAAGAGCCTTGAGGTCATGTAAGCCGTCGAAATTTCTGACCACGTGACAGCACGGGTTCTGACGCATCGGATTGCTTGGAGCATAAGTGAATAGCAACAATACCGACACCGGAACGATACAGTAGGAAGAGAGAAGTGAGAACGATTTGAGATAGGAGCAGACATATACGCGTCTTCCTGACCTGCATCCAGATCTGCAAGCTTCTTTACGGCCCAAAGACCACAGCTCCGCAATCCTAATATCATACATATCATATCTTCTAGATGTCTCCATCCATCGCTCTGACATACGGCTCGTGGCAATGACAATCTTGCTCGCTATGTCTCGTTCACTTCTCCCCATCTCCTGCCCTCGTATCAAGAAACTTCAGTCTGAATCTATCTCGATCACAGAATGGTCTCCTTCTTTGTTGATGTATCTTACGACTTCCTACTGCACTATTAGACGAGAAGCATCTCCTCTCTTCGAATCGGAAGATGTAGTCCATGAAGTGACTTACGAGGAGCGTATCGTTGCCGAGATTGCTGTCAAACTCAGAGAGGTCTTCGAGTGCCAGACTCAGCTTCATCTTCAACTTGGACACTGTTTTCTTGCAAGCAACCTCGTACTGTTCCACTTGCTCTAGTCTGTGTTGGAGACTCTGCTTTTCTCGATTAAGCTTGTGGACTTGTTCTTCAAGTGTCTTGATAGTTTGTGCGTGTCTCTTGGCCTCTTCGTTCAACGATCTCTGGGCACAGTTGAGATCGAGCCACGCCTCATGTCGCTGCTTCTTGTCGTTTTCTAAGCGCAAGACCTCTTCATCCAGCTCCTTGTTGCTTTGCTTGAGTTTCTCCAGTCTTTGGTTGGCCTGGAAGCATCTTTGGATCGAGCATGTCAGACGCTGTTTGAGGTGTTGATCCTCGTCCTTGAGAGAACGGTTGTCACCCTTGAGAAGATTGTTCTCTCGCTTGAGTTGATCGTTCTCGTCTTGTAACTGTCTTTGTTCAAGCTTGAGCTGTTCGTTCTCGTGCTCGAGAGCGGCCTCCTCCCTCTGGCGTTTGCGTATGAGGATGGAGCTGATCTGGTTCTGAACCAGATCCAGGACTTCCTTTGCTGCTTCTGCATCCATGTTGTCCATAGTCCTGATGATAGTGCCCGTGCCACGAAGAAAGATCGAGAACCGCTCAGATATCGTCCAGTAAAATGAGCTCTTGCAAAGCTCAATCATCATTGGGACTCAACTACATGGCTGACTGCCAAACAGTGCAATCGGATCATGTCTCACATTCTTGGTCCATATTTTTCGATCATGTGATAATGGACGGCTTCCTGCATACCACTCCTAGAACCTTGTGAGCAGCAATTGACAGCTTACTGCATCTTTCTTGATTTTCACACAAATCTGCAAGCTTCCATATCACTAGACAACGGCAATCATCTCCTCATCTCCCACAACTCCAATACCATACCGCCAGAGAATCATCGGTCTCCTGCATCTCTCTCGATCCCGATGCCATATTGCTGACCCCGTTACTCCCGATCACTGTAAGCCTCATCGCTCACACTTCAAGTTGATTCAGCACACTCAACGCCTTCCCCCCCTACTTAGCCCCCTCAACATGTCATTCTCCAAACTCAACTCCCCATTCCTCCTCTCCAACCTCCTACGCGTGGTCATCAACTCCCCGTTCACCCTCCTTAACTCCTCATACCTTCTCTGCAACACATGCAACTCATCAAGCTTCGCCCTCAACTGATGATTCGTGTCCAACAGATGCCTGTTCAGCATCTCAAGCCTGCTCTCCAGAAATGGGACTTCGCGGCCTTGTCTGCGGGCACGTTCTTGCTCCTCGTGGGTGACGATGTTGCGGAATGTTTGCTGATTCTCCCAGCGTGGAGAGGTGTGGTTGCGAGGGGCTGAAGACATGACGGTGAAGTGAGTGTTTTTGCGGATGGTGGTTTTTGTTTCTGTGGGTTTGTGTTGGGTGATGAGGAGGTAGTCTTGGATTTTGTAGGTGCGCATCGTAGAAATTATTGTTTGGGGATCCTTCTTGTTTCTTGGTGTAGATGGTGGATGCTTGTTGCTGGTTCTTGTGGTGATGGTAGACGTGTGATGCTGCTGGGTATGTCTCCCGGGGACTATCCTGCTTTTGATCAAGGAAGCTTGCCGGCTGTGGCTTGGTTGTCACAGCTTGATAGAAGTGCTTGATGACCACGCATCGACTTGGTTCAGCAAACAATCTTGGGAATGGGGAGTTAGATACAGCCAGCAAACCTCGTATGTTTCCGCGCACCCAATATCGCCTGACTTACTGTTACACCCTTGATCATTTCCGTGGATTCTGCCCGGTCATTAGAAAGCTGCGTATATGTCCCCTGGGCGAACGAAAATCTGGATTAGTAACATTGCTTGACGGAGTACAAGTTTTGTTAAGGAAACAGAGACGTCAATTTGGCTACTTAAGACCAGGGAAGTATTGTTAGCCAACTGGCGTTTCGGTGCAAGGGGATTGAGTATCGAAGTACTTGGTGGATTTTGCATCGGTGTTACAGTGTGACGAAGCTTGTGTAAGGAGATCTTCAAGGACTTCGGCGTATATGCTTAAGGTCTGAGAACTTGGTGTGTCGTGTATGAAGATCTGAGAAGGGCTTGATTGATATATCTTGATGTTGGATGAATGTGTTGAATAAAAAAAAAGTATTGTGGTCGGAAGAAAGCAAGGGAGAGAGAGCGGACGGCCAGTTTTGTCATGTGGAGAGAGAGAAAGAGTGAGAGGTGGACGATCAGTAAAGTGGGTGGAGGATTGGAAGAGTAGCAACGGAAGTAGTCTGTGCTGCACCTCAACATCATGCTCCTTTCCCTGGAAGGTTTGAGAGAGACGAAAATGTTCTTGATGTGCAGCACATTAGTAGTATGAGGTAATCAGACTAGAGAGAAGCGCAGAGCAGGCATCCCAAAGCTGATCAGAGAATTATGGCAGTTTTGGAATAATCTTGGTGATTTATCGGACATAGAGCGTGACCATCACATCTTACATGTAGCGCAGAGTTGCAGGCTCGAGTCATCATCCTGCATGTGATTTTGCGAGATTTGCTTGCAGTTCAACCGTCAGCTCGCCATGCTATTCAGAGATCTGCTCGTGCTCGGTATTCCTTGAAACAATGGCTTTGAAAGCATCGGGATCTTGCGCCTCAAGGGGACGGCATGGAACTTCCGTTGTATAAGGAGCAGTGGACTCTGCATCTCGAGAGAGCTACTCATCATGCACTAGATCGTGCTTTTCTACCGACGGCTGACCTTAGTACTACATAGGTGGTGCTGGCGAGAGAGGTGGTTCTAAGAGGCTTAAGTCGCGAGTTCTGCTTTGCGAACGCGTATAAGGGCCAGAGCTCACTGCTACTTCGAGTAACGCTTTAGCAGCTCTGGATCGGTCTTCCTGATGTGTATAACAAAGTAATTGAGTATATTGATGAGTATATAGTGCTAGTTGACGCGTGATTAACTGCTCAGAGCATCAAGTTCGAAGTTGAGGTTGGCGAATTGCCACGACTTCTGAATGCGAGAATAGACGCACGGCCACTTTTTTCTTGACGACATCTCACGTTTTTGGAGACATATCTTGACTCTCATGCTACGCAAACATCTTTTACTGCCAAGTTAATGATGATTCTGCTCATAGGCAATAGTAACGAATTATCTTGAGTGGATATCAACTTTACCCTCGACTCAAGTCGGAAGGAAAGTATGGTAGACGAGCATTTCCGATGAACCACTTCTGAGTGCTATTCAGTCCTTTCTTGATATCTCATTCATCTTTGTTTAGAAACAGAAGAATAATGACCACAAGAAAGACATCTATTGGATTGCCTTGCGCAACACAATCGGCCTTGCGTGTATCAAGACCCCGGACGAACCTCCCTTCCTATCGTTCCCCTTGACCCTTTTTCCGTGCTTCTCCTACCTTCCATCTATCTGTAGCTGCCGCTGCCGCTGTGCGGATAATTCGACAATAGAAGCCATCCTTCAATATTGTTGGTGCTGCCTAGAGTACAGGTCAACTGTGTTTACTTAAACCCTCCTGCAGTCCCTGCTTTCACCTCCCGCTTTCTTTAAACTGTCCCTCCTTCTTTCATAACACTGTCCATCAGAGACATTCGCACCCAGACCCCCACCAGCACCAAGGCCACCCACTCGAAGCCCACCAGCTCCAAGGACACCAAGTCCGAGCCCTCCGGCCACCGAAGCCAACAAGTCTGAACCCGCTGCCGCTGAGGCTACCGAGTCTGATACCTCTGATAAGTGCTGTTTAGTCTCTTCCACTGAAGCTATGTTTGTAAGCTCAAACGGACACACTACCGAGCCCCCATCAACCCTCATCCCCCATCCGTCCTTCATCATTCATCATCCCTCATCCCTCATCCCTTATCCCGCAGGCCAGAGTCCACGTGCTTGGCGCGACTTGGTGACTCTAGCTTTTGGTGAGACGAACATCGTGGTGATTCCAGACGCTTCACCCGTCAGTTCGTTTGGCAGAGGCAGTGCCTCCCAGCGGCCCTGGGTATTGCCGAAACAAATGGCTTGATTGTACGCGCATGCTCTGCACGCAAAGTTGCCAGACTCTGCGGTGGTCCAGAAATGTGTTCTGCCAAAGACCATGCTCCATAAGCACTTCGCATCGGACGTATCGGTATCGTTTGGAACCCACTCGAGCTCTGTGCCATTGTTTTTGTTCCACCTTTCCTCCAATTTCGCCTTCTGAACTGCCCAAGTCTCTTCAAGCTTATCAAACGTGTCATCCAGGATCAGAGGGTCGATCTGCAAATCCCCATTGTTGTCAAGCCAGATCGCGCAGCCCTCCACGTCACCCATCTCCTTGTCCTCGGCGACAAGTTCGGCATCCGACAGACATTCGTCCATTTCGTCCTCATTGAACTTTGTTTCGATCTCGTTTGTGGTGTCGTTGAGTTGTTGCTGGTCAATGGTCTTGGCCAAGATGCGCTGGGTTTCGTCCAACTTTCTCTCGAGCGCATGGAACTTCGCGATGGGGACGAAGTCCTGCTGCATTTTCTTGTGCTCTTCGTCAAGGCGCTTCGTGGCGGCTTCGAGGTCCGCGAGCTTCTCTGGGAAATTTTCGAAGTCCTTCAAGAAATCTCTCAAGCGGTCGAGGTGCGCGAGTGCCATGGTGGATGATTGCGATTTGACTGTCGTTCGGGAAAACGGATGATGGAAGGGAAATGCGTGGGTTGTCACCGGGGACAAAACAGCGTGCAGAAGTCGAGAGAATCAGGGAAGGCGCGTTCCTCCCTTGAATTTGACTCAATGCACAATCTTCTTTTGACTAAAGCCGCTTCCAAAGAGAACTTTCATCTATCTCCATGAGCGCTTTGGAGATCCCTAGAATTGTTGTGCATGTCCATAGTATCTCAAAATTGTCCAGGAAACGTTCCCGTTGATCGTGCTTCTATACCTCCCCAGTCGCAACCTCTCCTATACTGTTTTCCAAGTGGATTCCTAGAACCCCTTCGCCTGTCTCTCACCCAATATCTCTATCAGTCTCCTCAGATGCCGTCTTTGACATATGTCAACTATACCACCATGGACGCGATCTTTTCTCGACTTTTGTGTTTGTTGCAGGTAGCGCAGCGAAAAGCCGAACCAAGATTTGAAAGTCACGACTCGGATAGCTACCCTCCGCTTCCAACAGGCTGTCAAGTCTCTGATCCGCGACTTCATCGAGTCCGTCGACCGGTTTCTACGAAAGTTGTCGTCTCCATCAAGCAGTCTTTGCGAAGACCTTCAAGCCCATCAACCAGTTCTCCCAGGGACCAGCAAGTCCATCAGCCAAGCTATGAAACCTATCAATTCCATCAACCGGTCTTTTCTTTTCCAAGACCACCAAATATACCAACGAGTCTTTGACATCAATGCTGTGACTTCCAGTTCAGCTTTAGCTTTGGATGCTTAGAGCAGCAAGTGTTTCAGGACTAGCAGAGTTGTGCTGGAGCTTGTGTCCCTCGAGCTGGGCTTCAATCAAAATCTCGATAAGCTGTCCGAACTTGTTGTCCTTGATCAAGTCGTCGGCCAATTTCTCGGCGTTCGTCTTGACAGTGCGCAACCTCTTGCTTCCCACAGATTCTGGGTTGAGCGTGTAGTAGGGAGTAAGATCAGCTGGTGCATGATGCGTAGCTCTCTTGGGAGTGGGTGGTTTTTGATCCATATCTGTAAAGTGGTGGTCAGCTGCGATGCAGTCAAATTCGATATTGCATCTTACTGTTCGTAGATGGCTGTTTGACTGACTGGAGTTGTCTTGTGAAAACGTTTGCGTGGCGATAGTTACGCGTGCTTAGAGTTAGGGACAGAAAGAGGGAGTGATGATGGAAATTTGTGGTTGATGAGAGAAATGCAAAATGCCTTCGCTGGTGCGGTTACATTCACAAATAGTGCTGTGAAGACATGGAACGAGGATATTGGTGGAAAGTGAAAAGCTGTGCGAACAAGCTGGTATCGAAGCGTAGTCTTGAAGATTATTTCGTCCTTCAGAATCATTTCCTATGGACGCGCAGAGTACAGACATTCTGGCGGGTTTGCCAATCCGCGTTTGCTGCAGCGTCTGGATTCAGGCATCCTTCACGGTCCGTATCGTGCAACCCGACCATCGACCATAGACAGAACACTGGTCACTGTAGCTGTACAGAGACTCTGAGTGATGCGTTGTCCCCAGGTGCGCAGTTGGTGCCGACGTGACCATCTCTCGGGTGCAACAGGCGTCATTACTCGTTAACATCTAGAAGATGTAGCTGACTCATTTCTTGTCGTCCTGGGCCTTTTTCTTGCCTTGCTTCTGCTTCTTTCTCTTGCTGCGATCTCTCTTCTTCAATGCCTGCATGCCCTGCTTGCAGACCTCTGCGTAGCGGGTATAGAAAGTTTCCAGATCATCGGGTTGTACGACTGTGCTCAGCTTGATCTTTTCCGACTTTTTGCGGTCCTTTGTCTGAGAGTTGCCATCTGTTGCGCGAATGAGGATAGGTAGAGGTGCTGATGGAGGTTCGAGATCGGCGAGAGGAGAGTCGGTGGGTTTGGAGACAGAAGAGTCATCGAAGGTCACTTGGACGAGTCAGTCTGGAGCGAGAGTACGGGAAGAATGTTTGCGCACGTCGCTTCTGTGTCAGGAAGATGCTGCCGCGACCTTTTTGTTGGCGCGTCTCGAGGAGAGACGTCAATTTGGTGAAGAACTGTCTCCAAGTTAGGGTTGGTATCTCATAGTCAGATTGCGAGCATGGGTACCTCGTCGTTGCTGAGATGTGATGACATGATTGTGGTTGTGGTATGCAAGACAGGGCAGTAGCACCTGGTCAAGCGTCGTTGCGGGCAGCGACGTGGGATGAGGAAGTCGCTACTGACCAACGCCGTTGACTTAACCACCAGTCGACGGCAGGTACGTTCTGTAACGAGTCGCGGCGGCTTGCCTGCACCTCCGAGATTGTGGGGAACTTCACATGCCGCCAAGCTCTCGGGCAAGATAATTATTTTATGCTCTTGCCATTTTAGTCTTCAACAAACACATTCGCCATGCGTCCGAACGATTCATTTATCAAGCCGAAGCTTCCCAAAGCGCTGCTGGATCAAATCGGCGGCGACATCACCAACAACAAGAAGAACGCCACGACACGGAAGGAGCGCCGCAAGAATGAGAGAACTCAGAAAAAACAGTCTCACCAGCAATCAAGGTCACGCCCACCGCCACAGAGACCTCAACCTCAGAGACGTCCTCAACCTCAGCCACAACGAGACGAATTCGACGAGAGCGATGACGAGCCTACACCGCCGCCTGCCCCCAAGCCAAATTCGAAGCCTGCGAAGGAGGACAGGCCCAAGTCAATCTTGAAGACGACCAAGAAGCAAGACCCTCCGAAATCAAAGTCTCGGGATGGTTCACCACCACCGGCTGCACACGTCTCGAGAGCCGTCAAGGATAGACTGGCTCAAGACGATGCCGAAATTGCTGCTCTGGAGAAGAAGCTGGGAATCAAGTCGACTAAGAGATCAAAGGCTTTTGCAGATGATGGACTGGACGACCTGCTGGAAGGTCTGGACGATGAGGAAGATGAAGACGGTCCCAAGAGAAAGCGTTCTGACGACGACGATTGGTTGCGACAAAAGAGGAGGAAGGTCAGTCAAGCTGCTGCTGTCGAACAGGAGCCTTCAGACGAAGAGGAGGAGGATGAGGATGAGGAGATGAGCGGCGACGAAGACGAGACCGACGGTCTTGATGATATCATGGACGGTTTGGGTGAAAGCGACGAAGACGGCGACCTGGATGGACTGGAAGATGACGATGAAGAAGATCTGGACGAGGATGAAGACGACGAACTGGACGAAGATGGCGATAATGATATGGACGACGAGAAGTTCGAGGACTTTGACGAGGACGACGAGGAGAGCGAAGAGGAAGCTCCTGCACCAAGAGTGCGCGAGAATCCCTACGTTGCTCCTGTACCCGCTGGCGCTGCTCCGGTCCAGAAGTACATTCCACCTTCATTGCGAGGTGCTCCCTCATCAGACACTGAAGCTCTGGCTCGTCTCCGTCGTCAGATCCAGGGTCAGCTCAATCGTCTTTCCGAAGCGAACCTTCTGTCAATCCTGCAAACCATCGAAGAGATTTACCAGAACAACCCTCGGCAATATGTCACCACAACCCTTATCGATCTTCTGCTTGGACTCATTTGCGACCGTACTACTTTACAAGACACTTTCCTTATCCTCCATGCAGGTTTCATGGCCGCCCTCTACAAGGTTATCGGAACAGACTTCGGTGCTCAGGTTATCGAGCGTATTGTCAATGACTTTGACAGACACTACACTGGAGGCACCACAGCAGGCAAGGAGACTTCAAACTTGATGTCCCTGGTTTCCGAACTCTACAACTTCCAACTCGTCGGCTGCAACCTTGTATTTGACTACATCCGGTTGTTCCTCACAGAGCTCAACGAAGCGAACACAGAACTCTTGTTGAAGATCATCCGTAATTCTGGACCTCAACTTCGCGCAGACGATCCTTCTGCTCTGAAGGATATTGTCATCTTGGTGCAGAAGGAAGTCACTCGGATTGGAGAAGCGAACTTGTCGGTCAGAACAAAGTTCATGATTGAGACTATCAACAACCTCAAGAACAACCGTGTCAAGACTGGTGCTGTGGCTTCTGCCATCGTGTCGGAACATACAACAAGAATGAGGAAGACTTTGGGTTCTCTCAACAACAGATCGTCTCTCAAAGCAAGCGAGCCTCTCCGCATCGGACTGGCAGATATCCGCGACACGGAAAAGAAGGGTAAATGGTGGCTTGTTGGTGCAAGTTGGCTGGACCCAGGAAAGCAGGCCAAGGATGAGAACGATGCCGATGCGCCTGTTGTCAAGGCTTCGAAGAACGATTCGACGACAGTCTCTGCAGACGATGGCAGTGTCGATCTGATACAACTTGCACGTCAACAAGGCATGAACACGGACATCCGTCGTGCCATCTTCGTCACCATCATGTCAGCTTCAGACTACCAAGATGCACACCTTCGTCTTCTCAAGCTTGGTTTCAAGAAGGCTCAGGAGCTTGAGATCCCTCGCGTGCTGGTTCACTGCGCGGGCGCTGAAGCTACCTACAACCCTTACTATACTCTCATCGCCAAGAAGCTTTGCGGTGAGAAGCGCATGCTCAAGGCCTTCCAGTTCGGACTTTGGGACATCTTCAAGCGCATGGGTGAAAAGGCAATGACAGCGGATGATGAAGATGACGCGTTCGATGATGACGAGGATGAGAACATGAGCACTCGCAAGATTGTCAACCTCGCCCGCTTCTACGCAGACCTCATCACTGAAGGTGGTTTCCCGATCACAGCGCTCAAGACACTCAACTTTGCCTACCTGCAACCCAAGACAAACACATTTACCGAAGTCTTGTTGACCAGGATCTTGATCAAGATGATGAAGAACTCCAAGGGTAGCAAGTGGGAGCTTTCGGTCAACGAGGTGTTCTCCAAAGCCCAAGAAGTACCGGATATGGTGCAAGGATTGCGATACTTCCTTCAAAAGGTTGTCAGAAAGGCCGAGATCGCGACTGGCAAAAAGGAGCGTAAGGCGGTGAAGGACGGCTGCGCAGCTGCCATCGAAGCGTTGACGACGCATGTTGCGCGTGATGATGGTAGCGAGGATATGCTGAGCGATTCTGATTAGATGGCCTTGCCTATCCATCTGGACTAGCAGCGTGCATCTTTGTAATACAACATGGTTTTTGTCAGGATATCAGACAATGGAGAGGATTCACTCAGGGCTGCAAACTTGCAGATGTCCAGAACATTGAACACTAGTGCAAATGTCAAAAATTCGAGTGAAGTTGACACACACCAAATCATGGACACAAAAGCGATGCCATCTGATACAAAGATCAATGTCTACAAGAGCGATAGACGAAGGACTGATGGCTTAACATGAATGCAATATTCAGGCCAGGGTCGTGACAGAAGCAAGCTTGCATAACAGTTGCACAGTTGTGAAAAGACCCTGCGACGTCAGCGAGTCTCGAATCTGTGGGGATAAAGTCTCCCTCTCGATTGCTCCAAGTCAAGCACGAAACGCAAACCCCCTCCGGACATCACATCAAGCAAACATGGCAGACGACGAACTAGCAACCAGAGCACCTGAAAGCGACTTGGCCGAGCAGAGTGCCATTCCCGGCGACTCGGCCGTCGATCAAGGACCCAGTCTAGGAGTGAGTCTCGCCAGCTTCAACGCGTGATGGGTAGCCGTCGCAAGCAACCAAAGCTGACCGCAAAGCAACACAGAACCAAGAAGCCCAAGTCCACCAAGCAGGACGTAAGTAAACTCCACTGCCTCACACACAACTCCCCACCAACAAGTCTCCACAGAACCACTCTCCACCTCCCAAACCCCTACCGGCCAAATCTCCAAATACAACGACGTAGACTGCTACATCACCAAACCCGCCGACTACCCTCACGCACCCTGCAAACTCCTCCTCTTCCTCACAGGAGGCACCGGTATCCATGCCCCCGCCAACAAACTCCAAGCCGATGCCTACGCCGAGCAAGGCTACTTGGTCATCATGCCCGACCAATTCAGCAACGACCCAGCACCGAACTCTGTCTTCTCTGCTGGCGACGACAAGACCAGTTTCCTCGAGTCGTTGAAACTCAGAGCTGCAGAGGTGGCAAAGAGCTTTAGATTGGACATGTGGTTGGCGAGACACACGCCGAGCAGCGTGTTGCCGCGATTGATCAAGGTGTTGGACGCCGTCAAGGATGAGTTTGCGGATGCGGTGCAAGCCGGTGGTGGTGTGTATTGTGTGGGTGTCAGTGTGGGAGGTAGACAAGCACTGTTGCTTGCCAGCGAACTGGGAGCAGATGTGTTCGAAGGTCAAAAGGAGGTCAGTGAAGAGGCCGCTGGCAAAGTCGAGGAAGGTATGGTCAGAAGGGGTCCTGCTGTCAAGGCTGCTGTGATTCTTCACGGTGCTACCATTGAGCGCGAAGACTTTACTGGTGTCAAGAGCCCCATTGCTTTGTTGAGTGTGGATGAGGATGCGCTGTTCAGCGATGAGGTGCGCGAGGCTGGCGTCAAGAGCTTGAAGGAAAAGGGTGTCGAGGTCCAGGAATGGACTTATCCTGGAGTGCCGCATGGTGAGTTTGACTCGTACAGAACTACAAGGGCTATTGACTGATGTTCGAATCACAGGCTTTGCTGTCGTCGGAGAGTACCAAGATGAAGCCATCAAGCAAGCCCAGAAGCAGGCCTTTGAGGTTGTGCTTGAATGGCTCAAGGCACACTAAGCATTGGTCATCACTGCCCGATGGCTCGCACATTGTTTTTCCTCTATCAGTTCTCCTGTCGTTTCTTTGCAGACTTAGCAAACCATGATACCAATGACGACAATCTTTTTTTGCAAGGCAAACTTCCCATTCTCGCGACGCTACGACTGTGCACCCCAACATGCAAATCTCGTCTATAAGCCCCTCGATCTTCTCGCATTTTTGCTCTCTCGGCAACCCACGAACTTCGACTTGTCCCACAGCAGGCCCTCTTTTTCCTTCGGTTGCTCACACCATCTCCACATCCCCCCTCAAACACGCCTCTCTAACCGCACTCCACCTCACACACCACACATCCCCCCTCCTCAACTCCACCACACCCACCCCTCCCTCCCCCTGCACCTCCACATGACCCGCATCCCTCAATACCCTCACGAAAACCGCTGCGTCCACATCCGGCGCATCCACCATTGAAATCCCTCCAGCACGATCATCCAGTTTTTGCAACTGAGCGGGAAAAGAAGAGAGGAATGAAGTCGAAAAGTGGTGGGTCAGGAGTGTGCAGCGGTGAGTCAGGTATTGGGATTCCGTGGCGCTGAGGTGTGCGGAGGGGAGGTGGTGGTGGGGGTATTTGTCTAGCTGTTTGTTGTTTGATGCGTTTAGCGGATGGAAAAGACTCGGGTTGGAGGAAAGGCGGTGGTGATGTAGAAAGGGGTAAAGGTTATAGGGGGAAAGGTATAGAGAGAGAGAGAAAGGGGAGAAAATATACCTTTGCTATCCTCGCTCGCAAAAAGGATCTGATGAGGAATTTGAAGCGTTCGAGTTCTGTTTGTATGATGATGAGGTTGAAGTTTGCGGATGGGTCCATGGTTCCCGTCATGTCTTCTACGGTTTCGATCTAAATTTTTTTCAACACAGGGTTGGTTAGTTGTTATGCTTGGCTTGTGGCTGGTTATTTTGTAGTTTGTTATTTGGGGGCGTGTGTTTTTGTCGAGTTTTGTTTTTCTCCTTCTCTCCTTTTCCGTGTGTTTGGGGCAGCGGTTCTTTGCTTCCTTCATGTAGAGCCTTCTTTTTTTCCTGCTGCACACTTGTGACTTTCTTCAAAGGTTCCCTCTTTCTTTAGTCATCTTTGATGCCTTTGGCTTCACAAATCTCAAAAAAGCACCCCCTGACTCTTGACTCTCGAAAAGACTCAGTTCCTCTACACATTCCATCTCTCTCTCTCTCTTCCAAAACACACCCCAGAGCGATTGAAACTCCTTTGAAAGATTGTTTTTTTTTTCTTTTCATGGGTTCAAAAAGATGAAAGAATAAAGAAAAGAGAGTTCGCTCACCTGCGTCTTTATCCTCTCCATAACCCTATCAACCAATTCTTCCGGATACGGCAACAGTTCTGGCGCACATCTCTCTGCCACCCAAGCTCGCGTCAAAGCTTGTAGGTCAGAAGCTCGTTGTGGGATTCGTTCGTTGTTTGACACTGAAGCGAGGATGTCGTCGATATTCATCGTGTTTCTTTCAGTGGGTTTATCGCAGTGTAGTTTTTTTGTGTGTCGCTCTTTAGTTGGATTTGTGGTCTGTAATTTGTTTTTTCTTTGAGCAACTGGGTGAGTTTGCTGGCGATTGTGTAGGGGAAGTTTGGAGATTGGTGGTTTAGTTTGGCGACGGTTTCGATTTTTGATGGTTAGATTGATGAATTGATATGATGGTGGTCAGATTGGTGTTTCGATTGATGGTGGAGGTCCAAGAATGCCTTTTTCGGATGTGGGGGATGACGTGTCGCGGCGCGCCGTGTTCGCGTCTTTTGGTCAATTTAGTGGTATTTATTCAAGAGGTATTATCATTCTAGTCCGACATCCTATGTAGATATTTTACTTTTCTTTCAGCTGGAGACCAGTCAACTGATAGCAGAGTGAGTGAACAACAAATCATCGTAGCTCAAACGGAATTGTTTCTAAAGATGGTGGTCGTTCTCCTTCGATCTAACCACCAACGATTAACATGACACACAACAGTATGAAGAAGATTTAAAAAGGGGGGCTGAGACAATACGAAATATGCTGCTGAAAAGAAACAAAAAACGAGAAAAAAGAAAGAGACAAAAGGAAATCCCACCGCACCTCCCCTCTACAAAACCAACCAACTAACCCCAATCCACCCACCGATCCCAAAACATCCAATCAACAAAACACAAATCCCCATGACCACTCCACCAACAACCCTATCCCCAGCACTCATGAACCCAGACGAACCACCATCCCCATGCGAATTCTTCCCCAGAAACACCCAAAGCAATGTCGCCGCCAAACTTGCCACCAGCACCAGTGTCAAAGCCAAGAGTATCCTCCGTACAGACCACGAAACCACAAATTCAAGCCCTTCATGCTGTTCCGCACGTCTGATCATCGAAAAGCGATTATTGACTGTCGAAGTAGTAGCAGCAGAGATAGGCGTGCGCGCACTATCCGGCACTGCAGAAGGCAATTCAGAAGGCAAGGGCAATGGTGTGCTGATGGCAGGAGTATCGGCTAATCTATGCGCCCAGCTCACCCACGCATACCTGCTTTTCCCCGCTGCACTGGGATCGTGGAAGAAGCGGAGCAGTTTTTCTTCGCTGAAGGTGTCGTTGAGACCTTTGTGGGCTAGGGTGCGAGGGGAGCGTGGTGTGAGTAGCCAGCCGTAGCCTGAGTCTGCTTGTTTGCTTGCATCGCCGCTTACGCATATCATAGTCAGGCTTCGGGCTGAGAAGTAGCGCCAGGGACCCAGCAGGTTCTTGTAGTGGCGTCGAAGTTGTCGGAACAGTTCTGCGTCATCGAAATCTTGGGGTGTGTATTCTTTCCCTCCGGAAGTGGAACGGCGATTCTTGACTGCGCTGAATTCACTATTGGCTGGGATGGTAAGAGTGGAGAGACGTAGCCGACTATTCGGGTTGCTGCGACGAATGCTGAGGGTGAGGATGCTGTCGTGCACACGAGGGCTGCGCAATGTAGGTTCTGAGGCTGAGAACTGACGGCCAAACTCTTTGCGGTGAATAGCACGGAAAGGATATGGTGTTTTGACATGTGGCGGTTGTATAGCCATCCGAGATGTGTCGATAGGTGGAGGCGCCACAGTGACCTTCTTCGCTGGTGCCGAGACTGATCGATATCTAGAGTTTCGCCATTCCTGGTATCGCGAGTCACGCGTCGGTATCGGCGGAGGTGTGGGTGGTGGGTTTGAAGAACCAGAGATACCTGTCAGAGCTTGCATGGTGAGGTGATGCACTTCCTTGATCTGACGCGCCATGGCTAGATCCTGGGCTTTTGGTAGGATCGGACTCTCCTCTTCCAAGGCACGCGGAGAGTTGTGGTGAAACAGACCGTCAACAAGCATATTGCTCCTCCTCGCTGGTCTGACAGGCGTCATCTCCTCAACAGACCCGATATACGAATCTTCATCGCTGTCGAATCCACTCTTGCAAGCCTCACGCGTCAGCTGCTGATATCTTTCAAAGTCTGTAGGTTCGACAGGAGAGCGAGGCGAGGGTGTCATCGACATTCTTCGCTCCGGAGTACAGTTCGATTGAAACTGCTCTGTGGTGCCACCCAAGTAGTGACCCGATCGCCGTTGTTTGGAGAATAGCGATTCGGCTTGAGCACCTTCGGCTTGAGGGGAAGTATGTGTGTCTGGTATATTCGGAACGTGTATCTCTTCGTCGGGTGATGGATTGTCTAGAAATGTTCGCGGTCCAAATTCTGCCTGGCTGTTGATGGACTCGAGCAGGAACTCTGGTCGTACGCTTCGTACTGGACTGCCTACTTCGTGCTGATGTATGACTTGTGATGCTCTGCCAGGCGAGGCTGACATACGAATCTCATGCGTTGGGTCCATCTTCAGAAGGTCGTGCGCGACAAGAGGACTTGGGTTTGGTTATTTTCGATAGCTATGAGACTGGATACATCTTGTCGATGTTCTGCAATAGTGCCGAGACAGTCCGTGTTGCCGTATCGTCTAAGACTAGAATCGAGTGGTAAACACACCATTGTGGTGAGGAATGCGGGTAGTTACATACTAAAATTAGCCGGTAAATTTGCCTCCGCAACAGACACATCTATCGCATGCCGCGAAAAGAATGCGTGCCAAAGATAGCGGAGGTTCCTGATCTGAAGTCCCTTGCATCACCTCATCTCCATCTGTACCTGCATCTTTACTGTCTTGTGCCTTGAAGCCGGGCATTATAAACTCATTGATGTACTGAGCGTTACATATAGAGCATGCTTTGGAAGTACCTGGAGTTTGGATAGCGAGGAAGGAAAGCGTGCAGCGAGCTGATAAGCGGTCAGTATTCAGCATTGTGTCCATATAATCTCAAAGACTTACGGTATTGATGATTATTGACACACTTTGCCCATCGAAGACTCTCGAACGGAATATTGCTATGGCAAATCTCGCACCTCTCAATCTCTTCTTCCTCTGAATGCGAAGTGTCTGCATCAGCATTGCCAGTTCGTGCTTGCAGCTTCGCCAGTATCAAGCAGTGGATCTGCATGATCGAGTTACTCAAGATGCTTGCATCTGCAACGAAATGCGGCAGACGGGATATTTCAGTGACAATCTTGAGCACGACCGTGGCATCAAGCGGCGGGGTCTTGGGAATGTCCGCTCTGACGTATTTCAGTAGTTGCGAAATCCTGCTCTTGACGCTGTCACTGTTGAACAAGATGTTTTGCCTCACTTGACGGACGATCAGCTCGACAGGTGTGTCTTCTGTAATCTGTCCTTGATTGGGATTGATTGAAGGCGGCAACTCTGTAAGGTCGAGTGCTTGCATGACTTGCTCGACAACGACGGCATCTTCAGCAAAAGCTTCGGGTTCACGTGCGGCAAGACTCTGCAAGCTAAACAGCAAAGCTTCGGCAGTCAATTCTGTCAAACGTCAGTATTGCGAATATAATGAGAGACCTAGCAAGACATACCGTAAGCATTTGAAGGAGACCCGGCGAGAGCAAACTGCAAGTCGTCGTTACACTGGCTCGTGATGAGATAGCAGACCTCATCAGAATTTGTTGTGTACTCGACTCCGTCGCTCGGGTGAAAGCTGACATTCACAGCAACTATATCGCCGAACGGAGATGTACACAACCCGTAAGCTCTAGCCATGACATTGCCTGCAAGATTCCATTCGTCGCTGAACCGTCTCTGGCCTCTAAGCAAATCATGCTGCCAGTTAGTAGAGCCAAGGGCCGAATGTGCTGTGAATGGTAAAGCCAAACTTGTGATACGATCAGTCCCTGAGCCGAGGTGATATGCGATCTGTACAGAAACGTTCTCATTGTCATCTTGAACGAAGGTCATCCCTGTTGCTTAGTCAGAAAGGTGAAGAATACAGACCATCTTCTATGACACACCTGCGATCTCGTCCCAAGGAGTGTTGATGTCATGTGCCGAGATGTTAAAGTCAAGACCAAGACCTGGTTGAGCTTGCAGACAATAGAAAGAGCTGCGTGTTGGGTAGACGAGAAATGCTTCTTTTGCACTATTCAGCTTCGACGTCCATCTGAGACACCCGGTAGCTTGAGTGTCGGGTATTTCGTCCATCAGCGATACAACAGGACCAATGTTCACATTAGCGTGATGTTTCTCGTCGTCAACCTTTACACTCGTGCACTGCAAAGACGATTGAGAAGTGAAGGCCAATACTGACGTCAACGTGTTAGTAGAGTCCAGATCCCAAGGACTCCAAGCTAATTGATCGACAAACGAGCTTCTCCATTCGAAGGTCACTGGCATACACGCGCTGAGAGCCGATTTCTTGGTATCAGGAACTTCGACCCCGAAAGAAGCCGCCACAGACAGACTCCATTGTGTTGCCTCTGGCATCAATATGTCGTGAGGGGTTTGGATCTTAATGATCAAGACTTGTCCACGATCGTTCGAAACAGCCAGATACGGGTGTTTTGTTGTACAGTCTCCAGGGGCGCCTGACAACGAAGGGTCTGGTAATGCTGGACTCCACGCAAAAGCTCTAATACGTTGCTTTGCCCTCAGTCTTTCGAAGTGGTCATTCTCACTCTCTTCCGGACTCCGAACGTCCTTTTCTTTGTAGTGTGCTTGAAGAGCGTGGTTGATGACACAGGCTCTGACCCAGTCTGTCGCAATCTCTGGCTTTCCAACGCACTCCCAGATCGATAGCACGTGGTTGGAAGTCAGGACGGCCAGGACACTTCGCTTGTGTTTACCGAGTCCAGGAGGAGACCAGTCAAGGGCGTGGACGAAGGACTCTGACATTTCCTCGCCAATGGAAAAGTTCTTCCAGCTCAAGGGGAGTTGAAGTTGAATGTCGTCGAGAGTGAAGAAACTTGTTTTGAGGTTTATCTTGTCCCATTTTCTCTCATCTGATGCAATTGCTTTGAGTCGTGGGACCTGAGGTTGTCAGTAGTAGTCAAAATCGAGGAAGGTAGGACCCACGAAGAGGCTGACGTGGTCGCTACCGCCAACTGCAATGATGCCTTCTTTTGACCAGAAGATATTGTCGAGTGTGTTGGGATAGAAGTCGATGGTAACACCGCCATTCTGGCGATTGTATTTATCCCAGACCATGACGATAGGCTTGAATTTCGGGTGGGAGAATATCTCTCGATGGACACGTCAAAACTTCCAAGTGATGACGGTGCTCCTCAATGTGTGATAACAAAGCGGCGAAGAAACAGCTCGCGCAGTGTGAGAAGGACGCTCAGATGTTGGATCTGAACGAGGACGCGTCAAGAAAAAGAGAATCAGCTACCTGGTATTGGTTGTGAGTCTAGAGCATCGAAAGACCGACACACAATCACGCGTCTTTCTTCGGACCTAGGTCAATGTTTCAACCGTTGAATGCTCCCTGATTGTGATGTTCGTGAAGAAGATCGAGGGCTCTTTCCACAAAAGCGAGAGACTCCCGGCCGCCAACTCCGCATCCGCAAACGCCAAGACAAGCGTGGGGGTGGAGGTTGGATGGCAGCAACCAGACCAGTGATCAAGGTGCTCTTCTCGTCGGCCTGACAGTCCAGCAAATCAGGCACGATGGTCCTCTCCTTCATCTTGATACAGAACCGGCAGTAAGTCACTCTGGACTTGGAATCCTAGCACACAAGCTAAGAAAGCTCCAGGGGAAAGACGCGCCTGGCCAAATGGTATGCGCCGTACAGTGTAAGCATCCTCCATTGTGACTCACGTCTCGCAGCCCACTAACAAGCATTTCAGGACGAAGAGAAAGTAAAGCTAAAAGGCGAGGTACGCATCACCTACTCCATCCGCCTATCATCCCACCATTCGTCTCGTCAACCCATCCTCTCGCAACCTCCCTCGCAACTACACCTTCTAACACCACCATCTCTCCTCAGATCCACCGCCTCGTCGCCCCCCGCGACCAGAAACACCAATCCAACTTTGTCGAATTCCGTGGCTCCTCCAAAATCGTCTACCGCCGCTACGCCGGTCTCTTCTTTTGCGCCTGCGTTGACGCAAACGACAATGAATTAGCATACCTGGAAGCCATACATTTCTTCGTCGAAGTGCTGGATCAGTTCTTTGGGAACGTGTGTGAGTTGGACTTGGTGTTTAACTTTTACAAGGTAAGCAAAGCAAGAGCAAGAGCATACAGCGGTCAATGGATGAATGGAGTGCTGACGCGGGAATGTGGAATAGGTTTACGCTATCCTTGATGAAGTGTTCCTGGCCGGAGAGATTGAAGAGACGAGTAAACAGGTCGTGTTGACGAGGTTGGAGCATTTGGACAAACTTGAGTAGTCGGTGTGCGGACGTCGGTTTACAAGCATTTCTGATACCATGGGAGAACTGGAGTTCAAGGAGTTTTTGCACCAAAGAAGTGTATTGAGAGCATATCAGCGTGGTATATATATATTTGAGGCCTGTTTCAGGCAGAGATGGTAAATACTCCCATCGTTATGGCCTTCCGCTACGTTCAAGAATGAAAAGCCAGCAGCTTGGCTATGTGTAGAAGGCGCTCGCCTCATTGACAAAAGAAATGTCTCCCCTCTGCTTCAATGCTCGAGCCTCGTGGCTCCTCCATTCGTCAAAACTGGGTTCGCTCGTGCGAAAGTCGTAGTTCGTAAATCGTGATGGCGCCTTGCAAGACGCCTCGAATCTCCTCCTAACCAAAGTGTTGACACTTCTGTCTGCTGCAAAGATCTCCTGTATCTCTGCTTCAATCAAGGACGATGACCTCCTGCTTGGCAGCGCGGAAGACGATCAGCTTGTCGCCGAATGTGTCCAGTGCCTCAACGGTATCAGTGAACTGTGGGACTCGACCGCAGAACAAGATCTGGTGTTGTTCCTCGGTGGTGACCTCGCGGTACTTGTTCCACATCGTCTCGACTGTGTTGATCTATCGGAGAGTCAGTATGCTGGTTAGACAATCGTTGTTGCACTTACTCTGGAACCTTTGAGCCAGACAAAGTCCTTCTCGACTTTGGCCTTCGAAGGCTGCACGGTGTGCATGAGAATAACCATCCAGTAGCGGTGAGCGGGCAGATGATGAGGCTGCAACTTCCAAGCTTTGTGGTGAAGTTCCTTGTCTTCCTTTGAGATAGTCTTCTTGATGGTCTTGAGGGGGCTTTCGGTGAGCATGTAGCCCTCGAATTCGACTTGAGGAAAGTCCTCGACACCAGAGTCATGTGCTTCCTGAGCGTCAGAAACGTCGGCATCGTCCACCATTGTGTCTTCGTCAGAGGTATTGACCTCCACCTCTTCGGCGACATCGTCCTCCATGGTGTCTTCATCAGATTCTTCCTGTTCGGGATCGCGACGAGAGACCTCATCATCATCGTGATCGTCGCCAACTGCATGCTCTTCGTGTTGCATGGCACTGTCTTCATCGACATCGGTGTTAGCAGTGTCGCTGGAGATTTCGACATTTCCAGCAGTAGCATCTTCATGTTGTTTTGTAGCGTCAATAGGGCCCGAGTATTCACTCTCGCTATCCTCCAGGTAAATATCGTAGCGCTCGTGGACGAGTGGCCTGCACCGAGATGGTCAGTAATGTCCAGAACTAAGACTCAAGATCAAACTTACGTGTGGGGAATGGGAGCCTGTTCCTCTGAAATGGCGTCTTGCATGTCCTCATCTAAGCCTGCAAGGACTTGGTCGACCTGGTGTTGGAGCTCATCGTGTTCTGCCTGGTCTGCCGCGCTGATAGGGTTCTGATGTTCGAAGCGGCTGAAAGTTTGATGAGCGTTCTGGATCTCGTGAGGAGTATAGAGCATTGAGTTGTTCGATGAAGACTGAGTCACACCGACTGTGGAGTCTCCCCAACCTTGGTTGGTATCTTCGTATTTGCTGTCACTTGCGTCCGAGGCCGGAGAAACAGTCTGGGTGTCACGAGCATGCTGTGTCAACTCCTGCATGAGCTGCGCACTGGGGTCATCTTCAGCAGCATAATCGGCAGTGTAGTTGCCAGCGTATGGATCGGTATGAATGTCGTAGTCACCAGAGTATGCGCCGCGGGAGTCATTGTAGTTGCCAGAGTACATATCGTTGGACTCCGGGTCCTGCTTGATGTGGGTTTGTGATTGCATTGGAACTTGCTGAGCAGGACTTTGTTGGTAAGCGGTCTGCTGGTGAGGCATCTGCTGTATGGAGTACTGCTGCCCAGCATATTGCATGCCTGGGCCAAGATCAGACTGAGCCACAGTCCAGTTCTGGAGCATTTGCGATGCAGGATTGAAGGGCGACTGATAGCTTGGATTACCGGAATCACCACCGTAAGAGATAGGAGGCAACGACTGCGCGTTCTGATGAGCGGGCATGAATGGGGTGTTGTTGGGGTAAGGATCTTCGGCAACGGGAGAGTATCCGTAATACTGCGCAGCGTATGCAGGGTTAAACCAGGAGGATGCGGTGTATGGCTGTGGCGAGGTAGGAGGCTGCTGAGCGTTCACCGTACCAGATCTACCAGTGGTGCGCTGTTGATATCTTGGGTCGTGGTGATCGAAAGTGCCGGGCTGATGAGGCGCCATATTGCCCTGAGATCTGGGATCGCGGCGGTTCTGATCGTTCATACTGTGGAGGGATTAGAGTCAGATACGCAAGATAGATGTGCAGATGTTGTAAGGGTCAGAAGGCAGATGAGATGCGGCGGAGATCGTGATGTCAAGGAGAAGATCTTGGAGTGTGGTGCAAAGGTGAAAATCCAAGTTGATAGACGGAGGTTGTGAAGAGCAAGGCAATCAAAGTCACAGGTCAGGACAAGAGAAGTACTACCTGCTAGAGTCCAGTGTACGGCGGAAGGAATTCTAGGTGTAAGTGGTCCAAAAGGTTGTCGACTCGTCGATGATTGGATGAGATGTTGAGGACAGAACAAGGTGTGAGAAGGAAGAGATATATCAGAGAGAGAGGTCGACGAAGAAGGAGAAAGATGGAGAAGAGTGACAGGAGAAAAGGGGAAGAGAGATCAGATGAGGGTGAAGAAGGGATTTGCAAGAGAGAAGGAGAGAAGGAAACGGAGAAGAACGGAGAGTTGATCAAGAGTGAGAGTGAGGCGGGCACCAGCAGGGACCGAGACCGAGTGAGATCGCGGTAAGGAATACAGTGAAGAGTGTCTGTTGTCTAGCGACGTTCACAATACCTCGCAGATGAACCTACCAGTATCCTCACATCAAGGTGTTATGGGAAGATCTGCACAAGTCGTGCATAATTTCAAATGAAAGTCTGAAGCTTGCGACTGCATGCGTGTTGGAGAGACAAAGGAGTTTCCAAAGGACTTGGTAAGACACTGACTCACAGCCGCCGAAGTGGACAATGTCCGAGACATGTTTGCAAGCAGGCGTGTGAGATGGAAAGATGGAAGGGAAAGATGTTGCATGAGACAGGAAGCGCTGCAGTGCAGGAGTGAAACAGTCGGCAGACCTCCCTGTTTCGGGGGTGACGATGATCAAGGTGATGGCAAGTCATCGAACGAACAAGAAGCCAGAATTTTTAACCAAAGGACCAATAAAGTTACCGGCCATCGCCTTTTCTTTGTTTTGATATAAAGCGCATGCTTGAACTGCTTGCGCGCATCTGAATGCAAAGAGGCTTCCGTTCCTTCTTGAGAGAATTTCCTTCTTCGCACCTTCCTCGACTCTTCCACACAACCACACCGGCCCATCGCCCCTCGGTCAACTCGTCGCCCTCGGCATTGCTACCCTTCCAATCGCATACCGCCCGCATTTTGCCAATCGCATTACTAGCTCGAGCGCAGCGCCTCACATCTACACTCAGCAGCATGGACGGCCAGCAGAATGGAGAGAGTCGCGTCAAGCGTAAACAACACCCAAGCTCTTCTCAGGACAGACCTCTGAAACAGCTCAGATCAGATGCTACCGCAGATGAGCCTGCCAATGGCTTCGAACATGACGATGAAGTCGATGTTCAACCCGTGATGCATGCCGCAACCACAGACTCGGTCGAGTGGCAGCGTACCATCGAAACTGTCGTCTCAAAAGTCGTCTCTATCCATTTCTGCCAGACGAGCGCATTCGATACCGACCCGGCCCTCTCAAGCGAAGCAACAGGTTTCGTCGTTGATGCTGAGAACGGCTATATTTTGACGAATAGAGTAAGTCGGTCTTGAACACACGACATACCCACGAGCTAATAGAGTACAGCACGTTGTTGGTTCCGGCCCCTTCTGGGGATACTGTATCTTCGACAATCACGAAGAATGCGACGTCTACCCTGTCTACCGCGATCCTGTCCACGACTTCGGTTTCCTCAAATTCGATCCCAAAGCCATCAAGTACATGAAGCTCGCACCCATCGAACTCCGCCCCGACCTTGCGCGCATTGGTGCTGAAATCAGAGTGGTTGGTAACGATGCTGGAGAGAAGCTCAGTATTCTGTCTGGTGTCATTTCAAGATTGGACAGAAACGCCCCCGAATACTCTGAGGGATACTGCGATTTCAACACAAACTACATTCAGGCTGCCGCTGCTGCCAGTGGAGGAAGTTCGGGCAGTCCTGTCGTCAACGTCGAGGGTTATGCTGTCGCTTTGCAAGCAGGAGGAAGACAAGATGGTGCCGCGACCGACTACTTTTTACCACTGGACCGACCGCTGAGAGCGTTGGAACTCGTCAGAAAAGGAGAACACGTCTCAAGAGGAAGCATTCAAACACAATTCCTCATCAAGCCGTTTGATGAGTGCCGCCGACTTGGTTTGACTTCCGAGCGTGAAGCCGAAGTCCGCGCCAAATTCCCCAAGGAGACTGGTATGCTGGTTGCTGAGGTTGTTCTGCCCAAGGGTCCTGCCGACAGCAAGATTGAAGAGGGTGATGTTTTGATCAAGGTCAACAACGAGCTCCTTACACAATTTGTCCGCTTGGACGACATTTTGGATTCGAGCGTTGGAGGCCAAGTCAAGTTCCTTGTACAAAGAGGAGGCGAAGAGTTCGAAGCCACCATTGATGTTGGAGACTTGCACGCGATCACTCCGGATCGCTACGTCTCGGCTGCTGGTGCCCTTTTCCACGAGCTCTCCTACCAACAAGCCCGCTTCTATGCTGTCACCCTCAAAGACAACGGTGTGTACTGCTGTGAATCTGGTGGTTCCTTCAGGTTCGAAGGTTGCGAGTCTGGCTGGCTAGTTCAGTCCATCAACAACCAGCCCACGCCTAACCTCGATGCCTTTGTTGAAGTGATGAAAGCTATTCCTGATCGCGCCCGTGTCGTCGTCACTTACAAGCATCTTAGAGACATGCACACTCTCAACACCTCTGTTATTACTGTTGATAGACATTGGCACAGAAAGATGTCGCTCCACGTCAGAAATGATAAGACCGGCCTTTGGGACACCACCACTCTTGCCAAGCAACTTCCTCCCGCCGACCCTCAGCCACAAAAGGCAAACTTTATTCAGATGGCCGGCGCACAACATCCTGCTGCTGTCGACATCGTGCGAAGCTTTGTTAGAGTCTCAGTCAGCCTACCGCTTCGTCTGGATGGATTCCCTAAGGGCAGAAAAATTGGCTTTGGTCTAGTCATTGATGCTGAAAAGGGTCTCGTCATCGTTTCACGAGCAATCTTGCCATACGACATGTGCGATATCACCATCACTGTAGCTGATTCGATCATCGTTACTGGAAAGGTTGTCTTCATGCACCCTCTGCAAAACTATGCCATCTTGCAATACGACGCCAGCCTGGTACAAGCTCCTGTCAAGTCAGCTAAACTCGCAACCACACCTATGAAGCAAGGAGAGAGCACTATTTTCTTTGGCTTTAACCAGAACCAGAGACCAGTAGTCGCTAAGACAACTGTCACTGATATCACTTCAGTTGCCATTCCAGCAAGCACAACGACTCCCAGATACCGTGCAGTCAACTTGGACGCAATCACGGTAGACACCAGCCTGTCAGAACGTTGCGGAAGCGGTGTGCTTGTTGCTGAGGACGGTACCGTGCAAGCTCTGTGGATGACTTACCTTGGCGAGCGCACACCCCAAGGACGCGATCAGTCGTACCACCTGGGCATGTCTACCTCTGCGCTACACGCCGTTGTTGATGATATCAGGAACGGCGACCGACCTCAATTGCGTATCCTCAACCTCGAAACACATATTATGCAGATGAGTGAGGCTCGCATCCACGGCCTTTCGCAGGAGTGGATAGACAGAGTCGAGAAGGAGGATCCCGAGAGACATCAACTTTTCATCGTTCGCAAGGTTGATTCTGACCATCTCGGTGGCCTAATGGAGGGTGATATTATCCTCACTCTCAACGACCGCCTCGTCACTCGCGTCACAGACTTTGATGTCATGTATAGGAACGAATACCTGGATGCTGTCATCCTCCGCAAGAGGGAAGAGATCAAGCTCAAGGTCTCGACCGTACCCACACACGAGTTTGAGACTGACAGAGCCGTTGTCTTCTGCGGTGCCGTTCTGCACCGCCCTCACCACGCTGTGCGCCAACAAATCAAGAAGGTGCACTCGGATGTCTACATCTCCCTGCGCATTGCAGGTTCGCCAGCATACATGTACGGCCTCGCACCCACAAACTTTATCACACATGTCAACGGCGTATCCACGCCCGATCTCGACAAGTTTGTTGAAGAGACCAACAAGATCCCCGATAACACATACTTCCGCCTGAAGATCATGACTTTTGACAACCAACCGTGGGTTGCCACTATGAAGAAGAACGAACATTACTTCCCTACCATCGAGTTCTTGAAGGACCCGGAAGAGAAGGAGGGATGGAGACGAGTCACGTATGATGAGCAAGGCAAGGTCAAGGCCGGTGGCGATTTGCCCGAGGCTGCGCAAGAGGCTGCAGTCGGTGATGTTGAGATGCCTGATGAAGGACCGATGGTCTAATCAGGTAGTTTTCGTTGTCTATAACAAAGACAAGTCTTTTAGATAGACGGTTGCGTCCATGATGCAACCTTTTCGGATACAGTAGATCCATTTGTGTCTACCATGATAAAAGCACAGTAATTCTACTCAAAGTCATACTATACATACCATACCAGATATTTCTTATTACCTACTAAAATCTCACCTCCCTACCAGTACCTCGATTCTCTCATTCCCTGACTGGCTTCCCACGGCAAGACTTCTTCGATGCCTACCCCATCACACCGACAAGCCACCGCATCGCCGAGCAACAACAATCGTCATCAGCATGTATAGTCAATGGTTGATATCGCTGCTCTCACTCTGTGACTAATTTTGTTGCCGTAACAAAAGTTCCGTCTCTTTGAATATGGAGGGAGGGTCGTTATTTTCTGGGCGGAAAAGCTCGGTGGTGTAAATGTCGACATGCCGAGATCGGGGACTGAGTCGTCTAGGTTTATAGTTTTTTCATTCAACGACTCTGGTATTGAGGGCAGATGGGGCGGGGGAAGAAGGGAGTAGAGGAGAGAGTAGGTAGGTAGGTATCTTTGGAGGGAGGAAAGAGAAGCGGGTTAGTGTGTTGAGAAGATGTAGAAGAGGTAGGTACCTAGGTAGAGGAGGAGGAAGATTGTTGATGACGCCATGGTGAGGACAGGGTGGCCTTATATACTTGACATCTGGATATCATACCTTCCTCCTTCTTTACAGCGACGAACCAGCGATATGAAAGGCGGTCGAGATACTCGGATGCCCTGCTTTGAGAAGCAGTACTGTATCCATGATGAAAGTAAACTTTACACATAGACGAAAAACCCATGCCACAACCACGCGACAAGCGATATCCCACACACAAAAGACTCGAGAAATTAAAATCCACCCTGATGTATGTCAAAAGACTCCATCCAAACAGCGACAGCAAGGTCTATACCATCGAACAGTAAACATCAAAATTCACATCTACGAGTCTCACAATCACAGTCACAATTGGCATCAAATAGTTTTGATATAGCAAATTTTTTTGTATTCCTTGTAAAAACATCAGAATTCAACAGTAAAAAACCTCTTCAAGAAACATCTCTCATCACTGCCCTGTTCTCCCAAGGGAAAAAAAGCAATTTTCAAAAAGAGAACGACTGAAAAGCAGCTTTGTTTTTTTTTGTTGATTAGAAGAGAGTGTTCTTCTTGTAGTAAAAAAAAAAGCAGAAGAGGAAAAAGGCCCTCGAGTCAACAAGCATTAGACGACTCGGACTTCGTGAACTGGCCGTAAATTCCGGGAGTAAGGAAAGTAAAAAAGCAAATAGACGCTGGATGCGTAGTGGGGTATGGGAAGGGAAAGACTTTTGATGGCGTGATGGCAGGATGGGAGATGGGGCGGTTTGCAAAGCAGTGAGGAAGAGATGAGAAGAGTGATCATCGTACATCAAAGAGTGCCAAAGAGAGGGCGTTCCGCAACTCTCAATGGGGGCACCACTCCTGATGCAAGAAAGAAAGACTCTTGCAATTCTACCTTGACTGTTTGCGAGAGTGAAGAGTCTGAGGTCCCTCTAGGACTGGAAGGCAGTACCGTAGGTTTCGGCAATGCCTGCATTAGCGGGCAAACCACGAGCAATGTTGAGCTGCTTGTGCATGGCCACGAGCGCCATACGGAGCTCCTGCTTCTCGAGTTGAAGCTGCTTGATCTGGGCTCCGAGCTCCGCCTCGTTGTCGACCTTCTTCTGGCGGGACTTGCGAGCGGCGGCGGTGTTCTTGGCCCTCTTTCTCTCGACAGGGTCTTCGATGAGATCGGGGTTGATCTCAGGCAAGACCTTGGCGGCCCTCTTGTTCTTACGGACTCCAGAGGAGACAGCGCCGAGTACAGCAGGCTTGGGTGAAGCGAGTGCAGCGGACACGGGTGAACATTCATAGCCTGCGAGAGAGACTGCGCGAGGAGCTACAGAGAATTGCTTGGGGGCCTCGAAGAGAGAGGGCATGTTCTGATCATCAATTGCCAAGTCATCGAGAATGACAGGCGATGGATCGGCAGAGTTGAAGTCTGAGAGCCCGTGGAAGAGATTAGAGAACTCTCCTTCATACTCAAGTGCCTCGACACTGAGCGTAGGCGATGGATCAGTGGAGCCGGAAGTCTCGTTGGTGAATGTGGGCGAGAAATCACTGTCGAAGTTCAAGGCAGGGATGTCAGTGGCCAAGGGAGCCCACTCTGTTCCAGACGAGGGTGTGTTCTCGATCTGCTGCATACAGACGGTTCCGCCGTTGGCGTTGTTCTGGTAAGAAGAGAGCGGTGCAAAGGACACGCGCTTTTGAGGCTTCTCGGGCTCGCCGTACAGCTGCATGTCAGATCCTTGAGGAACGAAGCTGCTGTACACGTTCGAGCTGAGGTCAGAGATTGTGCCGTCATAGGCAACGTTGCTCTGACCCATGAAGTTGGTGTTGTAAGCAGACATATTGGGAGTATGTTCTGAAGATGTGTGTTTTGAAGATTTGGTTTGGAGTGGTTGAGGGTGGGAACTTCGGTTCTGGTATGTGTTCGAGGATTGCGAAGAGAAGCAGATGGGAAAGACGGAAGCCGAATTTAAGAAATTCTCGCAGTGCGCAGATAAAGAGAAATCGTTCAGAAGTGCTGCCTGGGAGCTTGCACGCGGCTTATGCGTAAGCTGATGCGTCGAATCTTGCACACACGGAGTTTGAGCAGATTTCGTGTGGACTGCGGAGAGGGTAAAGTCCTTGTTGAGGGCTAGTTGTCGGGGCGTATGCCTGGGGGAGTTCAATTGAGGAAGACATGGTTGTGGTGTGAGGGCCGTGATTGGCTGTGAGTTCTGTTGCTGGAGGTCCGAAGACGACGACGAGGTGTTGGCGAAACTCAAGGGCGAATGCTCTTGAGAGTGTTTTGGAAGTAGTGGACGAAGTTGTCTTAATGCTGGTATGCTGGGCGACGGTATGGGGGGGTTTATGCAGCCATCTTGAATGCGTAAACCTGGAATGAGTATGTGTATTGAGAAAGCGTGTTTTGTAAGGAGGAAAATGAAGTGCAAGAGGGCCTTGGGGAAGTCGTCCTTTTGATACGCTGACACTCTCTCAGACTGACCCCGTGTGGGTGGGTCTAATAATGCACGGTGCACCAGCTGTGAGTCACCAAACTTTAATCCCGCTCGTTCAGACATACCCATCGCCAACGATGCGTTTTCCTTGAACTTCGGTCCTGTAAACTCCCTCGAATGAATCCTTCGACTCTGCGCACTTTAGCATCATTGAGAGCACCCAAATCGACCTACCTTCTGCCATACAGTGGTGTTCAGAAAGTGTCCAAGAAGCACAATTGTCCGATCTCGGCATCCTGCTTATCTTGCCGCGAGCCGCTAGTCCTGCGCCCTTCGTAGGACATCCAACCCCGGATTGGTTGGGGACGTCTGCCCTGCTGCCTGCCATTTTCAAGGCAACTGTTGCATGTGAGACGCGCAGTTGACATGAATGTGTGAATAACGACTTCGCCGAGGCGTCTGCGATCGCATTCAACAAAGCCATGACCTCGTACGCTGTTGTCGAACTCGGAATGAGACCGGCGACAACATCTTGGCTTGTTCTATAATGTTGGCATGTTATATCGCACGTTGCGCATTCGTGACATTCTGTACGCGAGTATGCTTCGAGCGTCAGGTTGAGTGTTGTCTTCCTGCAACATCCTTCCAGTAGATTGGTGTACTCGTAGTCGTCTTCAGTTCTGCAACGAGGACCATCGCTTTATATAGAGCCGGCCCAAGCAATATGTGTCATCCAGGTTGCGTGAGTCGAACTTGACGGTCGATATCTGAACTGTGGATGGTGACCGAATATTCGACATATTGATTCGCCCTTATGAGGAGCATAGGTCAGTTGAGAACAAGATTGTCGGCTGGGCGTACGTAGCAGTCAGCATATGCTGTGCTTCTAAGCCGCGATATCCGATGGCTCTCGTTGTTGAGCAGATTCAGCTAGATGGTAGGCTGTGATCTGCTATGTGTTGTAGACCACGAGGAATCCACGAGTTGGCGTTCAATGACAGTTGTTGACTACGAGAATGGCATCCTTCTTGGGAATAGCAGCTGGAAGATTGAGTGAGATGGGAAGGCGGTAAGGTGATAGGAGAAGTTGGCGAGACGATGTGTGAGGGACGAGCTTGCTGGAACAGGGTGAAGTGGTTGGAGAACAAGGAAGGACCCTTATGCGGTTTAGAGATCTGCATCTGCCAAACATCGAATTTATGGATCATCAAAGGGTCGATCATCATAGATGTTCGCAGGTCCCTGCTTAGGAAAGGCCCGTCGTAAGTCTTCTCGGATGATCATCTTGTCTTGAGCATCCTACGAGGACGCTTTCTGGCTCCAATGCTACATCCTGACGACCTACGATAATGTGCCCTGCCAGTACTGCAACTCTCAGACCTGCCAGCCTCACAGGTGCACCTTTCTCTAAACAGATCCACAAATATATCATCACACCTCCTGACGACTGATGGGTGGTTTGAATCATCAAGTTCTCTCCATTGGATCCTCAAACTCATCCGTAACGTTCTGGTGTTCAATTCATACGAGCACGAAGAAGACAGCTGTCAACGTACCAACATGATGGTGCCACGAGGAAGAAATGCGATGTCAGAACATGTTCTCATTGGAAACGTAGAAAGGGTCTGTCTGGGTATATGAAAGTTTTTGAGGATGATTGAACAAGGACATTTAAACAACATGCTTGACCTGTACAAAAGACGTCAAAATCAGCGCCTGAAGTCGAGAAGATGAATCAAGAAAACAGGGCTATGAGCGTACCTCGAAGAAACGCTTGAGCCACCAGACCTGGAAGATGCCCTCGCCAATCAAGACACCAAGCTGGAAGATGCTCCACCACTTGACTCTGGCATTGGTGCTCTCGGCAGTGTTGCGGTGGGTGCGTTCGCGGACGACAATGTAACCCTGCTCATCTTTGACCTGTGCGAGCATCTCGCCGAGAATGCGCACTTCCTTCTCCAGAGGATCCTGGGGAGCCTCGCTCTCGGGGACGTAGACGATGCCGTGGACGTTGAAGCTGACCTCCTTTGTGTTGGCCGACCAGTGTTCGTTGCTGAAGCAGTAGAGGTAGCGGCCATCCATGTGTGCGGTGAAGCTGTGGTCGCCGCTGCTGACGGAGCGCTCGTGGACTTGGTATGCGTTGGCTGGGTTTTGGATCTGCGAATCTGGTCAGCATGTGTCGCAATCGCACACGGGAAGAATGGTATACCCAGAAGTCAATGTCGAGGTTTCCACTGCCACCAAACTCGCGATCGCCAACCTGGAAGGTGACGGTCATTCTGTCGTCCGAGTGCAACTCCTCGTGGAAGCATTCGCGCGAATGTGCCTTCAGCTGGATGTTGTGTGCCGAGCTGACGGCGAAGAGACCGCAGAGAGCTGCATAGAGGAAGGCGAGGACGAGCATGTTTGCTGTCTGTCGAGAGTTGTGACAAACAAGAAAGCTATGGAGCGATGCACGACAACAATTGTTTGTTCGATATGTTGCGCTGTCCCTTGAATATGGAGGTGCACGGTCCCCTGAGCTCTTGCAGCCCCCTATCCAGACACGAACGGTTTCTTGGACTTTGCAGGCTTGATCCAAAAGACAGTCCTTGGATTACATGCACCCGTATATGTCTATACAGCTATCTAAGGAGTCGGTCTGATCTTTATTCTCAGTCTCTAGAGTCCGTGATTAGCTGTCATCGGTTATGTTCAAGACAGCTTGTTGGCTGTTCCCTTCGGTACACCTTCCCATTCTTGAAGCTTGCTGCTCGCCAAGTTCTGTGGCCCGGGCACGCTTTTCCAACTTCATCCTATGCCATACCTCTGCTCGTTCTTTCATGTTATATCATGCACATGTATGCTGACTGACTATCTGTGCGAACTCATCCTTGGATCATGTCAGTGGTAAGGATCATCCGGAAGGAGCGCCAGGACACAGGGTAACCTTCCCCATCGGCTACATACTCATGGACCACTGGACCTGATATCTATCTGTACTGGCTTCAACGCTTTCTGGAAGACGAGAAAAATTATGCTGCTGGTCTTGGAAACGTCGAGGATACTTACTGTCGAAGTCGGATTGTAATCCAACTGACCAAATGCAAGATGCAAATACCAGGGTACATCTGATGCATATCTCTGTGTCAAGATGACACAGGGAATCAGACTGGACAGGACATACTAACGCAGGATTGGAAAGGCGATGTCTCGCTGATTGCAACTGGTCGTGACAGTTCAAGCTCACCTTGATCGAGCCATTTGCTTCGTAAGCCTGGAAAACATACTAAACGGGTTCCTCGATTTGGTTCAGGATAACACATCGCAGCTGCCAAGGTATCCGGGAAGGCACAGCAAATCTGGACCAGGTCTCCAGATGGTCATCAGTCGCCGGAACAGTGGCGTAAGGATCTTCATGCTCCCTTAGTGCTTTCGACGCCGTCATGCTTGGTTGACAATGACGATGGGCGAAACAAGCCCGTCTGGAACTGGTCGACTGGTGCTCAGACTCACACAAGCTGGACGAGGTATATTACTTATCTCACAGGAGATGGTGCCTGTGTGTTTCGACATCTGGGAATCGCGTCGCGTTGCGCTCGCGACATGATGGCATCGCTATAACCTCCGATGGTGCTGGTAGTGATGTCTCTGCGTCAGTGTTGTTGATGCTATAGCGTTGCAGCGATGACTATGCAGCAGTAGACCCGGATCTGCAATCATCATGTGTGGTCGAAGCAACGCCGTCGGTGGTACGAAAATTGTAGGGCGACATGTCTCTACAAACGGTAAGGCGACCACTCTGATGAATAGCATGTAATGGTTCACTGTTGCAATGCAGAGTCACAGTGTGCTTGATTTGTTTGTGTGGAGGAGGTCACAGTCAGAGGAGACTATATAATTGAAAAAAGTTGGGTCACTTTCACCCAGTGGGCGGGAAGGATAGTGTGAGTGGTTAACCCGTACTAAACTGAGCAACCTTGCGGTATGCTTGGGGGGCTGCCCTTCGGGAGGCAGTTAGGGCCACAGTAAGCCATGTCCGCGCCGCAAGGCATATCCGCTCCTTTTTTGCTTCTTGGTATTTCTTTTTCACTTCTTTTTCCTACTGTAACATGCCTCTATGGGATTGGTATAGGGAAAGGTGTTGTTTGTGCAAAAAGAGCTGGTCGTAAGATACACGGAGTTGAACACTTTGTTTACCTGCATCAATACGCGCGCTTGTCATAGCCAGTGTTCAATCCGCCACGAGGCCAACACCTTTCGCACTTCTTTATTCTTTCGCTTTCTACTACTCCTGTTTATCTACTTTCATCGTTTCAACACTTCACAAGCACCCGTCCATGGCGCCAATGACTCCATCTGCTTTTCTTCATCACTACCCTTGAAGTGCGATCAAAGACTTCATCCTGAGCATCTACGCACACTCCACTCTCATCCAGCATCTCGGCGCTTCCGTCCCTCCGTACCACAATGGCAGGCTCAAAGTCGCCAGAACTTCCTATCTCTCTCATCGACATCTTCCTCGGCTCTGGTCGCACCATCCGCAGACCCACCGGCCCACCAGGAGTAAACACGACGCATCTCTCCCTCCATCATCTGAGAATGCTGACTCACACAGCTGCCCTTCCTACAGACACCCGGAAAGACCGAGCTCGTTCTAGTACGTCCATCTAGACGCGCCAGTCTTGCAAAGGAAAGCGGCGGTCAAGAAGCCAAAGCTGCCAGCGCTCAAGGCAGCAACAATCGCGCCACGGCATCAGGCTCCAAGCACGGCAGCAAAAAGGACGACAGCAAACCCAACGCAAAGCCCACCAGCGAGAAAGCGGCCAATAACGACAAAGCCGTAGGCGCGAACAAGACAGCCGAAGAACCCAAAACCAACGGCGACAAACCCCAAGCCAACGCCCAGACCCCTGTCTTCACCCCCGAAGAAGACGCAAAACTCCTTCTCCTCAAAAGCGAAGGTAAACCCTGGCCAGAAATCGCCGCCGCCATCAACAAGACCAAGAAGCAAACTACCAGACGATTTGGCGAGATCAGACCTAGCGACTGGAAGCCGCAAAAGGGAGGTAAACACGGCATCGACAAGGCCGGAGTTTCCGACGAAAAGAACGACCAAAACGACAAACAAGTCGCAAAGATGGGGAAGCAAGACAAGCAAGTCGAGGAGCGCAAGAGCAAGTCCGCTGCCATCGACAAGCACAAGAACGAGAAGGCATTGTCAGCTGCACTGCTCGTAGCCGGTGAAGTCAAGCACGCACATGCTCACCGCCACGAAGTCCATCACCACATCCACAACCAAGATACCCAACCCCATCGCTCATCTAACGACACCCATCCTCGCCGCACCAAAGAAGCCCCACGCACTCGCGACACGAAGCTCACATCCCGACCTAAACCTTCTCACCCGCCTGCTCCTCCTTCCACCGCCGCTTCCTCACGTACAGCATACACCCTCGCCACAACACCCTCCCTGACCGAAGACGACCTCTTCAGCTTTGGCGAACTGCAAGCTTTGTCAGAGTTGATTGGCAAAGACATGCAAGGCATGTGGCAAAGAGTCAGTGCTGCGTTTTTCGGCATGACTGGACGCCGGATCGCTGCCGAGGATATCAGAGATAAGTTTGAGGGATTGGACCAGTGAAATTTTGGTGGGAGTGACAAGAAGCCAAGAGCGAGGGAATGTTAGAATGGAAGGAGGCATGGGAGAGAGATCAAAATAACAAGGAAACACGAGGCAGTTGGTCGTGACGGCTAGCTAGCCTTTACATTCTCTTGCTTCACAAAGAAAGAACGAAGGGAGACGAATAAATGTATGGCTTCTCTTGTCTGTAGGAGAAGACCAAGATACACTCTCTTCTGACACGCTCTTTTCCTCCCAACACTCTTGTTCATCCATGACCCTCTCTCTGTTTGAGAGTCTCGTAATCAAAAGCACAGGTTGAGAAAGTAGCATTTCGGATCACAAAAAGACATGTACATGACGAAGATAGATGAGAGGTCGAAAGTGCGATCATCATTCGACCATGTCTGTCTGGCATCGAGAGAAATCTAGTGATGCATGGTAGCAACTCCAGCAGCGTCGGCCTGGGCTGTAATCCTACGCTTGTAATCGTCCACATCAGTGTTAAAGTGCTCAACACCGCCCTGATCATAGACCATAAGGGAAGGATACAAAGCTTCCAAGATGGTAACGTCATGACTAAAGAAAGCGACGGGTCAGTATACAAGAAAAGTCAGAAGGGGGTTGGCGGAAAGGAAATTTTTCGATAAATATAGGGGCAAGTGATTAGTGCACAGTGATGTTTGCATTGACAAACTGCTTACGCCAATCTTGCTTGTGGGAGAGAGCGTTATGATGCTCAGTAAGGAAAGTGACGAGCCCATCTGTTGAAACCGAAGAATATTGCTACGAGCTGGCGACACTACAACAATTGGAGTTCGTCCGAGATCAAAGGAGCCGAGCACAGCAATGGTAGTGTGAAGAAACTAGGTACGCACGCAGTAATACTTGTCACAAGCGGTAGATGATTCATCAGAGAGGAGGGGCTCAAGCACAGAATGGATGATATACGGTACAAGAAAATCACAGACCAGGAACCGAGACTCAGGAAGTGGAATGTCAATGACGGATAGTAGGGAGAACAAATGTCTATGCAGTGTGGCTGGCTGGCTGGCTAATCGAAGAAGAAAGAAAAAGAAAGGAAACTACAAAAGTGTGAAGTGATACAAAAACGCTTTTTTTGAATGGTGTGCCTCACTCTGAATGCTTGCGCAACAGTAAGAAAAAGCGAAGAACAGTGCAGTAGTTCTTGTCTTTTTTGTTGTCCAATCACCCCCTGTGCAACCTGTCCTCACAAACCATCAAAAGAGATAGAATACAACAGGGAAGAAAGAGGAAAAAGACAAAATGGTGATATGCGACAGATTCAAAGTCCGCTCATCCGCTCAAAACCGCTTTGCTCAAAAAAAAAAAGTCAGAAAGGAGTAAAAAGAAGGCCGTTCGCTGAACCGGAATGAAAAGACGTGGTCGCAGAAATGTGTGTGGTATGAATCAATCGTGCGTGACAAGGAAGAGAGACATTAGTGGTACAAAGTGGAAAAATCATTGCCAGCCTTTCTTCGCATACGTCGTCTCTTGAATACAATGAAAATGATCCTGTAATGTGATTGATCAAGAAGCTGTGTAGTGGGTGACCAGAAAATAATAGACCGCTTATGTTTTTAGGTCATGGCCATGAGGCGTAATCGGGAGTTCAGCTCCTCGGTTGGAGTGGTTATTCCATCGTCTGAAGAGTTCCGGTCCAAAGCACCTGTGGAGCGTCGACTTCGGCGATGGACGGTCGGCGATTCAGGGACCTCGCGTTTCCTTCGGCGTACGGATCGACTTCCATGCGAACCGATACTACCTTTGAGACTCTTCGGGCTGGGGAGTAGATCTTCTGCGTCCCTGATAACTTTTTTGACTCTATCTCGTAGCTCTTGGACGTAGGGAATGATGCGCTTCAATGTTGCCGTGTCGAAATGAACCTTATCCCGCCCTTCGAGATCAAAACCGGCGTTGGAGAGTCGCTTCTTTTGCAACGCTTCTATTACCGAGCGAGCGACAGCTTCCGAGTTCTTTCGCGGTCTTCGAGGCGTTGCTGGTGTAACGAAGATGCCGTTGTCGGTCCTGGTCGGAGAGATGGTCGCCTCCTCATCGTAGAAATTGAATTCGCCTTCTGCTGGAGACTCAGGAAGGCCAAACAAAGGTGGTGGCATGAGATGTTCCGCTGTTGGGATTGCTGAAAGTGGCTCGTCGAAATCATCGTAGTTGAACGATGGCGACGAGGAAGGCGAAAACCGAGGAGCAAGTGTCTGTTCGTCAGATTCCTGGTCTGCGAGATCAATCATGGCATCAACCTCGCTCCACATCTTTTCATTAACCCCATCAAGCACTTCTAGCAAGACAGCCCGCATTTTGTGTTCCTTCAGCTCCTCAATCAAGAGTCCCCAATCTCGAAGAAGCCCAATATTGGCGAGCACGTTGGTCTGCTGATCCCGGATGGTTTTGGGTACAATCATCGAAACGCCACTGTCGAGTCTCTTTTCTGCTGGAACGCTTTCATCCTCGAAATCGAAGTCTTCATTCCAGTCCTCTGTGACACCTTTGCTGCCAATGCCCCAGGTGCCGAATTTGTTGGTCCCTGTTCGTTTCCCATCGCCGTCCTGTGCTGTTGGAACACTTTGGCTGCGGGTGTGTAGCCCACTAGGAGCTCTTCTGCCAACCGACCTGCTACCACGAGTTTCGGCATCCTTCTTACCATGCACAGTCTTGGGACGTGGGGGAGAACGGTTGTTTGGGCTTTTCTCCATCGGTTGTTGCTCGGACCAATCGAAAATACTACTGCGCGTGTCTCTATCCGTGCTTCTGATAGTTGGGCGTTGCGGAGTCGTGTTGGCAGAACTTGAAGCATGTCCGTGGGGCGACAAAAGATCCGGGGTGATACCAAGGTGGGCAAAACGATTCTTGTGCGTGACGACAGGCTCGTCATCATCGTCTTCGGCAAAAGACCAAGAGCTTTCTTCGTCATCATCAGCATCCGCGAGGTCGGGGAAATGTTCGGCGTGCTGGCGAAGCTCAGAAAGAGACGGCCTAGCAGGCGGCGATGATGAAATGCTAGCCTGAGCAGATGAAGGCTTCATGTGAAGCATTGGCGAACTGCCCAAGGACTGGTTTCGAGCAGAGCGGGCTGGAGTAGAAATGGCGTCTTCCTCATGTATAATGCTGTGTCGTGGCTTGAGTGAATATCCCTGTTCAGGTCCTGTTTGGAGATAATCTTTGAGCAGGGTGTGCCTGCCATGAATGTGAAACGGCGGTGAATCGCCAAAAATGGATTCTATTGAAGGTCCTCGGCGACCCGGACTCGACTTTGGCGCCCTGGTCCGGACAGAGTCGTAGACGGTTTCGCTTTGTGAGTCAAGGCCCTCGTCATCCTCTGACCTGATATCGCTGTCTGAACCAGCCAGATGTGATGTAGTGTCGACGTGCTTCGACGCTTGTTGGGGAAGCCGTGACGGTGAAGGTAGTGTGTCGAAATAAACACTGTCGTCGCTCTGGGGGTTTGAGGGGAGGTCGGCGAACTTGAGTAATACATCTGAAGCGGATTGCGTCTGTTGGGATGGTAGTCTAAGATCTATCTCAGTGATAGGGCTGCTGAGAAATGGCGGCGTCGTAGTCTGTGTAACGTCATCCAAGTCGTGATGTCTCGCTTGGGTTTCGGATGGCTCATCATGAGAAAGGCTTTGTCTGTTGCCCATGCTTGAGGGCGTATTGGACCGAGCTCGCGCACCCGGTCGGCGGTATTTGGCGACGGGTGCTGCTTTGATAGGAGGTGGCTCCTTCCAGATTTGAGGATCTGCGGGAAGAATGTCGCTGGCAGAGAAGGAGCTCGAGGCCGACTCGATTCTAGACATTTCGGCAAGATCTTGCCTGTCTAAGGCGTCTTCAATGCTTTTTCGCTCATCTATCCTTGAATCGAATGAAGAAGTTTGAAAATCAACAGTTGCTTGCGAAAGTCGATTTGACGCAAGGGGCTGCTGATGAGATGAGGAATAAAAACGGTCGGCTGCCGGGACATTTGACACCACATTCGGATCGAATACAGGTTTAAGATCATCGATATCATTGTCAAACTCAATTGGAGCAGCGTTGATGTTCTCTCTAGCGGACACCAAGACGGGGCGATACTTCCTATCCGCATACACCCTTTTGATAGGATTGGGGATGCTGGTCGAGCTGCGACGCCGCACCGTTTCCGGAGGACCTACAGCCTGTCTAGGAGCAAAATAGTTACGCCATTGAATGTCCTCGGGCATGGAATCTGATGGAGAACCATAAAGGGAGTTTCTGAAAGCGTCTTCGGCTTTGGGAATTTTGGGAGTGCGTCTTTCTTGTAGAGTGGCACTTCGTTTGTGGCTGGTTGCTGGGCGTTTCAATGTCGGAATGGGAATCTTTGTAGTTGAGCCGCCGTACGAGGCGGATGTGGGCACTTTGCTCACCGAGGTGGAGCGTTTGACGAGTTTGTTCGGGGCTGTGTGGATGGGTGGAGTGTGGCTGGGGATCATCGGGGTAGTGGATCCCGAGGCTGAAGGAGCGACAGAAATGACGGAAGAATTTGGGCGAGAGTTTGACGATTGCGTCGAGTCGCGTGAAGAAAACGAAAACCTCTTGAGCCATGACGGCGTCTGGTGAGAAGCGAATGTGGGAGATATGGGAGGTGAGGCCTCTGGACCGGGTCGAAAGGACGGGGTCGCGCCGCGAGGCATTGTGTGGCCGTCTCTTTTCCTTAGCACCGTTCTTGCATGGTCCGGCGCATTCCTCGTCGGGGGAGCAGTGGGATGTTGGGTGCTCGCAGAGCGGAGGGCCTGGCGAGCCGAAAAGGCAAAGGGAGGACAAAAGGTGGTCGAGGTCGCGTAGGTGTCGACGGTCTGTACCGTGCAGGTTGCCGTCGATGTCATGTCACTCGTGGGTGGAACGAGCGAGGGTGCTCGAGAGTTGGACCGCGGTCGAGGACAGACCGGGTCTTGTGAAGAAGGGACAGAAAGAGGGTGGAGGAAGGTAGAGGATCTATGCGAGTCGGAGCGACGGGTGGTGTTGGCGGGAGGACAATGTTGACGGTGTTTGCGTGCGTCGTGGTCGGGACGAGCAAGCACAAAGCCCAGGGCAGACACGCCAATGCCGGTGCTCGTTGCACAGAGCTGTAGAGGGTTTGGTGGTCAGTCGGGAGGTTGAGCAATCTTGACTGCAAGGGGAGCGCGAGAGAGAGACGGTCAATGCTGCATAACGGAGAGTGCAGCCGCTTTGCGAAGATGATTAGGCTTCACAGAGAGCGGGCGACAGGGGGAGGTACAGACAGGTGCAGTCAGGGCCGTAGACAGGATAGCGAGGGGCAGGGCAATGGCATATCAAGCATGGCGGGAGGAAGGCAGCGCAGCGCAGCGGCTGGGGGCATTATAGTGAAAGCGGGTCTTTGGGTGCAGCTTACCGTGGGGATCGTTTTCATGCTTTGGCCGATGCCATGCGCCCATCAACTGAACACGCAACTCGAGGACGGCGGAGGGAGGGTGCAATTGGACTGGCTGCTCAACGTGTATCCCGCCCTGCTAGTCGTCTTCATAGTGGAGCAGGCCACTCGCTCTACTGAACAGGAAGACAGAGTCAAGGCCGCTGCGCAAAGCCCCACAAACAAGGCACAGACACGGAGCAGGCAGCGAAAGGCTGGTCAAGACGGCGGACGGCGAGCACTCGGCGTCGCCTAAACTTCAGGATGCCCGGTTTTTTGTTATGAATGGGATTATCAAGAGCGCTGACCTGCGTTTCAAGCGCCTACACTACCCCTCAGCTCGGACGCCACCACGAGTCCGCTGAACGTTCATGCAACAAGAGATCAGACTTCAACGGCGCGCCAAACGTTCATTGCAATGCTCCCGCGACATCACAAAGGCATTCGAGAAGGAATGCCGCCGCCCTCGAGGTTTCTTGTGCCCATCTCACAATCCCATCGCTTCCTCAGACCTGCACGAGTTCCGCGTTCAGCGCCTCTATCTGCCATACATGGCTCCACGCACCTCGCTCTGTTTCATCTTGTTCTGCAGTCTGTTGTCAAATCTCTCTCCTTGCACAGCGCCCTCAACCGTCAAAACGCTGTGCGACTCGTCCACTCGCCGCCGACTACTGATGACCATCCCTGCAAATAGCAATCAATCCTTACGGCACATACCATACGCCTCGGCCTGCAATGCCGTTTCCACATCCATGTACCTGTGTTATGCCATTGCTCGATCGACTAACCTTTTGACCACTTGCCGTGAAACCCGACGTGAACATCTGCTTAGCCCTAGAGTAGAATGCTGAGCCCTCCAAGCATTGTCAAAGTCGACGAATTCCACAATTCGTTCTTCGGCCAGCAGAAACCGTGGGTCCAGCCAAAAGTCAACAACCGAAATATCCACCACTAAAGCAGCTGCATGCTGCTTTGTACCAGCTGCAGGGTGTTTAGCGTCGTCTTGTCGGTTCCTCTGGTGCCGGACAATGTTGTAACTCGTAGGGGCGGCGGCTTTTCCTAAGGCGTTCCACGCAAGCGCTTGGATCATCTTGGAGTTCTGTCGCTTTCGAACCGCCGTGCGTCGAGCCCATCTGAGATCTGGCATGACGGTACACATGTATTCACACGATTCGGACGTGTATAGAATGAAACACAGCCTGACTTACATGCACCTAACGCGTGCCTGCGTGCGAGAGGTGACTCCCAGAAAAGCCATGCAACGATGCACCAAAACATGACATATTCAGGATTCATTCAGCAAGCAACCTGAAACGCTAACAAGCATGGCAGACGGATCATCCGCTGAAATGTCGTCTGGATCGACTCGGTCCGCCTGAGCTGTGGAGTTAAAGACGACAGCCAGGATGTCGCGTAAGTCACCAGCCGCGTGCAGCAGCGGGAAGAAGAAGGGCTGGTGTACATCCTCCAACACGTCAAATTCCCAAAGTTACACAATATGGCCCTCGACCTACAAGCAGGGACTAAACCATCATCCCTTGAAAGCTGCCAGACCCAAAGAAGATCACGGCTGGCCTTTGGTCTCACGCAATGCCGGCCGACGGCTCGAGGGAGGTTGGGGGAAGAGGCGATCGCCAATCTATTTCGTCAGGCCCGAGTGTTTGGTACTGCACAGTAACCTTCCACTTCTGTTCTTGTAGCGTGGCTTACCTTTATGAAACGGCACGGTCCTCTTGGCCTCGTGCTCAAGCCCAATCCGAACATGACGAAGACTGACACCGCTTGGCGGAGCCCATCAGCTTCGTTCAGACGACGGGGATAAAATGGTTGAATAATGTCACTCAGTATTCTGCGTATGCGTATACCTGTACAAGGATGTTTTGTCGATCAAAGAATACTGGAGAAGAACGCAATCATGTCCATGCTCCTCCTCCACCTGGCTCAAAGTTTATATGCCTTACAGAAATAGTGATCCGGTTTCAACATGATTGATCACCTTACTGGAGGTTGCTCGGGCAGCAACATGCACTGATGCTCTGCTCAACCCGGAATCCAACTCATCCCACTTTAAGCAGCAAATGCACTTCGCTGATCCGCCCAATCATATTTTGGCTTTCCGCACCTTTTACTCAGGTAGTACAGGCTATTCGTGACCGTCTGAAGAACAATGATGTCCGATTTGAGTGAACGCCGTTTCTCCGCGGTTGATTGGTCACTACTTGGGAATAGTACGGTGATGGCTTGGAAGTTGAGCTTGACCTTTTGCGAGAATGGACAAGGAATCGACCCTCGGCTGGCAGTGCTCAAATCTCGTGCAGCTGGTCTGTGAAGATCTGGTAAGAGGCACAGCAAGTATGTTATATGGCGTACGCCAAGTAGGCCTCTCCGTGATCCATCGCAGATACATCGTGCGTTCTGTAATCGGGGAGTATGAGCTACTGTAGTTGCGAGACCCTTTTTCGGTTGTCCGGAATCTGGAAATTCTCATTGGTAGTCTCTGACATGTGTATTACTGCTGTCAAGAGCCATCATGTGCTTCGAGGTTGGCATGCGGTGGTCGGATCGGGGCTAGAAACGCCGTTCTTTGCCGCTACAGAGACGTTCGGTATCTAAGCTGCACGTCCAAGATTTCTCATCCGCTTCTCTTCCGTAACGCCCCTCACTGGGTTGACGGACAAGAGCTGGAAAACTACGCAAGGGCATCGGATCACCGAACAACAACGCCTATTCCGTAGAAGCGTGAATTCTGTTTTTCTCCTACGAAGGATTCGAAGATCCACAGGACGGACGTAGCGGTGAAAGTCGCCAACAGCCGCCACTCTAACCAAAGACGCAAAACTTCACATCGCCAATCTTTTCTTGTGATACCAAGATGGAGTCCGAGATCAGAGCTCAGATCCCTGGAATCGACCCTGTCGTGTCCGAGTATTCCGTTGGATATCTCAACCACGCTTCGCAGGCATACAGCGCGGAAGGCGACCCACTGTCTGATGCCGCTGCTGCTGTGACAGCTCTGCTGCTATCCGCTTCCGGTGACCTGTCTAACCAGAATGAATTGACAATTCAGAACCTGGTTGAGAAGTTTGTCTCCAAACTTTCGGCACAGTCTGGTCTTGATGGTGAAAAGCGCCAGCAGGCACCTTCTGCCAGAAAGTTGGATCAGACTATCCAAGTCGGATCTGCGAGAAACATCTCAACCACTCTTGGCTTGACTGGTGGCGTCAACTTGGAGCATACTGGCAGACAGATCGAGTCTCGTGTTGACAAGAAGAAGCTCGAGAAGGCCGAAAAGAAGCTCCGTGCAAAGCAAGACAGGAAGGAATTCAAGAACGTCGAGTATGAAACCTCTAGACTTTTGGACCAGCCCGACGATGCTGCATCCTACGAAGAATTCTTCATGAAGGTCAACCCTCTGCAACTTGGCTCAGACAACATCGGCAAGAGTAAAGACATCAAGGTTGATGGCATTGATATCACTATTGGTGGCAAGAGAATCTTGAGTGATACCAACTTGACTCTGGCCTTCGGTCGTAGATATGGTCTGGTCGGTCAGAACGGTATTGGTAAATCTACTTTGCTCAGAGCTTTGAGTAAGAGAGAAGTTGCTATTCCCACCCATATTTCCATTCTTCACGTTGAACAAGAGGTGAGTCTTCCCTCCGAGATGTAGTTTGATCCGCGGCTGACCTTTCTAGATTATGGGAGATGACACACCTGCTCTTCAGGCCGTCTTGGACGCCGATGTATGGCGTAAGCATTTGCTGAAGGAGCAAGACAAGATCATCAAGGAGCTGGCCGAGCTGGAGGCTACCAGATCCCAGATGGCAGACACATCGACAGATGCTGCTAAGCTTGATACTCAACGAGAGGGTCTTGACATCACGCTCAGTGACGTCCAATCTAAGCTCGCCGAGATGGACTCTGACAAGGCCGAGTCTCGTGCTGCCAGTATCCTTGCCGGTCTTGGTTTCTCGCATGAGAGACAACAATTCGCCACAAAGACATTCTCTGGTGGTTGGCGTATGAGATTGGCACTTGCACGTGCTCTGTTCTGCGAGCCTGATCTTCTCATGCTCGATGAACCTTCCAACATGTTGGATGTGCCATCGATTACCTTCTTGTCCAACTACCTGCAATCCTACCCTAGCACTCTCTTGGTTGTTTCTCACGACAGAGCCTTCCTCGACGAGGTCGCTACAGACATCATCCACCAACACTCCGAACGTCTCGATTACTACAAGGGCGCCAATTTCCAGTCCTTCTACAACACCAAGGAGGAGAGAAGGAAGACTGCTAAGAGAGAGTACGAGAAGCAAATGGGCGAACGTGCGCATCTGCAAGCCTTCATCGACAAGTTCCGTTACAATGCAGCCAAGTCGTCCGAAGCACAATCGCGTATCAAGAAGTTGGAGAAGATGCCTATCCTGGAAGCACCCGAGAGCGAGTACACGGTCAAGTTCACATTCCCCGACGTGGAGAAGATGTCGCCTCCTATCATTCAAATGACTGGCGTTTCTTTTGGTTACACACCCGACAAGCCGTTGCTCAAGAATGTTGATCTTGACGTTCAACTCGACTCACGTATTGGTATCGTTGGACCCAACGGTGCTGGTAAAACAACAGTGCTCAAGCTTCTCATCGGTGCGCTGCAGCCGACTACTGGTCTCATTTCTCAGAACCCTCGTCTGCGTATCGGCTACTTCGCCCAACATCACGTCGATGCTCTTGATCTGAACACGAGTGCCGTCGGCTTCATGTCCAAGATGTATCCTGGTAAGACTGATGAAGAGTACCGTAGGCACCTTGGTGCCTTCGGTATTACCGGTATGACTGGTCTCCAGAAGATGGAAATTTTGTCCGGAGGTCAAAAATCTCGTGTCGCCTTTGCCATTTTGTCTCTGCAGAACCCTCACATCCTGGTTCTCGATGAGCCTTCTAACCACTTGGATATTGAAGCCATGGACGCCTTGGCAGATGCTCTGAAGAACTTCGGTGGTGGTGTCTTGATGGTTTCGTAAGTTTTTCCCTTCCACCAACCCCCTTCTGACTTTTCCTGTATACTAACCCGCCGCTTTATTCAGTCACGACGTAACCATATTGAGTGCTACGTGTACATCGCTATGGGTCTGCGATCAGGGCGGTGTTGAGCACTTTGACGGTGATGTGAACGATTACAAGCGCAGGATTACAGCCCAGGCCGACGCTGCGGGAGTTGCTACCACACATCACTAGATTTTCCTTGGCAGCAAGGTTATCACTGCTCCTCTACGCTAGTACAGCTTGCAGCAATACATGTCAGATCAGTAGCATCATCTATACAGATGGTAATAGTTCATCGGGCTTAGGGCTATGAAATCTCGCTCTATATAGCCTTTCGACCTAATCCGAATGATATCCTATGTCTGCTATAGCAACAGTTTCCGTGCTATTGACCCATGAACACATGTCATTACAATTAGTAGATATGTCGAGTCTCTGTGGTATACCAAAGCACGGTGCTTCAGCTTCCTTCCGGATTAGGTAACTAGTCGGCTTGTTCCGCGCAGCTCACAGCAGAAAAAATGAGACGCCCAAACGCCAGCGTATGTCGAACATCCCACCACCCTCTTCCGATCTTCTTGCTCTCTCTCATATACTACATTTTTCGGGGTCGGCCAGTCACAGCCCACTCCTGCACAACTGCGACCATTTCCTCCGCACTCGCTCCTCTCTCCTTCCTTTCTCGAGTATCCGCAGCAGGCCCTGCGTTTGCAACTGCTCACTTGCGCATCTGCTCGTTGGTGACCACCAAACCTCACACCTTTACCTTAGTCCGCACCTACGCCAGAGGAAGAATGCCTCCCAAGAAGGTCGTCAAGGAGGAGAAGATCATTTTGGGTCGTCCTGGCAACAACCTGAAGAGTGGTATCGTATGTAGGGATTAGTCTGCCAACGAGGCCACAAAGCTGTTGCTAATAACAACCGCAGGTTGGTCTGGCTAACGTCGGCAAATCCACTCTCTTCCAGGCTATCACCAAATGTTCTCTTGGTAACCCTGCTGTACGTCTCACCACTTTCACCTCAATGCTTCTTCCACTGACTGTCCACAGAACTTCCCCTACGCCACCATTGACCCCGAGGAGTCTCGTGTCATTGTCCCCGATGAGCGTTACGAGTGGCTGTGCGAGCACTACAACCCCAAGTCAAGAGTGCCCGCTCACCAAACCATTTACGACATTGCTGGTCTGACCCGTGGTGCCTCCACTGGTGCCGGTCTTGGTAACGCCTTCTTGTCTCACATCCGTGCCGTCGATGCCATCTTCCAGGTCGTCAGATGTTTCGATGATGCCGAGATTATTCACGTCGAGGGCGATGTCGACCCCGTCCGTGATCTCGAGATTATCAGCGAGGAGCTCCGCATCAAGGATATCGAGTTCGTCGAGAAGGCCCTCGAGAACCTGAAGAAGCAGACCCGCCGTGGTGGTCAGTCTCTTGAGATGAAGAAGCTCAAGGAGGAGGAAGCCACCGTCGAGAAGATTCTTGCCCTCCTTCAGGACGGCAAGGACATTCGTCACCAGCACTGGAGCCCCAAGGAGGTACGTTACTCTGCTTTTGAACCCACCACCACACACCGCTCCCCTTGCAATGATGATCCAACTTTTATACCCAGCTCTCAGAATAACGGTTCATCGGAGAAAGGCTTAACCTGTTGGGATTGGACCCAACAGGGAGCTGGATCCAGAACTCTTTTGCTGTCAAGTCCCTTCTGAAACACACACCAATTTCTACACTTTGTTATTAACCTGATCTCTCGAGTTCATGGCTAACAAAATTCTAACAGGTCGAGGTCATCAACCCTCTCTTCCTTCTGACTGCCAAGCCTGTCGTCTACCTGACCAACCTCAGCGAGAAGGACTACCTTCGCCAGAAGAACAAGCACTTGCCCAAGGTTGTCGAGTGGATCAAGACCAACTCTCCTGGAGAGCCCATCCTTCCCATTTCCATCTCCCTCGAGGAGCGTCTTTCTCGCTTCGAGACCGATGCCGAGGTTGAGGAGGAGTGCAAAAAGATTGGCGGCAAGTCTGCTCTGCCCAAGGCTATCGTTACCATGCGCAAGGCCCTTAACCTTGGCTCCTTCTTCACCACTGGTACCGACGAGGTCCGTCAATGGACTGTCCGTAACGGTACCAAGGCTCCTCAAGCTGCTGGTGTCATTCACGGAGACTTCGAGAAGACCTTCATTCAGTGCATTGTTTACAACTTCAACCTCCTTAAGGAGTTGAAGACCGAAGCCGAGGTCAAGGCCCAAGGAAAGATCATGACCAAGGGCAAGGACTACGTTGTCGAGGACGGAGACATCATCCTCATCAAGGCTGGTGCCGCCAAGGCTTAAAGCATTGAATTGTTGATGCGTCGATGCTGGAATGCTCGTCGTGTATGTATGGATGGATGACGAGTTTGACTGTTATGGTCACTCTCGCAGGCTTCCTGTTTCCCCTTTACTGGTCGACAGTAAAAAGTATCTGACGCTGACTGAACAAGTCGGCGCCGAAGCAGCTTGCTGCGAAGAGTTGATACCCGGCCTTTATGGCCAGCACATATGGACGGGGCAGCTCGATATATGTTGCAGACTCGCCTCATGCCCCGTTAGCACATGTTTGATAATGAAAAGTAAATGACTTTAACATGATGAATACACTTCAAGCTCCTCATCTCAAGAATGTGATGGCGAATGCAAAATGCCTCACGCTATGCTGATTTGTAAGTTGATGACGGATTCTGAGGATTCATCAGCACGCCACATATGCACACGTCTGTATTCGAAAAGTATCCAGCAAGCCCTGAGGTATATGTGAAAAGGCATGCGCGTCCTTCAGCCAGCCCTGCGAGCGGTATGGTTAGATGTTAGAGCTTGGCGGAAGGAAGCAGATTCCGGCGGGCGGTGACGTGTGCGGCGGAGACAGTCACATGTTGAAACAGCCCTCATCGAGGCGGAGGCCTAGGCATGCAAGTCTGAAGTCTGACTTGTAGGTTCACGACGTTTCCGAGCACCCGAGACAGGCTCTGACAGCAGACAACAACACACGACACCAGCGAGAGAGTTGGCCGAATCAGACCTCGTTACACGGCGGCAGCATCTGACCAAGCTCGACGACGAAACTTGTGGGCGCATTCCGCATCCCGCGCATCCGACTCTGCCATGATCCAGCGACGACCGATTGAATGCACCCTCTAAACCCCTTCCTGCGGGCCTTCTTCAGAAGCACCCTCCCCTCGCAGTGTCTGCCCGTAAACCACCACATCCTCCTTGTGCCTACGACGGAATCGCTCTTCCAGGGCCGCGACCGCGAGACAACCGCGCCCTATGCCGACCTTGCCGTGTCAGAAGAATTTCTCTCCAGCCATGTCATTCGCATACCCGGGGGTGTGCCTCCTGGAAGCACCTCGAAAGATGGAGGAAACATTCGAGAATCCAAGAACAAGGCCAAGCAGTATAACACACTCAACGGCAGGACTGTAGTTGTCAAGGATACCTACGTCTACAGTAACAAAGGTTCGCATTGTCGCATACTGTCCGCCCACTCCGCTGACACGACAGCAAAGGCTTCAAGAGCTTGACCCAAGCTCAACTATTGACCGACGCTTTATTTTGCCCCGACATGCCCGAAGCCCAACAATGGCTCGTCTACTACATTTCGAGACCTCTGGTAGGTTCGTACGATTCGGTTCGCATCATACCAGCAACTATCAGGACCGCCGCACAACGCGCCGCAGACAAACCGAAGCCTGCCATTCCCTCGGCCTCGGACGTCAAGAAGAAAGACATTGCTTCGTTTACAGAACTTCTGACCGCATTTCCCTTGATCGCTCGACAGCTGCAGAATGGCCTAGACAGAACTCTCAAGGAATTTGCAGCTCAGTTTGAAGGTCCTGTGCCCAACAAGTCGTCGCGAGCGCCCTCGGTCAGCTCACAAAGATCCGATTACTCTTCTACATCGTTGGAGAATTCACTAGCCTCGCTCAGATCCTCGGTGTCTGGAAGCGATAGCAGTATCCGTCTTTCGTCATTGACCATTGAACCGGAAGAGGACTCTATGCGCTTTGCGCTGGAGAGTGCGACTACAGCGGCTATTGATCTTTTCCAAGGAGTCGACAGGCAGCAACTGTCTCTTCTTGGTGCTACGACCGACCTGTCAGGTCCGGTGGTCGAGCGCATGATTGAACGCCACGTTGCTGAGCAGCTACATGAACAAATCCTCTTCCCTCGAATATGCAACATCCGGCGATCAGAAGACCTCGAGCTCGAACATCGTCTACGGAAAATGGCCAACATCGACATTGCTCAAGTCGGCATACCCATCGAGGACGGTATGAGAGGAAAGCGAGATATGGCGATCCGGATCGATAGGGCTGTAGGTGTTTTCAAGAAGATGGGCGTTGCCAGTAGTCCGCAAGAGATGATCGAAATCCTGCTAGAAACAACAAAGACTGTCACTGCGACCACATCCAACAACACAGACAGGCCAGGGACGCGGCCGGACGGTTCATCGGAGAAACCAAACATAGCCATGGCTATCAATGCAGACGTGCTGGTCTCTATGCTCCTGATCGTTGTTATCAGAAGCTCTGTTCGCTATATGCACGCCAGATTGTCCTACATGAGGCATTTTGTCTTCATCGACGATGTGGACAGTGGAGAGATGGGCTACGTGCTAAGTACTTTTGAAGCTGTACTGGTATATTTATCACGGGACTCAGATGCCCTACGAATTGCTGCGAGGAAGAATGCGCGATTGTGGAAGGCAACGAGAAACGGAAACACATCGGAACTACGGAACATGCTTCAACCTGACGCTCCTTGGATTCCAGGCAATCAGGTTATAGAAGAAGCACCATCGTTCGACGACAGCTTCAGAGATCCGGATGTATCGAGTCTGAGCTCAAGGCTAACAAACGTAAACATTGAACGTCAAAATCAGGCATCGATGGCTGACGGTAACTTTGCTGCCGTGGGTGGATCATTAGCTCACGTTTTCCCCTTCCAAAAACCGCTGACACCTCCGCCGGAAGTCAGTCAACCAAAGCGGAAGCGCGTAACTATGGCCAGTTTCCGTAGTGCCTCTGTATCATCTGGGTATTCATCTCCAACCCGATCCAGATCTAAAAGTATCGATTCTACAGTGAGCACTGCGTCGGCAGGCGATAGCTCCCTCGACAAAATCTCACAATCACAAGGACTTGGTGGGGACTCAATCTTGATGATGGCTATTGAGAATGGGCAGCTTGCATCTCTGGAGTATCTATTAAGCTTGGACCAGTTCTTTCCTATCGAATTCATTCTGGAAGATTGCAACAATGAGGGAGTAACTTTACTGGTCGCTGCTGTCCAGGGCGATGACAAGAACTTGACGAACTCCTTACTCAATCACATTATCCGAAACGCGCCTTCCGATAACACCTTACGATCTTATTTTGTTCGTCAAGACAGCAAAGGAAGAACGTTTGCCCACTACCTTTTCAATCAACCACATCTAATGGAAACGGTTGGAGAGATGCTGCCCTGGCGGCTCAAGGACAAGAATGGCCAAACACCATTATTTGCTCTATGCAGGTCCTATGATCATCAGGAATATCGATGGATGGTCGAAACTGCATTGACTCTTGCCACAGACACCCAACCAGACAAAGAGCCACTTCATCTTGCTGATCACATAGACAACAAAGGCAACACTCTACTACATATCGTCAACGATCCTCATGTAACGGCGTGGCTCCTTCGTCATTGCGACTCAGACGTGAATGCGGCGAATGACAAGCGTTTTACACCGCTGATGATGGCAAGCAAATACGGTAGACTCGACTTGGTTCGAACATTCTTCGGTGACGCTCGAGTGGATCTGCAAATCAAAGACATCCGAGGCTTGACAGCCGTTGAGCTGGCCAAGGATGATGAAGTCAGAAACCGGATTGACGATCTGGTCTTGCTCTCTACGTTGCCTGCAGCGGATGGGAGGATCACTTCTGTTGTCCGGTCGTTCTTCGTTGAGGATGCCACTGTCCGGCTAGTCCTGAAATCTGGGGGACCGAATCCAAACGGAACCATCACAGTTACCACCTGTCGTCGCTCTGTTGCCGACTTTGAGCATCTCGCAAAGTGGCTTTCCATCGAGCAACCCGCATCCTGGATCCCGACACACTTCAACTTGACGTCTCCGTTCTTGATACCATCAAAACCATCGAGAGCTGTGTTACGTGACATACAACTCCGTCTTGATGCATTCTTACAGTGCCTCCTAACACACTCTACTTTCTCTACACATGAGATGGTGTGGGAGTTCTTCCTCGTTCCCGATATAGATCCTGCTATGCTGGCCGAGCGCGCGAAGCACAAGGCAGAGATCCGAGTCGAAAACGTTCGGGACGACTACGATCCAATCACGGATACACGCGAGGTCGAATCCTTTGTATCACATGCTAAAGACCAACTCCGTGGAGTCTCTCATGCGGTCAAGTCTCTTATCAGGCGTACAAATGCTCAACGCATGCTGAACTCCGACTTGTATGATGCGCGTATGCTCAACAATACCGGCGTCGCAACTCTTCAGTTCCTCCCCAAGAAATACCTTACAGCATTCGGCATATACACAAAGGCTCTGACGCCCTCAGAATCAGATCCTCTGGCAAGCTTTTACTATTCTCTACACTCGATTGCAAACTCTTCAACAGCGGTTCTTGTTGCTCTTGGGCGACCAACAAGCCTAATCGGCAGTATGAATCAAGCCAAGAGAAACATTGAACGAGCCATCGGTTCGCTAAGCAGACAGTCTCGCTGGACACCAAATATAGGTCTGTTTGACGAGACACGGCGCTCCATTGCAGCTGAAGCCGAAGAGAAAGCGACAAAGGCTCAAGGCGAGCTTGACTCTCTAGGTAGCGAGCTCCGCTATACACAACAGACTGTGGCTGCTGAGTTGGCTGGTTGGCAAGAACAGCACGTCAACTTCGGCAAGCGTATGTTGAAGGACCTAGCCAAGGGTATGGTTGTGAAAGAAAAGGCTAGGCTTGAGAGCATGAGGAGAGCACTCAGAGAACTGCAGAGATGATGATAAAATATGGGTATACCCACGGTACGTATGCATTTGGTGTTTTTCAAGGACAAAGAATGGTTTCTACTGTACTTTTAGCAGGAACCTCATGCTTCATTCACCTAGGCGGTGGCAGGCCATGTAGCATTAGCAAGGTCTTGGATGCAAGCATTAACGACGATTTGAATTGATCTATCTCATCACAGACTCGATGTAGACTCCGTGCAGATGTGAACTTACTTCCTCCTCATCCAGCCACACATATCGTTCTCTGGACTCATCAAATACTCAACGCACCTCGTTTCGAGGAAGGTACACCTCGTCGCCGAGAGCTCATTACGGGGTAGTTCTTTCCTCTTTGGGTTGAGAAGTGGTGCCTAGGAAGCGTGGACCGCCTCGAAAGACTCGGCATGCTCTCGCCTTCAAACACTTCTCTCGCATCAACAACTTCCTCTCATCATCACACACCTTCATTTCCTTCCTTCTGACACGTTCATTCTACGTGTTTGTTGTCTCTACTTGTCCATTACACTCTTTTTCTACGTGTTTTGACTCACTGCACCCACTTCCGCACTCAATCATGCCTCCTAAGATCGCAAAGAAGGGTACCAACTCTCAGATCAAGCAGGCCATCGCAAACACGCAAGCCGAGCCTACTGCAGAGATCCAAGCCGACGCCGATACTCAAGTCGATGACGATGTTCCTTCCAGCAGTGCCAACAGCAACACTGTCAACGATGCTCTGGATTCCACTGCTGATGGTGCTGCTGCTTCCGCTGTTGACACTACTCATACTTCTGCCGATGAGGCCGAGAACAACAACCCTGCTGGAAAAAAACCTGCCGGCAAGAAAGTCGCTGCCACTACCGGCACCAAGGATGGTGAAGGCAAGAAGAAGCGCCGTCGCAAGACAGACTTCTCGAACTTCTCAATCTACATCTTCAGAGGTTTGATTTTCTATCGGTACCATGGCATCTGCGTGTATCAAATACTGACTTTTGCTCTTGTAGTTCTCAAACAGATTCACGCTGAAAATGGCATTTCGAAGAATGCCATGCAGATCATGAATGACTTTATCAAGGGTAAGTGATATCAACTATGTCTTTACTCAAGGGCATGACTGACATGCAATGCAAGATCTGTTTACTCGTATCGCCGAGCTTGCTTGTGATCTGTGCAAGAAGCTCAAGAAAGCCACCCTCCAGGCTCATGAGATACAGACAGCGTATGTGACGGCCCTTTGTTCCTCCTTGCCCTGTCTACCTCATCCTTGTCCTTTACTCTCGCTCTACACTGTGTTACATACTAGTCTTCTAGATCCATCTTGCTGACTCTTCATTCAACAGTATCAAGCTCATTCTCCCTGGTGGCCTGGCCGATCACGCACAAGGTGAGGGCGCTAAGGCCCTCCGCAACTTCAACAGACACACTCAGCAGGGCCTTCGTTGAAGCTCCTTCCTTTGACCTCCCACAACTGCTCGACAAGCCTACGCTTACGCGTGCAACATACGAGCTACACGATACAATGATGATGATGAATGGCTACCACGATCTATGACGACTACGACGATGACACAAAAGGATGTGCTATTCTCGATTGCTTTCCACTGCAAAATTATAGCTATACATGGATTGATGGGTTCTTCATATTGCTAGGGATATATTGAAGGTGGATGGAGAAGACATGGTATCTTACAACGGCTTTTCTCTTTACTCGAGACATGACGTCTGAAAGACATGATTAGCTCGAAAACGTACAATCAAAGATACGATCTTACTCGCGAAAGAAATTGCATCCTTTCCTTATTGTCGTCGCGCTCTACGCCTATCTCTCTTTTGCATTCTCCATGCGGCTGGCTCCTTTCAATCAAACCCTCCTGACTTCTCTTTGTAAACTGAACCCGCTTCCTTCTACAACTTATCCAGCGTTACAATCTCCCTTCTACATTACAAAATAGAAGAGCAGTATTTAGCATTTCCGATAGGTGATGTAAAAGCGCATTACAAATGCAAAATCATAGCTAATGACTACCGCTGCTGAACTCACCCACTATCACGCATTACTAGACTTGACGTAGATGAACAAGTATGCTAAGTTTTTTATGGTAAGGGTTTTGGAAGCGAAAGCATATTCTACTATATATTCTACTAGGTTAGGTAGAATAGACAATAAGGAGAATAAAGGTGGTAGATAGCAATTGGATTTAGTTGTACAAAAGGGTCAGGGTGATACCACATACAACAGTCTTTAAAGCCATTACCAGTGTGGATGTTACATGGCATGGAATAAGTAGAATATTGGCATATGCCACTGATTTTCAGTAGAATATTCTACCTAGTTAGCATGGAATAGAATCGCCAATTCTAGTAGAATATTCCACTATTCCACCTCTTAATATAGCTAATGTCGATGGTTAGATAGGTAGCAAGCTCGAAGTTGGCGCGTATAGCGCTTAGGCATAGCAGATTTCATGGAAAAGCTCGCTATTACGCGTATTTCGATTAGTAGCATATCTAAGGCCTCTAATTGGCTAGATCTTATCTCGGAGATTAGATCTAGCGCTTTAATTGGTCGACTTAGGCTTTAGCCACGCGATCTCTTACGCGTCCTTTTCGACGCGTATTAATTGCTCCTAATTCATACATTTAACACTCTAACTACTACTCTTCTAACCACTTCTTGCTGCATATTAGAGCTAAGCTCCTAGCTGTTTTCCTGTCTTAGTCAGCATACTACACTATACTTAACTCGACCTTCATATTATATATTTACCTACTAATATACAGTCGCAAAGCCAATTAAACTCTCGAACTCCTTAGGGCTAGCCGCTACGCGCCTCTATATAGAGCACTCTCTTTAAATTCGCCTTTAACACTCTAAAAGAGAAGGCCTTCCTTCTAGTCTAAGGCTTAGTGGATCGCATATATAGTATCTATGTTAAAGGCAGTAGCGTTAAGTCTAACGCTAGCGCCTCTAATGTTAATTAGCCGTTACTTCCTCCTTCGAAGCGATAGCGACTAACACTATTTACCTTAAGTAATGTTATTAATAAGTCTAACGTAACACTAATATAACCTCGTCGGAGGGCTACTTCTACCCGTGGCGACTCTAAAGAGCTCTAGTCTTATACTAGAGCTCGCCGTCATTATAAGCGCGACCGTAAGCGTAAGAAGAAGATCTAGTACTACTTCTATAGTAATAAAGACTGTCCTCGCAACTACTCTACTACTAACTACGACAACATTAGATCGCACTTAATAAATAAACATGGCTAGAGGCAGGCAACTAGTACACTTCTAAGGATTATAGCAAGAGCAACACCCTCTTAGTCTCGTACTATTACTAATATCGACAAAGCTCGCTTAAACAGACGTCTAATTAACTTAATCACCTTAAGCAATATCCCCTTCCGTATCGCCGGCAATAATAAGCTTTATGCTCTACTCGACGAGGTGCTTCTTAGCGCATCTAAGCTCCTAATTAAGACTTATTATACCGTTGCTAAACACGTTAAGAAGGAGTATGACTTCTATTAAGAGCAGCTTAAAGGTCTTCTTACAACATCTCGATCCTTAATCCACTTTACCTATAATGCTTAGACAGCTAACTATAGTAGCCATAAGCTACTTAGTATTACAGCTCGATTCATTACGTCAGATAGTAAGCTAAGTAAGGCACTACTTGCTCTCTATAAGCTACCGTCTGGCTATGCTAGTGCTTAGTATGCCCCTCTCTTCTTCGAGACTATTGTTAAATATGGCATTAAGCAGAAAGTTAGATACATCACTTCTAACAACGCTACCTGTAACGACACTATAATAAGCCACCTTACTACTCTATTTAGCGAGCGCCTTTCTATTAATTGGGACCCTATATAGCATCGAACTCGTTGTTTTGGCTATTAGATTAACCTTGCTAGTTAAGCACTTATGTTAGCAAGCTTAAAAGAAGCTGTTACTACTACGCTTGCCTAAAGTTAAGACCCCTTAGAAGCGATCTTAATGCTTAGTTAAGATGCTAGCCTTGCTAATTACGAAGCTGTCGACTACCTCCGTTAGTTCTTTAAGTGGATTATAAAGTTAGCTCGCCGTCGTCGTAAATTTAAGGTAGCTGCTAGTGTATCTGCTATGCTTAACAATACTATAAGGTGGAATAGCTAGCTATCTATGATCAAGCGAGGGCTTTAATCCCGATTAGCTATACGTACGATTTAGCATGCTTACGAGCATATAGAGCAAACCACCCTCTAGCGGCGTTACTAGCTGTTTCTTAAGCAGCTCGTTAAGTTTATAGAACCACTATAGGAGGTGACGAAGTTATGTAAAGGTGATAATGCTACACTTAATTAAGTACTAATTTCTATGGACTTCTTACGTAAGCATTACGAGAAGTCTGCAACTAAGTATGCTACTTTAAATCCAGTGCTTGCCGCCGCTATACACACTAGCCGATTTGCGCTCGATAAATGGTAAGCTATTAATAGCTACACCCCTGCCTATGCCGCTATACTCCTCCTCCATCTAACTTATCGCGAAGCCTACATTAACAAGTAGTAGCCTTCGTCATGGCGAACACTAGCCATCGCTACTATACGTGCTCTATGGAATGATAAGTATAAGAATAAGACTAAGGCTATGCAAGTAGTGTTATCATCAAAAGAGGAGGAGCCAAATAAGCTTGCTTAATGGAAGGCTTCTTTAAGGCATATAAGCTTAGTTTATATACCCGAGGAGTTCGTCCACTTTACTAAGAGCATGCTAGTGCTTATTAATGACGCTATACAGTAGTGGCTTAAACCGACGCAGCAACTTAACTACCTAAACCTCGCTTAGATGGCTATTAATATCCTCTTAATCAATCTAATGTCTGCTAAGTCAGAGAGGGTGTTTAGTGGCTGTAGAAGGACGCTGTCGTAGGACCGAGCATGTCTCTCTACTGCCAATCTTAGCTACATTAAGTGTCTTAAGAACTGGCAGAAGAACCTCTGCCTCGAGGAGGTTAATCTACCTATTAACGAAGGAGAGGAGGACGGTAAGGAGAACTAGGAGGACTAGGAGGACCAAGAAGGACAGGGTGACACATTAGAAGGACAGGGTCACTATGATGACGACGATGGGGTTGGCATTGGCATTATTCCACTAGATAATTGACATGGAATGGCATGTTAGCTAGAAGTAGTGGCATGGCATGGCATGGAGCCGAAATTCCACCGATTCCATGTAACATCCGCTCTGGCCATTACCAAAGCTTCCTTTGATTTTCACGAACAAATGTTGTTAGTTTTGGTACCGCTTTGCTTGACTTGAAGAGTGAAAAGCTCTTCTAATATCAATCATGCGAGTGACCCCAGTCAAAAATTGGAGTCGCAAGTTGGGGTCGTTAAGCGCTGTTGGGGTCGCACTTCTAGACGAAAGAACTTTGAGAGGTCAAAAAAGTAGAAAGTGATAAACATGTATTCATTAGGTTCAATGGTGATGCCCAAACAAAAAAGACGATGAACTCCTTCGCTGGTCGTAAAGTAACAAATGCTCGCCAGACCCCAGCGCCGAGGGTCGGCACCCTTTTTTTGCGGACGTGATCAACTCAAAACGTTCTCGTGTCCTGCTGTCGCGCCACGAACATCCTGTTCAGTGGCATCTATGTCCAACAACCTTGGCCTAACCCGGCCAATGTATATGCAATTGCCCTAGAAGGGCAAAACGATCAAATGACTTTTGGTGTGACAATGGCCGTTTAAAGCTTGGAAAGGTGGGAAGCAAGCTCCTTGACCTCATCCTGGACCTTCTTGCCCTCGGCGAAGGGGTCGTACATGCGCTTCTGGACGTACTCGGTCAAGGCCTTGTCGTCCATGTTGCGGAGACCGAGCTCGCGGTCAACGCCAGCCTTCTGGGCAGCGCGGATGACACCGCAGGTAACGACAACGCTGACCTCGCGGATGCGGCGGATGTCAGGGTACATCCAGTTCTTCTCGATCTCCTCGGGGAGAAGAGACTCCGAGAGGGCCTTACCAGAGGCGTAGATCATGGACTGAGTGACGTTGACAGCCTTGGACAGGATGGCACCGAGTCCAATGCCGGGGAAGACGTACATGTTGTTACCTTGGCCGGGCTCAAGAGTCTGACCGTTGTACTCAAGAGCAGGGAAGGGCGAGCCAGAAGCGAAGAGGACACGGCCCTCAGTGTACTTGATGGCGTCCTCGAAGGTGCACTCAGACTTGCTGCTGGGGTTGGACAGAGGGAAGATGACGGGCATCTTGTTCAACTCAGCCATACGCTTGATGATCTCAGGAGTGAAAGCACCGCCGATGGTGGAGAGACCCATAAGAATGGTGGGCTTAACGTACTCGATGACGTCCTCGAGGGTCTTGTACTGCTGGCCCTCGTTGTCGTCACGAGAGAAGTAGAGCTTGTGCTCGGCAAGCTTGTCGCCACGGTCGTTGGTGATGAGACCCTTGGAGTCGACCAACCAGAAGCACTTTCTGGCTCGGTCCTCGGTGAGACCCTCGTTCATGAAGAACTCGACGAGCTGCTTGGCAACACCAACACCGGCAGAGCCAGCACCGAAGAAGACAGCACGCTGGTCAGCGGCGGCAACCTTGGACTGCTTGACACCGTTGATGAAGCCACCGAGGATGACAGCACCGGTGCCCTGGATGTCGTCGTTGAACATGGTGTAGGTGTTCTGGTAGCGCTCGAGCGAAGGGAAGGGGTTCTTGAAGTCCTCGTACTGGATGACGATGCCGGGCCAGCGCTCGGTGAGGGCAGCCATGAGCTCGTCAAGGAACTCACGCTCCTCATCGGCGGTGACCTTGTCGCGTCTGCTGCCCATGTAGAGAGGGTCGTTGCGGAGCTGCTCGTTGCTGGTGCCCAAGTCGAGGGTCAGGGGGAGAGTAGCATCGGGTCTGATACCAGCGCAGGCAGTGTAGAGAGCAAGCTTGCCGACAGGGATACCCATGCCGTTGATACCAAGGTCACCAAGACCAAGGATACGAGAGCCGTCAGTGACGACGGTGATCTCGACGTTGTGGGGCCAGTTCTGGATGATGGAGTGGAGGTTGCCCTTGTCCGAGAAGGAGAGGTACATGCCTGGAATGAGTCAGAAAGGAGCAATTGCATTGGACAGACAGGAGGGCGTACCTTCGGGCTGGGTGTAGAGTTCTGACCATCTCTGGCAGGCCTCACCGACGGTGGGAGTGTAGATGACGGGAGTGATCTCCTTGACGTTGCCGGACAAGAGACGGTAGAAGAGGTTGACGTTTGTGTTTCTCAGGTGGGTGAGGTATTGGTACTTGTCAATGGGATTTTGCTTGTTCTCGAGGAGCTGGAGGCATCTCTTTTCTTGTGTCTCGAAGCTCTCGACGGCGGGAGGAGTCAGGCCGTATGTGCGGAGGTACTTGCGGACCTCGATGGGGTATGCGGTGTCGTAGTCGGCGCTTCTGAGGAAGGATCAGAGTCAGGGACGCTTCAATGGCTGGTAGAGAGGAAGCTACTCACGATTGCCTTGATGAGACAGCAGGAGGGTTGCTTTGAACGATGTTTGCTGCGGGAGCAGGGGCGATTGATGCTGAGGAAGACATGGTGGATGAAGTGTGAAAGAAGGCAGGTGCTCGTCGGGCAGAGGTCGAGGCAAGAGGGCGTTTAAGTAGGTAGGAGAGCACGCGAGACGAGGATAGAGACATAGAGAAAGAATTCAGGCTAAAGCAGCCAGCGGTCAGCAATTTATAATCTCTGCTGAAACTGAAGAAAAGGTCGCCATATGTCGGAAGAGGGGTGCTTCGGCATATGAGGCCCTACGAAAACGCGAGCCTCACAGCACGTCGGACAGTTGCATTCTAGACAATAAAGCTCCGCCAAAAGTATACCATCCCACATCGGCACCCCACACAACTTCTTTCGGCCCGGTCGCGACTGCCCTACCGAGAGCCCAGCTTGATCTCCTTCCCAAATCGCCCAGCAACCGCCTCATTCGAATTCTCGTCCGCGACTTCTATTCAAGTTTATGAATGGTTTTGGACACTTTGTTTTGATCAGTCTTCTGTCTCGATTCAAAAATCGACATGTTACGCGTGTTAATTGCCGCTATCTGTTTTCCGAAGTTGCAAAGCCGTGCGCAACCGTAGCAGCAACCCCCACGCCTCCGATTTTTTCCGCTGGCGGTGCAGTCACTGCATTGTGCGCTGACCGATAATTTGATCCATCTCCGTTCTTCGGTCGCTTCGGTCGGCCTTCTCGCCATGTATTCACGTGACCTGTTTTCCCCTGATCTCCGTCATCCAGTCCATCTTCGAAGTTTATACTTGCTGCCTCGGTCGGCGCTCGCGAACCAAGAATGCCATCGCGAAGCGCCATGTTCCAGTTGGCCATGCTGAGCAAACCATTCCAGCCGTTGCAGGTTGGCATCCTTTAAGCTCTGCCGCTGTGTTCACGCAAGCCTGTTCTCACATGCTTTCCCCGCAATGACGACGAGGTCATGACGACTTTTATACGTTGTTTGCGCTCACGCTTCGCAGCTGCCTGCCGCTTGCTACTCAATACAATCTCTCATAGTCTTGACCTGTCCACTCTCAATTGATCAAACTCCATACCTTGCAATCAACTCCCTTCCGGTCATCCCTGCAGTCACCATGTCGTCCTGCCTTGGGTTCCGCAAGTCAAAGTCTGACGATACAGAGCCCTTGCTGCCAGTGTATCGCGATGACACGGTCCTCCAGCGTGAGCTTCACCAGAAGCTGCACTCGTATCAGATGGTCAGAGCTCTGGCTGATGGATACATGCCCTCAAACGAACAGCTCGTTATCAACCTCCGATCTCTGCTCTCCTCAGATGTTTTGAACCCTAGCGACCCAAACCTCAGTGACTCGGGAAGACGTCTGGCCAAGTTCTCGAAACAGTGGCTCAAGGATTTCATCGAGTTGCTCGTACACAAGAACAGCGAAGATCAGATCCAGGACTTCATCTGGTCATTGACGCAATCCAGAGTGAAGGTTGATGTTGAGGACCTCGCACAGAGAGCCTACAAGGCCCAATCAAAAGCCAAGACCGCTGCTGGTGAGTAACACTACAAGTGAATGCGTATACAAGTCATGCTGACACCGCATAGCTTACCAAAGCTTGCAAACCGTTGGATCCCTCCTTCTTACCAACTCCGATTTCCGCATCTTCCTCTCAGATTTGAACACTGTCGGCCGTGAGGTCTTCAAGGATGCTGCCTTCTCGTTGTCAAACGTCGCAGAAGAAGCAGGCAAGAAGATTGAGCCATCCCAACAAGAACAAGCCAAATTGACCAAGCCGGGTGCCGACTCCGGACCCCCACCCTCAGGCAAGGATCTTGGAAACGACGTTGCAGATGTCACCAAGGTTGTAGCCAATGGAGTTGCTCAGGTCGCTCAAGACACGGAGCAAAGCGCCGAGGAGAAGCTTTCTGGTGATGAAGGTCAGGTCATGATGAACCGCTTGAAGCAGGCAGTCACGCAACTCAGAAAACGTCCTGATTATAACGAATCCGTCTCGACTATCTCGACTCTGCTCAAGCGTTATGCTGTTGCTTACTCGCGTTCGGTCGAAGAGACTGTCGTTGCTCTTGAAGAGGATGTTCACGAGAATGCCGCTATGGACAAGGCCGGAAAGAACTTCTGGTCCTTGCTCTCGTCTTTCGGTGACCCCGAGGCCTGGAAGAAGCTTGAGGAAACATTCAAGAAGGTCGTTTCGCACTCTGAGAAGGATCCCGACTTCGAGAACCTCATGAACGACATCGGAAATTCACTCCAGACTCTTCTCACCGACCCTAACTTCTTCGACACCGCTCGTGAGAAGTTTGATGAGCTGCGTGAAAAGTCTCGCAAAGTTGGCTCAGAGTCTGATCTTCGTACCGATATCGACAACTTCCTTGGACAGCTCCAGGAGACCTTGGTCTCGGTTCTGAACGACGAAGACGTGGCCAAACTCATGCAGCACAGTCTCAAAATCTTCCGTATCCTGTCGCCTCTGCACAACACTTCGAACCCAGAGCTCATCCATGATGCCATCAACATCTTCATTCCTTTGATGATTGCCGCTATCCAATACATTCCCATCCCTCGTCTGGAGATCAGCAATCCCGATATTGATCTCTTGCTCGAAAACCTTATCATCGAACCTGGTAGGACGGTCAATCACTCCTCTTTCTTGCCTTACAAGCTCCGTGTAGAGACCTACAACGACTTTGAAATCCGCAAGGCCAGATTCCGTACCACCTCTACCTCTTCTCACTTTGTGACTATCAAGATTGACGGTATCTCTGCTCGCGCTGAGGAAGTTGGCTTCTGGATGCGCGCCCACTCTGGTCTGTTCAGACTGGCGGACGAGGGTATCACATCGTTCGCTCTCGACGAGAAGGGTCTGGACATTCACCTTGACGTGGAGATTGCCAAGGACAGAATGGAGTCGATGCTCAGTCTCAAGGCTGTTCGTGTCAATGTTCACAAGCTCGACTACACCTTGCGCAAGAGCAAGTTCTCCTGGCTCGCGTGGCTCGTCAAGCCTATCCTCCGCCCTATCGTGCGAAAGGTCATGGAGAAGCAGATCGCTACTGCTATCGCAGACGCTCTGCACACAGCCAACCGCGAACTGCTCTACGCACGCGAGCGCCTGCGTGCCACTCGTATTGCCGATCCCAACGACCTCGTCACCTTCTTCAAGGCTATCGCTGCACGCCTGCAACCCGAGGAGGACCCAGACCTCTACACTCGCGTTGGTGTTGCTCAGCCTGGCAAGGGAGTCTTCAAGGGCAAGTACGCACCCGGAAGTGTCGTCAAGCTTTGGAACGAAGAGGCCGCCCATGCCGAGGAGAGAATCGAGGATGGATCCGAAGTCAGGGGTTGGAGAAACGATGTCTTCAGCTTGTTGGCTGTTTAGATCGTTGACGCGCGACACTGATGACTTATAAAGGGCATGCTTTCGGATGAGACGGAAAGTTCGAACGCAATCAGGAAAAATGAGCCACGAGAATCAACAGGACGAACTTTATTGTAATTCGGAGTATATGGTGGTAGTCAATAGCAAGCACAATTGTCATAGCATTTCTTATCACTTGATTTCGTTCATTGTTGGTCTGAATGTCACTGTAAGGCAGCAATCTATCTATGCGACGACGTCATCGTGAACAGTTTTGGTGGCTGGTAAGCAAGCCTCAATTATTTTTACGACTTTGATTGAGAAACTTCTTACATGCGAATTGTCTCTCCGGACAAGACAGAGGATCCTCGCTGAGAACTGAATCGACCACTCGACATTTTGTTTACACGAACATTCCGCAACCACCATGGCGTTGAATACACCCAACGCCGAGCACCTCCACGGCTTGGTGGATATGGGAAGGTAATGCTATCTCTACTTTTCTTTCCCTCTCACTGTCACATTAAAACACCAAAAGATCAAACCATCAAACCATCAAAACAAAATCTAAAGAACTCGAGAAACTTTAAGAACCACTCGCATGCCTTTGACGAGAGGGACAACCAGCAACCTAACACTCAAACTAACAATTCATCAATCACAGCAACGGCATCCGCTTCTCCATCACCGACCTCTCACCACCAACCACCAGGATCTTGCCTACGCTCTATACCTCCCGTGCTGGCATTTCTCTTTACGATGCACAATACTCGTCCACTGGATCTCGTATACCCATCCCTGACTCAACAATCAACAAAGTGATTGATAAACTTATCCACTTCAAACGCACCTGCTCCGACTTTGATGTTCCTGAAAGCAACATCACAGTGTTGGCTACAGAAGCCACACGCACTGCTCTAAACTCTGAAGAGTTCAGAGGAAGGGTGAAACAGGAGACTGGATGGGAAGTGCAAATGCTGAAAAAAGAAGATGAAGGTAGAGTGGGTGCTTTGGGTGTCGCTACCTCTTTGGGAGAAGTCAAAGGTTTAGTCATGGATCTCGGGGGTGGGAGCACGCAGCTGACTTGGTTGGTGAGTGATACTGAGACTGGTGAAGTCAAGATGCCAGAGCAAGGGGCAGTGAGTATGCCTTTTGGCGCTGCTGCACTATCCAGACGCCTTGAAGAGGCTGAGAAGAGAGGGGCAGATGCGAAGAAGGCGCTGGCAGGAGAAATCAAGCAAGCCATCACCAATGCATACCAAAGCTTGAGTATACCCAAGGAGCTCCAGGATCTGGCTAAACAACAAGGTGGATATGCTTTGTACCTCTCTGGTGGAGGATTCAGAGGCTGGGGCTTTGTGCTGATGAGCCAACATGCCATATCTCCCTACCCAATCTCTCTCATCAATGGCTTTTGCGCTTCTCGACGCTCTTTCTTGGATACCGACCTCGTCACCAATGCAGCAACCTCCCACCTCGACTCCGAAGACGAAACAGCCATTTTCCGCATTTCGCAACGCAGAGCTACTCAAGTGCCCGCCGTAGCTTTCCTCGTCACTGCGCTTTCGGAAGCTCTACCTCACATCAATGAAGTCAGATTCTGTCAAGGCGGTGTGAGAGAAGGCTTCCTCTTCTCCAGCCTCCCCTCTGAAACACGCAAGCAATCGCCAGTAGTCGTAGCCACTGCCGCTCACGCAACACCCGGATCTCCCCACCATGCTGCTCTACTTGCTTCTGCCATCCCTCCTGCCACTCTACCCAGCACAGGCCTTTCCATCCCTCTCATAACCGCACTCGCAAATCTTTCTCCGCATTATTCATCGCATCCTAAGGACATCCGCGCTGCGGCTGCGCTGAGATCCACAACCACCGGTCTTTTGGCTTCTTGCCATGGTCTCTCGCATCACGAACGCACTTGTTTGGCTCTGCTGCTTTGTCACCGTTGGGGAGGAGCTAAAGACCTTGCTGCCACCGACGCCTCCTTCTTCTCCTCCCTCCAATCTCTCCTCAGTCCTAGCACGGCATGGTGGTGTCGTTATCTCGGTTGCGTGGCTGCTCTGATCGGTGCCGTGTATCCGTCTGGCAGAGGAGACGAGAGCATGACTTTGAGCGCTACGTGGAGTTTTTCAAAGAAAAAGGGAGAGAGAATGATGGTGTTGAAGACGAGTGATGGAAAAGGAGCTTCGTTGCGCTCAGTGGTAGAGGAGGAAGCAGAGAAAGTGGAAAAGGTTGGCAAGAAGAAGAATTGGATCGGTGGCAAAGAAGGCGGCGTTGGGTTCAAAGTGGAGGTGCTGTGATTCTGGACCCAAAACCCATGAACCAGAAATCGAACATGGGAATACAGGAAGGATGAGGTGTATAGAGGTATTGAAAAGATACAGATGCTGAGGCCTCGAGGCTCTTATTGAAAAGAGCAAGTTGACCAGAGGCGCAGATGGTCATAAACATTCCCTCATTGTCTGCAAAACTGCACATTGCTTTTGCTGGCGACTTGAGCAGCCACACAGAGAACAACAACGGCGGTCATTGTGAGTCTTTACACTTGTTGCATGACTCTGAAGATCAGAATATCATTAAACACGGGCCTTGGAAGCCAAAGCAAGAAAACGTACAAAACAAAAAGCAAGCAAATGATCAAGACCACGCCCTTTCGGTTCAAGGACGCCATAAAAGAGGTTGCATTACGCCTGTTTTGCAAAATAGGCTGAACGCCATCTTTCTCGTCTCCTCCAGCTTCTCTCCCATTCTAGCAATGAAACAGCAACTTCCGCAGTCTTTTTCACACTGATCGATCCCATCACTCATAGTCGGCCTCCTCGTGCTCAGACTCAGGCACTTCAGGCTCTCCCTGCTCCTCAACATCTTCATCTTCCTCCTGCTCTCCAGTATATCCATTACCATTACCATTGTTCAACTCCATCTCCTGCTCAGCAGCACCGGCATGCGCAACAGCCTCCGCCATCTCGGCATCAATCTGCTGCTCAACTCCCAATGAGGGCATGGTCAACTCGCCCTCGTCATCAGACTCCTGCACCTTCTCCTCACTACGGAAGGTACCCGTGCTTCTCCTGCCGCCTTGCGAAGGCCTGTGCTTGGGCGCCGAACGCACGGCAAGTGCTTCGGCCGAGAAACTGTTTTCGAGCCAATCGACCTGGGCTTCGAGATTGGTCTTGAAGTCCTGGAGGTCACCAACGCTGTCTTTGAGTCTCCTGTACACGACTTTGCGGTCCGCGGTTGTCCAGGGGGAGCCACCGTGCAAGCGCGTCACCACAGCCCAAAAGGTGTTTTTGGATGAGAAAGCGCCCATTTGTGCACCGTAGAGGGTTTCACGGGTGACATCTAGCATGTCGCCGACAGTCATTTCGTCAAAGCGGCGCTGAGCTTCGGCTTTCCAGCGTGTGGTGGTGTGAGGGGAGGTCATGCCATCACTGTGCATATCCTCCTCATCACGGACGATTTCTCCCCTTTCGATGGCGGCAGCGCGTTCGCGTTGGGCGGCTTCTTCACGAAGGACGCGGGCTTTTATTTTGCGCCATTTCATGCTGCATTGGAGGCGGTTGCGGGAGCCGTTCATCTTTTGCACGACCACATTCCAGGCGATGAAGTCGTCTTCTTGGTCGCGGTCGAAGGTTGTTTCCATGTTTGCTTGGACGGCGCGCAGGCACTCGCTCACCGCGGCAGCCAGGCGGTGCTCTTCGTCTTGAGTCCAGACATCAGTGTGGCGCTGGTCGAGCGAGACGTGGTTGCGCCAGCGATCGCGGCAGTCCTCTGGCATGCGGCCTACGCGTTCGCCAATCTTGACCCATTTGTTGGGAGTTTCGGCGTATGCGGTACGCAGCAGCTCGTCTTGCTCATCGGTCCAGCGTCCACGTTGAAAGTTGTTGTAGTGGCGGCGGCAGTAACGCTGAACGGCGCGGCGGTTGCGGTGAGGTAGGACTTCGGTAGCGAGGTCGACGTAGACTTTGCTCATTTCGCGTGATGATGCTTGGATCATGGCAATGAGTTGATCGCGCGACAGTTCATTGTGACGACAGAAGTCGACCATGTGAGATTCGATCAGGTCACATTCGACGGGCGTGAAAGGACCCTGTTCAGGGTAGTCGCCAACAGATGATCGTGGCATTGAAGAACGCTTGACGCGCTTGACTGCTGGCGCAGGCGAGCCATTCTCGACCGACTGTCTCTTGCGTTTCGTCTTGGGCTTTGCCGAAGATGATTGGGGCTGCTCCTCGTCGTCGTTGTCCGAGTCCGCGGGAACTTCGAATTGGCTGACGTCGCCTTCGGTGTTGTCCAGAGGATCCTCGGGTTCTGCGTCCAAAGCTCCAGCCTCAGCCTCGGGTTCGTCTTCAGCGGCATCCTCAGGCAATTGCTCGGGCTCGGCTGCGGGGTCCTCGAGGTTCTCGTCGACTTGCTCTTGTGCGGGCTCCTGTGTCTCGGGTACTTCGACCCCCTGTTCTTCCTCAGGCTGGATAGACTGCTTCTTCGAGCGACGCTTGCGGGTTTTGGCGGGCTTCTCAGCAGGCTCCTCGACGGCGGCGTCCTCGGCCATGGCTTCTTCATCGGCAGATGCGGCAGGATCGGCCTTGCGCTTGCGAGTCTTTCTAGCAGCCTTTGCTTGGACAGGGGTCGTCTCGTCAATGGTTTGCGGAATGTCTGGTCGGGCAGGAGTGTGCTGCTCTCCAATCTCCTCGGAAGCTGCGCGAATGCGCGCGCTGCTCCTCATTGGCTTGGAGGCCGAGCTGGCGCGTTGTTTGGCGTAAGTCTTCAGCTTGCCAGCCTTAGTCTTAGTAGTGCTTGGTGTTTGGACGGCGGCCGTATCGGCTTGGGGAGACTCCATGTTGAGGGTAGTTGTGATCACTGTGACGCGTCGTTAGTTGAGCAAGGCGCGCTATGGCTAGCGACTGAAGGCGGTGCAAAAGTACCTCGGTCGGCTTCTCTAGGTGGGCTCGAGGAAGGACTCTGCGGTTCGACGGCAGTGTGTTGAGTTCCTAACTGCGACGATGTATTTCCCATGGAAGAAATAAATGTGGCAGTCGCGTTTGCTCGGAAAACCCTGTCCTCCCCCAACTCCTCGCTTCGACTTGCCCCAATCCTCGAGTCTATCCCCGCGCTTACGCTTGCTATTTCCGACACCAATCATCTTCCCTTCTATCTTGCTTATAAACATTGGACAGACATTTTTGTATGCAACAGCCATAATTCTCGCTTTACAATTCATTCATTCCATCAAATGCTATCTAGCCACGCTCAATGCTCCATACCATGCATAATCGTTAAACACTTCAAGCCATAATCCCATATCCCCAAAGAGAAGCTTCCGCCAACTAGTGGCTGATGTACTGGAACACAGCACTGACTGCATCCTCTGAACACTCCTGCCTGAGCAGTAGATCTTGAATCTTGCCCATTGGTCCGTTCTCGCCTTCGTTCGTAAAGTGATTCCATGTGCTGGTGTCACCGTAAAGCATTGCAGGCGCCTTGATGAACTGCCTGCCTTCCTTGCATCGCTTACACTTGATCGTGTCGTGTGTGTCACTTGTCGTGTCGGGTCTGTATTGGAAGAGCTCACGCAGACTGTCCAGCGAGAAATGGCGTTCCACGTCTTCTGCCGAATCCACGACACATGATGACAAAGACTGCTTGTGAGATTGTCTCTGGAAGATCTTCTCTTCGATCGTTCCAGTGGCAATGAAGCGGTAAACGAAGCAGTCCTTCTTCTGTCCGTCACGCCAGACACGCGCAAGTGCTTGCTGATCTGCTGCTGGGTTCCAATCAGGATCGAACAACACAAGTCGGTTGGCACCAATCAAGTTGAGACCACATCCACCTGCCTTCGAAGACAGGAGGAAGACAAATTCGTTGCCTTCAGGGTCGTTGAACTTGTCTACTAGCTTTGCACGCTTGTTGACTGTCATAGTACCGTCAAGTCTCAGACTGCCGTAATTTCTGGCACGACAGAGCTTCTCGAAGACATCGAGAGTCTGAGTGTAGTTCGAGATCAAGACAATCTTGTCGTTGGTCTCGGTTCTGATGCGAGCAAGCATACGATCGAGCACTTGCATTTTACCAGAGTACCATGACTTAACATCTCTGTCACGACCACGAGCATCCTTGGGCACAAAGTCTGCAGGGAATGTGTTTTCACAACCAGGCAAGTCTTCCGGAAGATTTAGCAGATCGGGATGATTGCACAGTTTCTTGAGCAAGCCAATGGCCTTGAGAGGTTGACTGCCTTTGCCCTTCAATAGACTCTTGATGTCGGGAGACTGCAAGAAATGGTTGTATAGATCCTTCTGGAAAGGTGCCATATTGCAGAAGACGACATGCTCGTACTTGACTGGCAGATACTTGGACAAGATGTCGTTGGTACGGCGGATGATGAACTTGTTGACCAACGTCAAGAGCTCGCTCAACCGTTCGTCACCCTTCTTGCGGTCGGCGTCAGAACCACCTGCATCGCGACCACGCAAAATGGGAAGTTCGAACTTCTTTCGGAAGTCCATTCTCGTACCAAGGTAATTGGGATTTGCAAAGTTGAGCAGCGAGAAGTATTCAGTGAGATCGTTCTGAATGGGCGTGCCGGACAAGATGACGCGCTTCTGTACGTTGAGTCCATTCAAAGCCATGAAAGTCTGACTGTCGGCATTCTTCAACTTGTGGCCTTCGTCACAGAGCAAGAGTCCAATGGGCGTTTCTCTAAACTCGTCCACGTAGAGTCGCAGTGTGTCGTAAGATACAATGATGACAGGACGGATGATGGCGCGACCTGAAGCAATCGACCATTGACGAATTTGCTGTATTAGCTCTTCCTTGGTAGCTTTGCCATCGATAGCAAAAGGGTTGATGGCATCTTTGCCCAACCATTTGACCAACTCGTTGGCCCAGTTGCGGACCAAACTCGAGGGACAAACGATAATGGCCTTGTTGATTGTCGGCTTGCCAGCATCTGGCGATTGCTTCAAAAGAGTCCACATGAGGGCGATACATTGTAACGTTTTGCCGAGCCCCATCTCGTCAGCCATGATGCATCCTTGAGCCTTCTCGTCGATGAGTCCAGTAGTAGCACGATATAAGAACTGTGAATAGAGTTAGTGTCCAGCCAAAGGGCATAATATTGAAAAGCATACCTTGACACCCTCAACTTGATGAGGACGTAACACTTTGGCCAGTCTTGGGTCGATGACAACAGGTACGCGAGGACGCTCTTCGACAACCTTTTTCTTCAAGCCTAGGATTTCCGCCAAACTCTTGTGCATGATCGGTTCGTCAACCTTCTCCTTGGGCTCTTCTGGTTTTGCCTCAGACCCATCTTCTGTCACTTTTACAGGTTTGTCGTCGACTGTGGGATCGTAGAGAACGATGGCAAACTCCCCGCTGGGATCGTGAAGTGGTTTGGCAACGAAGACTGCACCCTGTCGTAGACCAAGGAGAGGTGGCGGGCGAGACGAATTGTATGCGGCGGGATCTTTGTTAAGGAAGGGCACCGAGAAGCGTGCTCGCATCGACTGGTCTTTGTCTTTAGGTTTGAATACGGGAAAACGGTTCACATCTCGAGTTGCAAGGGCAAGTCGGTCCTCGTTGCTGTAGGGCTTGTCGGCATCATCTGCTTCGCCATCGGCACCAGAGTAATTGACCTTTCGTCGCTTGCGAGTTGGTTTCTCCGAGGCTCTTGTAGGTGTTGCTGATCCAGGGCATTTGAAAGGCTTCATCAATCGGTCGGCGGTGATAGGGGTGCCACCATACATGCGAGCACGCTTTTGGGTGGGCAGTGGCGTCGGAGCGACATTCTCTTTCTCAATGACGGTGATCCTGCAAAGCATTGTCAGGACGGTTCAATTGAAGGTATCAAAAAGGAGAAACGTACATTATGAATGGCTGTTATCTGGTCTGGTCGCCACTTACCGTCGTCGAGGAATGGTCGGGGTTTTGTCAAAAGAATGAGCATCAGGGTGCCTGGAGAACGTGTCAGGGTGGCGTTGCACACGCGCGCAACCCCGTGACCGAGGCAGTTGCAGATATTGAGGCAGGCGCGACCATCAGATACCCAAATGATACAGACAAATCGTTTTCCGAATATATTGCATATTACCATGATCATAACATCATATCACGGCGGATGTTCTAAATTTGACGCTGTTAAGCACCCACTATCAGATCCAACTGGTTCCAGCATCCTCATGCACCGTGATGGCCGCCTATCGAGAGACGGAGGGCATGATTAGCCGGCCGCAGCACTCGGAAGGAGCTTCCCCCAGGTGCAAACAAGGCAAACAACCATCTTGTAATGACATGTGGCTATACTCTTGTTTCGAAGAGGCCCTACAACTCACGGGCAGATGCCGAGCGTGTCTTCGTTAGACCAGACTTCTTGATTGCTTGTAACTGGTTCGCAGTGCTTCTCAAGCAGACGATTCGTGAAAGAGTGTCAGATTGGTCGTCCCTCTAGTGAACGTCTTGAACACTAAACTTTCCAACTAAACGGCATTCCACTTAGCACCCATTGCTTCGTAACCAGAAAAAAAGAATGGTGCGATATCAGCACCTGGCAGTCAAGACTGCCTTATTCCTTGGACTGCAAGTGTTCGGCACCACTGCAGCTCCTTCTGTGAACGTAGGGCTAAAAACTTCGTTCAATTCGGCTCCCTATCTAGTAGAACTATTGTAAGTCACCTAGGCAAGCAAGCTAGCTAGACCATAGCTAACTCGGAACAGAGAGACAGCTGCCGATGAAAATGCCACCGCTTACTTCCCATTGCTCGACCACATCGCTGAAGGACGCTTCGACCATGCCTCGACAGACCGAGACCTGTACTACCTATTCAAAAAGACGCTACAAGAAGAAGGACACCTCTCCAAGGCAGAAGACATTTCTTCGTTTGAATACGCTTTGTCTATACATGCCGCTGCACCTAGGATTGAGGCACACTATCAGTTCTACAACACTACAATAGAACCTACACTCAAGAGCCGGTTGGATTTGAACTGCGAGACATTGTTACACTTCAATGGCCAACAGTACTGTGATGCCGACTTGTCAAGCTCAACAGCAAACTCGGTGGACCAAGAGTGCGTCTCAAACTCCATGTTCGCATACTTGTCAGGATGCTGACCTTCTCTAGACGCATACTAGACCTTCCCTTTGATCGCATCATGGGCGACAAGCAGAGCAAGACACCTGCTATCCTCTACGCAGACCTCATGTCTCCTTCTTTCCGCCAGTTCCACAAGACGGTCCGTCAGACTGCCAAGTCTGGAAAGACATCATACAGAGTGAGATACAGACCCTCTTTAAGCATTCCAGGCTTTCCTCTTGCTGTCAGTGGTTACGGCATAGCGCTCGATCTGAAGAGGACCGATTACATTGTCATTGATGACCGCAAGGCCGATGAATCGGACGATACGAACAACGATGCTTCTAGTGCCAAGTTGACAGACGAGGACGTGGCCGATCTCAAGCCACTATCCTCCAAAGAGTTGCTGAGGTTGGACATGAAAGCGTCCAGCTTCGTCATGGACAGTGCGGATCCATTCAATACCTTGCTGAAACTGATTCAAGACTTCCCAAAGCACTCTGCAGCCATGTCTAACCACGAAGTATCTGAGGCATTTAGAAAAGAGCACTTGGCCAACCGTGAGGTGTTTTTGCCATCGGGGTACAACGTCATTTGGATCAACGGTCTCCAGATTCTGGCTCGTGACTTTGATGCTTATGCTATGCTCGAGCATTTGCGCCGTGAGCGTAAGTTAGTCAACAGTGCTGGCGAGCTTGGCTTGAGTGGGAAAGAAGCTGTGCGACTCCTCTCACACTCCTCGATTTCGGAAGCTGCCTCAGCTCAAGAGCCACAGCGCTACGACTGGAGAGACGAGCTTGAAGGTGGTAAAGTAATCATTTGGATGAACGACATCGAGAATGACAGACGTTATGCTGAGTGGCCAACCCAAGTTAGAGCAGTAAGTCGTAATCTCAATCACTACACGATCGTCACTAACGTTCAAAGCTGTTGCAACGAACATACCCTGGACAACTTCCTCCAGTTCGCAAAGAGATTCATAATCTTATTCTTCCAATCGACTTTGCCAATTACAAGGACGTGGAGTTGGTCGTTGAAAGCTTGCAAAGCTTCGTGAAGAGAAAGGTCCCGATTCGATTTGGTCTCGTGCCCAAAGTATCTGGTCCTGCATCCACCGAACAAGCAAAGGCGGTTTACCACTTGCTCGACACTTACGGTCTTGGTGTTGCTCTAGAGTATCTCCAAAAGGTTGGTCACAGACTCTGTAAAATATGCTTGAATGTCAACTAAGCAACCCAGCTTTCGTCTAGTCAGGGGCGCAAACTGGCCGGTCCAGTGCAGTCCATCTTCGAGACCGCTACCAAGGGTCGTAAACTCCGTAAGGACCGGGTTTCGGCACCTTTGCAAGAGTTATTGAAGGACACCGTCATCGATGCTCGTGTAACATCTGCACACACGTATCTTGCCCGTCTAGGTGCATCCGGCCCCACTCCGCCTTTCTTTGTCAACGGCATTCCTCTGCCCATGTCTGATGAGTGGCTCCAAGAGATGAGCCAGCGCGTGAGCACCGATTTGCGTACTGTCCAGAAGGCAATATTCGAGGAACAACTCGATGATGAGAGCTATATACCTGAAGTTTTCTTGTCTCGCGCATCCGCACGTCGCAACCCGTGGATCATCCCTGAAGACGAGAATAGTATTCGACAAGTCAATCTGGCATCGCTTTCTGATCTGGCCGAAGGCGCAATAGGGTCAATTCCTAGTCTGCCAGCCAACAAGGATACCGTTTCAAATGACCTTGTCCACCTTGTCGTCATTGCAGACTTCGATTCAGGAGTTTCTCAGCAAATGCTTTCTGAACTTGTCACCTTGCGTAAGGAAGAATATGATCAAGTCGAGATCTTGTTGGTCCACAACTCTGCTAAGCCACTATCAACCTCAAGCTTTGCGGTCCAATTGTTCAAAACGATGATGCTGGGCCCTGTCGTTTCTTTGGAGGCCCTGGAAGCATTACTGTCAAGGGACAATTCCAACACCAAGATTGCTGACGAGGACGTTGTTGCAGCTCAGACCTTCTGGTCATCAGCTGACAGGTTCCTCGATGATGTTGGTTTTGGTAGCGGCGAGCAAGGAATTTTGTTGGCAGGTAGGGTGGTTGGTCCCATGCCATCTTTTGCACAATTCGGACGCGATGACTTTGAGACACTTCTGTCGTACGAACGCATGAAGCGCTTGATGCCAGCAGCGGCAGCTATAAAAGGAGTCAACATTGCGGACAAGGCCAATACTGCCTTGTCGTTCTCCAAGTTGTCGAACTTGATTGCGTTGTCATCTAAGTCAGATGTTCCTGAGGGCATGTTTGATTCTGTTCCTCCTGCTCGAGCAGACGTTTTCAGCGGCTGGGCCGGTTCGCACACTCTCATCGAGCGAGGCGATGCCGAGACTGCAGCTATACAGATCGTCGCTGCTGTGGACCCGGCATCCGAGACCGCTCAACGCTGGGTACCCATCCTGAGAGTCCTTTCTGAGCTTTCTGGCGTTCATCTTCGCCTATACTTGAATCCTAAGGAAAGGTTGGATGAACTGCCTGTAAAGCGATTCTACCGACATGTGTTGGAGTCAAAGCCTAGATTTGATGAGCAAGGCTCTCTTGAGGGCACACTGGCTCACTTTGAAGGTCTTCCAGCAGATGCTCTTCTTACGATGGCTATGGACATGCCGCCTGCATGGCTCGTTGCACCAAAGGACAGTGTCCACGATCTTGACAATATCAAGTTGAGCTCGACTCAGGGCAAAGATATCGAGGCGACCTATGAGCTCGAAAGTATCTTGATCGAAGGTCACTCCAGAGATGTCACTCTCGGCACTGCACCCAGAGGAGCCCAGCTTGTCCTAGGTACCAACAAAGAGCACTTTGCCGATACTATTATCATGGCGAATCTAGGCTACTTCCAATTCAAGGCAAAGCCGGGTTTCTACAACCTGACCTTACAAAAGGGAAGAAGCGAGGAGATTTTCAAGATTGATAGTGCTGGAACCTTGGGCTACAGTCCTCAAACAGGCGATGAGACGACCGAGATTGCTCTTACCAGTTTCCAAGGTGCCACCATCTTCCCTCGTCTCTCTCGCAGAGCTGGCACGGAGGATGAAGATGTACTGGAAAGCGCAAAGACGACTGCTGATCACATCACTGACAAAGCTGACAAGATCCTCGCAAAGGTTGGCCTTGGTAGTGTAAAGTCCAGCGAAGTTCTCTCCAAAGCTCAGAAGTTCGGGTCTGGCCTGCTATCTGGAACAACTGGATCAACCACCGACATCTCGACTCTCCCTCACGCCGACATCAACATTTTCTCTGTCGCCTCTGGTCACCTTTACGAGCGTATGCTGAACATCATGATGCTCTCCGTCACCAAACACACCACCCACACTGTCAAGTTCTGGTTCATCGAACAATTCCTGTCTCCCTCCTTCAAAGCCTTCCTCCCCATCATGGCCGAAGAATACAACTTCCGCTACGAGATGGTAACCTACAAATGGCCACACTGGCTTCGTGGTCAGAAGGAAAAGCAGCGTGAAATCTGGGGCTACAAGATTCTCTTCCTGGACGTCCTCTTCCCCCTCGATCTCGACAAAGTCATCTTCGTCGACGCCGACCAGATTGTCCGCACAGACATGTACGATCTCGTCACCTATGACTTACAAGGCGCTCCCTATGGCTTCACCCCCATGTGCGACTCACGCACCTCCATGGAAGGCTTCCGCTTCTGGAAACAAGGATATTGGAAAAACTTCCTCCGCGGCTTGCCCTACCATATCTCTGCTCTTTACGTAGTCGACTTGGTGCGTTTCCGCCAAATGGCCGCTGGCGATCGCTTGCGTCAACAATACCATCAACTCTCCGCCGACCCAAATTCCCTCTCCAACCTCGATCAGGATCTGCCCAATCACATGCAACACGTCTTGCCCATCCACAGTCTACCCCAGGAATGGCTTTGGTGCGAGACTTGGTGCAGTGACGAGACCCTCGGTGTCGCGCGCACTATTGACTTGTGCAATAACCCTCAGACCAAAGAACCCAAGCTAGAGAGAGCGAGAAGACAGGTTCCTGAGTGGACTATCTACGATGATGAGATTGCGGCCTTGGCTCAACGCAAGGTTGGCGAGGGCAAAAGTCCTATTGCTGGAAGTGCTGGTGGTGTGGGGATTCAGGCCGAGATGCAGGAACAAGATGCTAAAAAGCAGAAGGAGGAAAATGAGAAGAAGGAGAAGGGTAAAGGTCATGATGAGCTGTAGAGGAAATGTAGAAAGAAAGGGTGTAGAATTGCAATGAATGGTGGGAAAAAGTTATTGGCTGATGTCTTCGTGCATGATGAGTTTTCTCAAATCTTCTTTCTTCTTTCCAATCCTCCCCCGTGTGCTAGAGTTCGTAACTCCCAGTCTCCTACACTGCTTTCTCCCACGAAGTTATAAAGCGTAGCACTCACTATCTAAAGGCACAGCGGTGCCCCGGACAGTGACGTATCCAAAGAGAGCGCGAAGAACACCACATCTCGATGTACACGATCTAGATCTTGAGAGCCATTGCATTTTCATCGTTATACGCGTTGACAAACCTTTATACACGGAGAAGACGTAACCCTTTAGGAGATGGAAAACAGCAAAGGAGATGAAAGTACGAAAACACAGATACTCTTGCAAATTCTCCCCATCTTCTATGCCTCTTTCTCATCCAACGACCGAATTACCCCTTGCCACGATCGTTGCATGATCCCGCATCTTCTGCAACGTCTCCTCGAAATCCCTCCTCACGCCCAAAACCTCCTCGATATGCTTCATCGCCAGCTTCTCCTCTGCATACCTGGCCAAAGTACCAGCCGTGTGGATAGCATTGCTTATCTCTCTTCCATTCAATTGCTCCTCGCACAGCTTTTCTGCTGCTGCTTGCACTGCAAGTTGCTCCCCCTGGTCATCTTCAAGGGAAACCACGTTCTTGATGGCAAGGCTTTGTATCCAGATGCGCAAGCGAGCAGTACTATCTGGTTCTTTGTACCCCAGAGCCAAATGCACGCGTGACTTCATCGCCGCATCGAAGACTTGAATGCGATTAGTAGTCAAAAAGCAGATCCCAGAAAAATATTCCAAATGCCTCAAAAACACAGCGACCAATGCGTTTCTATTGGCTGCATCGTGTGCATCATCACCTCTGGCTTCCAAAAACACATCTGCTTCGTCAAGCAACACGATCGCTTTCCAAGTAGTTGCTAGCCGCAAGACTCTGGTCAACTCGTGTTCGAAAAACCAGGGTGAATCGTGTTTATTGAGTTCGGAGATGGAAGCGCGGATGAGTGCTTTCTGAGTCGTTTCAGCCGCACACTCAGCCGTAAGCGTTTTGCCAGATCCAGGGGGACCATGCAATAAACACACCAACCCTTTTCCCTTTTGCTGATCTTCGTCGCGCGCAGACGTGGGAAAGGTGTGCGAAGTCACCAGAGCGCGGATCAGACGCAATTGACTCGCAGGTAAGATCAACGAGTCAAAGGCATCGGGTTTCCAGGGCACGGGAGCGAGATTGGTAACGTAGTAGCGGCACCAGTCTTTGCGTGCGCAGGAAAAGCCGAGCACGAAGGGAGGACACAAAGCAGTGTCCAGAGAGGATAAAGAGCGTTTGGAAATGATGCCGCTGGGGTGGTCTTGCTCGAAGGTCTTGCGATCGATGATGATGCGTCCGGTTTCTGTAAACGGCATCCAGAGTTGAGGCCAATCGTCTTCGTCGGGGTGGAAGAAGGACAAAGGAGGGGTTTTGAGGTATTGAGCAGCGCCATCGTATTGACGTACCAACACGCCAGTGATGGATAAAAACAGTTCTCCTCGTTCGCGGAGGCTTTTCTCAAGATCAACATCATCGGGTGCACAAGCCCATGGAAATACTTTGAGATCCAAAATTTTCGAGGGATGATCAGAGCCAAAGTCTTCCTTTTGATAGATACGGAACATGTGTTTGGAAACACCGTATTTCTCGCCGTCGTAGTCGGAATACGAACATTGGATTTCGCAGTACCTACCTCTCTTGTCGTTTTTCTCGTAGGCGGTTTTGACGACGTTCAAAAGCCAGGGGTGGGATTTGACGTAAGTGACCACTCGATCGCCAGGGCGAAAGAGGATGCCGAGATTGTCGAATTCGACAACACCGCTGCGTACTTGCGTAGTGTAGCTTTTCCTTGCGGCGCCCATGTCAAAGTCCATGAATCTTAACAAGAGATTCAGATGTGAACGAGCAGTGTCGTCTTTCATGTCTGAACTATGGTTTTGCAAGTCGTCCCAGTGGTGAAACAGCATTTCCGAGGGGATTGGGATGGACACCGACGACGAGAAGTCCGAAGGGATGGTCGGGTGTGATTTGATGACATCTCGGAAGGCTTTGAGTATGTGATGGGAGTTGATGTCAAGAGTGGTCGACTCAAGTTTGTGGTTCTTGTCCATCTTTCTGGTCACGACCAAGGCGAAGTGATCCGTTGAAGGTTCGACATGGCCGAAGCCTTCGACAGCGGTCTTTTCCTCGGTGCCATCTTCTTTTTGAAGCAGATGCCATGTTTTGACTTCGCACTTAACGTGGGAAGAAGAGGCGTCAGCGACCTTAGATGAATCAGGCAACTGCTCGGCCATGATTGTGGTACGTATTTGATGTGAATATGTGGTTGTGGTTGTGGTGAGGGGAAGAGGTTGATATAAGCACCACAAGCAAACGAATCGATATACTTGAGTACAAGTTGCTGCCTTACATGCTGTTGCCTTGCATGCTGTCATCCGGACACGTGCCTCGGCGATGCTTATCTGCATCCTCTACGGCCGAGTTGTAATGTGGCTTGCAGGATGCGCTGTATACGAGTTGTTTGATATTGCAAGGCTTGCATCTATTGTGCTTCGTTGGCAGTAATGTACTTACTTTTAGTGTTCCAGCTACTCGCTCTCACCGTGCGTCACTTTCAGCCTGGCAAAATCATGCAACTTCTGAGCTCGCCTGCTTAGGACGGATAAGGATGATTTGTCTTGACACATGGATAATATGGCAAAAGAGACCAAAGGAAAAGACTGCTCCGATTTTGATGCTGAAGAAAAGAAAGAGAAAGGTAAAAAGCGTAAACTGTACAGTGCAAGCAGGTATACATTAACCTCTGCTGGGGGTTATCAAAGAGTAATCGCCAGCGACCATGTCGATGGTCACGACCCGTACTGAGTACATGCAGATTGGAATCGGCAGCTGAGCGGTCGCCCTTGGTACCTGCTTGTCATGGCCGCAAGAACCAGCACAGCCTTGGTGTATGCGCGAGGGTATCTTCGTAAGTAGAACCGTTTATCGGTAAGGTGCGTCAGCTCTGGCGACGGCGGCCAATTCGGGCTCCCACTTGTCACCGCTAGATGAGAGTCAGTACGTGTTTTTACTCCTGAGATCAATTGTCCAAGACTCACTTCATCAACAGCTTCTCCTTGTTGTAAAGCAACTCCTCACGGGCTGTGATACAGTTAGCATGATTCTCTTCCTGGTCGATTGAAGACGAAACGTACTCTCTGTGGCGTATTCGGCGTTTGGTGACTCGACAATGGCATCAACGGGGCAGGACTCCTGGCAGAAACCGCAGTAGATGCACTTGGTCATGTCGATATCGTAGCGGGTAGTTCTTCTGCTTCCATCCTCACGCTCCTCAGCCTCGATGGTAATGGCCTGGGCGGGGCAAATGGCCTCGCACAGCTTGCAGGCAATGCATCGCTCTTCACCAGTAGGGTAGCGGCGGAGGGCGTGCTCGCCACGGAAACGGGGACTGATGGGACCCTTCTCGAAGGGGTAGTAGATGGTGTAACTTGAATGGTTGTCAACAATTGAACTAGTGTATTTGAATCCGGCGGGTCGACTCACGGAGGTCTGAAGAACTGCTCGAGTACGACGTACATGCCGCGCATCATCTCGGTAAGCAGGAAGTAGTTGCCGAGTCTGTCGGCGGTGCTCTCCTTCTGTTGGTCCCATCGTGCAGGGGCGGGCATACGGTAGCCAGCGGCGGGGGCACCAGAGCCAGAGGCGAGGCGAGCGACGGATGTCGAGAAGAGCGCGGTCGAGGCGGGTGTGAAGAGACGGGGCGAGGCGACGAGAGGGCGAGCCGAGTTGCGCAGGACGGCTGCGGCCATGGTCCTTGTGTTTGCCATGATAGCTATGTGCGTGGATGAGGAGGGGAGAGGCGAAGGGAGTATTAAGTGCTAGTAGTGGCGGTCCTGGAGCAGGTACAAGCAAGCAACGCAGACGCAAGTACTTTGGTCACGCTGACCCCAGTCTTTCGCGATTGGACGGCGCTCTGTCTGCTGCCAAGCTTCTTTCCGGCCGTCGCAGCTTCGAATCGTCAGTGACGATTTCCAACATCGACCAGCCGAGCTGCACCAGACATTCCATACCACTCGCCCATCACCACTCCACCCTTCACAATGTTCCGCCTCGCCGTCGCCAGATCCGCCAGATGCCTTGCTCAGGCTGCTCCTAGAGTTCAGGCCCCCATCACCCGCCGCGTCGCTCCCTCATCCTTCTTGCCTTCGACCACCGCCGCTCCCTCGACCTTTGTTTCCGCCGTCAGATGCTACTCGGCACACGCTGGTCTCTCAAAAGATGAGGTTCAGGGCCGTATCCTCGACCTCCTGAAGAACTTCGACAAGGTGCGCAATCAAAAGAAGCCTACAATTCGCCGCATCACGTACTAATCCTTTATACCAGGTCTCGGACGCCTCCAAGGTACGACCAATTCACTACAAATCCAGCTTCCGAACGTCCTGCTCACCATTTGTCACAGCTCTCGGCCCAGTCACACTTCACCAACGACCTCGGTCTTGACTCTTTGGACACTGTCGAGGTCGTCATGGCCATCGAGGAGGTTCGTCACATGCGCCGTACCGTACAACCAAGCACACAGACTCACACCAACTACAGGAGTTCAGCATTGAGATCCCCGACAAGGAGGCCGATGCCATCCACAGCGGTATGCTGCCTTGAGGCCCTATGCTATCCGGACTGTTGCTGACTTGATTGATAGTGAACCAAGCTGTTGAGTACATCCTCAGCCAGCCCGATGGTAAGTCCCCTCGTGTAGATGATATGTTGACCCGCCTCTGACTTGTACATAGCCCACTAGATGCGCCGCCTAAAAGTGCATGGAATGCAATGTTTTTAAGAAATCCCGACTGCTACACATGCCAATGTAGAGGTATTTAGCCATTAGGTCCTGCGCCGCTGTACTATGAAATTTTCTTTTGGTCAAGACACGGCGCGAAATTGAAGCCTGACTTTGCGAAATGAAGTGAAATTGATATGTAGCAATAGAGTGCCAAGATTCAATGTTCAAGGGAGGACGCGCGCTACCAGGTGGCAGGTGGCAGGTGGGGAAGGTTGATCCTCCAAACATGCGACAACAATTGGCCTGATTAGATTCACCTTGTGCCGCCTGATTCTCCCTCTTGTATTTGACCCTCGATCTCGACTTGAACCCCAGGGTTGCTACGTCCCGCCGACTTCGCTATTCCTGGCAGACTGCCGCCCGCCGCGTCTCCCTCCATACAGCTGCCCGCGTCTAACGGCCGCGAAGCACCCCTAGCCTCTCGCAATTCACCAAACACACGACATCATTGTGCAACTCCAATATGGCCTCTAGCTCAGGCTTGACGAGAAGAAGAGGTGGTGCTGGTCCTGCCGCTGGCTTCGAGAGCGAAGACGGAAGTCGTGTCAGCTCTCCTGTCCCTGGCAACAAGCGCAACGATGAGAACAGGGCCGGAGGTCTCGAGACATCATACGAAAGCGGAGAGAATGGACACAAGATTGCTTTTGATCCTCGCGACATCAGTGAAAGCGCCGAAAGACTCAAGCAGCCCAAGTTGACCTTGATGGAGGAGATCCTACTTATGGGTCTCAAAGACAAACAGGTAGCTACGCGCCCTATAACTTGACCACATCTCGGACTGCTAGTAACGGCTGTCTACACAGGGCTATCTTTCCTTCTGGAACGACAACATCTCGTATGCGCTCAGAGGCTGTATCGTTATCGAACTGGCTTTCCGTGGACGAATCAGCATGCAGAAAGACTCCAACAGAAGACGCTTCCCTCTAACCGACAGAGTTATCGAGGTCATTGACGATTCGCTGACGGGCGAGGTTCTGCTCGACGAGGCACTCAAGATGATGAAAAGCAGCGAGAAGATGAGCGTGAGCTCGTGGATAGACCTCATGAGTGGTACATCTCTCCCGGTCCAACATGAACGATTGTCAGGTCGCATAGCTAACACATGTGCAAAGGCGAGACATGGAACCTCATGAAGATTGGATACCAGCTCAAGCAAGTCAGAGAGCGATTGGCAAAGGGCCTTGTCGACAAGGGTATCCTACGCACCGAGAAGCGCAACTTCCTACTATTCGACATGGCAACTCACCCCGTGGCTGATGGCGGTGCAAAGGACGAGATTCGCCGTCGTGTCCGCAACCTCCTGACAAACCGTACTGTCGTGCTGCCGCCTACGGAATATCTGCCAGAAAACATGGAATTCAGATATCTGCGAACCATCGCCATGGTCTGTGGAGCATACGCAGCTAACGTGCTGGAGAACGCTTTGACAACCCTGCAACACGAGGCACGCGAGAGAGCATTCGCACAGGTGGACGAGCTGCTGGCCGAGTACTCACAATATCCCTTTGCTCGAAGGACAGGAGGACCTGGCAGTATCGGAGCCAACCTCGGACAAGTGATTATGGATGAGGTCAATAACGCAAAGGACAAGGAACTGCAACTTGAGGTATGTGTTTGGATGATGAAGCGTTGCAACAGAATGATATGCTGACTCGACACAGGTGGTGGCGGCTTGCCTGAGCGTATTTACGAGATTGGATTCGCTACTTTAGAGGACTTTCGGATGCACGATTGGGGACAGCAAAGGGATACCAAAGGGCAGCAAAGCGATTACATTCTGACGAGGCGTTTTATTGTAGCAGCAGCAGCGAGCAGCGGGAGTTGAAGAAAATGCAAACGACGAGCATCATGTTGATGAATGTGGTAACACCCGGCACACAGTTCATTGGTTCATCTGCATTGAAACAAGTAATGGCTAAAGCGATGAATGCTTGTTGGCTGGAGACGGCGCGGCTGTTGATGGCGAATGGGGATACCTCTTGCCAGACGGCCCGTGCACCAAGTTGGAGTTCGACAGCGAGAGACGCGCGTGGAGAGAGCTGGCCTTCATTGGGAATGTGCATGATTTAACGAAATAGCCATTTGCTGCACACCAATCATCGGCGCGCAATACTCAGTGAAGACCTCGGCGCTGACAAGGCGTGAAACAAAGCTCTTGTACTGCCCTCGGAGCCGCGCTCGGCTTGGTTCAGGCACGACCGTCCTTTCCCGTTCGGCCAGACCAACTGCCCTTGGAGGGGCATGTTCGACCAAAGGTATGCCCTTCCTGACTCTGTCTCTTTTTGACTTCACCATCTCTTCCCAAATCCGGTCGAGTTCGACGCGCCCTCTGAGGCCTCGACTATGGCTACCCCGTCCACCTTTGACCTCCGCTCGACGCGACCACGCACGCGCCTGCTAACCCCCCAACCAGTCACTTCGCGATAAACCCTCGTTGAACCATGCAATCGCCCTCGACCAATCCCGCCGCCTCACCCTTCCCGAACAGCGGCCAGCCCTTCAACCTCACTCAGCCTCCGCTAGGTCGTAGAAGTGCCGCTACTGCTGCTGCCCCCGCCAATCCCTCGGCCGACCCGCCTACGAATCCATCTTCGGACGCTGGTGATGCCATTCGTGACGGAAAGCAGCGCGCCAAAGACATCATGGCCGCATCAGGCATCGACGTGACCTCGTCGCCCTCACAATCATCCAATGGAGTCTCCAAGTCTAGGAAACGTTCGCGCTCTGGCTCGCGCATTCCCGCGCGTCCCCGATCGCCGAATAACCCTCCGCACGATGAAGTCCTTCTTGAACGCTATGTTCAACGCGACTCGTTATATGCTGCTGCTTTGAACGACCAGGCCGACAAGTCGCGCAAGCTTCTGAGGCTCAAGGAGCAGGAGAAGGAATGGTATCTTCACGAGGGAAGACAGCAGCGACAACAACACCCTGGAGCCGTGTTTGGATATGGATATGCTGGTTATGGCAATGGCCGAACCGACGACAGGACCCGCCTGGAGTATCCGGCCACGCGCCGCAGAGCGGGTAACAGAAGAACGCGCGAACTGCGCATTCCCAGGAAAGATGCCGGACAGCAAGCCGAATACCTGGAGGAGCTCGTGCCCGTGCGATTGGATCTTGAGCTTGACAAGCTGAAACTGCGCGACACTTTCACCTGGAACCTCAATGATCGCCTGGTATCTCCAGAGCTCTTCGCCCAAAACCTCATAGAGGACCTCAAGATGCCTGCCGACCAAAGCCAAGTGCTCATCCGTGAAGTCCACAAGGAGTTGCTCGACCAGCTAAACAATTACTATCCCCACGTTTATCCTGCTGGCCAACCTGCAGAGCCCGAAACTCTGTACAATGCGCACAAGAACGATGACATGCGCATCACTGTCAAGCTCAATATTACTATTGGACACATCACACTCGTAGACCAATTCGAATGGGACATCAACAACTCTCTCAACTCACCTGAGGAATTCGCCAGACAAATGTCTTTGGATTTGTCGCTCTCTGGTGAATTCACCACAGCAATCGCACACTCAATTCGCGAACAATGCCAGCTCTACACCAAGAGCTTGTTTGTTACGAATTACGAGTTTGATGGACGACCGATAGAAGACCCTGACATCCGTGAGAACATGCTTGCTTCACCTGTGCCCCATGTCTTCAGGCAGCAACAGAGTCAGAAAGATTGGACCCCCTACATGTACGAACTCACTGAGACCGAGCTGGAGAAGACCGAATTGTCCATGTTGCGTGAACAAAGAGCTCAGAAACGTCAGCTCAACAGACGGGGTGGCCCCGCTCTGCCTGATCTCAAGGAGCGTCAAAGGACTGTACGATCTTTGGTTGTGTCGACTGTCATTCCGGGCGCTGCGGAAACTATGGAAGCCAGCGGTATCTATAAGATTCGCCGTACCGCAACTGGAAGAGGCCGTAGACCTGGTGCCCGTATGAATGACGGAAGCGATTCCGATGAGTTGGAAGAAGAGGATTCTGGAGCCGAATCTCCCGCACCCTCTCAGCTACCAACAACAAGCGGCACAACGAGAACTCGGGGTATGAGAGGCGCTGCCAGTGCTGCACAAATTGCCATGCGTCAGACTTACGGCAGATCGGCTACCCCTGACATTGCTATGCTCTCACAGCCAGAATCGACCAGAGCGTCCAGGCGTGTTCAGGACACAACAGCCCGCGAGGACACAGCAGAACCAACATCACTGATCGTCAAGCTTCGTATCAGCCCTCCCAAATACAAGCAATGGATGAACAGAAGGAAGTTCGGCCGCAGTGCGGCACCTCCTCTATCAGGCTTCCCCACGTCTTTCACCATGCCGCCTGCTAGGCCCGTTGCTACACCGGCCAAGCAAGCAGCTGGTCCATCAACACCGTCAATGCAGAACCGACCTCTCCCAGTGGCTACAGTTACTCCTGCTCGTCAAGCTCAAACGCAAGCGCCGACACCAACGACCAAGCTCCCTGCTCCAACGCCTACCAAAATCACAAAGGACGTCGAGTACGATTCGCAAGGACGAGTCGAAGCTAACACCACACCCCTACCAGATAGCGCAACAGTAAGTCGCCCCTCTTGAAAATACATCCGTCCTCAGCGGCATCTACCAACAAAGTATCTAATACGCTGTCTCCCTCTCAGCCCGACATTCCACCCTGGCTAGAAGAAGCACTCGCTGAAATGCATCGCCTCTACCCAACATCTCGCTTCTCAGGCCTCATGCGCTTCTCTGCCATTGATGCCCTCACCGACAAATCCGTTACCATCGACCACACCTCATTGCCTGCCGGCTCACCACCCCCAGCCAACTTCACCAATCCTGCCACCGGAGAGAAACAAGAAGTCAAGTGGATGTGGCAACCACGTATCCGCTGTGATGATTGTCCTGGCAGACTGTATAACGCAGCCCGAGAAGACACGGTTGGCAAATTCGAATTGCATATCAAAAACAGGAAGCATAAGGCTATGGTTGATGCTAGATTGGCTGCTGCTGGTGGTGCTAGTGGTACTGCCAATGAGGGTAATTAGAACCTTGCTCCCGGTGGGGATTTTGGTCGGTAGAGGGCGAGAAAAGGACATCTGAGGAGGTAGGCTAGGCATTTGTTTGATAGTAAGGAAGAGTTCATAGGAACAGGAGTATTTTGAGCATAACAAGCATTTTGATTTCCCATTGTTTCCAGACTCTGTTTCTTTCTTCTTGATATCTGGTCTGCGTCTCGTGTTGATACTTGCAAGGCTTTTTGGATGCGTTCTCCCTACTGATCAAGGAGGTCAATAGATTCTGACTCTACCAGAGGAAGAGGCTTTGGTTATGTCGAGCCTAGGCAAGGAGAGAGTCGGGAAATTAGAAAGTCGAGGATTGTATCTTTCTTCTAGCTAACATCTTGCGCGCTGTTTGAAACGGGATAAGCCTGGTGTTGTGGTAGGTCGAAGGGGGACTTGCTTCTTATGGCCAAGTTTGTAGAAATGCAGTTTATATCAGGGCCTTTTTTTTGCAGCTATCTATGCTGCAGAGAGGTATGATTTATACGATAGGCTCTTGTCTACACATATCCGTTTTCTTTGTTTTTTTGGCTTTTTTTGCTTGCCGGATCATTTGGTTTTTGACGGGTGCATGTATTATCGGAAAATGCAGTTTGATTTAGATGTAGTCTAGAGAGAGCTACAACGACAGTTTATCCTCGACAATTCGTGATGATTCTGTAGCTGCTGTCCAAGATTTGAAGTACAACAGTCTTTCTGCATCTATTTCACCTCTCATCACCAAGGGAGAGAAAGAAAAGACTTGACGTAGACTGTGTAGCTTCTGGTCCGGGTGACTTCTTCTTCTGCCTTGCCATAATGTCACTATGACTAGAAGAGATGGTGAGTGATTGTAGAAACATGCTGCATCTGTGGATCCTACTTGAGTAGGAGTGTTTGTGAAACAAAAGACGGGTATACCAGTCATCTCTTTCAATTTGATAGCTAGGTAATACAACCAGACAGTCTTGCAGAGATGGTTCAAGATTCAGGACTAAGGAAACAAGGTGAACGCATCGAGTGCTTTTGACAGTGCCCAAGAACATTTTCTATTGTCATGAGAAGAAACAGAGGGCAACAATGATGGAAGAGGAATTGTGAGAAATTGCAAGATGGCTTAGCCCTTGATGAGTCCAGTCCTTTACCTTGACTGTTTTGACGTTGGCATTAATCGGGAGATATGCTTGGAAAGGCTTCAAAAGTAGAGTATCGAGGTTTGGTGGTTTCTGCATATTGGGAAATCGGACTCTGAAGGGCACGAGTATCAAGACTTGATCCTTGTAGATAAGTTTGGAGCCCAGGGTGTTCTTTTCCAGCGATGTGTGACTTTGACAGTGTTTGGTGGCAATGAGATTGGATACGTGCACTCTGCAATCGAAGATTCCGAGTTATCAGGACTTTCCGTTGCTGGATCTTGCTCTGAGAGTCGTCACAAAGGTTTTCCATAGACTTGTGGGAGTTTTGTTGTAAACAAAGTTGAGAGCTTTGTGCAGACTGCGAGATGCATGTGGAAAAGTGGAAGGATTTAGGACATTGGCCACAGCCACGTCCTGGACAATTGGGCCCGCTCAGTCTTTGCTGTTCGCCATGTGTAGGATGTACGAATCGTTGACTCGAAGTTTTCTTGTTTCTGACAGAAGATTTAGAATGTTTGCAATACTGCCGCAAGGCAGTGCAAAGCAGCAAAGAAACAACCACTCGAAGGCCTCAAAAAGCCAAAAGCAGACCTTACTGTAAATGAAACATCTGGCGAAGACATGCTATAGTAACCTTTGAAGTCGACCACCAGTGTGTCACGATACTCAGGAACTGGTTTCATGTCTTGAGAGAGGTGTATCTCACCACTTATCGGCATATTCTTTTTTGTGTTTCAGTAACCTGCAGCTTGAGGCCTTGCATGAGAAGCTGATAACTGCAGGCTTGCATAGGGAGCTGATATCTGGCTGCATGCTGTGATCCAGAAGCCAGAAGCCAGCATGGGAAAGAATTCAACCGAATAAAGAGAGACACTTGTTTTCGTTCTCTCTCCGGGTAAGTGCAGTGCTGATGCTATCTTTCAGCAATCATCAACCCGCTTCTACCGCCATTCAGCAGATATGTATCCGAAGACAGGGATATAAGTCGGTACACTTGACCTCTTGTTTCGCCTCTCCAGCTGCACAGATCAACCCGCAGAGCTATCCGAGAGAAGCGAGAACCATGCAAGTGATAACCACTATGCAACAAACTCCTTGAACTCATGCATGCAAGGTTCCCAGGGAATCAGGGATACATATAGACGTGCAGTAGTGTCGCTGCAATCTACAGAGCTAAAAAAGGGCAAGCAAGCATCAAGGCACGGAACTCCGCATACTCCGGATGGGGATGGAAACCCGTAAACGCGTATTTGCTTGTCTGTTTCTCTGCATACTGGCCGTTGTAGGTTTGTTGAGGTTGATCTCTCAGTCTTGGTATACATACGAGATGTGGATATGCTTGGTGTCGTCGGATGCATGCTCAGGTTCGTAATCGGAGTTCCTGGGCGATTGGAAGCCGCGTGTGTGAATTGATTCGTGGAAGAAGCGGCATGTTGGTCTTCTGGAAGTCGTCAAGTCGTACAGCCAAGATACATGCAAGCCAGAGTGTACCTCGTTCTTTGACACACGAGAGCTGCAAAGGCTCTGGAACATCTCGTACGAAAGTACCAAGAAGTCGTTCCTTGTGCTCCAAAGACTTGCCGAGACCCGGCCATGGCGTATGTTTCACAACCTTTTTGTGTCTTTTTCGTATCGAGCCAGTTTCACGAGTTGCTGGGGAGAGTAAACCACCAGTTCCTCCAAAAGAGTGTTGGCTTGCATGACGGGGTTTTCAGGCGTCCTGGAGTAAAGCTGTAGAGCTGGAGTGAAGGTGCGGCGGCCATCTCATCGCGGGACAGCGGCATCAAAAGAACCGGACCCTGTTTGAAACTGACCAGCATGACTTTTTCGTGTCTCTTGTCTTTGCAGGGACGGATTACCGTATTCTTTGCATGGGATCTTTGCCATGCCGCACCCGCTGCGTCTATTGTTTCATGCAACACCCCAATTGTGTGATTGTAGCAGACACGAAGCTGCTGAGTGTTGATCGATTCCAGGTGGATCCTCTCTGTGCCGCGCGCAACGCGCTTACTACGCATGGCGGCTGTGTTATGTGTCTCCCGTCCGAAAGTCATAGTCAGAGTCAAAAGACAAAACGTGTGGATACCGGGAGTGATGGCAAAGATCCAAGAGAAAGATAGATCTCGATGGACTGCATGGAGGGAAATGCGGGGTTATATTGATTGGATTGGATTGGCAAAAAGGCTGTGTTTCCAGCATCCGGGTTATGGTGGAAGCAAAGAGAGTCCTGGTGGATCTCTTTCTCTAGCCTTGTGGATATGCTCTAGTCGTACATATAGCATTGCTGCAGAGAAGCTATCCGGAGTTGTTAAGTCGCAAGAGGCAAGAAAAGCAGGGGAATCTTGATATGTTTCGAGTCTTTCTTATATCAGCAGATGCATGTTATCATATTTGCTTATTGTGTTTCAGAGTGCTTGTGTACAAAACATCAAAAATGCCTATAACAATACAAACATAACCTCTTCCCCTAATTGTCCGATCGATGAAATCGTAATTGAAGGAGTACGATGTGATTGCTCATGTCGTCATTAGATGACTCTTCTTTCCTCCAATCTCATATCTTGTTCGATCCACCACGATGTGCGGCTCCTTAACGGCTACACGTTTTTGCTCATCTTCACACTTGCTTTCTCTTTCCTAAAGAAACTGGGGAAATTTGTGCATATACCTAATGAGATCTGTGATATGTTCTACCGTCTTTTTGCACTGCCTTGTCTGCTCAACGTCGACACTGACTGGCAAGGGAGCAAAGCGGGAGCGCAAAGAACAGAAAAGGAAGTTTGTCATCCAGCAAAGGCAAAGGCAAATGCAAAGCAACAATGATAGTTCAAAAATTCTTCATAATATTGCAATTTGTCCTTAGAAGGAAAAGAAGAAAAAGAAAGGAACATTCAACGACTCGCAGATAAGAGTAACTAAAGAATGGTACAAGCACAGTCTACAAGAACCAACGCATAGAGGAAAGATTCGTGCGAATAACCACGCCATGTGCCGTACCATGGTTCAATGACCTTCTGTGCTTTCCATGATCTTCAGGAACACCCATGTGGCACATAAACGTGGTTCTGCCACCTCGGGCAGCACGATGCTCGCAGCAGGCCCAAGCACACCCTGTCCCTTCTAAGAGTCATTGAGAAAGACCATAGCGTGGCGTCGACTCTGCCATGGATCACAAAACCAGCGGGAAAGCAAACACCAAGTGCCATGCCAGCAAAAGAACCTGAGTCACTCCAAGGGCCACAGATCCCATCGGGACGCCTCATGAGATAATGCGATAATTTTTTTTTAGCAACAAAGGTGGCAGACGCCTCTTCTGTCACTTTTGCGAAAGAGGGCTCGATCCAGACGGGTGCGATGCAGAAAGGAATCAAGGGTTTAGCAATTCCTTGATTTCCGACTGTGCAAAGAGACAGAGAAAGAGCCTCTTGACAGTTGGTTCCTGTTCTTGGAAATTAGCACATCAAACATGGTGGTGCACGGTGCTTTTGATGGAATCCATCGGTGGCATGACGTCGCAGATCTGGAAATCGATCAGAGTAAAGCTGTATATCGAGAAGAAAAAAAGCTTGCAATTGCTTGGGCAGCAAGGAAGGTACCATCAAAGGATCATCTATGATGTCGTGGATAGATAATGGATAGCAATTCACGATCTGTACCATGAATACCGTTGTGACGAATACACATCGCAGTACGATGGCATGCAGGGTTTGTAGATGTAGATACACCACGATCAGTTGTTTATGTCGTAATTTTCGGGACCAACTCCTATTGTCTTTTGAGTTAAGTGAAAAGGGAGAAATAAGATGGAAACTCCTGGAAGATAATATCCTCCTGTAAACACACGGCTCTAGAACGCCAGGAACCACGTGCGAAGCTTAGAGTTTCAATACTCTGCGCCGGCTATGGCAGTTGCTCCCTTTTTCATAGGAACAATTCACGGCAGTCGAAGCGATTAAGCAGCTCCCGCCTGGACGCCCATCCTGAACAATAGGGAAAGAGGTGAGGTTTGTATACAGGGGCGGGAGCGCATGAAACGGTGCCAAAACGGCTTCCAGAAGCTCTCCTAAAAACCACATCCTTATGGAGGGGAAACGCGCGAAGGCAAATTGAGGCTTTACGTTCATGCTACAGGTGAACGCCTTTTTGGTCTGCGAAACGGTTTGTACAGTCTACCACGACTTTTGACTACTTGAGATACGGATCTGAAGGGATTCACGTTAAGGGATCGATAGCCTGAACGGTATGCCGAAATGAAAAAGGGAGATATGAACGGCATTGTCACTATCAACGACGTAGTGTTATGATTGTGGTTGCGATATGAAAGGAGTCTATGCAATACAAGCGAGATTGGGCCTGACGTCGAGAGGGAAACAAGCACCCTCTTCGGTAGTTGCGCTTCTATTAGAGTATACACAATCTCAAAGGCGCCTAGACCCAGATATGACAGGAACGAGGGCACGCCGTATGAGAAGACAAAAAGTCAAAAACAGTTGACGTCAATGAAGGACCTCTTTAGTCGAGGCGGTCTGTCATTCCGAAGACGACATGTGCAAGGACATGTTCGAATCGTTTGCGCAATTCAGGCCTTTGGACGCCTACTTTCGAAGTCAGAACCCCCAAAAGTCCAAGCTTTGCATTCCTTCCATCTTCGGAAAAAAGGTCTGTTCCTGTCACGACTGTGCAGAGGTTCTCTAATATCGGTCCGTCCCGAGATCAGTTGTTGTGCTTCTTTGTGGTGATGCTCCACGAGGTCCATTCGGTAAAAACACTGGGTTGGATTTGCGACTTCGGGTCGGTGTACCATTCCTTCTGGAGGTTGCTGTAACAGTCGGCAACATCCGAGTAATGCTTAGCGTCCAGATTGACCAAAATCTTAGCGAGGAACAGACTCGAACGACTGCAGGCGTTGCTGTGCAACTTTGAAGCGTTGGCTCGGATTTCTTCGTGGACCGACTTGAGCAGGGCGAGAACTTCGGATGCTTCGTCGGCTTCGGGGAACTCCTTTGTCTTGTTGCAAGCTCCGAAGAATTGTTGCAACAAGCCGAAAGCCTTATCCGAGATCTGCTTGCTGGTGGTCGTTCTGATCAGCGTAATCATCGGTAGAACCAGATCCAGAGTCAGTCTGTTGGTGTGTTCCTGTTTAGCAAAGATAGTTAGAAGGTCGAGAACACGGTTCTTGAAGTTGACAATGTTCTCTTTGGCGTCCTTGTTGTCCTTCTTCTTGTTGCTCGTGTTCTTCTTGCGCTCTGTGAAGATGGTTGTGAGATGACCCTCTAGAGCCATCATTTGCTCGTCGTCCATATCGGACTCGTCAAAGTCCGAGTCGTCCTCTGTAGGCTTCTGTGTCTTCAGTGCAAGTGCAAGTTTGTTCTCAAAGTCTTCGAGATCAGCATCTTCAGCATCAGCTTCATCATCCGACTCGTCATCAGAGGCGCCAGACTCGGCATCTTCAACGACTTCAACATCGCTGTCAACCTCAACGTCGCTGTCGTCCTCGCCATCGATCATCTCTACGTCAGAAGCATCCTCATCGGATCCTGACTCACCCTCTTCCTCGGCGTCGTCGGCTTGCTCGAATAGCTCTTGCTGACCGCTGAGGTTCTCTGACTTGTCAAGAATGTCAAGCATTGATTGCAAGCCTTCAGCATCAAGCTGGGAAGAAAATGCTTCGAATACTTGCTGGGCGATTTTGCGGTAGACAGCAGAAGGCTTTGAAATGAAGCTGAGTAGGATCTCAACAAGCATGACAGAGGCATCTTCACTCTTTTTCCACGACTGGTAGCACAGCTCCAGGTCTTCCAATACAGGGACGACATCGGCCTCACCATTGTAGACAAGTAAGATGGACAGGGCATACAAAGCCTTGAAAGCACGTAGAGGTGCTTTCTTGCTGTCCTTCTGCTTTTGCTCGAGCTTCTTCAAAGCTTTCAAGGTCTTGTGGACCTTTTCCAGATTCTCCATAATCTCTTGGTCGGCCTTGGTTCGCAGACCGGTCTTGGAGGCAGCATCGGTCGCCTTGACCTCTTCGACAACCTTCTCGAGGATTGTGAATTCTGTGTCCATACGAGCGGACAAAATGTGGTTAAGACAGGACATAAGACGCGAGCGGAACATCTCTTGGCTCGCTTCGGACAACGGAGGGGATGCTTTGAGAGCACCAGCAGTGGCGTCGGCATAGCCGAAGGGCACCATAGACAAGACAAGAGAAGCAATATTCTCGTTATCCTTACCTTCCTCAGCTTGTTGCTTGCGAGCCATGTTCAGCATCATATCAGCAAGGAGACGGCGCCTGGTATCAGCCTGCGGTTGATCCTCGGCATTGGGCTTAGCTGAGAGCTGTTGCAGAATGGTCAGAGCGTCAGCTGCGCTCTCGTCCTTTGCACGAGCGAAGAGGTCTTCGGCCGTTTTGGACTTTGTCAAACGGTCGAAATCCACAGCGCCGTTGCCTGATAACAAACACTTCAGCATCACTGGGATACTCTCTTGATCAGACTTTGAGCGAGTGACCATTTGTGCAAGTGGACCCTTGGCTGCTTCGTGAAGGTATCGGTCTTGTCCGGCACGTTGGTTGATAATGCAGCGCATAGCGTTTGGGCTGAAAACAGCATGGAGCAGCTGAACGGGTGCGGTTGAGATTCCCATAGAGACGACCTGAAGACCCAAAGACTTGCGTTCGGTACTGGCAGATGCGGCAAACAGTCCCTCTGTCAACTGGTTAGCTCGGTCGTTGAACATAGGACAAGAGTCCGAATGTGGATAGCTTACGGTCTACAGCTTCAAGCCAGAATTTCTCAAAGTCGGAAACCTTCTCATCTGACTTCTTGCTAGGCTTGTGGCGTTTGTAGAGGTGAGCGAGAATGATGGACCAGGCAAACGAAGGCGAGCTTTGCGCGGCTCCGGTGCTGTTGCCTGCAGAGCCATCCTCGGTTTGAGCACCATTATCACGAAGAATCTTCGCCACGGTGCCTCTGTCTTTCGACGAAAGAGGGTCGTTGTGGTTCCATACTCCCTTGGGTAGCTTGGCATCAGGGAACAGTGTGGACGCGGTCAGCCAGATGGCAAGACCTTCAGGGGTCTTACTGAGCTTGAAGGGCTCAAGTCTCTGTACAAGCAAATTGACATAATCAAGGTCAAGGTCTTTGATTTGAGTTAGTGTAGCCAATGTCTCGTAGAGAGTCACGCCGCATTCTCTTCGCAACCAGGTAGTCTCTGTGGCAAGCTTGAAGATGTGATCAAGAACCTTTTCCCATTGAGCTACAGAAACACCCTTTGCAAAGAGAAGTTGACTCTGAATGAGAGACTTGAAACCAAAGCAGCGACCTGTAAGATGATCTCTTCTTTCCTACCAAAGCAGTCAGCAATGTGTGATGCGCGAACAACGTAACCATGCCGTACCTTGTTGTTGCTCGTCTCTTCGGGCTGCGTGATTGAGACAATCTTGTCAATGATAGCCGGAAGAGTCAAGTCCACACCCTCAACACCCGTGGCCGGAGATTTGGATGTCAACTTCAATATCTCTATCAAAGCCACAGAAAATCCAGATCTCGCGGATTTACGGCTGCTGCAAAGACCTCTGATCAGTCTAGTCAGGGACTTGTCCAGGGCTTCTTGATCCGCGTCGGCAAGGGTGCGTATCAGGTCTGCGGCAGCCCTCAATCTGGTTGCTTTTACATCTTCGGATAAATCGTTGTAGAGAGCAGCCAATTTAGCGTCGACCACACCAAATTCAACACGTCGCTTGCGAGAGGGATGGGTCGTATCATGGACCGTCTCATCTTCTCCGTTCGAATTTCGGCGACGCTTTCCAGCCATGGTGGAGTGTGTTTGATGAGGATGTGTCACGGTATATGCGATGGCAGAGCAACCGCAAAAGACATGGCGCAAATTTTCGAATGGCCCCTTTTGCGGGGAAAGGCTTAGAAGCTTCCACGTGAGAATTCGATGTGTGAGGGCTGTCAAGTGAAGCTATCCAAATGCACAATACTCGGAGACTAAGATGCAGTATCGATTGATATGGCTTGCGTGAATAGCTCGTAACGACTATATCTATAATTTTGAATAGACTGTGTACTTTACAGCTTGAGGTCGTTGGTATCAATCGTCGTAAGTCGTAAGGGCAGCACTAGCACAAGACCCTGAACATCGTCGGATGCAAGCCGCAAAGCTGGAGCACAGCGAGCTTATTTTTTGACATTTCCCACGCATCCATCTATGTAACTTGTACAGCACACAAAGATTGACTCACGAGAATTCTGGCGCGATTGTGCCCACACTGCATGACAAGTCCGTATTTCAAATAAACAAGCCAACGCGAATCACGCAAAACGTTGCCCCCTGGAGATCAGACGCGTGAGATGCAAGTTGCAAGCCAGGCTTGAGCTTGTAACACACGGTCGAGAGAGCTACCACACAGCTGTATGCGTCGTCCTCGTAAACGCATCGCACGGCGCACTCGACCCAACCGCTAATCCACGAGCCCCGATATCTGGAACCCTGCGAGTCACGATCTTCCGCATGCAGCGTGACGACTAGCGAAATTCTGCTTGTTCCCCCTTCGGCCTTTGAGTGAAACATTGATGCTAGAAAATCGGGTGCCATGGCATCTTCTTCTCCACTCACACCATCAACCAAATAACTATAGTCAGGGTACGGGCGTCCGCGCATGATGCTTTGATGCTCGTTACGACCGGGGAGAAGCAATACATGCATTGGTGTCTCTGTCGTCGCCGTGCCATCCGGCTGGATGGATGTGCTGAACAACGTCTACCTTGGTATTTCTGTCGAAGAACCTCAACGACCATGACGAATGGTGCAGAGGATGTGAGTCGAGGGTTTCATGGTTTGGCGCAGGAGTGCAGATAGGTATCGTGATGTGGAATCGATAGCGGTGTTGATCGTATCAATTGTTGAGCCTGTCAATCAATGGCGCGATGGTGGTGACATTTTTTTGTGTGCAGAGACGTGACCGTTCATCGATGCGTGATATGTGAAATTTGGCTGCGATAGACGTTGATGTGAAAGGAGTGCAAGTTGCATGCTACTTTTAAGCTGGGGAAGTGCTATTATAATGACCGGTACAACGACCTACAATGCATCTGGCATACTTTGAGTTCAGAAAAGCCGTTGCCAAATCAATCGCAGGGAACCCTGCGGGTCAGCACCATCAGTTTCACTTACTCTCTGCTCCATCTGACCCACATGCTTCCTTTTTCTTTTTCCAATATTGAGGAAGGTCTGTTCACTGCCGAGTGGCTACTACTGCAATCTAGACGATTGTGGTACGACGGTCTTGGTGCGGAGCAAACATGGGTCGTCGAAGACAGATCACCATCTGCTGAGCGAAGAAAAAACTTACGCGGGCCGGCGTCGAGTAAGCAGCGGAAGCAAAGGCAAAGGCAAGCGAACAAAGCAAAAGCAGTGGCTGTTCGCTAGGAAACGCCAATGAACGAGAATCGAAGAATATGGGCAGAGGTTGGACGAGCAAAAAGAACGACTCAATATCATCGCTGCAAACGGGCGATATGTATATGGGATGGATAGAAACAGCAGCCCTATACAGAGATAAAGTAAGAATAGCATATCACGTGCATTGGCATATCGAGTATTAGCCAGCATCCGCACTCACGGATCTGTCACTAACTTTGTTTATCCCGCACACGGCGACCAACCCTGGCCTCCACAAATCTGTGTACAGCCTGTAGCGCGCGTATGGAGTGGATACGCGATCAAGCCATACCCGAGTCCAAGGAAATAGTCAAGAGGTGACACGACGATTGAGCTGCAGCTGAACAAGCCATCAAAGCTATTTTCTTTGCGAGGGACTGAAGCTCGGGGACCACGCCCGCGACATGGAAAATCCGTGGGTCTAGTCAGAAAAGTCTTTGGCTCAGCGACGGTCTACGGCAAGGCCGCATGTCAGTGTGCTTCAGGGCGTTCGTCGGTGCTTGCCAAACGCATCGTTGCAACGGAGACCAGTGTCATTAGTCGCGATAATGTGCTTCAGGATATTAAAGCAGAATTTGCAGTGAGAAAATCATCATCTAAACATGTCGTGCTGTGTTTACTGGTAGTCAAATAAGATGGCAACCAAATCCCATAAACATCAGGCGGGCGGAGTAGGCATGCAGCAGGCAGGTTAAGATATGATCTGACGGCACGAAGAGTGACGTCGCATGCATGAACAGCAATCGCACAGTTCGCGGAGAATCTGCTATTGGAGACGAGTGATGCACACGTCGGAGTCGAGAGGAAGCTTGCGAAGCCACGCGAGAGCAGCACGCAAATGGCAGCTCGAAACCCACTTTTGGTTGTCTACGAAACGCCGTTAAAGGCGGGCGGCCGTGCGAGTACCGGTTTCAACCAGAAAGAAGGATAGGCCAAAGGCGGACGCCAGAGGATCGTCTAGCCTGATCGTACTTAGCCAATGAGAAGTCATCCGCACGTAATTGTCTTGTTCCTTGCGGAGAAGCGCCCATGACGCCAGGTGGATGATTTATATGAAGGAAAGGGTCTACACAATGATATGTCGGGAACCAAGGCGTGATGTTGACGTATCTGCAACTTGACGATAAGATATCAAGGCAGACGATGGCCAAAAAGCTGGCCATGGCAGGGCGTTGAGTAAGGACAGACGAAACGACGATGGGATTGTTCCTTTGAGTTTGATGTTCGTATGCTGCGGCAAGGAGGAGCTGCGGGTGAGTGGCCCAGCAGGATGCGAGGATCAATGGATTGATTGACAGAGATGCAGATGCCCTGTGAAGCAAATGGTGACACAAAATAGCAGCAGCAGCATCCATTCCCGACCGGGTGGACCTGCGACGGATGGTGCTTGGTCTGTGGGACGGACGGCTTCGGCGGGCGGCGGCCCTTGTCAGCGTCGAGCAAACCTTTGACAATCTACCGAGCAACGAGACAATAATCTGCGTTGCGCGGTGTCGTGTTGGTTTTTGGCGTCCGTCTGGACGCAGCGTGTGCATCAGTGCGGTGGGTATGTGGATAGGAAAGCGTGGAACGGCGGTACGAGAGCTGCAACCAGGGCAACTCTGATATTTGTGCACATGTTGAGGACTTTACCCCTCTCTGGTGATGCATGCGGCTTCTTCAGAGAAGACGGGACAAGAGAGGATCAAAAAATGTGGGCTTGATCGAGCAGCACCGGAGATCGTGGCAGACAAGGCTCGACAAGGCACAGCTCTGAGGTCAAAATGTCAAGTATCGACGATGCCCACGATTCACATAGAGTTTGCAAATGCTATGCATGATCAGCTGGCTGGTGGACGGCGGCAGCGGCATATGATTTGTCCAACGGGAGGGCCGTTGCTCAGCGCGCTTGTCATGGCGTTCGGATGGACTAGGGCATGGGTGATGGATTCAGTCTCGCTAAACTGGGGCCCGGGTGGACGAGTGTGACAGGGCGAGTGCTCAGAGTTCGTGGGGCTGTCCATGCTGGCACTGGGTCCAGCGGTCGCTGGTGCTGGTCCGGTGCTGTTGCTGGTCGTGCGTTTCCTTGCCTTGGTTGGATTCTTGGCCTGGCCTGCCTGAGCTTGCTGCGAGGGTGCAATCTCCATGCCAACGCTCTTCCTTGCCGTGAGCCTTCTTTTATCAAGCCGCGCCCGCTCCAAGCTCCCTCTGCTCTCTCAGAGAAGGCAGTTGAGCCGTAGTCATTCCACCCGTACTAGGATTGTCGTGCATCTGAACGTGAAGCATCAAAAGGAAGACTCTTCTTCACACCTCCAAGCCGCTTCACCTTATTCACAACCACTCCCATCCGACTCTCGGCCAATCACCATCCGCCAATCAATCCAGTCGACTATCCACCATTGAATATAGCTATACCATCGATCAATTCCATCAGCTCCTACTCGGACCATCACCATCAGATAGCATCAGCATCACTCGACCTTCCAGCAGCCATATCTATGCAGACTCGCCTCCCGTCACATAATCCATCATCCGGCCAGCAGTGACTCTCACCACCACCTGGAGATATCTTAACCGACCACCACCCTCACTACTCATATCTATCACAATGTCCACCATGATGGAATTCTCATCACCCCTAGCTGCCATGCACCCACCGCCGTGCCCGCCATGGGGCAACCGCCGCGACCTGCCTGCGTCGAGAAACATGTACCAGTCTCAGACAGTTGGATCTAACAGCTTCAACTTCAAGGAGCTGAGCATGAAGAAGTCCACTCCCGATTACTTCACATTGCGTCCGGCCCGTGGCTCGTCGCCTACGGCTAGTCTCGCAGCAGACCTGTCGTCCAACTTCCACATTGATCAGAGGTATGCATGAGGAGCACATTCCACATCGGTCCAGACCGAAGCTTACAATCCACAGCCCTCAGATTCCTACACCCAGACGCTCATTGTTCAACCAAAACCTCTTCCTACCCCGTGACCGCTCCGAGCAGCTCGCAACCCCACCGCTCATCGAGTACGACGGTCTCTGCACCCCTCCCGTCCCCATGTCGTCGCCCGGTGACATGATGGACATCTCGCCCCTCCCTCACAAGCAGCCCTGCTTCGTCGCTCACGTCACTCTTCCCTCGCCTTCACCCGAGGTCGAGAACGACGATGACGATGACATGCTCTCGTGCCAGGAGGCTCTTTCTCTCCCCATGCCCGAGAAGCCCTCGGCCATGCCTCTCCCCGAGCGCAAGAAGTCGGCCTTCCTCAGACCTTCCCTGACTAGAACAAAGGGACACTCATACTCGACCACCGCAATCCCCACACAAGAACACAAGCTCCCCACATTCAAGTTCGGCGGTGCCGGCCTCGGCTGCACCTCGAGCCCTTCTTCCGAC